TTTATAGTATCTAGTCTTATAATCGTAGTAGTATATCTAGTAGATCCTACTTTCTTTTAGTATAATAGGATCTCTTAGGCTATAGCTATACCCTAATATAGAGTTAGCTCTTCGATAGGTATTAGGGTATATACCGCTAGTCTATCTATAAGATTATATCGTATAGCGATACTTACTATATAGCTATCTTAATAAAGCTATAGCTTCTTTTACTACCTATCTCTAATAATACGGATATTAAGAAACTATACTATCTCTCCGTAGTCTATTAATTCCTAGTATACTTCTAGATCTCGCTCTAGTTTTATAGCCCTTCTTTATATATCTTTATAATAAGTAATTAAGATATTATCTATATAAAAGAAGACTATTAGTCTATTTCCGATAAAGATATAGAGGTCTTCTAGGGCTTATTATAGACCTAGCTTACGAAATACACTAGCTACTTCCTACTACTAGAGTCTAGGTAAGATCCGTAGACTATATAGTGCGTAGTAGAGTTTCTAGTATTTACCGGGTAGTCTAAACCTATTAGGTATCTAGGTATAGATCTCTTTTTCTAGCGTACTATTTAAAAAGGTAGTAATAGTATCCCGCTATCTTAGATCGAGATTAAATACGGTAATAAGGGTAAAGATTATCCTTATAGTCCTTACTACTAGTGTAGTAGCTCTCTTTTCTTCGTACGAAATAGTCTCTAGATCTCCCTATACGTATATATAAGCTTTAAATTTAACTAGATAACTATCCTAATCGTATTTATAGGTAAATACCTATATAAGAGGTAGTATTTACTTACTTCTATCCTTTAGTCTCTCTATAATCTTATAGGTTTCCTTTTCTATTAGAGAGTTAATCTCCTTTCTTATTACTATAAGAAAACCTTCCTAAAATAGATAGTTTATAATATCTTTATAGTATTTTAGGACTAGGGGGAGATTATCTTAATAACGTCTAATTTTAGGCTTCTTAGTATATAGACCTATAGCGAAAGTATATAGTAGTATAGGAGGGTCTTCCTTTTTATCTATAGCTTCTATAATTATTATATAGATATAGTCTTTATCTTACCTAGCTTAACGCCTTCGCTTTCTACTAATAATATTACTAGTATCGATATCTCTTATAATTTATCTACTTAGGGTAAGAAGTTCCGCCTATAGTTATCTTTCTAGCTTATCTTCTATAGTGGGAATAGCTTTATTATCCTAAACCTAGTCGCTAACTAGATCCTCTAGATCCTCCGGTATATCTACCTCCTAATTAGGGGTAATATAGGGATCTTACGGCGGCGTAATAGGGAGCGGAGGAAGGGGTTTATCTAGAAATATACCTAGCGGGGCTCGGGGTTTATAGATCTTAGGCATTTACTATATAATCGTAGTTTTTAGGAAGGGTAGGACCACTTACTAATCTACCCCCTAAAGTAGGGTAGTATCTCGCTAACTAACTTCACTAGCTATCTCCTTTTACGGAGAGTTCTACTATATATTCTACTAGTTTTCTTACTAAGATCCTTACTAAGATCCTTAATAATTATAGTACTAAGTTTCCTATAGATTATTAGACTAAGTTTCCTATAGATCTCGATAATCTCTCTCTTCTATTTCGCTAGTCTCTTAACTCGCTATCACGCGATTAAGTACCTAGGTGAACTCTTCTATAGTAATTTCCTAAGGTTCTTACTATATTAGTATTAGAATAAGCTAATATCTATTATAATTAGGGGTATATTTACGAGTTTTATTAAATACTATATCCCTAATAGGCTTTACTTTCCTATTATATAGGAACTAGATTTTCTAAATATTTAATACTATATAGCTAACTAAGAATCCGATCTTAGCTCGTAGGTTTATTTTATTAGACTAGACCTATTTATTAATCCTATAGTATACTAAACTTCTATATAGTTTAATATTTAATAGGTTAATCCTCGGCGCCTATAGTACGAACTCCTTCCGCACCTCCTCCTATAGTATAACCTAGCGGTTTTCGGTAGTAATATACGTCGGCGTACGATTTAGTAACTATACCGTAGCGTTAGCGGCCTCTAGCTATAGATCTTTTAGGAGCTTTCCTTTAAGTACGAGTATATATATACGGGTAATAATTATACTACCGGATCTTTTAGTATAACTATTTATTTCGGAGTGCCCTAGGGGGTTATAATATATAAGGATACTATTAGAAGTAAAACTATATTCCGTAGGTTTTCTAGCTAAGGACTTATTATCGTATTAGAAGGCTTTAATTAGTAGATCCTATTAGTTTCTTACTAGTTCTATAAAACGATTAATCGCTAGCTAATACTTAGGCTTTATTTTATAGGTTATTAGCTAATAAAACCTAGGACCTTCTAGGTAAAAATAAAAGATCTAGCGGTACTTATTCTCTACTAGCGGTAGCTAAATAAGATTAAAGTATACTCTTCTAAATCGTCTAAAAGTACGCCCGATAGCTTATCTTAATATCTATCTTAGTATACGACCTAGTTAGTAAGTCTAGTATAATACCTATATTTTAGTAGACTCCTTTTCTTTATCGTTAAAAATAACTCTATCTACTATAGTAGCGAGTTTTATAGCGCTTCGTTAGTTAATATAGATAAGTCTCCGGTACTAGATATCTAATAAGGCTTTTAACTACTAAGGTTTTACTAACTTTCTCTCCGTAAAATAAGCTTACTAGGGCTATATTTCCCTAGGTCTATCGAAGATCTAAAGGTTAAACTAATCCTAAAGGTTTATATAGATAACTAGTCTATTATTAGGGTCTCTAATATAGTTTATACGCTAGCACTATATCCCGCCTTTCTTTTTTAGTATAGAATAGGATACTAGGTTTATATAGAAACTAGGGGAATAGAGGGTATTACTAAGTGTAATCTCTATTTTACCTTTTACTAGATATCTACCTACTAGTCTAACCTTCCCCTTTCCTAGTACTTAGGTAGTACTATCTCCTATCGTAAGATCCGAAATCTAGGGTATAAAGTTAATAAAAAGGTCTCTATTATTATAGATATAGGTACTAGATCCTATATTAAGGATCTATCTATCTTTTAAGATAGGTTCTCTATTTTTAGTAAGAGAGAGGGCGTATTTATAGTTTTATACTAGCCCCCCTACTATATAGTATAGGGCTTAAGGGTAGTAGCGAAGCTCACTTAATTTATAAACTCTTCCTTCTAAGGTTACTAATTTTACTAAGTTTGCTAAGTTTACTATACCTTTTCTACCTTCTTTTCTACCTATTTCTTCTAAGTAGGCTCTTTAGCGAGTTTTTACTTAATCTTTTCTAGCTTTCTTAGGTTAATATAGGTCCCTTCGGGGCGGTTTTCCTTATTAAGATACTAGTATATTACTATTTTATATAAATAATAGGGGTTCCCGTATAGGTACCTCCTCTTTTTAAATAGGATCGGCTCCTTAGTTTAGGACTAGATCTAGGACTTTACTTCTTAGTGTCCTTACTAGGTTAAAAATACCCCTTTTAGGGGTATAGTAGATAATACCTTTTATACCCCTATTTCTCGATTTATTACGCGGAACGACTCGAGGAGATTACGGGTTTAATAGACTTTCTTATCTATAATAATCTCTTAATATCTTCCTTACCACTAAATAGGTAAGACCTCTTTAATAGTATATAGGAAGTCCCTATTTACGTCTCCGTTATTAATACTAAGGCTAATAGCTTACTCCCTTAGGGTATTCTATTATTTAAGCTATTATTTAATATCTCTAGTCGGCTTTTAGATAGCGAAGACCTTCTACTTTATTCGGACTTCCTTCTCGTATATAGTCGATCTCGCGAAGCGATCTCTTAGGTATATAAGTCTCTTATACGGGGTCTAATAGTCGGTAATAGTAGTATAGTAGATTAGGTCTAAGAAGGTATAAATATAGTTATTTATATTAGAAAGTCCTTTTATCTCCTTATCCTATTTCGATTAATCTACTTTAAAGATATCTATTTCGTCTCTCTAATCTCTTTTATCTAATTCGGTCCCTCCGTAGGGGTATTCCGGCCTAATAGGCTCTTCTTTCCTAATCGGTCTCTCTATCGGGGGGGTATCTAGGTTATAGTGCTTCCAGACTTATTTTTATATCGTATATAGCTTTACCCGGGCGAACTAGGTGCGCCATTAGGGCGAATCCTTTAGTTTTTCGCCCTTTATAGCGGAGAGAATTGTTAATGCTTCTATTGTTAGGGTTAGGTGCTGTATAGCCTCAGCGGGCTACTATGCAGCTTTAGAGGTTTTTAGGTGCTGATAGGCGCTATATCTTGTGAATAGCGGCCTTATTTCGTGCGAACCGGGCTCATAACTGTCAACTGACGTGGTATTCAGTATAGTAGGGGTCTAATCAAGGGAGTTGAAATCTCTGTATTTCTGTATCCACTATTCTAGCAGGAAATATGACTATCTGACTAATATCAAAAATACTGCGTGGACAGGATAAACTAAACTTCCGGTATGCCGATCTCATGCTCCGACAGGCCCTGGGTGCCTGAGGCCAAGGCACCCAGCCACCCAGCCACCCCCTGCACCGCCCAGTGTGGCAGTGCATCGAGGCCGACCAAAACAACCCTTTCGCGCTCCCTGGAGCAAGGTCCCACTGACGTGGTCCAAGTGGAGATGTAGCATTCCAGAGGCTCACCGCACTGCCTCGTGGTCCATGCTGCTTTTTTTTTGCCTCGAATAGCTTCCTTTTTGAATAGGTCCATGTCTCAAATCAACAGTGTCCGCCTGATCGCGTACTTTCCTAATCTCCTATATGCCTCATATCTCAAACACCCCAGAGGCTTTGATTCCGCGCTCAGATTCGCGAAACCCAGCGACTACATGTAGAGGCATAACAGCTCAAGGTCGGCCATGCCGCCGTTCTTTGGCTTCGCCACACCCATCGCCGGCATCTATACCACGGAAGAACGCTCGCCAAGAGGCCATAGACGTGGCGTCTTTGTATTGCTGGCAGCATAAGGATCAAGAAACCATGGCTGAGCCATACACGGCCACTATCACCCCGTCCAAGACGAGGACCAGTATCGATACATTAATGGATCGGCTGGGTGTGCTTGATATAAACGATGACCCAGTCTCCCAGAAACCGAAACCTCAGAGGCGACGGACAAATCAAAGCAGACCTAGTGAAAAGCCTCGACCGAAGAAAACTACGTTCTGCTGCTTCCAGATCGTAGAGGACAGTGGCGAGGATGACAGGCCGGTGCAAGTTCACCGACCGAAACCCTCCCGTCCAACAAACGGCGTCTCTTCTGCTCCAAATCTACCCCAGAAGATCCAAGTGCCTGCTTCGGCCGGAAGACCACAACATGGGCGAATGTCATCCGTTCCTCAAACACATCGGCCCCCCTTGCCAGACACAGGGAAGACTGACTCGCAAACGAAGACGCTACTCTCATGGATCCCATCTGTGCTTCCACCACAAACAACCTCAATTCTTCTAACAGAGCTAGCCAAACCAATCTCCGACGCTGACGACGAAGGCTATATCTATATGTTCTGGGTGACGCCCCCAACTACCACCGCACAACGCAGCGTTGACTCCACAGCACCGAGAGACATAGCTTCTTCTCTGCTACCCGAGGCTCCACACAGCAATCATCTCCGTCCATCGACCCAGCCACGGAGCGTCAATGAGGCAATCCGTGCAGCACAGGATATCAACGCCCTCACCTTCAACCCAACGTCAAGCGCTCCTGGCACGCTGAGATTGAAAATCGGACGTACAAGTAATGTGCACCGTCGACTCGCTGAATGGACTCGACAGTGCTCCTATGATCTCACTTTGATCCGGTACTACCCTTATACGCCTTCTTCTTCCTCATCTTCCCCTGCTAGAGTGCCCCCGTCTCAGGGTCCAAATCAAGCCCCGTCCGCCTCGTTAGTCGCGGGACGAAAAGTCCCGCATGTGCATCGCGTGGAGCGCCTGATTCACCTTGAACTAGCGAGTCTGCGGGTGCGAGATCTGGGACAGTGTCCGGAATGCGGGAAGGAGCATCGGGAGTGGTTCGAGGTCGAGGCAGAAAAGGAGTCTCTCCGTCGGGTGGATGAATGTATTCGACGATGGGTCACCTGGGCGGAGTCGGTGGCTTGATATTTCATGTTCGTTTCATCTCTTTTTGCATACATGTTGGGGCGTGTGCGTCATCTTTTTGATTTCATCCAGCATATTAAAGTAGAAAGCGCAATCATTTCGGGAAGTGGGTTTATATCATTCTGGATCTAGAGCTTTTGCATGAAACCTAGTCATTTTGACGGAGCTATTTGGCTGATTTTTCACGACTTTCATTTGGACTCAAGTGAGGAGTTGACCATACTATCAAAATCAATCGTTCTTATGGTGACTGTAGATTCAGTGTTTAGGCGTTACGGCAGATATTCTAAATACTACAACCACTTTCATCGCAATTTCGAAAGCTCGAATGCTAGACATACTTCGAAATCATAATGGTTCCAAGTGATCGTCGAATGCATCATCTCACAATGTGTCCAACTATCTAGGCCAATAATTATAGACATGTATTTTGGGACCTATTTCTCATACCGTTTTGTGCTATCTATACCTTCCGCTTCACCAACCCACGGAAGAAATCAAAGCTGTTGCTATCACTCTGCAACTGCCAGACACGTCCCGTCGGGCGATCGTTCCACCCCAGCTCCTCGGCAAGTAGAAGACCAAAATCGCGGGTGATACCCTGGATGCGAGCGCGAGCACCACCCTCCTCTTCGAGAGTGACAATTTGGTGCATGTGTAGCCAGTCTTGGTAATACATAGCCTCGAAGCCTCGATCGAAACCTGTGCGCAAGAAGCGGGTATACAGACCCTCAAAAGTAGTCAAGATACGAGCCAGGAGTCTCTCCAGCGTGACAGGGGAAGCGGCGGCGGCCCCGGGTGAGGCGTAGCGTGCGGCGAGGGTGGTCAAGGCCGTTGTTGGTGAGGCGTTGGTCGCGTTGATACCAATGCCGACGACGGAGATGTACTCGTTTGACATGAAGTGGGAGTTGATGAGAATGCCGCAGATCTTTGTGTATCGTTTCTGTTCGGGGTCATCTGGATCCAGTGCATCTGTGCGAAATTGGTTAGTAAACTTCGGAAGTACAGATAATAACAGTAAATTTTGAACCCCACGTACAAATATCATTAGGCCATTTTAGTTTGACTGGGATATTCTCATAACCGTCGGCGTAGTTCTTGATTCCTCTGACTACTGCCATCGCTGATAGATATTGGAGGAACACAACTGGTGCTGATTGCATCTTGTCGACTGGGTGTTTCACTACAGTTGAGAAGATAAGAGACCCTGCTGGGGAGACCCAAACATTGGATCCACGCCCACGGCCAGCAATCTGTGCTGTTGCGGTGGCTGTAAAGCCCTGTGGCAATTGACGAAGCAATTTCGTGTTTCTGCTGTTTGTTAGAGCTGACCCATACCCGACTTGTTAAGAACAGTACTTACTTCTCAAGAATAGTGTTTGTGCTAGTGACTACCTCTCCATATAAGAGATTGGAGCCAAATGTCGAGGCGTCACCCTTGGACTCAATCTGATATTGGCGCAGGTGAGAATAGAATGCATGATGATTGAAGTAGGGGGTCAGCTTTGAAGATGGTATATCGTCATGGAATACTAGTCGTTTGACGATCGACTGGTAGTCGATTATGCCTTCGCTAGGCTCTGAGGAATCCGCGGGAAGCGATTCTTCCAATTCACCGAGATTCCATGTTCCAGGACGCTCAATGCGGAATGTATCGTGGTCATCCTTGAGACACTCGGTTTGGCCCTCTTGAGTGAAGGTAGCTCCAAGTCCAGATAGGATGTCCATGGGGCCATCTGCATCGATCCCGGACATGTGTAAGGATGACAGTGAAGGCACTGTTGTGTCCTGCGTGACCTCAAGTCCAAGCTTCAAAAGACATGCCTTTAGGAAGCCTGTACGTTCCTTATCATCAGCAGCGAGTGCCGCCACCATGTCGGCATATTCAGGCCCGCCAGCCTTCGGATCGAGGTTAGCCGCCGCAAATCTAGTTTACTGGTCAGTGACTCAATCTTGCCAATAGATCTCCAAGGCATACTCAGGATGAGGACCTGTCAAAACCGCTGCTCCGTTGCCCACTTTGCAGTAAACGACGGCAGCCGCACCCTCCCCAGGGTTGACATTCAGCTTATCCGTATAGGTTGCAAGAACCTCGACCCCTTCGTCTGCGAACGACGGCGCATCAACAAAGACGCCACCGCCATTGTAGTATGACTGGAAGGTTGTCGGTACGGTGCCACTACTCAAAGCTGCCTTGGCAACCTCAAGCCCCGCCGCGCGCGCGCCCGCCTCGCTGTGGTATACGAAGCCCGGGAATGCCCCGCCACGACAGATGCCCGGATAGAAAGCCAACTCGCGATCTCCAACAACCTCCATTGTCTTGTCGCCAACCTCAAACTCACAACGCTTGCATCCGTAGTAGCCACCTGCACATAGACCCAGGTATCTACCGCCATTGCGGACAAATTGCGATATGCGCCGATTCCCCGCACCATTGAGTGTGCGACAGTATCCCATATCCGCGCCGCCGGGCATGACCAGCATAGCGCAGGTAGTCATCCATGGCTCCTTGAGAAGCATGTCACCCGTTACTGGAATGACGGCATAGTGGGGAGCGAGTAGGCGGCGGAGGGTGTAGAGGCAGTGCCGGACTGAGTCAACGGTGGTTCCATTTCCTGTCGAGAAGTCGCTGGTCAGAAAACGGCTCAGTTGCCAGGCGGAATAAGTAAGCGAACCGGAATAGACTAAGACATTGAGCTTTTTGCCATTGAAATTGGCGCTGTTGCCCGTTGGTGTTGACATGGTTGTTCAGTTGCAAGGGGAACTCGGTGCGATAAGATAGTTCCTCGTTCCGCCGAGGCCAGCCGCCTGTCTCCAACTCTCCTCACAGCCATACCCCAACCATGTCGAACAACGCGGAACACACGCCTGTTGTGCCGGACGATGATGAGCCGGATGATTGGTGAGGCCTGATTTCAGATGCTAGGTTGGCTGGGCCATACTAACTGCTGTGTTAGGAACAAGCGAATCTTCAGCACAGGCTGCCATGGTAAGTTATGCCCAATTCAAGTTCAGAATACCATGCTGATAGATAGTAGCCGAGCAGGATAAGATGAATGACTGCTACTACGCGAAAAAGGACTGGCGCGAGTGCAAGAAAGAGGTGAGCTGTGAAGATCCCCAAGCACATACATCATTCCACCCGGTAGTCACTATGCGCCTGTCTCCATAATGGCAACCATCCGACTTCTCCAAAATGCAATCAATTGAAATAATTGCATCCAATCTCAACTGCCTGGATCAATTGCCCAGATCATACTAACTAGCCAATATAGATGGAAGCTTTCCGCGAGTGCTGGAAGCGCCAGGGCAACGACCAGCGAACGCAGACCCAAGACGCATAATGTACTCTACTCATCCATAATACCATGTTCAATTAGTTCTTCTCGTCTCCGTTCCACTCCATCTTTCCCCAAATCCACCCTTCTAAACCGAGAAACCGAGAAACCAAGCTACCCAATACGCATCACGTGATCGCCTATATTCGCCTCGTTACAGTGACTTCACTCCTCCAGCCCTTATCAACCCCATAAGCCACGATGTCTGCACCTCTTCGTATTCAGTCCTGGAGGGCGATCAAAACCCTCCAACATGCGATCCAAGTATCGCGCTCCTCGAGAGCCACCACCCTCCGAATCGGCCAGCTCTCCAACCCAATGACGAAAAGGGCAATCAGCTACACCACCCAAAACCGCAACCAGACTGCCGCCAAACCCACACCAGCAACACCTGTCGCAAAGGCCGCCTCCTCAGCTTCAACGCCAATCCCAACAGGTGTCCCCGCATCCCGTATCCCAGGCAGCACCCCCAGCCGCGCAACCACCGAAAACATCTCCAAAACCGGGCTGTCCGATAAGCCCCTCGAGCTTGAGGAACCGGCCGAAGAGAAGATCGACTGGACGCGTTCATTCCATGGCCTGTCTGCTGCGCCATTCCCCAAAGAAGCGGCTGATATTCTACTCAAGGAGATCGACCCGGACGAGGTTGAGATCAAGCCTGATGGCATCCTCTACCTCCCAGAGATCAAATACCGACGGATCCTGAACCGCGCTTTCGGCCCCGGTGGATGGGGACTCGTACCACGGAGTGAGAGTATTGTTACACCCAAGACTGTGACGAGAGAGTATGCTCTTGTTTGCAATGGACGGTAAGCACATTTGCCCTTCTATTTCTGTCTAGTGGTCTATGTTGCTATTCAGTCGAACTCAAACCCCGGAACACAAAAACCAGAATTCCTCACTGACATATTTTATTACTGCAGCCTTGTCTCCGTGGCCCGTGGTGAACAGGACTACTTCTCCCCAGACGGCATCCCCACCGCCACAGAAGGCTGCCGATCCAATGCACTCGTGCGCTGCTGCAAGGACCTCGGCATCGCCAGCGAATTGTGGGACCCGCGCTGGATCCGCAAGTATAAGGCGAAGTACACGCGCGAGGTGTTCGTTGAGCACGTTGTTAATAAGCGGAAGACGAAGATCTGGACTCGGAAGGATGACCCTGTTGGATACCCGTGGAAGGAGACGGGGAGTAAATAGACTTCCCAAAGAAGTTTGGATGAGAAGAATGGTTCTGGACGATGAGATTGCCGGTCGAGCTTTGCTCGGAGGAGTAATTTGACTTGGCCAGACTTGTATTATAGCTTTAGTTACGATATGTGTTATATTATGGGAATTGTATTGGTCGCTCTACTCGACACCTATGTCTCTTTGGGGTAAATATCTTTTGCAAAGTATCAACTGCTCTAGACAAGCCAAACAAGCAGAGGTCATATAGGTGCAAATACGGACCCATATTACCTGGTTCGGAGGGAGGGAAACAAGACATTGACTGCACAAAACAAGCAATTCTCTAGTCTAGAGTCAATCTGCTCCCGATCATCGTTAAAACAGTTACTCGTTCAACATTTGGATATCTCAAAACTACTCCTGTACATACATCCTCGGTTTCAAGGGATCCATACGCAGGAATTATACTACCGGTACCGAAGTAGCAACAAAGCTAGAGAGGTCTAACATTACAATTCAGCTCAGTTTAGCAAGTATTATACAAGTCCAACCAAATCCTAAGGCATTTGGAACAAAAAGGAATGTTCACAAATCAGCTCCGTGTTCTCGTGTCTCTGACCAACTTAGCCCTGGCCTCAAGTCAAAAAAACAAGACAGCCCAGGGCATTTCCATCGAAATCACTGTCGATATGAAAATTGATCATTTGGTTTAGCAACACACGCAAGACGGCATCTTGCGCTTCGAATGACCGATTTGAACGTCTTTCTCATCATCGCAGGTCTCAGCCCCGTGCTGTACCAGCATTCGCACGATCTTGTGATGCCCTTGCGAACGAGCAACACGGAGGGCATCAATATCACTAGCATCGGCCCCATGATCTAGCAGCATGCGCACGATCTTATCGTGTCCCGCAGAACAAGCACCCCAGAAGGCATCTCCCTCGGTAGCATCGGCTCCATGGTCTAGCAACATCTGCGCAATCCCATCGTATCCTGTAGAACAGGCAACGCGGAAAGAATCACCGTTACTAATATCTGCACCGTGTTGTAGCATTATTTCCACAATGCGCTCGTGTTCCTGCAAACAAGCAAGCTGGAGAGCATATTGATCGCTCACGTCGGCTCCGTGGTCTAACAGGATGTGTACAATTTCTTCGTGTCCTTCAGAGCATGCAACTCTAAGGAGATTCAAGTCGCTAGCATCGGCTCCGTAGTCTAGCAGCATCTGCAAGATCTTATCGTGGCCTCCCGAACAAGCAGCCTCGACGGCATCTGCTTCGCTCGCATCGGCTCCGTGGTCTAGCAGGATCTGAACGACTCTGTCGTGTCCTTCAGAGGATGCAACCCTCAGTAGATATGGGTCGCTAATATCGGCCCCGTGGTTTAACAGAACTTGTACAATCTTCTCGTTTCCTTCAGAGCAAGCAACCTCGAGGGCTTCTCCGTCGCTAAAATCGGCTCCGTGTTGTAGCAGCATGTCCACAATCTTGTCCTGTCCCGCAGAACAAGCAGCCTGGAGGTCATTTTCCCCGCTCAATTTAGCTCCCTTTTCTAGAAGTATGCGCACGATTTTATCTTGCCCTGCAGAAAAAGCAGCCCGCATAGCGTTTTTATCGCTAACATCAGCCCCATATTCTAGTAGCATCTGCACGATCCTTCCGTTTCCTTCAGAACAAGCAGTCCGAAGAGCAGCACCGCCGCTGACATCGGCCCCGTAATTTAGCAGCATCTGAACGATCCTGTCGTGTCCTGCTAGACAAGCAGCCTTAAGGGCATCTATGTCGTTAACACTGGCTCCGTGCTCTAGCAGCATCTTCACGATCCGTTCCTGACCCGATGAACAAGCAACTTGGAGGATAATTTCGAGGTGTGTACCCGAAGTATTGTCATTGGCACCGTGTTGAAGGAACAACCGAACGATGTTTTCGTATCCTTTAGCACAAACAGCCTGGAAGATATCTGCCAGGTCCCGGCGCTGGAGATGCCGTCCAGCCCCGCGCTCTAGCAGCATGTGTGCAATCTCGTGATGTCCATAAGAGCATGCAGTGTAAAGGGCAGTTTTGTCGGATAAAGCCCGAGCATTGATGTCGGCTCCCTGCTCAAGCAAGATCTGCATAATTTTGTCATTTCCATTGGCTGAGGCCCAGAAGATCGGGTATTCTCCTGTATCATCTAATTTGTTGACATACTTTTTGTTGGTAGGAAGGAGAAACCGGATCTCCTGTTCATGGCCATTGAATACAGCCAGCTGGAACGGATTGATTTTAAAGACGTCGGATGACTTTCCTGTCTTCCAAAATATGGAGAACCAGAGCGAGAAACGTTTTTCACTCATGGCGTATACTCGATGCAGTTGATCGATCACTTCGTGGTTTGGAGTTGAACTCAGCTTCCGTACATGATCAGCCCAATGCAATGCAGAATATTCCAAAAAGCTCCGAGCTTTAGAGCCCGGTTCGTCTTCATGTTCAAGATCCTCCAACAACAGATACTGCAAACAGATACGAGCCATTTGTTCCTCAGCATCGCTGAGGCTGAACGAGTATGTAAAGTTAACTGACCTCGAACTGGCATCTTGGATGAGGAACTCTCGTGCTGTCTGATGAATAAGGTAGATCTTGGAGTTGTTTATGAAAACGAAAAGGCCGCATAAACGACGGAGCTTTGTATCCAGTTGTGACGGGTCTAGTCCAGCCTGTGTAGCAGTCTGTGATTCTGTCCTGATTGCTATTCCCAGAGCCATGGCCATTTCCACTATTGTCAAAGGACGCCGTGCGGCCACAATTATTCGGAAGATCTTTCTCGCAGTATCTTCTTGATCGGAGGGGATCCGACTGAGGATCTTTTCATATGCCTTATTCACTGAAGGAGGTATCATGTGTATTGACTCCTCATCGGGTCGTAGGCTATCCTTAAACGTCGATTGAATATCAGCAATGGCTAAATGTAGCCAAAGATGGGTCCGTTGTTGCATGCATAAAAGCTGTTTCTGAAGTCGCTGCTGGGTATCCCGAGACAATGGCACTGTTTTACCCAACTCCTTCACTCGGGTTTGCACAACTTGACCAATTTCGTTGCGAATCTGATCATTTTCATCCTCTCCTTTTAAGTGTAATTGTGGAAAGGAGTCTGTGATTTCTTGAAAGTGCTCCTGAATGTGTTCATAGGGACGACTGGTGACAAGGAACTTTAAAGTGGTATCCTCTGTCGATGAGCATAGCTTGTGGTGAAAAGATCGGAGTTTCTCAATTAATCGTTCCTGATCAACCTCACGACATTCATCGAGTGCATCAAACACGCATATTGTCTTGTGTGGTACGTCAGCTGCTATTGCAGCTAGAAATATCCGCCATAGCTCATCGACCTCTTCTCGAAGCTTTGGTCCATTCTTTTCAAAGGAAGGCATAGCATGACTCAAGAGATGAGGTCGCCGGTCGAATAGTTGATGAAGTATAGAGCACAGTGCCGAAGTCAGATGGTTCTGTTCTTCGTTGTCTTTAAAGAAGAAATAACATATAGTCACATTTGAACTCGAACTTTCCAAGCAATCGTCAACAATCGATCTGGCCAGTACAGACTTCCCGCAGCCGGGATCGGCTGACACCCAGAGAAGATCATTACCATTGCTTGCCCACCAACGGAGATATTCAGGGCTCTGTAGAGCCCATTGGCAAGTATTCTTGGTCCTTCTTGGATTTATGTTCTTTTGTTCCGTGTAGTTCGAGAGTTTGAAAATTTGGTGGCAACATCGTTGCTGATCCATCATAGCTTTTGTGATCTTCTCGCGATGATGTTGTTCTCGCTGATTGTATGATCGATCCAGTCGTGTAATCGTTCCTTGAATTTCGTTTTTCAACTCGTCTGTATAGAACCCGTGAGCAAACCAGCCATAATCCACACTCGGCGGATTTTCGTATCACTTACCACATGCATCCGCCACCAAAGTCTCTTGCGATACCTGGGCTGCTGGTATATATCCCAGTAGCTCTTTGGCATATGAGGCTGCTGTCACAGCAGCATATCCTTGCCACTCGTTGTTCTTATGCGAATCGGCGTAGTCGCAAATTCCGCGGATGACGATACAAGGAAAGTCCATCATCAACCCAGCTGCTTCCATCTCAAAACACAATGCGCCAGTCTCGCGTCTGAGCTTTTCCCGAGTCTGTCCATTCTTGATGACAGAGTTCCCAGATGCAATGATCCCATAATGTGGATGTGGATCACTGCTCTCACGTTCTGTTCTGAACTCTTCCCAATCTACCAGGCACTCATCACAACTGTTTGCCGTCGCCGGGTGATCATATTCCAGCCTGAATAGTCGATCCAGATGTGAGTCCGGTCGACGAAAGGTCTCTCGAGTTCGTGAGGTTCTTTTACTCGCACTGGTGAGGAACCTTTGGAAGTAAGGATCATTCTTACGCTCGGCAGCCCTCATCGAGTTGACTGCAGCCAATAATGACCTTGGAAAACTGTTCAAAGACCCAGTTCGAAGGAATGCCCCCCTGCACCAACTTTGCCCGTGTCATAGTGTACTATGCCATCACTAGTACCTTCAGGGCAGTTGATCACAACATCCCCAAGTCGGATATCATGCGCTGCAGAAGGAATTCCACCACCAATACCAACCATCAGTCCAATGCGCAACGATCTCGAAACGGTGCGCATCATATTATTTGCGACCGTGGTGGCTGAAGTATTGCCATACTGTCCCTCGGGGAGACAAGCAATCAGCACAGAGTGTTTGCCGATCCGGCCCAACGTATAGACATTGGAGTCGGATGGATCTTGAGAATCAAGAGGGCCAAAGTTCTCATCCAGCATCTCCTTGGCCGCAGCAGCCTCGATTGGAAGAGCACATATCCAACCGATCTGAAATGTGTCGAGTGGGGGGTGCGCCATTGGATGTAGTCAGGGTAATAATGAGAGGGTTGTATGTGACGACTACTATGAGAAAGAAGCCAAAAAGGAGTTGCGGGTATCAACGTGTTCTTTGCGATCCCTCGATAAGAGGAGGATATTCTTGCATGGGAGATGTAGAAGCAGCCATTTTAGCCGTAGAGGCTCAGGTTAGTACCAAATACGAGATGCAGTAGCGGCAGGAGGGAAAGGAGATCATTGGCGAAGACATCCCTGCTCTGCCCCGTTCAATAGTGTTGCTCTGGCATCTTCAAGCGTGCCAGTATGGCCGGCGCCGAAACCTGTGCCGTAAGCCGCACGAGCTCATGGGCAACGGCCGAAATGGCGCATCCGTCATGCAGCCCCGTCGGCGGCACCCCGCAGTCAGGACGAGTCAATCGAATGCGCCAAGTACTTTGGGAGTGCATGGGCCCCGTCGGATGTTTCGGCTAAAGAGGCTGTTTGTAATGAAATTGCGAGGGGGAGGGGGATATGGAGACGGAAGGAATGGGAAAGGCAGTTGATAGTGGCAGAGCCATAACGTCAGTTTGGACGAAAAGGGCAATGCGGTGGATCGGGAAGGAGCCAATGCGACTGATAAGGCCACTCCCTTCGATGCCGTCCGAGTCCCACGACTTGATCTATACTCCGTACATAGTCTATCATGATTCATGAAGAGTGGGAAGGTCATCTCTCGAGTCGTATCACTTGGTCAATAGTACTCCGTAGAGCAGTCTAGGGATCATGAAGATTGAGAGGGGCTAATCTAAGGGGTATATTAAGAAACACTGGAGTCCACCCCGTACGATATGTAATCTAATCACGATTCAAGTCTCCACATCCCCGATCTAACAAAAGAGTCATGGATCAGAGAGAAGAAAGTCAATTGATTTTGAATCCCCCGAGATCGGGAATAGGCAGAGCTTCATAGCCGTTCATCAGGATAGTCTAAAATCAAGACCCCTAATAAACAAAATATAACGCTGTAGAAGTGAGAATGTATTATGTGTGAATCGTGTAGTCGGAGGTACGCTAAGACTGGCTTTTCCTAGTGTGATTGGTCCAAATGGATTGCAAACTCACCGAACAGAGTCATGGATAGGAGTATTTAGGTACGATCAAATAATTACTGTCAATGCTACTATAACCTAGATCCCGCGCCTGATCATGCAATACTATGGCAAGTACAAAAGCAACGTGGATTTTGAGTTTTGTCTGCTGCTATGTATCCGTGCCTCGATCATACTCCAATGAGGGGGGGAGCTACCTAGACTCTAGAGGCTAGGTGGTTATAGCATGGCCAAACAGTCAGAAGTCATATGACTTCGAACACCTCCACTAACAGGAAGCTCCAGGTGAGGGGACCTGCTCTTGTGGCACATGCGCTAGATTCATATGGCCTCCGATTCTAGGCCAGTGAAGGGCTCTTATGCGTGCTGACTGCGTCTACCCCTCCTTGTCATGCGCAGGGGCGGCCTCCTGCCATAGTCGCGGAGTCTTGTAGGTCTTACTTCAGTCTTGTCGAGTACTTCGAACAGAAATATTTCCTCTTATCCTTCGCCATTTTCACGATCAACCCTCATTCAACCCGGCTCCAACATTGGGTTATTTTCCAACATTGAATTGCGTGCAAACCTCGAGTGAGTGGAGCAGGGCCAGGCAAACTTCCAATCGCAGATACTGGACATGTACGAACCCCTATGGAAATCATGTGCAAGCAAATACTCGACAAGACTGTCTATCTCTGCCGGCATATAGTTGAATCCCCTGGAGTCCTCCTGCCATACAACGAGTGTGGTGGTTGTGATATAATTAAGGCAACGGGCTACTTTGGTCAGACAACCAAAAGGGATCCATGCCCTGATTGTATTGCCAATAGTTTTGATGTGAAGGTCAATGGGAAGTGGCAGAAGGTTTGAACTTGATGACACCACATCAGTAAGTGAATAATGAGTGTGGTTCTTAACAGAGGACCTCACAGTCAAAGAGGTCAGAATCGGAACTTTCTGGTCTCGACACAAATGGGACCTCATTTCTGCTGGAAATTAAATAAAGCTATCTTGTGGGCCGTGGTTTTGACCTTATTATTGTAAAGCGATAACTGCGGCCCCCGTGCTTCGCCCGGCTTAATCCTCAACAGGGTCCAGGCCCACCTAGTGCCGTGGTGAACCCAGTGATTTTGTGGACGATAATTGTTCCGATGGAGCAGAGTTGTTCCGGATATTGATGGTAGGGATTGTACAACATACACAGGCATGGTGATATTACATGGATTGTTATATACTACGAAATAGACATTACACACAATGGACCTGTCGCATATTTATCTGACTAAGACTGCCAGACCGTGCTGGTGTTTAGGCTTTCCCTATATCGACCTAGCTGGTTACAGACCACCTTCGAGCTCCCATCCAATCTTCACTAAGCAGGAACTTCCTGGCAAAAGGAGGAGATAGACCTGGACAAAAGGGGTCAAAGGAGAAAATAAGTTGGTTGATTCCCACAAGAGGCAGCTCGTTGAGGAAGAGAAAGGAGATATATGGCCTCGTTCCAGTTTCTCCCCTTCTCTCTCCTCTTTCTTCCCATGGTCCCCTGTCTTTGCCCCCCCTTGTTATGGATATCCAACGCCAATTTCCCGGTGTGCACTGGGTTTGGCGAGGAGGCATCTCCTTTGTCTACGAGGTCCATCCTCTCATCGTGGTCAAGGTTCCCAAGTCCGGTCAGGAAGAGAGAGAGAAATTTCGCAAAGAACTCAAGATCTATGAGATTCTATCTCGGCATCTGCCCTGCCCCTCTTTGGTGCAGTGTTTCCACTATACAACGGACGGAATCTTTCTTGAGTATATGAGAGGTGCAATCCCTTTCGGTATGCTAAGAATATATCTACTAACTGTGTTTCTAGATATATCTCTTGCTTATAGGAGACAATTCAATCTTACTCGCGACTACGAAAGTCGTCTTAGTAGACACTTAGTAACTCCTTGTAAGGAACTGACCTCTTAATATACTTAGGGATGAACGATCTTGCTCAAGATGTTGCTTTCCTCTGATCGCTTAATCTCGCTCATGGTGACCTGCGATCTGAAAATATCCTGCTTGATCGTGACCGACTAAAACTATAGGATTTTGATTGCACGGCCGAATTCGGAACAGATTTCGAAACTTGCCCTTGCCCACACGGAAGACTGCTCAATAATAAGGAAGCAGACCAAGGACTACCAGGAACTGCCAGCCTCCTGGGTACTCGAACAGAGCTGTTCGCTCTCGGTTCGTTGTACTACTTGATCAACTACGGCTTTGGGGTTTATGACGATCAACGTCTTGCCGACGATCCTTACGAGCATGGACCTAGGGTCGTGGACTTACTACAGGACATGGAGTTTCCGAAGCTCGATGGCGATCCGCTTATTGACGATATCATCGATAAATGCTGGCACAACCAATATCGCACGCTTGCGGATTTGGCCACACACACAGAGACGTTGCTTAAGCAACCACGAAGCGAAGCACTGAACCACAAAGCAACCTCTCCTCCGGGATGGCGCACAGATATAGGCAGAATACTGCATCAGTTATGGTATAGCCCCGGGGCCCAACGGCGGAGTAACGGCGAGGTAGCCAATGGTGACGACTATTACAAGGTGGATCAGAAGCATCCTGGTGAGCATTTATCTTCGAAACAGGAATTCTGCCCGGGCTTGGAGAAGCGTGGACTTCTTCGCCTACTTGCTTCGAGTAAGCCCATGGAGCTTGGATTCAACATGGAGCACAGGCATGTGTCATCAACTACTTCGGCGAACTGACAAGGACAAGACTACTGCGGAGGGAGGCCGGAGGTTTCAAAACCTGTTTTTCTTTTTTTTTTTTTTTTTTTGCACACATCTACGAAATCCTCTCTGAATGACAAAATGATGCATTACCCATTACCAGAATAGATTTAAGCCCGGGCCATCTTCCTACCCCTGACCAGGGTCGTTACTCGTCTCTTCACGAGGCCAGGATCAAGCTGAGTGCCGGAGCTTATAGAAGGGTATTATTGGCCTGGCAGGCCTATCACCTGTGGGTTGGCCCGCGGTGTTCTAAAAGAATCACTGAGGGGCTGCCTCAAGGAAGGAAGACTTTCTGGAGGGATTCTGACCCAGTAGATGGCGAGGTACGAAGAGTGAAGAAGTGAGAGAGGAGGAAGAGCAGCGAAGAGGGGTCTTTTATGTCGACGGCATTAAAGGGAATTGGGGGCGCTAAATCGGAAAAGGCAAAACTGGCCCGATGTCGTATCACTTGGTCAATAGTACTCCGTAAAGCAGTCTAGGGATCATGAAGCAAGATTGAGATGGACTAATCTAAAGGGTATATTAAGAAACAGTCCACCCTGTAAGATAATCTAATGACGACGCAAGATCCAAGTATCCACATCCCCAATCTAAAAAAAGAGTCATTGAAAAGAGAAAAAAAAGTAAATTGATTTTAAATCCCCCAAAGATCGGGAATAGGCATAGCTTCATAGCCGTCCCAAAAAGGGAGATTTTGATGCAACGGCTCAACGCAAGAGAAAAATAAAAACATCGATCCACATTCTACACAAAATATAAACAACCCAAGATAAGGAAAGAACTTGGGCGGTAGAAGGGTGATGAAAGAGAAGTGAACCCAAAGAAAAAAGAATTACTGTTCAAATCAAGCCTCATGATCCCCATAAGGAGATTTGTCCTTCTTTCTCAACGCCGTGCCCAGGAATGAGTCCCGGCGAGCTTCGGGCTCCTCACCTGGAGCTGGTGCACCGGTGGTGTAGGGCGTCGCGGCTGGTGGGGGCGCGGTAGGGTGGGGTGGGGAGTAGACGGATCCAGACCGGGGCGAGACGGGATCGTAGCGATCTGGGATCTGGTAGGTGCTGTGTGCGGTCATGTCGTGGAGCTCAGAGTTTGAGTCACGGCGGTCACGGCCGGGGGTATTCTCTGCGCTCCAGCCACCGGCGGGGACTTGGTTGTACCCGTTGTCCTGGTTGTAGTAGCCCTCGAAGGCGTTGGGGTCGGGGAGCCGACCATTTGGACGGTGGACATCTGACTCGGTCCGTGGCCTGAGTGAGGACGGGGCTCGTAGCGGGTGCTGTTGCGGGAGCCAGGGTTGGGTGTCTCAAGGATGGGGACTTGGCTGGAGGACGGGGTCATGCCAGCGGGGACTGGGGAGAGAGAAGTGGCTTTGGCGCCGGAGTGAGCGTCTTGGTCGACGAAAGAGGCACGATCGCCAGCCTTGCGGTGTCCAGTTGAGAGTCCGCGGGTTATGTTGTGGCCGGAGCCCCCGTTGTGCGTGCTAAGCTGGTTCGAGGCGGTGCGGTGGAGGGGTTCTCGTGGTGATCGATCGGATCGCGGCTGATGTCGCCCGGTGAGCGGGCGTTGAGCATTTCGACGATGGCGGCTTCACGCTCGGCGTTGGTGTGTGTGGAACCGCGATGGGTAACTGTGCCGGTGCCTGAGCGGCCTTGGTCGTAGCCAGTCGATTGAGCGGTGTTCTCGTAGTTCAGGATACCAGCGGCAGCAGCAGCGACACCGGGGTCGGGCTTGGAGAAATCGGCACCGCCACCCTGCTCAGTCTTGCGCAGGCCTGCACCGGTGCCCTCGTCATCACCCTTGTCATCGCCATCGGCAGCATCGGCAGGTTCTTCTTCGGGAAGGGCAACACCAGGAGCGCGGACCTTGACCTTGCGGACAGCGAGGACGAAAGCGCACATGAACTTGGATCGTCGAGCAGCACGAATAGTCTCGTTGGACCAGTTAGACTTGTGACGGATATCAACACGTAGCTGGAGCTTGTCCATATCGCCAACGCCACCAAGCTCGATATCAACATCAGGCTGGAAGTCACGGTTGTTTTCCCTGTCACGGACAAAGCTCTCCATCTCCTCGCGCAGCAATTGGACCTCAGCGAAGGTAGTATCGAATGCGACGGGGATGGTGAGTTGTTCATGCATAGCATTGGCACGACTGAAGTTATCAACCCAGAGACTGTTCAGAACGTTATTTGGCACCTGTGTGACACGGTGATCTTTGACGTTACGGAAGACAGTGAAGAGAAGCGAGATACGATCCACAATGAAAGGTACATCGTTGACTTCGACACGATCGCCGATATCGAAGGGATGCTTGACAAACAGGAAGATGCAAGAACCCAGGACTTCCTGGGCAGTAACGGAGAAAACGAAACTGAGGGAGAGCAGGGAGGTGGCACCGGCCGCAATGACGGTACCGAATCCAGAAGTGACGAAGGAGATGAAGACAAGAACACCAACAAGACCAGCAACACACATCAGCAAGTTGTCCAGCACACGAATAGCCTGGTCGACGTCGTGCATGCTATGGTTCAGGGCCTTTCGCATACGTCCAAACTCAGTAATAGTGAGGACCATCTCATCAAGACTGATATCACCATTTCCATCCTTGTCAAGAGACATGAAGCATTCTTCGGCGTCGGCCTCGTGCTCAGGACCCAAAACCTCGACAATATCATCCAAGAACAGAGCATCACGACCCTCGACCACAAATGACATCCAAATTCGTCGTGCCAGAGCAGCAGCGTGACTCTTGCGCTCGAGAGCATTGATAACCATGCTGTGTGTAGCGGTCGGGTTAAACACTTGCTTACCAGTAAGCTCCGATGCAACGTTTCCAAAAGCAGCAGTGACCTTATCACCAACACGGCCAACGTTCTTGCCGACCTGACGAAGCATGCGCAGCGGCATAACAGACGATCGCTTGCTCTTAGCACCAGCCTGGGCCAGGATGGAGTCGAAAATGAGAGAGTCCTCCTCCTTGAACTCAGGGCAGTAGACGGGGAACATGTTTCGCGAAGCCTCGAAGAGCAGAGTGACCAGGTACACGTTGCGCTTAGAGGTTTTGATCTTGTTATCGAACTGCTTACGGTGATAACTGATCGAGATCAGCTGCACAAGAGCCTTCTCAACCAAATAGATGATACTGCAAACAAGCAGCGCGAAGAGAATATTCTTGACACTCTTCTCCCATGACTTGGGAGCAGTGTCACCAGATGCCTTCTTACCAGGGGTCAAAGTCATGACCGGCAAGAATGTCACCAGAGAGATAATAGACCACAATAAGAAAGTAATTGGCGTCTCGAGGGCGCGGAGAATAAGAGCATACTTGCGGGTACCGGAGCTCACGATACCGCACAAGAATTGAAAGACGTAAGGAACGTAATGAGCGAAGAGCTTGGAGGTCCAAAGACTGCACCAAACGATCTCGATCCAGGTGAAGAACCAGTAAATATGAACACCACCAATTTTGGCGTACGGCGCAGCCGTAGCACCAACAATGATTGGAACAGCGATCAAAATCGCAACGGGGAGAACATAAATGAGATAACGAGTGATAAGGGAGTAATTCAAGACAGCCTGGTAGAAACGGCCCATGCGATTGATGGAGCCGTCTTCAGGCGACTCGGCAGGCTTGCCATTGATATCGTTGATGGTGTCCACGCGACGCCTGCGTCCGGGTCCACGACGGTGATGATGGTGATCAACGATTGGAGCTTTTTCGGTAGGGGATGAGTTCCCGTCGACGGGACTAGTATTAGACGCCCATTTACGGGCGCCCGTCTGAGAACGGGAAGTCGTCTCTGTGAGGGGAATATCAATGGTTACGTCGTTGGGATTCGACATCCCATGGCCATAATCCGGCATGTCGTGCAGCTGCTCAAATCGGTGTGGCGTCAGTCGCCTGATGGAGGAAAGACTCGAGCGTCCCATTGCAAGGAGCTTCGAGGGCAGACAGGGCCTTTATTGTGCCCGTGCCGATCAGCCCCTAAAGCACCGATTTCAATTTGGGGCCCTCGGGTGTCTCTAGTGGAGACACGCGAAAAAAAATAGTACGGTTGGAGGTGACCAACGGTTCGTGTTGGTCTTTTCGCCTCCCCCTCGCCGGGTAAACCAAGAAAGTTCCGCGGATTCTTCCTTGCGATAGCCAGGTTATGACTATGATTCCCAGACCAATGTGCGCCGACTGTGGGAGTCGATCGTTGGATCTCAATGGCCAAGAGACTCGGTGGAGATGTGGATCGGCGAATTGAGCGCGTTAGTGTCTGGGATCCACGACAAGTGGTTAAACGAATGACTGTGCCAAAGGAATGTGTTGAAGGAAAGACGAAAGAGAGTACAATCAAAAGAAAAGAAAAATCCAAATCCAAATCACCATCGAAGGCATCGAATATGCGGGCAGCCCGTGTTTCAGCAGGGACCCGTCGGGGGGGAACAGTAAAAATGTGAGACCGCCATTCATCCCTTGTGGAATCTCTTTCCTCCTTCATCATTCGTTCGTCTCTCTTAGTCCCTCTCTTAATTGCCCGATCTATTCTAGATCAAGGGGACCCTCATGTTCCCCATTTCGCCATCTGCCCCATCAAATTGCAGACAGGCATTTGATTAATTTACTCCGTGGCAGTTGGTTCTCGAACGAGATCGCGAACACGCTTCTTTCAGAGGATGCAGGTCCACAACTCCACCTCACGATGTCAGAGATCATCCAATCGGAGGTCCTCATCAGTGGGTCGCTGATCCTGAAAAAGCCGGGTCTCGATAAACAGGAAAAAGCACAACATACATGTACGGAGTACGGAGTACGGAGTACACAATTCTACATCAGATGCACGTAATACAACACAACAATGACATCCACGGCCTTGAAACCAGGTCCTCCACGCAGGATCCATGTTGTATACCGGTATACCGGTGCTAAGCCCGGGAATCAATACGCATCGCCTCCAAAGCAGCAACAACCCGCTCCGTATCCCACCCACCCTCCAACCCCCGTACCAGAATCTCCTGCTCACTCTCCGGTGCCATCCCACCCACCCCAGGCGGCCTCTTATCCAAATTCGTAGGAAAAGGATACCCCTCCGCAACAGCCTGCACAAAAGCTCGCACCTCCCTCTGCGCCAACGAATACCTCACCGGATCAAGCTCCCCCGCAACCCCGCCTGCCGCCCGATGCCGCTCAACCACCAACTCCCACGTCGCCTCAACCAGCGGTACTGTCTCAACAGTCTCCATACTCTTCCCAAACGCACTACTGACCTGCAACAGGTTCGCAACACGTCGGGACCCATCCTCGCCCATCTCATTCGCTCCAGCAGCGTGGAATAATGCCGGATTGAAAAATACCCCGTCGCCTAGGTTCAACGGGAGCGCAACATATCTCTCCTGGAAGAATTGCCGGAATTCACTTCTTCGCCAGGCAAGATACCCCGGCTTATACATCTGACTAAAAGGTAGGAACCTCGTCGGCCCACTAGAAATCGGCATATCGCTATGCGCAATAGCACCCTGCAGCGTCAGAAACTGCGACGCCTCCTGTATCGCAGTCGGATACCGCTGACAAGCATTCACGCCCTGAAACCCGAGGTGATAGTCGCGGTGGGATTCCTGCGCCGCGCCACCTGGGTGCACGGTATTGACCTGTGCGGTCACGCGATAGCCCGGTCCCAGCCAGGACTCGCAGACAGCTGCTAGCCAAGGGTTCGAGTAGTAATCCACAAAGGAGGACGGATCTTGAAGGGCGTGTTTGGAGAAAGCATTCCAGATCCGATCGTTTGCACCGCCGACCGCGAAGTGGTCGCCTTTCTGGCCTTGGCTGCGTTCGCGCGCGATGATGGTGTCGAACGCGTTGTTGGTGGAAATTAAGGTTGGGGTTTGTTTTGCGTACATTGAGCGAAGGATGTAGACGCCCGGACCTTTGTGGAGGATGTGGTGCCATTCATCCTGGAGGCGGGTTATTAGGTTTGTTGTTAGGTCGGCGGATTCGAGGGCCTGGAGGTCGTAGATTGGGATGTTGGATTGGATTTCGCTGGCTAATGGGTAGGTCGCTGGGTTTGTAGTTTGCGAGCAGATGGATTTGAACTCGGAGAGTTGGGGAGTCGAAAGAGAGTAGAGTCGAGATGGCACTTTGTGGTTGTTCATTACGTACAATCTCGGTCGTCCCGAGGTCAGATGTATATATCGAACAGTGCCCAATCTACCTAAACATGTCTGAGCGAAACCCCTTTTAGATATTTTGCACACGGAAACCAATCTCCATTGGATCCACGCCGTTACTCGCTTCATCGAACCATAAAGTGACATTGAAGCCGTCGGCAGGAGGGGACTGGATATCGACTTGCGACTCGGAAATAGGTTTCCGTCGGATGGGAGAATTCGGAGAAGAGAAAGAAGAGCAAATTCTAGACCTAGATGGGTATCACAGCTATCAAGCAGTATAGTACAGGTCTACCGCTAGCTACTGAAGCATAAAAAAAAGATTCGGTTCTCCCGGACGCCAAAGCAACAGGAGAACGCCTCAGAGAAAACGGGACCCGTTGATGGGGGATCAAAGCAAACAAAAAGCAAAAGAAAGAAAAAAAAAGAGACAAAAGCTCATGCATAAGACAAGTGGCAACTGCATGTGCCGATTTCGTAAGATCCAAATATTCCCAACCCACGCAAATCTATGCTTGAATGCCAAAATCAGACGTCTTTTTTTAGCCAAAACAAAAAGGAGAGCAGGAAAAGAATTTCGTAAACGGGGCGTGACTGCGCACTGCGCACCCGTGGCAATTCATGCATTCATCATGACCGCTCCGAGATCCGATGCTAGGACCGGTTCGGACGGCGTGGGTTGGTTCGTTTGGTTGGATTCGCTAAGAATATGCTGGTGTTCGGACATGGTCTCAACCAGGGCACTTGGGCGCCCAGCGACAGTGAAGAGTACCTTCAGCAGGAGGGTTGGGCCTTGTCCATTGAGACCGCCTTGGGGCTGGCGACGGGTGTGCGTGAGCAGCACACGAACAAGCTCGCGGATGGCTCCATCAGTAGACGAGTGGTGGATGACGTCTAACCCATCGATTATAAAGACCAGAAGTGGTGGTGCGGATTGTAGGAGGGTATCCACCAGCGATAGAGCAGCTTTCCAGTTGGTGAGTGTGCCATCTAGCTGGCGGAATCGCTCCGCGCTGAGATCCAGCACCGTATCACTATCAACCACTGGAGGAAGCCAGTCGATTAATTGCCGGATTAAACTATAAGTGAGGGCAATCAATCCTTGCTCGTGTACATTTAGCCCTTTGACTTCTTGGCTCGGGAGGACACAGAAGTGAGAGACGACGGGCAATCGAGCCTGGCGTGCGAACGAGGCATAGCAGGCTGAGATTAGACCCACCGGGTTGGGTGACGCAGTAAGCTGCGTCCCGCCCACCGCTAAGGCCTGAGATCGGGGACTCGTAGCCCATTGCTGCAGAGCAGCGACGATGCGACTCTCGGCGATAATCTTGACGTCGGGTTCGTAGTCGCAGATTTGATCATCGCTGTCGAAGAAGACCTGCAGGTGCCTGGATGAACTCTGAATCTCGAGCCGTGCGAGACGGCGTTTATTTCCAATCGACCATTCAAAAGAGGATGTGTCTATCAAACGCGTAAGATGGTAATCGAGCTGCCAGACGCATATGACGCCATACCTATATTTGGAGCTGGAGGCGTAGTTATGCAAACAATGCCACTACTCTGTTCGCTTACAGGCTCGAGTTGCTCGCGTACGGCACTTAACGTCTGTGCCAACAACCCATCTCGGCCCTCCCTAAAACGAACACGTTCCTCTGCGTCTTGTTGAATTTCCCAGATCAGGCGGCGGGTGATAGCGTTCTGTGCTGCTACTCGGCGCTCCTTTCCGCGGCGTCCCACCTGGCTGAGCCGGGACTTCTCCCAGTGTGCCCGAGGGCTATACGGATCCTCCGCCTCCTCATCGACGTCCATCAGCGGGTGTTGCCAGGGAATATTCCGTGCTTGGCGTTGTATATAGATAACCAGGTGGTGGAACTCCGAGTACACGTCCTGGCTATGCATGTTGAGCAGCTGGCAGGTCGACCTCCGGACATACCAGTCCATGAATTCGGTCAGGAAGAAGAATATTAGGGCGTAAGTTTTTGTGATATGTTGAACGGCGTTATGGAGAGGGCTAGGATCACTAGGGAGACCTAAAGCATCGTGAATGTTTAGCAGGGCGGTAGCTAAGCCTTCCATTACGCGTGGATAATGCGACGATGCCTAGAGCCATGGAGTTAGCCAGTACGAGGACACCCGTTGGGGTGATCTTATCCACCTTAATCACCGACTGCAGGACTCCATAGAATAAGGACGTATAAGAGAGGGGGTCCGGCAGGGTGGAAAGCAGGGTCGCGTGGGTGTCTATGGTCGGCAGCAGCCGATCACACAAGTCCATGGATTCACTGAACACCCGTTGTCGAGGGCGGGCCATCCAGAAGGACTTGATACTGGAGAGGAGTGCCTGTACATCGCGTACGGTCTGTGGTCGTTCCTCCCATTGGACCTGATCCTGGGGTAGGAGTAGGCTGATGAACCGTTCCCATGTGTGGGCCAACTCGTTGCGTTCGATATCGAGTTCGGCGATCGCTGGGGTGCTGAGGGGAAACTGGGGTTAGAGGAACTGCCCGCGGGGGATTTGAATACTCGACATTGTGTCTTTTTTTTTCTTTTTGGACTTACGAGGAAATTGGCTTCCCCTCAAAGCGACGGTGCCAGGCACTGGCGGCAGACTCGGTCATGGCAGACAATGAAGACAACACGGATGGGTTATCACGACATGTGTGGAGATGCGAGTGGAGTGCCGATCGAGGAAAATGAAGAGAAGAATGGAAAGGCAGAATTGGACTTTTGGCGTGAAGGGCGGGTTTTGCCGCTGAGGGAGGGGGACGAGGCTAAAAGACGGTTTTTTGGGATTGGGGGTTTTTCTATTAATACCTTCTCTTTCTCGTTTGGGTTATTCATTTCAGTAGAGCATGTCTCTGAGTTTATTTCTCACACGGACCGGCTTTCTTTTTCTCTTTTTCTCGCTTTTTTTTTCTTTTTTTTCTTCTTTTTCTCCCAGTGTCTCCCCCAGTGGACTAAAAAATATCTCCTTTGGTCGATGAGAGCCGAGACCCTGCCTCCTCCCCACTCCGCACAGAACAGGTTTTGGAGACCGAATGCAATATGACCGAATATGATATTCAACATGGTATTTAACCTCAGGGTCTCGCCTATCTCAGCGCCAGGGCTCTCTACGGAGTACAACGTACAATCTAAGATATCTGACCGGACCTGCCGAACCTCTCTCCATATGGGCCATGATACTCTGGCAGGGATTCTAACCGGGTGTTTGTCCAAAGTCGATTCCCCACGAGAACACGGAGGAGCGTTTGAAGATCTGCTCTCATCTTGGGAGGATTTCGTCAAGTCCAAGAGGTCCCTACCTCCATGAGGTAAGAGACCGACCACCTGGAGGAACCACGGGCCCGCGGGTGGATCGACAATTTAATCTCCAACCCGGGGTTTCTGCGGGGGAGAGAGAGCGTGCAATCTGCAGAAATGTGTCCGGGATGATTATATGTGGCCTTGGGGATGAAGACGCAGAAACATGGGAAATACCGAGAATACCGAGAATACCGAGAACAGAGAGAATATCGAGTACGTAAGGTCGGAACCTTGCAAGCTCATAGGGTCATAAGGTACCCCCGGTCAGCACGACTCCCACGGTGGACACAGGTCCGAAAAATTAATATGAAGTGGGCAAGTCGAGCGAATACGCGTTTTCGCCCACCATTCGGACCACCTTCAATTTTGAGGAGGATTTTCGGGTGCACTGTGACGGGCGATCGACACGGATCCTGGATGAAGCCGTAACAAGGAGCACAAAAGCACAACATAGAACATAGAACGAGGACAGACACCACATGTTGTACCTCCACAGCGGAATCGCAGTAATACTCCGTAGTCCGTAGTCCGTAGTCCGGACATCACGAATAATGCAGCACAATGCAGAGGATAATGGCCAACTCTTATCGTCATCCGCTTGGATCCCCCAGAATTAGGGCCGATCCTCTCCCCTCATTTTGCTGGGTTTTTCACTTTCTCTCATATGCAATCCACCTTGACTAATGTGACCCATAGTCTTCCTTTCCGCCATTTCCCGTCATGGGGCTGTTTATTCTCTTCTTCTTCTTCTTTTATGTCCAGGCCGATATCCTTGCACTGCCTTCCAACTCCACCCAGCCCGATCTGAGGTCCAGCGGTTTTTACATCGAGGGAGACACGCCTCTGACTGGCCAAAGGGTAACTCCGTTGACGCCTGATCTGATCGGGAAGAGCGACAGACAACTCAAGGTTGGGAGTCCAGATCCATAGTCTTCATCGTCCCCACATTGCTGACAGGTATATATAGTCCTTCAATGTCACCGGCACTGCCACACAAGTCATCCCTGGGAATTCTCTCGATCTAAAAGATACCGAGATCGCCTTCATATCGTGCGACCAGGACGATTATAGCGGTGGATATCTCGGGGTGAGCGAGACAATTGAATACGTCACTTCGACTCATTCGGCGGCCGCACACCTGCCAGCCGCAGTCGTGCTGTATAGCAAGACCGCAGCCCACTGTAATCTCTCGGCCGATGTCACAAGCACGGCGCGATATCCCGATATCTTCACCTTTCAACGCTGGCACAGCTATCACGCATTGCTACGTGCCTTGAGGGAAGAACGACTCACTATCAGCATCGTTTCAAAGTCCGCAATGAACGGGGTTCCAACTGATGCTGGGGGCACCGGAGGGGGCTCTGGAGACAGCCCCAATACTGGTCCGTTCTCCCACACTACCATGTATAATCCATGAGTCTATACGCCGTTCGATGTATTAATCGTGCTTCTAGCCATGATCATCCTCTACAGCATCACAGGCATCATCACTGCCCTGTTCTTAGGAATTATTATTACCGGCGCAGTCCGAGCCCATCGCCATCCAGAGCGATATGGCCCTCGTCGGATTGCCGGAAGAGTGCGACAAAGCCGGGCCCGAGGTATAGCTCGAGCTATGTTAGACACCATACCGGTGGTCAAATTTGACGATAAGAATGATGACGTGGAAGCTGCGAAACATCACGTCGAGATGTCCTTGGACCCTGAAAATCCCACCCGCGAGCACCCTCCCATTCAAGGCGAAGGAGTTACTGGGGTATTGACTCCCCGAGACTCTGAGCTGCCAACCCCGATCGATCAGGAGCGCCCCACCCCCACAGCCCCAGAAGCCAAGAACGAAACGATGCCTGACGCAGGCAACTTCTCGTGTCCGATTTGCACAGATGACTTCATCAAAGGCCAAGACTTACGTGTTCTACCTTGTAATCATCAGTTCCACATGGAATGCATTGACCCATGGTTGATCAATGTCTCTGGCACCTGTCCGCTCTGGTACGTCCCAATCGATACCAAACATGTGTATCACCCCTCGCTGACCATAAATTAGTCGCATCGACCTCAACCCACCTCAGGCCGAGAACCCCGATGAAAATGATGAAAATGCTGATCACCCCGATCACCCCGACCACCCATCCACCGAAGGCGCAGCACCGCTGACTCCGGAAGAAGCTCGCCAACAAGCCCGTCAGCAAGCCCGACATACGCATCGTCGCCTCAGCAACTATTTGCATGGTCCTCTCAATGCGCACCGGATGCGCGATGCCACGGTTGAGGAGCGTATCGCCGCCCTCCGCAGTGTCCGTGAAGCTAACCAGAACGATTCCCCTGCCCCCGAAGGTGTCCGACGAGGTCTAACCACTCGACTCCGTGACCGATTCCGTGTCCGCACCCGCGCCCACGGCGGTGAAGCTGAACCCTCTGCTGACGCCGAAACTGCTGCGCCTTCCCCGGCGGCCCCGGCTCCCGTTCATCTTACGCCATCTACTGCATAATGTATGATGCATTGACATATTTTGCAGTTTGCACTTATTTTTTTTTCCATCGATTTTACGATTCGGATGATCTTAGGACCTTGGTATGTGGGCGTTTTGATTTTTTTTTTGCGTTACCAACCAGTTTGGTTTATGAACCTTTGGGATTGTTTTGACAGAGCGAGGGCGTTTATGTCAGTTATGTTTTTTTTTTTTTTTTTTTTTCAAAATTTCCCTTTTTTTTGCTTCCTTTCTTGCCGTGGGGTTGGAGAACAAGAGGAAAATTGGGTTTCTTTGCATATATTGTTGACATGTCGGAGAGCTCGGCATATCGGAAGATCAGTTTATCCTGTATATGCAGTATTTGTGATATTATGTAGTAAGATCTAGTCATATTTCCTGCTAGAATAGTAGATACAGAAATACGGAGTTTTCAACATCATTGTTTGGACCCCTATTTTACTTGATACGATATCAATTGACAGTTATGAGCCCGGTTCGCACGAAATAAGGCCACTATTCACAAGATATAGTACCTAGCAACCCCTGAAGCTGCACAGCAACCCCAATTCCAATAATAGAACCAGCATCAATTCTCTCCGCTATGAAGGGCGACAAACTGAAGGATTCGTTATGTTTCGACGCCGTTGTCATTTTACGCAATGTAGAAAAGAGATCAATACAAGCCGGAGCAATAAAATGCCGCCTTTATCTCAACATCCCATAGCCGTTGTGTAGTAGTCCCACGGATCCCAAGTGCTGGTATATTGACATAAAATCATTGGAAAATATTTTTTAGAGCACTCGTCATTCCTATCAACAGTATACTACGCCTTTCTGGCCTCCTAGTACACAGGTAGCCAGCCAGACTGTTCCCAATCAACGATTGCAAGAACATGATAGGGCTCAGTATACGTGGAGAAAGAGGTATAAATACAGTCTAGGGAATGCAGAGGCCGTTGGGCATCGTACCTATGAATGATTCTGCTGGCTTCTGTTCAAGGTTGCGAAGGCTGTTGTAGATTGTCCGGAGCTCACAACAGATCGAAACACCCTCCTCCCGCTACCCGTATATCTCCGGAACTGGGATATGATCTTTGAGGAGCTGGCCGAGAGCATAGAGACACTGACCCTCTGAAATTCTCGCAGCACTTCCTCATTTGACAAACAGCCCCAGATCCTTGAATATCATAGGCGGTGGTCGCACATCAGGGCCGGTTATCGGGAAGGTTTTTCTGTTGTCGAATCAGACTCCTGCGAGATGTTGGGATTTGGCCTGCGAGCGAACTTCTTCTGTGAGGGCAGCTTGGTGAATTTGCTGAAGAATTGGGAGTCTTTGACGTCAAAATCATGAGATTTTGGTATCATCAAAGGCGTTAATTGTACGCGTCCTTGTTTGATGAGTTCCCCCCATTTCGAATCGCGTGGCAGCATATTATTTGATTAAGAAAAGATCGAGGTATAAGGAGGAGTGTTTGAATTTATAATTAGTGTTGAATTGGCTGGTGCCTTGGCGTAGTTCGTTTGAAGTCACCGAGCATATGGTGCATTGAATGGACGAGTGGTAAGGACACTTAAACCGCATTAGTTCAGGCTTGCATTGTTTACAATTAATAGGTCCGTGTCAATCTCCAGGAGACTAAACGGAATATCTTCGCTGGTTTCACCTAACACTACCTAATAGAAGTGTAGAGGAAATGGAACATCTAGCTAGCATGGCGCATCAGTTGGTGGTTGATGTACACAGGACACGTCTATAGACCTTGTAATCGTGCTCTCGGAACCACTAAGCCTTATTTATCAACATCTATATAATGTATCCGTTTTTGAAACTGGTCCGTATCTTTCTTATGACCTGGTACAAGTCACACTATATTCGGACCGGAATCATAGTAGCTGGCCTGAGACAAAATCCGCCATTAAAACTTTCAAAACGAGAATTGTGGTACGAGCGGGGACGAATAGCTTTTACAAGTCAAAACTACACCTTTTATAGTTCAAAAACTATACCTTTCGCAGTTCAAAGCTACACCTTTTGGAGCTCAAAAACTTCACTTTTTAGGCTAAGAACCCTCTTTTATCTTAGCCTCTGACCCTACGATCTCAATATCCAACGGCTACACATTAAGGGGGCGTGCTAAGAACCATGCCTAAGGCATGATCCTCTAATCCTTAGGACTCAGCAACGCTACGCCTATATTTGGCTATTCGACCGAATACCATACCTTGAGACTATGCCGAGTAATCGAATATTCGGCACACAAAGGAGCATAAATAGCAGATAGTTGCAGATATTATTTAGATCTTTGGACAATTTAGACCTCCGCACCAGCCCGCAAAGCCCAAAGCCCAAAGCCCAACCCGCAAATGGGCTTTAATGGGGGCCTTATGGGCCCCCATTAATGGGCCGTGGGCTTGGTTAGGCTTCGAAGGTAGGGCCCAACCAAGCCCATTGCGGAGATCTAAGACAATTCTACACATTCCAAGAGAGATCCTACATTCCAGTGTCAGTTGAACCCATTGTTGAAACCTACATGCTAGATCATACATCTGTACTCCCTATCTTCAATATATATCTGTGTACTTATGTATTTGGGAACTGGAATGCGTAGACCATGTACATTAGCATTTAAATATACACCATTTGTGCAATGCATCTGGCATGAGATGTATCTAGACATCGACTCACAAGTCGGGCATCTGATTTGCCTCCATACGATGTACAACGTACGTGAGGCTGTGCACGGTCAGCAGGCCTCGTAGCCCTGGAGGCCCATGGACCACGCCTCTCGGCAACCCATTTCGACTCGCGAGATGGAATCGGGGACATTACTTAACTATCCGTGACTGTTCTCCCGAGACCCGTAGGGCAGAGTGGTTTGAATCGATCGCCAGGCACGCAGGGTGGTGTTCTGGCCCCGGGGGATCGGCTGACAATTGCATCAGCGGCTGATCCAAATCTGGTTTACCGGGGGTATTACGTGCAAGTGAGGGATATATTAGAATATGGAATCGTTCCCCTCACGATTCTCGTAGGTACGGTGTGTGTGTTCAGAGCCAGAAAGCCCTAATCTACGCACTTAGTCACATCCTTCCGCTTCCCTTCTCCAACTGGGGAATCCCCCAGTTTGTTTTTTTTCCGGGAGTTATTTTGGTCCCAGTGTGGGGGGATCGAGGAGTCATACAGGGGATATCCACTTCCAGCAAGTATTCTAGAATGATTAGGGATCTGGTTTTTGGAGAGCGCAGTGTCTCCGCACGTACCTTACCACTCGATATCCTACACCGTATCTACTCCCTACTCCGTACTCCGTACAACGCAGGTCTGTTGTGTTGTAAACATCAGGTGTTATCGTACAATAACCCCTGAACCGGGACTGTCAGGCAATAGCTTTTCGTCCCAAACATGTCTCCACAGTGCGTCTTTTTTTTTTTTTTTCGTCGGCGTTGACCTCCGCATGACACACTGGTCGGAGGTAGCCTCTCGGCGCTTGGGGTCGGATTTGTCATTGGAGCCACGGACTGTATTCTCTTCTGCACAGTCTGCAGATTGACGAAGCTATGGGCATATTCGTGTACCTGGTATTTCGCAACGAGCGACCGGGGACTTCCATCTCATCTTTTTTTCTATACTCGTGTCGCGATATCTAACGCATAGCTGTTCCCTGGCATGTGAACTCCACTCTGCGTCATGAGCAAAGGGAAGATACGGAAAGTCCCTCGGCGCACAAGATGCCGAGGGACAACACCGAGTATAAAAAGGATAGGAGCAAGTAGCAAGTAGAGATGTATTTTTATTTCTTACAAACGCTGTACGCTGATTCGACTCCAACTCCCCTCATATTGCTCCATCCGGTGAACGCAAGCAGGAATATCCCGTTTCGGAGTGTCAGATTCCGGGGAACCTTACGTTTGGTTGCTTTTATTATATAATTCACCATGACTTCAACAGCGAGAGACCGTCTTTCTTCTCTCTCATCACACATCATGGGTTCAACTAGTCCCTCAGTATTCACGGCGGCCCTTGTGGCTGCCGCCCCCGAAGATCCTTTGTTTGGTCTCATGAAGGCCTATCGCGAGGATCCCTCCGATAAGAAGATCGATTTGGGCATTGGAGCCTACCGCGATAACAACGCAAAGCCCTGGATTCTGCCCGTCGTCAAGAAGGTGATCATATCCGTCGATCTCGCTCGCACAGTCCACTGACATCTATAGGCCGATGACGCCATTCACCACGACCCCAGTCTCAACCACGAATATCTATCCATCGGCGGTCTCGCCGAGTTCACCTCTGCCGCCCAGAAACTCATCGTGGGCGCCGACAGCCCTGCAATCCGCGAAAAGCGAGTACGTAGCTCCCTCAGTCCTCCCCAGACCCAACGAACTGACCACCCCCAGATCTGCACTCTACAAACCGTCTCCGGAACAGGCGCCGTCCACCTCGGCGGTCTCTTCCTCTCCAAATTCCACCCCCAAAAGCCCACAGTCTACCTCTCCAACCCAACATGGGCCAACCACAACCAAATATTCACCAACGTCGGCCTCCCCCTCGCCAAGTACCCCTACTTCTCCGTAAAAACCAAAGGCCTTGACTTCGAGGGCATGCTCTCCGCCCTCCGAGCCGCACCCCCGGCTCCATCATCGTCCTCCACGCCTGCGCCCACAACCCCACCGGCGTCGACCCCACAGAATCCCAGTGGAAGCAAATCGCCCACCTCATGCGCACCCGCACCCACTTCCCCTTCTTCGACACCGCCTACCAGGGCTTCGCCTCCGGCGATCTCGTCCGCGACTCCTGGGCCATCCGCTACTTCATCGAGCAGGGCTTCGAGCTCTGCGTCGCCCAGTCCTTCGCCAAGAACTTCGGTCTGTACGGCGAGCGCACCGGTGCCTTCCACTTTGTCTCTGCGCCCGGCGCGGACGCAACCCTCTCCTCCGCCCATGTCGCGTCGCAGCTGGCTATCTTGCAGAGATCGGAGATTTCAAATCCCCCGGCCTACGGTGCGCGCATCGCCAGTCGCATTTTGAATGATCCCGTGCTGTTTAAGGAGTGGGAGGCCGATTTGAGGACGATGAGTGGGCGTATTTTGGAGATGAGACGGGGGTTGCGGGAGAGGTTGGAGAAGAAGCGGACGCCTGGGTCGTGGGATCATATTACTTCCCAGATTGGGATGTTCAGTTTCACGGGTCTTTCGGAGGAACAGGTTATGAGGTTGCGGTCACAGTGGCATGTTTACATGGTATGTTTTTTCTTCTTCTTTTGGTCTGGATTGATGCTAACTGGCGCAGACGAAAAATGGTCGCATTTCCATGGCGGGCTTGAACACGAATAATATTGATTACTTCGCTGAGGCGGTTGATAGTGTTGTTCGCGAGTCTGCTTAGTTGGAGATACCATATACCCCCTGGTCTTGATCTTGAGTGGAAACACTTGAAGAGATTTGTGCTGGCGTTTGTTTTTCTTTTTTTTTTCGGCTTCAATACATATTCTTTTTTTCCAGCTTCAATGCATATTCTTTTAATGGCTTCGGATTTAATTGCTTCTATATCTTGGCTGTGGGTCTTGGGCTTGGAATCACATGCGTCACATGTAAAAAAGCGCCATGGCAAGTCGGCACGAGTTTAGTTGGACTACGGCGTACGGAGGACTCCGTACTTTGTCATATGCTCAGTATATGCATTAGATTAAGATTTCCATCGAGTGATGCCAATTGGAGAACGACATTGGATATTATCTACATTTCAATGTAATAGACATGGTATCGTATAAAAAGGGCTGGCGCAAAAGTACAAGCTGGAGCTTGGTTCCCAGTGTGAAGACTAAAACACCAAATCCCAGACGACCAGCCAGGTACATAACCCAACAGTGCCCCAGAAGACAGCCTGAGCTGTACTCCGACGCTCAGTAGCACGCTTCAACTCGCGATTTCCCTGTCCGATGTTCGTCGACGTCGTATCCACATCCGAAACAAGCTGAGAGATATACTCCTCCTGCGTCGCTAGATGAGAGACAAGTGTCTCCTGCAACGAAGAGATCTCAAGCAGGGATTTCTCAGCATTCCTAACACATATTAGCAAAACCCATATCAAAAACCAAGACAGAAAGAACATACTGGACTTTCCCCAACGTATCCTCATAATGCCTAAGCATCAGATCATTCTCCTCAGCGAAAAGCTGCAACTGCTCCGGCGAAAGCTCTGCCTCGATCCGCGCCGTATCTGCCTCACTCAACACCGTCGCATCGGGAGCTTGGAACGTAGAATCGACCCCTCCTCTCGTCTGCCACTCAGAACCAGACATCCTCCGAGCCCCGTTGATACCGGGTTTCCCTGCAGCTTTGTAAAGAACGCTCTTTTCTTTCTCCCGAACTCGCTCGATCCGCTTCTCGACCATCCCCCGCTGCACATTGACTGCTCCCTCCAGTCCCCGTCGTAGGAACCAGAGTACGCTCTCGCGCACTGTGGCTAGTGACCGCGCAATCTCTTCTGCGCGGATCTGCTCCGGAGACTTGTTTTCATTTTCTACGGGGTCGCTGAGAGCGCCGCTGCCGCCAGCCCAGCGGTGGAGGAAGGCGCCAGCGATGGAGTGGCCGTATTTCTTGTGGAGGAGGGTGGACTCGGTTTCTTGGCGGAGGGTCTCGGCGGAAGAGAGGTTCGCGATTGAGGTTGCTAGGTCGCGGAGGAGGAGGGCGGTGGAGGTGTCGACTGCATCGCGTTCGGGGTCGGTGAGGTTGGATTGAGTTGGGGTTGGTGCATTTTGGATAGTCTTTGTGTTTGCGTTGCGACGTTGAGGTTGTGTGGAGAGATAGGCGTGACGGATTGAGTGCAGATATTGGAGGAGTGAGTGGATGTGTGAATTCTGTGAGTTGTTAGTCTTTCTGGTTCGGATTGTTGGAGGTTCAAGTGTGAGGGTTGAAAGAAGACTCACAATTCGGTATGCCTCCTTTAGGAACTCGTCGGCGGTTTCTGTGCAGGGCTCTTTGGGAGGTGGAGGTGATAAATCTGGCTTTGAGAGTAACTTGTTCAGGGTGGGCGTGAGGTCGGTCATTGTGGGAGTGGCATCTGGATTGTGTTGCTATACAACAGTACACTTGTCGATCAACAACCCAACGTCACTGCGTAGGTGGTCTATCCCGCACCCCGCACTTGTTTATCCCGGAGTATAAAATGGGCTTGAAGACTCACGAAGTGCAAACTCTTCTGAATTGTGTTTAGCGTTTGATTCGTTTGCTCTTCATTATGACTATCAATTCTCGAGGAATGTCGCATCTACGTAGGTCTCACAACTCACCCACTTGGCTACCCATCACATCCATTGCATCTATCAACAATGGAACCTGTGATTGCCCCTCTACGGGTGTTCACAGGCCTAGAAAGCGGCATCCCTGTTTTAGTCGTTCTACACGCAGCGGAAATGTCTAGCTCCGAAATGCAAGAGATGGCCGAAAGTCACGGTCTTGAAGGTGGGTTCGTCTTTCCCGCACCGGCAAGCTCACACTGCGACTATGAAATCCGCTTTTGGACCTCAACCAATGAGTCAAAGATGTCCAAAAATGTGATCGTTGGCGCTGTCTGGCTTATGTCCAAGATTGGTATGATTACCGGAAACAAATTGCGCATTTCGGCCAAGGGTGGTCTTGTTGAGGCGTTGATCACAAGGACTCCGGACCGAGATAACGGCGAAGACACCATACGGGTTGACCTTTCCCATCCGAAATGTACATACATGCGACCATTGGAAAAAGAGCGCATCAGCAGCATATTGTCTACTTTGGGAATTGAGAGTGAGGACTTGATCCCTGGATTTGGGATCCAGAATGTTGCTACAACGAGGGTGAAGACACTGATTCCGATCCGGTCACTTGATACATTAAAGAATTTGGAGCCCGAATATCAGCGCATCAAAAAGATCTGTGAGCGAATTGGCAGCACTGGCTTTTATCTCTATTCTATCGTCGATCACGACCGACAGGAGTACGCAGCCAGACAGTTTGCCAGACACTATGGATATGTGGAGGATGCTGTGAATGGGGTTGCGGCATCTGCTTTGAGCTTTGCACTACTGATGAGAGGCCATGTTCATCACATCGACCGGGCTATCAAGGTTAAGCACGGGGCAGCCACAGGCAGTCCGTTTGAGGTCAGTGTGAGATTCAGGATATGGGGTGATGACGTCGTTGGCTGTTGGATTGGAGGCACTGCTGAATACGAGAATTCCAATGAGAATGAGACCGGGAATAGCTCTACTGCAGGCGTAGAGACCGAAACTGAAGACCCGGAGGGTGGGAAGGAGATGTGATTTTGCGAGAACATACGAATGCCTTCGCCGGTCTAAATTTGAATGCGGCCAATTTCTCAACAGATAGCTCTTTTATTAGTGAATCTACCCTGGCGTAACATATGTTCGGGACTTTCTGATATATACCAGTATATCTCATCCTTGTAGTGTCCGCGAGTGGCAAAAGTGCAGTAAGCCGGGGGATCAACAACACATCCGTGATAGGCCATCGCCACAATCTTCGACGGGGATTTTACCTTCCAGACAAAGGCCAGACACCAAAAGTACCTACAATTGGTGGGAGCCACTCAAGTCAAGTCGAAGGTAAAAGTATTATTTCATGGTGGACAGGGAATCGGCCAAGTTTCGGATATCAAACGTCACCTTAGTGACATGTCCAACATTGCCTCCTTTGTGTCAACACTACTTGTATAAACCCGACCCGACCTCTTACTTCCTCACTTCCTACAACCATCAACTCTCAGCCATTTCCATCATACGATCATCCAAGATGGCACGTCCGGCTCAAATCAAACATCCAGCAGTAACATCTACTGAGCTGCCTACCTTACACTCACCTCCGTCTCTCTCACGGTCAATCACTTCATATTCCTTGCCCTGCAAGAAAGATTCTCTACAGTCCAGTACTGGCGAGAGCATCAATGACCAAGTCCGCGACTACCACCACCAAGTCAAAGCAACTCTTACAAACATCCTCAACGACGACCGAGTAAAGCACAACCCCGACGGAACCCGATGCGTCCAGAAGATCCTCCTGGAGAATGAACAAGTCATGAGAAAACAACGGCGACATTCACTCAGCACATGTACCGCCAAGCGAACAATGCTCTTTTGAATCTGTACTAGCATAGCATACAAGAAACCAACCTTTTATCTTTCTTTTACCACCAGGGCAAATTTTATTAGTAGAAATTATTCCTCAGTCTCCGCAACAGCCCTCTCAATATCTCCAATCTTATGCTTCCCCAAGCGGAGCTTCTTCCTCAAATTCAACATCCTCACACGGTATGCTCGCTTCCGTCTCCGGGGAGGATAATTCACCGGACTCTCGCCACCAGTGAAAATAGCCATATCGTAGATAAAAGCGCCAAACAGCGCGCCACTGATATCTGCCATCCACGGACCCCAGACCCACCAGGCATGGGATTCGCGGAAGAGATGTCCGCCCCAGCCGGCCATTACAGCAACGAGTCGAGGGCCGAAATCGCGTGCGCAATTAAAGCAACTGATAAACGTCAGCTGAATCCTTTTTTTCATGAAACTATACATACCCTCCAGTATTATATCCCAAAGCAAGGATAATCACCGAAATCAGAATCCCAAGAATAAACGCCTGCATGCCCGCTCCCGGAGGCGCATTCGAGTCATCCCCCAGAGCGAGGATCGCACCGAAGAGAATCGCGCTACCGAGGAACTCGGTGAAGAACGCTGTTGCTGGATTCACGAATGGTTTGGGCTTGGTTATTAGTGCCTGCGCTGCGACGCTGGCGTTCTGAGGAACCTTCGCTACGGCCGCGACTTCCACGATGGCATCGTGGTAGATTGCATATGCGATTCCGCCGGCGGTGATAGCGCCGAGGAGCTGTGCGGCTATGTATATTATGCATCGTCGTGCGGGGAATCCTCGCCACACGGAGAGTGAGATTGAAATGGCTGGGTTCAAATGTCCTCCGGAGATACCACCGGTGGTATAGATGGCGACCATGAAGCCGAAGCCCCAGGCGGCGCTCTGGGCAGGGTATGAACCTGCCTGCCCTGACGAAGTGAAATTTGATAGCGTGGCACAGAGGCCGATGGTCATTGCGACGGTTGTCTGTTGGATTCGTTAGTTCGCTATCCCGGTTACATTCTCTAATGGGCTTATGACTTACACCGAGCCATTCAGCCAACGGCTCCCGAAACTTATGACGAATCTTCGACCATGTATTGAAAAAGCCATCTTCTTTTGGATCATTGACCCTCTTTACGCGAGCCTCTGCGGAACGCTGTTTCTTGGCTTCTGGGGATTCATTCGGATCTCCGTTTTGCCTGGCTTCTTTATCCTCTTTTCTATCTTCGGGCAATGCACCGTGTCGCATGCCGGGTCTCATGATATGAGGCAATGGCTGTGCCAAACTCCATGTTGGCGAGTCATCGGGTTGTCCGTATTGTGGGTTGTATGCCTGGTACTCATTATCCAGAAAGGGCGCATTGTTGGTATTGTTCGGGTTTTCGGCGCCGGACCCTGCTAGACTGAAGACTGGGTTTGAGCCCAGGCCTTCACATTTACTGCCTTCTTCTCGAGTGCCATCTGGTGCTTCGTATTCGGGGGTTTGGACAGTGTCTGTTTGTTGTTAATATTGCATTCTTACTGGTGGTTGATAGTACTGGTGGTCGATAGTAAGTATACCTTTAACTCCGCCGTTTTGGCCATTGTCCCTCGAGGACATGATATCTGCAAAGAAAATAGATAGAGAGCTTCGATCGAAAAAACGATATCTAATATGCGCATCGAAATTTTAAATGCAACGGTCGCAAGCTGTCAAAGCTTGTCGTCAATCTTGGAAGTGAAGCTCCACTCTTTCGTCACCGTTAGAAGCCTGTTGTGGGAACAGGGAACAATCCCAGAGAATTGATAACTTCTTCTGAGTCAATTGAGATTGAGAAGCCCTCATTGGCGGCAGTGAAGCCGATCTTGCCTAAGACTGGGCCAAGACTCACAGCGGTAGATCTTCATGTATAGAACGTGGTGATCGGCATCATGGCTTTCAGAAAGGGACTCATCCCCATAGCTGGAGGGTAGAGAGCGTGGTTATGCTAACTAATCCAGATTTTTCTCGTTGCTTTGGGCAATTGCAATCTCCTTTCTCCGAAAACCTGATTATCAGCGAGCTTGGTTACATTTAAAACTCGGCGTCGTAAAACTTTGGCTGGAGTGATATATCAAGCCTCAGTTATAGAACGGCAGTCACTACACCCATCTCTGTTTCTCTTGGATTCTCCTAGGGAAAGTGACGAAGAGAATGATATCTTAATATTTCTCATTGATCGTATCTTCATGCTAAATACGCAAAACAGGGTATAGACGAACTCACGATGCTAATATCCACAAATCCTCGCCATGCAATCAAATCATTGCGCGCTCTTCCACCCATATCTATGAAGGGAACCAGTCAGTAAATGCAATTTCGACGCAAATATAACGACAGATAGTAAAGAAACCGTTTTAACTCACCTCGATCTTCCCCATCTCACTTCCCTCCCGTCGCGCGACTTCCTTCGCCGAACTAATCAGCAAATCCAGATCCTCCTGGTCAACCATGGTAATCATATCCCCATCATCTTGCACCTTCAACTTGAGAGAATGATTAAAGCCGAATTTCTCACGAATGCGATTTTCGAATTCCGCGAACTCAATCGTCGGCCCAATCATGATATACCGGGTATCATCCGGGGCATGTACTTTTGTTCGGAATTTCTGAATCTCGGGTCTTCGCGGGTTCACGTTACGCGAATACCGCGCCGGAGAGCGTGTGCGCCGTTGCTGGCTTTTACTAGGACCGGCTGAAGCGCCGACAATCTCGAAGCCCCCGTCGTTGAGGGCTGTTGCATCGCATGGATCGCTGCCATATTCTTCCTCTTCGTCGATGTATTGCGGTGGTTGGTGGCGGGAACCTCGTCCCCAGCCTGCTTGCGCTAGATTGCGCTGACTGGAGTAGGGATCGTATGTGTCTGGGGATCCGTAGTCGGGTTCCAGGGGGAAGCTCTTGGTGTTCGTGTCGCTGAGGTTTCTGCGGTGGCTGGGTTGTTCGCGAGCCCAGCCGCTTCGACTGGGTTCTTGGGCAAATCCTCGCATGTTGCTTTGTCGCGTTGGCCCGCGTGGCTCTGATGCTGTCCGGGTGGTACCTATCCGTGGTTTCTCGGCAGCTGCTGGTTCTTGGGTGTTAGATCTGCGGTCTAAGCTGGCACCTGCACGGTCCAAGTCCAACCGTGGCGGCCGTGATGTTCGGAGAGATGATGATCGCTGATGCCCGGGGGCTGACTGACTTCCCGATGCGGACGCTGTGCTGACAGATCGATCATCTGGTGGTGGAGTTGGCGGGAATACGTTGCGATTCAGGGGTGGTTCGGACTGTTGGCGCGCACGGCTGGTGAGACTTTGGCGTACCAAATGGGATGCGGCAAATGGAACTCCTTCCCGGCCTTTAAAGGCGTCTTTGTCGATATTCAGTGGGTTCCATTGGTGATCTGATGACTGATTGCGATCTGATGCTGCTACCAGTCGTGCCTTGCCTAGGTAATCCTTTGTCTTGAGATTCTTGACTTTGGCTGCATTTGGTCGATACAGAACTCCCACGGGGATTGAAAACACTGTATATCCCTACATTTAGGTTAGCCCGTGTGCACGCAGAGGAAATGAGGCCGCTTACATCTGCATTTTCGCGGATAGCATCGTCAATCACATCGTGGTCCGGAGTAACCTTTTCCTTGGCAGCATACTCGAGGTCCTGGATGCCTGGGTTCATTTGCCGAAGGTAGATATAGCAGAGACCTCGATTAAACAAAACTTCGCATGAAAATAGACGGAACAGAAGACCCAATTGTTCATAGTCAATTGAAGTGTTCCCTCGCAGATACAGCAAAGTATCATTGAAGTTGGCTAATGCCTCTTCGAAGTCTCCCAGCAAGAAGTTAGATACACCTTGCTGGAAATATGCGATTGCCAAATACTGGTCTAGACTGACAGCACGTTGATAGCATTCTACCTGCATCAAGAAGGTTAGTAAGCTGTGAAGAAGAACGCTTTTCGCCAGCCCACTTACTGCTTTGTGATGCTCGCCCAGCGTTGCGTAGATCACACCGCAATTGAACAATATCTTTGATGTGTCGGCAATTTGGCCGAAGCAGCGCAGTGCTTCTTCAAACTCTTGATTGTCATAGGCGTCGAGGGCCTGCACCCATGTTTCAATTTCCTTTGTACCCTCCGCGTCAGCATGCTTGCCGTTCCATGTCAGCACCATATACCCTTACCTGTTTGAGCGACATCTTTCCGAGTCCAATCTCCAGCTAATCGCCCAGTCCTGTCGTGCCTAGATAATATAGACTGGGGAACGGGTTTGCACTCAAGCACTGCTTCCCATCCAACTCTCTAGGGCACGAGAATGGCTAAACCGTGGATACCCGCCAGTTTGTGAGGTCGCAACAGCTCACACCCCGGGAGAATACCAGTATTATAATCGTCGGCGCCAATGACCCGGGACTCAGTCGGTGTGACGAGAAAAACTTACGCTCGATGAAGGGGCGGCCAAGCGCAATATGATCGTATAGGGAGGAACGAGCTGCGGGGATAGGGCCGGGTTGGTGGCGGGATTCAGGAATAATCCCGTGCGATGTCTAATAGTGGGCCACGCGAGATTAGGAAGCCGTGAAGCCTATAGTTGAAATGTATTTATAGAATAATCGCTCAAAATAACCAGTGATATTGGCGTCAAAACAGGATTGACATCTGCGCTTTGGGTATCCGTGTGGCAGAGATGTGGTGAGGGGGTCGACCCAACAATTCGGACCCCATGAGGCAAAGGATTGTACTCTGGGATAGGGGAAGTCGAGGACAAAGAAAAAGAAAAGAAAAAGGCTGATGGGAGAGAGGGAAAAAAAATAAAATGATAAAAATAAAAGCAACGAAGACCCCAAATCTAAGAGACCTGCAGAGGGGCTGCACCGAGGGGCAGGGGAAGACGAGCTACTGGAAAGGCTAGTTAGACCGACAGAAAAGCGCCGAGAGGAGTGATGGGACAAAAATAACCCGCTCTACTGCAGCAATTATGCAGGTTGCGATCAATAGGATCGCGTAGATGGGTTTTCACTGTGCCGCCGAGCCTGTGAGTGGGCAGATTTACGACCTGGCACATATCATGATCGGTGACACGCCATGAAATTTGCTCCTCGGCTTATATTCCAGAGCATTAACTCTGGAGTCCGCTGGAATTGGATCATCACACGGACTTAGGACCCCGGTGCGGTGCGGGGGGAGATTGGACTCTGAGAATTTTAATCTGGTCTATCGCGTGGGAAGATGATGGTCCATTGGTGCGAAGCCCCCGGTCACCCTCCGCTCTTCCCCGCCACGGCGCTTGCAGTGCTTTATTTAGAGTTGAACAAGGTCCGTGGTATCGATTTCCAACATCTGGCTTCTGGTCCCTGGCCAGAACTCGAGATAGTGAGTTGATAGCCCTGTTGACGGTTGGAGATCACCGGGGCTATTTCCACATGGCCATACATACCCCTCAAGGCCTTTCCCATTTCGGGTTAGTGCTCACCACGCTCATCCCAAGTAAAATGAAGCGGCTTTACAGAAGAAAAGTGAATCCCGACAGGCCATCACCCCGTCTGATCAGATAACTTAATCCTAGGAGTTGAGTCCATTCCGATTCGACACATGGCAAACTAGTCCGTACCTCGTTATGAAATGACGTATCAAGGATAGTGCCCAGACCAGTTCCTATCGACTTGCCTCTTTTGTATCGCACATTTCCAGATGAGAGCCCATGGTCCCAATATTCCATTCATCTAGCATGCAACCAAATCAAAGCCTGACCACAATACCCAACCAGGGAGGAAATGCAATATCAATTGGAAACATGATATTCTCACCTGGCCCGCAACGTTCTATTTAACACTGGCCGTTGACTCTCCGTGGTTCATTGATACGGCCCGACCCGCAGAATCCAGACCTCGGAACTGTCATCCAGCATTACAACCTGGAAGCATCGATCAGAGGGGAACATCTAACCTTTGATCAGAGCCTCGCCAGTACTACCGACCCAAAGAAGCGATGATGCAATCTTCATACCTCTAGCCAGTTTGAGCATGACTTATATTGTATATCTGGAAGCACCTCGGTAGCTGGTATGATGTGTCATTGGTCATTGACGGTCACAGGCTTTAAAATATGCGTGGATGTATGGAGTAATTGGCGCTCGAATGCCGAATAGAGAGTGCACCGTAGGCTAACGTTCGCAATTACCTTTCGTTTGTAGGCTTATGGATAATGATGGAGGAATTCCAGTTATTGCATTGTGGGTCTTTCCAGATCTTTGTACGAAGCACCCTTTGCCGAAACTCCCTATCTCCGAAATCGGATCACGGAGATCAGATAGCTTGCAAAGAAAGTCGCACGAATAATAGGGGATACTGGTGTATCAAAGTGGTCAGGATCCCATGGGCATCTATATTTAGCTACTAGGGCCGCCAGTCTAGAATTCGATACCTCGAGAGTAGCCTTTGTGGGCATCCATTGATATAGATTTCAATGGTGTAATCAACTAGGTTAGTGTTGACAGGTGGGACATATTCCTTGAATCTTCCATAAGTACCAAGGCAATCACCGGGATTTCATTTAGAGAAAAACTCTACATGTAGCAGAGTCCAATTAAGGTCGAAGAGCCAGCCATAAACAGGCTGGGTTTGATTTTTTAACGCTGAAGATGAATATATAGATCGAGAAATTTAAGGTATACTAAAGCTTGGAGGTCATCTTGTGGCCCTTTTGGAGGAGGTCAGCGGCATCGTTGACGAGCTCATCAACGATAGCCTTGGCAGACTTCTTCTCGTTAACGACAGCGGCAACCTTACCCATCAGGAAGGGACGGGCGTTATCCAAAGCGTCATCATCAACATCATCAGGCAAGTTCTCCATATCGTGCTCAACAGGGATGATACCCTTGGCGGTAAGCTGCTTGATCTCCTCGCTGCGGTTCTCCTCCCAGTTGATAATGTAGGGGTTCTTGCGAACGCGGAGAGGACGGCCCTGTATCGCTTGTTAGCAATCTGATGATCTCAATACAAACATATTCAGGAGATACATACAGTGAAGATAATGGTACGGATGTTGTCCTCAAAGCCAGAGGTGCGGACAGCCTCCTGGTGAGCCTTGGGAGCACCGGCCTCATCAGACAGGATGAAGCGAGTACCGATCCAGACGGCAGAGGCGCCGAGCATCAGGGCAGCGGCGACCGAGTTACCGTTGAAGAGACCGCCAGCAGCGATGACCTGCACGGGCTGGCCGGTCAGGGGGCTCTTCTTGCCCTCGACCAACTTGGCAACGGTGGGAATGAGGACGGTAGTGGGGACATCACCAGTGTGACCGCCACCCTCACCACCCTGGGCGCAAATGATATCAACACCGACGTCAAGGGCCTTCTGGACGTGCTTGGGGTGACCAATCATGTTCATGCAGAGGATGCCAGCACCGTGAAGCTTTTCGACAACGGCCTTGGGGGGGACACCCACGGCAGAGACGAATAGGCTGGCCTTCTCCTGGATGATGATGTCAACAAGCTCACCGAGCTTGCCCTTGGTGTAATCGTAGCTGTTGGCCGAAACAAAGCGCGATTAGCCGATTGATCATAATTAAAATACACCGACGCGATCGCGGGTACTTACTTGGTCTTGCGGGCACTGCCACCAACCTGGGGAAGGAGGAGATCGACACCGAAGGGAGCGTTCTTGTCGTTCAAGTAGCTCTTGAGTTCGGCGACTTGTTCACGTAGCATCTCGGGGGTGTAACCAACACCACCGATAACACCGAGACCACCAGCGTTGGTGACCGCGGCAGCCAACTTGGGACCCGCAGCCACGTTCATGCCTGCCAGCAGGACGGGGTGGTTGATCTTAAGCAGATCGGTGATGGGGGTACGGATTTTCTCTGTGTTGCGACCATGGTTAGCAACATTGAACTTCACCTCCGCAATTGAGGCCATGTGGAGCCATCAGTTACCAGAGGATATCACATGCGAATTATTAAACAGGGGCAATGTAGGGGTATCACTTACGAGGAGAAGCCATTTTGAAATGATGTCAAGAGAGTGAAGATGGAGAAGAAAAGCTGGGGAAGAGGAGGTTGAGGCCAGCCTATAAAGAAAGGAAAGCCTCGGTGGTTCACAGACTCACAATCAGCCTCGGCCCAGACTGCCCAGGTGTTCCAAGGGTTGACCGAAGGAGTCACGTTACCCCAGCACAACTGCCGTTGCGGGGTTCCAGGCGTCTTCTTGGCACGGTCTCAGGCACATGCACATGTGGCATGTTGTGAGATTACAGAGGCCTTTTGTGCTTCTCATTTCATAAGTCTTTGTCTGTTTGCCTGGTTTGCAGTATCGCGATGCTCTTTATATACCAAGTGTAACATCATTTGACACACAGGGCCCGCCGCCCTTCACATTCAACTGGGATCAAGCCTATGGGCATAGCTTGAGGTAACTACGCATTTCTTCGTCATCTTGAAATCAGATTTCTGCATTCCAGATATCAAGTTTATCCCTTACCATCCTGGATCTTTCTTGACACTTGATAATTAGTTCATCAGAGTTATGACTTCAAGCGCTATCGATATCTATTATGTGGGGGAGATGGCAGCGGAGATTGCAACTGGGGCGAACGCACAGAAATTGCCCGATAGGAGAGGAAAACCGAAATGCACGGTGTACCCAGCGACCCACCTAGACCGATGGAAGAGATCGTGGAGTGGGCCCGCCAGGTGCTTAACTATATCGAGAACGGTCCTGAGGATCGATGTCACCAGATATAATTGTGCTATCCGCTACGACGCGCTCAATGCCCCACGGGGTAACAGCCAGGAGATAGCTAAAGTGCTCGAGGCGCTGACCAAGATCAACGTCGACACTGAACGTCGGAATCGGCGAATTAACACGATCGAAAACATAATGAGCGCCTCATTGATGACTCTTTCCTCTTTCCACTTTAGTGGCAGACTCCGCGGCAGCGTGGCACGACTTTCGTGCCAGTGACTGGCACCGCGGTTTGGTCAGGTAGGCGGCACCGATGACCCATAGCAAGGGCACATTGTCTCCCGGGGTGATGAAATCGAGCTCCGTGTGGACCGAGAGGTGATAGTGAAGGTAGGGCCAAATTGCGCATAAATCTGGCGACTTTCATTGAAGCAGATTATGGAGCGTGTGGAACGACAAAGAGCGATAATTACTAGACGAAAGGGGTCTCCGGCTCTAGCTAAGGGGGCAGCCGTTGCAGCACTATGATCTCATAGTAGTGTATGATCCAGTCCTGTGGAACGAAATTAGGGCACTTCAGGAGACATCCTTCCAGGCGGGAAGTGGAGGGCTGATTTTCATAGTTGGATAGAGCACCACACCTGATATTCTGTTTCCCCATACCCTCCATCAACCCTTTTTCTCCGCCGAGCTGTCTTCAATATCTCATAGTTGGGTCTTCATAGATACAACTGTCTCTGAATTGTTAGATATTTCCCAATGAAATGGTATTCAAGACCATATATAAAGACCATTACAGGCTTGGCTGTCCACAACACAACCAGAGGATGCTAGCACCCGCCTATCCAATACCCGCGGCAGTCCCCAGTGCTCGCCGTTGTTGCCAATTCTCCTCCTTTCCAGAAGACTCAAGAGCACCTACTCATGGATACTCTACGCCGGTTCGGCTCCACGGCTGACGTACAGTCCAGCCGGGCCTTGGACTCGCCTGAGCAGAATATTTTGGATCCAGATACGCTGGCAATACATCTCACTATTCTACATTGGAGATGTAGGCAATCACAAGATAGGCACACTCTGCTGATTATGAAAAACATCAGTAGGATCCACCGCCTTCTTGATGCGCTTGAGGCGTTCGAGATTCTGTCCGTAGTACGCAGGCAGGGCTTCGTCGTTGGACTCCCTTGGATCCACATTCCCCGCATATTGGCCGTAATATGCATCGGGGTTCCCACTGGTCAACAGCTGGCTCAGCCCATTCAAAAATTGGATCGTCGTGTCCGTCAAATTACCGCTAGTGCGGGCAAAGGAGAACACGAAATAAAGCACGTCACGGTGAGGATAGGCCGCATCCGATGGCGAGAAATCTCCCACCGCGCCACCGAGGCCATTGAAGTTCACGGCATACAAATCAGTTCCGTTCTTCGTGTTGGCCAGGTAATTGAGAACGGAATGAATGGTTGATTGGGGGATGAGAGTCTGCTCGGTGAAAACAAGAGATTTGGCGTAAAAGTGTGATGGAGAAGCGATGCCGGCGGCGCTGACTGCCGCGTCTAAGGACTTGGACACCTCGAGGAAGCTTGTGTAGGCCTTGGCTTCTGTGACCTGTGGAGGCGGTGCAAAGTGGCTGGTGAGGTTGAGCGCCGCAAAGTCCGCCTCGCTGCCGAAGTATACACCTGACAGCACCATGCTGCTCGCGGTGACGGTCAATCCATAAGACATTTCACGTGGCAGAGACCCGATAGCGAGCAGTTGCTGCCAGCTCTTGAATATTTCCACTTGGGACTCCACATTCTGTTTCGTCCAGACATACGTATATCTGATAGTAGAAGGAGGTACTGGCACAGTACGAATGGCGAAGTCGGTCACGATGCCGATGCTTGAGCCGGCGCCGCGGACGGCGAAAAATAGATCCTCGTTTTCCGATTTGGATGCCCGAACAATAGATGAGTTGGCGAGGACCACTTCTACCTCTTCCACGAAATCAACGAGCAGCCCCAGCTGGCGCGACGCAGCCCCTGCACCTCCAACTGTGGCATGGCCGCCCAAACCGACATCGAAAGTCTCCCCATGCGGGGCTTGTCGTCCTCCATTGTTGTACATCAGCTCTGTCACTTGGCCAAGATGGTTCCCAGGTCCAAAATTGGCAGTCCAGGTAGTGTCATCCATGCTGAAATGCTGAAGGTTCTCCAAGTTCACGGAAAGCTGGCCAGTCGTGGATCCGTAATTTCCATAATTATGGCCTCCACTCTTTGCTTGAACCTTTAACCCTGCATCCACAGCACATCTAACGGCTGCTGCTACCTGTGCTGCATTTTGGGGGAAGACAATCGCTGCAGGTGTCGTGAGAAGATCGAGATTATACGGAGCGACCAGAGCGGAATAGTTGACCTGACTCGGGAAGGCCACACCACTCGAGTTTCCCCCAACCGATGCCAGGAGACATGTTGCAAAGGCGCCGGCAAGCATCATTATCCAGGGATATTGGTAATTCGTGGGTAACCTTGTCCGTTTGATGCACGCGTTGACCTTTTACATGCTGCTTCGTTTCTGCCCCCAAACAACACAAAATTATAACTCCGGACTCCGAACTCTCAGAAAATGACGAAAACTCCGAAGATGAGAGGCGCTAGTCTACCATGACTAGGAGGAACTCCGGTGAGGGCGGTTTCCATTTGCCAACTGCAGTCAGCCATGTCTTACCCCTTTTTGCTTAAGAACAAGAAGTATTCGTACGTTTGGCATTTGTTTGCCGAATCAATTCTTCTCAGCGAGACACTTGCCACCAAACACCTTGAATGGCAAGTGTTAAGCCAGGAGCTACCCGGGTCGCGAGTACATAGTAGTAGAGGTATTGATTAACGTCCGGCGACACGGGCGTAGCCCGCGTCCCTGAGACCTGCTATGAGATATTGGGACGTGCTAAGCTATGGAGTCATGTACAGAAGTGCAGCCATAGAGAGCAGCTCATCCATGATGACCCATCCTTGAGCCCAGGTCACGATATTTCCGCGGAAGTGAAAGTGTGGCCCCAAGGAAGCTTTTGATACGCCCTCGACCCACTAAGCGCTGAAGAGCGCCCAAAACTTAACATTCCACAAGGCAATTAGAGAGAGGATCTTATTTGATGTGAGTAATGCAGAGGCGGTTACGCTACCACTTGTTTGACAGCTCAAACGAGTGATGAAACTTGGCACCGCTTTCGCAAGGCAGCCTTTGTCCACGAATACAACATGAGTACCAGTAGCAGGGGGCTTTACCTACACTAATGTGTATGACCGCAATAAAAGAAGCCTTTTAGTCCAGCTGGGCCCGAGCGTGGTATTCAAACGACTCACACCAGGCGAAAGGGGCGAGCGAGCAGAATTGGCAATTGGCGTAAACGGGCTTACGTCGATCGATGCGTTCGGGAAGTCAATCAGAACAGCTTTGCGCTCGTCAGATCGCCCCGATAGTGGCCTTGGCTTTTTCTGATTCGTCAAGACTGCAACTGTGTGGTGCCTACACCGGCGACGCTTTGCAAGAATGCGGACCCCACGCGGGCTCTCGGAGACATAAGTCGTTGCCTCGCTACTGCAACGCCCGGATTCGCCGAGGAATGCTTGTGAATCCTGAATGAATCCTTCTGCTGACTTGCAGCCAGACCAAAATCTTACGGGCGGGAGTCCTGCATAAAGCCCGTCAATCACACAACCCACATGTCTCAGATTGCTCAGTGCTGCTGTCCCCACTGGCCACAGCTATCGAACCGGATCCTGCCCAGGCTCTACCAGGCTTTTGCAAGACTACACATGATGTGGGGCTTTACATCTCTGTCCACGCGTCGGCAGGCAGGAACAACCTCAATGTTCTCGCCATTGCTTCGCAAAAGGACGAGAGAAAATGGTGCAACAAGGAAGTGCCTTGGCGCCACTCATGTGAGAAAACTAGTGTGCTGAGGAATATGAAGCGAAGTTGCCACGATGTCGCCATGGACAGATTAGAAGACGCCCAGGGGAATGAGGCGCTCAGTCGAATCTTGATGAGCTCCGCTGTGGACCCTATTGCCCACGGACATCTAACACGGAGGCCTCGTGTAGGCATCTACAATCATGCATCTCTTGTCTCCGAACCAAAAGTCCCCGTACCCTGCCAGCCAAGGCCAAGTGATGCACATGGGATTACCCGCATGAGCTAGTAATAAATCTCTTATCTGACGAGGACAATAATGAATTCAATCCAGTATTGGTGATGAACTGATCGTTCAACCCATCATAGTACTGGTATTACGATGGAACTAAGCTTAAAAAGGTCAATGGCAGCATTGAGTTTGGTGGCTGTTCTCGCCCGTGAGAGGGTACGGAGTACGGAGTATAGCGCGTCAATTGCGTCTTTGGCAGGATTTTGCTCTATAACTTGCTGTGCTCCGTGTCCTTTTCCGAATTCTGCACACTTTGGTAAGCACGAGGAAATCACAGCTTTTGCCAGGTTGGCCCCATGTCTAATTCGGCCCTCACGCACGATTGTTATATATTCGGCCTTAATCTATTCATCTGCACATCCCGCAGGAAAGGCTTAGTTGCTTAATGCGGTCAGACCCATATCAAATTTCTCAGCCTGGACACACCATGTCGAGACAACAGTCGGGACTGGCATGTGAGGAATGCCGCAGACGAAAGGCACGCTGTGATCGAATGCGCCCACAGTGCGGTATCTGCGTCGAGACTGGCAGAACATGCATTGTGGTGAGCAAGAGATCTCCAAGGGGACCGAAAAAAGGTCAATTGAAGGACTTGTGGTCCAGAGTGAGCAAGTCAGACCTATTTTCGGGTTTGTATGATGCTTACTGACTGAGAGAATCCTTGTAGCAATGCTAGAGCAACGATTGACCGACAACGGCGTCTCTGAGGTCGACCTCTCACTGGAGTCCAATGAAGCAAACCCAGAGCGAGACACGTCGGAAGAGTTGGGGTTGTACGAAGACATCGTGATGGGTATGAATACGGAAACGTTACAAATGTCGGATATCACTCCCAGTGAAATACCTCCAGGGTTAGATTGGCCATTTGGATTGAATGATGGCGGTGGTAAGGAGTGGCCGGGGTTGGGGGATGTAGGCGTGGTGCCCAATATGAGCAACATGACACTCCCAATAACGGCCATCTCGACATCCCACACTGCAATGTCGATATCTGGATGTGATGGAGAGCTAGAGATGTCCGATCTCACGCAAGCGGATCTGTGAGTCCCACAACCACTATCAGGAAAGCCAATGTCTGACATCGGGTTTGAACAATAGGGATCTTCTATACTTCGAACGAGTTCATTCAATCGCTCCCATGATCCATAAACAACGCTATTTTGCATGGGCTAGCGACCCCAGCGTCTCACCTGCCCGTTGCTGCCTACGCTCTGCAATGAGAACCGTCGCTGCTGCAATGTCATCTCAGTTTTGCATGTTCACAGATGCCCTTTACGCCAGAACTCGCCGCCTACTCGAGGCACCAAGCGTCGGTGATACCGGCTTGCCTTGGATGACTCGAACCAGAGACCCCCATGGCCTAGTCGAGCACGAGCGCATCCAAGCCTGGCTTTTGCTCTCCTATTGCGAGTTTCTACGAAAGCCAGAGCAACAGGCCCATCTCACAGCCGAACGCACTTTGCGGCTTCTGCAGCTGTCGCGCCTAGCTGATCTGGATGTTCACGATGGCAATGGCTCAGCCATTGGGCACTCAACTTCTTGTTCCCCAAAGTTCTCGCCTGTTCCACAATTATTAGCAGATGAGGCCTGGGTAGAGACCGAAGAAAAGCGACGAACACTTTGGGCGGCATTTGTACTCGACCGGTTAGCTAGCATGCTGAACGACCGCCCGGTAATGCTACACGAAGAGATAGTGTGTGTATCCGGCCATAGAATGGGAATTTTATGTGTTGACTTTTATTCTTAGATCTGCACTCGCCTGCCAATGCCAGAGGAAGATTTTCAAACTGGCCACCAGCCTACCCGCATGGGATTTCTGCTCGAGACCATGAGCAACGCCGAGGATTGCGCATCCCTACCTTCCTTTGCCAAATGTGTCATTCTGGCGAATCTTTTTGGACGATGCGTGGCACACCGCCGCCTAGCCCAGTCGGTTCCTCTCTGTGCCTCCGAGACAGAATCAAAAGACTTCTGGATGCGACACGAGTCACTCGCAGCAGTAGCGGCGGTGATAACACAGGCGAGACCGATATCCCCGGTGAACAATGTTGGCGTGTCTTCAACCCCAAAATGTGACCCTATGGATGCCTTCAATCGGATCCTGACGTGCAATGCATATATATCGCTCAGTGAAACGGCCGAAGAAAAGCCGCGGCGAACGATTGAGGACCAGATGCAAGCTTTGAAATATAAACAGCTTGCATATCAAGTCGCGCTGGACGCAGTTGCGCTTATTCAAAACGCACCTCGGATTGCTTTCTTAAAGGTAAGACCTGCCTCCCAACTGCGATGACTAGCTGGGACCGTCGAGCCTCAAAGCATCAAATTCTAATGTCTATTCGTGTTTGCTAATTGCCTGCAGAACCATCCCTTCCTTCCAAACGCAATATCGCTGCTTGTCAAATTTCTCAACGCCACAGCGCCCCATCCTACCAGCACGGACCAAATGGAATATGGCGGCGTTAACAGCTTACTTGTAGCTTTGGGATATCTCAGCGATGTCAATAATCTGGCACGGGAGGTTTTGTTAAAACTGAATGTCGATCTGGGAGCTGGTATCTTATCACTAAGGCCTGGCTGATTTAACGACTGCCCATACCTTATGGAGTAAGTTTTTGTATGATAACTGGGTCAATTCGTAACGCGTTGTAACACGCCAATATACTCGGCCCTGAAGCTATGAGACCCTTTCAACAGCGTTCTCTAGGATAGATCTTCAATCAATGCATTCAACTGGCTGCCTCGGTACTAGCACGGAAATCTCCGGCCTGAGATTACAGAGAAAACGAGATATAAAATGATCTCTGTAAGAATGTATGGAAGTCTCTAAAGATCACAGTGATATCTGGATTTAAACTGCTATTTATGCTTCGTCAGCTAGCTCATCATGTCCCTAAAAACCCCTTATTTTCATAGGTTTAGTTGTAGCAGCTTCTGTGATATACTTTCTAGGATCTGTGGACTTATCATCATACTGGAGTGCATACCGGAGTATAACAGAGCTCCTTGTCAAACTGGGGGTAGCGCTGACTAGCCCCAAAAGAGGGCCCCGGGGGGGGGAGGGGTTAGACTTCCGCACCGGCCCATAAAGCCCAGAACCCAACCTAACCTACCTAAACAGTGCAAACATAAAAGTTGAACCCCCTTTTAGGCTTTTCAAAATTACTCCTCGTTTTACCCCCGTTTCTAGGCCTTATCCTCAAGGTAATATTTTATTAATTTAAATTATTTCGAATCAAGTACTGGTTATCTCCCTATATCACGTCTTAAGAAGTGAAAAAACGCGTTATTTAGATAAGTTTTGAATTATATATGTTCACTTAGAAAATGGTAGCACCCCCACGTGAAACCTGAATATATATCTGATATCAAAATAGATTTTAATATTTTTTCGACCTCCACTAGTCGGATTCTCTTTAAAATTAGCATTGACACTTATATACCTATCAAAATTATAAATTATGAATTGAAACTCTATACAAGTAGTAGAAGGGATGGAAAAAGCGATTACAAGATGCTGGTTCAACCCCGTAAATGGGCTATGGGTTGGGCCGGGCCCCGAAGATTAGGCCCCTGGCCCACTACGGGTTGGGCCTTGGGCCTGGGGTGGGGGCCCATTTGTGGGCTTTGCGGAAGTCTAGCGCTGACTAGCCTCAATAGGGGGGAGGCTGACAATTCTCAACATAGTCGCGGTGAAGAGAGCTGTCTCCCATCTTTTCCTACTAATAGACGGCAGTTATCAAGGAGGTCCAAGGGAAAGAAAGAATTTTTCCATCATTTTGTAATAGCCGACTAAAAGCAAAGGCTATATGAGGCACATTTACGTTTGGTGTACACGATGCATGATATTAGCCCAGTATTCAAGGCAATCGCTTGTCGAGCATCTGCAGCACCTCCTCAATCATTCCATCGGTATCATAATCCCACAGCTTGTGACTTCGGTCGATGATATCCCGACCGACATCTTCAACACATGTCCCATACTCGCGATCCTTCCACGTAAAAAGCTCGGCAGTCCGTCTGCTACTCTGAACCAGCCACTGTGATCGCTCATAGCGCACCTCACTATATATAGCAAGCGCTTCTGAAATAACAATGTCGTCAAAGCTGGATCTATTCGCTAAAACGGCCAGAACCTCAGCCAGAACCAGCGCATCCTCTATCCCAGCACCAGCGCCACCGCCGTGATTCGGCGTAGAAGCATGTGCCGAGTCTCCCGCCAGGCACACACAGCTCCGAGCGTACGTCGGCACAGGGGCATCGAGCATATCAAATACAGCCCATTTATCGAGTTGCTCGGGGAGCAGAGCGATAAGAGCTCGAACAGTCGGGCCGAATTCGACATATGCGTTGGTTGCCTCTGCCAATGTGGCCGGAAGAACGTATCGTTTGCTGTCACTGTCAGCTTTGAATTCTGGCCATTCGCTCTTGTCCATGATGAATGCCTCAATGTGCATCGCATTGACCCCGACAAGGGGCACGCTCAGAACAAAGGCACCCGGCCCGGTATGCATGATCACGCTGGATGTCTTGTCCTGGCCTAGGGCAGCGACTGCCTTTTCCAAGGGCACCATTGCCCGGAATCCCAACTGGTGTGAGTACTGAGCTCGTGGACTGGATGGCCCAGATCCAAACAGGGAGCCGCGTACACGAGAGCGGATGCCATCACAACCGATGACTAAATGATGATCAGCATCGTCAAGGGAAGAAACCGCTGAGTGATTTGATGATTGACACACCAACGTCTGCCTCCACCTTCTCCCCATCTCGGAATATCAGAACAGCCCTCCCCGACTCGTCGTCCGTTTCCACGGACTCCAACCACTTTCCAAAGCGAACATGCTCCTGCGGGATATGTTGGACAATTTGGTCCACGAAGTCACATCGCCGACAGGCCTTGTAGCCTTCCTTCACATGAAGCTGGAAGAACAGGTCCTCGGAAGATGTTTGCGGGTCTTCGCCTCGTTCACGGAATCCGTCGACGAAACTTAAAGTCCCTCCCGAAGCATGCGTCGCCACATCGGTGAAGCTTTGTAGCACGCGGGGATCTAAGGCCTCCATAGCGCGCTCTGCGTTGGGAGTAAAGATAATGCCAACGCCAAGCTCTTCGAACTTCTCCGTGCGCTCGTAAATTGTGAAATTCACGTTGCGCTTCAGCAGCCCAACAGCCAGGGAGAGCCCGGTCGTACCACCGCCGACGATGGCTACTTCGAGTGATCTCTTGCCGGTCCGAGTCATAATGAATAGTCAATTAATGAAACGATGAAACTGAATTTTCTTGTTTCAAAACGCGGGCGGATTGATTTTGTAGTGTGCAGTAATCGAAGAGCCAACGAGCCAAATCTTGACTGCTCCTGCTATGGACTGTGGACATCCAACGGGCTCCATGTAACCCGATGTCTTCTTGGTTTACTCCACCATCATGTGCTATCGCGGAGTTGCTGTATTTCCAGCTGCATGCTCGTGGAGCTGTCAAAATCCCGAACGGAGTTTCGGACTATAGCTCGAATGAAGACGGGTCCTAGCGACGGACTTCGGAGTTTTCTTTTTGTCGTAGCTGCAGGATCTAGGCGCAGTACTCCGTAAGGGCTCGGAATGGCACAAGCTAGAACGCTTGAGATGTTACTAGCCTCGATGAATATTCCTCAATATCTATTAGAATCATTATGACGGGCCTCTGGTATCTTGGTCGACAGAGGAGACTCAATAGCGAATTGGGCTCTCAGTCGTAGGCCGGGTTGAAGACGATATTTGTTGTTGGATATTCATGTAAAATGTACACTGGGCAATCAAATGTATTCATAAGCACATGGCTAGTGAGATAACTTCCTTCTAATCGCTTAGTCGTTACAGCGACATCACCAGTCACTGTGCAAGGTGAGAGGGAACAAGAGTATCGTGGGATAAATTGGATTTGAAATGGGATGTGCAGTATGTATCACCAGTAGGATCGAATTATAATATGCAATTTGACAACATAGCTAGTATACTCATAAAGAAAAGATGAAAATTCCAGAAGCGTATATCGACAAGCTGCGACAGAAAGAGATGCATAACAAAACAAAAGCAAAATTAACGTAAAAATCCAGTCTCCTTCCAAAATTGGAAATATTTCCTCACCACCTCATCGCGAATCGGCTGCGTGGCTCTTAGGGTCGCTGAATGTTCCAAAGTATTATCTGTAGCCATAGTAACACCCCCACAAGACATGTGCTCGAACTTGTGTTCGAAAAAGTCGATCGCTTTGGCCGCCGGGTTGTCCCATGGATTCTCACCAGGATATGCCTGCACCCGCCTGAGCCACTCATCAAGGGGGACCACGTTTTTCTGCGGGATGCCGAGCTCCTCGGCGAGTACGGGTACCAGCTCCTCCCATTGCTTAAGGACTGGGTTGTCGACGTGATAGATGGGGTGGCAGTCTGGTGCATCGCGAAGGAGTATATCCGAGAGAGTTGCACAAGCCTGTTCGAGAGGCAACCAGGACAAGACGCCACTCACAGCTGGAAGGGAGCGCAAGGTTTGGGCCGATTTAAACAGGAACCCAAGCACTTCCATGTGGTTCCAGTAGCCGGTTTTCATAGACCCAGACAACTGGCCCAATCGCACTGTCATTGCGCGGAACCGATCTGGATGTTTACCCAATGTCTCGAGGAGAATCCGTTCACAGATAACTTTGGCTCCGCCATATCCGTTCGGAAGCGCACTGTCGATGTCTAGCTGTTTCTCAGGCACCTGGATCTCGCCCCGGTGGGTTGATGGATACTTGCCGACCGCGGAGAGAGACGAGATGAACTGAAAAGTGAACCTGAAGTCGGTGGTCTTGCGGCGGGCCGAGACGCCAGCTGCCAGGTCGACAAGGCTGCGCATGATGGCGAATTGAGGCTCATTTTGTTTGAGAGAAAGCATACCATTGACAGGGAAGGCATTATGAATGATGTGCGTGACGTGGGCAAGCAGCTCTTCATATTGTTCCCTTTCAAGGCCCAGCTGTGGCTTCGATGAGTCGGTCTCGATCACCTTTAATTTGGTGAGTGCCGTGGCGTCTAGTGTGATGGACTTAGACTCAAGAGCCTCTATTTGACGGCGTAAAGGATCACGGGCGGCGGCATCTTTTGACCTTGCCTTGCCAGGCCGGTTCAGGCAGTAAACTCTGTCAATCGAGGGCAGACTAGCCAGGTGTGCGACAATGTGGCTGCCAAGGCTGCCGGTTGCGCCTGTGACCAGGACGCATTTGGCAGAGGTAATCGAGTTGAACTCCTCGAAGTACTCGGGCACGGAGAAGCCTCCTATGGCGCTCCTCAGGTACTCATCTGCGGCCTGCTTCGTGATTTTCAGCTGCTCATCAGAGAGTGTGTCGTGATCGTCAAGACGCGCTGGTAGATCTATCAGTGCGGGAGTCAAGCGGTCGATATCCTGCTCGATATCACCGGCCAGAGCGATGATGACCCTTTGAACTCGCACTTCAGGCAGCTTCCCATCGGTCCATTCGACATGTTTGTAGCCTGCACTGAGGAGATCCTTTTCCCAGCGCCGTTCATCGACTACAGCATGCGTCCGACCGTCATCGAACAGCCACCAGCCCTCCAAGGTGCCCCAGACGACATCCACCCAATGAAGCGTGCTGTTCATTTCGAGCAACATAAGGAATCCCTCCGGAAGGAGGAATTTCCGAATGCTCTGTGCTGATCCTTGTAATGAGTGGGTGGCATGTACGGCATTGCTGGCGATGACAATGTGTTGCGAGCCTACTAGTTGCGGGTCGGAAGGAGGCTGCTCGATGTCGTGAACAGCAAACTTCATGAAAGGGTACTGTTTGAACTTCTTTTTGGCTTGAGCCACCAGAGACGGCGAAAGATCGGTGAAAGTGTACTCGATAGGGATTCCAAGCTTCGCTAGCGCGGGAACAAGCACCTTTGTCGTTCCGCCAGTTCCAGCGCCCATCTCGAGGACCTTGAGGGGTTCCTGATTTTGAGAAGGGAGTCTCAGCTTCGACGTGAGACGGGAGAGAAACTCGGCCATCAACTCGAAATACAGCCTATTGAACGGCAATTCGCCATAAAACGCAGCGACGAGCTCGCGATTCTTGGAATCTCCGAAAATCAATTGGGGGCCATCGGCTTTGCCTGATAAAACGTCTGCCATCCGCGAACCGACATTATATGTCAGCTGATGGGAGGAGCCATCATCTGGGTGGTAACGCATCAAATCCTTCAGAATTGCCTCGGCGGTCTGCGTGGGAAGCGGAATGGCCGTGCGTGTGATGGTACCGTCGTCGATATCAATGATCCGTGCCTCTTCTAGCATCTTGTATAGATAATCATGGAATCGATGGTGACGAGAGACAAAGGGAACAGGCTGAAGCACTTCCCCGGGCTTTGCTGTCTCCAGGTCGCAGCCTAGCTGCTTAAATGCGTTGCTCGTAAGCACCAGACACAGTCTGGTCTGCTTTTGAGAAACGCCATTCAGGTAGCCAGCACACTTCCAGCGCTTGAGGAAGTCGTCGGTATTCACCTTTGTTTCGCGGAATGCCTTCAGAATGGTGGATGATGACAGTTGCAGACCTTTGGCAAGATCAAGCTGCTCTCCAGCTAGATCCACATAGTCTTCCATTGAACTTGGTGTAGATGGCATAGCTTCGTTGCTAGATGCCGGGGTCTTTTGTAGCGTGGTTTCCGATGTGTCAGAGACATCGTTACCATCCTCAAGACCAAGAGTCGACTGGAGGAAGCTCAAAATACCTGGAATGTCGAAAATATTCATGAGCTCGGATTGTTCCAATGTGCAATTGAAAGTCTTCTCAACTTCGCGCGCCATTTCCATTCCCATAAGAGAGTCGATCCCAATGTCTGCAAGTGAATCGGTGTCATTGATTTCATCCTCCTCGAGCCCTGAAATATCTGCAAGAACAGGAAGAAGCTTAACCCAGAGGCCAGCCTTGACGTTTCTCTTCGGCGTGTCAACACGAGTGAATGATTCAGTTCTGGACTCAGCAGAAAGAGCGGTCGTTCGATCCTGAGCTGGGCCGAGGTTTCTGGTAGCCTCAACGGTCTGGGCTTGTGAAACAGGCAAAGCACGACTAGTTGTCACTGGCACATGTGGTACTGAGGGAGTGGAATTGATGAATCCATGTCTGTATGCCTCGTCAGTATAACTCCTGTTAATCGATTTAATGGGTAGCGTGTGTACTCACCCCGATAATGGAGCATATCTGATTCCTATTATGACTTCCTCAAGGGATCCAGATGTAGATTCAAAGACGAAAATATCCGTTATGAAAGCATCTCCATCTGTGCGCTTATGTTGCGCCAGTACATGCCATTCCTTTAGTTGATCGTCATAAGGGGCATCGCTCAGACTCTTCAAAGTAGTCGGGGATTTCATCCACTGCTCAATTCCACAGATAACATAGACAGTGTCGGGCAGTGTTCGGCGAATCGGCGCCATGCAATTGGCCCATATGCTGCCGACTTGGGTGAAGGTCTCGCTGAGCGCGAAGTCCATCCGGGACTCACTGGACCGGCGCCGTATGATCCTACCAACCGACTCGTTAGGCCGCCCAACCAGCTTCTGTAGGCCCCGGAATCGTTCGCCATATTCAATAACTTGGGAGAGGAGCTTGTAGATGCTGCGTCCTTGAATGACTTCATCGGCATCATCGCTGCTTTCTAAAGCGCGGAGGCAACGATCGTGTGTCACGAGACGCTCCAACCGGCTAAATTCGAGTGAAGAGTGGGTGTCATCACCGGGCTGGAAATAGAGTTGTCCGATCATATGAACAACTTCGTCATTGCCATTGATTTTGCTGGTGAACTTGAAGTTCCATCCTTCGGGATCGCTGCCAAGACTATCAAAGTCAAGGAATATCTCCCTGGAGGGATCCACAAGCATGGGAGCTTGGTTGGAAATGTTGAAAATACGGGGATGCAAAGCTTCGCCCTCAGTCAGTTCCGGACGAATACTCGTAATGGCCTGAAGTGCAATCTCAATCTCGAAACTCGCCGGACACGCTTGGCCAGTGGTCACCATGGTATGCCCAGAAACAACATCCACGTATTGCTTGACCCCAGTATTGATCCGAAATCGACACTTGTCTCTGCTCTTGGCACTATAGCCAAGGAAGGTGAAGAGACCCGTCGGTGGAGCATCCGTCTCAACACCAATGTTGTGAGCTGAAGATGCTTCCAAAAGGATAGGTTTTGGGGGCACCTTAAATTCGAGCCAGTGCCTCTGCTTCTCGAATTGATATGGTGGGAGGATGATGGGTGCATATTCAGATGTTTGGGCATATGAGTGTGGCCAGAAGGTGACGCGTAACCCGGCTTTCCATAGGTTGATGGTGGCATCAGCAAGTTGCTGTATCCCCTGGGTGGTGCCAGTCACGTTCACTGCCTGGAATGTCGAGGATTTGGGTAAACTCAAGGCTCTGCTTACCATTGTCGTTATGGTAGAGCTGGAGCCAGCTTCCAGCCAGACAGCCTCCGGATGCTGCTTTGCGAGTCTTTGGACCGCGTGGTTGAAATAAACCGGCTGTCTCATGTGTTCGAAAACGTATGCAGCTGAGAGAGAACCGACTTGTTTCTCGTGGGTTGCTCGTTCGAGTGGAATCTTGGGCTGCCCAAAACTTAGCTTGTGGCCCAGTGCCTCCAGTTCTGGCTTCAAGTGCTCGACCAGTATTGAATGGAAGGCATTGGTCACATCCAACCTCTTATGTTTGACGGTGATCCCAAGCCTTGAAATTGTCTCCTGGACAGCATCGATGGCAACATTTGACCCAGCAATAGTGAAGCTCCTTGGGCCATTGAAGCAGGCAATAGTCGCAATGTCGTTCCCTTCATTCCCAGCAATGCGAAGGTTTGACGACGCAAGTAAGCTTTCAACGTCTTTTTGATCGCCGTCGACGGCGATCATCGATCCCTTCTCAGGGCCCCATGCCTGACTAATCACCTTCGACCTTCCGTGGATCATCTTCAAGGCATCCGTCAGAGTGAGAGCGCCTGACACACACAAAGCGGTAAGCTCTCCAAAGGAATGACCAACAAGGGCTGTAGGCTTAATGCCACAGTCGATCCAGCTCATGGCAGATGAATACTGCATGGAGAATAGCAGTGGCTGTAGCACGGACGGGTCTTGAATGGCTTCACGCTCGAAAATACCGGGGTAAATACTGCCTGCGCCAATGGCTTTGCAAACATTATCGCACCGATCAAGATGCAGTCGCAAAACAGTAGCTTTCTCAAACAATCCACGGTCCAGTCCAACAAACTTGGAGACCTGCCCGCCAAAACATAGGATGACTGGTCGCACAGAGGGTGTCTCGGCAGTCTCGGTAGAAAGCAGCTTATGTTCGAGCTCATCGATGGACTCGGCACTGAAAATGAGACTTCGGCCCAGCGACCAATTGGACTGCCGATTAATATTAAACGCCATATTTTCGATTCCGAGGCGGTCTCTGGAAAATGGGTGGTTCTTGATAAATTGGCACAGTCGTTTGGAATAAGCCCGGACAGCTTTGTCATCGAGACCGGAGATATAGACCGGACATTTGAAGGGGGATGTTGCAGAAGCCAACGCTTGGCTTTGCAATGAGCGACCTTCAGATCCCACAGCCGGGTTCGGCGCCTGTTTTATCACCATCGAGGCATTTGATCCGGCTGCACCGTAGTTGTTAATCAGTGCCACCTTCAAATCCTCATCCCAAGACATAGGCTCAGTTGTGATGTGCATATTGTCAGCGGATGTCGCTTTGATGGAAGGACTGATGGAGGTAAAGCTAGCCTGTGGTGGTATACGGCCCTCTTGCATCATCAAAAGCATCTTGATTAGCGCTACCACCCCAGATGCACCCTCAGTATGACCAATCAGACCCTTGACGGATCCTACCTGCAAAGGCCCCAGCCCAGCACGGGCAGAACCACCAAATATCTGGCGAATGCTGGCGTACTCAGCTGGGTCACCCACCGGAGTTCCTGTTCCATGAGCCTCAACAACCGAGATATCTTTGATATCTAATCCAGCTTTGTTGACAACCGTTTGGAACACATTTGTCAGCGATGACGGATTTGGAACAAAGATGGGAGTGTCATTCTGGTTCTGGTTGATAGCAGTAGCCGAGATGACACCGAGAACTTGATCACCGTCGGCGATAGCATGAGTGAGTTTCTTGAGGAAGACAGCACCGATCGCCTCACCGCGACAGTATCCGTCGGCCTTTGCGTCGAAAGGTTTGCACTGTCCTGTAGGACTGAGGAAAGACCCGGCAGCGAGATTTTGGAAGAACATTGGAGTACTATAGAAGTTGGTTCCGCCAGCTAACGCCGCCGAACAGTCACCGCTCAGGATCGCTCGACAGGCTAGGTCAATAGCCACGGTTGAGGCGGAGCAGGCCGTATCGATCATCATTCCCGGGCCAGTCCAACCAAAATAATGACTGACCTTGCCGGAGATATAGCTTCGTAGAGCACCCGTGGCCGAGAAGGCAGTAGGCGTGGTGTGGGAAATATTGTTCTCGTAGTCATTGGCAACACAGCCGATGTAGCAACCAATTCGACGATCTATATCAGGCTTGTGGTAGTACCCTGATTGTACCACAGCCTGATAGGCGGTTTGAAGTATAAGTCTTTGCTGGGGGTCCATATGAAGCGCTTCCCGCGGAGACTTTTTGAAGAACTTGTGGTCAAATGCATCATAATCATCAATGAAGTTTCCGTACCATTTCCTCTGGCTGTCATCGCCAGGACGGAAAGTTGTATCCATCGCAAAGCGATCATTAGGAATGAGGTCCTTGTGTTGTGATTGACCCCCCAACAAGATCTTCCAGTATTGTTCAAGATCACGAGCTCCTGCCACTTGGCATGACATACCAATAACAGCGATATCGTTTTCTGTGACACCGGGTGCCAGACCAGGTGTGGAGCCAACTTTGTGGCTATTCTCGAACTCGAAGTGAATGACTTGGCTATTCAGCCTTCGGAGGAGAGTAGGGGGTACACATCGCTCCGGACCAAATTCAACGATCTTCGAATTCCTGTCTTGCAAGGAACTGAAGACGGCTGCACGGAAGCTTTTGATCCAGTTGAACTGCTCCACAAGGAACGCGCGCGATGCTGCCTCCAGCATGCTTTCTGTGCCAGCCATAAGTGTTGCCGAATTGACGCGGATGGGCAGAACAATGGACGAAGCGTCGGGAAGTTGGAAAAGAGGGTGCCTTTTGCAGAAGGTAAAGAATTCCTCAAGATCCCTTTCGTAGAGCGAGCCCGCATGAAAACGTCCATGGAACTCGGTTTCATTGGCTGTGATACCAGTAGTTTGCAGGTGACTCTTCAATGCCGAAGCCGTACTGGCAGAGGTTGTCACAGTTGCTCGATTGTCGTCGTAAAGGACAGAAATATATGCCTTTTCCCATTGTGTGTTAGGTTGATTCTAGGGGACTTCAACAAGGCGGGGGAAAACTTACGTCAGGAAATTTACTCAACGCTTTCTTGAGGTCAGCCAACGACTGCCCTCCTCTCCAAAAGGCTATCAATGAAATGGAGGGCCCAGTTAAACTTGGCATATCCTGCGCATCGGACAGGGCCCCCAATACAAAAACAGTGCGGAGGACTGCAGCAGCATTGTGACAGAACTGGGCCCAGGAAGAGCTAGAGGAGACCACAAGGGCACTGAATACACCGAGGCAGCAACCGACAGTCTCTGTCTGCGCACGGGGGAGTAGATGGAAACCTTGCCCAGATTCAAGTGACGATTGTGATGAGGACTTCGCATGTTGTAAATACTCCACAAGTTGTGCGATAATGACGAGCGGGCCCAGGATGGCGTTGGGAAGTTCGGACACTGTGGATTGTGGGCTTATGACGCCTGTCCGAAGCCAGTCCGCCAGCCTGCGAGCGTGAACGCTGCCAGATGTATGTTGCAACTTCGGAATTGATTCAGAAAGAAGATCCCAACCACTTTCGATATCCTCGATGGCGTTGATAGCCCAATTACTACCGTTATCATCTTTAACAAATGCGAGGATGCGGCGGAAATAGAGCTCATCCAGTGACATGGCCCCAGGCCCGAATAACAGGAGCGTCTTGGCAGTCGGCATGGCCATAATTAATTTGGTGCTGGTTCGAGTTCACAGACGTGTACACTCTCGTGCTAAAGTTGAGTACCACTGATTGCACCTCGAAATGTAGTGCGGTCCTAGCAAGTGGAAAGGCATGGCATGTCCAGCTTTTACGATTTCTCACGGAATCTTCCGGAGAAACGCCATCATATTCCGCCGTCGCCATTGTAATCGCACAGCCAGACAGCATCTACGATCCGTATGGACGATGTTGTGCCAGCCTCGTGTGCGGACTTGAGGATCATGCGCGGAGTTCTTGGTTCTTGGTTTCTCCGTTTCTCCGCGTCGTGTGCAGGAGTCGGATTTACTCCGCCCTCCGGCCCAACAGGACCCACCGTTGCTGCGATGCTCTCCTTCGATCTATGTACTCCGTACTCCGATCGCGAAAGGTCTGCATAGACCCAATGGCTGCAGACAATAGCCGGGGATCTAAATGGTGGTCGCCTACGTCTCGAATCCCATCTCGGGATCTCGTAAACTTGGCGGTCTCTCAAAATCGCCCATACAAACGTCTCGTTTTCAGCCCGTTTGTCTACATCTCCACAAAACATCATGGGAAGCGCCGGCGACGTATTTCACAATGGCTGGACCACAGAGCCCATTGCCATCATCGGAATGAGCTCCAAGTTTGCTGGGGATGCAGTGAACACCGATAATCTCTGGCGTATGTTGGTCGAGGGGAGAAGCGGCTGGTCAACCTTCCCCGAGTCTAGGTTCCATCCAGGAGGAATCTTCAACCCAAACAATGAACGATTAAATACAGTGAGAGCCCTATTACTGCTGAAAGATATACCAGAAGCTGTGCTGAAAATTGTAATGTCTAGACGCACGTCAAAGGGGCACATTTCCTTCAAGAGGATGTCGGATTGTTCGATGCAGCCTTCTTTGGCTACTCAGGAGAGACAGCAGCTGTGAGCGCCCGATGGTGGTGCCTATGAGATGTGGCTCTGTTCGATACTGATTATGACCTAGTCAATGGATCCTCAATACCGCCTACAACTGGAGTCCGTTTACGAGGCCTTGGAAAATGGTGAGTACCAGTAACTGGCTCTTATATATTCAGTTTGTTCGAGGTTTGACGATTGAGTAAAATAGCTGGCCTGCCATTGGTCGAAATTGCAGGCTCGAACACATCCGTGTTTATGGGAGTGTTTGTGCACGACTACAGAGATGCTCTACTCAGAGATGCCGATAATCTGCCTCGATTGATGGCTACGGGAACTGGTGTCCCAATGATGTCCAATCGGGTCTCACATTTCTTCGATTTGCGGGGAGCGAGTATGACAATTGAAACGGCTTGCTCATCGGGAATGACGGCGATGCACCAAGCAGTTCAAAGTCTGAGAACCGGAGAGGCAGATATGTCAATTGTGGGTGGGGCGAACCTCACCCTCAACCCTGACATGTTCAAGGCGCTAGGGTCTGCAGGGTGAGTGCCCCGAACTATGTTTCCATTTTGCCACGGCAGTACTAAAAACTTTCAAGATTCCTATCTGGCGATGGAAAGTCGTACGCCTTCGACTCGCGTGCCAGTGGCTATGGGCGAGGTGAAGGTGTGGCAACTGTGATCGTCAAGCGTTTAAGGGATGCTGTGGCAATGGGTGATCCGATTAGGGCCGTAATTCGCGAATCTATGCTTAATCAAGACGGAAAAACCGAAACCATCACATCCCCCAGCCAACAGGCGCAGGAGGCCCTAGTGCGCGAGTGTTATCGGAAAGCAGGACTCGATCCGCGCGATACACAGTATTTCGAAGCTCATGGTACCGGCACACAGGCCGGAGATACTGCTGAGGCACGCGCGATTGCATCGGTCTTTGCATCTGACCGGGAACCCTTGCTCATCGGATCTATCAAGACAAATATCGGGCATACCGAAGCAGCAAGCGGGCTAGGAAGCATCATCAAAACAGCACTTGCCATTGAAAAAGGCGTCATTCCGGCTTCTATAAACTTTGAAAAGCCGAACCCGAAGCTTGCTTTGGAAGATTGGAATCTGAAACTTGTTCGGGAATTAGAGCAATGGCCATCAGCCTCAGTCCGGCGCGCATCTATCAATAACTTTGGATATGGAGGCAGTAATGCACACATTATTATGGAAGGCAGCGCGTCGTGGGTATCGGATGGTGGCAGCATCAACGGATATTCAAATGGGCATGTCAGAGGACGTACGAATGGGTCTCTGAGCGCGTCCAATAAAAGCGGCAAAATCTCCCAGCTCAAATCCCATGTACAGTCTGATCTTGATGACTCCAAAGTTCTCGTCCTGAGTGGGAAGGATGAGCAGGCTTGTCAGAAAATGATCTCGAATTTGGCGGACTTCTTGGAACAAGACCAGTCAACACACTCAAATCGGAAAAGTTTCCTTGAGAGCCTTGTCTACACACTGGGTCAACGCCGTACGCGATTCCCATGGACAGCAGCATATCCAGTTCCCATCACCGAGGGAATTGGTGCGGTCGCTCAGGTAGTCAAGTCACCCAAGTTCAAGCCTACGCGCAGCTCCCGCCGTCCCCGAATCGGTATGGTCTTTACGGGTCAGGGTGCACAGTGGCATGCTATGGGTAGAGAGCTCATCAACGCCTATCCAGTATATAGGGCCTCACTCGAAGAGGCTGACGGATATTTGGCGCAGTTTGGTGCCGATTGGTCGTTGGTGGAGGAGCTATTACGCGATGGCGAGGCTACTCGCATCAACGAAGTCGGCCTAAGTACTCCAATATGTGTGGCACTGCAAATTTCGCTCGTCCGCCTCCTGCGCGCTTGGGGGGTTATGCCTGTGGCTGTCACGAGCCACTCCAGTGGAGAGATTGCCGCCGCTTACACTGTCGGGGCGCTGAGTTACCGAGCTGCAATGTCCTTTTCGTATCATCGTGCTGTTCTGGCGTCAGACAAAAGTCTCCAAGGGCCCCTGAAGGGCGGCATGGTTGCTGTTGGGCTCGGATTGGAAGACACTGAGTCATATCTAAACATGCTGACGTCCGGCAAGGCTGTTGTGGCGTGTGTCAACAGCCCATCGAGCATTACGGTTTCAGGAGACCTTTCGGCTGTCATTGAATTGGAAGATCTTGCCAACACGAACGGTGTGTTCGCCCGTCTTTTGAAGGTGGACACTGCATGGCACTCCCATCATATGACTCCTATTGCGAATGCCTATTGCGAAGCTCTTGACAGCATGCGAGCAGACAACAAGGACCGTGATGCCCTGAAGGACGTCAGCTTCTCGTCTCCAGTAACTGGAGGCCGAATCACCAATATCGAAGATATCGCGCTGCCAGAGCACTGGGTCGAGAGCTTGCTACAGCCTGTCCAATTTATCGCGGCTTTCACTGACATGGTACTAGGCGAATCGGGGTCATCTGCCGCGAACGTGGATGTCATTGTTGAGGTGGGTCCACATACAGCTCTAGGAGGCCCCATCCAGCAGATCCTCGCGCTGCCCGAGTTCCAAGGATTGCAGCTTCCATACTATGGTACCCTTGTTCGGAAAACGAGCGCACGAGATAGCATGCAGGCGCTCGCTGCGAGTCTACTGCAGGAAGGCTACCCCGTTGATATGGAAGGGGTCAACTTCCCCTATGGCCAATCTCCACATGTCACTGTATTGACGGACCTGCCATCCTACCCCTGGAATCACCAAGTTCGACACTGGGTTGAGCCCAGATTGAATCGAGCTCTCCGCGAAAGGTCGCAGCCCCCTCATGATCTTCTAGGGTCGCTCATCGAGGGATCAAACCCAATCGCCCCATCGTGGCGACACGTCCTTCGGATATCCGAGTCACCGTGGACCAAGGACCATGCTATCCAGTCAAATGTTGTCTATCCTGCTGCAGGGTACATATGCTTGGCGATTGAGGCAATCCGAAAGCTTTCGGCCGCTGATCAGACGAGCAAGACGAAGGATATCTCCGGCTATCGACTACGAGATGTCGATTTTCTACAAGCTCTTATGATTCCGGATAGCTCAGACGGCATTGAGATTGAGACAACGATCCGGCCGGTCGGTGCGAGGGATGTTGCTGCTCGTGGCTGGCAGCATTTTGAAGTATGGACCGTCACAATAGATAATCGGTGGACTCAACATGCTAAAGGGCTGATCTCTGTCGAGTTTGAAGGGTCCTCTCCAGATGCTATCCGGGCAGTGTTGGAAGACTTCCAAGGCTATACTCGACGGGTGATTCCAGCTGATTTGTTCACCAACTTAAAGGCCCTTGGTATTGCGCACGGCCCGATCTTCCAAAACATAAACAGTATCGTCCAGTCTGGCTCGGAAATGCGCAGCTTGGTGACCATCACCGTGGCAGACACTTCGCTGCCCAACGACCTTCCTCGGGACAATGTTTTGCACCCTGTCACCTTGGACTCGATCATCACCGCCCCATACTCCACTCTTCCGGGGGTGGCAGCCCGTGAAATCGCTGCCAAGGTACCCCGGTCTGTTGAGAGTCTCTGGGTATCTAGCAATATTAGCCACAAACCAGGACATCTTTTCAAAACCCAATCCTCGCTCATACGAAACGACACTTCAGGAATGGTGGCAGATGTAGTAGTTTCGGACCACAACTCTGCCCATACCGTTCTTGAAATGAAGGGATTCTCGTACCAGTCTCTGGGGCGAAACATGTTGCTCGAACAAGGCAAATCTTGGGAGAATGAGTTTTACAGCAAGATAGCTTGGTCATTGGACATTTCGACCGCCTCGCCTGCCACCCTGGATTTGGTGAGGAAGCAACTGGCCTGCAATATTGATACCCCTGAGGTTGATTCTACCAGAGAAATATGGCGTGTTTGCGTTTACTTCCTTCAAGAAGCGCTTCTTGCTTTGAATCCGCGCGATATCGACCAAATGCAGCCCCATCATGCGAAGTACTACTCATGGATGAACGCGACTGTACAGCGTGCTGCAGCTGGGCAATTAGGCGCTGGCAGTACCAAATGGGTGTCTGCCTTGGATTCAGACAAGCAACGCCACATCAATCGAATCTCTCAGCATGGAGTAGTCGGTGAGATAGTTCATCGTCTGGGTACTGAGCTGCTAGCCATACTGCGGGGTCAGACGATACCCCTGGAACTATTGTCAGAGGATAATCTGCTGTCTCGTCTCTACGGCGAAATACCCAAGACGAAACGAATAGGGTCACACCTCTCAAGCCTAATTCGACACCTCACACACAAGAACCCTCGTGCCCGCATTCTCGAGATAGGCGGAATAACTGGCGCTATGACAAAATATGCCCTCGACGCTTTGGGTACGACCGAGTCTGGCGGTCCAAATGCCTCATTCTATCACTACACGGATATTTCACCAGCCTGCCTTGAAGCTGCGAGGCAAGCCTTCTTTGCCTGGGGGACTTATTGTCCTTCGACGAACTCGATATACAGCATGATCCATCGACGCAAGGTTTTGCAAATTACACCTATGACATTGTCATCGCTTCTCATGTGGTTCAAAGCACCCAATCAGTCTCGAGCGCATTGGGTAACATTCGACGCCTCCTCAGGCCTGGTGGAACTCTTCTGCTGATGGAACATGTTGAGAATCAAATCGACATCGAATTCGTCAACGGATTACTTTTTGAGCAGTGGCTGGGTGATGGGCGCGATAGACGGGCAAGCGCAGTGCTCGACAAAGGAATGTGGAATCGCCATCTTCAGGACGCTGGATTCACTGGAGCTGCACTTGAGCTGCCTTACGGTGACAGTGAAGCCTGGACCTCGCTGACAATCATGTCGAACGTGCCAAAGCCATTGTCTCAGAGAGTATCTGCGAGCAATTTCATTATTGTCAGAAGTGAAAAAAGCGGACGTCCCCCAATATCCTGGCTCGACAGTCTTAAAGATTTAATGGCCGCTTTCACCGAATGCAAAGAAAGCGACGAACTAGTTATCCATGATCTCGAGTCCACTGCTGCCAATCCTGAATTCTACGCTGGGAGGATTGTCATTTTTCTTGGCGAGATGGATGAGCCAATTCTATACGATCTTGACTCTCCTTCCTTGGAGGGAATCCGAACAATGAGCACCGGTTGTCAAGGGCTACTTTGGGTCACTCGTGGCGGTGCCGTTGATTGCGAAAGGCCCGAACTCAGCCTGGCTCCAGGGTTTATACGTTCTCTACGCAACGAATATGTTGGTCGCAGATTTCTCACCCTAGACCTGGACCCCAAGGGACCGCAATGGTCTGGCACCGGTGCGTCTGCGATCGCACAGGTACTGCATGATGCCTTCGGCAGTATCGAAGATGATCAGCCCGCTGAGAAGGGCCCAGAGGAGCTGGAATTCGCTGAGAGAGACGGCGTGATTCTGGTACCGCGAATGTACCATGATGTGGCGAGAGACAAGATGCTTTCGCTCGACGGTTCGGATGTGGACATACAGGAGACGCTACCATTCGAACCGTTCCACCAGCTAGATCGCCCCTTGTGCTTTAAGCCAGATTCTTTGGCCTTTGGTGACGATGAATTTGCCCTTGTCAACTCTGGAGTCTTCCCCTCCAGGTCAGTTGAAGTTGAGCCCAGAGCCTACGGCGCCACCTTGGGCGGCGGGAGGGAACCTATACTCGGTCTGGAATCCGCCGGCTTCATCGCTCAGGTCGGCAGCGAGGCAGCCTCTCAGGGCTTTGCGATCGGTGATCGTGTCCTTTTTGTGTCAAATCATTCGTCATTTTCAAGCCGCGCGGTTATCGATTGGACCTTGACGATGCACATGCCTGGCGAGATGACCTTCGAAGAGGCAGCATCCATGCCCGTGGCCTTTCTCACGGCATACCTTTCTCTGGTGGAGATGGCACAGTTACAACGTAACCAATCTGTCCTTATTCATAATGCGGCTGGAGATGTCGGGCAAGCGGCAATAATGCTTGCGCAGCATCTCGGAGGAGAGATATTCGCAACGGTTGACGGCCCCAGCGAGCGGAGCTTGGTGATATTAAAGTATGGCCTCGCCGCGGACCACATATTCAGTTGCAAAGACGCATCATTTGGCGCTGCAACTCGCGCCGCCACGAATGGCCGTGGAGTAGACGTGGTCCTGAACTCACTCGCGGGACCGCTCCTGCAAGAGAGCTTTAACCTCGTCGCGCCTCTTGGACACTTCATCGAAACTGGCAGGCGAGATTCAGACGAAAACAGCCTTCTAGAAATGCGTCCCTTCTCTAAGGGTATTTCCTTTGCAGCTGTTGACATTCCTAGTCTGTTGGAACACCGACAATTACAGGTTCACAAATGCCTGAGCGAGGTAATGCGCCTCATTAAGGCTAAGGTAATGACTCCTGTGCATCCCATTGATGTCTATGCCTTAGCGGACATCCCCAAGACTTCTCGCCTGTTACAGGGCGAGCGGTATCTAGGCAAGGCCGTCTTTTCGGTCAAACCGGATGAATTGGTTCCTGTGCTTCCACGAACAGGGGCAGCACAGCTTTCTGGCGACGTGTCTTACTTGATTGTGGGCGGTAGTGGTGGTCTTGCACAGTCGGTGGCGCATTGGATGGTGTCCCGTGGAGCTAGGAATCTTGTCCTACTCTCACGCAGTGCTGCCACGAGTGAAAAGACAGCAACCCTTGCTCATGAGCTCCGCGAGGCGGGATGCCATCGCGTGTTGCCCATCAGCTGCGATGTTGCCAACGAGGACGACTTGGCCCGAGCCATCGACGAATGTGCCCAAGCGGGACTACCAACGATTCGGGGTGTTATTCATGCGGCGTTTGTCCTCCGGGTAAGTCCAATTTACCAGCTGTTACCTCACTGTTCTCGAAGCTAATGCCTTTTTTGCGGCAGGACGCCTTCGTGGAAAAGATGAAGCTGGATGACTGGAAGTCCACCATCCAGAGCAAGGTTTCCGGCGCATGGAATCTACACAACTTGTTTAACCTGCCTGGTGATATCGACTTCTTTGTCCTCTTCTCTTCTATCAACGGGATTCTCGGTTATGCCAGTCAATCCGCATACTCAGCCGCCGGAGCTTACGAGGACGCACTGGCGCACTGGCGCGTCAAGCAGTGCGGCCTTCCTGCCGTTTCAATTGATCTCTCCGTTGTGAATGCCGTCGGCTATGTCGCTGAGGCCAGCTCAGCCGAGACCCTGCGCAGATCTCTTGTCAAAGCTGGACGCAGAGTCATTGACGAAGGCCATGTCCTCTCCTCCCTTGATTCGGCTATTACGGCCCCTTACGACCCCCAGTTTATTGTCGGAGGCATAAACTCAGGTCCGGGCCCTCATTGGGATATTGACGGTGACCTTGGTCGCGACATGCGTGTCTTGCCACTCAAATATCGCCCGCCTACTTCCACTGGACAGGAACAGGAGCAAGACGGCACTGAGTCTCTGGCCGCCCAGATAGCTATATGCGCGTCAATGGATGAAGCCACCCGGGTCGTAGGGACTGCCATTGCTGAAATGCTGTCAGATATGTTCCTGGTCCCTGTTGAGGATATCGACTTAAGTCAGTCTCCGTCGCAGCAGGGGGTCGACTCTCTCGTCGCTGTCGAAGTGCGCAATATGCTCTTCAGTCATGCTGGTGCGGAGTTGTCGATTTTCAATATAATGCAAAGCCCGAGTTTGACTCTTCTGGCGGCTGATGTTGTGGATCGCAGCGCACACGTGAAGTTTGCTGCGTAGATAACTTTGAATCTGCAGACACGATTGTTCAGGCACAATGATTTTTACTTATGCTTTATTGCTAGAGATGAATTTCTTTCGTTTTTTTTTTGTCTTTGTTCAGCCTTTCCAGCAGGGTAGAATGTTTTCTTCCAATCGAGTTCTCTGTTGAAAAGTCCTACGACGTCTTGGTATGAAGCTAGGTAATTCTGGCCCTAATTTTATTCCTTACGAGATTGTATACGGTTAACATTAATTGACGCTGCACCTAGTCAAGATTTTATTCCAAGTAGAGCCGTGGAATGTCTGTATTTGACAGAAATTGGGTGTGCTCCGATGCTGTAGGGTTCGCATGGCGGACTTCGGAGTTGGTAACAGTCCGCAGCTCTCGAGGCTCGGTTTTTGAAATTCTCTGAGAATAAACAAAGGAAAAATTACATTGACTATCTTCTTAATCTAAAAGCGGTCTATTCTAGACTGGTTCAATTATCAGTAACCGGTTGCCTCGACAATTTCCAAACGTTTCCTTGCCCCATGCCCGATTTCCCTACTGCGCTGGGGGGAACGCAGAGCCATCTTTGTATCGCAGAACACTCGACTCGCATCCCCTCATTCTGTGACAGTAGCCTCCTACTTTGCTTGATTGGCCTGGGCCTGTTGCATTTTCTTCATGGTTTCCGCTGCCTCGAACGAATACTTACACTTCATGCGCACTTGCATACCATAGCGGAACATGATCAGCGGAAACGGTATGCACACCAGGGTCATGAAAGCCGGAATACTAGAGGCCCAGTGGATTCCCAAGTTATGATACATCTGCGATGTGAAAAGAGGGAACACAGCACCAATGACAGAGCGGAAGATCGCCGCTGCTGCCAAAACAGAGGCAGCGTAGATTGTGTAGGAGTCGATCAGGTAGTTCATGATCGGCAGGAGAACGAGCACGCAGCCAAATCCGAAGGGAGCCGACAGAATGATACTGACAGACCAGTGGATACTGGGATAGGTGGTCCAGGCAAAGCCGAACATCCCGATTGGCAGAGCGACTGCACCGACAATGGCAGGTGGTAGGCGCGATTCGGGTGTCGTGGAGTTCGATGCGACTAATTTCATATACCGGGTGTTGTTGTCCCAGATCGCGTAAATCAGACCCAAAATGATTCCCACGGCAATGCCAAGGAATGAAAGGCCTCCGATGCCCTCGCTCCAGCCGCGATCTTCATTATACACGATGGGCATCGCACCCATGAACATGTAGACTGTGCCATAGATGATGGCCATATAGACGGAGGCGATCAAGACAATCGGTTCAAGGAAAAGGAAAATCCAAGGTCGGAACAGGGCTCGCTTGAAGACTTCAGATGGCTTCTTCTTCCCCTGGCTTTTCTCCAGAACACTGATATAAACCTTGCCATCCCTCTTCGACAAATGACGCGCTCGTTTCTGCAGCAGAACCGGTCCGTAGGTCTCAGGAATGAAGATGACACCTAGGAGACCAATGATCCCGATAAATATGGTACACACGCCCTGTACCCACCTCCAACCGATGCTCTGACTGATGAAGCCACCCATCACCGGGCCGAGAACGGGACCAAGGAACGGTGCAACCGCGTAGACTGTTAGAGCGAGGCCGCGCTGGGCTGGTGGGAAGAGATCGGCTATCGTGCCACCGGAATTCACGAGGGGAGATGCACCGAATGTGCCGGCAAACAGTCGTAGGATCAAGAGCGTGGCAACGTTTTTACTGCCAGCGGATCCCCCGAGGAAGGCGACCATGGCGACGTGAGTGATCACCCACAGCTTTTGTCTTCCGTATAACTCGGATCTTGGAGACATGGCATTAGCGCGGGGACGTGGGGAGGTACCAATGGGTACCCATTGGTGAATTTAAATACTCACAGAGGACCCCAGACGGCAGGGCCAATTGCAAATCCTAGAACGAAGAGGGAAAGACCAAGCGTAAAGACCTCAGAGCTGATATCAAAGTCTTTCAAGACCTCGTTGGCGGAGACGGAGTATGCGGAGGAGGTCAAGGTGACGGCAAAAACTGAGATAGTCGCAATGAATGTGATGAAACATTTTCGCAATAAACCCCAGTTCATCGGGTTTTCAGGGTCATCCTTTTGAAATTCCACCAGAAACGGATCTTGCTCAGTGCCTTGGCCGTCGTAGACGGGTGTTTTCTCGACCTCGCCTGGATCAGCGGTGATCTTGGTTTCGCTGGACATGGTGATTTGAAATATAGGGCTCTCAATTTCGCACCCAATAGCTCTCAAACCAAGCTTCTCATGACGGGACTGTTGCGATGCTATATAGCTACCTTCACGGAGACCGGAGTATCCTTTGCACAGTAGATACGCTCGGATTGCATTTCCATTGGTGCGGGAAGGCAAACTGTACTGTACGGTCCCAGTTTTGATTGGATCATGTCAAATATAGTGGATCTGCAAATCCAATGAGTGATCTTCCCGCTGTGGGGCTTGATGGAACGGACTGTAATCTGATTGGTCTCTCTTTCTACTCTTATGGCCCATCTGCTGATCTTCTCCGCTTGGAACTTTCCACCAACCTTGGTTGGAAATCATCCTTACATAATCTTTCTTACCTGAAAAGGTTCCTTGCCATAGGTAGGGACCTAAGACAGAAAAGTTCATGAAAATGGCAAGGTTCCCTATTTTAGAACCTGAACCGTCGACATGGCACATCAAGAACAACGCGACACCCGGGTAATACGCAGACAGCGATTAAAAGTCTCAAAAGCTTGTCAAGAATGCCGCTCGAGGAAGACCAAATGCGACGGCAACCGCCCAGGTATTCTACTCCCATGTCTTGAAGTAATTTCCCTCATGCACCAAGCTGATATGAGCAATGACCTAGCATGCGCCAGGTGTGAGGCTCGAGGGAAGACATGTAACTACAACCAGCTGCCCGCTGTCTGCGAGATCGCGAGCAAGCCTGCCCCGAGACAGGCACTTCAGCACGTTCCTGTTCTCGCTTCACCTCCATCTTCACCGGCTCATTCGCACGAGGCACCTCCGATAGCAACGGTCTTAGCCCCCATAACCATTGAGCCATGCTCCCTTCCGGACCCTTCGAGTGTCAGCAGTGGTTTGGACCAGGACCCGAATCACAGCCGCGCATATTATGCAGCCCACGGCCGATTCGCGGGCCAGGTCGCCGCAGCGATAGATGAGCGAGCTGGCTTTGTTCCACCAGCCACTTCCTACCTTGTCCCACTTGTCGATGCGCCCCTGTTTGGAGATCTGGATTTACCCGTCCGATGCTCCACTCTTCCTACATCCACTGAATTGCCTTCTCGGACATATGCAGATCAACTGGTGGATGTCTACTGGCAGTATATCAATCCAGCTGAACCTATATTAGATCGCCAACAGTTTTTCCAATATTATGCAACGTCGTACTCCACGTCTGGTGTGTCAGTACATACAGACCCTCACATTCGGCTCAGCATCCTCAATCTGGTCTTTGCCCTCGCTGTCCAAAGACAAGAATCTATCCCCCTCGATAAACGAAATGAAGAGGGAAACACTTACTTTCGGCGTGCATGGGGCCTGCTTCCAGCCGAGTCTATTCTTTGGGAGCCCGGATCACTGGAGCGGGTGCAATGCCTAATACTGATGAACCGATACCTCCACTGCACCAACAATCAACAAAAGACGTGGATGACAGCGGGACTGGCAATGCGAATCGCACAAACTATGTGTTGTCACGTCCCAGAGACTCCTTCCACCCAGGATGCCAGTAATATTACGCGCCTGAAACGTAAGGTCTGGGCGAGCTGCGTTGCTTTAGATCGGTAGGACCTCCGACAACGACGATCTTTCACCTCCGGGAGAGCTGTAGCTGACTGATGCAGATGCATATCCTGGTCACTCGGAAAGACATCAGCGCTGGCCCTTATTACCTCGCCGACAAACGGCTCTAAGCAGGAATGTGAACATACGGAGCATTCCCGTTGGAAATTGGAGCTTCACGAAATTGGCAATCAGATACAACTCGCCCAGATCCAGACACGGAGTACTCTTGCAGCCAGGTTGGTCGCACCACGCCTAGATCAACAGGAGGAATATCACACTGCGGCAATTCACATGGACGCTTGTCTTAGCAAATGGGAGGCCAGCCTCCCAAGTGATTTCCAGTTACAGAACCTTAAATTTCTGGAAGACAGAACATCTCAAATGGAGCGATACTTGCTGCATGTTCAGTAAGCCATTGCTTTTATTCCCCGATCATGTCTCATCTATACTCATACCGATCTGCGTTGTAGGCTTCTTCACTCCCGAATCTATCTATACAGACCACTACTCGCCCGCTTCTACTCGATGAAATCCGATCCCCAATCAAAGTCCATTAACTCCTCAAGTCTAAGTGAGCGACTTCTCAGGGAATGTGCCAGAATGTGCATCGATGCTGCCCAAAGCGTCACGTCCCTGGTCGTCGAAACATTGGATCCCGCCCGGGGTATCGGTATCCTCCCTTGGTGGACCCGAGTATACTATCTTCACATAGCGGGTATGATTTTCCTGGCAGCCATGGTCGGATCAGATCTGTTCACCGAGTCGGTCTCTCGATCTTGGCAGGATGTCCTGGCAGCTCTTCGCGCGCACGTCCACCTGAGTACATATGTCCAGCAGTGCGTTTGGACTTTTGAGGCCCTCTCAACGAAAATTTCACAGACGAACTGCCCATCATACCAGAGTGGCGCTGAGCCCGTGATGGAGAGTGCGGGTTGCTGCTTCGATGATATCTTTCAAGATATCCGGTTCGACTTTGATGAATTTCTCTTTAGAACGGAAGAAGTGGTCAATTTTGATGGGCTAGGGTAGTATATACGATCATAGTGTTTGGGAAAGGAGTTCCTATCCACCCGGCTGCTCTTTTAAAGAGAATATCGAGTTCCACTAAGGTTTTCTTAATTCCGCGGTCTACGAACGATCGAACAACACCTTGATCTTCCCATTATGGTTATACCTAGGTGTTCGAATAGCCGGTAATGGTTGGGACCACATCGCGTTAAAGGGGCGTGAATATTCCAATACTATGAAGTAATAGCCTCCTGCTATAACGTCAAGTGTAAGATCTCAATGTTGAAGCAGTGGTCACTGAAAGTGACCTGGGTGATTGAAAAGCAGCACGTGAACGCTTGTAAAGAAAGAATTTAGGTATTGTAGTCACCGGGATTGAAAGCTGCCAATCGCCCTCCTCATAAGGTGTCCTTGGTCGGGCAAGTCGCAGCCACAGACTAAGCCCGTTAGTTAGGTACTGCTACATATATGTATTGATGTAGATCAAATCTTCCTTTGTTTTGCAACACATTCGTATATTTTTCTAGTGACATTGCAAATGAGCACTATTAACTACAGGATATTGGCGATTTCACAGAACTTTATAAACATATCCGAGAGCGTATGCAAACAATCCGACACACTTCAGGGAAACAATAATGCACTGTGGATGATAAAACAAACAAAATTCCATCGGCCCTGCCGGTTCTAAAAAGAAATGGAAAAGCATTTAACCCAGAGTCAGAGTGAAGCTGGAGCCCAGAGAGCAAGAGTAGGTGTTCACGTCATCGGGGTTCTGATAAGACTCCGCGCAGGCCACGTCGCCAGCTTCGCAGGTAGCGGATCGGCAGCTGGAGTCGCTAGGCTCCGCAATGAATCCCGCCTTGACGAACTCGGATGTCTCATCGAGATCGATGGATGACATGTCCCAGTAGAAAAAGTCGTGATCCTCGTAATATTCGAACTGGAGCACGCTATCCCTGTCCTGGGTGGTCGACATCTTGATGGAGATACCGCCTCCGTTGTCGTTGGTGATCCAGTCTTCACTGTAGTTTTCTCCAGAGCTGAGGGTCTTCATGGTGCCTTCATCGGATGAGGTGGTCCACAGGTAAACGTCTGTGTCCAGGTTGTTGACGATCTGAATTCCACCCTTGCCAGAGTCGCGGGTTTCGATAGCAGTGGGTTCTCCGGATCGGGCCCGGTGAGGCTGGGGCAGGGCGGCAGCGGTGGCAGCAAGGAGGCCGGTAAGGAGGGCGTTGAAGATCATGATGGAAAGTTGTATATTGAGGGAATGAAAGTGGTAGACAGAAAAAGGTCACCTGGTCAATATAGATGTACTAAAGAGACAGTAATTGAGGATCAACCTCGAAAGAGAGAAAATGACTTCAAGAAGAGAGTGACTTGAAGGATCAATGAATGTGTTGATTGAAGAAAAGAAAAAAGCTGCCATTTCTGCGGGATCCCATCTTTTTATCTTACTCGGTGGAGCCCGGATGAAGACGAAACTTTGCCAGCTGCAGAGCCAGGCGATGCAAAGGAATGGATAGACTACAATTATACATGTGGGTTCGATCAATAAGGTTGACTTCCGAGGACAACCGTCCAATCAGAAGATGCGGCTGAAGTTCCCACCTTGGTCTCGAACGCCTCGTCATCGCCTTACGTGTGGCACCTCGGCTTCTCGAATTTCGATTCTTTAGACTTTGATCCAATCACTTGATGGGTTTGGTTCTCAAATGGAACCGTTTTCTGACCACCCAGGAGAAAGGAAGGATGGAGATACTGACATCAGTGCCGTTCGTGGCATTTACCTGTCCTCCTGGCGCTTTACGTCAGCTTTCAGTGGCAATTTGGGAAGAGATTTGAAGTCAACAGCGAAGCTGATTAATATGCTGCCGGGTGGATGTTCACCCCAAATAGCAGGTAGAGATTACAAACCGAGAATTCACCGGCATCCTTTGCTCTTGTCATGGCATTGCGCCACTCCAAATCTTTCTCCTGCATCAATGATTCCAAGGTTGAAGCTATGCTCAGCCACCTTATTTGCCACGAAATACTATCAGAGGTTAACTTGTTGGCATCCTTAGAAGTACTTGCTTCATCTCATTCGGTCAAGCTCGGATACACACCGGATATCCTCTATCCATGAGCTTTCAACTATGATTGTGCCTTGTAGACACCAGAAAGACAGAATTGTATTTACTATTTAGGAAGACTAGCAACTATTACGTCATCTATTCTTCGGATACTTGGAGCTCAAAGACTTTCTTCTAATGCAGATGTCAAAAGCTATTTTCACGCCTGATACCAATAACGGAGGCGGTATAGGACAATGTTGTATTTGAATTGTGTTCCAAGCTCATTGTTCGGACTACCCTTGAATACCCTCAATATTTGACTGAAGTTCATCATGCGTAATCATCTGATTTGGCTTGAAGGCCGCGGCAAAAATATTCTCAAATTCATCCTCAGAAATAATGGGGACTCCGACAAGATCATTGTCCACGGCCTTGAATTCAGTCTCGAATCTTCCGCTCAGCAGCGCGGCTTTGAGTAGCGCAAGTGTCTTGAAGAGATCCAAATCACCTTGCTTGGTATTCGTAAGAATTGTATCAAGCTCAATCGCTGCATCCACTGGATTCTCAACCCATTCGATATCAGGCCCTGAATATTTCTTTGCAAGACGCAAAACTCGATTTTGCGTCAGGACAGTGTCATGAACGCTAACCAAACGATTCTTGGTTGCTGTGGCGTTTTTCAGAGCGCCGGCTATGGCCTTCCCAACACTTGACACACTGGTTGAGCTGAAAGGATGCGTGCCATTGTCATATACGGTGGCTATCTGCGTCTGCAGGTCGATCAAAAACGGCATTGACATGACGAATTCCAAGAAGGGCCCGACAGCAAAAAGAGTGTACTCGATTTGTCCGCCGAGCGCTTTTTCTGTGAGATAACTCTGTATCTCTATCCACGGTGCGTTGAGTGGAAGTGACTCTGCTCCCGGTCTGGTCGTAAGCGCTCCAAAGTCCGAAGGGATGAAGCGTCTGATGCCAGCTCGAATGCTAGCATCAATCACTGTCTTCTGGATACTAATGCCGGAGGTACCGACGGTGGATACTACAGCATCCTGGCCCTGGAGAGCTGTCACAAGCTTGTCGATTGACGAATAATCGACTTGCATGGTCCTGACGCTAGAATGGGATTCGTCCATCGAGCTCGCTGTACGACTCAGAACTGTGACTTGAAAGCCAGCATCTATGAGCTGCGCAAGCACCGCTGATCCCAACATCCCCCTCTGTTTGCCACATATCAGTATATCGAACAAAAAGAATATGTGCGCTGGTATACTAACCCCTAAGAGTGCGACTTTGCGGATAGGCTCCATGTTGGATTGAGGTGATATTTGAAAGAGATGTGTAAATCAACAAGGTAGGGACGAAGGCGTGCAAATAGTAATGTACCAAAAGAAAACAATATAACTTTCTCCTGAGATGTGAGGAGAAATTGTATAACTTTCTATGGGATATCCTGTGCCTTTTATAACTTCGCGGACTACGATGAGATATATAATGTGGCAATCAGCACTGTCTAAGAGAGGAAATTTCGTCATGGATTAGCCTGGAATGATTTGAGCAGTTTGTGGACAAGCTCTGTGCCCCTTTAGGCAATTCACTCGTGATATAGTGTCATTCCGAATGGCCTTGGCCGTAAGAGTCGAGATGATCGGTGAGGCATGTTTTAGGTACGCGCTATCCCTATTCTGGTAGGTGCGTCGTGAATTAGCGCGACGGTCCCAACCAATGAGGGACGTGCCAAGGGCCCCAGCCTCTCGTTGACGCAGAACAACTCACTCCTCACAAAAGATCCCATGTGTCTTGGGTGCTATTGACTCGCCGATCATCACAGAAATTTATACAGAGTAGGATCATCTCCAAGTCACCAGGAAATCTTTGCCAAGCGGCAGGGTAGTCCGATTGGAACGGTTCTAACCTGCCAAACTCTGCTATAATCAATGGCATCCGCCAGAGGTAGTCCAGCATGTGGGAACTGCAGGGCTAGGAGAATAAAAGTGGGAATCTTCCTTCAATGTACTTCTTGCCAGCCATGGCTTTGCAAGCTGACTCCTCGATAGTGCAGTTTACTCAGACCAAGATGCAGTCAGTGCGTCCGAGCCGGTCTAGAATGCGCAGGCTATAGGTCTCAGTCAGATTTGATTTTTCGAGATCAGACCAAATCTATAATCAAAAGGTTATCTGTTCCAAAAGATGAAGTGATTACGACTCGCCATCAGACTGCTAGATGGAGCCCAGTCACAGTGACGCCTGCTCTCAGCATTGAAGAAGTTGCACAGAAGGTCTTTTTCGACAATTTTCCAGTATTGGGAGATAATTGCAAGACCTGGATGGAATCCGGGATGGAGCAGCCGTCCACTGTTAATATCAGCCTTACCTCCGTTGGTCTTGCTGCACTCGCTCTTGTCCAGAAAGATCCTAGCATGATGAACTTGGCGCGGGGCAAATATCTTTCTGCTATAAGGGCTATTTCGAGAACAATAAATTGTCACCAGGGGATTAGAATCGAACAATCCATTGCTGGAAGTTATATTCTATCCATGTTCGAGGTTCTGTATTATGAGATCTCCCCAATATTGAGATAATCAGTGAACTAACGCAAGGTAAATTCTGCAGATGATCACATGTGATACTCATTCTGCTTCGCATACTTGGCAAAAGCATGTCCATGGTGCTGCCGCGCTCTTGGGCTATTTATGTTCCACCAATGGACTGCCCATCCCCTTGGTGAAGGAAGTTATAGATATCTACTATACCACAGTACGTTGCTATTGCATCAAATAGTCGTCAAGCTCTAACGCTCAATATTAGGCGCTCGCATGTCTTCTCGATGGAAAACTGGTTCCACAAACCTTTCTGGAATCACCAAATAATTTTGAGGAATTGTCAAATATCAGGCAGCAGGATGTGGACCCCTTGTCATCAGCAATGCAGTTGTTTGTTGTCATGGGTACACTTTGTAATCTTTATGCATCAAAGGACTTCGATCTGCTTGCGTCCAGTCAGCTATTCGAATTGGCTACTCACAGTGACCGAGTTCTACAAACCTGGGCCATTTCATTGCCTATCTCATGGAATTACCATCAGGCTGGACCGCAATACGTATATCAGGACGTTTGGTTTGCTCGCATGTGGAATTATTATCGCCTAGCCCGCATTTTGGCCAACAGGATTATCATGGACAATTTCGACATCTCATCGTCCCAGACTCTACCATCCCAAACGGCATTGCCTGAGGAGTTCAGAGCCAAATATGACCAGGCTAATGCTGCCATCTCGGTTTTATCGCAAGAGATCTACGGTACCTTGCCTTTCATGTTCAACTCAGAACAAATGCTTTCTGCCTCTCTACCTTGGTCAGCAGCTCTCTTTTTCACAACAACGCTTTTACAATCTTTGTTAAAGCTCACAGACAGGGCTATTTTGATTCAAAACTGGTCATCACCGACATGCGAGGTTCTAGGAGCAAGGTTTACCATGGCCAAAAATATGGTAACCCAGAATCTCCACTAGGGAAATTGAAAAACGCATCAATGAGATTAATATAAAGCAAGACCATCAAATTTCTACCAAGCGGCCAATGCTGGCATTTCAAAGCGATGAAGTTTGGATTATTGATTGTGTTTCCAATTTCTGTCGGGCCATTGGTCCTTCCCCAGATTTCGAGTCACAATAATCGACATACCATCTTGCCGCGGCGAAGTTTTCAGCGTAGAAGGTGAGACATCGTATATAGCCACCGTGGTATATCGAGATTGAACTCCTAAAGGCACCTTGAGTTAAGGACGTTTAATAGTTGCAAAAGGGTAGGGAACAATCGAAGGACTGGTAAGGCGCAACAATTATCAAGGCTTTGTTCAAGTGAATAGCTACTTGTAGATGGAATAGCGTATATTGATTGAGCTTTTCTATTTTGCTTTTGTACATGTAGAGTTTTGTCAAGAGCTTCCGGAGCGGACTTCCTACAGTCCGGGGCTGTCCTCGAGAGTCCTTAGTGTTGTCCTCGAGGAGTCCTGACTCTCACTCAGTCGACATTTCGACAGGCTTAACGCTTCTAACACGGAGATGTTGATCATATATACGTTTCTCACATGTGTATCGAAGTCCGCTTTTTTTTTTTTTTTTTTTTTTTTGAACGCCTAAATGTATACCTGGGTATATGATTGAGCGGGCTCTTCAAAAGTCACTTTTACCAAAATTGAGGAAGCGTGATGGGTAATTGAAGACCTGGAAATGACTGCTTCTCCCGTTGAGCACGCTAAATGACATGTAACTTCAGGGCTAGACCATCTTAGTTGATGAAGATGTAGTATTGTAGTTGTTATCGTTCATGTCATTATCCAAGACATCGAGGTTCACACCTCAAGCTGAAAGGTATATACAGGCCACTTTTGCCATATAACGCACCGCTCGACAAAATTGTCTTGATCAGCGACCAGTTCTATCTAGCCGAGTCGACGCGGAAACCCTTCCACATATGGATCCCGTCTGGTGGCATGCCGTGCACTGCTAGCTCAGTATCTGACTGCCCGTCATCATCACTCCACTTCGATTGGACATTATACCTCGGAGACTTGGTGCTCTCTAATTTACCCGCGCTTTTGTTGGCCCGCACATTCATCCGAGTGAGACAATAATTCTGCTCCAAACGGTTCTTGCTACCCATATCCCCAGATACCGTTGCGGTCCCACGGGAGAATGAAGCCAGCCAACTTCCAGGAACAACGGCCGAGAACACGCGGCGAAGAAGGGGGAGATTTGCAGCGACGATGGCGAGTTGCTGCTCAACCATACTCCACATCAAGGGGATGGGAAGGGTGTATGTGACGTCGTCAAAGTCAATGCGCATAAGGCTGACAACACGAACCATGCTAATTGCACTAACACTAGGTTTAAATTGAGGTTAGCTTTTGGACATGGAATGAAACAGCAACACAATTGCGACTTCACATACAAGAATCCCAGTGAGAATGCCATCGATAGACCAACCTTACGTCCTATTGGCAACTGTAACTGCCAGATGTAGGGAATTGGAAGTGACATGACCATGAGATCGGTGACCATGTTGAGTACTCCAGCCACCACGAAAGCTGCATTGCGATTCCCACATCCACCACCCGGTAGCATGGGATTCCAGTTGAACTCAACGGGCTGGCAAATAAGGAAGGATTCGAGGATAATGCTCAGTCCCCATGCCCAAACAATGGCAAGAGTTGTGTAAATCGCAATCTGCATGGTACGTTTGGTGCCGAAGAGTTTGTGGTACAGGACCATCATCGATGTTTTGACAAGGGAGAGCCCGGTTCCATAGAGTACTTGGCAAACGATAATCATCTACTCCAAATCATGAGAAGGCTGGTTCATCGGTCTAGAGGAGTAATTGGGCCATACCTTCAGATCGAATTGAATGTCTGCGTAGGGAACGGGTTTCATTGCATGTAGCCCAACGCCTCCCATCGTTACCACTAACCGAGATACCTGTCAGTGGTGTCTCTTCCTCCATTCTAGGACGGGGTCACCATACTCAATATCACAACCACGGTACATGTCATAACCAAGCACTGTGAGCTTTGTCAGTCACGCTCTACGTAAAACAGTTCACTGCTCGTACCGTTGCAGCCATCATGAAGTGATCATCCCACCCTAGGTCAAGGTTTCTCATTCTCCGGGATACAATGCGAAGAATCGTTGTGGTCAGGGCAAGACCCCCAAAGACAATCATTACAATCACAACCTCTCTGCCATCTTTTGCCCCCAGCCCATAGTTTCCCATGGTGTCGTCGTTCTGTCACAGAGTCACACTCGGGGTGGTTTACTCTGGATATCTCAGCAGAAGGTGAGATCTCTCGGAAGCCCTAGGGCGGAGGTATTCCATGACAAACCTTATTATAGCTGACATACAGTTCAGAGAAAATCTTCTCCGAAAGAGGAATATCGTGAATTTGTGCTAGATACCATATGCTCTAGTGTGTCGGTTCAGTGGGACCAATAAATCGGGTTGAGTGGGGCCGTGCGGTTCGCACAGACCTCTCCCGCAGTCCCTGACCATGGGTTCCGCTGAGGATAATGAAAGCCCCGGCGACAATATATCTACTTGGGGAGGTATCAGTTGTGATGGGTGAGTCAAGGAGAAGAGATTGAAAGATGAGGCCACCTTGATCGGTGCATTGGAGTGTCTGAGAGCCCCAGGAATGCTTGAACATTCGGCATTATGCACACCCGTGTCTAATCCATGTCCAATTGTCGCTATTTGCGCCACCGGTGTTTCACACAGGAACCAGAACGAAGGATTCGCATTATTGTTTTTACCGAGGACTTGGCACAATTTTTCCATCCATTCATAGTACAATTCTTCCGTTGCACATGCAGACTAACTCTGACACGGTTGGCCTTGAGCCCGTGATGCGGATCACCATTTTCAATATTTCCAATACGCTCACTCTCCGTGGCGATCGGATTGGCCAGTTTGGAGATAGCCCCAGCATAATTATCGAGCATGAGGTCCAGGGGATTAAAGATTGAGTGGATTGTGTAGCATGATCTTGGAGGCTAGGTCTGTTGGGTCCCCCGTCTACCCTCAAATTGTTTTTGCTTTTTTCTTTCTTTGATTCTCACCTGCATATCACATCGTATGCCTGTTGCATACTTCATTTGAGATGGCATCTTTTGACACCGAGTCCTCTGCAGGTCTGGAGGGTTCTACTTACGATTTTGTCATTGTCGGAGGAGGTACTTCTGGCCTTGTTGTCGCCAACCGGCTGACTGAGAACCCCGATATCCGAGTCCTTGTTCTGGAAGCTGGGACAAATCGTCTCAATGATCCTCGACTTCTGATCCCCGGCTTGGGCCCCGCAACATTTGAAGATGATGACTTTGATTGGAATTTCCGATCTATTCCTCAGGTACATTGCTCAATTCCCTCGGATTTAGTTTTTAGTCCATACCTTTCTGTCGCAAAGCTTGCTAATAAATAGCAGGAGCAACTCAATGGCCGTAGATTCCTAGGCACAAAAGGCCGCACCCTAGGAGGCTCATCGGCCATCAATTTGGGAATGGTTATCTGGCCATCCCGTGCTGGAATGAATGCCTGGGAAACATTGGGCAACCCCGGCTGGGGCTGGAACGAAGTGGCTCCGTACATTCGGAAGTTCCACACAGCCGCTCCTCCGTCAAATGGCAACCGTGAGTTCTTCAAGGGAATGAAATATGAGCAAGAAGACCAGGGCAACACAGGCCCTGTCCAAGTCTCTTTCGGAGAACAGTATATGCCGTTCCATTCCGCCTGGATGGAAACCTTTGAGGCTCTTGGGTATCCGCAAGATGAAGATCCCATTAAAGGCGCCTGCACAGGTCCCTTTGTGAGCCCTGGTAGTGTGGATCCCACCAATCACACAAGAAGCCATGCTGCGGCTGCGTATCTTGGACCGAACGTCCAGGCTCGTCCTAATCTGAGGGTTGTGACTGGAGCTCTAGTTGAGAAGATTGTTCTTGAGAAGAAGGATAATGCTGATGCTGTTGCCACTGGTGTTCAATTCAGCAAGGGTTCGGATGTGTTCACCGTTTTGGTCGGCAAGGAAGTTATTCTTGCCGCGGGAACCACACAGTCGTCTCAGATTTTAGAGCTTTCAGGTGTTGGAGATGAAAAGATTCTTCGGGCTCACGGAATTCCAACAATTATCAACAACCCCGGTGTTGGTGAGAACATGCAAGATCACGGAATTGTCTCGTTTGGATATGAGGTCGCAGACGGTATGCCTTCGGGCGACATGGCCCGTGACCCGGCTGTTGCAGCTGCTGCCATGGCCGCCTACCAGAAGGATGGCTCGGGTCCTCTGGGCATGGTGCCCTTGGTCTCTGCCTTTATGCCCCTACTCGATACCTCGGACGATGACCGCAGCCGATTAATTAAAGAGATCCAAAGAGAATTGGAAAGCCCTGCTCTTCCCCTGACACACAAGAAGCAATACGAAGCATTGCATACTATGCTTCAGAATCCGGACGAGCCTACCGCGCAATTCATTCTGGCACCATTCCAGCTGCTACCCCGAGCGGGAGAGAACTCTAAGGATCTCTTTGGTCTTAGCCACCCAGGCCTCTTCATTAGCATTGTTTCCCTGCTTAGTTATCCGCTATCCCGCGGTTCCGTTCATATCCAGTCTTCTGATCCCAAGGCCGCTCCTCTGATTGACCACGGAATCCTCCGTCACCCGGTTGATCTGGAGATCCATGCCCGGCATAGTATGTGGATGGAGGTAATTGCCGAGACTGAGCCAATGGCATCGCTATTGAAGAAGGATGGCGAGCGCCTGCACACTCCCGACCCTGTGACAGACCTGGAGAAGGCAAAGGAGCTGTGTAAAGAGCTTGTTCTTTCTATGTATCATGTCAGTGGTACATGTGCAATGATGCCTCGTGAAGACGGAGGTGTTGTGGATTCGCACTTGAAGGTGTATGGCTCGGCTAATATCCGTGTGGTTGATGCCAGTATTTTCCCCTTGGAACCGCGAGGAAATATTCAGGCTACCGTATTCACTGTTGCTGAAAAGGCAGCGGACATCATTAAGCAAGACATTAACTAGCCTTGCGGGAATGTTATGAATGGTTCTAGCAGGACTAGATCTTGAACGAGGTGGAGAGGCTGCTTGGAATTCTCCGATACCATCAAAGCCATCGAACTACTTCAGGATGCGTTTTTTTAGTTACAGCTGTCTTAGCGAGAATATACAGCCCAATGACTTGATGACTGACATTTTCGACGAACTTTTTTGAGCAACCTGTCACTTGATCGCGATAAATCTCCTTGGATATTTTGAAGCGCAGACCTTGTAGTAAGGGATGTAACATCTAAGAGACCGAGAAAGCAAGAGAGAAAGGGACAATATCTGACTGACACTTTCGAGGTTTGCTTCGAAGCTTCGTCCAAGTTTTTATGGCTCCTCAAGACATGCAAGAGACTTCAGGCACGAGAGATGCTTGTCCTTAAGCAGGGCATCGCCACCATTTTTATAAGCCCTGAGAACCTGAGCATTCCTTTCCTTGATTGTGTTGACCATGTAATCGATGCCATCAGTAGCAAGCTCCTCTAGGGCATTTTCATTGGCGTCCTTGGCTTCTTCTTGAATCTCATGGAGTCGCTTCAGCCAGAACATGTATCTCCATGGGGAGAGTCCAGCAGGTGAGCGCTGTCCGAGTTCCGATTCAAGGAACTTCTCGCCACCCTTGCCGATGTCACTGGGGCAGTCATTCCAATACACCTCCGATAGTAAAAGGAGGTTGTGGCTTGCTATTTTCAGCCAAGCAACAGCAGCTGGTAACAGATGAAACACCTCAAGCTGCGCAGTACCTCGGTCCAGGTCTTCTTCATCTGACTCTTCCCCCGTGCGAAGTTCTTGAGGGCTTTCAAAGAGATTACGGAAGATCAAAAGAGCAACTTGGCACAGCCTATCCTTAACAACACGAGTTGATGCAAGTTTGGCCAGGAATGTCGCAAAATTGAGACGGTGTGTTCCCGACATTGAAGGACCGTTATTGATCCAGAAATCAGTCATATCGCCAACCAAGAAGGGAAGGTCATTCCAAAGTGTACCGTCGACGGTTCGTGCGATGTCAATTCCATAGACACCCCGTGCAGGTCTGGATAACGGCCCCATTCCTTGAATTCGAAGAATATCGAGGACTATACCCTCATGCTGAGGTGGGTCGGAGGAGATGTTTCGGGCAAGCTCGTAGTACATATACCATAGGGAATGAATGTGGCACTCAAGGGAATCTACACCGTCTCCAATATCGCAATATCGGCTGGTAACCACCCAGGTCCGGTTACTGAAAGCCACGTCTCGGACCTCTTCAAATTCACCTCGAGCGATAGCCTGTCGTGTGCTTTCCTGGTCTCTACGAGCATAGTCGCTCGTTTTGACAGAAGGAGTGTCTCTAGGCAGAGAGCTCAGGAGAGAATCACGGAGGTGGTCCATTTTATAAAGCTGACAATGTTGAGTTATAACTCATGTATAATCCATATAAGAGAAAGAAGACAACAAGGAAGTGAAAGTATTGAGATGGTCGAGCTCATGGGGGCTTTAAATGCCCAACTTAAACGAGGGACCCCTACTAGGCAGCAACGTAGGCTCTGACAGGCTGGCAGCCCAATATCTGACTCGTGTATACTTTTCTCTTCGTTGTCGATCAGCCGGTAGCCAAGACAGAAGTCCATGTCGACCATGCAGCCATCGAGCAGGCGATACGTAACAGGTCACAATCCCCGAGGCGCTGCGAGTCAGACTGGCAGACTGGAAGCTTCCAGGCCTGTACGGAGTATGAGGAGCGCTCAGGCAACACTACTTCAATTGTATATTCAATGCGACCAACCGAAGGCTTGGTTTGCGAACTTCTCTGGATCGTTATGTGAGTTAGCGACCTTCGAGCGTCGGGCCCGACAGTACTGTCGGATAGCAGCACATATATACGGAGTAGTGCGAGTTGGTCGGTTGAATGCTATCAAATTGTGTCCTATGTCTATCTTTTCGCTTCTTATCCCATTTTAGCTTCTTCCGCATCATTCTGCCAAGTCGCGAAGACTCTGTTCCAAGACTTTCTGGAGTCGGCGCAGCTCCGAACGTCGATGACCGATTCGAGGGGATTCAGCTGCCAAACTAAGTAAATCCTCGTCTGAATAGCAACTGACAACTGTAGGGTTGAATGCATCAGATAGCTTGGCGAGAATATGTCGCTCAATAACTTGGCGAGTGACATTGTCAACGAATGTTTTTCGAGCAACCTAACACTAGATTAGATTGAATCTCCCTAGTAATCGTGATGCGCTGACCTTGTAGTAAGCATTCAAATCGGTTTTTGCGTCGAGACATGCTTGTTCTTTCATGTCAACAACAAGACGGGATTTCAGAGACTTCAACAATCCGGCGATGTCATTCTCTGTATTTGGTAGATTGTGGCGACCATTCCAGTCAGGAGCAATAGCGTCGCGCACAGATTTCTCAATTTGTTGCATGGAATTGTCATGTCTTGCTTTCTGGATGTTGTCCGTGTAATAGTGGTTGTAGGTGATTGGCTGGCGAGTTTCATCCTCCAGTAGTTTTGCCAGTTCGTGTTCACTGGCTTCAACGTTTGCTTCCAGTGCAGCCTGGATAAGGCAATTGACATTTTCCCGAATCTTCCCATCTTTGATTACATGTATGAGTGCGAGATTGGCGAATTGGCTAACAATCTTTGAGATAGAATTGATGTGTTCACGAGCGATCAAGGCCCACCGTGACGACTGCACGTGAAATAGTTCAGCGAGGAATGAATGGTTATAATTCCCTGGCAATTCTCGGCCTCTGGTTTGGATATAAACCTATAATGACTTAGTATTGCCCAAGGCATCTCCATTACAAAGGAAAGTCCTACCTGCTGAATCCACTCCAACATCTCCTCTGCAGTGACATGTAGTTGACCTTCGTCTTGCTCAGGGCGTTCCTGGTTGCCCGGTATCACTTTACGCTTCTCGCCATGCTCCCTCATATTATCGGAGAATCGCTCATTCTCTATATGAATTGCAGCACGCAGACGAACAAACAATTGTCCATCGCTCGTCCCAAAGAATCCCGCGTCACAGCCACCATATGACCCTTCAACACCAGCGTTTATCAGATTGTAATAGCTTGTGCTTATTCTTGTCAAGAACATGCGTATCTGGCTTGGGGACTTCCGCTCAGAACCAAGGTCACCAAGCTCCTCGTTGATACCACGCAACACCCGACGCGCATCTTCACGAACCTTTGGCATCTCTCTCTCAATATGGCTGTCCAACAATTCCTCCAAGAAGGAGCGTAGTCTGTCAATGCCGATACGTGAGGAATCCAATCCTTGCTTCTTCCAACGGTCAGTGCCAAAAAGGCCAACTCCGCATGGCGGCGCCCATCCGGTGTGATTCCTGCCTTTAGCTCAACTGGACTGGGATTCTTGAGAAGGAACCATCCAAGATTCAATCTTGTGCGATCGCAGTTGTTTGCTAACTGGGCGACACGTGATTCTGTCCCTTCGTTGATGAGATCCGGCTTGGTGATGATTCCAACTGTCCTGAAGCCGGCTTTGTCGAAACACCGAGCACGTTGAATGATACCCTGGGTGTCAACATCGCTACTTGCCGGCACTACCGCAAGGATTATAGTGCGAGAATTTTGTAGATATGAGTCCACCAAGTTTTCCACAAGCTGCACATCTTCCTCGTTTTCCGAAACCGATATCAAACCAGGAAGATCAACGATTGTCAGGTGAAGGCCAGTATCGCCAACAAGTTCGAGTCGAAGGACATCGGCAGCAAACGCGGGACCCTCCGCCTCCATTCCAGCGCCACGTACACCCATTAGCTTTGCAGCTTGATCGATGATGTTTGGTAGCTCTTCAAAATCCAGGAGGCGGTGGTGAAAATTACTTAAGCTGGCTTTTTGTTCCGTATTCCGAGATTGGTGCGGGATGATAGAAACCGTGATTGCAAGCCCAAATGTGGTAGAGTCATGGCGAAGAATGATCTCAGTCGGGAATCGAGTGCAAAGGCCATCTTGTCGAGGAAATGGGATCCCAGTGATACCTTCTAGAACGGAGCTTTTTCCTGCCGACTGGTCACCACTTACCACCAACTGCGGTAGCGCGATGATATTGTCAACTCCATTAGCGCGAAGTCGATCAATTTGATTCATGCGTTTCGAGGTTTTGGATGACTGAAGGCCAATGTTCGTGCGAAGCCGGTCAAGAGCAACCTGCTCTGCAGCCAACTGTGGAACCATTTCTGATGGCTTCGATGGAAAAAGGCTACAGAGGCGAGAAGAAAAGTGCAAGGTAGCTGTTCTGCTTGCTGGAGAAAGCTCAAATACTTGCCTTATATAGTCTAGAGCATGTCAAAGAACCAAGAGGCGGAAGCAAGTAGATACAGTGGACAAATAACAGGGTTCTGCTGCATGGATCATTGTCAATTGTGTTTCATGAGATCGCTAGCGAAAGTGAAATCTTCACAAATGACACACATAAATGGCCACTCAAAGAAGGAAACAGAACCCATATTGTTGGCAATATCCCTCAAGGAGGCAAGGATTCAAGAGGAATATGCATGGCCTAGATCGTAAAGGGGAGACAGGATGATGTGAAAGCCGCCGGCCGGAATCGATGTAGATATTAAGGCACTAAGGCCAACACTCGAGGTGTCAAGGTGTCAAGGTGTCAAGGTGTCAACGCCAAGAAGCAGGCGAAATGCCTCACGTGCAGTCTACGTACATGGACAGGATTCACTCAACATTACATTATTCCTTTAGTTGTGCTCGTCTCCAGATCAGTATGAGTGCCAGGGTATTGCAGAGAGCCCCTTTATTGGCATCTATTACCATCCAGCACCCAAGGCTAACCGTGAGGTCATTGGGACCTGTGTCATTGGCTATAGCTCCCGCCACAAGGAGAGGCTGTCATCGATCATTGCATGCATGGTAATAATTCCCAGATGGCCAATTAGATGTGGCGAATCTGACCAAGTCATATAGCTATAAACCACGCTCACTGGAGAGCCTGGGTATGTCCTCCTTGCCCCTCCACGCTTATCGGCGTATCATCCCAAAGAGGAAAGATGCCTGTCCCGCAATTTTTCCTTCTTCGCATTTAATTTGGCGTGTCTGCATTGAGACCAATTTTAATACTCTGTAGGATCAGCTGAAACAGCACAATTGGTATCATCCGAAATTTTGCATAGAAATGCTCTATCGCGGCGTTTAATACCGTCGTTGCATTTGACCCCGCCTACAAGGAATTTCTCCACTGTGCAAACAATTGATCCCAAGATGAACTTGAGGTACACCAGTCCAGAGCTCCACCGGGCTTTCATTGCCTTGGGAAGCAATGTTGGAGACAGAATAGAAATGATTGAGCAGGCTTGTCATGAACTAGACCAAGCTGGCATCAAGGTCAAAAGGACAAGCTCATTGTTCGAGACCGCGCCGATGTATGTGCTCGATCAAGACCCGTTCATCAACGGTGTGTGTGAGGTATGTCAATCAATTTTATGGTCAGATATGTAGACTTAGTGATTAACCCATCTCAGGTGGAAACAACCCTCGCGCCTATGGATCTTCTGGACACTCTCCAATCCATTGAGATTGCGATGGGCAGAAAGAAGCTCATTGACAAGGGCCCACGTTCTATAGACCTGGACATCCTGCTGTATGATCAGGAGGTCTTTTCTCACGAACGTCTCAACATCCCACACAATCTTATGCTGGAACGAGACTTTGTGTTGCGACCTCTCAGCCAGTGTGTACCAAATGACTCTTCATCTGCCGACACACAACCACATGAACTGACCATCTAACACCAGACTGATCCCCGATGAATATCCTCCTCTTCCAGGAAAGGACGCGCAGACATATAGCGCACATCTAAAGGCTCTCCCACCACCAGAGCCAACCCCAATCTCCACAACTCCAATCTCACCACAATTCCCATCCCTGCACGCAACAGACCCCAAGCGCAGCACTCACATCATGGCAATCCTAAACCTGACCCCAGACTCCTTCTCCGACGGCGGCAAGCACTCCCCAACAGACCTCACCTACATAACAGAAACAGTCCGCAACTTCATCGCCTCCGGCGCAACGATCATCGACATCGGCGGCGAGAGCACCAGACCGGGCTCAACACCCGTCGGAGCCACTGAAGAAATCGCCCGCGTAGTGCCCGCAATCCGCCATATCCGAGCCATGCCCGAAGCCGCAAACATCGCCATCAGCATCGACACCTACCGCGCCAGTGTAGCTGAAGCAGCCTGCCTCGCCGGCGCAGACATCGTCAACGATATCTCTGCCGGCCTCCTCGACCCGCAGATGCTCTCAACAGTAGCGCGTCTCGGCAAATCAGTCATCCTAATGCACATGCGCGGCTCGCCGCAGACAATGACCAGTCTGCTTGACTACCCCGGCGGTGTTATCCCGGAAGTAGCAGCTGAACTAGGCGAGCGCATTGCGGCCGCTGAAGAAGCGGGAATCCGACGCTGGCGTATCATTCTCGACCCAGGTCTCGGCTTTGCGAAGATCCAGCCGCATGATTTGGAGATCCTGAGGGATTTACCGAAGTTGCGCGCGATGCCAGGACTTGAATGCTTCCCTTGGTTGATGGGGCCGAGTCGGAAGAGGTTCATTGGGCATATTACCGGGGTGAAGACCCCGCGGGAGCGTGTTTGGGGTACGGCTGCTACGGTCTCTGCTAGTGTGGCAGGTGGTGCGGATATTGTGCGTGTTCATGATGTCAGCGAGATGTGGCAGGTTGCAAAGGTTGCGGATGCGATCTATCGCGTTGATTGAGATGTTTCTTTTTGTCGTGCCACATATCATATATCCTTGGCCAGGGGGAGTTTACATGAGGCCTTTTGTATTCAACATTTGAGTGTGACCTGTACTATGATGTACTACTATGTTCTCTTCATTCATCATGGAGTTCTTATTTTTTTCGGGTTGTACGGGACCTAACAAAGGGGGACTGAGCTTTTGTGCATTGTCTATCAATAATATCAAATCATGAACTTCTCGATTATCTTAAATCCTATCAACGAAATTAGCAAAATAAAATAAAACCCTGACGTTGATCATCCTATGTTGTAGTGTAGGAATGCGAAGGGGAACAAAAATCGTCAATCTCACGCCAGATTGCTTTTCACGATATGAACCCCAAATTTTGGTCGACTGCTGATCACAATTGTTTTCCAGAGGAAAGGTATCGTCATAAGTCTGAGAAGGGCAGGGGATACACAATATACGTCACGCACTAAGGGGGCGAGACTGGGGGAATTCGGATATCAATGTGGCTTGCTAAGGTATTTGAACTGATAGAAGGCGTAACATCTAATTGACATAGGCAACTAGCCTAGTTGTTGAGATAGTTGCGAATAGCACCTGGTCACATCCAGTTAGTAACGAGTATATAAAACTGTGCAAATGATAAGATGTGCTCACCCTGTAGTTTAGTCGCACCTTCGCCAACCAGATGCGACAAATTCTCAAGGTCATCTCCAGCAGTGATACCAAAGCGGCGGATGAAGTCCTTAGCAGCAACCTCCATATCGCCGTAACCGTCGTCAAGCGAGCTGATCTCATCTTCGGGCCGGCCGAAGTAGCTGTTGCTAGAAATAGAAGTAGCGCTGTCGAATTGGCGGAGACGCTCCTTAGCCTCCGATTGAGCAGCAGGGTCAAACCGGTCTCGTCCGAAGAATTCGTCAGACGAGATGCCCTTCTGGGCGCCAAATCGGGTTCTGGTCTGAGCAAGTTCCGCATCTGTGTCGACTGTCAGCTCATCACCTTTAAACAAGTTCGGAACAACAAAGGGAAATTACCATCAGCAGGGTTGGACTTGGCAGGCCCAACGGAACCAAAGGTCGGCTTCTTAGGGGCAACGGGCTTCGACACCTGGCCAAAGCCAAGTCTGCTCATACCCATACCCAAACGCTCTACGTCGCTCGAATTGCGGTCATGAGAGTTGCGGGCAGGGCTGACTGGGATGGGGGAAGCGATTGGGATAGCAGCGGCAGCACTCGCAGCCTTCTTGGCCTCGGCTTCCGCCTGCTCGGCCTCGGGGTCGTAGCCAAGCTTTTCGATGCGCTCGGCCTCTTCCTTAGCCTTGCGCTCCGCCTCGTCGAAATCGATGATATCTGCAGCCGCAACCTTCCTAGCCCCGAGCTTTGGTGCCTTCTTGGCACCGAGTACGCTGCCCTTCTTCGCAGAGGTAGCTGTGGGGGTCTTCCGGGTGACACTTGTGGGCCGAATAGCAGCGGGCGCCGGAGATGCGCGCTTCTCTTCGGAGGCAGACAAAGGAGATTTCGAGCGGGATCCGTTGGCGCCGGTGCTGGCATTCAGGAAAGGAGAGCCGTTGCGGCTGACAACGGGGGTGTACCAGTGCGCGACGGGGGGTTGCTCGGACGCTTGATCGAGGGCTTGTCCCAGGAGGAAAAGAAGTCGTCGTCGCCATCGCCAGCAGGGGTGTTCGATCCATCTGAAGGAGTGCCAGCAGGAAGATCTGTGATAACAACTTCCTCGGGGTACCTAAACAAAAGCAACAACACTGGTCAGCACCTGGTCGCATGGGTTGCGTTATGATATCCACTGACTGTTGCGCATCCAGCGCAGCGCGCTTCTTGAGTTCCTCCTTATACTTGACAGCTGCATTGCAGGTATATTTGACCTTGGTATCCTTGCTCGCCAGCGCAGCGGAACCTCCGTGCGATTGGAAATATTTGGTCGCAGACTCATTTCCACCAACCTTCATCACTCGTAGCTGCTCCCATTGCCACTCTGCATACAATGTCAGCAACAAAATACCGAAACAATTGGCGTATAGAGGAGTTGTATTGGAGAGTACATACGGTCGAGATTTGTTGATCGGACAAAGGAGATGTGCACACCGAGATTACGGTGGTGTGCCGAACAGTCAAGGCACAAATAAATACCGAACGGAACTGAAGACCATGTCGGGTTTTTAGTGCCGCAATCGAAGCATACCTGCAAGCGGTAGAGACATCAGAATCGAGTGCCACAATCATACAGCGCCATACGGGGTGGGGGTGTGCGCACCTTGTTTGCAGGCTTCAGCTTGACCTTCTCAAAGATCTTTTGAGACTGCGCCTTTGTGGCACTCATGATGATACCGAGGAGATATCAATGGGGAAGACACCGAAAAGGAAAAAAGGGGGGTTTGATTGACAGCTCAGGGAAGGCAAAAGGGAAGCATCCCGAGTCGGGAATGGCGAACGTGGACACTCAACTCGAGACCCTGTGCCTGGTGTAATCGTCATACAACGCCTCCCGTTTGGCCGCGGCTGTCGCCGCCATCGGCAGTATTGTATTACCGTATTGTAACCGTCACCTGGATTATCTCGTCGCACGTGATTCTCGTATGAAGATCGCCGATGGCAACGGAGATAATCCAATTCGTTATCCGACGAGATACTCCAACTCGTACGAAAAGCCCATTTGCGATTCATCACAATGAGCTCCTTCCAATTACGCGCTCTTCCCCGAGTGTCGCCCGCCTTCTCTATCCTCCGGTCCTCTCCCCGCATACAGACACAGCTCGCTCGGCTCTACGCCACGCAAAACAATATAGGCGGCGGGCCTCAGACTACTTCGTCAAGGAAGAAGAGCATTACAGTCCTCTCTGATGATGGGAGAGTTCAGTGGGGCGATTTGAGTGGAGGAGAGAAGGTTGCACGGGCAACACAACAGTCCTTCAACTTTGTTCTAGTATTGGCTGGAGCAGTATTGACGGTACATATTGCATTCATTCCTCAAGATCTAGCATGTGGATCCTGACTATTTTTCCTGATTAGGGTGGAGTCTTCACACTTTTCTATCTCGAGGTCCTATCACCCAATAGCAGGACATGGCAGTTCGAGACCGCGGTAGGGCGCATTAAGGACCACCCCGAGTGTATCAAGCTGCTCGGTGATCGCAGAGAGATCAAGGCCTATGGCGAGGAGACCCGGAGCCGATGGGCGCGAAACAGACCTATCGCGTTAGTTCTTGCTCCTTGCATAGCTCTATGACTGAAATGCTAACAACGACTAGATCATCTACAGAAAAGGACCGGCTAGGTCGTGAGCATCTTCGCATGCACTTCCATGTACGATATCACTCCTTCTGAAAACCAAACATGAGTATACTGATCGTGAATTATAGGTCGAGGGTCCTCTCAACTCCGGCGTGGTCGTCGTGCACATGATCAAGCCTTTGGATAAGAGCGATTTCGAGTACCAGCTTCTGGCGCTGGACGTGAAGGGGCACTCCCGCATTGTGCTTGAGCAAGCCTCAGAGAAGCCCAGTGTGGCCAGTGCATTGAAGCTCTTTGGTATTCAGTGGCGCTGATATGGTGATGGTGCCAATTCCCCATGATACCCCTGCACCTCAACCCATGCTAGGTCACAAGCCCTGCCCATCTGTGATGAACATTTCTGCATTCATCCGAACTTTTGTTCTTGGGACTTTTTTTACTTTGTCCAGATGTGGGGAAGATGCCTCCCTTGTACTTTATATTGAAAATCTCGGCCACTGGCCATCTACTCAGGCTCCGATTACCTGTACGCTGTATCATAGTTTAGGACTCAAATTTCAATACGATATTGTCCCATATCTCGTTATAAGTTGAAGTATTGATGTGATCTGAGTATTTGAAATATATAACTTGCATTACAGTGAGCTTAGCCCGAAGAACATATTTATAATTTGATTCTTTGAGAGAAATTGACATGAATACACATAAACACATGATCGTCTAGAAAAAATGCACGCTCAAGCTCATCAACAAGTCTATACAACTCTAGGTCCATCAATGATAGTCTTCGCCTCCTCTGATCTCCACCAACTCTTACCCTCCTGACCGGGGTACTCGAAGGCATCCATACTATCCGCCTTCATCTCAACACTGTACCCAGGCTCCAAGGGAGTAACATAGTAACCATCCTTAACACTAGATGGGTGCACAAAGTGCTCGTGAAGGTGGTCCACATACTCAAGAACACTTTTCTTGCCGGTAACGACAACATAGTCGATCGTGCTCAGGTGTTGAGTGTATTCGGGAAGACCGACACCACCAGAGTGTGGCACAATAGGCACACCGAACTTGCGTGCCAGTAAGAGAATGGCCAGAACCTCGTTCACACCGCCGACACGGCAGGCATCGGGCTGGAGAACAGTCAGGGCGCCGGCTTGCAACAGCTGCTTGAAGATAACGCGGTTCTGGCACATCTCGCCGGTAGCAACGCCAATGGGGCCATGGGGGGTGTTGGCCAGAGCCTTGCGGATGGCGGCGTGACCGAGGATATCATCGGGGGAGGTAGGCTCTTCGATGAACCAGGGCTTGAACTCTGCGAGCTCTTGCATCCAGGTAATAGCCTCGGGGACGGACCAGACCTATTTGTCGTCAACGGTTAGTCTGGCTCAAATTGGAACGAACGACGTTCGGACGGAAGGAGCGTACCTGGTTGGCATCCACCATCAAAATATTCCCCTTGTCGTACCCAATGGCCTCCCGCGCAATGCGCAATCGAGACTTATCATCTTCCAGGTCTCCACCAACCTTAAGCTTGAAGTGTTTGTAGCCCTGCCCAAGAGTCTCCTGCAACAATGACTTCAGCTTATCCTTGCTGTATCCTAACCAACCAGCGCTGGTAGTATAAGCAGGAACAGCCTGGCTGGCTTCAGCCTCCTTGATGCGATCCTGTTTACCAGCCTCAATCTCCCGCAGGAGACCGATGGCCTCCTCGGGGGTGATAGCATCAGTGATATAACGGAAGTCAATGCAACGCACGAACTCCTCGGGGGTCATGTCAGCCACAATGCGCCAGACAGGCTTGCCGAGGGTCTTAGCCCACAGGTCCCAGAGAGCATTAACAAGAGCACCGAGAGCGAGGTGGGTCACGCCCTTCTCGGGGCCGATCCAGCGCAGCTGGCTGTCGGAGACGAGGTAACGCCAGGTCTTACCCCAGTCTGCGGTCAACTCGTCGAGATCTTTACCCACGACCATAGGGGCCACGAGAGAAATCGCTGCACAGACAATCTCATTACCACGGCCAATTGTGAAGGTCTGTATAGCTATTGGGTTAGTTCAAATCTTCTTGGTGTGGAGTGTGCTATGACGTACCATGCCATGTCCGGTATATTCTGAATCTGTGGTGATGATGCAGTAGGCGGATGAATAGTCACCCGCTGCGTTCATCGCATCTGAACCGGTCTTGTCCAGCGAGGTCTATGGTGGGGTTGTCAGTATTCTAAGAAAGGAGTATACAACGGCATTGTCCTGGGATGAATGTTGACGTACCGGAAACCTCACGTCGCGCGTGGTGAAGCCAGTAATCTTGACCATTGTGAATAATTATCAATTACGACGTAGAGATAGGTGGCAGTCCTGTCAATAGCTAATAGTAATAGGGGCACGAGTCAGTCTCCAAACCAACGTGGTGGTTGATCTATACCGGAGTGTATATATACCTACTGGGTATCGTCAAAAACCACTTTTTTTGAGGGGTTCGAACACACAAGAGCGACAAAGGAGGGATATGTCAGTAGGAAGAAATGATTCAAGAATTCCAAGAGATTCCAACTTGTATATACAGCCCAAGATATTCCCCCGCGCCATCGCCAATTTATCCCACCGCCCCTCCCCCGACATCACAGGCGCGTTCTCATTGGCGGAGAATTACAAACGCCAGGAAAATCAGCGATTCCACCAATCACAGCGCAGGCAGCATACTCGGAGATACTCCGCGATTGCCCTGACTGGGGTTGCATTGCCCCCGGTTCCTCCGTGTACTATACGGAGTAAAGGATGCAACATACCACCTGGGCACTCTGTGGACTACAGCATAATCTAGGGGCCGAAAAAGTGTCGGGAGACGGGGGAGAAGCCATTTGAAAGCATACATTCAGGATGATCTGATATTCATTTGCTGTTACATTTGCATGAAGCTGAGATAGAATAGACGCAGCATCTCTCGTCAAAATGTACTTAAATAGCTAGATCAAGAGGACAGGCCTCGTTTCTCGCTCTCGGAACAGAAAATGATCATTCGCCAAAGCTTGCGAACAAGGACTTCGGCCTCCTCGTCCAATGCCTATAGAGAGGTGATGGTGATTAGTGAATGGGCTTATAGAAGAGAAAGGGTAGGTACTCACTTCGGCCAGCTGTTCGACCAACTCCTGAGGGGAGCCATGCTTTCGCACATGTTCCTCCACCACGTCCACCAGCATTTGTTCCTGCACTCCAAGATACTCGACGATCTTTTTCTCCACAAACGGCTTGAGCTGGTCACTGATAATGGCTTCATCGACAAACTCCCACTTGACCTGCCAGTTCCAAAGGCCTTCTTTCTCGGATGGAATCTCGGCAGCGAGTTGACGGGCCGCCTGAGCGCGCTCCTCGTCGGTAAGACCGGCAGCTTCAGCGGCAGAATCGAATTTGATCGGAATAAGTTGACGGCGGGTTGCGTGGACGGGCTCTTCCTCGTCCTCCAGTAGTCCTTCCACCTCGGCCACTGTACGGCGACTGGTCGCGGCCTGAGCCTTCTGCGCGGCGGCTCCAAGGGAAAGCTTGAAGCGTTGGGGTTCACGGGGAGCCTCCGGAGTACGGACTTCAAGCTCCTTGGCTTGGCGAGCGAGGAAGTCATCGGCCATACCCCGAGCCTGCTCTTGCTGCTTGGCAGATTGCACACGCTCACGATCTTCAGCGGCGCGATCGGAATCGTCCATGTTGACCTCACGGGAACGGAAGCTGGCACGGTTCCGGAGCCAGGCTCCACGGTCTGCATAGTAGTCGGCCGCCTTCCGGTTGTCTTCAGTATCGTCGTTCCAAGCACCAAGTCGTGCTTCCATCTCATCGTGCGCAGCTTGCAGCTTCACATCTTCTTCATCCTCGCGCTTCTTCTCTCGCTCCAGCGCGGCGGTTCGGCTGCGCTCACGGTTAAGCCAGCGGCGTTCTTGATCGGAGAATTGCTTCTCCTCCTCGGCTTCGTGTCGCGCCTTTCGGCGGCGTTCAATTTCGTCGTCGCTAGCATCAGAATCCTCGTCTTCGCTCTTAACGTAGGCCCCATTCAACGATCCACCATTCACGAAAGAAACTCCCTTCTGATAGTCTTTCGGAATCTGCACACCGAAAGCCTTTGGACCGGAAGGTGCGTTCGGCACATGACGATCTCGCGGGCCGAGTGGAATACCGTTGATACCGGCGGCGGGACCGCTGGGAGCGGATGCTGGAGGCGAAGCAAGTCGGTTGATACGAGGACCAGAATTGCGTGCACGCTCCATCGACTCGATCTCCTCCTCGCGTCTCAAACGCTCGAGGTCGCGGCGGGTGCTTCGTTCGCGGAATGCAGAAATCTCCTTGGCCACATTGGCGCGCATCTCCGGGGGAATATCGGCCAACTCATCTTCCATTGTAATGGGGATTGTAACGACTTCTCCATCCTTCATTTCAACATCGCCCTCCCCATCAACATTTGACTCCTTTTTAGTGGGGGCTGGGGGATGGAAAAGGTCTTTCAAGACCTTGTTGAGGTTCGTGCGGGCAGCGTCGAAACGTGCTTGACGTTCTTCGGGGTCTTGCTCTGCTCGGCTAGACTCAAATTGCTCCAGATAAGTGAGGGTGCCGTCATCGACAATGATCTGCCATACAAGTCAGTAGACTGATTTAAACATGATTGGTATTCACGCACCAGAAGCGGGCTCTTTTCGATCTTCTCATCCTCGTCACCTTCGGCGCCATGTGTCTGTCTCTTGACCGGCACTTCGACATCCTTCAATGTTTCAACCGCAACCTCAAGACTCTCCGGGTCATCATATTCGGCAAAGCCAAAGCGGCACGGTTTCTCATCGGCATCTGTAGCGCGAATCCAACGGCGCAAGATACCTGTAGATCGTAGAATGCGCTCAATGCCATCATCACCGCCTACGCCTTCGGTGATTCCACCAACAAAAAGCGTGCGGACAATTTCATCGCGAGTAGGAGGTTGGAGCTGCATGCCGGTATCGCGACCGTGATGGCGCTGGCTATCCATGCCCATCGATCCCAGACCCGCACGGCGCCCAGGACCATCTGAGCGTTCCCGACTGCCCTCTTGAGCTGCAGGCTTAGCTGGGCCCGAGGTACCAAGACGAATTACCGGGGCAGAGAAATTGATGTTGGGCATATTGGCAGGGGGTTGGAAGTTAGGTGGGAAGCTTCCTGGGCGACCAGGCTGGTTGTTGGCTTGTTGCATGCCTGGGGGTGCGCTAGTACCTGGAGCAGCCATTCCCGGAGGAGGTGCTGGAACTGGTCAGTCTGAATTGAAAATGAGATTATAATAGGAAGTAATTTACTCACCCATGCCTGGAGGCGCGCCATATGCGCCATAATCGGGAGCCTGTCCATAAAGACCGGGGGCTGTCTGAGAGTTAGCATGTTCGTGACAACAAGGTTTTCTCAAGCGCCTTGAAATGGGAAGAGATACTCACGTTGATAAGGATTGTACATGATGCCGATGACGGTACCGCCGACGTTGACAATGTTGACAATGTGGACAAAGTCAGGTCGGCCAAGGCTCGATTGAAACTATCTTCACTTTTGCCAGCGAAAAAGCGTAGGCGGTGAACAGGCGGTGGACAGCGTCGCAACGGTAGCTCCCAAAATGAAAGGTGGCACGTGCGCGCATGAAGGCCCGTTGTGCAGGAGCGACCAAGGTGTACCTGTTATGCACCGTTTTACTATGTACCCTTCGGTACCGGGGACTTTATATGAGACATGTGCCCAATGTCTACATCCATATAGAGATACCTAGGTAGATACATGAAACAACTGCCCACATCTATGTGTATATTCTCCGTACTTACAGGGGATATAGTTGGCGACTATGTCATACAGTCAACCAATCGAACCAGCACAAGCCAATGTGTTGCCCGGTTCAAGACCGCCATGAGGTTTAAAATTGGACTATGTTGTATAGCGAAGCATGTCACCCATAGCCGCTCAATTCCAAATGTCCCGCTCTACAGCATTCTGGAAGCCAACGGTCCGGGCCCAGAAGAGTAAAAACAATTGCCTACAAGTATACAAAGAATAGTGGAGTACTCCCGGTAAGCAGATTCGGCTTAACCGGAGACCAAAGAGAGAAAATGGGCGATTCCAGAAAATAATACCCAGTAAAATCCAAAAATAAACCGAATGCGGCAATGATGATGTTGCCCCACGACCCCTCGGACCCCAACGCGCCGGACGCAACTGACGCCATTCGATTTCCTGTTACTTTTGTTGTTTCTTTCTCTATCCAACCTCTTTGCTTTCTGTATGTTTCAAGTGTCTTCTTCTGAACCTCATTTGGTACAACATAGTATACCCATCGTGGCCAGCGCTAATCCCCTCTACTCATAGAACCCCTCAACCATTGTCACCATGCCTGGTTTCTCCCAAACCAATGACCTTCCTGCCTGGAAGGAGCTCCAGGAGCACCACACCACCTTGGGTCGTAACCTTGTCCTGAAGGATCAGTTCCAGAAGGACCCCAAGCGCTTCGAGAACTTCAGCCACAAGTTTGCCAACACAGTAGACAACACAGAGATCCTCTTCGATTTCTCTAAGAACTTCCTAACCCAGGAGACCGTTTCTCTGTTGGTCCAGCTTGCTAAGGAGGCTAAGGTCGAAGAGCTCCGTGATGCCATGTTCCGTGGTGAGCACATCAACTTCACAGAGGATCGAGCTGTCTACCATGCTGCTCTGCGCAACGTGGCCAATGAGCCCATGCAGGTGGACGGCAAGAGTGTGGTTGAGGATGTCAATGCTGTTCTGGAGCACATGAAGGAGTTCTCCGAGCAGGTCCGGAGCGGCGAGTGGAAGGGTTACACTGGCAAGAAGATTAACACCATCATCAACATTGGTATTGGTGGTTCCGATCTGTAAGCTTTTCTGTCCTGAATCGTTTAGGGACTGTAGCTGACATCTGCATCTAGCGGCCCTGTTATGGTCACTGAGGCTCTCAAGCCTTATGGCCACCCCGACATCAAGCTCCACTTCGTCTCCAACATTGATGGCACCCACATCGCCGAAGCTCTGAAGAACTCGGACCCCGAGACCACCCTTTTCCTGATCGCCTCGAAGACTTTCACCACCGCAGAGACCACTACCAATGCCAACACCGCTAAGTCTTGGTTCCTCCAGACTGCCAAGGAGGATGCACACATCGCTAAGCACTTTGTGGCCCTCTCTACCAACGAGGCTGCGGTCACCAAGTTTGGTATTGATGCCAAGAACATGTTCGGATTTGAGTCTTGGGTGGGTGGCCGTTACTCCGTGTGGAGTGCCATTGGCCTGTCTGTGGCTCTGTACATTGGTTACGACAACTTCCACCAGTTCCTGGCCGGTGCCCAGGCTATGGACAAGCACTTCCGGGAGACCCCCCTCGAGAAGAACATCCCTGCTCTTGGTGGTTTGTTGAGTGTCTGGTACAGCGACTTCTTCGGTGCCCAGACCCACTTGGTTGCTCCCTTCGACCAGTACCTGCACCGCTTCCCCGCGTACCTGCAGCAGCTTTCCATGGAGAGCAACGGTAAGGCTATCACTCGCACTGGAGAATACGTCAAGTACACCACTGGACCCATCCTGTTCGGCGAGCCTGCCACCAACGCGCAGCACAGCTTCTTCCAGCTCCTGCACCAGGGCACCAAGCTCATCCCCGCCGATTTCTTGATGGCCGCCGAGTCACACAACCCCGTTGAGGGTGGTAAGCACCAGCGCATGCTGGCTGCCAACTTCCTCGCCCAGTCCGAGGCTTTGATGGTCGGCAAGACCCCCGCTCAGGTCAAGGCTGAGGGTGCCGCTGAGGAGCTTGTCGCTCACAAGACTTTCCTGGGTAACCGTCCCACCACCTCCATTTTGGCTCAGAAGATCACTCCCTCCACCTTGGGTGCTCTGATTACCTACTACGAGCACGTCACCTTCACCGAAGGTGCTATTTGGAACATCAACTCGTTCGACCAGTGGGGTGTCGAGTTGGGCAAGGCCCTCGCCAAGAACATCCAAAGCGAGCTGGAGACCGAGGGCGCTGGTGCCGACCATGACAGCTCCACCAGTGGTCTTCTGCTTGCTTTCAAGGAGAAGGCTAAGCTGGCTTAGAGAGTTATGGTCTTGTGTGAAGGACCGTGGGATGTGTAGTTTTGACGAGCAACGATTTTCCACATATTTTTCCGTTTTGAGAAGGAATGAACAATTATCGAATTTTCCATCATTGAGCAAGTAAGATATTGTAGACCATGTTAATACACTAGAATTAGGAGTGGTGGCTTTGGATTCAATGTGATGCAACCACTGGGGTCGCTGCAGCAAGGGGAAATCCAGTTGTTGGCCGCAACTCCGACTCCGCAACGCCGCGGTCGAACTCCGTCCTTGACCTTTGCGCAACCCTCGAACTCTGCAATCTGGCCGATGCGCGGCGATCTTTACAATTATCCGAGAAATAAAAATGACTTTGAAACGCCAATTGAGTCCATCCTCTGCTGCGCTGGCGCTGCTGTCTTTGACAGGCGCCATGTGGCCAACTGGCGCTCTTGCGGGGAGCGCCAACGGCAACAGCGAGGGATACAAACCGAGAGAGGACATCCCAGTGTCATGTTTGAACCGGACAATGTGAGATAACTATTCAATAGACCTTTACAGCACTGCTAATCATTGCTTGTTATATAGGGAGGGAGAGCATGTAAGCGCCACCAGCCCGTCTACCAACTCCTAACACGCAAGCGCCAGCGCAAACCACATCGAGACACAAAGCTAATAGCATTTACGAAAATCTTCAGGTCACTGACAGCCTCGGCAAACTTCAATATGTGCCCTTTGTCACTTGCAACGAAACTGCCCGCCCTCTCTCCCTCCACTACGGCGTCTCCGAAACGATAACATGCACTATCGACTCACTTACCGATGAACTCTACCATCTCCTCGAGTTCTACGTCCACTCCGATGTCCCAATGACCTGCCGCGTGCCAACGGCACCACTCACACCCTCCGCCGGCGCAGTAGAGAAAGCGGACAAAGACTCGGACGACAAATCGGGAGAAGTAGACTCTCTCTCAGCACTGGCCGACAACGGACCTCCCTTCACGCCCCTCACAATCGCGCTGCAGGGCACGCTGCAACTGAGCCACTTGCACATCTGGACGGATATGAACGTCGTGATGCACAACATGGCCTCGGACGCGGCCGCAGAGCAACAGAGCAAGACCAACATCGGCCAGTCTGGACAGCCTGGGTTCGCAGTTGGCGGTATCGCATACTCGACCCCGGAGTTTGATAACACAGGCAAGAATCCCAAGCTGGATGCGGACGAGGAACCTGTTGCTCTTGCGCAGGCGGCGCGCGAGCCTTGGACTGCTGGACACGGCACTAAGGTTGTGCGCGGGGAGCCGCTTACGTTCTCTTTCCATGTTGCATGGCTGGAGGGCGGCGCGAGCATTGGGTGGCCGGTGCGGCCTGCTTCCGAGTCCTGGCTGGCTTTGGCGACTGGGTCTGGGAAGAGCTCCGGTTCTTTCTTTTCTAAGCTGGCGTTCTTTGTCATGGCGGCTTCGGTTGGCGCTTTGGTTGCGCTGTTCTGGGAGCGCAAGGGTGGGCGTTCGCGTGGTCGGCCTACTTGGCATGGAGATGGGCTTTTGGGTGGCACTCCTGCGCGCGGGGCGATGGGTGCTGGTGTTACCTTTGGAAATGGAGGAAAGGCCAATGGGTATGGTGGTTACTCTGGCTCTCCTAACGGTAATGGGAACGGGGTTGGAGGGGGATATGGATTCCCAAGCGGGAAGAGGGATTGATCTGTAAAGTTGAATGTATAGCCTGAGAGTATGAGGTGGCCGTCTACGACGTGTACAGTGTACCTATGTCGAAAGGCAGAATTGACCACTGGCAAGAAGCTAGTGTTCTCTACATATCATGATTTGATGTCTCAAGTGATCAGGTTAATCAAATCCGATGCATTTCCATATCTAATGCAAGAGCCAAATTCAACACAAAAAGAGAAATCAAGTACCTAGGTAATAGTTGTACAAGTAACAAAGGAAAAATAAAAGAAACACCAATTTTCAGGCCAATGCCACATACTGCCCACTCAGTCCATCACTCCGCACCCGCCTCAGTATATACATACAAGCCGAGTAGACAAGCCGCAGCACCGAGACCCAAGGCAAAAGAGAGGCATTAAATTACCATCCCTGCGCCTGCATCCGCTGGATCTTCTGCACAGTTCCCTGGAAAGAGAACTTGAACAGCTTCTTCCAGCGCAGCATCTTCTTCTGCTTGCGAACCATACCCTTACGAATGTGGAATCGCTGAGCATGAGCCTCCTGCTTAATCTTATTCTGCACAATAGTGGTGTGAAGCTTCCGCAGCGCACTGGCAAGATCTGTACCACGCTCAGGCTCAACGTGAGCCTGTCGACCAAGTGTAGGTCCGAGCTTCAGCTCGACCTTGCGTGTGGGCAGAGGTGCGCGCGAGCGTGATCGGAGGCTGCTCTGTGCGCCTTGGCCGACGGCCCGGGAGAGGGCATCTGAGAAGACTCGGCGTTGGCTGGAGGGTGCGCCGCGGGGCTTGTTTAGCTCAAGTCTGCTGAGGATATCGTCGAAGTCGGAGGTCGGCTTTTGTGTTTTCTTGGCGGCCTCGGGCACTGTGGTGGGCTCGTCGGTGGGAGATGTGGGCTTGAAGGGTTTGCTGGGTGATGAGGTGGAGGAATTGTAGCGCACTGCGTTGGCGAGGGAGGCGAACGGGTGCATTGGGGTCTGCTGTTGGAGCCATGGTGTTGGCCTGGCGCGGAGGCCGCGGGCCAGGAGGCGGAAGTCCATTTTAATCGGACTTGTTGGTGTCAATTGAGCAGATCGGCGGGAGTAGACTGGAGTATCTGCTAGCCTTGACGAAGGAAGGATTGGTCGACGTGGGCGTGCAGGGTCAATGGAGAGGTGCTCGGAGTGGCCGTGACGGAAAATCATCGTTCCCCGATTGGAAAGGAAATTGTAGGTCACGTGCTGTGTGTTTTTGTTGCATTTGCTCGAGATAATGTGCACCACATCTCCAAATCTCAGGAACTTGCAAATATCTTTCCTGCTACATCTTGAAAAGTCTCCCTGGCACATAGTTCTCACCAAATCCCGCCGAGAAAAACGGAATGTCATCCATCTCAATCGCAACGCTCCCCCGCATGGGCCGTGATGCCCTAGCGGCCCTACTTCGAACGGAACCAACCAACCTAGCCATCGTTGATGTCCGAGACTCAGGTAACTATTAGCTATTCCATTCTTACCAAGTTGAAGCAAATTAGCTCACGGCTTAACCAGATCATATTGGCGGCCATATCCGCTTATCAACTTGGGTACCCAGCTCAACACTGGATGTACGCATGCCCGAGCTCATCCGCACTCTCAAAGACAAGCAGATGGTTGTCTTCCACTGTGCACTCAGTCAGCAGCGTGGTCCATCTGCTGCTCTCCGATACGCGCGCGAGCGTGAGAGCGCACTCGGTGTCGAGGAGAGCCAAAAGCAGCAGGTATTTATCCTCGATGGTGGATTCGTGGAATGGCAGCAGAAGTATGGCAATGATGCTAAGGTGACTGATGCTTATGCTGCTGATGTTTGGGAAGAATATTGAGCTCCGACTGCTTGTGTGAAGTCAGGCCCCGACCATTTTATGCATTAGCCCTTTTTATTTATGAGATTTGACGAACTTGATAGGAGAGATACAGATACCATTTAGATGCATTGATCATTTTTACTTCGAGCTATCTTTTCTTTTTCTTTTTTGTTTGGGCGGAGTTTTGACGAAAGTATTCTTGTTCGATGGCACTTGAGGGTATCTAGATCGCGATTTGTTCATATGCTGGGCATGTCTATGTCATTGTATTTGGTGGAATCTTCGACAGTAGATGAAATTATTGTACATGAAGTGGGCAGACAGAGCTAATCTATCAATATACAGCAAGAACATAGATACGAATTTACATTTGAATGCCTCCTCCAAAGCCAACAGGTCGCCTCTTACCTTCGTTCTCGGGGATAATGGCCATGACCTTATAGATCTGTCCCATTGATCCACCGCTCTTCTCAACCAATCGCTTCCAACCAGTTTCTAGTGTCTTTCTGTGCTCCTCGTCTGGCACTTTGCGGAGTAGCTGCCGCATGCGCTCCTCAATACCCATGGCACCGAGGAAGTCACCCTGTTCAACAGGACCGTGAACCTCGACGCCGTCGCTACCCTCAATAGCCGCTTCAGCCAGTGAAGTGAAATCAACATCCGCGCTAACATCGACCCGGCCGGGCTCTGAGAGCGCTGCCACCTTCTGGTGGCTTTTGATTCCGCGCAACGAGTTGATGGGGATGGTTGACATTGTCCCGTAGTCCATGATCAAGGCTGCCCCGGATGGAGTCTTCTTCACTGACAAGGGGGCTGTGCTGGAACCAGACTTCTTTTTCAAAGCGAGGGCAGAGGCAGAATCACCACCGATGCGGCGTGCAAAGTCAGCGGCATAGATTCGGCTCTCGGGGCTGATCTCGATGGTTGAGCCTGGCTGAGACTTGAGGGCTCGGTAACGCTGAGAGATCTCCGGGATCACTAGCGATGATGGTGTGGAGGCCTTAGCTTTGGTCAATTGGAACTCGGGTTCTCCTTCTATGTTCTCTTCAACGGCCTTTGGATTTAATGTGACCATTAGCTCTCGCCATTGTGGAGTGTTGGCGACCTTGGGTGGATCGTGTATTTCTACTGGACCAGTGGGGGTCATGATTTTTCGTGGCTGATCGGCTTCCTGGTTCTCCGGAGACGGAGGGACAGATTCGAAGGCATGAATAGGAAGTGCATCAAAGAATTCATGCGCAAAGATGAAAGGTGTCTTGCCTTCCTCTGTATCGCCGATATCTTTTGTCAGCATTCGGCAAATGGATAGAATCAAAGTTACCACTTACCATGTGGCAGCAGACGGATATCCTCAACCCAAATGACAGGTACATCAAAGTACTTGCATATACTCCGGTGTCCAATATCTGTCTCCTCCATCACAGCCTCCTCACCGCAGAGCAGTCGCTTCTGTACTGCTCTGAGTGTTCCACTAGCTTCCACGAGATAGATTGCTTCGACACTAGAAGAAAAGCTCTTGAAGTTTCGGAAAGTCTGCGGGGACCAGTCAGTACACTGAGCCCGATGCGCTTCACCCATAGGAGACAAGCATGATTGCAACCACTCACCCGCAACATATCATCCATTAATGTTCCTTTTCCGGGGCCAACCTCCATCAGCTGAACACCACTCCTGGTTCGGCCTTGCGCCATCCACTCCGCTATGGTCCATATGCCAATCAACTCTCCAAAGACCTGCGAGATCTCTGGTGACGTAACGAAATCGCCATTCTTTCCGAAAACACCTCCACCTTCGCCTCTAGTGGTATAATATCCGCCGTCTGGGGAAGTCAAGACTTGGCGCATGAACGCCGCGATAGGCACGGGCCCAGTAACCTATTGCGAAAGTGAACGATTAGCAAAAATACAGCAAGAAAAGAACTTCAGTGGTCAAGTACCTTCATGACACTGGCCAATGTTTTGGCTAGTGGTGTCGACCATTGTCTCTGTTCAAACGAGGAAGAGTTCCATCTCTGTGAGCATCTCGGAACTACTGGGTTGCGAGGTCTGCGGAGGATATGCGACGCAACGCGCCTCGTAGCTTGGTTCATTATTGGTCCCGGATTGAGTGGTGAGAATTGTTGGTATTGCAATATCCACGAATCTGGACTTTCCCGAGGCAGAACAACAAAGCTTTTAGGGCCCAGACACTCGCTCGATTGCGCCGTACTGAGTCCAGGTGTTTCTCTGAATCTCTCCGCGGAAGCTTCGCCGCACGTGATCATATCCTTATCGGATGGTTATCTGACGCTAGTCCTGATGTGGTATGGTTTATCCAAAGCCCTAAGTCTGATGGCTCTACTCCGTACAGAGAACAGAGTACGGAGTACGGAGTACAATGTCTAGAACTAGGTTGGGCCTAGGTAGTTCATGCCATTGCTAATATAAGGTGGGTTCTGCTAAGTACTTCGACTTCAAAGCACGAGCGCTAGCGCTGTGCTCCGTTTTATGGTCGGGAAAATCCTCTCATCTCGTCAGTTCAGCTTGTGGATCTACCGTGATAAGTTGATTTCTTATGCCAACTCGCACTCAATCAAGCTCTCAGCACTATCTGACGGTGTCCAGATCTTCGTAATTTTGAGGCCCACTGGCTCGATCACCTGGTACCATTGCTTTTCGGTTCGCTCCTTGGCAGCTAAATCCACCATCATGATCATGTCCAGAGATGTAGCCTGCCAGTGAGCCCCGGTATCAGGAATCACGTTTTCGTTGATCAGCAACTTGCTGTATCCAGGGCTCATTGCAGCCACCAGTTTTGACAGAATCTTCTGGCATGTTTCGTCATTCCAGTCATGCAGCACAGAGTGCAAGAAATATGCCCGAGCACCTGTGGAGGTCAGCAATTATCCAATACTTAATGCATGCCAAGCCACTTACCCTTGACAGGCTGTTCCTGGTAGAAGTCGTGAACCATAGGTTCAATTGCTGAGTTTATCGACTTGATATCTTTCAGGACATGCGGCTGGTCTTACAAGATTAGTTTTCCGGGCGTGTTGGGCCATTTTGATATAAACTCCTCCAGATCATGTCCTTTGTTCCCACCAACGTCAACGATGAAAACATCATTTTCGCCGGTCTTTGCTCCATCGAGAAGAGTTTGTACAGGATAGAAGTTTCCGTCCATCCAGCTGGGCCTGCCTTGATGGTAGGATGACATGAGATTGTTGAATTGACCTCCGAGTTGAGGATATTCAGGGTTCTTGCCGTCAAGGAACTGGAAGAAGGAATATTCCGTCTTGAATCCAAGGCTAAATGGAGAGTCAGTTCCCTCGGTGGGAGTTTGATAATTATGTTTCTTGAGCCAGGCGGGCAGCGCGCTGATTGCTGGCAGGGTACATCCATTACTGTCGAGCGAAAACAGTCAATATACCGATAAAAGCTGGATCGGGAACGTTTTGCAGACTTTCGGTCCACGGGCCAAGTCACTTACATGCACGGCCAGGCATCGTTGAACCGTTTAATGGCGAGTGCGGTGGTTAGCCCATTGCGACCATATTCATCCCTACCGGTCTCAACAAAGACCCCCATTGCGGCAAGATGCTTCATGATTCGACCTTCGCAAAATGAGTGTCATATTTATCGAGGGGCGGGGTTAGTACCCACCAAGGAGCTCGGGTTCCGCGCCTGTTGTCGCTGCAAGCTCTACTACCGATTTAGGCTTGTCGGTCTGTGCTAGTAAGAAGAAGATTCCCAGATCGATACAGGTCTCGATGCCTGCAAAAGCAGTGGGCTAATATACAGAAACCAAATAATGAGCCTTTAAAATGTTCGAGACTGGGGTGATCTTGCTTCCGACGCACCTGGGCCCAGCAGTACCGCAGCATGGTTTCCTGGGGTGTTTCCATTGCCTGTACAAGAGACCGAGCTGTCTCTAAGAGCTTCAAGCGCGCATCCGAGTCACCATTACTATAAGCTTGCGAGTGGAGACCAATCTCCTTCTGTAAATGCTCAAGTTGTTCGGGGGCACTTGGGGAGGTGGCGACTTGGAAATCAATAACGGCTGTGCCATGGCCATTAATGGCAGAGTTGTTTGGTTCAGCTGTCATCTTGAATGTTCGTGTGTTTGAAAATTATTTACACCGAGAAAAGGGCGAAATAAGCATTGAAATATGAATTATTAGAACTTCCAATTCCGAGTATCTAGGGGAAACTTGTCTTTTTAAGCGAATGAAAGAGGGATCTCACATATGGGTACCGCCATGAAAAGGGGGACTTCTAGATCTATCCCCTAAACAATTAGTGAGACATATTGCTACAAATTAGTGCGATAAAATTTTACATATTGCGCGAAATATATGGAGTACGGAGCTTGGACTACTCCATATAATGTGCACGGAACCTTTCAGCGCTTGATCCCGTTCCCGTCCTGTGTCCTGTTTGGGGCCAAAACAATATGGATCTAATCCAACCAAATCGCTCAATAACTGATGGGTGGACCACCCCACTGTCTAGTCCAATGGTTAGTGCATGCAACTTCGCAACATCGGACGATAGTTTGCGCCACTTGCAAGGTATCTAAACCGGTTACCGGCTACTCTGTACATCGGATATAGTAGCATTCCTTGGCAGGACCTTTATCCATGCTGTTTTAAATTAATCTGTAATTTGATGTCACTGCCTGAACATGGATAATTTGGTCATCTGTTAGCCAGGTACAAAATTGAGATGTTCCCAGAATCAGAGATAGTTTCAAGCCTCTTGCTAGTCAATATCCTTTCGACTTTTGGAGCCCCGATAACTATTCTAGAAACCCACCTTCGGTGATTACCTAGAATTAGCATGAATCACTGCCCAATATGGCCAGTTCCAGGACCGAAGCTGCCAAAATGGGGAATAAAGGCCCAGAAATGATGGCTGTAATGTGGTCAATGACGACTCTTGCCCTTTTACTCGTAGTCGCTCGTGTGTGCGTTCGACAACGAATTCTCCGGAGCTTTGGTTTTGATGACTGGTTAATTGGAGCCTCGATGGTAGATATCTCCTTTCATCTTCCTTCAAAACATATTGGCGTCACCTTCGCTAAAAATTGACGTCTTTAGATCTTTGGCTTGGCTTTCGTTGCAGCTGCGACGGTCTCCGTGCAATATGGATATGGACAACATACAAGGGCTCTTGAAACAGAGGCTGCTGAGACCGCTCTCTTATGGAATATGATCTCATTTATCTTTGGGATTATATCGTTCGCGTTGCCAAAGCTCGCGGTTGCCGCGTTGCTCCATCGAATCCTGAACCCAAATACTGTCCAACGCGTTATAATATGGGGTCTAGTAAGTCTGGTAGCGATAATTGCTACTGTGAACATTTTAATCTATGTTACCATGTGCGATCCACCACAAGCGCTCTGGAAGACATCGATGGTGGTGCGTGGGGAGGCGACATGTCGCGATATATGGATTCTCATAGACTACGCCACGTTCAATGGAGGTAAGCCGTTCTTGATATACTTGATAGCTTTGATTGAATAACCTGATAAATCAAAAGCATTTTCCGCATTCGTCGATCTTTGCCTTGCGATTTACCCTGCGATCATTCTGTTGAGACTTCAAATGTCCCTACGGAAAAAGATTGCATTATCTGCTGCCTTTGGCCTGGGCTCAATGTATGCATATTCCGTAACCTTTTATTTCTGGTACCTAAAGTCTAACAAAACGGTTCATCTCAGTGCGGCCGCAACTGCAATGGTCAAATGTGCTCAAATCAAGGGTTTGGCCGACCAGACAGATCCTACTTGTGAGTCCTCTTTCTGCGTTTGATCATGATCTGCTTGCTAATACTGATGCTGGACGATGAAATAGTTGGTACTGTACCTCTAGTAGTCTGGACAAAGTAAGTACTTCCGTCATGCTATCCATATCGCCGTGAAACTAAGAAAGACATAGCGTCGAAGCCAATATCGTCGTCATTGCCGCCTGTATACCAACACTCCAACCAATGCTTGATCTAATTTTGAGAAAGCTAAAACTTGTTTCGACAGGCAAGAGTCACTCTAAGCCATCCTCCTACGCACAGCATAAGATATACGACAATCAGTCTAGTCAAGGGCCCGTCGTATCAAAAGCCGAACAATCAATCTTGTCAAAAAGAGGAGAGAGCCAAGAAAACATCTTGAATGATATAGATCAGTATCAAATACGGCGCACCGATGAGGTATATCTTGAATATGAAGTGCAGCCACCAAAACGGTCATCTCCAAACTAAACAGACTGTTCCTGACAACCAACCCTGACCATAACAATATCGAATTTTAATTATAGAAAATTTATGGGATTGGAACTAGTCATAATACTTGGCTATCACACCCCCGATAATAGGCTGCTCACTTATTTCACTTCGAGCTACACCTCGGTCAACTCCCTCGGCAACTCTAGCCTTCACCCACTCGCCAGCGGTGATACCAACTGCACTGTTATCGGTTGTTTGGTCATATCCCAAGCGATGCAGTACTTCACTCACGACCGGCCGCAGCTCGAGGTCATCCTCTGGTCGGACGAAATATAACACGCCCAACCGGTCTACATCTCTTTGATCGGGTGGAGGTGCGACGACGCGATGGATGCTGCTCTTAAGAAACCCGTTGGTGAGGAACTGGAGCGAGTCGGCAAGATTCACTGTGATGCTTCCCGGATACGGCTTTACCCACTTCCACTCGCCTTCTGGGGTCCGGACTTGTAACGCCGCAACCGGCTGGCGGAACAGTAAGGTCAAGCTGCCAAAGTCGGTATGCCCTTTGGACCAAATGCCCGCAGCCTTCTCGTTCTCTTCTTTGGTCCGGCGATGGTACTTCATGTACCGCAGATGGCAGTCACTCTTCTCATCATAGCGGTGCACTTTAAGGAAATAGTCCTCGGGTAACTCGAGGATAATGGCGAGAAGCGTGAGTAGTTTGCGTACAACTTCGTCATGAATATGGCGTGCGAAGCCTTCAATAATAGGTCGATTATTATTCACAATCTCCGGTTGAGGACGTTCCAGAGCGGGTATGAATTTGGGGATATTGAAGATTTCAGTGTTGTCAAACACACCCGGACTGATTTCCTATACAAATTTGTTAGACAGACTTGTTGCTGGCCGCATATCATGGTCCCGACGTACTCGGAGACCTGCTGGCTTGTAGCCATTGTAGCCACCTTTCTCAAGCTCCGCACGGAACTTGAGCTTCTCTTCTAGAGGAAGGTTGAAGATCTCTTTACCAATCGCGAATTGTCGGTCAACCTCTTCCTGTGAGACACCAAAATTGACGATGTAAAAGAAACCTAAAATCGAATCAGGCTTATGCACTCGAAAAGTGAAAAACAAAGTCATCTTCCACTAACCTATATTCTGGATAGCTTCAAACAGCTGCTTGGCTAATTGCTCCTTGCCACCGGGTTGGTCAAACAGTGACAGATCTAAGGTGGCGAGGTCCGCCCAGTCCACTAGATGCACATGTTAGCCATGAATGTGCAAATGAACTGCGACCAGAACTTACGATCAAAAGAAGTCTCTGGGACCTGGTTGTACGTCGGAATATCACTTCCAGTAGGAACTGCAGCTGGAGCTTGAGTCAAAGTTGCCATAACGAAATATGAAAACAAGATATACAAGGAGAATATTATGACAGTCTGGCGCAGTGGAGATAAGGATTTGCCTTGCCCTACTTTGTATATGAGAAATGGAGGAGAGTTTATCAACCTCCCGGGGCTCTTGTTGGCGCAATACTTCAAAGGTTCAGGCTTGTCAAACTATAGGAGTTCATTCCACTCGGACTATTTCTGACCTTAATCCCAGATAAATGCACGGGATGAAGATGCAAGACCAGTAAGATCGCTGGGTATGAGTGCAGGTCTAGATCTCACCATGATTCCCTCCGCTGGCGTGATCGGAGACATCTCCGACCCCGCGAAAAAGAGGTCAAGCTCAACATAATGTCCGCAGAACGCATTCTCGGCTAAAATAAAGCTATTTGCCTAGAGGTCATGCTAGATAAATGCGTGGTATGTCTAGGTCCCTCGTGAACCTCCCTTGTAAGAGCAAGTCATGGAAAAATTCAAGGTCGGAGTCTTCCCGAGTATATATATCCCGGCACATTGTCCAGTTCTCAGGGGAGAATGGGGAACAGAACGTATATTTACCCGTTTATTATGTTTATTATGACAACAATCGAAAGAGGTGAAGCCCATTTATCTTAGACTTAAGACTATAGCATTTGCAATACTTGTGGGTTATGATACAATCTGTCGTGCTAAGGCTTCATAGCTTGGTCTAAGCTTTTGTAACGGTCTGCGGAGGGTTTATGGGCTATCAAATCCAGGGCGAAATGTGCATATCTAGTTATGACCGCCTGTCGGCGATAGCCTTTCGATCACACTGTCGAAAAAAACATTGGATACCATGACAGACAAAAAGAACGAGCGAGTTTCGTCCCAGGACCTAGGAAGAACTACAGCGACCGATGAGATTTCCACCAGCGAGAGCGATATCGACCGCGAACTTCACTTTGTCAAACATGGAGAGGCTCTCGCAGAAGCCTCTTCGAGTCAGGATAGCATTGATGGCTATGATCCGGAATTGATGAGTGGGAGGACACTCCTTACGGCAGAAGAGGAGAAGAAGTTGTTGCGTAAAATTGACTGGCGATTGATGACACTTTGCTCATTGATTTTCATGTTCAAGAATTTGGACAGCAACAATGTCAGTATTCATACATGTGGGCATCCCATGAAGTGGAGGTGGTCTGACTTATAGTTTCACAGGCATCCAACGCTCGAATCATGAACAAGGGAACAGATCAAAACATCATGACGCAACTGGGAATCACATCCAATGAGTACAATCTTGTGACTGTGCTTTACTATGTAAGACATCGAGTCTTGATACGGGTATCATAGGGTGTTGCTGATGGTTGATGCTGCAGGTCCCATATATTCTGTTAGAGGCTCCCTCAAACCTACTGCTCAAGCGATTCTCGCCTTCGAAATGGCAGTCAAGGATCATGATCGGCTGGGGGATTGCTCTTATGTGCAATGCTGCCGTGAAAAATAAGGGCGGGTTATATACGACGCGATTCCTGCTGGGAATGGTACGTTTTCCGGCTAATAGGTCTTGGAAGTCTGCAGAGACATCTACTATATCGGTCTCTGAAGTTGAACAGAATTTTGCTAATATCGATATAGGCCGAAGCAGGACAGTTTCCCGGTGTCATTCTCCAGATGACTTACTGGTATCGTCCGGATGAGATGTCCTTACGACTGCTCTACTTTTGTAAGCGGCACACGACCTGTACACCGATTCAAAAGATGAGCTATACTGACACATTACAAGATATTTGTGGAAACATGTCGGGTATCATCGGTGGTTTGCTGGCTTATGCGTTTGACACCGTATCTGGCGCAGGAGGACTTTCTGGTTGGCAATGGCAAGGCTCTCAAATCTGCCTTCTCAAATATATGCTGACACTAGTTAAGGTTGTTCCTAACTGAAGGGATTGCAACGGTACTTTTCGGTGGTGTTATCTGGTTTCTTCTTCCAGACTGTAAGTTTCCCTCTCTTGCTGTCACACCCTGCAACTGTCACTCACATGAGAGAATGCAACATAGTTCCCGAGACAGCGAAATGGTTGACTGAGAGGGAGAAGAAGTTTATCCAGGCTCGGCTCCCATCCAATGCCCCCAGAGCCAGCGAGAAAAACTTCCAATTGCGTGAAGTTGTTGCATCGCTGAAAGACAAGAGATTATGGCTGTTCACGTTTATTTGGGCGACCTTCACTGTTGGAACTAACGGTGTGACCTTCTATCAGTCAACTGTCATTGCAAACCTGGGTTACACGTAAGTCATCCCTTGCTCTCCTACTGAGCATTGCTGACAGACTTTCAGGAGCATCGCTCAAGCACAACTCCTCAATATTCCTATCACGGTCTGTGGCCTCCTGTTTATTGCGGGGACAGGCATCACAGCGGATCGCAGTCGGATACCCCGGCCGTTGTACCCACTCTCTTTTCTTCTCATTATCATAATCTGTTATGGCGTATTTGTCGCCTACCCGAGCAATGGCGCAATATATGCGGTAACTTTGATCGGAAATGCCTTGACTGCAGGATGGTACCCGGTGATGTGGTGAGTTACTCTCTGCCGTAACCTGAATGGGATTCAGCTAACAGTGGGATAAGGCCATGGCGTGTGCAGACCACTTCCCGGGCCACCGGATCTGCCTTTTCTATCGGATTTGTCAACAGTTACGGTCAAATCGGGGGTGCTATCGGCCCGCAATTGTTTCAAAGCAAGTATGCACCACACTATACCGTGCCTTTCTCCGTGGCCATGGGCCTTGTGGGAACCTGCGCGATCTTGACTTTAGTGACATGGTGGGTGACTTGGGACACTGAGCGTGACACGAGGCGATTGAAATTAGCCAAGATTGCAGCACAAAGAAGGGGGAAACGATTTTGGAAGATGTTGTCGACAATGACTTGAAAAGGCGTTAGAGAAAGAGCTTCGACTCCGATGAACGCCCTAGATCATAGACCAGAGCGATTCTGGCCTCGTAAAGCAGAGGACCTAGAGAGTGAACCCTAGTCTCGAGGCTGAAAGAGAAATGCGTATTATGACCATTCATTTGTCTTGCCCCTATTCGCCTATAGATGAGTTCAGTTCAAATTAATCGTCTTGCTCCGACAGTGACTGTTGGCCTCAGGCAAACACAGAATCTTTTTTTCTCTTCTCTCCTATTGTCTCACCTTCCCTTCGTAGTCAATGCGGGGGGATTTTTTCCAATTGATTCTTCGAAGAAAATAGTCCTTGAAGAAAAGGTCCGAGAGTCAAATCGGAATCACTTAATTTAGCGCCAAACGAAACCCTCCGGCTCCAATACCCCTCACGATCTCTAGGACTCATGTGACTTCTATCTCCAATTCTTCGACAGAAAGGCTTCCGATATAGCAGATTTCTTCCTCTCTCATATCATTTGAATCATGGGGTCTTGTGCACCTCAAATGCCTGCGCGAGCTTCGAGCGACCCCTACTTTGACCTAGGAACATTGAGTCGCAAAGTCAGTACCAGTTCCCAAGATGCTCAAATATGGTTTGACCGGGCGCTTGTGTGGACTTATTGCTTCAATCATGATGAAGCGATTACCTGTTACAAGCAAGCAATTGCCCACGACGAGGATTGCGCGATGGCGTATTGGGGCGTATCCTTCTGCGCTGGTTCCAACTACAACAAAACATGGGCACTGTTTGACGAGAGGGATCGACTCAATGCAATCAGTCAATGTTATATATTCTCCCAAGAAGCCCTGAGGCGGGCAGAGAATGCGTCAGAATGGGAGCAGGCGATCATCAATGCCCATGCGAAACGGTACCCCAACGATGATCCGAGCAGGGATCTTTCCGCATGTAGCCGAGCATATGCCGATTCTATGAGAGAGGTGTATCAGAAGTTCGGTCATGAAGACTTTGATATCATCACACTCTTCGCCGACGCATTGATGAATTGTGCCCCACGAAAGTTATACGATGCCTCCACGGGGCTTCCGATAGCGTCTTCGCCGGTATTTGAAGTGAAGGAGTTGCTTGATAATACTCTGAAAATCCCTGGAGTTGAGCTACACCCAGGACCTGCCCATATGTACATCCATCTGATGGAAATGTCCGCAACCCCGGAGGCTGCTCTGCCTGCAGCAGAGATGATCCGTGAAATGTTTCCCGATACCGGTCACACCTTCCACATGCCCGCTCATATTGACGTTCTTGTGGGCGACTATCGCCGTGCAGTGGAATACAATTATAAGGCGACCGTCGCAGACGATAAATACTTTCGACTGAATGGTGGCCTGACATTTTACAGCTACTATCGCATGCACGACTATCACTCTCTTATCTACGCTGCGATGCTCGGCGGAAAATCAAAAGCGGCATTATCGGCAACGGATCGAATGGAAGCAACTATCACGGAAGAGATTCTTCGGGTCGAAACGCCTGCACTGGCGAATTGGATGGAGTTTTTCAAAGCCGTCAGAGTTCACGTCCTCATTCGTTTCGGGATGTGGGAAGAACTCAAGACGCTCGAACCACTCGAAGATAAAGATCTTTATTGTGTCACCAATGTGATGAGGCACTATGGCAAAGGTATCGCATACGCGGCTACAGCGCAGCTTGAGGAAGCCGATAAAGAGCGAGAGCTTTTCAAAGAGGCATCTAAGCTTGTTCCTCCTACACGCCTCGATTTCCCCAATAAGATCACCGACATTCTCAAAGTCGCATCTGCTATGCTGGATGGAGAGATCGAATACAGACGGGGCGATTATGAGACTGCATTCCGCCGATTACAGGATGCAATTACGCTAGAGGACGAGCTGCCTTTTGCAGAGCCGTGGGGATGGATGCTTCCAGCACGACATGCATTTGCAGCTCTTTCTTTGGAACAGGGTAAGGTTGAGCAGGCTGCCCAAGCCTATGCTGAAGATCTAGGGCTCTACCCCACGCCCAAACGGGCTCATCAACATCCGAACAACGTCTGGGCTCTTCATGGCTACCACGAGTGTCTTCAGCTCTTGGACCGTCATGCGGAAGCAAACATAATCAAAAAGCAGCTTTCCCTTGCTTTGGTGGAGGCAGATGTTGAAATCACATCTTCGTGCTTTTGTAGGCTTGGGAATCTGCCTTCGGGTACTGGGAAGCGGAAGCTGAATGGCTGCCACAGTGTGAAGTCGGAGTGCAAATGCTAGATTTACGAAGACTTTGTGAAATAAATCTCCTTCTTGACATCTCTCATTAGAAGACTTCCATTTTGAATTTCTCGGCTACGTAGGCTGTCCTTTTCAGCGAGTTGTTTCTTCAAAGGAAATAAATTCAAATTATGAACACTCTACGCAGTAAATTGCATGCTCTGAGATTTTGTGACACACAGATAGACAAGATCACTGCCATTTTCCAAATTCGGGGACAAATAAAAAGTGAAATGGGATTAAAAGACCTCGAAGACACCTTAACGAGATAATATAACAAGGGTATCACACAACAGCATCTGCAACCTGCTCAATCATCCCACGAACCTCATCAACAATCCGGAAACAAGGCACCAATTTCCTCGCCACGGGATTTTGCGGACAGATATCCAGCGGGTCATGGTCCACACCATCCTCCTTTCTCCGACAGCGCCCTTCGGAATCAGGACAACTTTCATGACCAACCATATGTCGGTTGCGTTGCCGCTGCGCAAACCGCTTCCCCAGCGCCAACAACCGCTCCGCATCGACCTGCAATCCGTGCGTAACCAGATCCTGCAGTTTCTCGCCGCTGATCTGTAAATTGAGTTCCGAGGGAACTCCAAAACTGGACTCAAGATAAACGGTGTTACTCTCACTCTTGGTATCAAGCTCGGTGCAGTATTTCTTGAGCCAGCGCAGATATTTCTGGTAACCAGATGTGACTTCCAGCATCAACTGGCCGATCAGCAGCACGTTTTGCACGGTCACCCGAGGTGGTTTTGAGACGTCGTAGCAGATTGGACAATTCAGGAGTCTTTCTGCGAGGGAGGCTCCTGTACGAAGCATGGGGATGATATCGTGTGACATCTCTGCGCGACTCAGGTCTCGGACTATACTGGAAACCTCCTCGTCGCATTTACAAGACCGAGATAATGATATGGGAGAGCCGTATGCATCTGAAGGAATCAGGGATATCCCATGGTCATGTTGACCGGTCTGGCTGGAATTCTGGAATGATTCCAGGGGGAAAGAGCAGATGCTGTCATTGCCGAGCATTTCCCAATGAAAGGTATCGAATCCGCAACCCCCAGATCCAGATAGCTCATATGGTAATGATTCGACCTCACCCGTTCCCATTAGCATTTCGGCAGCTTTTTGTGGGACTAAGGGTGCTTGAAACGCAATTGACGAGGAATACGAAGAGCTTGAGGAGCCTGCTCTGTGCTTTGGGTTCGGCAAGCCATCTTCTTCGTCTCCTCGTGGTCGCTTCCTTGGCCTCCCAGGGGCTCCTTTGTCTTTGAATCTACATGTTAATGAGAGACCTTGACACCGAGAGCAACCACTCTTCTCGCCGGAGCATTTGAGCTTCCGTGACCCTAGTCTTCATTAGCTTGCGAGTCCCTCAACATCCCTAATCGGCTTACGGCATGCTTCGCAGGACTTTCGCTCCTGTCTGGGATTCATCCTCAATTTATATTGTTGAGATCACCTCACAAGGTCACCCTGGAGGAGCTGCACCGATGGGTTGAGGAGGATGGGATTGGTCATCCTGCACGGAGATGGCGTCAACTGGCCTTGGAGCGGGGTACAGCGCAGTCGGAAGGATCGAGGTGTTGAGGATGTCTCAGGATGGCCTACGGAGGAGAAGATACAATAAGAATCCAATAACAGCTCAAGACATACAGTGTGTTCTTTCTCTTGGTAGCTATCAATGAGTGTGGTTTATCATGCATACATAGTAGTGGTCATAGTGGTAATATTCCCAGTGCCTCGGTTAATGTAGAGTAGAGTCACCATTGTAGAATCGGTATCCTTGACATCGTTGATATGCAACCCAGATCAAACTATTCTACGTAGATCGTCAACTAGCAACTGTGTGAATACTCATCTGTCGTGTTGAGCGGGTCGGCTTCTCCAAAAACCTCCGAGGGACCCCAAAAAACACCCGAGATGCTTCAAAGACCATTCCCAGCGTGTATTCTTGTAAATTTATTCCTTTTACTCTAAGAATTACAGGCCTGAGCAAAAAAATAATTCACACTCCAGACATTCCATCACGAAATGACCAAATACATAACCGCGCACGAGGTGCGCCAGCATTGGACAAACCGCCATGAACTCGCCCTCCTGGACGTCCGCGAAGAAGGTCCTTATTCCGAATCGCATCCGCTGTTCGCACTGAGTGTACCAGTATCGGAACTCGAAAAGAAGCTGCCTCCGCTGGTACCGCGCTTGTCTGTACCGATTGCTGTCTACGACGATGGCGAGGGGTATGCTGATCGGGCCGCAGCCCGGATTTCAGCCCTGGGATATCAGAACGTTTCCATCCTAGAAGGCGGACTTTCTGCCTACGCACGTGTCGGCGAGGTTTATCGTGACGTCAATGTGCCTTCCAAGGCATTTGGCGAGCTTGTCGAATCTATCAATCACACCCCATCGTTGTCTGCGCGGGACGTCAAGAACATCCTGGAGAGTGAAAGCGATGTGGCCGTTTTGGATGCCAGACGTTATACCGAGTACAACACTATGAGCATCCCCCGTGGCCGTAGTTGTCCAGGTGGGGAATTATTGTATCGCTTTTTCGAGGCTGTGCCTTCTCCCGAGACCACCGTTGTTGTCAATTGTGCTGGTCGAACACGGAGTATTGTTGGGACGCAATCTTTGATCAATTCTGGGATTCCAAATAAAGTAGTTGCGCTTCGAAATGGGACGATCGGCTGGACCCTAGAGGGTTTGGAACTGGAGACCAAGAAGACCGAGCGCATTTCGCTGCCTTCGGCGGAGGCGTCGCGAAAGGCACGCCAATACGCCGAGTCTTGGGCCGAACACGTCGGTGTGTCATTTATCGCTGGAGATCAGCTTGCTCAATTTGCCGCGGAGGCAGAAGACCGGACTCTCTACCTGCTCGACGTGAGAGATCCGGAAGAATATGCTCTTGGCCATCCGGTGGGCTTCTCTAATGCTCCCGGTGGCCAATTGGTCCAAGCCACCGACGAATGGGTCGGTGTTCGCGGGGCTCGCATTGTTCTATACGATACCGATGGTGTGCGAGCGCGCATGACGGCTAGTTGGTTGTTGCAACTTGGATGGGAGGTTTATGTGTTGAAAGAGGGATCCATGCTGCCTGATAGGCTTCCGACAGCTAAGGGCCCTTCATGGAATCCTCCAAATCTCGGTGCCATCACAATCGACGATTTTCAAGCCCTCCAAGGAGCGACCATAATAGATCTCGCTCGCAGTCCTTCTTATCGCAAAGGACATATTCCAGGCGCATGGTTTGCTTCTGGGCCCGAACTCGCTCGAGATTTGCAGACCGTTAGTGGCGACGGTCCTATCGTGTTGACCTCGCCCGATGGTGATATTGCCGCCTCGAATATCGACGACGCACGAAATGCAGTTTCGCGAGAAGTGCTGTATCTCGTGGGAGGTACGGCGGCCTGGTTAGCAGCTGGTCATTCGCTCGAAACAGAGTCGCGGTGGATTTCCGAGCCAATCGATGTGTATAAAAGGCCGTACGAGGGCACAAGCAATGCCCGTAAGGATATGCAAGGGTATCTGGACTGGGAATATGGGCTTGTTGCGCAACTGGCGAACGATGGGGTTGCTGGTTTCCACGTTGTGCGGGACACACGTGGGCCATCTGGGAAGTTGCAGTGATCGGACATGTATAGCGCGATGCTAGTACTAGACAAGTATCCTGTCGCTGGCTCAGGAGCGAGCACAAAGAACTGGGAAGCTTTTGATCTGAAATTAGTGCTCAGAGTACCATTCTGGAATCCGAATTATGTAGCTCTGCCTATGGAATGAATCAGTTTTGATAACCATGGCTTGGAATGTCCGAAGTCATTCGAATGGCCAGTGACCCTCGTACTCGGTCTACTTCCCATCGGATTTGGCCAGTTGCCCTACCGTAGGGCCAGCGCCGGAGAGCTGAATCTATACAATGGCAATTATTGATTCAGCTAAGTCCTTCAGGGGAGAATATAATGACGCGTTAGGCCATGAAAATGCCTCAGACCTCTAGGGCTCCAGATATCAGACCCACCTTTGTTAGCTTGATCTTTCGATATTTCTTCTGTCTTTTACAGGATATGGAACTACCGTGCTAATTCTCTTGAAGCAATTCCTTACAACTTCTCAACTTCGCATACTGTGCCACATCTATCAAGTTACCCCAAATATCCTGAACCCGCATGCAACGCAACCAACTGTCATTCTGCAGAAGGCCGTCTGCAACATAGCCCATGGGTCATGACGTTCTTTGAGCCAGGTGGCCGAGTGCTCTCAATACGATGATTTAGCTTGCAGTAAGCCTTAATAATAGAACCTTGATGACTCTTGACCCAATCGCTCTTATGCAAATACGAGCATCGTTCCGCTTCATCACCTTGGCACCTTGGCATTCAGGGTTCACCAGCGATATCAACCCCGTGCCATCGTTTGACTGGGGCTTAAAATGGAAGATCAATTTCATCTGAAGGCCAAAGCGCATGTTCATAAGCTCGTGTCTAGCGTGCCGACTATTATCTAATTTTCGACCTTTTCTTTCTTCATCTTGATGTCGAAATTTTGGGGACAACGAGCTGACCATTCGATTGCCTTTCTCCGATACCCCTATAAAAAACGAGACACGACTTTGATGGGCGAAAATGTTACTTCGGCACCCTTTTATTACGCTTCTGACCTTGCTCGCCATTCCAACGAGGGTGCTGGGAAGAAAAGGAGGCCCTGATGGCGACAACGACAGTGATAGCAGTAGTGGAAGCGGCTCCAGTGGCTCCGGTGGCTCCAGCGATTCCGATAGCTCCAGCGATTCTAGCGATGGCGGGGATACATCTTCCACGACCTCAACTGGATACCATTGCACAGACACCCACCGCCTCGATTTTGGCGATCTCCGGCCCAATCACTACGAGAAATACATCAGTGAAGCACACAGAAACCGGCGCCTCGGTAGTGTTTACAGCGACTGGGATGGTGTCTATTTCAAAGGCGAGACTCTCTTCACCTACACGATCACCATTCCTACGAATAAGTCCGCGGAGAGTTCGTCTTCCATTGAATGTCCCATTGGCGAACACACCATGCGCATGCTAGGCGTTGCATGGGTTGCAGCGAAAGCTCCCGGCCCTAAGGGACCTATTAATCCCTTTACAGTCGGCTTTAAGGCCTGGGAGAGCAATATTCGCGTATCGGACATCGACTATTCATACAGTCAATGTGAGAACCTGGATCTCATACGTTTCTGTACGACGGTGGACTGGCACAAGAAAGAAGGTGAAAACGACGCCATGGATGCTGTGGAGTTAAACATAACCCAGGCGGCCGAGGACAGCAACAAGATTGATTTCGATGGGGTCTATGATCTGAAAGACTGGGCAGATAGCGAAAGAGATTCTTTTAGACCCGCGCGCTATGACAATGGTGGTCTGTGGGATCAACAGATCATGCTTCCAGAGAGATTGTGCTCTGATGGCAACAAATTGGGCAAATTGTTTATTGGCTGGCCTACTGGGACACGCGTCAATGGATCCATGACCAATGAGACTCTTGAGATGAATTTCTCGGGTTCTGTGAATGGTGCTCAATTCGAAAGGATTTACAATAAACTGTCCTCGCGTGTTGCGACAGCAGATGTGGCTTTCGAAATCAAATTTACGGGTAAAATTGATGCGGCGAATTCCTCGCAGGTGGTTCTGACAGGGGCGTCAAGCAACAATGCATCGTTGATCGCCTTTGAGAGGGCGACCAGTAGTGCCTTTATTACACGTCTATCGTGGTACTTCTTACCACTGTCTTTGTTAGTTGCGTTCGGTGTGTTGCTTGTATGATCTCCCCGATTTCTAATGATATATATGTGTCAATGTTTGTATAGCGCTCTGGGGTCTATGTCAATTGAATCCAATCTGTTGCCTGGATATTCCTCGATTTGGGCTGGTAAAAAGCTAGCATATCTATGATAGAGACCTTGATAAACGCCTAGTCAAAGTACCTAGATCCAGCGTTGCAAAGCAGGCAAGATGAAACTTTTCATATAGTCGGCCGTCTTTGCGGGCTTACAATGTCTTTCTAATCTTATTTCCAGTAGTCTTTCTCACCGTGTTCTCAAGGATCTTTTCACAGGTCGTATTTAAACATATCTTCCTCTCCTCTCAAGAGAAATATGGGAATGGCTTCAAGTAGGGACTATGATTTACAATACCTAATGCCCGTGTCAAAGCGGTCCGAAGTCAGACATATTCAGGCGGCAAATGCGATTCCGTTTGACATCGACAGCTATAAAGGGTGTTTCACCGAAAGAAGGGTTATTCGGCCTCGGGAGGTATGAGAGAGATACATCATCCATGTACCCTCCTACTTCAGTGATACCAGCTCGAAGATGTCTACATACAAAAAGCCCGAGAAAGCTGCAAACCCTTCGAAGTAAACAATAAGGATTTAATATCCACTCTTACCTGAAACAACCTGGTAACAAGGACCACTCTTGCTGAACATAGCCTGCAAATCTTGGACAATAGCTTCGGCAACTTCCCAAGCGGCAAAATGCCCTCCACTGGGATGCTCATGTTGTCGAACCACCGGACCCAAACCGGCCGCCCAGGAGCCAGGAACGATAGAAATCTCACGCGGCAGGTGAGCAATACCAAGCTTGACATGCGGAATATATCCTACCAAACACTCATATGATTTCCCGTCAATCGCTCCCCCATTCAAGGACTCATAGTATATGCGAACGCTGGCTGCTGGCCCAGCGGCCGAAAACCAATAGATGGATACCCAAGTGAGGATCTCGTCGTCAGTCCACGGATAAGCATCTGTCCAGTCGTGGAGCTTTTCGTAGATCCATGCGAGTAGTGCAACGGGGCTATCTTCCAATGCTGCGCCGATGGTCTGCGGCTTGGTGCTTTGGAGCTTGTTGTATCCGAAGCCATGATCGAAGAACCATTCTGACCGTCTACGGCCTTGCTTTTCACGGTCACTGTACGGCAGTAATGCATGTTGTAGGGCTAGCCAGGGATTATCGGCGAATCGAGGTGGTTTGGCAAGAACCATGTTGATATGAGAGGCTAGGCAGCGCTCGGGGTATAATTGACCGATGGTTCGAGTGATCCAAAATCCCCAATCGCCTCCTTGAGTCACTGGATAGCTGTATTAGTTTCCGGCGTCTGTGGCACTTGCACTCCCGTCATACCATACTGATCATAGCCGAGCTTGGTCATAAGTTTGTTCAGTACTTCAGCGTACTGCACAAGGCCAAACCCGCGGCGAGTGATCCCCGAAGAAAATCCAAAGTTGGGCAGTGATGGAGCCACAACGTGGAATGCGGGATTATTTTCATCGCCTTTTAGCATCGGCAGAAGCTTTGTGACTTCGATGAATGACCCAGGCCCTGTAAATTGAGATTAGAGAGTGCGATGATGCGAGGTACATGGTAATCATACGCACATCCATGGCTGAATAACAATGGAATCGCGTTCTTGTTTGTGCTGACTTGATGGACATCTTCGATTTCACCCTATTAGTATGTACTAATCCATCTGTATTACAAGGAGCATACAGTGGATATCCAAACTGCCAAATCCGTCGACCTCAATCTGGGTTCGGTATTGTGGCAGTTCATTCAACTTCGCTTCCGCCTTCCGCCAGTCAAACCCATCCTTCCAGTATGATACAAGTCGCTGCAATTCCTTCACCGGAGTTCCGAGGTTCCACTCATCCTGTTCCGCGGACTCCAACTGTGTCGCAAACTTGGTAAGCGCTAGACGTTGCTGAAGGTCTTTCAGAGTATCATTAGAGATAGAGATCTTGTATGATTGCGGCTGATCGGCCATTATGAGATGGGGTTCACTTTTGGGAAGATGAAAAGGAGAAGTTTCAGTAAGGAGATATCGAGATGTATTGTGCACGTGAAGTCATCTGATTTGAGGCTTTGAAGGATCCCAGGGCTCACTTTGCTTCCGCAGATCTTCCCCCGCGGGGATCGCTGCATTTGTAATCGATGATTGCTGCCTAGAGCCCCGAGGCGTTACACATGGCGAGCGTTAGGAGATACTTCTTATTCTTATTGACCGATAGACCTGACATCCCAACCCAATTATTCCCCCTCCTGGATTGGACCTTTTATTGACCATGCGAGGCATGGATCCATTTGCATAATATTGGGCTGTAGTCATCACGCGTCTTCAAATCGACTGTGAGAATCGGAAGAAATACGTGCATCTGTTATTGTCTCTTAATAGGCGATAGTCCAGAACCTGGGGGCGGGGCTTAGGGGTGCTATCAGAGAGTGTTTAGGCCGAATTGGGGGCAGTTAGCGGCAAGGCGGAGGGCCGGGATCCCGGGGTGTGCCGGCAGACGACCGGGCAGGGTCTTGGGGCTTTGGGGGGAAGGGGAACGCGGATGCCGGTGACCTTCAAGGCCCCAGAGCTCCAGCCCCGGGGCCCCGCGCCCCGAGAATGCTGCTTATTCAGCATCTGGTTTCGGGGCCGGCAACGGAGCCCGGGATATCACCTGGGCATCGCGGTGAGTCGGGACTATCACTGATTTCAACTTTTCATTTTTACTGTCGCCAACGCGTCATTATATTATGTTCTCTCTCCGGGTCGCTACACACGGTCTTCCAGGCCTTCGGGCTTTCTCCACGGCCCGCGTGCTGCAATCCGAGTTGTCATATCAAGTATTTGGCCCGGAAAAGGGCCAAGCTGTCCGAAAGCCCATCCTGATGCTCCACGGTCTATTTGGTTCAAAGCAGAATAACAGGACCATTGGCAAGTATGTTCTCCAATTGTATCATCAAATAAACTGCATGTTCTTACATGTCTTCTAGAATCTTGGCACGGGACCTAAAATGTCAAATCTTTGCTGTGGTGAGTTTCACTCTTTTCCCTAGAGATCCATGATCAAGAGTGGTTCGTGAATATTAAACCTTTGTTTACAGGACCTCCGTAATCATGGCCATTCTTTCCATTCCCCAGAGCACAATTACAACGTCATGGCAGAGGATGTGCAAGAGTTTATCAAACACCACAAACTGGACAAACCTGTCTTGATTGGACATTCCATGTACGTTCATACCAACAGCATAACACTACTATACTAATAACTACTCAAGGGGCGCCAAAGCCGCAATGGCGGTAGCACTACGCTCCCCGGAAAGCGTGTCTGCATTGATTCCCGTTGACAACGCACCGGTAAATGCAGCACTGAAGAGCGATTTCCCCAAATATGTACGGGGCATGCAGAAGATTGAAGCCGAGAAGGTGTCAAAACAATCCGATGCCAACAAGATTCTCGAGGATTATGAAGAGGTACGGTGGCTATCCCTTGGATGAATAGCACGCAAACAGCCTATGAGCCTGGCATTTCCTCCCTGATGCTGGTCTTACATTCTAACATTATCCAGTCTCTCCCTGTCCGCCAGTTTCTTCTCACCAACTTGATCCGCTCAGAGGAAGACAACACACTCAAGTTCAGAGTGCCGCTCGATGTGATTGGCGGTTCGCTGGATCACATGGCTGATTTCCCATTTAAGGAATCGGACAATCTCCGATATGAAGGCCCAACGCTCTTTGTGCGTGGCACTAGATCCCGCTATGTGTCGGATGACACTATACCGGCCATCAAAATGTTCTTCCCCAATGCACAGATCGCGGACGTTGAAGCGGGTCACTGGCTTATCTCCGAGAAACCCGAGGAGTTTAGACAAGGTCAGTTCTCGGCACCGAGGCGTTTCTCCCCAATTCCTAATTACATATTTTGCTAATACCACGACAATAGCGGTCGTGAAATTCCTGGAATCGAACTAGCCGTGAAAGGGATCGGTGGTCACGTGATTTAGAATATAGACATAGAAGGGGTCAATGTACAATCATACAGCCTGGGCTGGGTATTAAATTTGTATGTAGACAAGAAATAAACAGTCGATTCTCGGCAACGTATGCGAAAGCATCATGACACCCTCCGAAAGGGAGGTTCACGTAGATAACAATATTTCACATACGTTCTCTTTCGAGGGTCCGAGGGTGAAAGTGGCAGTAAGGAAGGCGGAGAAGATAAGATGAATCCCTGGATCGGAGTTCGGCCGACTTATTCTCTTGGAGTTTGCTTGCGCTTTTTGGCTCTTTTCATAGCCTTAGCGCTTTCTTCGGCCTGAGCCGCTCTCTTCTTCCTCTTCTTATCCTTCTTGCTGGGGTCTGGACTCCAAAACGGCGGGGCAGAAGAACTAGGAGCCGGCGAGGAGTCCACCGCCGGAGAGGATGAATGTGAGTCTCCTTCATCATCAGAGCTAGGTCCAGATGACATTCGACGCTTTCCCTTCAAATTTTGAACCTGGCGGTTTTCTGCAGTTTTGCCTTGATGTGGCAATGAATAGCCGCTGGCTCCACTAGGCACTTGCGATTGAGCTCGCACGTGCTTGGACTGTTTGGGGTTGGGAGACATTGGCTCATATCTGCCGAGCTGGGCCGTCCCATCGCTTTTGCCTGGCTGGTATCGACCTAGCGTAGGTCCCATGGGGATTGTTTTGGGAGTTGTGGTATTGTTTGGAGCGAAAGAAGGTATGTATGAAGGGGAACTTGATTGCCCATCATTTGCTTCAGCTCCAGCGTCTTTTATGGTCTTCACAGCGTCTTCGGCCTTTCTCAAACGTTTGAGATAGCCCCTCATTGATTCCTCTATGCCTTTAAATCCCTTCTCCAGGTGCTGGAGTTCCTTTTCCAGGCTATCCAATCCCCCCTCCGGATCTTTGAAGCTTTCATCCAATACCTTTGGCATTTGATTTTCCAAAGTTGTCAGTCGCAAGCAGAGCTTATTAAGATCTGTATTATCGGTTGGGATCGGCTTTCCTGCTTCAGCCAATCCTTTAACTGTGCTTTGAAGCTCTTTGAGTTCCGAGATATGATCATTGAGCTTCTCAAGGTCTTGGTTGCTATTGGCTTTCTCTTGCTTCAAGCTTTCTATCCAATCCTTGACCTCTTTTTGGGCCTGCTCAAGTTGCGAGACGTGACGCTGGAACTTGTCACGGTCTGCTTGCTCATTTGCTGTCCGTCCCTTGGAGATTTTAGTCAGCTCGGAAATTTCATTTTGGACTCGTTGAAGTTGCAAGGTATGAGCTTTGATATCGTTGACATCTTCGCTCTTATTGGTCTTCCAGTCTTCAGAGGCTTTAGTCAACTTCTCGAGCTCCTTCCGGAACTCTTCAAGATGTAAGATGTACGCATCGACCTTGTTAGTCAACGGCTGGATCCTATTGATAGACTCGGTGAAGTTTTCGTACTCTCCCAGCTTATCCTCGACTTTTCCATCAACGTCTGTGATGAAGTCATCCTGAGCCTGGAGCTTGTTCTGTAGGTCATTCCGAGCTTCAAGATTACTCTGTAAATCACGGGCATGCTGCTTAACAAGTTCATCAAGGGGCGTAAGCTTGTCTGAAAGTTCTTGGACTTTCAGGAGCAGATTCGGAAGCTGTTTCAGATCCTGGAGCTGCTCGGGTGACACCTGTGTTTCCTGAGACTTGTCTCCATTGGCCAAAGCAGTTTGTGCATCTATCTGGGCTTTTGCTGTATTTTCCTTGAGTGTGGAAATTCTGTTCTCAATTTCACTTCGATGGGCTGCGAATTGTTGAGCGAGCTGATCGACAGAGGGATACATTTCCTGCATGGCACGTGCCATGGAATTGACCAACTCGGAAGTGGTGATGTTTGCCCATCGTTGTTCCAATGACCGAATTCCCTTGGAGTGAGTTTCAATCAGACCCGCGTGCTTCGCTGCAGTCTGAGAAAGGTCGGGAACTGCATTAAGGCGAGTTTGGACTCCATTCAGTGCGTTCCGAAGGTTGGTTTGAAGCTGCTGCACGTCCTTTGACAAGCTATTCCGAATCCCAGCAACGCTCTTATCCAGTGTTGCATGCTTATGGAATATTTCCTCCGATTTTTTGGTCAGGTCATCCACCATCTTTGAGGTGTTAGCGTGTTGCTTTTCCAGCACATCTTGTTTCTTTTCCAGCATATCGTGCCTCGACGCTTGACTAGTGCGTACGGTCGCCAGTTCTGACAGACGGAGACGATCTACCTCACTGTGGAGATTCTTGATATTGGTAAGAAGATCTCCGTGGATCTTGATCTTCTGCTCCACCGATGTCAGTCTTGAATGCAGCGCGCCAGTGCCAGTTGGAGTTGCGGCTCCTGAAGATGGCCGATCGCCGTCACTAAGATTCTGCTGCTGGCTTTTAAGTGAGGCGAGCACATCCTCTTGGGCAGCGATCTGCTCTATAGCCTGCCTTTTCTGAGCTTCTAGGTCAATCTCGAGTTGCGAAGCATGAGTGAACACGCTATTTCTAGAGGTAGGACCTTGGGTTTTGAGCGAACTGAGATCGGCTCCGAGGGAAGAAAGTTTCCCCTCGACATCCTGTTTTATAGTTTGGACTTTGCCAGTGAGAATTGATATGTGCTCCTCTGTCTGCTTATTCCAATCCTTCATTTCGTCCTCAATGGCGTCCACCATGTTCCGGACAGTAGAAACCTTCTCCTCGGTGGTTTTGTCGACATCTTTCACTTTGGTCTCCAGTGTTATAACTCGGGCCGTAAAGAGGGCATTCCGTTTTGATTGGAGACCGACTGAGTTCGCAATTCTACCGATGTATTCTAACGCTTCAGAAAGTCCATTAGGATTTTGGAGTGCAGTTTCCATTTTCTGCAGCTTTTCTGTGATTGCAGTAATATTCTGGTCCCGGCTTTGCAAGGTCGTTCGGAGATCTGTCAATTCCGCGTCTGATTTGGTGGAATTCTCCATGCTGGCAGTTGAACCAACAGTTTGTGCGATTCCGTTCAATTGGAACTCCAGTTTCTTAACTCTCTCGGGTAGCTGTTCGAGCGATGACTGAGCCTTGGACGGCGATGAGGATGCAAATAAGTCTCGCTGAGCCTGATTCGAGAAAGATTGGTTTTGAGTGATCGATTTGACATGGTTAGCCAATTCAGTTTCGGCTGCATCCAGCTGCTGCTGGAAGAGAGCAATGGTGCTCGGAAATTGCTGGGCTTGTTTCGCCCTGTTTAGATTTTTGGTAATGGAAGCTATTTCCTTTTCAAGTCGTTCCCTTTGTTCCTCGCCCTTATTCACTTTGATAAGAGAGTTGACTAGGTCTGAGATTGAAAGCGCGCCTTGATGACTGGGGGCATCTTGGCTTTCTGTGGGCTTGGAGCCCTTCGCATTGTTGGCGATCGAGGGAGGAGGGACTCGTGGGGGAGATCTCGGGCGAGGCCTCGGAGCTAGAGGAGGATTTGTGGAAGTCGGCTGGTGTGTCTGTTGTGTACTTGACGTCTGAGGACCAGTGGCCTGTCGAGCAATGCTACCAAGCCGAGGATCTCGCCCCGGGGACGGGGCTCGCCCAGACGGGAATGGGCCCGACAGTCGCTTCGGGACATTGGGTTTTGGAGAGTTAACATCCATTCTGCTGGCCGGATTCCCTGAAATGAATGTAATGCGAAATATTCATCGTATTTGCAATAGAACCGAAGTTTGGCGTTTTGTGGAGTTCGATTGCAAATTGTAGTTAGCACCGGACGCCCAGGATACAGTGCTTGAGGCACAGCTTTAAAAATCCAAGGTGTCGTTAGCGCCGAAGATGATATCAAGCTCCAAAGTGCAAACTATGGAACGCGCTCACCACGCCACGCGAGGACGTGATGGTGGGACAAGGCGATTGTTGTAGGTATTGCGGGATACACCAAGACCATAGCCCATAGCATCTAAAATGCTAGTAACAATGGAACGCGATCAGGCGATGACCACCACAGTGTTGCAATCATTGACTTATTCGACTCAGATACGACAAGCGGTGGGAAGACAAACGGTGTTTGCGTCTCTTTGAGAAATTATTTTGCCGGGCGGTGGCCGTGTAACTCCGATCCGCGATCTGCTCTGGCTCCCTCTTCTTTTGCTTTTCTAGAGCTTTGGCGCATTATTGATCAACATAATCTTCCAGTTAGAAAAAGAAAATCGCTCTGGAATTTTCAAAATGGCTGTCGTAAGTTGCAATCCCCTCGAGATATTTCCTGGTCGCTGACATCAAAAAAGCCAATCTCGACCGTCGCAGAGAGCAAGGAGCTCCGGGGACTGAACCTCATCGCCGCCCATTCGCATATCAGAGGTCTTGGTGTCGATGCAGACACCCTTCAGCCTCGGGCATCATCCCAAGGTCTCGTGGGTCAGGAAAAAGCCCGCAAGGCTGCTGCTGTGATCTTGCAGATGGTGAGGGAGGGCAAGATTGCTGGTCGCGCCGTTCTGATCGCGGGACCTCCCAGTACGGGAAAGACAGCACTTGCAATGGGCATGGCACAATCCCTTGGCCCGGATGTACCTTTCACCATGCTTGCTGCTTCTGAAATCTTCTCAATGGAAATGTCGAAGACGGAAGCCCTCACCCAGGCTTTCCGGAAGTCCATCGGTGTGCGCATTAAAGAAGAGAGTGAAATCATTGAGGGTGAAGTGGTGGAGATCCAAATTGACCGGAGTGTAACTGGCGTGAGTGTATCTTTACCGGGATCGAATCAATGGTATTGGATGCTGACTCCCCACAGGGCAACAAACAGGGCAAGCTCACAATCAAGACCACCGACATGGAAACGATTTACGACATGGGAACTAAGATGATTGATTCGATGACCAAGGAACGTGTAATGGCGGGAGATGTGATTTCGATCGATAAGTCCTCAGGCAAAATCACCAAGCTCGGCCGGTCATACGCACGCTCTCGAGACTACGACGCTATGGGCGCCGATACCAAGTTCGTTCAATGCCCTGAGGGCGAGCTTCAGGTCCGCAAGGAGATCGTCCACACCGTCAGTCTCCACGAGATTGACGTGATCAACTCGCGCTCACAAGGATTCCTGGCCCTCTTCTCCGGTGATACTGGCGAGATTAGGAGTGAGGTTCGGGACCAGATCAATACCAAGGTGGCTGAATGGAAGGAAGAGGGCAAGGCAGAGATCATTCCTGGTGTCCTTTTCATCGACGAAGTTCACATGCTCGATATCGAGTGTTACTCTTACATCAACCGTGCTCTTGAGGCTGAATTGGCCCCCATTGTCATCATGGCCAGCAATCGTGGTCAAGCACGCATCCGCGGAACTACCTACACTTCTCCACACGGTCTTCCCCTCGATTTCCTTGATCGGGTTGTTATCGTTAGCACACAGATGTACTCGGGTGACGAGATCCGTCAGATCCTCGCCATTCGAGCTCAAGAAGAAGAAATTGACCTCTCGCCTGATGCTCTCGCTCTTCTTACCAAAATTGGCCAGGAATCGAACCTACGTTATGCCAGCAACATAATCACTACTTCTCATCTTTTGAGTCAAAAACGCAAGGCCAAGGAGGTCACTGTCGATGATGTCCAACGCAGCTTCCGACTGTTCTACGATCCCGCTCGGAGTGTGAAGTTCATCAACCAATATGAACAGCGCTTTATCGGTGATCAGGGCACTGTTAGCTTCACTGCCACAGCCAATGGCGATGCTATGGAGCTTTCTTAACAGAGTTGCATGTTTTTGTACTGGGCTATTCGGTGGGCAGTTAAGCGGGTTGAAAAAGACTACACTGGATCTTGATTTATTTGTTTTGCTTTATTTCTCACATCAAAGGATGTATGATAGGACTGGCGCTTGTTGAGGTAATTTGGCCTTTTGAAATTCATTTGCAGTCCTCTTTTTCTAGAGGGTATGATATTAATATTTCATTCATCACTGGTGCTTTCGCCACAAACAGCGAGTACGACACCTACCCCAACATCGTCTCTCCTATAGAATACCTAAGAACCGTCACCTTATGCCAAACAGGGAACGCGAGGTTCCAAGTCAACAGTCGGGCTATGAGAGGTTATGAGGTGCTAGACTTTCGAACTTCTATTCTAAATGAATCCCCGGGTTTCTGACTCTTGGGAGCCTATGTACTCTCCCTAATTGGGTACGTATACTACCTTAGGTATAGACATATAATGAGGAAATAAGGTAATGACTCTAGGTACGAGAAACACCACAAAGTTTCAGGAAGAGCTGACTAAAGCTTCTTCGTTGATGCGAAGAACCACATGGCATGCCATCTCGTGAGATTGGAGGCCAGACAAGAGGAAAAGCTGACAGTGGTCAGGGCCAACTCTTGGCCTACTTAGCAATGGTCCGCGCTAATCGGAAGGCTCGGGGGTAAACAGATAGTGCTGTTTGGGGTGTGCTCAGTGATGGGCTGGTGTACTACTTTTATAAGCTTGACGACCAAGGCAAATGGTCCTTCGTGATATACGAAGCCGGCCCGGATGGCTGGCCCACGATCGCCAACATGTTGGCATACATACTTGTCCAGGCACTTGTCACTGCGGCTTCTCCTTGACAGTCAAGCGAATCTCGCAGTCACTCCGCCAGACAGTCTGTTCTCTCCGCCGCTCCTCGAATTCCCTCCCTCGCCCTAGAACCCTTCCTTGCACACAACGATATTGACGAAGAGCTTGGGTTTTAAACCGGCTCTGGAGATTTTTTGCTTTTGCCGCTTGCGCACGCTTTAGGCTCTATCGCAAAACTGCGTACATTCTTTATTCTTACGGCCTTAGCACTCTTGCGGGCCTGATATCTTTTATTACAGCATTATGGGGAGAGATATGTTACAAAAAGTCGACAGTTCCACTCCATGGCCCTGTATCCTCAACTCGACGGAACTCAACACCTTCGCCAAAATAGCCTGCATTTTTCCATGCAACCATCGTGGCGCTATCATATGGCCCATGGGCATCCCCTCCATCTCTGGCGTCGGACCACCGATATTGCCACATCGGGGGACCCTGCTCAGTCACTTGGTCCGCAGAAGGGGGGTCAACCCAGTTCTCGCCCGTCTCATTGCGATATTGCCTTGTTAGCATTTCACGCTCGGTGTCATAAATATCTACTTGGCCACGTCCCATCAAGATATCGGCGGCCCCGGTAATAGAATCAATTGCTGTCTTGCGGGCCACTTCATTAGGGTCCTCATCGGCCATCTCGATATCTTGGGCAGCATTCTTCTTGTTTTTCTTGTTCTGCCATTTAGGCTTTCGGCGAAGACCTTTGCCCAGTCGCGCTAGTGCCTCGAGTGTTGTTTCACCACGTTCAAGGTGCGTAATGATTGTTTTCAGGACGTCTGCTGTCAAGACACTGTCGTCCATACGGTCCTTTTCTTTGCGCTCTGCATCACGTTGCTCGGCAGCCTCCTTGGCCTTTTTGATATCTTTCTTGGAAACACCATCCAACCAAGAGTCGTAAACCGCGTCAGGGTCTATGGCTTTGCGGACGTAGTTGCCTTGGTCGTCAAATCGACCCTCTTCTTGCTCTGTTTGCATATTGAAGGCATCAAGGAGAGGTGCGTGCTTCTTTTTCCCGCCCGCGCCAAGTTCCTCGTCCACGTCTTCATCCACTCGTGCGCGTTCCTCTTCCCCAACGTCACTATCGCTCTCGTCTTCTTCGACAATCTGATTCGCGCCCTTGCTCAGATCGATGTTCAGAGCTCCTCCACTTTTTGAAGAAGCGACCTGGCCCTCAATCTCGTCATCTCGTAGAAAGCGTACGGACTTCTTGTTCTTGTGGATAGCTTCGTCGCCGTCGATTTCTTCTTCCCCAAAATCTTCTTGCAGCTCGGCAAACATGTCATCGTCGTCCGCATCCTGCTTTTCTTGTTTGCGCTTAGACTTTTCCTCCGTGCGCGCCGAGAACCCTTCGTTATCGCTGTCCGAGTCGTAGCCCTCGAGGTTGACCGCCTTGCGTCTTATTCTCTGGCCACGTCGGCCAATCTCATCGGCGTCGAGAACGGCATCTTCTTCGGGTGCATCAGCGGCGAGAGCCGAGGGGTTGCGAAGGTCGAAGCGGGGTTTCTTGTGCTCTGTGGAATCCTCGCCGCCCTCATTGTAGTGAGCGCTGGTGAAATCTTCGCCTGTGCGCTTCGGGCGCGATAACGAGCTCGACATGACGCTTTGGAAGTGTGATTTTTATAGAGAGATAAGAAGAGGGGAAAGGAACGGATGATGTTTCGCAAACATAAAGTGTCACTCTCCTCGCTGGGAGCTAATTTCCTTGTCCGGGGTCGGAGCGGAAAATCATGGCGGAGCGAGTGCGTCACTGACGGCGATCCCAAGAGTGCCATTGTACCTCAAATAAACCCGATCTCACTAATAACTTGCTTCTCAGTACCTTTTAATCTAGTAACCATACAAATCGATCATGGTGGGTTAATCTTCACACTCTTACTCTCACCCCACTCCCAATCTTCAACCTCCAAACTAACAGCTTTAGTTTCGACCTGGTTACTGGCCCGACGACCCCATGGATGGAATCCTAAATGCCGGGATGGCGCGTCCAGGTGCTGCAGCCCGTCGCTTCGATGAATACTATCGCTGCTACCCAGTTGCGATGCTTCCTGGGCCCGAAAGAGAGAATGTGAACCATGGTGGCAAGGTCATCATGCCTCCCAGCGCATTGGACAAGCTCACTCGACTTCACATTACTTATCCGATGTTGTTCGAGCTTCATAATGGTGCTAAAGAGAAAATGACACACGCCGGTGTACTAGAGTTTATTGCTGAGGAAGGAAAGATCTATCTGCCGTTCTGGGTGAGCCATCCATACTCTTCGATGTGTGAAGTCTTAAACTAAGACCCGGTTGTCTCCAGCTGATGCAAACACTACTATTGGAGCCTGGCGACCTCCTTCAAATTAAATCAACCGACCTCCCCCCTGGCCAGTTTATTAAACTCCAAGCACAGTCAACCTCCTTCCTCGATATCAGTGACCCGAAAGCTGTGTTAGAAAACGCCTTCCGGAATTTCTCATGCCTTTCCAAAGGTGATGTCTTCACTTTTGCCTACAATGATCAAGTATATGAAATGGCAGTGCTGGAAACGAAACCTTCTGGCTCTAAGAATGCCATCTCCGTTCTAGAGACTGATTTGGAGGTTGATTTCGCTGCCCCAGTCGGATACGAGGAACCACAGCGAACTAGTGGAACCAGCACGCCTGGCAGCGTTATTAGCGGTGGAAAGCTTCCTGCCGGTGGACTCTTACATCCCCATGGCACCATGGCACAATCGATCAACTATCCCGCGATTGCTCCCGAGGCAACTGCTGCCGCTACAGGTGCCCGCGCGGCATCCTCCAACTTTTTGTCTGCAGGGCAGCGTCTGAATGCCAAAAAGGGCACCAAGGCTCCTACTCCTAATCCTTCCACACCCACCCCTGGTGCCTCGAGTTCTTCACAGCCTCCAGCCCGCAGAACGAATGGCCCGCAGCCACTCCGACTCCCGCCCAATCAGCTCTTCTTCGGGTACACAATCACACCCGTTAAACCACGCGATGAGAATGGGCAGATTGTTCCAGATGATCAACCCAAGTTCCAAGGGATTGGACAAACATTGCGAGGAAAGCGAAAGGATTTGAGTGACTCTGCTACGGCTTCGGGGAGTGAGGCTGAAAGCCAAAAGGGCAAGGAAAGCACTAAAAAGTCCGACAGTGGTGGCCGGACTCTGGGAAAGCGCTAATGTTTGCAACTTTCTGTTTCAATCCATCGTTTCATGATTCTTCTGGGCTTTAGATAATGGAAATCTCTAGATTCTGCGGCGGGAATTTCGAGAGCATAGCAAGGTTCAACATGGCGTTCCGGTGAGCTGTTCACTTTTGCTTCACTACATGACAAGACCTTGCAAAAAAAAAAGGTGCATTGCCCAGGTACTTTCTTGTATCTTGTAATCAGTCCGATCATCTACCTAGGTAGGGTCTGATCTTGGGTTGAAAACCAATGACATCCTTTTTCGGTTCTTTAGTTCGTAGGTTAAAGCTTGTGATGCCGAGGGCTATCAAAGCGTTGCATGGCTGTTGACTTTAACTCTGCCCCTGAAAATGATCAATCATATCACTCACAAATCTCAACCGAAAAGCCCAACTGGTAAGTGTTGTCCTCAAGAAACAGTCTCTCCATAGTCCGGCTAGTGCATGCGGCTCTTGGCAACCCCGGATCGCCATTCTCCCACACGACATCACTGATTCCACACCAGATACCCAGACCGAACTCATCTCCACCATGGCTGAGAATCCTTTGACGTCATTTATCAAATTAGCCCCCTCGGTCTATCTCCAGGACCCTTCCAGCCCAAGCGACAAGGCGGATCGCCCAGTGATATTCATTGCGTTTTGGATGAATGCACCCCCCACGTGCACTAGCGAAGTATGTAGTCGAATACAGACGCTTAGTACCATCCGCGCGAATTATCTTTGTCCGAAGTTCATCGAATGACTTCCTCTGGCGCCTAAGGACCCAAACTCGGAGAGCCCGTATCGTCCCAGCCGTGGAAGCAATGCGCGACCTAGTGGCCCCTGAGAACCCAGTATTTGTGCACTTCTTCTCAAACGGAGGCATGTCCAACACCACGCATCTATTACACGCCTGGAAAGATGCGACGGGCACCCCGTTGCCAATCTCAGCGATGATCCTTGATAGCGCACCGGGCAGCCCAAGCCTACGATCGGGACTCAAGGCTTTCTCCTTTGCGCTGCCTCAGATGTGGATCTTGCGGCTGCTTGGCAAGAGCTTGCTTTTCGCCTTCTTGGTTCTCTTCAAGTTGATACAGTCCTTTTCCATGATTTCGGATCCGATCTCCCTTGCCCGCAAGGTCATCAATGATACCTCTTTGGTGCAGGCGGCTAACGCAGAGGGGGCTCTCAAGCGCTGCTATATCTACTCCGATACAGATGACTTAGTCCACGCGGGCGATGTGGAATCTCATGCCCTAGATGCCGAGGCCAAACGTTGGATAGTACGCCGTGAGATGTTCAAGGGCTCCCCGCATGTTGGGCATATGAGAGCCGACCCCGATCGATACTGGGGTGTTGTTCAAGAATACTTGGGGGCTTGGGTGTCGGCATAAACGTTGCTTTGAATTCCTGTCTCTTTGTCGTTTGGGTTAGCTTTGATCACTAGGTTCTTAATGTTAATATATCACCCTGCGCGACTATATCCATCTGATTTCATGCGTACCTAGTTGTTCTTGCTTCGTCGGATATTTCGGTTCATTGGAATGTACATTCGCGCCTCAGACAAAGAACAATTAAAACCCCCCATACCGCAAAGTTTTGCGGTTCCATGGTCATGGGGTTGAATCATCATGACCTTCCTCCCAACAGCATACGCCAATGGTATTCGGAGCCCGTTGTCAGAGCCAAAACAGACTGACCGAAAGGTCGGAGTATAGTTCCGCAGCTCCCGTCTCGGAGGCACAAAACATTGCGATATGTCTAGGTGAATCCAAAGCGACGACACCGCTGCATCATTATATTAATCCTTGCTCTAGCATGACCTTTCCCGGGCATTCCACATGCAGGTATTGCCATTTTCATCAATACATTCCACTTCTTCCACTTGTGTCTGCTATATTGCATACAATCGCAAACCAGGCATCCTCCTTACGGTAGGGATTAGTGTCCTTCGTTGTCTCTCTATTGTTCTGACCAACTCCAATAGACCGTCGAATTTTCTTTCAAACGTATCATTGCCTTGCTATCTTGTCTTTGAGCAAAAGCAACAATGTTCCAACACAAATCCCATGAGGCGAGCTTCCTCAACGAAAAGGCAGCTAAAGACTGCCGCTTCGCTCTTCCGGGGTTCAATCGGCCGTTAGATTTCGCTCCAATGGAGAAAAACATCTACGGTGTCGAAAGTCGGAGCATGTTTCCAAATGCGCTCGATGATAGAGACATCGAGGCAGGATACGTGGAGTAAGTGCAGAATCTCTCAGGGATGCTCAGTACTGAAATATCTTCTAGTCTGCCCGTCCTAACCCTCCGTGAGATCCATATGGTGGAGTTTATGGAAGATCTGACCGATATCCCTGAGTGGTGGAAGAAGGTTGGTGGTTTCAAAATAACACTGACCATTCTACTAACTCGTTTTCAGGTCCATGACCCCAAGTTCCAGGAGCAGTGGAAAAAGGACGCCATGGGCAGTGGGAAAGACATCACGCTCAATATGGCCCAATGGATCATTGACGAGCTTCAATTCAAGGCCATGATCTACGAGTCCACAAATGTAGTCGCCCTGTACAGTGGCGATGTCACCAAGTCTGACACCAACATATCCGATGCCTTTCTTCGCGATATAAAAGCTCAAACCCAGGTCCTAGAGGTTTCTCAGAAGACCTTGCAGTACTTCCATCCAGGCAGTATGAACAGACAGCGTGACCTCATTTCCATGGCACTGTACCCGCTGGTATATGGCAAGTCTCGGATTCTGACCGACAAGATCATCGGCCTTGACGACGCCATCGCGCACGCCGGCCAGGGCGAAGTGATTCCAGTCCCCAAAGAGACTGGAATCACCAGAGAAGACATTGCCTGGCGCGTTTTGGCCCGGGAAGATATCAAGGTTCGGCCCCATAGTCGCAACTATCAACTTCTTCCTTCCGACTGGGAGTTCCGCGAGGATGGCAAATGGCATATAGCTACATACATCAACAACCTGCACCCAATCAAACATCGCAACATCTACAAGCTCATCGAGCAGGCCTTTAACGCCATTATTCCCCAGTGGAATGCCACTCTGACTCCACTCAAGGACATGCTCCATTCCCGTGCCCGCATTGAGTATCACAAAGTGGAGTATTACCCAGTCCCAAAGGAAGTTACTTCAAAGGCGCCTCAAATCAATCCAAAAGAAGCACAGAGCGAGTTCGATGATCGCATGGAGAAATGGAGAATGAAGCACTACCGTGCTATCCAGCCCGACGTGGGCAAGTTTATCCCCTGGGCGGTCCCGGCATGGATGATGGACAAATTGCCCGAGGATCTACCTAGTGCTGTTCGGATTTCACGAGGCGTCGATCTGAACCGAGATTATAAGGATCGTGGACTACAAGTGATTACACGTCTGATCGGCATCGATCTGACCCCAGAGGAACCGACCTTTGACGGACAATGGCACATCGAGGGCACGATGGTAAGTTTCATAACCCGGAACTGAATGCTTTTTCCGATCTATGTTAACGCCAGCAGAACGAGCACATTTGCGCTGCCGCATTCCTCATCTATGACCACGACAACATCGGAGATGCTTACATGGAATTCCGCAACATGGTCGAAACCGACATCTTGGGTGAAATCGAGCACGAGCCAGACGATCTCATCTGGCTAAAGCAGATCTTCGGCCTGGAAAATGGTGAGCCGGCTATTCAATATCCAGGCTCGATTCGTTCGACGCCAGGTCGTACAATCATGTACCCCAGCACCATACAGCATAGGTTCACCCGCTTCGAACTGAAGGATAAGACGAAGCCTGGAACTGCGCGCGCTCTGGTGTTTTTCCTTGTCGATCCTAATATCCGGGTTATCTCTACGGCGAATATCCCGCCTCAGCGTCTGGATTGGACTAAGGATATCCCAGAGACTGGGGAGAGGGCCTTAAGGCGGCTATGCAAAAGGTGGCGCTCGACAACATGAAGGACAAGGGTAATATGCCCATGAGTTTGGAGGAGGCTTTGCAGAACAGAGTCAAGGTTTTGGAGGAGCTTCAGGAGTTTACTAGCTATCAACATGTGGCTTTTGAGTCGAATATTTTGATGCTTTAATATGCTGTGGTCTTTCTTTGCTGGTTCTTTGCTTTTGTCCGGTTGTTTTCCAAAATGAGTGGATTATTTCTTTTTTTCTATGAAAGTTACTGCAAATTATTTATGTTGCTCTATCGCGCCGTTTCAAAAGCTACGCCTTACAGAGAAAGATGGTTCAGTAAAGATAATATTAAATCGCCGCGCTATGCCATCCATTCGTAAGATCAAGTATGCACATGTCCCATTTTGATTATCCCCAACACCAATCGACCAAAAGCCAAGTCCGGAGCTTAACGTCCCTTCATCTCGGGGAACTCATCTTCAAGCTTCAAACGAGCCGTGACGTTCATACTCATCAATTCTTGAATGAGGAGTTTGGCAGCATAGGGAATAACCATCTTCACAACAGAACGAGACGACTTGCAGCCTGGGCACCAGTTCAGATAACCCATGAAGCCACACTGTTCACAGACATCAACTTCGTGGCGATCAGACGAGATCATCAGACGCTCCAGCAGCAGCTGACTGGTGCCGTATGCGATCAAACAATCACGCTCCATCTCACCGAGACGGAGACCTCCGTTACGAGAACGACCCTCGGTAGGCTGACGGGTGAGAGTAGCGGTGGGACCCTTAGCACGCGAGTGCATCTTATCTTGGACCATGTGCTTCAGTTTCTGATAGTAGATGGGACCGGTGAAGACGTAGAAAGGCAAAGCCTCGCCGGTGATACCAGAAGTAAGATAGTCCTTGCCACCATAGCTGAAACCCTTGTCGATCAGGATCTGGGACATTTCTTGGACGGGGCTGCCACCGAAACAGGTACCATAGCCGTGCTGGCCAGAGAGAACGCCTGCTTTGCCGGCAACGAGCTCCAGCATCTTTCCGACTGTCATTCGAGAGGGGAAACCGTGGGGGTTCATGATAATATCAGGGTTGATGCCTTGGTCCGAGAATGGCATGTCTGCCTGGTCTGCAATAATTCCCACAACACCCTTCTGTCCGTGACGGGAAGAGAACTTGTCGCCAACTTCGGGGCGACGAGTTTGTCGGGTCAAAACCTTGATGAGTTGCGTCTCGCCTTCGGTGGCAGATACCAGGACCTTGTCGATGTAGGCGGGATCTGGCAGCTTGTAGGTCATGGATGCCTCGATAACTTCGCCTCCGCCCATGTTGGAGCCGGCGAAGCCCATCGAGTTTTGGACTTTAGGTGACACCTTGTTGATATAACTTTCACCTGCGTTGACCATCTCGCCGACTGCGGCCAAACCATCGGCCTCGAGGAGCGCGTGCTTGCGAATGGGAGCGCCATTCTCGTATGTCGGTGGTCGGAGAGAATCCTTGGCTCCGTTGGGGTAACTCTTCAACGTCGTGACATACTTGCGGAAAACCTGGCAACGTCCGAAGCCACGGTCCACAGATCCCTTGTTCAGGACCAAAGCATCCTCAATATCGTATCCAGAGTAACTCATCACAGCAACGGTTGCGTTCTGGCCAGCAGGTAATTGATCGTACTTTGTCAGCTCAATGGTTCTTGACTTGACCATTGGCTTTTGTGGGTAGACCATGAGGTAGAGAATAGAATCAATTCGTTGGAACTGATTAGAAGCAATAGCGCCAATGGCTTGCTTACCCATGGCACATTGGTAGGTGTTACGGGGTGACTGGTTGTGGTGAGGATATGGAATTAAGCCAGCAACAGCTCCGAGGACCGTGAAGGGCTCGATCTCAAGATGGGTGTGTGTGTTTGAGATGTCCTTTTCGTAGATGGAGATGTAAGAGTCGTTCTCTTCATTCACATCGAGGTATTCTACAAGGCCTTGTGCCAGGAAGTCGTCGAACTCCATTTTTCCGTCACGCAGCTTCTCAAGATGATGAGCCTTAACAAGAGACTTGCCATTCTCCACGACAATAAGCGGTCTGCAAATTCGACCATCGTCGGTCGCGACATGCACGGCTCGCTGGTGGTGATTGATGTAAATGCTGACGAATTCAGAAACGCGCCCCATGCGGCGCAGTCGTCGGAAAGCGTTGAGGAAGGACTTTGGGCGTCTGGTCAAACCAGTAGGTGTACCGTTAATGGAGATTGTGTAGGCACCCCGAGCGTAGAGTTGCTGCCCGCCCACAACTGAGATGTCTTCGACGCCCAACATGAAAATCAAGTTTCGCACCGGTCCCTCTTCGTCATTCGTTGTGATATGCGTCATTAGGGCCAAGTTCTTGACCAAACCACAGGCCTCTCCTTCGGGGGTATCGGCGGGGCAAAGCATTCCAAACTGGGAGGGCTGCAAAGCACGAGGACCACTGACCTTACGGGTCTTTTCGAACTGACTGCTAATACGGGTCATCATACCCAGAGCTGCAATGTAACTCAATCGACTGAGAACATGGGTGACACCCGCACGCTCCATGCGGAAACGCTTCAAACTCCAATTTCCTGTGGAGATTGCTCGGTTCATGCCCTGAGTGATGTGATTTCCGTGCATAGTCACAATAGTCCAAGCATCGAACTGTTCCGCTCGATTGCGCTTGTTCAGGACTTTGTCGATGTTCATTTTGATATCGAAACAGAACTTCTTGAACAAATCTTCAAAGAGAAGAGCCAACATCTGACCTGCCAACTCCAAGCGTTTGTTTCCAAGATAATCACGGTCATCGACTAGAGCCGGGTCATTCTTCGCCATCAGAACGCGGCGAGCCATGTGAGCAACATAGATGGCCTTGGGTCGGAAATTCATGTCTTTGACCTCAATATGAGAGATAATGACAGACGCAATAGCCTCGACGGCTTCTTGGACGTGTGTCTTGCGATAAGCCGCTTGTTTGCGATTAATCTTGATCCGGCAGCCGATCCACTCAAGGGCTTGTTGTTGGGTGTAAACATCAACATTGATGGCCTCCTCAAAATTGATGGCGAAATCATCCTGATACAAACTATCGTCACCGGTAACCATTTGCATCATTTCCTTATCCGTATGGATACCCATGGCCTTGAGCAAAATGATAATTGGAATGTCCTCATTAAGCACGTTGTGCTTAACATAAAGCCTGCCCTTTTTCATGACAATGTAACTCTTGGATTTGCGCTCGTTGGAAGAACTGTGGATGTCAGTATTAAACGGCCAATAGGCATATAGACATGTACATACCTGGTAACCGAAGCCTGGACAATTTCTTTCTTTGGGTCGGTTTCGACGATAATTCTGTTCTTGCTCAACTGTTCTTGCACAAGAATGACCTTTTCTGTTCCGTTGACGACAAAGTATCCACCGGGGTCGAGGGGGCATTCATTTAGGACGCTCATCTGAGCAGGTGTTTTATTCGAGAGAACACACTTAGAACTCCGGAGCATGATGGGGATTCTTCCGATGGGAACACCTCGTCGGATGACCCTTTGCCGTCCACGGACATACTCAAAGTCAACGAGGATGGGCGCGGCATACGTAGTGTCTCGGAGTCTGCACTCCTGCGGCGTGATTGTCGACTCGAATTCAAGTCCGCCATCGCCTTGTTCGTCGGCTCGTCGAGGTGAAGCAACGTAGATGTCGGTAAATTTAATATAAAAGTTGTGATCCACGTCACTTCGAATTGTAGAGCTCGATTCCACGATCTTCTTCATTTGCACCTCGACAAAGTAGTTGTAAGAGTCAAGATGCTGCTTCACCAGTCCTTTGACCTTCAAGAATGCCGGCAGCAGGTTCCATTTGTCCTTGGCCGTATTGATTGGGTCTGTAAGACCCTTGTTGTAATAAAACGGTTCCAAAAGCGCATCGAATGGGTCCCTGGACTTGAAGTTCGAAGGTGTGGACGCATTCTCGGGCACGGAGTGCTCATGAGGCTGTGAGACAGGGTTGGACTGGGAAGGACGCTTGGCTTTCGTGGGATCAGTCGCCGATTGGTTTCCAGTCTGCTCCGAAAATAGAATAGTCAGTACGATTATCAGTCATATAGGACTTGCGACTGGAAAAAAAGTTTTGTTACCTCTGAAGGACGTTGCGCCCTGGCCGCAGAGGGCTGTGGCCTTTTGCGCGGAGGCATATTTGCTAGACAGCTGATGTTGTAGAAAGATGGATACAAAAATATGTCCCAATCAAACTACTCAGTTGTCCAAACCGGAACTCGCAAGACGGTTTCTCATGGAGGGGAAAGATTTGAGCAATGGATTTGGAGATGGCTTAATAAGCCGCGGGATGGAGCTGATTGTTGCCTGAGGCATTATGCAAGCTTCATACTTCCGAGGTTGATATTGCTTATCTCCAGGAAGGTCCAACAAATACATTGTATATGATATGTTTGTTGGATTGATTGTAGTCAAAGTCAACTATTTCCTGTCCTTTTCATAAGGGGTATAGTAGCATTTTCCATTGGTTGTTGGGGTGATCATGAAGTGTCAGAAGTGCATGTTCGTAGTATATATTGAGCGTACCCCAATCAATATTCCTCATATGGAACGTCGAAAGCATTGATGAACCAAGAGATTTAAATACTTCCAGTGCTCCTTGAGTCCTACATAGCTTACTTCACCTGAACAAATAGTCAAATTGATCTTATTGTGAAGTGATCGTGTAAAGTCCAAGGATCGGAGTAGACTGATCTTACTTACACCTGAGAGAATGGAAACCTTAGGGTGAAGAGAATAGACGAGGAAACCAATTTTTTTTTTTGGCTGAATAAGCTCAACCTCAAGGATTGCATTATATTAATTCAGGCTTATTCAAGTGCACAGGGCTGAAGGTACAAGACCTTGCCAGATTGTCAAGGATCTGTGAATATGGAAGTGCATCTAGTGGGTCTTTGCGCATGCAGACCAGCCCCGGACGTTTATGGACGTCTGCACGGACAACGTACTGATCAGATTACTCCATCCAGAGAGCACAATCGGCTCTGTTTAATGGACAATGGTCCATGACAACCCTGGCATTCAAAGAAGCGGTCACGTAGAATAGAAGAGAGGACTTCCACCGCCAGTTTCCAGGCGCAAGGGTCTCCGGTACCATCAATGGATTGGGGAAAGTGTCAGATTATTAATACATATGGTCGCACTGCTTGTGTGGCACTGTGATTGATCGAGTATTGGGCACCCTCGGTCCTTCATGTCGAGGGACAACATGATGTCTGTGGCGAAAGATTTGACCGCACTTTTGAAATTGCCACCCTCGACTTCAGTGGACACGACGTTGCAAGATTGCCTTTTTCCAGAATGACCCTATTTCTGATCGGATGCATGTAGCTACATCATCAGTGGTTGTAATGTACTCTGTACCGGGAATGTTCATACGGAGTTGTTGTACGGAGTACTTCCAAGAGGCTATTGATCGTGGCGAGATAAGTCTAAATGCTATATAATCCTATCCACACGTGGTTGGTAGGACAGGGGTTATCTCCGTCAGAGGTACACTATCCTCCCAGGAGACATCCAAATAAGAGGCACTCACAATGCTATCGATTGCGGGCTTCGGTATTCCGTACGGAGTTCTCTGTATACTTGCCATCACTCTGTAATGGTCCCGGGAAGGCCGATTGTAGGGCTTTGGCAGGGGTTGGGCGGAGGGAGCGCGGAGACCGCTCTAGTTTCAGAAATTATGTGCCAACGTGCTTTGGGGGCCGTAGTATGTTCTAGCAAGTCCTTTTTACGAATGATCTTGAACCATGATTCGTTCTCAAACCGAGGCAGCCAGTCAAGACTTCCGAGGCGCAAGTCAGGCGTTGGGCATGAAAGAAACTAATTAAAATTGGTTCATTTGGGCGTCAAGAAGTGGGTTTTTGAACCCTCCGCCGTTTAGGATGATTACTGGTACGGAGTATTACGGATTGTAATCATTGCATACGATAGCTGGCACACTAGTTCGTGCACAACTGGGGGTTGACGTATCACCTGGAGATCATGGGGTATTGCCGATTGATTTAAGAGATCAGCAGCACAGACCGTAGCGAGCACTCAGCTTAGATCGGAAATCACCCTTAGTTTCGGAGACTTCATCGGATGCAATATATATAGAGAGGAAAGAGTGGCCCATGAGTGGCGATCCCTGAATGAATAATAAGAATGACTGGGGTTTAGAGGATCTCCGGTGGCATGCTCGTCATTCGGTGGATCAGGGGCTCCAAGCGACGCGATCAGCGCCAGTGGCACTTACACCGCTTGTCTTGACGTTGCCCTAATCTTGCAGAGGACATTCCAGAAGAGGGGGGGAAAAGTCGTATGGAGATGTATCATCCATAACACACCAATTCTCCCTAGGACAGTATGTGGGAGGTCGGAAAGTCACCAAAGGGGAAAGCTATCAGACCCGTGGAACAAAGAACAAAGGGCAATATCAGCGGAAAAACAGAGTGAACTTCTCCATTGACCCTTCTGATTGGTGAGATATTCCCCTACACAGTATGACCTGGTGATTTGATTAAATCCAGGAACAGGCGCCTAATCATTTTAGACGATCCACTGTCACATCTTCGGGCACTTCAGTCCCCACAAGTGGCTGTTAAAGGAGGGGGAAACGCACCTGCAGATGCCACGCTCTCTCTTGACCAGCGCATAGAAACCCCCTTACCGGAGTCCTAGCACGATGCTTTCTCTCGGGTACATCCCAGGTTGTCCCTAGTCGAGCATGGAATTGACCATTCGTAGGGTCTTCAGGAGATCTCGCGGAAGCTGTCCATTGAACTACCCCGGGCTCTTCCCGGGGACAAGTGCGCCCAAGTCGTACACACACCGGAGGCTCTCCAATCAAGGCAACCCGATCAATTTCCGAGTGACTGCTGGCCGATCATCTGCTGTGCCCATCGAGGGGTTTGTTTCAGTATGATCCTATACAAGTCGAGAAAGGGTAGAGCAAGGGTAGTATGAGAGGTATATCGTTTTGGCGCCTCACCCGGAGAGCATGGAAGCAACAAATATTATATACCACCTTTTGAAGATACATCCAGAAGAACATAAATATTATACGATCAAAATCACCTTGCCACTAGACTTTTGAACGCAATCAAACAGGAAAACTGCAGTAAAACAGACGGATAAAAAAGAAAAAGGAAAAGAAAAAAAAGAAAAAAAGGGCCACAGTCGTTTCCTAAAAAAAGGATCTCCCCGCTCCGATCTGGACTCCCAGCCATTTTCTCCCCCCCCTCTTCTTCTTCCCTTTTTTCTCCCTCTACAACTCCCCCTTTGTACAACAGCTTTGTATCGTTCGTTTGGGTTATCGTTAGGTTGTATTCCCCCTTTGCGCGACACGCTCGTTTCGCCCGCGCCTCGATTCCTCGGTGCTCGCTAAGTCGGAGCGGTAAGAGAGCTCCATCCCACTCTGCAACTCCCTGCTGATCTCCGCACCGTCAGGTACACACGATATTCCCCGTCAGAATTGCTTATAGATGACCGGCGCAACCTGAAGTCGCCTAGCACTCCCCTCCTCGACCTCATTTAACTCCTCTCGAGGCGTTCATTGTGTGAGTTGAGTCCCTTTCGCGAGCGCAGATCGTCTCCGCCTGGCCAAACCCCTCAGCCCCTCTCTCGATTTCCCCTTGCTTCAGACGTCGAAGAACACACCGCCAGGCCACTCTTCCCCCAATTCGGACATTTCCCTGCCACCGGAGGACGTGGCTCTACAAACTCTGGGGCTGGTCGTCATTGCTTCCCCGGACACGCTCCCCTTAAAGCCCATTTCGGCGCTGTCAACAAATCGCGATATTTGCTGACCATCCCTTTTGGAGTGTAGTTGGACAATTCGGCTGCGCTGCTCATGATGGCTTTCAAGCACGGGCTGAGTGAACGCCTCGACGAGCTGCGATTCCCAACCCCACGATCCCCGCCCTCGGAGTCTGCGTTCCCTGGGTACACTTCTCTTTCCCCGGGCCATTCAAACTTTGGATCGGGGTTCTCGTCTCGGCCAGCCGGTGATGTTCGAGCAAATCTGCAACGTCGGTTCACCACCGATTCGAGCAAGTTTTCGTCATGGAATTATTTGAATCCAAGCTCAGGGTCGGCTTCTAGCTCTGGCTCGAGCCAGATGCAAGACCCGCTAGATTTGTTGTCTTCGGTAAGCTTGATCTTTCTTTTCTGAGTTAGCCAATATTCCCAGCTTTTTGCATTTATCGTACCTGTGTACCTGTACTATTTCCATTGAATTGGGTTGGGCGATGAGCATGGAAGCAGGGTGATGAGGTGGTGTTCTATCTGCTTGCAATATCAAATGGATAAGGCGGCCGTTTCTCACCCCTCACCCATCCTTCTATCCTTCGTTCACTTCCATTCATCGTCTTCCATTCATCCATCTCTATTCATCATTCTTATCCTGTGCTTCCCATTCTTCTTTTATCATCCATTCGTCCTATTGTTTCTTATTCATCATCCCCTATTCTATTTCATCAATCAGACAAAGTCTCTGAAGTGGCCGAGGCGATTGAGCCATTGACGGGATTGACGCCTCTTGGTGCTTGAACCCTGTCTATTCTGAGTCTATTCAGACTTCAAGTCAGGCCCTGCCCACCAGGCTACCGTCCCGTCCGCTTGGTATAAAAGCCTGCGGCTTGCGTTCTCTACTTTTCCTTCTTTTTTACTTGCTACCACATCTTCGGGTCTGAACAAGTCGCTGCCTGTACCACCGGACTACTTCGTTTGCTATTGGTCTTGCGTTACGTTGGCGTTGAACTTTTATCCCCCATTGTGCGTTGGAATCATTATCCTCCTTGCAAGTATCTGTTCTTCGGCCGTGTTGTGTCGGGGATTTTTTGTGCAATTCTGAAGGTTTTTGTTGATTGATTGATTGAACCTGCGTTCTCTCACTTCTTTGAACCGATATCTTTGCTAAGATCTTGCCCAATTTGTCCTTTTTTGCTTCTCGTTGCTTTTGCTTTGAAGATATTCCGGGATTTGTATCTGACTTGTTTCGCAGTTCGAGAAGAAGAGACAGCACATTGAATACATGCGTGAACAGAAACGCCGCTTCGAAGAGGACATGAAGATCCTGGACCTTCAGCACGCTCGGGAGAAACTCGAGATGGATCAACTCGCTCGGGACTTGGCTCAGGCTGGTATCTCTGGCCCAGTCAGTGAGCCCACTACCCCGCCTGAGTATCGTGATACTGCCGTGTCGAGTGCCTTTAGCCGCCCTGCTCGTTTCTCAACGTCGAGTGTGACATCTTCTCCCGGCTTCTTCAACGCCTTTGCGCCCTCGACCTTGACCTCGCCCCAGGCCGTTTCACAGCCCCTCCAGCACTCAATTGACCGCTTTGCTGGACACTCTGTCCCCGGATCGCGCCGCAACTCCGAGAAGGACGATTTCCTCGCTGACGCGACATCTCCATTCCGCTCAGGCCCCTCGTGAGTTGAAACATTTTGCCGTATTGAAGGCCTAGCTAACATTCATTTAGGGCTGCCCATCGATACTCGCTTCCTTCTGGCAACCAGAATGGTCACGTTCACCGATCCAGTATCTCTGGTTTGAACGGATCTCGCCTTGATACTTTCAATGTCCCCAAGTATCTTTTCCCCAGCGATGAGGACAAGTCCAATGGCCATCTGAGTGAGCTCGAACGCTTGTCGACTCCTGATATCAAGAGCTATATCAAGTTGACCGAGCCGGATGACAAGTTCCCAACCCTGTCTCGCCGTGGAGACTCTGTGGTAAACTTCCTTTAACCCGGATTCCAAGAATATACCGAGTTCTAATTATTTATTTAGTTGTCAGCAAACCCTGACGCTCACGACCTTGCCAACCCTCGTGTTTCAGGCGCCGAAATTTATTCCAACCACAGCCGTCACCGGTCCTCCCACCAAAGCATGCCGCAGAACATCCATAACTTTGGGCGTTTGGATCAACTGGGAAGCCAGAACAACGAGGATCACGCTAATTCAGCCAATAACACCCGCCACAGCGCTCGTCGTTCCATGGGAAGCCAGATCTCATTCCACGATGATCGCCATGAGGAGACCGCTACTCCTGTTCCTTCAAGCCGCCCCACCGCCCTGCAATCTTCGTTCTCGACTAACGATTTGCCAACCGTGAAGGGAAATGGACCTGGAAACGCCATCACTCCTCCAAAGACCCACAATGAGCATGTACACCATCACAATGCAAGCGTTGGGCGCATTCCCCAGGGTAGTGTGAACAATCATCAGTCCAAGACCGAGTATGATGAGAATGAGTTCCATGGTAACCAGTCGACCTTGCATGCGAGTGCCCCACCATTCGGACCTCAAGCTAATTCTGCTGCGTCCACCAACAACGTATCTGGCTCGCATGTCCAAATGGGTCTGCCATTCGGAGTTCCTGCCGTCCCTGCCGTCCCTGCCTTCAACTACGGTATTCAGCCCTATGTCGGCCAAGCGGCTCCAATCAATGGCCACATGCAAAACTTCGGACCGACTGCCGCTTATGGTGCCTATCCCAATTATGGTCCTGGCTTCCGCTTCAACGAACCCACAGGTCGGGGCAATATGGCTCAGCGACGCCAAGAGAACGAGGCGAACCAGCTTACTCGTTTCGGCAACTTCCCCTTGGAGCACTACAAAGGTGAACTCTACAGTTTGTGCAAGGATCAGCATGGCTGCCGATACTTGCAGCGCAAGTTGGAGGAGCGTAACCCGGAGCATGTGCAGCTGATCTTTAGTGAAACTTACATGCATGTGATTGAGTTGATGACCGGTATGACACAATTCCTTTTTACCCTTTAACCCCACTCTAAAGTCTAACCATTTTTCTGTCTCTTGAATAGATCCCTTCGGCAACTATCTCTGCCAGAAGTTACTTGAATACTCGAACGACGAGCAACGCACTGCTTTGATTGACAATGCCGCTCCTCAATTGGTTAAGATTGCTCTCAATCAGCATGGAACACGTGCATTGCAGAAGATGATTGAGTTCATCTCGACCCCCCAACAGACTCAGACTGTTATCAATGCACTCCAGCATCATGTTGTTGATCTGGTGCAGGACCTCAATGGCAATCACGTCATCCAGAAATGTCTCAACCGCCTGACTTCCGAGGATGCTGAGTTCATTTATGAGGCTGTTGGAGGCAATTGCGTGGTTGTTGGTACTCATCGCCATGGATGCTGTGTGCTTCAACGTTGCATTGATCATGCCTCCGGTCACCAGAAGGCCCGTCTCATTGCGCAGATTACCTCTCACTCGTTTGCCCTGGTCCAGGATCCCTTCGGAAATTATGTTGTGCAATACATTCTGGACCTCGCAGAGCCCAGCTTCACCAATCCCCTTTGTGCCACCTTCGGGGGCAACATCCCTCAATTGTCGAAGCAGAAGTTCAGCTCTAATGTGATCGAGAAATGCCTCCGCACTGCTGATAACTACATGAAGCGTGAGATGATTGAAGAATTCCTCATGGGCAACGAGCTTGAAAAAATGTTGCGTGATTCCTTTGCGAACTATGTTGTTCAAACTGCGATGGACTTCTGTGACCTCGAGACCCGCAACCGCATTGTTGAGGCTGTTCGTCCGATTCTTCCATCTATTCGTCAGACTCCGCATGGTCGTCGCATTGCTGGCAAGATCATGGCTGCCGATACCAACACCCGCAGCAACGGTAGCAGCACTGCTACTAGCGGCCAGGTCACCCCTAATGAGATGGGCAACACTGCACAGATCCCCAAGACCCTGTTGCAGAAGCCATTCATGTATCAGCAGCCAGGTGTTCAATCCCCGACCTCAACCAGTGGATACAGCAGCCAGGCCTATGCGCCCCACTCCTCCCAGAGCTCTGTTTCCAACACCCCTTCGGGACAGAGCGATAGCTCGTCTGTTTATACCGCCCCTACTCAGTTGTCTATGAAGGTTGGGCAGCAGCAAATCCCGAACTACTTCTGATTGGGCTTGGGTCACCCACATCAGTGCTTGTCTTCCATCACCCAAGTGTACCCATAGTGAGACGATGCTACGAACATTTTCATTTTCATTTTCTTTATTCACTTCACGATTTTACGGTTATCTTTCAGACATTGTCAACAAACTGGGCTTCAATTGCACATGCCATGATCATCTATCCCATGATTTACCACCACTTGTGTTTTCCTGCATACACCTATGAAGCAATGTGCCATGATCATTGCATTTGACCCATGTTGCATCTTGCATACTTTCATGAAGCGACCCGTGCATGATGCAGATCTCGTTGGAACCTTGTTCCTCTGCTTCGTTTGTTTTCCAACATCTTGTACTTCATGGTTTGAGGACTGGTTCGTCCGGCTCGGGATCTTTCTTTTCTTTTCTTTTCTTTTTTTTGTCTTCGTTCTTTTGCTCTTTTGCTCTTTTGCTCCGCTCTTTTTATTTTCGCTTCCACATTGTGATTTTCCACTCTTATTTTTACCCATCGTTGTACTTTTGCGCCTTGCTTTTCTCGAACTGCATTTTGTGTTGTGCCCGTTACTTCACATTGGTTCATTGTTGCTCGTGAACTGAGCTGAGCATGGATATCATAAAGGCTCCCGGGCTTTTTCCATGGCCTCGGTCATTTTCCCGCCAGTTTGCAGCAGCTCGACATTTACGGTGCCTTTTGGTCCTTGGACCATATCCCCGTTATGCATGATCCTGCGCTCACTTTTTGCATGTATTTTAGCAACGGAAAGCTGAATCAAGTTTTTCACATAAACCTCTCCTCTTTAATCTCGTAAACGTTGCTATTGTCTCTCTGCACTTGGTAATTTCCTAGGTTTGTCACCAATCTGCAGCGCGACGCGTGATCACGTGCGTCCCCAAGGAGCCGCCCTTCGGAGCTTCGACAAGATGCCGCAACCTGCTTTCGACATCAGTACAGCCTACAAAGCTCAAACCAGACTGACTGGGTCTCCCATGTTACCAAAAGAGATTGCCAGCTCATTGAGCACACAATGGCCATGCCGCGACGTCCAGATGCGGCAGCTAGCCAGTCTTCTTAGTGTGAGTTGATGATGCCGACCGGAATTCCTTGTATCTGTAACTGTCAATTAGAAGTTGGCTGACTTCTAGCGTTCTTTGAAATAGCCTCATGTTCCTACACCATCAACACTGGTTGTTCACGGTATCTCCGCAACCTGCAAATCAACCATCCTCCGCGCCGTTCTCGCTACCCTCGCAGTGCCGCATGCCATTGTTCGTAGCTCGGAATGCATTACAGGGCGGCATCTCTTGACAAAAATTGTCTGGAACACGCTGGAAGCATTGGGGCAGAAGGAGGAGTGGGAGAAGGCTGGCAAGGGAAGATGCGAGCACGTCAGTGGACTGGCAGTTCTCCTCGAGGAGTGCCTGGCAGCTAGATCCGTTGGAAACACAAGCAAATTTGTGTTGGTGCTGGATGAGATTGACCGACAGAGAGAAGCTCCGCACACACTGCTGTCAGCACTGGCACGGCTAGGCGAGATCGTAAGTCATGGCTTTGGACCGCCCTTCCTGGATGAGAAACATCGCGACTAACCCCATGGTCTGTAGATTCCCTCCCTCTGTGTTATTTTGGTCCTCAGCTCAACTCCACGGCCATTATTCCTTCAAAGTGCGGCGGTTCCGCACATCAGTTTCCCTCCGTATACCCGCAAGGAGGCCATTCACATCATTCTCAGTTCTGATGCGCCAGTCGTGGATGGTCTGCCCCATGAAACCTCTTCGCGCGTTTACCCATACTTTGTATCGACAGTTTATGACTCGTTGGTTGGTCCGACAGCCGGATCCATCCCGGACTTTCGATCTATATGCGAGAGATTGTGGCCTCTGTTTGTAGCGCCAGTAGTGAATGGCGAGGCGCCGCCAGGCGGGAACGCCGAGTGGGATTTCTCACGATTGCTGGTAAAGAACAGAGCAGTCTTCCGACGCCAGGGTGAGTCTGCACTTGTGCACCGCATCGTTCCCAATGAGGCCGCTACGATCGTGAAACGCACACCATTGGCAACAAGCGCCATGCCTTCAGCTCTCCCTTCTCTGCCATATTTCTCGACCTTGATCCTCACATCTGCCTACTTGGCGTCGCACACGCCTCAACGACTCGATACAATCTTCTTCTCCAAATTCTCTTCATCGTCTCTCTCAGCCCGGAACAAGCGTGCCCATCACCGCCGGCGTTTGAAAGTGCTCTCCCAAGCCCAAGCCGAAGAAAGACTAGCCGCGAACGATGATCCCTCAACCCCTAAGAAGGGAAAGCGAACGAAGACTCGCATCACAAAGTCAACGCTCTCCTCCGCCTTCGCGACCTCCTCGGCCACCACATCCGCCATCGGAGGCGGCGCAGGCATCGCCGGCCCATCCACCATTCTCACGGCCCGTCCTTTCCCTCTCGAACGTCTCTTGGCTATCTACCACGCTATCGACCCAAATCCCTCGGCAACCCCACTCCGAGTCGCAGCCGTTGCAGATCGTATCTACGCTGAACTGGCAACGCTACGACGCCTGCGTCTGGTCGTTCCTGCTGCCAGTCATAATGGCTTGGCGACTAGCAGTGGGAATACCAGTGCCGACGCTGGAGATAAATGGTGTGTCAATGTCTCCGGTGACTGGGTCGGCGAGTTGGCTAAGGGCATTGGTGTCGAGGTTGGCGAGTGGTTGGCTGGTGGATTGGACTGATTCGCTAGTTTTCTTTTGGGACAAAGGAGTCTTGTTAGAGCTAATTGGGTCTTTTTCTTGCTGTGGTGTTGCTACTGCATTTATCCTCTGGAGTCGCTGGATCATTCGGATTGCATTGCATACTGGTTTTTACTTGTGGGAGGTTAATTATACCCATTTTATGATTTTATCTCTCTCCCACTCCCTAGGCTAGAGCCCTTGTATAATTCGTATATTGACACTTTGTCGAAAAGCCTCGCTCTCATCTGATTGTCCCTTGAATAGTCACTACACATGTATGCAAGGATCTATAATGTCAAGTCAAGTCGAACATTTAATGTCGCTAACTCCTCCATCCTGTGAAGGATGCTTGCATGCAGAAACTGACGATGATAAAAGCAGAAATGCACAATTACCAAGACGCCAACAACACAAAATCGTGACCTGTCTCAAGACCAAACTGCCAAAATTCACAGGCTATACGCCAAGAACCAAAAACGAGTGCTAATTTCATTATATCTCCTTACCAGGTCCATTGTTCTACCACATCATCTGTACCAACTAACAAACTCGGTGCGTGGGGACCCCGCCATTCTGGGGTATCATTCCCATACTCGAATCGCACACAGCTGGGTGGCGAGGAATAGCGATGTTCGGAGAGAGGCGAGGGCACATGTAGGCCGGTTTTCAGAGAGAAAAGCTGGATTTTGCAGTCCTGCGAGGCTGATTTGAGATATATGTTAGCATCGACCGAAGCTGGGCTATACGGATATTTGGAGGAACATACGGCTTGCTACAAGACCGAGCTCGGTGCTCAGGTCAAATGTTGGGATCGGCAGCGAGGAGAAGTCAGGGAAAGTAAGATAGGGTTTCGTGAAGCCACCACGCTTAAGTGCTGATGGCGTAAAGCGGAGGTCGTACATTCGTAGCTGAGTTGTTTGTTAGTCGGGTTCTGGATGTTGTATTGTCGGCGGAGAAGAGGGAGGAGCAGGCACAGAGGGCTGACATACCGAGGTAGGTCCAGCCGCTAGGAGCCGATACTCGTCCATCTTCTTTATTTCCATTACAGCGTCATTGTGCATGAAGCGTGTAGCGCTGCCTTTACTGCGCAGGTCGTGAAGGAAGACTTTGCGGTTCTTTTGGCCGGCCGCAATCAAATTTTGCGATAACCATTCCACAGCGTGTACGTTACTATGGTTCTCGCGAAAATCGGAAGACGGTCTTAGAGTCTCTCCTTTGAAGGGCTTCTTGGATAAGACCCAATGGTTGCCGGTTGCCTCTAGGGTGTGGAGGCCTTCAGATGTCCCGATGGCGAAGTGTGGGGTTGATCCTGTGGGTTGAGCTGCAGAACACCAGAACGACATTGTGTGATGGGGTCTGATCCGGATCGGGTGAGAGACTGGATAGGCTTGCGTCAGCTCGGTGCTCGGGGATGGGGATACATGTGGAAGCGCACAGGTAGGCCAAACATAGTTGCCGCCTTCGTCGGGTTCAGGGAGGAGATGAGCAGAAAGAAAACAGTCGTTTTCTGGTCCTTCGTTCATGGTTGCACTGCGGCTGTCAGCTTCAGCTATTGAATAGTTTTACAAGATGACATACAGCAGATACCCTGATCGACTCAAGGACATGGATCCTAACTAGAAGGGATGTGAGTGGTGCTTCCAGTGGCAGTGACTGGCGGAATGAATGAGCTCACCCAGTACGGCTCTCTGAACAACACCCGCTCCATAGTTTGATCATAGGTCCATTGGGAGCCTTCAATGTCAGGAAAGCAGACCCTGGAATCCAATTAGCCGTGCTCAGTCATTGGGCAGCGAACAAGCTATGTCCTTACGATACAGACGATTCACACCCGCGAGCCGAACCTTGTCATGCATGTTAGCCACGTGCGGAAATACTGGCAACCAATGTAACTCACTGGCAATCAATGTTCCTGAACGTGGGTTGCGCAAGACATGCCGGATGCTGTATGAGTTGGGCCATGGCTCAAAACGATGAAGTTCCCTGCGACGCAACTGACTGGCCTGAATGCGAGTCTGTTGTTGTCGGGCACTAGAAGAGAAGCCAAGGCCCCCGATCTCCCTTTGGAGATTGACCAAGGGATGCCGCAACGACGCAGCCTTTCGAATGGTTTCTTTAGCTTGACGTTGTCTGAACTGAGTCTTCTTTTGGCGTGTCTATATTTCATCAGTGAATGTCGCAAAAAGGGAACACATTTCTTGCCGACCTTCTGCTCAACCCGCCGCCGTTTCACGGATTGCTGAGAGTACTGCGCATTTGGCGGGGCGACGTGATTGGCTTGGATTTGGAAGTACTTCTTCTTCTCCTCGTCTGTGATATCCAGTTAGAGGGGGTTGACACGGGATTAAGCGCCCCGCGGGGTAGTTGACCACCGCGCAAATCAACACTGGCACGGTGCAGCAACAAGACATATCCTGTCGGTGTCACTGGTCTATCGCCCACACTCGCTTTTACATACTGTTTTCGTGCACCTCGTGGCCAAGGGAACAGATTCATCAAAATGCCACTCACCATAATAGAACCCTGGGATTTCACGAGCCATGGTTGCTGATGATGTGCAATTTTGACGGAGAACGATGAAGAAGACAGAAAGAGGAGAACCTGGGAAAAATCCAGCTACTTGTGTATGTTCACGGTATCGAAATGCTCTTGAGACTTTCACTTTCAGTCGAATGTGTAGCACAAATGCGAGGCCATCACGCTTGGCCCGTACACGATCAAATATAGAATATAGAATCCACTTCTACTCAGGCATAGGAGATGTGCAAGACCCTTGAACTACCAGCACATCAGGTGCTCTCCGTAGGAATCGGATTTCCGGTCTCAAGTGACGTGAGATTACGTAACACGGATGCCTCAGGCCACTTTTATACAAGCCCTAACTACGTCCTTGTTGTTTGTGTTGGCCGCTTCAAAATGGGCGAGGATCACGAGGGCTTTCCATAATTTGCAAGGCGGAGAATGCCATACCAAATTGATGTTCAAACATTTCTCAAATTAGCCCACCCCATTGAGATCCTCGTGATCCTAATGACGGGAAAATGAACAATCAATGTTTCCACAATGCGCACTAAATCATATAGCCAACGCGAGATATAGGCTTCGGATAAATACTGATAGCTGCATCCCATCATGTAAATCAACATATCAAAGATTCAACCAGAACAAGCGCGGTAATAACGATGCCGAAAGGTCCGAATGGTGAATCATCGCCACCCAGCTCCTCACTCCAGGCTTCGATGAGGCGGTACATCTTTTGGACTGGCCTGAGCGGTCAGTATATTCCAAAATGTACCCTGATGTGGCCGTGAATGTCCGTAGAGCAAGTTTACAGCACAACCACCCGCAGTAAGAGGCCCAGTTCTCCATAAGTTGCTTGATGGCCGTGTGTATCTCTCTCAACTCCGAGCCAAGCGAAGACAGGCGTAGGCATGCGTATTGAATGAAGCCGAAGCTCATCGAGAGACACTGGCGGCCAGTCTCATCGTTCGAGATTCGCTGACTCGTCTCAAGCGGCCTCGATCGCCGAGTTGCGTACTCCCCCATCCCCAACACTTCTTCTTCTTCTCCCTCTCCTCATCCTTCTTTCTTCATCTTTCCGGTTTCCCATACTCTTGCGAAGAGCACGAACCAGTCCATTTGAGTAAGTCAAGCCCTGTCGCGTTGTCATTGACCCGATGCAAGCTGCGGATGTTTGTCCCGGCTTTCACCACTGTGAACATTGCTCTTGTCCCGTGTCTTGTATCCATCGCATCCTGTTGTATCCGTCTCATCTTGCATCCATCACATCTTGTATCCATCACATCTTGTATCCATCACATCTTGTATCCATCTCATCTTGCATCCATCTTATCTTGCAATCTCCCAATCGGTGTATCAGATCAAACATCTTATCCATTCATACTTCTCGAATGGGTGCACGGATGTGTGTTGCATATTCTTTGGCCATTCACTGACTTTGAACAGTCTTTTCCGGTGTTCGGCACCATGCCGAGACCTAAATCGGATTTACTTGATCCGCGCAGGGCGCCTCTCCGGAGCCACCCTGCCGGGAAGGTTTCTTCTGATGAAGGGAAGGAAGGTTCCAGCTCCCTTTCGGAGCCGATTGAGCCGACAGAAGCCAATGCGCTCTTGCCTCTTGTACACTCTGAGGCTGACAACGCTCACGGCTCTGTGCCTGCCATTGTCCTTCATCCTTCCCAAGATTACCGCGAAAGCCTTCTCAATCACCACCAAAGCCTTCTCCAATCAATTCTTCGCGCACCTTCGTCTGGTGTATCTGACATCCCAGCGCCAGCGCCAGTGACAGAAGATATCCAGGATTACTTTGGAGCCGCTGTTGCAACTGTCGATTCCAACGGGTTTGATAATAACCCTCGTCAAACTGCCCTTGTTCGGCCTTTGAGTTCCTCGCCGGAGCCTTTCAATGAACCAGAATCTCTTGCAAAGATAGAAGCTTCTCTCTGCCAGCACCCGTCATCTATGACCAACGAATCAAAGCAGGCGCATCTTGATCGGTTGCGTGAGATCCCGAGCTACCAACATTCGACCGGCCAATCTGCCGAAGAGGAAAGCGGACAGTGTGACGGTTTGAACGAAGAACACATGGATCGACTCAACCTTTTTCATTCCAGCCTACTTGCTGGGATCAGTGCCCGAAATTCTCGACGTGGTCGTTCCAAGATGGACCATCTCCCTCTCACTGAAGATTCTCTCCCTGAAGTCAAAGAGACCTCCGACTTGGGTACTAGTACTTCCCTGGTCACTGAGAGCAAGGAGTCCACCGGCCTGAATACTCGAACCTCAGATGCCACTGAAGGCAAGGTCTCCACGACTGTTACTCAAATCAGTGATGATCCTTCTGCTCCCGAAGTGGTGAGCTCCATTACCTTTCACCAAGAAACTGAAGAGTCTCTGGATTGTCTCATTGATGAGCTTGTTGCCGAAGATGGCAAGGACCCAGACCCGGAGATACTCAGCATCGGAGCTGGCGAAACCTCTGCGTATCCTCCTGCTCTGTTCGATACCGATGTCAGAGAGGGCCTGAGCGATGAAGAGGTAATTGCTCGGCGAAAGAAGCATGGATGGAATCGTCTGAAGGCACAGAAACAGAACTATTTCATCAAGTTCCTGTCTTTCTTCAATGGGCCTGTCCAATGGGTCATGGAGGTAAGCAATACCATTGACCAATATGATGCGATCGAAATGAAGCACATGCTAATCAAGTTCTCCCACCTCCAGGTTGCGATAATTCTTGCTGGCGGATTGCAAGACTGGATTGACTTTTCTATCATAGTTGCCTTGATGCTTCTGAACGCGATCGTCGGATTCGGCCAGGAATATCATGCAGGCAACATCGTTGAAAGTCTCAAACAGACCCTCGCTCTTAAGGCACTCGTTATTCGAAATGGTTCCCTCGTGGAGATAAACAGTGAAGAGGTTGTTCTTGGTGATATCCTCTTGGTGGAAGATGTGAGTCAATAAGTGATCAGAAACAAAATCGCTGGGGTTAACGTTCTTTTCTCTAGGGCACAATCATTGCAGCAGACGGCAAACTGTTATGCGAAAACGCGTACATCCAAGTCGATCAGTCGGGTATCACTGGAGAATCTCTTTCTGTGGATAAACGCAAAGAAGATCTCATCTTTTCTTCGTCGGTCGTTAAACGTGGAAAGGGGTTCATGGTTGTGACGGCCACTGGTGATCACACATATGTCGGAATTGCCGCTGCCCTGGTGATGACCGCTGGAAATTCCGCTGGTCACTTCAGTGAAGTTCTGAAAGGAATGTCCGGAGTCCTTCTGGTTCTTGTGATCTCCACGATCTTCATTGTCTGGATTGCAGGCTATTATCGCTCTTGCCCGATGGTCCAGATGCTCGAGTTCACCCTGGCTATTACCGTGATCGGGGTACCCGTGGGCCTTCCTGTAGTTGTAACTACTACATTGGCCGTCGGTGCATCCAATCTGGCAAACAAACAGGCAATTGTGCAGAAACTCTCTGCCATTGAGTCATTGGCCGGTGTGGAAATCTTGTGTACAGACAAAACCGGCACACTCACTCGCAACAAGCTAACATTGGGAGAGCCATATGTTGTTCCTGGTATCACGGAAGATGAACTCATGGTGACTGCCTGTCTTGCAGCCAATCGCAACAAAGGGGGGATTGATGCCATTGACAAGGTTTTCCTCAAGGGCCTTCGTAATCGTCCATGGGCAAAATCGCAGATCGTCTCGTACAAGACCCGTGAATTTCATCCATTTGACCCAGTTTCGAAAAAGGTTACTGCAATCGTCGAGGCTCCAGATGGTGAAACCGTCATCTGTGTCAAGGGCGCTCCGATGACTGTCTTGAGAACTGTTGGCAAGGACACTACCCTGTGCAGCCAATTCTTCAAAGATTATGAGGCTAAAGTCAATGAATTTGCCAGTCGAGGATTCCGTGCACTCGGTGTTGCCCGCAAGCGCCAGGGAAGACCATGGGAGGTCCTAGGAATTATTCCATGCTTGGACCCACCGCGTCATGACACTGCTAAAACTATCCTGGAGGCACAGAACCTAGGACTTTCGATCAAGATGCTCACTGGAGACACAGCTGCTATTGCACGTGAAACCGCCCGTGGACTTGGACTCGGTACGAACATTTACAACATCGAAAGACTTGGTGTCACTGGTGCTGGCTCGATGCCTGGTTCGGAGGTCAATGATTTCGTGGAAGCTGCCGATGGATTTGCTGAGGTTTATCCCCAACACAAATACAGTGTGGTGGAGATCCTTCAGCGACGAGGCTATCTGGTGGCGATGACCGGCGACGGTGTAAATGACGCTGCTTCACTGAAAAAGGCTGACACTGGAATTGCCGTGGAAGGTGCATCCGATGCTGCACGCTCTGCTGCCGATATTGTCTTCTTGGCGTCTGGTCTTTCCGCCATCATCGATGCGATCAAAATCTCTCGCCAAATCTTCCATCGCATGTACGCCTATGTGGTTTATCGAATTGCCCTTTCACTTCACTTGGAGATCTTCCTCGGTCTCTGGGTGGTGGTTAGGAATGAAATCCTTGATCTTCGCTTGGTTGTGCTTTTCGCCATCTTTGCAGAGATCGCGACATTGACGATTGCTTATGACAATGCTTCGTATTCACCATCTCCTGTCAAATGGAATCAGCCAAGACTCTGGGGAGAGTCAATTCTCTTAGGATTGATCCTTGCAGGCGGTTCATGGATCACACTCGGTACCATGTTGTTGCAGGGTGAGGACGGAGGTGTGATCGAAGGCCGGGGCTCACGAGATGCGGTTCTATTTTTGCAGATCAGTTTGACCCAGAGCTGGCTGATTTTAATCACTCGAATCACTGGATCCGGGTCAAAGTCACTGTGGGCCAATCGTCCGTCGGTTTATCTTGTCGCTGCCGTTGTTGCTGTCAATTTGACTGCCACCTTCATGACCGCATATGGTATCTTCAGTCACCCCACTTCCTGGTTGACCATCTGGCGTGTCTGGATCCTGTCTTTCGGAGTGACTTGCGTGAACGCACTGGTTTACATCTTGGCGCATACCTCGCGCAAATTTGACAATCTGATGCACGGAAAGAGTCCTCGAAGCAAGGATAAGGAGCGCTCCTGGGAGGACTTCGGTAAGTTAGAAGAGACCCAGTTAATTCTCACCTCTGAGACACAGTCAACTCACCCATCATAGGTCTGAACATGCAGCGCATGGCAAACCAACATGAGAACAGCGCCTAGGGCGGCTCATGATCTGAAATTGAGGATGAGGGCAATGGTGATGCGAACATAAAGTGACAACAACGGGTTGCTTTTGATGGGCGCGAGGATGGGATGCATAAGCATTTGCTTCTGATCGATGAGAACTTGTTTCTGATTGATGCATTCCGAGGATTTCATGATTGAATGGAAGGGAAGATGAGAAAAGGTTGAAGTCTGGTTTCTCCGATGGAGACCCTGTTCCAGGGATTGAGGTCATGAGCCTGTTCTTATTATCATTATTCGAACGCATAGCTGTGACAGACAGACTCAAATAGTACCAGATTTTCTTGACTTGCTGCCTGGTATTGTATGTTTTTTTTTTTTTGGGCTGAATTGGTTGATGCAGCTAGGTATACCGCGTTTTGGACTGCCGTGTCGCCGCGATGGCTTGAATCGTTTGAAGCGTCGAGGCCTATTCACCACTTGTTAACAATACTGATGGCCAAATCGAAATCTTTGGTACAATGGGCTATCCATCGAGGCCTTCCTAGGCAACGCAGCTTGATATTGTGAGCTTATTGACTTGACAAAGTTCGAGTCAGGTTCAAACCATTCAATGAACATGGCAAATACCATTAGGCATTGGCAAATGTTGGAAACTTGGATGACTTCCCCGAGCTCTTGGGGCCCAGACTTGGCAATGAGGTTATAATGAACTACTTGGTAAGTATCTTGAGTGCACTCGTTCCTGAACTTTTGAAAGTGGTACTGACTGTGGAATGTGCGAATAGGGTTATCAGCCCTAATGGCAGGGAAACCTATGGGTGTATCTATATCTGTCTCCAAGATCGATATATCTAGGAGACGCGTTGAGAAAGACGCGAGTTCTGCATGTGCTGAAATGTCTGTGTCTGACGACGGTGAGTGGTCTGCTCGTGGCCAAGAGAGATAAGAACATATGTGACAATGTCTGAGAATGCTGATCTCACAGGAGTATATGAGATATGAGGTGAGTCTGAGGTGAGCGAAGTCAAAGATATGCCTGACAATGGAGATCCAGTTTTAGGAAAAGAAGTGTAGGTTCTCTACGGAGTACGAGGCGGCTAGTTGGCGCTAATCTTTCTAGAGTCGGTCACGAGGAGAGTTGGTCACGAGGGGATCGGTCACGAGGAAGTCGTGCTGGGTTTAGAACCAGGCGGTTGGCTTGCAGATTCTCAACAGAATCAGCAATGAACCAGGGTTACATGCTTCTTACTGTTGACCGCTTGGCTTTTATCATTAGCTATCGGTATGCCTACCCCCGGTTCATGTATAGCTCCCTTCAGAATTAGGGTTATTTGAGGTGGCTTTACGTTGCTTGCCCATTTGAAAGGAAAAGGTGCTATTAAATGCATTGAAGCGGCCATAGTCGACAGAGCGAAATCCTACCGATACACATACGACACCCCAACCGCCTACATGCACTTTTCTTCTTCTTCGGTGGATCTATCGGAATGAAGGGTGGTAGAAATCGCTGTACATAAACTGGGTAGGATTGGCTCAAAGCACTGACATAGATTTACAGATACTACCGTGCCTCTGCAACAGCCCCATGAGACTCAACAGAATCAACTGGTACAGTGACCTTCTCCGTAATGTCTCTGTGCTGACTTCGGTCTTGAGCGTCGATCACCGAGGCTTCACCCTCGCCTACAACGTTGGTTCCTCCCGCCTCAGTATCGGCGTCATTCAGAAACCCCTGTTGTCGGCGGTACATTCGCCAGAAGACCAAACTACCATGGATCTGGGCTGCAGAGAAAGCAACATGTAGCATCGGGGTTACCACTTTGAAGGCAAGCCTCCAATGTTCCCATAGGCTGCCGAACAGCCACATTGTGACCATGGTCTCGAGAAGCGTTCCAGTTGCTGTCGTGAGGCAAGAGAAGAAGAAGACCTTGCTGAGGAATCTGTGGCGTTTGGGAAAGACACGGTATAGAATGATGGCCACGTGGGGAAAGAATTCCGAAATAATATCAAACGCCCCTAGAAAGCCATCATCGTTAGTCTGTCTTTTTTCTGTGGTTTTCCGTTCTTGAAATTCAAATGAATGGTGGATTATTTACCCCAGACCGTGCAAAGTACGAACTCGATATATGCATCGGGTTCGCGTAGTGGCCGTAAACTGATTGCAATCGCAGCTTGGCCAATAAATATGGTGCCAATGTGATGCATCACGGCGACCGGCGACAGTTCCGTGCGGTAGATTAGCTCGAAGATATACATTCCGATCAACATCTGTGCAGCAATGACCAAGATATCCCCTAGTGTGACTATGGAGCCATGAGCGAAAGGCGTCTGGAACGAGGTTCCATTGCAGAAGGTGACACCGATAAAAGGGTAAGCGGCAATAATGAGTATGAGGATCTTGGTGAAGCCGGAAATATGGTGATTGATAAATCCCCGGCGGTTTCGCTCGCTCAATCCTGTATACACAGATCCATACAAACGGCGAATGAGAAATCCTTCGAGAATGTAAAAACGAATGAGGAATAATATGACCAGCACAAGGGAGATGATTAATGCCGAGAATGGGGACAAGGTGGAGATTGGTCCTAGGTTTTTTGAACTTAGGGCAATTGAATGAGGATGTCGTGGTACATGCATGGTTGCGCCTTCAACCGTGAGAGAATGACGGGCACGTTTGTAAGGAGTGGTATGGAGCGAGAATCACAGATAGGATATTTAAAATGATGAAGAGATGGAATACAACGCCCAAGATGCTCGATATCGGATCGACGCGTTCGACATTGTTGATCAAGCAACGGAGAAGTGAAGGCTGAGAAGCTGTAACCAAATCGGGGGTCGTGACCTTCACTGGGCTCTCCGGTGTCTGCGAGCACACCGCCGACATGGCACCCTGGGGGGGCCGTCTGCACTGCATATCTAAGACCTGCTACAGGTGCACCGGGCCTGTACAGCCGAGCCCCACGGAAGATACTAGCGAATTACAGGGTCGGGATGAAAGGCATACGAAGTTACACCATGCTCACTCTTTCCATCTTAGCAACAAATTCCGTTTGTATTACATGCACTGGGCGCCGTTGCCAGAGTATATTGACTTAGGTTGAGCATATGAACTAGTATGAGTCTGCCGTTGCCAAATATCGACCAACAGCAACCAAATGGACCCCAAAACAGAAGACTAAAGCCTCGAGCCAAGCTTTATGTAGCAAAAGCTTAAGCGGTGGGGACTGGCTTACCAAACAGCATGTCCCTGGGCTCAGACGTTTTGTCCCCATTTAGCCCTAACCCAGGCAGCAGAATTGAATAGTGGCGTGGCCAGCCCTCTTACGAAACCAGTTGCGTCGGCATGGTTTTGGATAGAGTTTATACACAGGTACAGGTACAATGTCTGGGCAAATGGCAATTAGGTTGCCTGGGACCTGGGAAATGTGGAAGTTTTCTGAGACCGTATATAGGCACATGGACCTCATGTATTATCGAAAATCAATATCGGCTGACACGCCTTCCGATGTCATATTTATGGCTATACCTTCTCTGTAGGAGATTGCCGAGTTGCCCATCCAATTTCCCTCCCAGAATTCAAGTTTCAACAACGGCCGTTTCTATGAAGACTCGTTCTAGCACAGATCATAACAAGGCAGTACCAAAAATAAACCTCGTCTTAGAAAGCAGGGAGAATCACACTCTCGAATAAGTTCGATGTGGGCTTGTAGGACACACTTGTAGTGATTCAGATGAGCTGAAGTGGGTTTCTCTCAAGGGGGGAAATATATTTTAACACGGAGTCAGCCCGATGCCCTGGCGCAGGTCTTGTAATGCAACATATCACTCAAAGTCATGGCGATGAATATCAAGAAGCAGTCGTGGGAGAGGAAAGGCCAAAGCCTTGCGATATGAGAGCAATTACCAGGACTGAATAACATTCACCGGTGGTCACAAATTAAAACATCATGTTGGAATTCATTCTGGAGTCCATACCCCGTAGTATCACTGAGTATGCACAATGCACAAATGCGTCGTGCAGAATTCTTCGGTTTAGCCACCGACTAGTTTCTCATCCCGGTGGTGGGAATGAGCACAAGCCCGAAGTGAATTAATTATCATGCAGTGTGGCCACCATCAATGCGTAGGTCACTACCAGTCATATAACTGCTGGCAGCAGAAAGCAAGAATACAATAGCTCCGCAATACTCCTCGGGGCGGGAGAGACGGCCTAACATGTTCCCGTTGGCAAACTGACCACGGCGCTCGGGGTACTCGATAAAGAGATCTTCTAACATGGAGGTCAAAGTATACCCGGGGGAGAGGGTGTTGACGCGGATGTTATACTGCCCCCACTCGGCGGCGAGGTTGCGAGCCATTTGAATGACGGCTGCTTTGCTTGCGTTGTAGACGGAGCAAATCAAACCCTATTCGAGTCTCGGTTGGTGTGAATCAATATAGCTAAGGTCAAGTCCAGATTCCAGGGTATGGCTATTAATATATTCTGGTGCTGAAGGCGAGAAGGACATGCTTGCGGCAGATGATGCGGCCAGGAAGCACAGAAAAATATAAGAACCGGGAGATCAGCGGACTTACTCGATTCACGACAGTCCCACTCATACTTGCAACGATGGCGATGTTGCCTCCATTTCCAAAACGAATCATTTGCTTAGCCACTGCCTGGGCGGTCATCAACACACCGGTCATATTCACTTCGAGCATGGCGTCCTGACTCGCTGTGATATAGATGGGATGCAAGCAAGTGTGGAGACCTCTTTGAATCAACGAGTGATTTCAATTGGATACCTTCGTTCGTTTCCCTCACAGTAACGAATTCTGATTCATGACATCGTTCAAAAGAAGGCCCAAGTCCTCCCAAGCCCCATGTTAAATGCATCATAGAGAGTTGGGTCAATGGAATTGACCGTCTACTTCGAGTGGAGATTAAGGCAATTATCAAGATTATGAGAGCCCGGTTACATGAGAAAGGACTTGGCCCTTGTTGATTACACGGTCATACGGTCCAGGAACGGCCATACCTAAGAAGGATGGTCTACAGATGGTACCCCGTTCTAAGCTCGCGATGCCTCATCGTTACAAAAAACAGGCAATAGACACAGCTCCCTGGGTCTGAGCTATCCAGTGAGCCCGACTCTGACTCGGGGCCCCATGGGTTCAACATTCCACGCGATAGGGCATGTGACATGTTGCAACCTTGGACGAGCATCACACCACGCGGGCTTATGCTTATATCTATGTCAAAGGCAGATCCAAGCGTATAACTCGATTATGGATTATTGTAAGCCACACCATACAAGCGAAAGAAACAGAGAGGATACACGTCATGATCATTGGTTCTGTTAGGCCGTTTCCTAGCACATGGGCATCGGTCAACGAGCCAAATCCAAAACAGACTAATCAAGTCGCAACATGAGAAAAGAAAGGAAAGGAGACGATATACACAGCGCTGGACAAACGGAGGGAAACATCGATGCAGAGAAGCCCATTGGTACGTTGATCGTCAGGTCCAAGGGCTTTCATGAAGGAGTGAGAGGCAGAGGCGCAAAGGCGTAGAGTATGTAGGAGATATGTGCAGTGAGAAAGGAAGGAAGGGAAAGAAAGGGAAGGAAAAAGAAGGGAAGGGAAAGATGTCATAATCAAGCCTTTGAAGTCAAGTAGTCCACAGCCTATTATCTGATTAGTACCGTGGAGAATAGAACGTTAAACGAAACGTACCTTGTCAAGGTTATAATCGAACTTTTCGAGGGCATCCAAGGAGTCATCCCGCGTGAAGCCCATGCCGGTCAGCCGTTGAAGAATGAGATCATCTTCGCCCGAGTCGTTATTCAGGGCCCAGCCAGGCTGCTTGGACTTGTCTCCATTGGTCTCCTCGCCAGTGGACGGCTTGGAGTTTTCAAGTGGTGCAAAGAGCGCGTCCCACTCATGTGCAGCTGGCTTTGCTCCACCCTCGGCTGGCGAGCCAACGGGCTGGGTGGTGGCTCCGTGAACATTGTCATTGAAGGTATAGAACTGAGATGATCCGGGTTGTGCAGCATCTGTACCGGAGACAGCTTGCTGCTTCTGAGACGGCGAGTCAAAGGAGAAGTCAAAGTCAGTGGTGTTCTTAGCTTCATGACTCTCTGGCTCATCATCGTCGTCGTCATCTGCTTCGGTCGCAGGTGCAAGGTTCATTCCAGCGAAGGCCGCCTCAAAGTCCGGTCCTCCTAACTTTGCGCCACCGGCCGGGATAGCAGCCTCCGAGATAGAGTCCCGTTGAGTCTCATTGCTGACAACTGGCGCTCCAGTGCTGTGCTCCACTGAATGAGGCGCGTCGGGAGCCACGGTGGGATCAGTTCGCTCAGGCAGCAGACCATTGAACTGAGGAAGGTGGACGTTGTCTTCTTTGGGCGCCTCATACCCCGGTGGGCTTTGTTGCGCCTCTGGGGAGGGGGGCTTAGTAGAAGTTCCTGGGACAGGGAAAGCAGCAAGTTGAGCTGCGTCAATAGAATCCGGCTGCTTCTCCTTTTTGGCAGTGGGCGTGAAATTGTCGTCAAATCCCATTGCAGCCTCATCGTCGGAACTCTCATCGTCGTCATCGTCATGTTGCAGCTCTTGAATTGAGGGAATTCAGCCGAGCCGCCTGATGTAGCTCCATCAGGATGCTCGGGTCCAGGTGTATGCTTCATAGAGGCAAATGCCTCCTCGAAATCATTGCCTTGTTGCGATTCCGACCGTTTGTGCGCCTTGCTGCCGAACAACTCATCAAAGCTTAAATCCTTATTACCTTCGGCCTGGCCTGCAGTGGCAGGAGGGGATGTAGCAGCCTCGGGTTGCTGAGTCGTTGCTGCTGGGACCTCGGGGAACTTGGCTGAAGCATCAAGTCCTTCCTCCTCAAATGGAGACCGCGCCGGAGTACCTCCGAAGGTAGAAGTCGGTGCACGACTGTAGTCGCTAGACTCTGCCACTGATGGAGGCCCATAGTCACTGGTAGCCGCTTGAGAAGGCGTGCCAAATCCAGAGGTTTCGGGCGCACCGAATCGGCTACCAGGGGGCGACACCATGGTAGATGAAGTCACAGACTGAGTATCATTGAATTGTAAAAAGTTGGGAGTCATCTGTCGTGACTGGCTTGGAGGTGGTGGTTCGGAGAATGGCCCAGTAGGGAATGCGCCAGGCAAAGAGCCAGGGGCCGGAGAAACCGATGGCGTGGGAACAGCAGAAGTAACAGGAGATGTAACTGATACTTGTGGCGATTCGGAGCGGAACGAAGTGGGTGGTGGTCCGGCGGCAGAGGGGGCTGCGAATGGCTGCCCGAAGAGGCTGTCAAAGGCCCTTTGCTGATCGCTGGTAACATCAGGAGACCGTGGTTGCTCGCCGGCGCTAGGAGTCCGGCGGAAGAACGGGTTTGTGTTTTGGCTTGTCGTTGAAGCAGGGCTTGCAATCTCGGGCACGCTGCCAGCCAGGGTTGCATCCTCGGAATACTGTGCAGCCTCAGTAGCCAAAGTGTCTATCTCGCCTTGTAGCTTATCCCGTTCGCCCTCTACAGTAGCCAATTGCTTTTTGTTGATGGCAACTAGACCCTTCTGCTGGCGCGCACTGGAACGCGCCTTCTCGAGTGCTGGTTTGAGCTGGGCAACCTCGGCATTGGCATGTCGGATCTTTTCCTTCAAGGAGACATTCTCCTGTTCATCGGCAGCCAGGGCTGTTGAAACCTGCGTATACTGGTTTTGCAAGTCTTGGCGGCTACCCTCAAGCAGTGCATATTGCTGTTGCAGCTTCACCGTCTCTGCCTTCGATGACTTCAGGCGCTCTTCAAGTGCCTTGAAGTTGGTAACCTCTTGCTCATACATTGACCGTGCCTGTGCAAGACGTGCCTCAAAATCACGCTTTTGCTGTGAAGTTTGTGTAATATTTTGTTCGGCAGATGTACGCTTCTCTTGTACAGTGTGCATTTCTCTGGCCAGAGAACCGATTTGGTTGGACAGGTTCGCGAGTTCAGTGGTCTCCTGGGTCAACTTGTTTGATTCCTCGGGATCATTGTCACCAAGGAGATCATCCGATGGAGGTGGGGGTGAGCGAATTGCTGTCGGGGTTCCAGCTGATGCACCAGTGATTTGGGGTTGCAAGCTTTGGCCAAAAGTAGAAGTTGGAATAAAAGGCCTAAAGGTGTGGGATGCCGTTTGCGGGGATGCTCTGGAGGAAGGTGAGCCCGGCGTTTGGAACGCGCTATTTGAGCCTCCGGTAGACTGGGGCATCTGAGGCTGGGCAAACGGCGGCGCTGGGGAATCGAGACCAAACAAATCATCAGCAGCGGTCCGTACAGCGGGTACGGGTGCGGGCGCCGGTGGAGGTGTGGGGGCTGCCATGGGTGCAGGGATCTGGCGACGCATGTTGGGCGGGATGAGCGCGGGAGGGACCACCTGAGGCAGAGGCTCCTTGCCACCACGCTGCAGTCTGACCAAGTACATAGCCACGGCAAATTCTTCCCGGCTCAACTGACCATCTGCGTCAATATCCGCAAGATCCCAGATTTGGGCCAGCGTTTCCTCGGGAAGCTGGGCCTTCATAAAGAAAGATACAGCTTGGTCACCAGTGATCAGTCCCAGCTTGGCAGTATCAACAGTCTCAAAGATGCTATCAAACTGGGCCTTCTCCTGTGGGGTAATCAACCAGTCACCACCGGTGGCTTGAGCGGAAAGAGGACCTCCAAATTGCGGGCGATTGGCTTGATTCATGGGGCTCGATGTTCGCCGAGGGCCGGTGAATTGCTGGGGGATGGCGGGAATGGGAGGCACATCCGCTCTCGCCCCAAAAGAGGCGCGCACTGGTCCTCTTCGAGCTGCCGCCTCGTATAGACCAGGTGGGAGTGTGGCTGGAATACCGCGAAGGGCACCGGATTTATAAGAAGTCAAGAGATGCATAGCGATGGTAAACTCGGTAGCATCTAAGGCACCTCGCTGCTTCGTATCCGATAAGAACCAAATACGACCCAGAACCTCATTAGGAAGTCGGGCGCGTTCGAAGATCTGTTTGGCGATTTCACCTATAGTTCAAATGACAGGCAGGTTAGAGACCGTGGTACTTCTAGGGCGGCAGTCAAGGGTTATTTACCTGAAATCAATCCATTTTTGACGTCTGACTTTTCAAACAGCGACACAAATTTGTTGGCATCATCTGGTTGAAGTGGAGGAACTCTGATGGGTCCACTGGACGAAGGTGGAGGACTTTTAGTTCCTGAATCTGGGACATTTGCCGTAGGATCAACCACAATTCCATCAAAACGAGGTAAAGGGCCAGCTATGATTCATATGAGAATTAGTATAGTTCTCATTGTCTGTGTGAGGAAATACCACTCACTTTGCAAAGCCAACTCGTCAGAGGGTGCACGGCCAGCTTGCGCATGTCCAATTAGACGCAGAACTATACCGAAGCCAGACGGGGTCAGGAGACCCCTGTTCTCCTTATCCGCGATTTGCCATATCTATATCGCCAGTAATTAGCAATAGCCCTGGTGTCATCAATTCAGAAACAAATTTTATATCCACATACCAGGCCAAGAGTGTCAGGGGATAAGTGGGTCTTCTCAAAGAAGGGCACGGCGATTTCACCGGTAATGACGCCAAGGTTGGTGGTATCGGCAGCCTGGAAAAGCTGGTAGAAGACACGCTTCTCCTCCGGCGTGAGGTGGAGATTCGGGTGTCGTTGTGCTGGAACATTACAATCCGTCAGCTCCGCTTGGTTGCGCATACATATTGCAGGTGTATGAATGAGAGGGGATGGTGATGACGGAGGCCGGCGGCCCTTCTCCTGAAGTGCGCCGAAGCTCTCTCGCGATTCCTTTTGGGTCTGACAAGGATTATTGGGGATCACTCACTAGTATCAGCCATTGTTGTATCCTAGGAGGAGCTTAACTCCCCGCCTTCCAATGAGTTCACAATCGTTGGGGGCCTTGGGGAACAAGTGGGAGGTACGGGGTGCCGTCAGCTTAGTTTGAAGATGCGACGGGCATAGGCGAAGCGCGGTGTTCCGGGAAATGTAATGGGCACGAGAATAGATGAATCTCGAGCTCCTCAAAGAAACGCAAACTTCAGGAAGAATGGTGAGGGTGAGTGGTTGGAGTCAATGTCGTAAGGAAGGTTCCTGGGGACCTAAGGCGGTCAGTCGGTTTAGCGCCCATTCCGTCCCTCTGAACCCTGAAAGGGGGTTCTTCACTACAGAGCATAAAGAGAAAATAAACAGCTTTCAAGTGGTTTGTCAAGCTTGGGATCTGCTTCATGATAGGAATAATTTTGTGTCCATTGTTTCAAGGGCAATGATCATTACCGTGGTGAGATCTACCTAATATCGCAAGTCGTTGTCTGTATACTTCAAGGACCACGACTCATAAAGATTTCTACCAACAGGGAACAAGAAAGAAGAGGGCAAAGCGCTGGATATGAATACCAAGACGAGTTGACATGTATTATCTCGCTCTACCTTCGTTCTACTCCGTATAGGTACCGCCTGTTATTCGATAAGATACATACATGTAAGGGTTTGTCAAATATTGGGGAATATTCCCCGACGTCATTGGCAATGTCACAGACCTGGATATATGTCGGGAGCATTGGAATAGAGCATGGTCTTGAAGGATCGAAGGATTCAAAGCATAATTTACTATGTATCACATCACAGATTTCTCTGGATCAGCTGGAGTTTCAAAATAAACCTCGACCTCGTGCTTCATGCTTGGAATGTGAGCTTGGCTAAAAGCGGACGCTACAGTATGCACTACCCACCCAGCTAGCCAAAGAACACTCAATCATAGACGTCACCAGGAAAAAAAAAACTCGGGGCCATTAGTATTCGAGGTATACAAGAAAGATAGTTTCAACATTCAAATCCCCCTCATTCCAATCATGTTCGAGCCCATCGACCAGGAACATACCACGGAGTGATGAACGACCTGGCAACTACAGTCAATGCCACTTAAATCAAACAATTCTAGAACTCACTCGAATATTCAAGATGTGAGGTCTCCTAAACGCTATCTGGTATGTCTACAAGGCCACGTCGAGAGAAAATATGATCCACCTTGAATGGAAGTGCAGCGGCCTGCAGCCTAATGAGAGCACATATCAATTCTCTGACTTCTTCTGGCATAGACATGTATTTTCAACTGAATTCCCTCGCTTCCCCCTGATGTTTGTGTTTAACAACTCAATTACAACATTGTAAACTTGGACACAGATCTGGGAATGACTACTCTAGAGTCTAATCTGGAGCCATAGGCTTCAGTATATGCGGTTGTAGATAAACTAAGTAACCCTAACAAAATGCCTGGAGCTTAAGCCTAAGACGCCTAGTATCATGACCAGCTGACTTTTTTCTACCTTCCAGCCTGTAAAGGAGCGGCATGGTGTGTGTAAAAATATAGCAGACTGTTCCTTTGGTAGTGGCCCGAAGCCTGTGTAAACACGAGAGCCCCAGACAGCTCGCTCGATAGGACTGTCAGTTTATAAATGGCTTAAGCAACATTCTCAGAGACATGCCCGTGGGACTTGACCTATCTTTCTATTAGACTGCCGACTGGCATTTTGCTATGAACACTACCCTGTCGGCAAAACAAGCAAATGAATTTCTACTATGGGATGAGACCAACATTTCCTGGTCACATTACACCATCCGCGTGAGGATCGGATGCCTTAACCATTAGACCAGCCCGCTATTCGGTTGTTCTTGCTCGACGGCTTTGCTGGTTCAACTCAAGGCATTTGAACATGAAGATCATCAAGCAGGCAGGTTGGTTTTGTCACGGTGGAATGGATACTTATCAACATGGATACATTTCAGGCTTATGGCTTAGATTCGGTAACCAGGTAGTTTCCAATGTGGGGTTGAGACTATATGAGGCTTTCACGAAAAGCTAGGTCAGGCATATAACCATCTGGGCATTGAAATCATGTGCTGTATTGAGGAGTACATTGGAAGATCGTCATTTATAGCATCTAATCGCAATAAGAAAGCAGTGATCCATTGCAGAGCCATCTCTGATGGGCTCAATACATCAAATGATACATTGTTCCCCATATCGAGATTGAGCATTCACAAATTGCTGCATACACTATGCTACCTATCACTTGCACACTTTACGGGGCGTAGAGAAGGATAGCTTCCAAGGTTGAGAGAGAGTAATTACAATAGCATACGTATGTAGAGTCCCTAGAAAGACGGATGGAACGAGGGGAAATTTCATCGCTGCTTCAGGGATATTAAAGATATATCGAACAACAAAGCCAGAAATCATTGGCAGCAAAACTTATGTTCCCTTCTATTTGCAAGAAGCCCAATAGACGCATGAAGACACCGAACGTCTAGACACAGCGTTGGTCCCCAAGCCAACCCGTAGAAGGGAAACAACCAGCCCAGAAGATCGGTCACACAACATGGCTAATCTAGTACTCGGGCTCCAGCTCCTCGTCACCCTCGATGGAGTCGGAGGCAACCTCCTCGTAATCACGCTCCAGAGCAGCGAGATCCTCACGAGCCTCAGAGAACTCACCCTCCTCCATACCCTCACCAACGTACCAGTGAACGAAGGCACGCTTGGAGTACATGAGATCGAACTTGTGGTCGAGAGCGGACCAGGCCTCGGCGATAGCGGTGGTGTTGGACAGCATGCAGCTATATCATAGTTAGTACTCAGTTTCGATCAGGTTGCAAGACCCGAACATCTAGGAAAGGAAAACTTACACAGCACGGTTGAGGTTGGCGAGATCGCCGTTGGGGACCTGCTGGGGAGGCTGGTAGCAGATACCGAGCTTGAAGCCAGTAGGGCACCAGTCGACGAACTGGATAGTGCGCTTGGTCTTGAGGGTGGCGACGGCACCGTGGGCATCCTTGGGGACGACATCACCACGGTAGAGCAGACAGGTGGCCATGTACTTGCCGTTGCGGGGGTCACACTTGACCATCTGGTTGTGGGGCTCGAAGCAGTTGGAGGTGATCTCGGTGACCGAGTGGGCCTCGTGAGCGGCCTTGGCGGCGGAGATGATGGGAGAGTAGGCGACCAGAGGGAAGTGGATACGGGGGTAAGGCACCAAGTTAGTCTGGAACTCGTTCAGGTCGACGTTAAGGGAACCGTCGAAACGCAGGGAAGCAGTGATGGAAGAAACGACCTGAGCGATCAGGCGGTTCAGGTTCTCGTAGCTGGGGCGCTCAATGCCGAGGTTGCGGCGACAGATGTCGTAGATGGCCTCGTTGTCGACCATGAAGGAGCAGTCGGAGTGCTCAAGGGTGGTGTGGGTGGTGAGGATGGAGTTGTAGGGCTCAACAACGGCGGTAGCGTTCTGAGGAGCGGGGTAGACACAGAACTCCAGCTTGGACTTCTTGCCGTAGTCGACGGAGAGACGCTCCATCAGGAGAGCACCGAAACCGGAACCGGTACCACCACCGAAGGAGTGGAAGACCAAGAAACCTTGGAGACCGGCGCAAGAATCGGCAACACGACGGACACGGTCAAGGACCTCATCGATCATCTCCTTACCCACGGTGTAGTGACCACGGGCGTAGTTGTTGGAAGCATCCTCCTTACCAGTGATCATCTGCTCGGGGTGGAAGAGCGAACGGTAGGTACCGGTGCGGACCTCATCGACGACATTGGGCTCGAGATCGGCGTAGATGGTACGGGGAACGTACTTGCCCTGACCTGTGAAGTGGGGGAGAAAGAATGTTAGGAGTCCATGCTTTGGAATTTTGCACGTCGAGGCGGGGGGACACGATTATCAAAATCGGGTTTTTTCATACCAGTCTCAGAGAAGAAAGTGCTGAATCCGTGATCGGGGTCGGCCTTCTTGCGCTCCTCAGTGAGGAATCCATCGGGCTATCATCCATGTTAGTCGCGGGTGTTCACGTCTCGGGAAGAAAATAGGGGGTACGGGTGCCCGAGTCAACGTTGGGCGCCACCACGAGTTTGATTGGAACTCTAACGTACCTGGATACCGTGCTCCAGACAGTACAGCTAGAGAATCATCTGTGTCAGTTGACTGCAAATTTGTTGATTCTGCAATGGGGGTGGGTAGTTACCTCCCAGCAGGAGTTGGCGATCTGGCAACCGGCCTGGCCGACTATCGAGAGCAGTCATGTCAGCGCGTCCATTGAATAAAAGATATCATTTCTATCAACTCGAATTGATGAACGAGGTCGAACATACCGTTCAAACTGATAATCTCTCTCATTGTGATTTGATGTTTTCAGGCTAAAAATTCAGGAGGGTGGGGGAAACGGGAACCCAAACAACAAACACGGCGGTCTGAATCTCAGGGGTTAGGTTCGAGACACACAAAATGCACGATGGAAGGGGGCGGGGAGCAGTATACCTGAAGAATGGAGGAATGGAAAGATGAAGGGAAAACAAAGTCGACCAGAAATGTTGTGGAGGAGGAGCGTCTGTGCTGTACAGGGGGGAACTTCGTTGTTGATCCGTTCGTTGGGTCGCGTCGGGTCATCTGATTGGCTCTTTCCCGGCGACGAGCAGCGGTTACTGACCGCCTCGTCCCAGTCTCGTGAGCCCACGTGACAGCTCATACTACCTCGAACCGGGGAGGGAAATGGACATGGCGGGTTTCTCACTTTTGCATTTGGTTTTCTTGTACGGAGTAAAGAAACTAAGTTGCATACCAGTGAAGTGGGCGTCCAGTGGATTACGGAGTACTTGCCAAGGACACAGTGCCGTGTGTTGTGCCGTCGCAGTGCTGGAGCTCTCTAGTCCTCAATACTCGGTCAAGCTCGGATCCACTCTCGGAGAACCACCTGCTCAACCCATCATTCGGCCACATTATACCCAAAGTACGATATCCCCAAAAAGACACATTGGTACAGTATATAATTCCCACGGCATTGCACAACCTAATCTAATTGATCATAAGAGCAAACAAAATCCTTGGCCAAAAAAAAAGGACTCGAGCCTCGTCATGAGCCCAGAATAAGACATCACTGAAACATCATACCACCCGCTCGAGTCTACGTGAACTATACATCGGGTTTTCCCCTCAACATGCATATCAAATTACTCTCCACTCTGGGATTGGTGCTCCCACTCTTTGCGGCAGTGGCGCAAGCAAACGTGGAAAAGACCATATTCTTGGCACCAGCACCAGCAACCATCCCATCCGACGAGCCAGACCTCGACGATCTAGGTCTTGAGCGTCTATCGCCTCAGAGCCCCGTGGTGCGCACACGCCTTAATGCCTCATTTCCAACAACTGCCGCACCCGACGGCATAGACTCGTGGTATTTTCTTGAAAATCTGAACCCGGGCCAACGGTATGAAGTACGGGTCTGTTGGTTAGCCACGGTAAGCGCACCCGGCGATTCCCTACGATCAATCACCTATCGATCTGTTTGTAATACTCTGGTACATACATATGGCTAATAATCCCATCAGCAACCAACATCATTCACCCTAACCACCTACCCGCTCTCCAAAACCATTGAAGACACAGCCCTCCTGTCGTCATTGAGCATCTACACAGCTGCCCGTCTTGCAACGCTAGATAACCAACTTCAAGCAAATGCCATTTCACGTCGCACCGGTCTTCGTGGTAGCAAGGACTCCCTCGATCCCGCGCCAACCAGTGACTCGGTCCTGTTTCTGCGCGTGCACGCCGCAGCAGATTATTTCACTACCAATCAGTCATTGATGCAGAATGTGCCCCCCGTGGCAGTCGATATAATCCTTGACCCATTCTTGTTCAATGTTTTCCCGCGCTCGTTGGTGCCAACTGCCGGGTGGATTGTACTTGTTGCTCTGCTTGCGGTGGTGCTTGGAAGGTGGGTTGTTAAGGAGGTTGGGAGGGCTATCGATGATGCTAGAAGGCAAAGTGCTTTGGAGGAAATGAAAAGGAAATGAAACTAGAGACATGGGTTTGTTTTGATTTTTGTTTATTCTTCTGATGTTTGTATAATATATGTCACTGAACATGTACGAGTGGGTTACATATAAGACTCACGAAATTAGCGCTGGGATGGCTGTGTACATTATAAAGTTGGAATTGAAAAAGAAGGTAAGAAGACCACAGTACTATGAGAGATATCCAAGGATTGATAATGAGCTGTAAGAAGCAAGAAGTGCTTATAGCCGGAGCAGTTGGAGAAGTCGGAGATATAAGAAGTAACAATGATAGAGCAGTCTACAGCAGATTCCAAACGTACTTATATGTTACTGGTACATGATGTATATGTACCCTAGAGACAGAAATATTGTGTATGTACTTACATGTACCTAGCAGCATAAGCTACAAGGCTAGGAAAGAAGGAAGTTGGAGGACAGACACGACTGTAGGCGTAGAGACTACAATAGACACGGCTTAGGGTTGTGATGTGGAATGGTGGGTTAAATATAAGAATCCGGAATGAAATCAGTAATCCTGGGAAGTTAGCCTAGTGTGTTTAGGTCCGGACGAATGTCTGTGCAATGAAGACCATAAACCGAATGACTTTAAATGCGACGATTGCCTGTGAGATGCGGCCATAAGGAGCATCCCAGTCAGGGGTGCGATTCCCCGACACTTCTTTTTTTTTTTTTTTCCCTCCCCTTGTTTGATATGTGATGGTTTGACTCACTTTCTGATTATCGATCTCTAACTACGTACATATAGCTGTTCACATCAACGTAGCCCTGATGATACTCCCAGCAGACGCTTATATTGTGATCATACACCGGCAATATCAGACCAAGAGTTCAGCACTGATTTCAGCTCATTGCCTTTGCTACACAGTGATCTAACTTGGATCTGACCGTCTCACTTGGCCTCATCGCCATAGTAAAGAAGCGCCTGGTATCTCACTACGATGCAGCTTGGGAGCCCAGGTTGTATCTGGAGTGATCTTAGGATGATCCGATGATTTCTTTCAATTGATCGTTGCTACGGAGCGAATTTTTCTCAATAGGCTGTGGTATCTTTCATCCTGCTCCCCATGTCGTGACCCCAATCCTGATGTCACTATCCCAAATGAAGGAATAGTGTTGGTCTCCCCATCGTCAGAAGGATCAGAAGTGCAGGCTACCATCCAGTTCCGAATATCCGCGAGAGCCAACTCAGGATCAACAGACGCTCATCGAGTTCGTGGGACAGAGAAAGAAAAGACTTGCCTATCAAACATCAAAAGCCCATCTGTATTCTGAGCTGCTATACCATTCTCTTTGGCTTTGGACCAGTCGTGTGAACCGCATCATTATGCTCAATCTCACCAGAGACTTCCGGTTGATAAAGGTTTCTATGACCCAAAAAGCAATATGAGAAGGCAGAATCACTAAAACTTGGAAACCCCATGGGACCATGGATACTGGAACTTCTCTACTGTGCTGGCATTGAGTGTCACAGCTTTCAATTCAAGCTTTCCGTTTCGGAGACAATGGCCTACTAGGTATCCTGTAATGCCCTCAGGGTTACTGAGAAAAAGCTCTGAAATTTATAACAAGACTGTTCTAAAAGCGAAACCGATTCCTCCCAAAGTTCACAAAAAAAACACAAAAAAGCCTGTTCGATATACCTCGAGATACTTTAAGATTACTCGTTTATGCTACAGTCTCTGCAGAGCGAAATGGGTTGACTCGAAACTCCGCAGCCTTGGGCTATCTATCAGATCTTCGTTCAAGAGATCTTGAGTAAACCACAAGACAGAATTGGAATCGAACCAAACGATTATATCAGGATTCCTACATTGTATAGTCTACTTATGAAGTCATACATAATCAATAGGCTATATTGAAACAGATCAGCCTCTCTATATAAATGCGAGTCTATAACAAGCCAACAAAAAAGAAGAACAGAGAACGAATGACCCAACACAAAACAAGAAAACAAAATCCCTCCAAGAAAAAAATATCCTTTTCCTTTTTCCTTTTTCTCTCTTTTCCCAAATCGCCCTTCCAAGACACCAGGCCAGTAAAAAATCGCTATCGCTGAGAAATGCATCGAGGGTGAGAAGATTGGCCACGGCTGAAACACGCAGAACTGAACAATGAAACAAACATATAACATATGGCTGACAGGCAATGACAAGGCAGATGGAACATAAAACACTAGGAAAAACACAGATCGTGGACTCGTTGAGAGATGGGGGAGATCTATCGGATGACAAAGTGAGAGTTGTGCGATAGATATGCAAGGGGGTGAAAAAAAAGGAAAATCCCCCAATGAAAATAGGGGGGTTGTTAATGACAGTGTGTCACTCAGTGAGCGATAGGGAAGAGAGAGTAAGACGGCGAGCGACCCTTCTTCCGGTTCAGGTTTTTGGTAGGAATGGTAGGTAGCGGAGACTCGAATTTTACAGGCGCCTCGACCTCCGAAGTGGACTTGGCGCGATCATGCATCGCTGCGGGAAGGGGGAACTCCACGCCATCGAGGCTGGTGGTGCTGCCGCTCTGGACGAGGAAGTGTGGCTCCGCAAGACTCTTGGTCTGACGGTGGTGCGAGGATGATGGAGGACGTGTGAGGGCCTCGCCTGCTGTCAGGCGATCCGTGGGCATGAGCTCACGACTGCTGGACAGGCTGTGGACGAGCTCCGGCACGCTGGCGGTAGAGACCGAGGAGCGGTGCTTGCGGGCGATGGAGGCAGCGCGCGACAGCATCAAGCTCTCTTGTGAGTTGCACTTGCTAATCGGGGGAGAAGCTGCTGCGCGGCGAGATGGAACCCATCATTCCTGGGGGGAAGGGAAAGTGGCGGTCTGATTCGCCATCAGTCGTCATATATTCCTCATACAATGGTTCCTGGGAGATCGGTTTGCTCATTGATGGGAGGAGCGAAGTACTGACGGTTTGGAAATAGTCTGCGCCACGCGCAATGAATTCCTGCTCGTAGTCCGTCGTTGAGGGAGTCGCAGCTGAATGAAGGGATGCCGACTGGGCTGAGCTAACATCCAGGTCGGGGGGTTGGTAGAGCGGAGGTGCTCAATGGGCTGGGCTGGAGATGCCGAGTTCTAGGGGCTGGCCATGAACCATCGCTGCAGGCCACGCCGACTTGAGGGCGTGAGTCATCCATGGATTTTCGAGACCAGTCGAAGTTGGAGGTAGACTCGGCTGCATGCTCATAGCAGTAGTCGATGTCTGCATCCCAGGAATCGTACATTTCATCCTCGCAGGAGAATTGGTGCACGCCAGAGATTGGCTGCGGTGGTGTGACCTCCACCTGGGTCTGAGGGGTGGACTGGAAATCTTGAGGGAGAGTTGGTGAGCCAAGCGCCTCGGAGAATTTCCTGGACAGCTCCTCGGCCACATAGATCGACATTGGAGCCAGGCGTTCGCTACTGGTCTTGGGTGACTGAGTATCGGCTGGGGCTGGGCTGGCCGGAGAGGTTGTGTGTGACTGAGGCCGCCCCACGCTAGAGTCAGGGCTGTTCCAATAACGTGTTGTTTCTTCCTCCTCTGGGACATCTGCCAGGTCGTAATGGCTGCTGATGGATGAGGTCCGAACGCTGTCATCCACGGGTTCGGGGCTGAAGAACCGGGTCGGCTGGGCTGATTGAAGACACTCTGGGTACGTTGTCGTCGTAGACAACCCCAGAATCTCATCAATGGCACGTGGTGCAGGCTCAGCAGTATCAGGTGGGGGAGTCTCCGGCACAGCAGGAGGTGGGGGAGTGGTGGGGCAGGAGCGAGGATATCTGGAGACTGGCCGCGAGAAGTTCTCGTTCACACGAGATTCCCTGCGCGTGTGGTTTGTCTGCGTTTTAGGAGACGCTGGCGGGCTTGCACTAGGCACATCAACCGTTGTGGCGGTCCCAAACCCACTCAGATTCTCGCAAGAGAAATTACGGAATTGAATGTCCTCGGCACGGATACCTTTCAGGTCGGTCTGAGGCCGCTGAGATGCTCGGATGACCGAGAACTCAGTGACGAGATCATTCTCGCGTGTTTGGTTCAAAGCCTCGAACTGCGCTGGATTGGTATGAGTCAAGTGGTGGAAGTCAAAAGGATCAGAGATAATGCTCTTCAAGCGTTCGCCTATATTGATTATCAAGGTCAATTGAGTCCCCAGTGTTCAACTACCAGCCGTGGAGTGGCTATAATCACACTCACTGTTATCGGCATGGCGGGAGCGACGACCAAAGATCTCTCTCTCAGAGCGGGGCTTCCCACGATCGGCCTCATCCTCTTCGTCCAGCGTGGAGACGATGTTGATCTTACTGCCCTGGCGGCGCAGGATGCGGCTACCCCGCGCTAGGAGGGAGCGAGATGGCTTGTCCTGCTTATCAGAACGGATCCCCATCGCTGAGGCAGTCCGCTCCTCCGAGGGGCTGGAGCCATCTGTGGAGGTCATGGACGAAACTGGTGAGCGTCGCGAGGAAGTCGACGTAGTAGTATTGCTCCTGGAACGGCCGGCAAAGACAGACATCCGCTTGGGGCTGTTAGCGAGTGCAATGGATCTGGAGCGAATATGAGCGGCATGCTCTAGTTGCTCGTTGGACGAGTTGGTGGAGGGACGGTCACTGCCGTCGTCGTCCCAAGTTTTGGCCATTGGGGGTGCAGAGGTCGACATGGTGGGATTTAAAAGAGAGGAATCTACACCATGATAAGACGAAACCTGGAGATCTCCGCCGTACAAGATAAAGGAGCGAAAGTGGAAAGGAACGGTTCTTGAGTGGAACAGAGGTTGTGCCGATGCTAATAAATTAATAGAATACTCGATGACGGGGCCAATACCAGACACGGTGGAGCCGCGTTCAGGGGTATTTATGGTATTCCGGATTTTATGATTATTTTTGTATTAGACGATATTATTATCCGTGATTAGTATGTATACGGGCCTCAGGGAGGGCTCCGTAGGATGCTATGGTCTTTGTTGCCCCGTGACCCGGATGCACCTAGCCGGCTTGATTTTCTACTCATCAGATCCTCAAAAACCAGACCCCAAGAGTGATCAACACAAAAAAAAAGAAGAAAGATCACATCAACGGGATCACGACCAAGGGAGCACGGAGGATCTATCTCTCGACATCCAGAGAATTCCCAGTGTCACGGAACCGAAACCCAAGTGCCCTAGTGGCATATGCATCGGGTTAGGGGGTTGGTCCTGAACGTGCTCAAGACCCGCGTGTGGAGAGGAGGAGAACGAGGCTATTCCTACTTGAGCAAGAATCCGCGGTCCGTTACGCCCCGTATGTTTGGGGGGGAGGTTTCCCTATTTTTTTTTTGAGCGCTTTTGGGGCCTTGACTCTTTTGACTTTCCGTTCTCGACTGCGACTGTTGGACTCGTGGGCATGGCGAGGGGATACGATATCCCAGACAGAGTATACCTCCTCTACTCCCGTTCATTGCCATTCCAGCGATATTAACTCGCATGGTAGGACTGAAGCCACTTTTAATTTCTTGTATTTAAGGAGCGTTCGGAGTCCAGACTGCAGTGGGGAGAGCCAAAACCCTTATCGATAAGTCGGCACACTGTGTGTGTTTGGGCCTCAGCTCTCGAAGTACCTACAGACTCCAGTACTACCCTCTTGTGCTATGTCTCGAATTGATTTGATTCTGGCTCTCACAATATGCCTTCCAAATCTCTACCCTGCGTGAATCTGAGACCAGCCACGAACGCCTCTTCCCTTCCCCGCGTAGAGCGGAGCCTCGGTTCAACGGTTTTCCTCAAAAAGGATCCGGCCCTAAGTGGTGTTTAGTGATGGTTGTAGGGCTTGGGAAAGAGGCCACAGATCGTAATCTACGGGATCCGGCAGTGGGGTCCATAATCACATTGTATTACGAGTATGGAGTACGCCATACACAGAGAGTACCTAGGTATTATGTAGCCTAGGTACGGAGTACGGAGTACACCATGTGCTATTCCATACACAGTTAACTCGGCTTTTCTCCAGTTTCTCCAGTTCAACTTAAAGAACCCCGTGGATAGACAGGGATCTCCATGTTCTTGGGTTTCGGTGATTCGATGCAGCTGTAGGGTTCGATCGCTTACCCCCAAGCCTCTCGGGGAGTGCCGGTACCCCGTCTCATGCCAATTGGAAGGAATTTCGGTCTAGGAAAGGAACAGAGAAAAATGCAAAAAGCAATATGCATGCATCATGCGCATCTCAAACTGCCTCGGGGATGCAGAGGGAAGTTGAAGAATGTGAGTATCCGGGACCGCCCTTCCATCGGGGGAGTTGTCTCAGGGCGGGGTATATCGTCTGGGATGTGTGAAGTAGCATTACGGAGTCCAGATCAACAGGATATCCATCCTCGCTTGCACCACGGTTTGCTGAATCGATCACGTTATGTTGTTCATGCACATAGCAGGTGCTATCTCGACCTGCATCAGCCAGCTTCCTATCTCGTGCTCAGGGTGGAGCTCAGACTGCAGTAGCACGATTTGAAACAAGAGAAACCCAGAACGGGGGAACGCGTCTCAGTCTATTTCCGAGTACGGAGTACCACTAGTCCCGTACGGAGTATCGAAGAGTAAAGTGGACTCCTGACGATCTTGTCTAGAACTTCCAAGGTTGACAAGCTCTGTACGGAGTCCCGAGTGCATCGTACCTGCGTAGTGTAGTACTTACGCCGGTGTTCCTTGGATTGGACCTTCTTCCTGCAACCCTTTGTGTGTTCGGGAAAACATGTGCGAACGATCGATCGATCCGCACTGCCGAGGACTTACTCCGTACTTGCTGTCCAGGTAGCCCCTGTTCGCTTCCAGCTCCAAGCACGTTCCCCATCTCCACCGGCCGTTCGCGTCCATCGTGATCGTCGAGCACCACGTACTGCGCACATTGTCCGGAGCACTCCGTCCTCTAAAGTAGGTATTCTTAGGCCCAAGCGCTCCCGGTGTTTTTCCTGAGGCCAGATCGGCAGCTGAAAATACGTCCCGAAATTGGAGTGTCGTGGACTGTCAGATCTTTGCTTTTTTCTCCGCCCCCTGGACCTTTCCGAGACAAAGATCGAAGATCGAATGGAGAAGGAGTCTCTCGGTGTGTCCTTCGTACTCCGTACTCCGTACGGAGTACTGGAAACCCCATTGATACAAGTGTGAAAGCCATGCGAAATGCGGGTTAAGACCTAGTTCGACAGGGATGTCACGACTAGACCTTCTGGAAAGAGAATTTAGTCAAAACAGGTACATTGGATCATCGGGCATATGAAAGACCGGAGCTGGATTCACATGATTCACACTTGTCGCTTGTTCCTATTCTTGTTTCTGTTTCTGTTTCTGTTTCTGTTCCGGGCTCCGTGGATCGACAGATCTCTTTCCCACGGGAGTTCGAATGGCAATTGATCCCCGAGATCCCTATCGGCTCATGAAAAGTTACTGCATAACTATTGGGACTCGATTCATTGTGTCATCCGAGGCTCGAAAGCGACCTATTCGCTATAGATTATAGGCTAGCATCGCGTAAGACGCTATCTATTTAGCCTGGACATGATCCAACGGTCGCCGGGGGCTGAACCGGGAGCCCGTTGGAACTATGCTGTGGAGAAGGGATCAATCTAGTGTTCTTCTGGCGGGGTCCTCCGTACTCCGTATATCGTACGAAGTACGGAAGTAAGATAGGGTCGATTCACATATTATTGAAGCTGATCCCTCCATTGGAGCACAATTGTTGATCCTCAAATGCTACTATGTGTGACGATCCGGCTGTGATCCTAATGTAACCTGGCAGTGACCGTTGAGCCAAGGGCACGATGGGCACGATAGACAGGGATTGACCGTGTGCAACAGGGGTCCTTTGTGATACATGGCACTTGGGACACCAAATAACGGGCCAACACATAGCAACATTGGAACTATTGGGAATAGCCCAGCAGTCAACCGAGGATTCTTGCAAGTCTTCTTTGTCTACGGAGTACTCCGTACGATTCCATACAGAATGACATCGGTTATAATGAAAAATGAGAAAATTGGGGCGTGCGGAAAAAAAGCCTATATCAGTAGTGTCTAGCCACTTCAAAGCCATTCCAACGTTAAGATAAGAAGTATACATAATAAATCAAGCCAGATCCTAGACGCCACTTGGTCTCTCGATCCATTCATTCTCAACAGGTCCTTCCACTTCGGGTTGACCGTGAGCTTTTGCTTTTCTCGTCACAAAGGAATCAATACGGAGTACTCCGTACACACCGTAAGATCATTGGAATTAGATGCAAGTTACAGGTCGATTTAAATGTTGACAGCATCAATTATGGGAGTGCCAATATCAATGCCACCAATGCCACCAATGGAGCTATCCCCGTCGCGCTTACGCAGGCCAAGGGTACCCAGTAAGTCACCGACACCGCCCCCATTGCCATTCTCGTCGCCATCGGTGAGCAGGGCATCATCACGCTTGAGTGGGCTGAAAAATTTGAGGCCAAAAAGTCCCTTGGAGCGTCTTTCTGCGTTATCAACATCACGGGGAATATTCTTGATGTCGAGGTTGGGCGGAACATCGAGGTTATCGACTGTGAGGTCGCCAATATTCAGATCATTGGAGCGCTTAGTGATTGCGCTGGTCTCGCTGCCATCACGCTTGAGAATTCCCAGGATACCTAGATCGAGGAGACCATCCGAGCCAGAGTCATCAGCATCAGAGCCAGAGTCGTGACCATCGCCGCCACCGCGCTTAGCAACACCGACTGTCTCTGTGCTGCCAATATTGGCAGCAGTGCTAGCGTAGCGGATGAGATTGTTTTGGTTGGAGACAGGAGCCGCGAGTGCTGTGGTCGCTAAAATGGAGCCAGCGAGGAGAGCGTAACGCATTTTGATATAAGTCCAGAAAGAAATACGTATTAGGATAGGCCTTTAAATACCGACAGTAGGAACGATGAGCTGGAAATGGACCGTGTGTATTGGACTTGGGAAAGCACGGAAAAGAAAAAGTAGGGCTACATGAATGTCTCCCTAGATGGCCTGGTCATTTAAGAATATATTTTTTATCGTTTTCAGCTCCAGACTGAGGTTTGCGCTGCTCTGACTGACGTGCTCTAGGAGCTTTCCAAGGTTCAACTATCAGTTTGAATTTACCTTCTCTTTGACCGACAGAGTGGACCTCCCTAGTTCTAAGTCGATGACATACACGTTCAACATTGTTGCGATGGAGTGGATGTCAGATTAGGTCATTTGCTGGCAGTACATAGATCTCAATTGGAGATGGCATAGGCCCTGGTAGCTGTTAAAACTTGTCATGGAGACTATAGAGGTACCTAGCTAGACAGTATAGATAGTATAGAAAGTATAGACAGCAGAGACATTATAGACAGTGATAGTCGAGAGAAATGATCCGTCGACTTTGTCGATCTTTCCTTTTTGGACGAACCATATCACGGCGCCTCCCGTTGATATCATCGCCGGCCTTGATCCTACATAACTCTACAACCGCATCGCTTGCCTTTTTTAGGTGGCATTGACGAGGAAATCTGTTTTTCGCCCTGTCTGTATTGGGAAGCCCATGTGCAGGAATATCTCACGCTGACGCAAGTCTCCAGAGCCAATCAAACAAACCCATAGTGAAGACTACATCAATGCAATATGCAGCATGCTCCAAGACACAAACCAGAAAATGCAAAGTATCCTCAAACGTTCGGTTCCAGGACCAGGGAGACATGCTGATCTTGGAACAATGGAGTGACGTTCCTCCCACGTACTCGTAATAGTCCGAAGATCTTCCCTGCATGTCATATTGCTGCATTGAACCCGATCAGCACAACTACCATACCAAACTAGCAAGAGCAGTTCGATATATGAAAATTACCTCTAGTCCTGACTTGGCTCTCTGGATCTACATCTCTGATATTCCGTATACACAGGTCTGTTCCCTCCGCGCCCATCTCGAATCCCCGGCCAGGTTGTCCGTGTCGACATGGGAGATCTTGATGCGTGTTGGGACTGTTGGGATCCTCCCCAGGGCCCCGGAGGCCACGAGCTGCTCTGCCGGGATTGTGGGCTGGGACTAACATCCTTCCTCCGGCTAATTTCCGTAGGCAGACTGGTACTCTAAGTAGCAAAATTTACTCCGTGCTTGGACGTGAGCTCTCAGACCCACGAGTCGCACTCCATAGAACGAACAGCAGTCCATACGTATGATGTAGTACGGAGTACGGAGTACAAAGCACAGCATACGGCAATCTTAGCAACATCCATGTCGACACGCAAAGGAGTCTACCAAAAACATGGCCTAAGAGACGGGTCCTCAGCTAAGCAGCCCCAGAAAATCCCACGCTGACACATGAAGGGCATAACGCTATCAGATGCGAATAGCACGCCTGGCCACCCCGCTCGACAGCAAGCCACATGGCTGCTACGCTCTTTGGCCCAGAGTAACTGGGGAATGGAGTAACCAGTGAACACACATGCAAATCCAACACTTTGGGGGCTGGGTTACGCCTCGTCCGACATTTCCGAGATATTTCTCCGCGCCATCCTTCCTTCTTACCGAGAGGATATTAGGCCAGACCAGGTTGGTTGTGTTGATTGTTCGTAGATTAACTGCATGTGTAGTACGCTTGGGCCTGGCGGTGATCCTTTTAATCTATTTCCTCCCTATTTGGGCCCCATTGGGACTTAGATGCGCGGAGTGAGAGATTTATTTTCCGGTGACTTGTGGCGTCGGCCTTTAGCTTTGGCATTAGTACGGAGTATGGAGTACTACGGTCCCATTGTGGAGGTTCCTGGTACCGTATTGAGCGCAATAGTCTTGTTCAAACAATGCAGCGTTGTTTTTGTATTTTGCTATCCATAAAGATCAAGGACGAATAATTACACATGGCTTGAAGTCCAAAGGAGATGGGATAAATGGATCAGTTGTAGTTCAGCGCACCCTTTCCTAGACGCCTCAAGAAACGGAAAATGGAACTTCGAGTAGGGGGAAAATGGAGAAAAATGCAGAAAAATGTAGAAAAACGTAGTTGTAGTATGGCACTTCACTCCTGCATCTCCGTGTCCTCGACAGTCTTCGAAGGCTCTTCGCCAAACAGTTCATCGTCGTTGTCTTCGTTGCCAGACTTCTCGGCGTGCACTTCTTCTTCTTCCTCGTCCTCATCATCATCGGCAATACGGCGAGAGGCATTGCCACGACGACGAGGCGCAGCGTCTTCCGTTGGTTCGTCGTCGTCGAATAGATCGTCCTTGTCTTCGCCAGGAGAAGCAGGCGCCTCTTCATCATCCGAGTCAACGACCATCTCACTGCTCTTATACTTGCCAGGCTTCTCAGATTTGGCCGCCTGTGCCTTGCTGCCCGATCGGCGTTCCAGGCGGCGCCGCTTCTTGGGCGCCGCCTCACCCTCACTCTCCGGCGCGCTGTGGGCACCCTCGCCCTCTTCCTCGTCAGCGATGAAGTCATCTCCACCCTTCTTCTTGCGCTTGCTGGTAGGCTTCTTCTTACGTTTGACCCGATCGCCTGTCTCGGAGTCGTGGGTCAATTCGGCTTCCTCGCGAGCACGCTCATCTTCAGCGCGCTGCGCGGCATGTCGTTGCACCTCTTCGACCATCTGCGCGCGCTCTTCGGCAATGCGCTTCTTGCGCTCCATTTCGACCTCTTGAGCCTTGCGCACCTCCTCTTCACGGACACGCTGGGCCTCTTCGCGGGCTTCACGGGCTTGCTGGAGCTTGGCGGCGTTCTTTTCTTCATATTCCTTCTGGCTCTGCATGGCCCGGTCGAGCTGCTTGCTAATAGTGCGGCCCATGTTGGCTCTCTGTTCCAATGCGGCGCTGGGATAGGGCGGGTTCTTCTCCTTGGAGAGACGCTCAAACGTCTCGATGGCCTCCTTGAGACCCTCCGCCGCCTCCTGGACGTCTTGAAGTGTCTTCTGAGTGGGCTGGAGACCATATGCGAGCGAGGCAATTTGGTTTTGGACGAAAGCGACGTTAAATTGGAGGTGGAGTTGATCCGGAGACACATCGCGTGCGCGCATGGCATAGTCTAGTGCTGTTTTCATCGCCGCCAAGTTTGCCTCCTGCTTGCCACGTAGCCACCATACACGACCGAGACAAGCCAGGATTTGTACATCGCGCTGGCGGTCCTTGGACAATGCAGCCTCATAATGCTCGATGGACCGTGAGAACTGACGGAGCTCAGCAAAGACATGTCCTAAGTTGAGATAGACGCTGGGATCCTTGAGGGTATCGCGAATCTTGGACAGGATTTGCACAGCAGAGCTGTGGTCTTTCTTGTCATCGATCAAAGCGATCGCAATACCCTGAGCGGCATATGCGTTCTTGGGATCTAATTGGAGAGCCTTGTCAAAGAACTCCACAGCACGCTGGTATATCTTGCGACGCTTCTCCTTTTCTTGGTCTGTGTCACGGCGCATATCACGCGCGGCAAGGAGATGCACATTGCCCATGCCAGTCAACGCATATCGATCATGCTTGTCATAGTACTGCAGCGTATGTTTGAAGTGACGCTGCTCGCTATCTTCCGCGAGGTTGGCCACTCGTTTCTTCGCCTTGCTGAGATACCATCCGTAGAGTGACCGGACTTCCAGATTTGAACTATCTGATTCGTAGAGCTTGCCAATCTTCTTGGGGCCCTCGTCCGTAGGACTCTGGCGCAGGGCGATGTATGTCAAGCGCGCACTAGCTTCGGTGTAGTCGCTGTGGCGCTCAAGAAGACCTTCGTAGACTTTCTTGGCCTCCTCCCACATGTCAGCTGCTTCATAGGTTCGTCCAAGATTGTAGCTGATTGTAGTGATGAGTGCGTCGCTGTCACTGCCATCCTCCTTCTCCTTGGATTGCACACAGGCGTTGAGTGCAGACTGGAAAAGGCCACGGGCCAAAGCAATCTTCTCGTTCTGGTATAGGAAGCATCCCATGTTGTTAAGAAGCTGCGGTGGGAGGCTTTCCCTAAGAGCAGCATTCAACTTATCCTGGTCCTCGATATCAGGTCGAGCATCTTCGGGGATTTCGGCAATCTGGATTTGTTCCAGTTGAGTTAGGCACTGCATGCTCTTTTCTGGAGCTGTGCCCTCGTAAAGGCGGGAAAGATAGACGAGGACCGACTCGTCGGGGGAGATATTCTGCTTCTCATCCTTCCACATAGAGCGCACCGACTCGAGCAGAGTGATTGCGCGCTTTGTCTCAGTCGACTTGTCGTCCTTACTACCTGACTTCTGAGCAGCAAACACTTCTTCTGCATGGATAGCAGCAAGGAGGGTCATTGCCTCGGGGTTCTTCGATTGCTGAACGATCTTCTCTAGTCGGAATTTCGCACCGTCAAAGTCTTTGTTCGTGATCTGCATTTGCACGGCGCCAAATTTGGCAGGAAGATATCCCTTGTCGCCTCCGCCGCGAGCTTGGTCAGAGCGATTGTAGAACTCCGCAGCACGGGTATCGTCGCCTTCGTAGTGCGACTTGCGCCCAAGAAGGTACCAGCCGTCACTGGCGATAGACATAACGTCGGTGTGTTCGATGGCTTTGCGTGCCAATGTCTCGACAGTGGGATAGGATTTGCGAAGTAGGAAGTAACTGGCGAACATAGAGCAGGTCATCGGGTATTCCTTGTCCAGTTTGAAGGCCTTTTGAGTGTATTGTGTCATGGCCAATTTGTACATTGACCCAAACATAGGGTCGGTGGTGGATCGGCGGGAGCTGTCATGGAGGTAGTAAACTGCAAGGAGGACATTGGCAACCTTGGAATCGGGGTTCTGTGTGATTATGATGGTTAGTTACTTCAACATAGGCATGTGCGGATTGATACAACATACTAGAGACAGCGATCTCTCCCAGGCTACCTTAGCTTGATCCTTGAAGCCGAGTTGCCACAAGCAACATCCCAAACCAATACGAGGGTCCGGGTCTGTGAGTTGAGGCATCTTCATCAGAGCCTTTTGATATCCTTCGAGTGCATCCGCGTATCTTCCCAGCATGTAATGTGCGCGAGCACGTCCTAGAATGGCCATGATGTTCCGGCCACCAAAGGCCTTCGATGACTCGTCGAAACATTTTAAAGCCTGCCGGAGCGACTCGACTCTTTCCGATGTATCGATTGCACCGGGGCGAACAGCACGAGCTGGATATAATGACGCACGAAGGAGACATAAAACACCTCGTGCCAGGAAAAGAGGAGGGTAAGCCGGATTGAGGCGCGAGGCTTCGTTCAACGTCGACGTCGCGAGTTGGAGGTAGTGGTCCTTGGTCTTGGCTTCCGAGTAGAGCTCCCCCTCAGGTGCAACTCGGGGGGCATGTCGGCTCTTCAGCAACAGCAGCCAGCAAATCCAGCCCAGCAAGCCGAGTTTCTCCTTTGTCGCTCCATGGGCGACGGAGGCCAGACCCTTAGTCAAGATGTCGATAGCATGGTCGAGCTGCTTGCGCTTCGCATAGGCAAGCGCAATGATCACCCAGAAATTTTTAGCCGCTTTTTCGTTCTCCAGAAGAGTGCAAAGCTCGGTCGGATCATCGGGGAGCTCGAGCAAGCTCACTTCGACTTCGCTGTCGAAGCTGGAGGCGGGAATGTCGATGGCATCGGGGATATCGGAAAAGCGTAGATTGCCCAATGGGCTCACTGAAGGTAAAGCGTCACCGTTGAGGCCATTGGCTTGGCCGTTCTCAAGAGGCGCCATGATGTGTGCAGCAACGGGAGGAATGAGGCCACTTTGCGAGTAAGTATGGGATTGTAGGAGCCTCAACTCATGATCAGCCGAGGCGGTCCATCAAATAAAATGAAGAATTAAAACCGGTGAGGTTAGCGACCCCTAACCTGGAGAAAACGCGAAAAGTGACTCCCAGGGACTAACAGCGCGGCGATGAGAAGGTGAGAATTGATTGATTGGAGTGGCTGGGCTACACCGCCACAGGCAGCCACACCCCCATACAGTAAATAACAAGTCTATTCCTTCACATTGATTTCCAGACCTTTTCATTGGAGATGTTTCCCAAATAAAATACAAAATCGGAGAAAAGAATCGCATTCACTAGATTAACCAACAAAATATCTAGATTCAGGATTCACATCATTGCAACCAACTTGTTACAACTTTGCAGGAGCAAGCAAGACTAACCAGCACCACGAAGATAAGAACAAGCTCACTCCAGTGATGTAAGCGAGCATAGGACTCGACATATCCGGCCGAAGCAGCAGCCTGCTGACCATCTACGGCATGGCCAACCTTGATCGAACCGGCCAACTCCGATGGGAAGCGGCCAGTTTCGAAGTATTGATCCATGAGTTCATCCTTTTCGGCCCAGCGTGCTGTTAACCAGACCTCAAACTCCTTCTGATCATCAAGGGGAATCTTTGAGATCTGGAAACGTCTCCAATGCATGTTCACTGAAGTTGGCGGTCGTCCTTGCAGATATGTGGAGCGAAGTGTGAAGTATTTATCAGGATAGCTTCCCTTTCTATAAAATAAGATAGTCAGTATTGTTCTGTTCGAAGAAAAAGAGAGAAAACGACATACGGTGGTCCTTCATAGGCTATGGTGCAGTCATACACCCAGTCTACGGTTCCTCGCAGCTGCTGAAGACAGAAAAATAGTCCTGTAGACCGTGGGAGAATCATGTGTTCAAACGAGGGAAGTCCCTGTTTCTTTCCCCAAACATCGCTGCGTCTCTTGGTGTTGAGCGACAAATTTGTACCCTCGGGGAAAATAAGGAGCCACATAGGATCGTAGTGCGGGCGAGCAGAATTTGAGCCAGTGTAGCTTGTCTTCAGCTTCTCTAAGCGATGCTGCAGCCTTGGTTTGTCAGATGCCCACTTGCGAGCCATGAAGATAAATCCGTAGAACATCATGCCAGTGCCCACGATGGGAATATACTTGAGCGACTCTTTTAAGATGATAAAGATACGGCCATGCATTTGGTTGGTATATGCAACCCACCACAGATAGATCCAATCCGTGTAGACCTGGTGGTTTGAGATCATGACGAGACGCTCTGGGAACCTCGTCTCCAGCAATCCATCTTTCGATAGATGGATTTGTCCACGCACGCTAGCATCACCACTGACCCGGAAAAGTGTCGGGGAGCCCCATTGGGTGACAGCTGAGAGGACCAGTGCAAAACATTGTTTTGTATATGCCATGTACGCATAATAGTAACGTCTGTGGATGAGATACAGTGGGGCACCGATCAGCTGTGTTGCGCAGATTGCGATTATACAACAATCCGCCCATGTTATTAACAGCAGCGAACGCAGTATTTGCATGGGAATTCCATGTTTGAGACGAGGTTCAGAGGGTGGATTTGTTGAGGGCTTCTGAAGCTCCCCGGTACCCTTGGCGGTCGGTGGCTTGCGCTGTCGAACCTCGGCTGACTCCATGGTGGATATTTGGAGATTTGGAGATCTCTGTCGCTCTAATACTGAGAATGAACCTATAGATTCAGGTGTTAGACTGGAAGCTACCGGATGCTTCTTCAGCTAGGTGCATAGAGCCCACACGCACGCACACACTCTCTCAAATAGCCTTGTCAGTTGCCGTAGCAGTGATCGACGGTGTGGGCTCAGATTGCAAAGCTAGACAAAAGCTAGAAGTTGAAATATGTTGCCATCACCTGGAGATGAAGTAAAAATAAAGGAAAAGTAGGATCGAGCTAAATCTAGGAAGTTGGCAAGTGGTACGGAGCAAAGTTGGATAGTTAGAGGGGAAGATCAGGCAGATTGCGTGGACCCAAACTGCGGATGCTCACAGCCTCATGGCGTCACCTAAGGCGGTCACTTATTTACGACGCTTTACTCACCTCTGGTTTGTTGGGAACCTCCACTCCCCGGGAATTCTTGAACCCTTGGACATTTCATCTCAGTTGATCCTATATCCCCCGTCTTCTTATGTCGGGCTGAACGATGGCGTGTTGATGTGATGATCTCCAACGCAATCCCGACTTCCGTCCTTATATATATGACCAGGATCATCGATAGGCCTACGATCCTTCTTACAATATGCTACGCGCCATATTCCGCAGGAATACCCGCATTGCCTTGCGCTGCCAACATTTCTCCACGTCGCGACCACATCATGAGATCAAAGACATCGGCTCTTTGTCCCAGCGCCTGATACCGAAATACCAAGGTGTGGCTTGGAGATGACCTGTTGGACCGGTCACGCCGTTTTATGTTGGTTCAAAGGCTGATGGATTTTGTCAGAATCCTGTGATGGAGAGCTCTTGTGCCTCCAGTGGCCAGCACCGCCGCGGAATATCTTCCTGGTGCGCAAAGACTGCGCCCCAGCAGTTACTGACTCTCTGATTGAACTAGTCAAGTAAGATTGAGCAAAAAAAAAAAAAAAAACTGAAAATGAAACAATTCAGCAAAGCTGACCTCTATCAGTCACATTTCCTCTACATACCCATCTATCGCGGTGATTCTCGAATCAAAGACCGCCGCCGAAGTACATTCATCGCTTTCTTTTCCTGTTTATTCGGTTTCTCTCGACGAGAAGACCACTGCGCTTCACAATAAGGTTGACCTCACAGTGACCTTGGGTGGTGATGGCACAATTCTACATGCAGCCTCGCTCTTCGCGACCTGTTCAAACGTCCCACCCGTGCTATCATTCAGTATGGGCACATTGGGCTTTTTGAGCGAGTGGAAATTCTCGGAGTTCAAACGGGCTTTCCGAGAGGTCTACATGTCCGGAGCCGGAGCAGGAGACCGCACGCCTGTATTGGAAAGTCCTCCGGGGGCGGCCCTCACAGAACAAGAACTCGAAATGGGTCCGACCGGGTGGTCCTCCGTTCGGGGGAAGTCTATGGGGTCTACACGCGGGGCGCGTATTCTAATGCGCAATCGGTTGAAGGTAGGACTGTTTACAGCGGACGGAACCGAAACGACCCCTATCCGGACCAAAACCGATCAGGGCCAGGGAGTATACGTGATGAACGAGCTCCTCATCCACCGCGGCAAGGAACCACATCTGGCGGTGGTAGATGTGTTTGTGGGGGGACGGTTCTTGACCGAGGCTGTGGCAGATGGAATCATCATTTCGACGCCGACTGGGAGTACGGCCTACAGCCTGAGCAGCGGGGGCAGCATTGTGCATCCATTAGTCCCGTCCATCCTGTTGACGCCGATTTGCGCGCGTAGCCTCAGTTTCCGACCACTGGTCCTTCCTTCCAGCACGCCTATCACGCTGCGGTTGAGCGAAAAGAACCGCGGGCGCGAACTGGAAGTCAGTCTAGACGGCGTCAATTTGGGCCAAGGGATGGCAGTTGGCATGGAAGTCCGCGTGTGGAATGAGGAGATGCGGCATGGCAAGAATGAGTGGCAGGGTGGTGTCCCTAGCGTCATGCGGAGAAGTGTCGGCTGCGAAGCACACGAGGGCTGGGTCGGAGGCCTGAATGGATTGTTGAAGTTCAACCATCCATTTGGGGAGCCATGACCGGGGATAATGTACAATAGACGAGATTCTAATGTTCTCTAAGAACAACCTCTCTCATCTCACCTTAATGATAAATTGTGGGAGGAAAGCCGTGGATCAAATCCCCAAGACATCGCATTTTGATTGGCAGAGGCTTGTTTTCTGTAGATGAACTTGTAAAGTACCCTATCTCAGGGGAGCTGTACCCCTTTCTCCTTCTCTTCCTCCACCATTCAACCCCGATCTCTTTTCTTTTCTTCTTCAATCTTTTGATCCGATACTGCATTGTCTGTTCTCGAGCATCCTCGCAGTGCGAGGACCGCTCCTGACCATTTCAAAGGTACCCTACCCCTCCTTGGAAACCCGCCAGGGCTCCTACACCCAAGACACTCCTAATGGGGTGGGAAAGCCGGTGTTTATTCGATGGCTGTCTTGAAGAGGAGCACATCGAGAACTCATGCGGATCTTCGCCCCCTGAATGCAATCGCTGATTCCCGTATAGTAACGCTAGCCCGTCTCGAAGCCTCAGGAGGTCTCGGCGCATTCATTTACGTTTTTCCCCTGCGCAACCTGTGAATCCCTTGAACGATGACTTCCTATGGAAAGTATGTACCCATCTCATCTCTGTCCGAGTCTTGTAACTTCCAACTCACCTTTCACAGCAACATGTACTCGCCGGATCAGTTCATGAACCCGGGGCCAGCTCCCCGCCCCCCTACCGATCGACCCCCCAAGTTGACCCTGCCCACCAACAACACAACCTCCTCTTTCGGTCAGATGAGCTTGGACTCACCTCACACCCCGGGCCCAGCGGCCGCCAACCTTTCGCTTTTCCCCAACACTAGCAGTCCCTCCTTGGCGATGAATCGGAGCAACACTAGCCAAAATGGAGTCTCAGTCATCAAAGAAGGCACTGTTCGCTGCAAAGAAGACAAATTCTTGGCAACTTGGAATACACGCTACTTGATCTTGCGCGAGTATAAACTCGAATTCCTGAAGAGCGATAACGGCAAGGTCGTAATTACATTCCCTCTGTCCACGGTGACCGCCGTGGCTCGCTCCGAGGACTCCAAGATGGCCTTCGAGGTCACTCGCCTAGCCAATCCGAAAGACGCGAACTCCAAAGCCGCTCTCTTGGCCCGCGACCTACCAACCAAGACGATCACCTGCGAAGTCAAATCCGACGATGAAATCTATGAGTGGATCGACAAGATCTACGAGCGCTGCCCAGGTATGGGCGGTGTTAGTAACCCGACTAACTTCAGTCACCGTGTTCACGTCGGCTTTGATCCAAATTCGGGTGCCTTTGTGGGCCTGCCTCCAGAGTGGGAGAAACTGCTCACATCTTCAGCTATCACGAAGGAGGACTACAAAAAGAATCCTCAGGCGGTTATCGAGGTTCTTGAATTCTACTCAGATATCAAGATGCGCGAGCAGAACCCGCAATACAACCCTTCGGGCACTAGCCCTAACGGCCAACCCAAGGCATATGGTACTAGTATGGGAAGCTCCATTGCGCCCCCACGCCCTCCCCCGCCAGGACCCATGCAGCGCCTCGATAGTAGTCAGTCTAAACAATCTGACAATTCTCTGCGTTCTGCATCCTCATCGGCTGGCCAGTCGGACCGTGTGCTAGATCACCAGCATCAAGCCGAACAGATGAAATCTCTAGCCGAACAAGAGCGTCGCCGTGTGGAGGAAGAGGCTCGTCGCAACAAGGAGGAGCAGGATGCTTACAATGCATCCATCCCGAAGACCCGTACTCCTATGGCCCAGCAGGAGCTCGGAGGATATGGCGGCGAAGATCCGTCACAAAATAGCCGATATCAACCAAGCCGCCCGGCTCCTCAGGCTCCAGGTTCTGCTGCTCGTCAGCAGGACCCACGGCAGCTCACCGCACAGCGTCCCGCACCAGCACCGCCCACGCAGAGTCCCTATGGCCAGGGCGCGCCGCGAGCACCGGGTGCTTCGCGGACTGATGATCGCCAGGGCTCACCAAGTTCCCAGCCTCGAGCCCCAGGCTCGGCAAACCGTCCTCAGCAAAATGGTTCTAAAGGACAGGCTGGTCCCCCTCCGACACGCCTGCCGGCCCCTGTTCAGGCCGTGAAGCCACTGAACATTGCTAACAAGCAAAACGCAAGCAAGCAGAACGTCCCCGATAGTGTTCGCAAGGCCGAGGCCGCCCTGACCAAGAAGCCCGATCAGCCACGCCAGAAGGAGGTGCGCATGTCTGGCATGACAGAAAACGAGGTCATGGATCGACTGAGAGCTGTCGTGTCCAAAGACAACCCAAATGAGTCGTACAGCAAACAGCGCAAGATTGGACAGGGTGCATCTGGATCCGTATATGTGGCGCGCGTAAAGGAAGGCGCAACTTCCGGTGTCGCCCACGAGCTCTACCGGACGTACGGCGCCCGCTGCCAGGTAGCCATCAAGCAGATGGACCTGCGCAGCCAACCCCGTAAGGAGTTGATCGTCAACGAAATCATTGTCATGAAGGACAGTCAGCACCCGAACATTGTTAACTTCCTCGACTCGTTCTTGCAGGAATCAAGCAATGAACTCTGGGTTGTTATGGAGTTCATGGAGGGTGGTGCGTTAACTGATGTGATTGACAACAATCCAGTAATTACTGAACATCAGATCGCAACAATTTGTTCTGAGGTATGTATTGTTCCCGAAATATGGGCTTGAATGGTTATCTAACATTTTGTCCAAAGACTTGCAAGGGTTTGGCCCATCTGCACAGCCAGAACATCATTCACCGTGATATCAAGAGTGATAACGTCCTCCTCGACCGCGTCGGCCACGTCAAGATCACCGATTTCGGCTTCTGCGCTAAACTTACCGAACACAAGAACAAGCGCGCCACCATGGTCGGTACCCCGTACTGGATGGCTCCAGAAGTGGTGAAGCAGAAGGAGTACGGCCCGAAGGTGGACTGTTGGTCACTGGGCATCATGGCCATCGAAATGATCGAGTCCGAGCCCCCCTACCTGAACGAAGAGCCTCTCAAGGCCCTTTATCTCATTGCCACCAACGGAACTCCCCGCCTCAAGAAGCCTGAAAAGCTCACGAGGGAACTCAAGGCTTTCCTGAGCGTCTGCCTCTGCGTCGATGTTCACAGCCGTGCTACTGCCGACGAGCTCCTTGCTCATGAGTTCCTCCAGTCCGGGTGCAGCTTAGCTAGTCTAGCTGAGCTGCTCCGCTGGAAGAAGGCTTCTGGCCAGTAAATAAATGAAGTTTTCGTCTTGCTCTTCATTTACCGCAATTCGGAGCAACATATGGGTCCTATCTACGCGTCTTCGGTTAGAAGGCCTAGTTCCTTAACTCCTGTCCCAGGAACTATTCTCGCATTGTGCTTATCCCCCCCCCCCCCCTTCTTTTCATTGCACTCTTCCCCTTGGAGATATCGTTGCTACTTCATTGTGCTCTTTACTATCATACACCAACCTGGGCGTGGGTAATTCGGCGTTTTGTCTGTTTTTTTCTTTTCTCTCAACTTCCTTCTTGCTTGCACAAAACACCATACCATGTTTCCCCCTATGACGTTCACGATTTTGCAATTTGCACTGTGTTATGTGCCCTTGCACAAAAGCGAAGAATAGTTTAAATCCCATGTGACTTTGATTCGGTCTCTCAAATTCAAAATGATCGATTTTTTATGTGTACTACGGTCGTGCTTGTGCATCTACATAGCGCTCATCAAGATGTATTTAAGCATTTATGTAGTCGTCCGGTTGGGATGTCAAAATAAACCGTGTCTTCACATCTTCTCAAAAATGATTTCCTGATACTGTGGAAAAGAAGACAATTGTCGCCCCCGGAGAATATTGCTCAACGCAGTTACGGTGTCCAGGTAGACAGCTTCAATTCTGCCTTGACACAACATGAAACAGCACCTCTAATATATCATTGACAAGCGTAAAACTAGTATATCACAATTCATATATGAAGACAAAAGAGACCCAACCTCACTCAACAAGATTCAAGGCAGTTCCTCCCTCACAGCCCTCCCCAAATCTCCACAAGCCTCACTGAACAAAATCCCCAAGAGCACATTCTCTCCCTCAGAAGCTGTCCAACGGCCCGCATCCGTGAGCTTCTGTTTCCAAACAGACTGCTCAGGTTCGGAAAGATCCTTCCAAGGTTGCAGCTTCTCCTCTTCGGTCTGATCAGACTCGCGCACAGACGCAGCCGTCTCAACAATTACGCTCTGCTCTGCGCCACAGCGGACAATTACAGATAACGCCTGCGGCGCAATAGTTTCCAGATCAGCTGGTGCGGCCCCGGCGCGGTGCACGCGGTCCAGAATCTCGCGGAGGGATTCGAGCTGCGCGTCTGCGGGGAAGGTCTTCGCGACGGGAATGTCGCCATCACTACTGACGGGGATGTCGCTATCACTGCTGCGAGGTGCGAGGAGTGTATCGAAGTATGTCAGCTTCTCTCGGGGCGGCAGAACATATTCTTTAGCAATGGCACCGCGAATATTGTCTGGGAGCCACTCCGTGGCCCCGAGGATTGGTGGGGTTCCGCCGCGGATCTCGGCGAAGGCGAGCATAGCCAGACAGATGGCGAAGATGGAGAATAATAATACGACGATGCTGTAAACTAGTTCCCATAACTCGGCGGGGCCGGGGACGACGAGGACGTAGCGTGGGGTGTGAGAAGATGTTGGGAAGGGTGATAGTGGGAATGTGTGCACGACCACTGTGTTGCCCATGCTGACGGAGGCGAGCTTGATGTTTTGCGGGCCAACATCTGGCGTTACGGGATGTGAGGGTGCGATGAAGGTTGAGAAAGTGAGTTTCGTCATTGAGAAAGGATGCACCTCACGGAGAGTTGTGTAGGGGCGGAAGGTGCCATAGCCACGGTTTGGTCCATATTCTAGAGTGAATAGGGAAATGGAGTTATCGCTCCCACTGGCTGCTATGACCGTTTGTTGTTGGCCTTGGGGGTTTGTTCCAAGTTGGCATATATCGAGACCCAGTCCGATCTTCACGGTCCGCGGGAGCTTCCGGCGTCGAAGAATTCGAGACTTGTTTGATTCGCCGCTGGGAAGTTGAAGGAGGATCAGCTCGCTGCCGCCGCGATTCGGTGCGTTCTGTAGTAGTAGAAGGGTCTTGGCCGAGAGGAATCGCAGTGCGCGGAACTTGGGGCGCGCTGTGCGGGCTCCGTTGGCAGGCAAGGGAATGCTATAAACGGAGCGGACATCGGGGGCGCTGTTGGACCGGGTTGACGACAACATCTCGCCGACCATGACATCCGTGCCGTTGGTGTATGCTACAAGGAACCGGCCGTGTGCATCGTCGGTCTTTTCTGAGTCGTGCTCGAGGCTGGCAAAGTCCAAATCCTCGGCCTCTTCGTTGCCGCTTAATTGAATGCGGCCAATGATATCCTTCTCGCTGGGGGGTTCTGTCCCACAGAAAAACACAATCTCACCAGATTGTGCCAGTCCTGTTGCGACAGCTCCGATTCGCGTGTGTTTTCCAGTACCATCCTTTCCTTTGGGCCACGGCGAGAGCCTCGTCACCCGCTGGTATGTATCTGTAGAGCCTGGTCCATTCTTGGTTCGAAATAGCGATGCCCGAGATAAGGCTGTAGCCTTCCCGGAAGCAACCTTTTCCTCGGATTTCGTTGCCTTCCCCCCCCTTCTTATTCTGCTCACTGTCTTTAGCACTCGTATTCGTAGCGGAGGGAGCGGCATTCTTCCGCGGTGTTTCGAATCGGAAAACGCGCAAGTGTTGATTATTGTTTTTCTTCTGCTCCTCTACAGAGCTGTTTATACCAGCCAGAGCAACAAGCGAGTCCGCTTCGTCACCATCCAGCGGCGCCGCGGCCAGCGATGTCACCGAGTCCTCATCGCGCGATAGGTTCAGGTCAACGACCTCGAGAATCTCATTGCGACGCGAAGTATCTAGCAGGGACTATATAAGAAGCACCAGTCAGTATTTACATATCCGAGGAGGGGTCATTTCTTTGAGAAGGTAGAACTTACGATCTTGTTTCCAACTCCACTGCGCCCCTCGCCGCCTCCGCCGCCAACAAGGAGTCGACCGCTATTGCGCGGGTCAAAGTCAGCGGCAAAGAGCGGACATGAGAGTGTCAATTTGGCGGAGTGTATTGTGGGCGCCATTGTGGTTGAGACAGTAAACATGAAAGAGGACAGGTGGGATGACGGAGATGCCCCGGATTCTTGGCACAGTGGCCCGGGTCGCAAATGTCGTGCCTAAGCCTTTAGCGCGATGAACGGAATATATAGATCTACGATGACAAAACTATCATTGGATTTGGGTATCTTTTGGATTAATATGAGAAAGGAAAAAAGGTAAATAATATTTTATGACATGGGTTGCTTCGCTTCGCTCCGCAATCATGCACTCTAAGCATTTTACTCGATCTCCTGGGAAGTGAACTCGGGCAGGCGCTTGCGAATATCCTCCCATGTCTCGTCACCCTCAACGAGCGACTTGACAGCCTGCAAGATCTCATCTTCAGTTGCACGGACCTGCTTAGTGGTATCACGGTCACGCAGGGTGAAAGTGCTGTCCTGAACGGACTGGAAGTCCACAGTGATGCCGAAGGGTGTGCCCAGCTCGTCGTTGCGAGAGTAACGCTTGCCGATACTGGCGGAAGAGTCATCGACACGGTTGGAGATACCGGCCTTGCGCAGCTTGGAGGTCAGACGCTGGGTCAGAGGCTTGAAGGAGGCGTGAGTCGACAGGGGAACCAGCAAGACCTTTGTGGGAGCAACAGCAGGAGGGAAAGAAAGGACCTGAGTAAAGTTAGTTTAAATCCTACTATCTGGAAACATAACGAAGAAAACTTACACCACGGGTCTCGTCACCGGCACGGGACCAGTAGGAGTGCTCAATCATGCTGTACAAGATACGTCCGATACCGAAGGAAGGCTCAATGACGTTGGGGGTGTACTCGCGGACATTGTCGACACGAGTGCGCTTCTCAATTTTGATCAGGTCCTTCTCCAGCTCGACCTTGCCAGATCCAACACCTGCAACCTCGACCTCGATCTTGCCATCCTTCTCAAGGTCAAGAGACAGCTTCTCGCGAAGCTCCTGGGACAGAGCCTCAACAGCTGCCTCGACAGTCTTTGCGTCCTTCTTGAAACGGGGACCAAACTTCTTCTTCTCGAGATCAATTTGGTACTCCTCGATGCGCAAAGGCTCAGCACGAGCCTGGCGCACCACAAGAGGGGCACCAGTCTTTTCCTTGTGGACAGTCAGATCGTAAGCAGAGCGGTCAGCACAGCCAACACACTCGATCCAGCCGTAGCTAGTCTGCAACTCGGCATCCCAGCAGTCAGTGGCGTAGTGAGCCATCTCGTTGGCCATGTGCTGGCGGAAGCGCAGCTTGGTGGGGTCAACGCCCAACTTCAAGAGGAAGGACTGAATGCGGGCCAAGAAGTAGCCCAGAGTTTCGTTATCGACCAGTCCGGTCTCAACGGCCTTGCCGATGGTCATCGTGGTTAGCTTTGTGCTTCCGGACAGCTGCACGTGGCGGTCGAGCAAGGACATCTCAGTGTCCTTGACCTCCTCGAAGCGAGCGTGCTTCTTGCCACCCTCTGGGTCGACGTAGTGCTCAATCTCAGCCATGAGGAACTCACGCACACGAAGGAGACCAGCACGGGGAGAGATCTCGTTACGGAACGACTTGCCAATAGAAGCAGAGGCGAACGGCATCGACTGCTGGTTGAACTCCAGGAGCTTGGCGAAGTTCAGGAACTGACCCTGGGCAGTCTCGGGGCGCAAGTAGCCGGGCATGTTGGCACTGGGACCAATAGAGGTCTGGAACATGAGGTTGAAGGAGACTGGAGGCAGCACTTCGCCGCCAGTGACGGGGTTGCGGATGTCGTGCTTCTTGATGAGGACCTCTAGCTCAGGGCCACCATAGTTGTCAAGTTGTGCGAGGGTCTCCTCGTACTCCTTGACCAAGGCATCATCCAGCTTCTTGGCCTCGGTGCCCTTGGCCTTTCTCTTCTTCTTGGCCTCTTTCTCCTCATCCACCACAACCTTCTGGCCACGCGCCTCCTTGTCTCCCTTAAGGCGGGCCTCAAGCACCTCCTCAACCAAGTGATCAGCACGGAAGATCTCACCAGTCTTGGGGTCCTTGCACATCCAATCGGCGAACTTGTCCACGTGCCCACTGGTCTTGAGGATCTCGTGGGGGGTCAACATAGTGGTATCGACTTCAAGCATGTCCTCCTCGAGCACGAAGTGCTTGCGCCACAAGTCGGTCATGTTGGCGATCAGAGCGGTTCCAGGTGGGCCATAGTCATAGAGACCAGACACGCCACCATAAATTTCGAAGGAGGGGGTGTAGAACATGCGGCGGCGGAGCATGGAGTCCAGTACCGTCCGGTCGACGGACTGGCCGGTCTTGGTGTTGACAGTAGCCATCTTTGCGTTTCGTTTCGAAGGCTTCGGGGGATGTGTGTAAGACCTAAACTGAGTCCGAAAGAAAGACGGAGGGGAAAGAAAAGAGCGGGGGGGAAATCGCAGGCGCGGCAATTGAGTCATCCACCACGCAGCCCCTCAGACACCACCGAGAGGACAATGTACAAAGTGTATAGAACGAGAGAAATGGGACGATTGCGTCGGTCTTTTTCTTTTCTTTTATTTATTTCACTCCCAAAAAGGAGGTCTCAGAGTCACAGGGTATAATCGCAGATTGGCGCTCCGGGAAAACGATTGTCCGAGATAATTTATTTCTCGGCGATCTTTACAATTTCTATTGACCTTCAACAGCAGCAATCCGCCTTCACAGCATTCAAAAATGGGTGTCAAAGGTCGATCAGGTCCGCCTCCGGGCGTTATGGGCGATGAGAAGACCGGCAACAAGCTGCGCCGAAAGATGAACCATGTCAAGCGCAAGAGAGCCAAAGATGCTGCGCGCCGAGAGGAGCGCTATGCTTTCAAGAAAGAGGAAGCCAAGAACCCCAAACTCAGAGAAGAACGACTTCGCCGCAATATTCCTCTCACTCTCGAGCGCAAGCGTGTCTGGAACGAACCCGACAACGATACCGACGAAACTGGGCTGGGACTGAGTGTTGATGTTGAGCGCATTAAGCGCGCCAAGAAAGAGGAGGAAGATGAACTCAACCGACCATTGGAAGAGGGCGAGGATGATAGCGAGGCTCCGGAGTCAGACAATGAGTCTGTCGACAGTATGCTTGAATCAGACAACAGCGAAGACGAAGATGAGGAAAAAGACGAAGACGAAGCTGCCAGCCGTGGCCGGAAGAAGTCCTCGCTCCCAACTGCAACAGAACGCGCCACAAGTCCTACTCAGTCCACACGCAGCACAAACCTAAGCCTCGCACCTGAAGCATTGGCCGCCAAATTCCCTACACTCTTCACCGACGGACCTCCGCCCACCCCGAAAATCCTCATTACCACCGGCCTCAACTCCACCCTCCACGCCGAAGCCGAGATCCTGACCGATATGTTCCCGAACAGTGTGTATATCCGACGCAATGCACACCGGTACTCGCACAAATTCTCAGTCCGCGAGATTTCTAAATTCGCCGCAAACCGCAACTTCACGACTGTAATTGTGTTGAATGAGGACCAGAAGAAGCCCTCTGGCTTGACGATGGTGCACTTGCCCGTCGGCCCGACTTTCCACTTCACCATCAGCAACTGGATTGAAGGCAAGCGGCTTCCGGGACACGGCCGATCCACCGAACACTGGCCTGAGCTGATTCTCAACAACTTCCGTACTCCTCTTGGTCTTTTGACCGCGCATTTGTTCCGCACACTCTTCCCACCTCAGCCAGACTTTGAGGGCCGACAAGTCGTTACTCTGCACAACCAGCGTGATTACATCTTCGTTCGCCGTCATCGCTACGTCTTCCGCGAGAAGCGTGAGACCGAGAAGGCTGTCGTTGGTGCTGACGGCAAAGAGATGGCTGGTGCTGAGGGCATTCGCACCGGTCTACAGGAACTGGGACCCCGTTTTACTTTGAAGCTGCGTCGTGTTGATAAGGGTATCCAGCGTGCCAGTGGACAGGAGTGGGAATGGAAGGGTGGAATGGAGAAGACGAGAACTTTGTTCCAGCTGTAAATGTCTATTTGTGTCGTTATTTCTGGTTTTGCATGGGGTTCGAGGGGAGTTATATCCAAAAGCTTGTCTGGTTTCTTTGCAATGGACAAATTCACGTATCCTACAAACATTCATGAAAGTAAGGTAGGTCTGCCGCTCATATCTCGATCGTTGACAGCCTGGAGCTTCAATAATTGACATGTCTGGAACATCGATTGTTTAACATAGATCGTGTAATGGGTGCATCGACAATAGCTAAAGGTCTTAAATGTGATTTTTCCATATTAATATGTGGATTCATGAGGCTAAACTATATCCTAATTTACCAAGGGCTGTTATTTGAACGCTCGACAGCTGTCCTAGTTGCTTCATCAATATCCTCGGTTGGCAAGCCAAGCAACCCATTCAATGTGCCCTTGGACTTGAAGTTCCCAGCACCATCTCCAAAAAAGATTCGAGTATACAGCATCTTGACAAACCCAATGCGATCACCTTCCTGCATTTCCTTCTGGCCATTCTCATACCTCTCCTTAGCCGACTCTCTCGTGATAGTCCAGTCATTCTCTGTGGTCCCAGTAACCCTAAAAGCAGACTCTAACATATCCTTTTGGCTCACAGTGAAAGAATCAGCATAGACAATCTGGTTCTTCAAGGTTTCAAGACAAGCCTTGTTACCTCCCTCCGCCTTGATTGGCAGGCTAAGAAGCCCAGCAACAGTGCGGCCAACCTGAGGCCAGGTCGAGATCGAGATCTTCGCCTCACCTTCGTCGAAGAAGATGACATTGCGGTTGGCGAAGTCTATCCCGAAAGCTGATGGAATTGCGAGGCTCCATTCATACCAGAATCCCGTGTTAACAGCGATGTAAGAGCTTTTGCCGAGATCGGTGATCGCTTTGCGAATTGATCCTGTATGCAATCATCTTGTTAAATAGACTACTACATCAAACGCAATTCCATAGATCTGTTGTTACTCACTCTTCGGCTGGAAGATCACTATGTCCTTGACGAGATCCTCATTTGCGGTATCCGGTGCCCACTCATTCGGGAGAATCCAAGGTACACCCGCCTGGCCAGCAGCATTAATGAGTGCCAGATCGATTTCATGTGGAACAGCTCCACTCAAAGTAATGATCAGTGCATCCTGACCCTGGAGTGCCTCGACAATGGTCTCCAGCTTGTTGTAGTCGATTGACTTGGGAATGACGCCGTCTGGTAGCTTGCTCTGGCTGTTAACCCGTGTTAGGGCTGTGACAATGTGTTTGCCGGTCTTGAGCAGGGCTTCAGTCATGAAACTTCCGCTGTTGCCGCCGGCCTATTGTGATTATCAGCTAGTGATTTATAGGTCATGATAGATGACTTCACTCACTCCGACGATAGCAACTTTAGTGATGTAGTTTGAAGCCATTGGTTCAACTGTACAAAGACTTCTTTGGATAGAGTGAATAAAGTAAAAGCTTTCTCTATGAGATTCAAGATATTCCGTCTTATATACTCCTCACAGGTCTTGGCGCATCGGAGAACCATACGGAGATAACGCAGTTAACACCCTTCATAGGCAATTGTTTGGTTAGGAGAGATAAAAAAAAAATCTCTTTGGATTTATGGGACAGTTTTGTTTCGATATTTGTAGTATGTTAGAGGAGATCCTCCGAAAAGTTGTGATAGCAGTTGATTTAAGATCTGCTCCTACCTCGATATCAAACTTTTGGTTCAGGCCATTGATCTTTTCCAATAATTGGGATCAAATATATCCTTTTTTTAGTGTTTTCGACACTGGGTATTTCGATCTATTATTACTACTGTTCATTAGTGGATGCCTATAACTTGTGATGTCTTAGTGATGGCAAGATACAGATTGAGAACCCGTCCAATTAGGCTCAGGTTAGGGCATTGCTAAGGTTTCACATTCCCATGGCCCAATTAAAGTTATCTTTTACTTTATCTCTAAACTAACACTGGTGCTTCCCCGAATTTATCAAACAAACAACGATGCACGGGGATCCCAATCCCGATATCTCCTTCGGCATTGTCCCAATCGAAGTCAGCAATTTGGATTATGGAGCAAACTAAATTATTTACCACGCATGATCAAAAAGACACCTAATTATCGACCCGATCGAATTACTTTTCGAATTACTCCGCCCTTCGCATAGTCCTAGCAAGCAAAGGCTACCCTTACTACCCTCAGGGAACTAGCCAATGTCCCGAAACAACCTCAATTCCTATCTAAGGCTTTCCTTCAGTAGAGAGAAGTTCATTGTTCTTGTAGCACAACCCACTTATATCCTCAAAACTATATTGACCACTCATAGTTACGCTTTGAACAAAAGCCTCCAATCCTTCCAACACAGTAATAAGTGCCATCTTGCCGAGCGTCTCTTGAAATGTATTATCTCACCAAGTCGATGATATGACCATTAGCCGGGGAGTTCCCAGGCTCGTAAGGAAGCTGCCGGTTCCCGTGAAGATGATTGATCTTTCGCAGTAAGCGATGTTGAGCTCGATGCCCCAGTCTCCTGGTCTTAGTCCGATGTCTATGACTAGTGGGATAAGCACGTCCAGCGCACTAGTACTCAGGGCCTATCCAATGGTATTAACTATGAAATTTTAGTCTGCTTATTCTCAGTCATTTGACATGAATGAAGTACCGTCGCAATATTGATGGCTGTGTTCTGTTGTTCCGCAGAGAGATTGGATTGAGTATGACTTGGAGGAGTCTCTAATCTTGTAGAATCTTGTATTGGGTGTTCAGATAGATATATTTACAATCATGCTGGTCCTCTATCAGTTCAACAAGATTTCGGACTTGGTTTGTACTGGCTATCCCCGGTATCTCGATGCTCTTCCAAGTGGGTAAAAGCACTCACGGTCGTTTGTTTTTTTTCTGTATGTTTCCCAGGACAATATTGCAAGACTCATGCAAGTTGAAAGAGCAAAATGTTTAATGGAAGTATGTCTGGCGCTACAGGTGAGTCCTAGTTAATACATACTTTCGGAATAAATTAGTATGGTCTGTGGTATAAGTGCATCTATGTACTCTGTCACAACTAGGGTTGTCAGCAAAAGGTGCGACTTATGTAGTACTATGAAGACATCTTTCTCGAGAAAACTGCAAGAACAAACCTTGGAAACGAAAGTTAGATACATTTAATCTCCGATCTTATATTGCACAGATCCACTTAGGATGAATGCACGGAGATAAACTCACTCTTATCTCCGATCTACCCAAGTCACGGGACGATCTTGGTACCTGAACCAAGACGGGAATTTTTTTGATCGACAAACACCACCAATCACCCTCCTCTCCGCACTCAAAATGGACCCCCTCCCGCGCCGGCTCCTCTTCATAGCCTCAATAGGCAATAAAGCTCCCTACCGCGGAACCCGACACAGCGCAGGCCACCTTCTTCTCGATGCCGTAAAACCACTCCTCCAAACCACCCTCCCAAACACAGGCATCTTCCACGAAACATGGTACAGCCCAACCTACATGAACGAGTCAGGCCCGAAACTCGTGCGCCGCTTGGAGCAGTGGGCGACAGAGCGCCACGACCGTCTTGATAGAATCGCAAGCATTGCTTCGGCCCGTGCTGAGCCTGCAACATCTGAAACACCAAATCTACCCTCCCCAACTACTTATCCAACGACCCTCATAATCCTTCATGATGAGCTCGAGTCCCCGATTGGGAAGGTGCGTGTTAAGCGCGGCGGCCCGGAATCGGCGAGTCTGCGTGGTCATCGGGGCCTCATCAGTATCTTTGAGACGCTGCGCGGGAAGGGTTTGCATCCTCCGCGTTCGTCTTCAAATGCTGTAAATGGGGACCGGAAGCCTGGGTCTAGTAAGAGTGCTTCGGGGCCGTTGGCGGATTTCTCGGTCCTGCGTGTTGGTGTGGGAATTGGCCGCCCGACTTCCCGTGAGAAGAACGCTGTTTCGGATTATGTGCTCAAGCCTGTCAGTGAAGCTGAGCTGAAGGCTTATCACGCGGCAGCGGGGCCGGTGGTGGATGCTATCAGAGAGGAGCTGTTCATGCCTGCGGGGAAGATCTGATTGATATTTGGAAATGTGTATACTATAGATTTTGGAGTACAGTGTGCCAGTTATACCCCCAGTCATAATTGTTGATTATAGAGTCTGTTTGACATTCGCACAGGCGGGGGGGATTTGAAAAAAGTAGAAAAGCAATGTCAAACTCGGCTCGTGGATGTATTAACCTTATACACAGAAAACGCCTGGAAAGAGGGCAAATGAAACCGGGAAATGCCTGCCGAGATTTATCGACGAAAGCAAAAAGAGAAGAACGCAAGAATCTGTCGCTGAGATTTCAGCGCAGCAGAGCAACATCCCATATTATGCTAATAGAATTGTTAATAACAGAGCAGCTCAAACGGTTCCAGCTATGCTCAAATCGCGAATTTCCTGCAACACCTCCTCAACCCGGTTATCCAGTTCACCCTTGGCGTACTGGTCGCGAGTCTCGGCATCGAGATATTGCTGCACCTGGGCCATGCGTGAGTAAGCCTCAGCACAGAAGCGCAGCTGGATCTTGACGAGAGCTTCGAAGCTGGGGTCGAGATAGGGCACACGGAGGTCGATAAGCTGGGGTAGTTCGTTGAAGAGCTGCTCGTTCAACTGCTCGTAGGCCTGCTTGGCTATTTCGGCTTCGCGCTCGGTGCGTGGCAGCTTGGTGACATCCTTGTCGGGCTTCTCGGCGAGCTTCTTGACCTTGGCGCGCACAGAGTCATAGTCTAGCATCTTGTGGTTGCGCTTCTTGATGCACTCGTTCACATCGGGGAAGTAGGCGCAGAATCGGGAGATGGGGTCGAGGACAGTGGTACTTTGACTGTTGTCAGCACCATTCGATGTGCACTCATTGATAAAGCAGTGATCTCTTACCGGTATGGTCCATCCAGAGCCTTGATAGTCTCGGCGTCGAGATCCTCGACGGCCTGCTTGTAGCTCCGGCTCACGCCATCTCTTGTTCCCGCGTCACCGTAGAAAGCATCGATAGTCTCCGCAATGCGCATTTGAGACGCCGTCATGGCTGCGGCGAATTAGTCAACTGAGCACTCAACCCCAACATTCCGCAAAGCGGGAAAGTCACCCACCTCGTAGTGAATCCAGATATCCCTTGGCCTCCTTCTGCAACCGATTTGCAGCGGTTTCCATAGTCCGGTACCGCCTATAATGAGCATCTTTAGTCCCGGCCCCAATATATCCATCTAGATGCAGTGACATCCATACCGTTCCTCAATCTCATAGTCGCGGTCATTCGTCCTTTCGACATGTCCTATTCGAGGGAAGGGTCAACACAAGCTCCACATGCATATATGCTCAACACAACGTAGTGCAGAGCGTGTGGCTTGATCCGGGATCGTAGCCGATCGCCCTCTCGAGATCCATTGCGGGGTAAAGACTTGACAAACTCACCTGTCTTCATCATCACCTGCGTCGTCGCACGGTTGACATTCTTCTTGAACCCTGTTTATCCATCCAGTCAGATATGCTCGTATGGTCATCGGGTCGTGACTCCGAGGGCTTGACGGGATGAGGCGTACCTGCCCAAGACATGGTGGCTGTGTGGTTCGGAGGACCCGGAGATGAAGATCAGCTCGAGTATTGAGGTTGGTGTAGTCTGAATGTGGGGTGTATGCTAGCAGAAAGATCGCAGTGGATCGCAGTTGAGACGGATGGAGGCTCCGGAATTAGGCTGTAGGGAAGTTGTAAAGGTGTCCCAGGTACTCCGTACAGAGTCCGACTAACCAACTCTGCCTTATGGGTTTGTGTGGCTATGTGTGGCTGAGCGCTGCTTATGTCATGAGTTCCAGATGCGGCTACGTCATGTTTGGTAGGGCTGGAGTCCACGGTGTTGCATTATTCAGGTTCTGCTGTGCTGTTCAGTTTTTTTTTTCCTCCCTAAGTTACACTGGCAGATAATACTGACTAAACTCAAATACATGTACTCATATATTCACCTGGGTATCTTAATGGATGTCCTTTTTGGGACATTCCTTTGGGTCCTCCATAACATAGGTCTAGATAGCCGCCGGTAAGGCTGGAAGCGAGCAACCAAGAGAAGCGAAATAAGAGCTATTCGACATAATTCCCCCTTCACAGCAACATACTGCGAGGCTGGCTCTTGCATCTGCTGTACGCCTGCACGGCATGTGCATATTCAGGTATTTCTCTTATCCACTTTGCCCAGACCGTAATGTAGATGCCTAAAGACCTGAGTTATGCGCAGACCTTGGCGGGCAGCTGTACACCACTGCCAAGAAGGATTGGAGCGAATGCTCGACTCAAATTTGCTTGGACTTCAGTCGGGGTCTCTTTCGGGGTTGAGATTCGGTATTTGAGTGTGTATCACGCTGCAGGACTGAATCCACCCCCTTAGCTCCATGGATTACAGTTACATACATACAGGTCCATACAGACACTATATACGAAGTACTCGGTACCTAACGAAGGATTTAGGATATTCAACAGCGCATGCATGAATAATTAAACTGCGCTAGCTTGGCATATGACACACGCGATCGCATCAGATTGTTAGGGCTTATTGCCGGATCGACAAAATGTTGTTCCTTGTTCTTGTTAGCGGATAAAGCGTGTATGGGGGATGATTAGTGATGGAAAACTCTCAGAGAAGGTGATATCACTGATGCTGATTTTTCCTAAAGATATCGGGCCTGATTGACGGCACCTGCTCTGTTGTCTTGGTCACTTTTGTGGACCTTGCACCGGTCTCAGGGCGCCACCGATCTTCAGGTTGATGTCACGTTGCTTGGGGGCTGTAGATTATCGCCAAAGAACGAATTGAGAGGTCAGTGGCCAAAGGGAAAACAAAACCTAAGAACGAGCTTCTGATGCTGTGTAGGTGATGAATGCACGGTATGCAAGTCCCATAGTACATACTTCAAGATGCTTAAGACGTATATACAACAAAGCATTGACAACATGTACTGGAACCCAACATCGAAACGAGTGAAAGTAAAAGCTGAAACAATAGGAGTTCAGACAACCTCCAGTGCAGCAAATTTCGCTTAGGCCCTGTTCCCTAGTCCTGCTCCTGGTGCTATTGCGGGCAGCGAAGCCTGCCTACAATGACGAGTGATAAAGAAGCACATAATCCAGGACCCACAGCCCAAGCGACAATGTCCATATTCGCCCGGTAAAGCCGGGCTCGCCATAGTGGTACAAAAAAAAAAAAATTTCAGTAAGAGAATGCCCACCAACGCCAGTATGTAGAGGTCTCTGTCGAAACCCCAAACGCGAGAAAAGACCGGACGAGATAGAAACTCCGAGGATTGTAAAGGAAAAATGGGTCGAAAAGGTCATGATTCTTCGTTGCATTGACGTTGAAGACATGAAAATCCGGCCAAAGTGACAAGCTAAGAGATGAATGAAATAGACCACAGGCTGAAGGAATACAGGAATGCGCCGGAGCCAACAAGCAAGATAGGAAAAACGTTAGGTAAAAAAAGAAACCTTCATAAAGGGCCTCCTTCTATTCAGGAGCATTCAAAGGACAGAAAACAGCAAGCCTCGCCTTGAATGGGTCTATGAAAAACAACCACCCTGTGATGCAAATGTTAAAAGGAAAGATAGTTTCAATTCCATCAAACCCTAAGCGGCGGGTCCATGACCACGATAGCCGACAATTTTTGTTTTAGAACGATCAGAACCCTTCCTCGCCAGCCTTACACAGCTTGATTTGGCGTACCCATTCGGATTTGAGAACCTGTGAGGCATTGATGCGGCGGGAGGGATTGGGATCAAGGATGGAGTAGATCACATTGCGGCAACGAGCCTGATAATTAATGAGTCTTTGTCCCGCAGCCGCAGAAAGAGGATTAGCAGTTCTTACCCGATGTAACGTCTCAATAGGAGCATATCCATCCTCGTGTTTCCGACCGTCGAGATAGCGTTGATAAAATTCATCTTCATCCTTGCGTGCCACGCGCCAGAGATGCCGCCCGGTGCGCATGGCCATGTAGATGACTCCAGTTGCCCAAAGATCAACGGCCCGAGGGTCGAATTCCCTTTCGATGTATTCCTCCGGAGCGATGTAAGGAGCTGAACCGCAGAGTCCGGCGGTCATGTGGGCTTCCTTCTCCCAGGCCATACGGAAGCATTCACCGTTTCCAAAATCAGTAATTTTAAGTGCACCGTGAGTGGTCAAAAGCAAGTTTTCGGGCTTGAGATCGCGATGGGCGACACCCATCTCATGCATGTACTCAACACCCCGCATCAACTGTTTGAAGAAGCAATCGGCTTCGGCAACTTCCAACTTACCAGCAGCGAGGACTAGAGTATACAGATCGCCACCGGCGCAATATTCCATAACTTCGCAGTAGTCCCCCTTGGCATCTTGCAACAGATCTAAAGTGTGAATGACGTTCGGGTGACGGAGCGACGATGAGATGCAAAATTCCGAAGTCAATCGTTTCTGATATTTTTTGGTGGTTTCCTGAGGGCGACGACGGAATTCCTTGACAGCATATAACTGTTCGCACTTGGAATCTTGAGGGTCGACCTTGTGCGAGATGCGGACGATACCAAAAGCGCCGCGACCCACGATCTCCTGACACTTGCCGTACTTGTCAACCAGAGAAGCAGTGGCATTCGGGCCGCCCTTCTTATCGGCGGCCAGCTTATCACGCTCGGTCTTGAATTGATCAATCCAAGTTGACATCAGTGATAGCTGCTGCTCATCCACCTGGTCGTCCTTCTTCCGGCCACCAATCATATCCCGCAGCAAGTCGGTGAGCTTCTCTTGCCGTCTCGCACTTCTGAGGTTATGCAAGTGATTGCCCTGACCTTCTGGCAGAACCTCAAATCGCTTGTGGACCGGGACAGCTCCATCTTTGGTCTTCTTGTCGTCCGGCTTCTTCCTATCGGACTTTTCCGCTGGTTCGTTCTTAAGAGATGGATTCCTTGAGGGAGTTCGGGAGTTTGCTCCTCTTGAGGGAGGTCTTGAAGGAGGCCGAGAGGAGGACTTCGAATTTCTGCCGTTCATGGGCTGAATGCTTTCCAAGCTACTATCGGATAGATCACGGCGAGTTTCATTGTTGTCTTTAGGCGGCGTTGATTTCCCCGCACTGGAGAACATGCGTGTGAGACGAGCAGCCATTGTAGCTTTAGTTGGTTTCCCGGCGGGAGAGAATGCCGGAGGTGGAAGGGCGTCCCCGTTTGCGTGGGCAGCCAAATTCATGCCCGCGAGGGCGCGTGCTACCGAAGCATCTCCATCCCGAGGATCATACGAATGTTGTGAAGCTGCGGCGGACGAAACTGCGGAAGGCACAGGTGAAGGGGAAGGTGGAGTCATGTGCGGTGGATCGACAAGTGAAGATTAGAAGATTGAGGGGTGGGACGCAAAATTCTCCGTCCCGAGATTGAGAGACGAGCGTCTACAGCTCGCACGAAGCTGCCGCTGGACAGATTGGTCTTGATGGTAAGGATAAAGAGAAGTGAGAGTGCGAGGCGAAAAAAAAAAGTAGGTTGCCTGAGATTGCCGGCCTGAGGCAACAACAACGAAAGGTGACGACAGCGACTTCGGCACAAAGAGAAGTGGATAAAGGGCAGTTCCGCACAACAAAATGAAGCCCTTTGGCAACGAGGAACTCCCAAGTATATAGACGAGCGAAAGAGGAGAGAGAGAGAGACACCACAAAATATAAAATAAAAGGAAACCAGGTGGGAATCAAGTGGGATAAATTTGGCGATGCTTGAACTTGAAATACCACGGGGGAAATGATTTGTGTATGGGGAATTACGGAGTAATATTACCAAGGTCTAACCCAAGGGCTTTTTATTATTTCTAAATATTTCTAAAAATGATATAAGAAAAAAAAGGGGAAAAAAAGGGAGAAAAAAAAGGGAAAAAAGAAAGTGAAGAGAGCAAAAATGTGGGAACTGTAACGGTACAGGTTACTCCCCAAGATTATTAATGCAGGGCTTTTCTACGCGATTTCGGTCATGACTTATAGGGCTACATACTGCATACAACGGCGACTCCGGCGCTGTGAGACCCTTCTAGGCTGTCTGTACCACTCCCAGTACGAGATACTAGATCCTTCTCTGCTATATGCAAACTATGCCTACAACATATAGTGGCGCAGAAGAGAGAGAGCCGAAAAGGATACCCGTTCCGAGGCTCTTAGGTGAGAGATTTAACAGGTCCAGTCATGAAACATAGTAATCCAATCCGTAGTAATAGTCGAGTAATATGTAGTAACAGTAATCAATGGACTCCGTATAGGGCTTTTTTTAATTCTTTTTTTTTTTTTTTGGTGGGAACCCTGGAACTGGGTCCTCTCTCGAAGCGTCGTAAAGATTAAGCAATTCCACAATTCCACCTGGATGACCGGAATTACCATGACGTTACTGGAGTGACGTCTGTCATGATATTTGGATCTTCCGATATACAGAGAGAGAAATGGACCAATTCAAGAAATGCCTAGGATAGCTTTTGATAGTTCCGCCACCACATCCGAGGAGTGAGGCTGTGCAGACTGCACACTGAAAGACACTCGTGATTCGATCAGGCCCCGCACCAGCCAACTGCATCGTGTGGCGGTTGTACTATCCCGAGGTGGATTTCTATATGAGGGGTCCCTCTTCGTGATCCCTTTCATCCGTGTTGGGATCTTGGGTTGATCTTGGGAGAGATGGACATGGTGGGTATGCTTCCTTACTTGGTACGGTGGGAGAATTATCCTTCACATCAAGATCCATGACCCATGGAAGTACGCTGAATGGAAGTTGTTGAGGATCAGCCCATGCCTCTTTACGCCGTGCATACAATATAGAATGCCATAGTATGTCATTCATAGTCCGGGGCATGAAACCTTGCTAATCAAATTACCAGCAAATCCCAGTTCGCCAACGGGATAGTGTCTGTGAAAATCCTAAATCCCTTTCCAACCAATGGCCAGATTCCCCCGTTTATACCCGCACTCGCTCAGCTGGTCGTATCGACTCATCCCGAAAGCAAGATCCCTTGGCCAAATTCCTTTAGACACTAATCTCTGTCACTGCCGGACGATCGTTACTACGTAACAGGCCGTCAATCATGCACATCTCTCTATCGGGGTCATGGAGACCGCGTGGGGTCTCTGTGCGATGGAGTCACCCGCAGGATGTACTCCGTACAACGTACACAATGCTCTAGTACGCTATAGGGGAATACTTGGAATATCGACTAAGACTCGCTTTCCTTTTTAGCGTCATTTCACCAGATGACGGCATTTGAGACCGCAAGGTTCCTCCGCGCTCCTCACGCAGACCACAAAGCTCAATAGAACGACACCATAGCCCTCGGACATCTCAGCTTTCGCACAGCTTTCGGACCCTCAAATGCGCAATGGTCACTCGGGTCCAATTTCCTGATGTTCCTGATGTGGGGGGGGATCTCTGAACATTTACGGAGTAGTGTCTGGGATTTTCCAAATTAGTATGAGCTTCGCGCTTTAGGGGACTGTGTTTCGGAGCTAGTACGGAATTTTCCGTACTTTGTTGAGAATCGCAGGTTCAACTCCATCTTATTCAATGTTCATCTTACCCCGGATTCCTTTGGGTTTCCGAGTAAGCCCGTTTTGACCTCGGCACCGAACAGACCAGTAAGAAGAGAATAATCCTCCGTATACGGAGGAGAGTAAATAAACAACTCCGTCTCACATGTAAAGCAAAAACGGGATGTCCACTTTCTCACACAAGCTTCCGTATTGAGCGCTAACCTACGAGGGATTTTCACTCGCCAATCACTGCCCCCAGAGGAGACCATGTTAATTTCCCAGGTACAAGGGCCCCGTGTACCACGCGCATCAATATATACCAAGCCTTCTATATCAATGTTATATGCATCTACACCGAGGCATGTACTTCTACCCCCGGAGCACAGCTATCCTGATATTTCCCAATATTCGACATATCCTGTCCAGTTGTACGGAGTACAACTCCCGATAATCCCCTCTCACCAAACTACCCCTCTTCACTCCACTCCCCACTTCAATATCCCAATCATACAAACCCTCACATCCATGCCGGCAAAGGACTGCTGGAGAGGACTACACCCATGGATATATGGAGCGACTGATCATCGGCTCTGTACGTAACTTGTACTCCGTATATAAGATGTCAAAGCCACCATTTACTAACACTGGCCGCAACCCAAATTCCGATTCGAGCTGGCGCATGCTTGACCGCCAGTCTGCGGTTGCATCCGGGAAACACACACCAAAGAAGTGGTGGGATTGGTCGGCTTTGCATTGCGATATCTGCCTGTCTATCTGGCCGAAAATCAGATCCCCTGGATGGCTCGAGCTTGAGATAAGCTGTCGCATCATCTATGGTTGAAGCGCCCGTGCAAATCCCATGGCTACATAGACCCATGCAATAACTCTCGCCTTGACACGGGGTCTGTAGAACTATGAACTATGCACAGAACAGAGAGAGCTTGCTCGGATGAATGGGACGGGACAGTGCTTGTCTTTTGTTGGCACCTTTTTCGTGCGTATTTGTGGACGTACGTTGTACTAAACCTGGATGTAGAGACGTCTGTGCTTAGGCCAAGTCCTGCAGCATGGAGATGATCTGAGCTGAGAGCTGAGAGCTGCGTATCTCATTTGGAGGCTGCGTCGCAATATTGTTTCATCGATGCATCATGCTGTTTTCCCTTTCTTTCTGCGATAGGGGTCGTGCAAGCGACCCAACTGTTTGGCGTATGATCGATCTGGTCCCTCGATTCTCGAGTCGACAACATACAGCATTGTACTCCGTACATCTGTCGGATGATCGGGTCAGTGCCTGTATGCAGGAGCAGACGCACGAGCCACGCTGGGCCGATTTGGAAAACTGCCTCTTGGCGGTGCGCTCCTTGGCTATAGCTGCTCGGATTAAGAGTATCATTGGCGCTCTTGGCTTGGACCTAGGTCTTTTTCCACTGACGTTGGTGGTGGCTGCAGCATCTCTTTGATTTATTATCTATACCTCGGTTTTACTCTAACCAAACATCCCAGGGGTAATTTGTTATTGCAGTCGAAGTGAGTATATTGGGGTGAATATTGCGTTATACCAGCAGTATCATCGATACTTCCGACTCTTCCCGTTGGCATGGGTTCCATCGATTGGAATTCAACAGTAATAGACCAGTGTAGTCAGTACTCCTTGCTGATACATAGCGCCCAATGAAGAAAGCGGGCTATTCACGGGCCGACCCCCGGAGACCCTGCACCGGCGTTTTCCCGGCGTACAACGGGATAGCCCCGGGAATGCCACGTGGGAAGGAAACTGGTCTCATTGAGTGCCAGTCACACATGAAAAGGCGGTATGAGTGCCCCTGTCATTCTTGGCTGTGGGCCTGCGCTTTATTTGCTCCTCTCGTTTTTCGCCAGCTGTGCCGTTGCATGCAGATGGTCAGAGAAGAGCGTGCGTGATAAAGGGCGAGACTGTTGCGGTGAGCGCTCAATTGCAGCTATGCCATTATCACGCCCTTGAGATGCCCAATTCGTACGTGCTGACTTCCATTAGTCCCAGCATTACATAGACTATTGCCCCCCCTTCCTGTGGACTTGTTGGCACGAACCAACCTCACGGTTCCATGAGGCATGCATGGTGCGCAATCATGACAGAACTCGAGTCTGCTACCAGATCAGAATACAAGTCAATCATTAAAACAGCATGCTAGCACTACAATGCACGTACCACGAATTGCTCCAATGACTCCTCGAATAGTTCGTTGTTCACGCCCACGCCGCCGGGATGCTCGGTTGGAGAAAGGGGATTCTTGACCACTAATTCAACCAATTCGAGTCAGCAATGGTTCATTCCCCATTGAAAAGTTCAACGGGTCACACAAACCGTATTCCACAAACAGATTGATATATATCTGCTGCAGCGCAATACGCATGCTGGGACTCTTAAGGTCCGTCAGCATGACGAATTTAGTATTTGTCGGCGTTTCGTAGTAGTGAAGCTTGTACTGGCTGGTGGTGAACGACACAAAGCTAGTCCAGTTAGCCCCGGCTTCGCTAGTACACCCAAAAACCAGCAAGTATGTCTCGTCCGGCTCGTTCAAGGGGCAATCTCACTTGTCCTCTTCACCTCCTAGCTTGCGCACCATGTTTCGCAGGGAAAAGACTGTGCCAAACACCAGCTTGGAATCGTCATCCGTTGATCGCACTGTCTGGCCGAGTCCAGTTGGCGGTGCATCGGAGACTGTGTTAGAGCGGGACTTCCCCACGATCGAGGCTGGGCGCGGAAGCCAGCGGCGCTTGTAGATGCATTCCGCTGGAGCAACGTTAGTATATTAGAGCATGACAAGGGCTAGAGACAAATTACCGTGCCGATCAAAGATGTAGAATGAGTAGACGACCATTGTGTAGTGTGACTGATCCGAGCCGAGTAGTTGTTGATGTTCAGGGGAGTTGGTTGGCAGGCGGTGAAACTAGTGCCCGTATCGATAACAAATGCATATCAAAATGGAGCTGCCTAGAACTTGTTGGGTTGCCGATTCGACTGGACTCTTCTTTAATTATCTCTTGAGGCTTGATATTATTTGTGTGAATTGCTAGTGCCTGATCCTTGAGGGGGGCCTCGTAAGGCTGATCAGCCCGCATCTCACGTTATCAAAACCCCCGCTTCAACTTCCTTTTTACCCCACATCTTCGCTGCCAGCACTTGGTGGTCAGCGTAATTCGATGGATGAGAATGCTGAAGTCACTATGTCAGATCTCTCTGCAGGGCCGCCAGTTGATTCTTTGGACGGTATGAACGATGTGCGAACCCAGCCGAGCAAAGTTGCGTGAGTTTCAGGAAACACCCTATGGGAGATTGGTCTTCGTTGGGTACGATGCATTATGCTGACGCCCGATTTGGAACTAGGTCTACTCAATCTTATGACAGTCCTCAGAGACACCGAAGACGAAACCCAAGAGCAATGCGTCCGGTGAAGGTCGGTTTCTCAATGCCGTTGTGATAGCTTCGGAGAACTGATACTTTGGACTAGGAAACACTGGACGCCCGCTCCGAGTACTACACAAGTCGAGATGATGGAACTGCGGAACATCGCATCAATCAATATGTGATTAAGCAGGAGATCGGACGTGGATCGTTTGGAGCTGTCCACCTGGCTGCAGATCAGTTTGGCAACGAATATGTATGAACCCTACAAAATGTGCGCTCTCAGGTCATAGGAATCAGATATGCTAACCGCCATATAAATTATCTGTAACAGGCAGTCAAAGAATTCTCGAAATCAAGACTAAGGAAACGCGCACAGTCACATTTATTACGAAGACCGCGAGGTCCGATACGCCCCGGAACAGATTTCAATTCGCCGCTGCATCGACATCCTTCAGGCGATGATAACGAGACTGCACACAATCCTCTATATCTGATCAAAGAGGAGATTGCAATCATGAAAAAACTGAACCACCATAATTTGGTGTCATTGATTGAGGTCTTAGACGATCCAACGGAGGATTCGTTATACATGGTAATGGAAATGTGCAAAAAAGGTGTTGTCATGAAGGTTGGACTGGAAGAAAGGGCAGATCCGTATGATGACGAACAGTGTCGATGTTGGTTTCGCGATCTAATCTTGGGAATCGAATATTTGCATGCGCAGGGAATTGTCCATCGAGACATCAAACCAGACAACTGTCTGGTTACCAACGACGATATACTGAAGGTAGTCGACTTTGGTGTATCGGAGATGTTTGAAAAGAATTCCGACATGTTTACTGCCAAATCAGCTGGCTCACCAGCATTTCTCCCGCCAGAGTTGTGTGTTGCCAAACATGGTGATGTATCCGGAAAGGCAACCGATATCTGGTCTATGGGAGTAACACTCTATTGTCTGCGGTATGGAAGGTTGCCCTTTGAAAAGCAAAGCATCTTCGAGCTGTACGATAGTATCAGGGGAGATCCGCTGGTCTGTGAAGACGAGTCGGATGAGGGATTCAAAGATCTGATGAGGCGGATTCTCGAGAAAGACCCCGAAAAGCGCATCAATATGTTTGAGTTACGAGTAGGTCAAATCCTATCTATAATGTTCACCAATGCTAAATAGGCGCATCAGGAACACCCTTGGGTAACCAGAAATGGGACGGATCCTCTACTCTCATTTGAGGAGAATACGTCGCAGATTATTGAGCCCCCAACGGAGGAGGAGATGAATTCCGCCATTACTAAGAACATGAGCCATCTCATGACTGTGGTATGTTATAATTCCCCGTTACAAGGGAATACTCATTTACAAAGCCTGCAGATGAAAGCCGTCAAGAAATTCAAGAGACTCACAGATCCCACCAAACCACAAACTCCTATACAAAGCATTTTTGGTGGGAGTATCCTAGGCGGGGACAGCGAGGCTTACTTTGTCGAACCGCCAATGGAAATGGATCCAGATGAACCATTCCCAGCAGTGGGAGGGGAACAACAGGTACCTAACACTCATGGTCTGCGTGCGGGCATGCGCAAGGCCTTCGGCCGGCGTCCTTTTGCCGGGTTACGGAACCATTCCGGAGCATTCGGGTCGAGCGACTCGGCTAGTATTTCCTCTCGACCGGAGCATAGTCCTGGCAGCAGCCAAAGGCTCAGCGGCATGTTCGAGCCTGAGCGAAAAGACTCCGGCTCCATCCGCAGCGGGGAGTCCCCGGCCCAGCCGGATATCGGCAACGAGACTCCTTCCTACTCCCAATCTGCATCGCCTCAGATTTCCCTATCGCGCACAAGCTCAGCTACCACCAAGCGCAGCTTGGAGGGAACGAGGGGACATGCTCGCGATCCCTTAGAAGAAGAGTTCCCATACCTCTTCATTGGACCATCTACATATACCGGGTCCTCACACCAGGAACCTAGCAACATGGAAACAGGTAATGAGCCATCGTCTATGTTTGAAGAACCGGAGATCACAATGGATCGTTCCGACCAGATGAATGACGATGAACCGGTACAAATGGTCAGTGAGTCACCCGGTGCTGCAGATTTCAACATCTACGAGACGGCGTATAGGATGGAACTCGAGCGTATCAAACACAGTCTAAAGGACCGCGATACTGGCCCAAAGGTGTATCTTACTCGCCGCATCGAGAAGAATAGTGCTGAAGTGAGGAGACTGGCCAAAGAGAAGGCGCTGGATCTGCAGATTGGACAGCGATTTACCATATCATCCCCCAGAGCACCTACGGCTTTCGGGTCTGCAGTTAGTGCGCTGCGCTCGCAGATGCTAGAGAAGAGAAGAGCCGAGGAGGCAGAGGAACAGGGTAATGGAGATGGTAATGCAACAAAAGAGAATGGTGGCTCTGGGAATCAAGAACCTCATCCTCACCCACCAAAACGCATGTCGATTCCATCCCAGTCTATCCCCGAGCCTGAGCGGTCTTCTCTAGAGGCCACAGGTGTGTCGTCTACGGAGGGAGGCGGCGATTCCAAGGTACACCTACGCCGACTCCTTGATCGGGTTCGCAGTAAGACTGACAGTGTGGAGTGATATGGTGTGTTAAAGGGGGTTTCTGGGGACTAGGTGGTATTCTGGTTATAGAGATATCACCTTTTCATGATGATGGGAAGAACAAGCGCTCTCTCTAGTCCTTTTTTTCCCTTTCACTTTTTACTTGTCATGTTTCCAGTATATAAGCATATGCATATTATTCTCCTGTTTTGATTAATTCAGCATCGGAGTTGAACTCGAAAAGACTGGGTGTAACCCAAATTCTGCTTGTTTTTTTCTTCTTTTCTTTTCTTTCCTTCCTTGTATGCATTATAGATACATTTGTGTCCGCAGCTGAGGATGGATTAGGTATGTATGCAATTAGCTTGAGTTCTACGAAGGCTTGAAGTAAGCCTGAGCGTAGCTCATACCCTATGAGCTCGATTCATGGAGTTGTACAATGGCAAAAAGACCGGGCCTCGAAAGGCATGATACATGAGTCAGTGCCATATATCAGAACAAAGAATATGGACCAGAGGAAAAGGTTTGAGATTGAATACTCTAAATCATTATTAGCCGAGGCAAGGAATGTGAAACATAACCCCAGAAGGTGAGTCAGGATAGAAGAAGAATAAGATGGCCAAACGTCAAGGCCAAAATCCAGAACAAGCAAAATGTCATCAAAACCCAAAAATATAACAAGATAAAATACAGTAAGCCTTGAGCAAGAATCTCAAAGGCTCAAAGGACCGCCATCGCCATGCAGTAGCAATAGATATCATGCATCATCATCAAATGCATATTATGCTAGACATGGGGTTGAGCTGGACGGAGAAAGAAAGAGCAACAAGGTAGCAAGTAAGAGAAGGAGAAAATAAAAAAGATGCGAGGCATGGAGGGCATCAATTGGCGTAAACTTCTTATCTGGTCTTGAATCGTGGGGCTTGGGGTAGGCTTCACAATATTGAGTGTGTCGGGGAGACGAGTAGGAAGCAGGAGCAGAAGGAAAGCAATGGAAAGTCTCGCTTGCTTGAATTGAAGGGCAATGGTGCGATGCGATGCTTCAATCATAAGAAAAAATCGAATACCAAGAATATGAAAGCCGTTATCTTCATCGAACGTGGATAGCTCGTGGACGCATCAATGGATATATGAAGGTCACTGTCACAAAGAGGAAAGAGTAGAAACGCATTTCCCATCCCGTACCTATCTTATCGTAGGTATAGAGTACCTAGATAGACAGGCATACAAGCATAAAAAGGAGTGGATTGGCATGCATGAAGGAAGGGTGAAAGTCGAAGTGTCGAGGTGTGAAAGGGGTCGCTTGAAGAGCTTGGAGAAAAACCGCGCACAATAAACACAACACGAGAACGCTGTCTATTGCTCATCAATCGCTTGATCATTCATTCATGGCGCTTGGGCCGTAAAAAAACAGAAGGCTGAAATTGAAGTCGAAAGTTTAATCGAGACTGAGATTGAACTGGAAATGAAAATGAAAATGACGATATGAAAAAAAAGAAAATATCAAATCAATGATCATCGTGGAGGTTTCTCGGCTGGTGCCGTGTTCATTCGTCCTTCGGGGTATGGTCCTGGTGGCTGGTCGGGTCGACTAGTGACCGAGTCACGGCGACCACTCTCCGGCGGGGAAAACCGGTCTGCTGGGAAGTTGTAGGACCGTTCGGCCGGGTTGCTGAGTCGCCGGAAGGCATGTGAGGGACCTAATTGAAGGGCATGTGGTGAAGGAAGTGGATGTCCCATCTCTGTTAGCCGTGGTAGCTCACGCATGTTGCTGCTCATACGGGGTGGCATATCGCGGCGCTCATCGGCTGACGTGGGGCTGGGACCGGGTGGTGCAATCGCCGAACGCATGGCTGGGGTGTCATAGAGCATTGAGCCTGGCTTTGGTCCGTGGAAGACTTGGGGAACCGGCGGGAATGGAGTTGTCGATGGACCTGGGGCGGGGCTGGTCGGCGAAGGAGGAATTTTAAGTCTGCCAGACCCCGGTCGTCGAGGCGCAGGGTAGGTCTCACCACGAGATTCGGCTAGGAGCTTCCGCCGCTCGGTCTCTGCTTTGCTTGGTCGTCCTCGTTTGCGGCGTGGCTCGCTGGTGCCAGTGTCCAGTCTTGGGGAGAGCTGGGCTGATGCGCCGCTTTCGCTGCTGTACGAAGCGGTGCTCGCAGGTGGCCGGGGTTGAATTGCGCGAGGTAGCGGTTTGTCGGACGGATACAATGGCCGCTTGCGCATAGCGCTGGAGTCAATTGGGGCTGGTGGGCCGGTCATATCGGATCTCGGTGGAAACGGAGCCACTGGGTGCATTGGAGGGTGCGCGGACTGGTGGACCATATTGAGATAGGCCGCTTTGCACGAGCTGAGTGAACGGCCTTGACCGGGGCAGGTGTTAGCGCCACATTGTTATTGATCTGCAAAGCTTTTGCTCTGTTTTTCTTCTTCTTTCTTCTTTGGCCGGCAATTGGACGATAATACCTTGAGGGAGAGGAATATGCTCCCAGTTTGGGATGATTGCATGGTCATTAATCACGCGGACTAGATAGCTTGAAGAAACTCCAGCTTTCTTGAGGATCTCGGTGAGCAGAGTGTACTGGTGGTGGTCAGCATCAACTTCACATCCAGTTGCCACATGTTTTTCATACCTTGTCCTCCTCGGTCCACGGCCTATCAGATTGATTCGACATATCCAGACCATGGAAGCGGATTATAGCCGGCTTCCCTTTCCCCCGAAAAGAAAAGATATATGATTTCAAAGAGAACAAGAAAACAAAAAACAAAGAAAGCCTCCCAGAAGATGTTCCCGGAAAAAGAACCAGAGCGAACGACAGTCGTCAGGGTCGTGATACACAATTCAGACCAATTGATCCCTCATTTATGGCTGAGGTGGGAAGGCGAAGAGAGAGCGAGAAAATAAGAAAGAAATCAATCAAAAGACACGCGCCAGCAGAGAACGAGAGGAGGTCTCTTATGTCCCCATATCCTCCCACGCGGAGACGAAACAAAAGGGATGACAGAGAAAAACGAGCGATCTGACAATTGAAGGCCTTCTAGCCAAAGAAAATGGAAAAAGAGCAGTAGAATCAAACTCCATTCAAAAAATCCCCTAATCGATTTTTTTTTCTTGATTTTTTCTCCTAGGAAGTTTTTCTGGCCAAACGGACTTGAGCAGCCGGGATCGCGCAGGAGACCAGCGTTCGGGAGGAAAGCTGCAGGGACGATGCTTTCTGGAGAGTATTACAGTACAGGTAGAAGATATGTAAAGTACCAATACCCGATCAGTAGGAAGAAATGGATGTTTCAGCCGGAGCAGTTTCATCTTTTCCAGAAGAGTTTCGAAGAACGAGCAGGGCAAAATTACCACTAACAAGACCGGGAAGCGGGGAGAGTCTGAATTTCTGATTCCTCCAAAAGTACGATCGAGGGGTTGAATTGAGTGGGGGCTGCATCGAACAGATGGTCTTTTGCATATGTCGAAATTGGGAAGCCTAAATGGAGTTGGATACGGAGTATACTCCATGCATTGGCTTAGCTTCAGAGTTGCATCGTTGGTTCGGGAAACGGTTGGCCCTGGCAGTTCCAGAACCAAGGGACAGTTGAGAAAGCGTTATTTCTTGTTTCTGGTAATTTCTTGTTTCTTATTTTTTTCCCTCTCCCGTTTTAGTGGACTTAGTGCCATAATTTTGGTTTCGTCCTTTCTTCTCCGGTAAACAGTAGAATCGTGGATCCCAGGATGGATGCTGATAGGTAAAAGCATTGCCCCGGGAGGTTGGGTCGCCTGTGAAAGACAGTGATTTTGTTTGAAGCTAGCCTCAAGGGCGGTTAGGGTGGGTGATCGTAAAGAAAAAAAGCGCGTCTGTCATGCAGCGGGTGGTCCTGATGAAAATGGACCAGAACGATTGGCAGAGACGAGCCGGGTGGAGAGGGAACTCCGCCGAGGTGCAGCCATGAGGTTCAAGTGGTAAAATACCAGTATTCGGATAGGAAAGATGGAGAGGATAGGAAGAGCAACCAAGTACAGAACAGAAGTACGAGGAGAGAAAGAAAGAGAGAGAGAGAGGAAGAGATATCCCAACCCATGGAACCAGCAGTGACAGCCTGAGGCATGATATCGCGTAACCCTAATTGTACCGTCGACCTATCGTTTGTATGTTGTAGTTAGCAATTTGACAGATTATACTCCGTACTCCGTACCTGTAATCTGATTAATTAAATTAATCTCTGGAGATAATATACACAGCTGTTTGATTGTAACGCACAGACGTAAAGTTTGATCCACGTTGATGCAGAACAACACATGCAGACGCGCTTTTGCTTTGATTCCTCCTCATCCAATCGATTTCCCGCCACTCCATCCAACATTCAGACCTCTGTCGCATCTAATATCTACAGGTATGTTGACAGTAGCAATGTAGGTATGCTGCTCTGCAGCCTGGCTCTGCCTTACACTCTTATCTGAGGCCCCTTTTCCGCAGGCTGTTCTCTCATGTTCGCTGACTTTGGAAAACGAACCCCCCCTTTTCTCCCTAAGGGCCTCACAGACTTCAAACCATGGTGATAGGCTTGAATGTCCTTCGAACGTTCGAAGGCTAATAGTTCTGGTCTATCAACAGGGATTGAAGACTGAATTCCCTGCACAATGTTGGAACAGTCCGGAATCACATTTCATGATTCAACCGACGCCCAGGGATATAGATGTTAAACATACTGAGGATGAGAAGCCCTGCCTCAGCGATGATTGCCCCCGAGTGTATATACCTAAGAGAAAGAAAAAAAAAGGTATGCTCGGCTTGGCGCGTTGAGCAAATCGACGCGATTTCCTCGAGACCTATGGAGTATACACTCCAATGAGACAAATGGGACTAGGCTCAAGGCGGTGAGAGAAACGCGAAATAACAATAGCTTCGATTTGCGTCAAATTAGGAGATTTTAATCAATGAGATTGTTCTTACCTTTACCGCTCTGGGCCCCTTGATTCCCTCGGGAGGCAGAATCCCCAACTTCGCGAACATTGTATTCTGCTTTTTCTCTTACTCTCTCTTCTTCCCCATATCTCCATCGTAGTCCGTGTCGTCATGTCTTCTCATGACCACGCGGACTCTGAATCTGAGATTGCGGTCAAAATGGAATCTCGCGATGCGTCAAACGGCAATCACTTGAGAAACGGCGAGTCGCGTACCTCCTCTCGATCTCCTCTACCTCCCAAGCAGGAGGTCTCTCCCAACTCCGATGCATCCAGCGCAATGAAGCCAACCCGCGGTGACATTCTTCTGAAGCAAGAGCCGGGCCAACCGGCCAAGCTATCTCGGAGCTCATCGCAGAAGGTTGCGTCGCGCCCCCCGCCACTGTACACGCACCTGCCGGACAGCACCCAAGATGCGCTCGCGACCTTCGAGCAGATCCCCGGCTGCATATACGCCAACAAATACATGGGATACACTGAACATGCCATGGAATGTGATTGCGCTGAAGAGTGGGGTAAGTTTGCTTTTACTTAGATTGCTTCGGTGTCTTCTGGCCCAATCTCCCACGGGAAAGGATCTAAGCTCCCTCACCTTGGCATATTTGAAGTTTCGCAAGGCCATCGCTGATCCATCGTATAGACCAGAAAATTGGCCGAAATATCGCATGCGGCGAGGACTCGGATTGTATCAACCGCGCGACCAAGATCGAATGTGCGGGCGACTGCGGCTGCGGCGCCGACTGTCAGAATCAGCGATTTCAGAAAAAGCAATTTGCACCTGTTTCTGTTATCAAAACAGAGAAGAAGGGGTTCGGATTGCGCGCAGAAACGAATCTCGACCCCGGAGAATTAATTTACGAATATGTCGGCGAGGTCGTGGGAGAGGCCCAATTCCGGAAGCGCATGAGGCAATACGACGATGAAGGCATCAAGCACTTCTACTTCATGTCTTTGAATAAAGGCGAGTTTGTCGATGCGACTAAAAGAGGCAACCTGGGGCGATTCTGTAATCACTCGTGCAATCCCAACTGCTATGTGGACAAATGGGTTGTTGGTGAGAAGCTGCGCATGGGAATCTTCGCTGAACGTGCCATCCAGGCCGGCGAAGAGCTGGTCTTCAATTACAACGTTGATCGATACGGTGCTGATCCCCAGCCTTGCTATTGTGGAGAGCCCATGTGTACAGGTTTCATCGGTGGACGTACTCAGACTGAGCGGGCAACCAAGCTGTCAAATGCAACCATTGAAGCTCTTGGTATTGATGAGGCCGATGGCTGGGATACTGTGGTGGCGAAACGTCCCAAGAAGAAGAAGATGGAAGAGGATGACGAGGAGTACGTGGACAGCGTGCAGCCTAAGTCGCTAGATGAAGACGGTGTGACCAAGGTCATGGCAGCTCTCGTGCAGTGTCAGGAGAAGTGGATTGCAGTTAAACTGCTAGGTCGTATCCAGCGCTGCGATGATGAACGCGTTCGCAATCGTGTGATCAGGATGCACGGATACCAGATTCTGAACTCCCAGCTGGCTCAATGGAAAGAAGACCAGAACGTGGTCCTGCAGATCATGAACATCCTGGACGGATTCCCACGACTCACTCGGAACAAAATCCAGGACTCGAAAATCGAGGCGAACATTCAGCCATTGACTAAGTGTGATGATGAGCGCGTCGCAAAGAAAGCAGTTGCTCTGCTTGAGAGCTGGGCAGGTCTTGAAGTTGCTTACCGAATTCCGCGCATGAAACGCGGCAAAGATGCAAAGCAGGCGGTCAATCAGTTCGAACGCCGTGAGACTGGACGCGAGCGATCTCGGACTCGCTCTCCTTCTCCCGTGTACGATGCTCCACGCGCACCAGCAATGCAACGAAGGGACCGAGGTCCTCAGCGAGCGAGACAACAAAACCGTCGTGGTCTTCGCCCGTTGCCCGAGGGATGGTACACTGCAGAAGCCGATGGCCGCGTTTATTACTACTCTGCGTCAGGCAAAACCACATGGGAGCGACCTACCTTGCCTGCGACTCCCGCTACTCCTGCCACTGGCCAGCCTGCCAGGAATCAACAAAGCAATTTGGCATTGCAAAGCATCATTGATGGGATCATGAACACCCAGGAGGACACCCCTTCTGAGCACCGGGCCGATACACCTTTGACTCCTCAACCTTCCACCGATCAGCCAGATAAAAGGCAGAAGGATGGAGAGAAGTGGAGAAAACTTCCCCTGGACAAACAGAAGAGGATCTATGAGAACACTGTGAGCTCTTAAGCAACGCATGGAAAATATGGTCGGACTAACATACCGCAGCTCTTCCCATTCATCAAGCCCGTGGTTGATCAGTACAAACACAAGATTCCCGACCATCATTTGAAGCGATTCGCGAAGGAGGTAAGACGAAATCCCCTCACTTCCAATTCTCTTTCCCGTAGCATGTGAATATGCTAACTTTTTGAACCCATCGATAGATCGCAAAGAAACTCGTTGAAAGCGATTACAAAAAGAATCGCGTCTCGGATCCCACCGCGAAGATCCCCACAAAGCACCAGCAAACTGTGAAGAACTACTGCAAGACCTTTTTCCGCAAGGCCGCAGCCAAATACGTTGCTCGCGAAAAGCTCGAGGCCGAGAAGTCGCAATCACAAGGCGCCGACCCGACTCCTGGAGACGAACTTCCCGATCCCGGTTCGACGAAAGTTTCCGACGACGAAGTCGATGTTCTCGCGCGCGACCCCGCCAGTTCGCCGCTGCAAGATGATGACGCCGCGTCTCTCAAGCGCAAGCGGAGCAAGAGCTTGGGTCTTGACACCGGTGGCGACGGAGCGAGCTCTCCCGCCAAGCAGCAGAAGTCTACTCCCCCGCCGCCTCCGCCGCCTCCCCCTCCGGCTGAGAACCCCATGCACGACGATGCCGACGGCGATACCAGCATGGGCAACGCCGGCGATGACCCGTCTCCCCCGCCGCCGAAAGACGGCACCAGCGTCAACGGCGACGTCAACATGGAGACGGATACGTAACGAGCCAAAGGGGCAACTTACCAAAGGCGTAAGCAACTTTTAGCGGTTTGTCTTCTTTTTGTCCTTGTGCGTTAATACCCAAAAGCGAGTGAGGGCGCGAGAATCTTGAGAAGAAAAGGGGGAGGGTGATCTGAGATTGATATCTCAGCAGCCTAAATTATCTTTACTTCTAACGTGTTGTTTTGTGCCTTTCTTTTTATCCTTTTTTTTTTCTTTGTCTTGCTTTGTATTTGTTGAAATACCCTGGGCTATATGGTGCCCTATGCCGCTATCATACATAGTTTACATCAATCCAGCCTGTGTTGAGCTGTGGATCTCTTATATTCTTGGATCTTGATTTACCATATGTACGTGTATATGCATGGATGTGAATTAGAAGAGTAATCACTGAACATTGGATCTATTATGGTTGGACAAACAGAGCTATGGAGTCTGCAGGTACAAGGAGTTGACCCAACAGACCAGGTTAAGATCAGGTCTATCAGGATGGATATTATCAAGTGTCAACATCTAGATCTTGATTTTCAATGCTACTACAGATTCCATCCATCATGCATGATTCATTCGAGTAGATGCAAGCGTGAGCATTACAGACTCCCAAAGAAAAACCCATCAGACCGAACAGAACAGGAGCACAGAGCCGAACAGAAAAAAAAATACCAGTACTTTCAATCAAAAAATCATTCCAGCGTGAAAATAAGAACAGGATCATGTACCATGAAGAGCTCACCACAGTGCAATCTAAAAGACCAATCTAATAGAAACTCTCCACAATACTATCCTTATTAACACCAGCCCCGGCACCACCGGGTGCCATCTCGCCAAGTCTGAACACGGACTCAACAACGCTCAGCTCGGTGGCTGTGGTGTCCAGACCGGTGATAGCGAGCCAGTCGTTGACGACCATACCGGCACCGACGACTGGGGAGCCACGGTTGACGGAGCCAGCAACGAGAGGCACTTGCAGAAGCGAGGACAGCTCGTCCTGGTCACGGATTGAGGTCTTGGGGTGCACAATTCCACCTTGGTTTGAGAGGGCCATGTAAGAACCTGTGAGGACGTTGTCGGCAACTGTTTGGCGGAAGACTTCTACGCCAAGGACATCGGCGATGCTGTGGAAAGATGAATGTCAGTTTCGGAGAGGAAAAAAATAGAAAAAGCTTAGCTAGAGGTATTCGGTCCAAGCATGGAACGCTGGATGGTACTCACATCTCTTCAGTCTCGCGCTCCAGATCGGGGTGCACGATTGCAACATGATCGTTACAGCAGATGACATTTCCAAGCGCGGAAAGGCGCTCTTCTATGCGTTGGATTTTTACTTCATCCGGAAGCGTGTTGCGCAGGTGTTGCAATTCTTGATCTGTGGTTGTGGTGGGAACAAGGAGACCTTTGCGGTTACTGAATGCGAGTATTAGCAGTTGGTTTTTTTCTTTTTTTTCCCCTTCATGTTTCCTTTTTTGGAAGAAAAGGCTGTTCATTTAGAACTGGCCGTGTCCAACTCACCCGACGATCAGACGACCAACAATGCGGGTTCCAGCGATAGTTGCGTGGCAGATGGGAATGACATCTTGGAGTTCGGATTCGAAGACACTAAGGTTAGGTGTGAGCTGAGTTCTTGGTTAGATTGGGGTAGAGGGCAAGAGTTGAGATTTGAGATTTGAGATGGTACGACGAGAGCAACGGCATCCTCGAGCGCACAGCATATCTTCCAATACCATTCTCAGTTCTCAACCCAACAGCCCCTAATCAACGCACCTGTAGAAGTTCTCGGAAGCACCAACTGCAACGATCGCGTAGGCATTGGTCAGGCAAGAGAAAACGCCGACCCTAGATGGAAACCGTCAGTCTTTCAACCCTTGCTTGATCTTGCATATATGCCACTCACTCATTTGAGTTCTCGAACTGCGCGCGAACAGCCATGATGCTCAGATTATCAGAAGACGTGCAAAGAGCAGAGTTATGTTGGAAGGAAAAAGGTTTGCGGTGAGCGGGGCGGGGTCGAGAGAGCAGCGCGGGGCAGAAGCAACAGAAACAGCAACTCAGATCGGTCTTCGGAAATCTCGAAACTCTTGGATTTGCAGAAGAAATGCCGAGAGATAAATAATTACAGAGGCGTGCGATTCAACTGAAAAAAGATCAAAAGCTCGGGCCAATCAGAATCTCGCCTGCGTTGGCCCCGCCGGAGCCGCAGAGGCGAGTTTGGTGGGTTGCTATTATGTACTGCTACTTGTTTTTCTATGGTAATCAATACGGAAATACATGTACTGCTACCCCATGTCAACTGACTCATTCTGTCTCATCCTGACAATGATTCATTCTGCGACATCGAGACTTGGTCAGTCCACGTCTCTCATATCCACACTGCGTTGTTCATGCAGAGCCACGAGCCCAAGGTCAGAAGACTTGGCAATCGGATATTTCATCTGGCGCCTGCTGCGAGTCAACCCTCGTCATCCTGCGTCGCTGCACATGCCTCTATACTTCCAAGCGCATGCATGAAATCTACACCTGGATTGCACTTGGATAGGGGAGCCCTCGAGACGATTTGCCATGTCTCGCCTGTTCCTTTATTTTTTTGCCTTTCAATTGACATACATGGTCCTCTATCTCTGTTGAAATATCAACCGTGCCAGATACAGAAACCGCTTTGAGAGATCTATACAGATCAGAATGCTCAACAGGCATGATTCTCAATTGCCACCTTCACGACATCCACAGCCTTACCTCCAAAGCCATAAGTACAAAGGCAAAGAGATAGTTCACGCAAATGCATCTTCAACCGTGCTCGCAACTTAACCTTGACCATTATGAAAGCCTGGGAGTATAGATCTCGATTTGATGCTACACAACTTCGTATAGAAGTCTTCGGTACGTTAGTAAAGACCTTCCTCTCCAATGTCCAATAACTTCCTCTACATTCAACATATCACCATGAGGATCCATTGGTCACCCCCTATCCCTCTCACCCCAAGTCTACCACGACAAATATCTATCGACCCGTCTTCTCAGCGGAGCTAAGTCATTCTCTAAAGGAATTTGGGTAGTACATCTGCAATACCGAGTCCAAACTCAGCGCGACTGCGTAGATCGTGGTAGAGTACACCACCTGGACCATAGCAAGCCCGTCATTCAATGCAGACACTCGTCATGCAAAACAATTCTCCCAATCCAATCCAGCATTAATACCAAAATCCCACGAGCATGCTCCTCTGGTCTATATGTTTGGATCTAGAAGGTCGTTCCGGGCCTTTGCTTCAACTACCATGTGGATAGCGGGTCTGTGGCTCCGGTAATCTTCGGTCGCTGCCCATGCTTTCGTTCGTTTCGCGGGGGTAGGGATATATGGCCATGTAAATTCGGCTTGTGGTGAAGGTATCGGCTGGATGAGAAGAATTGCGATATGACAGGTCGTAGACCCGGGCTACGTTAGTAGTATGTATGACCAGATCGAAGCCGACAGATGTGCTCGGCACCTGGTGATTGTCTTTTGTAGATCATTTGACGGTCTCTTTGGCATTAGTAAGACAGTAAAGGTTCCATGCCGTTATGTTGGAACATCTATGTTTCTGGGTGAAGGGAGAAAGCAAAGTCCCCGACTGTGGTGTGGAGGTACTTTGATCCCGGTGTCAATTCCGACTGGTCGAAAGCATACATGTACATATCGGGGTGTTTTGTTCAGTTGTGCTGTAGCTCGATTTACAAGGGGATTGAGACCTTGCCACATGGAGGTGCTTTATTTAGATGGCTCTTGCCGATCTGTGTACTTTGCTGTTCACTTGCAATTTGATGGTATTGAATGCATCCTCAATTTTATTTTACTTTCACATCATATCAAGTCCATTTCACCTATTTTTTTGAGAGGTATTCACTTTGTCTTCACACAGACAGTCATTACATGCTACTCAGGTACTTTTACTACAGAAACAAATTTAACAGAAAATCAATTTCATTCCTGATGCCCTCCCCACCCCTATCCCCACTCGGGGGGGAAGGGCATCGACTGTACAAAAAAGTATTGGTATCAACTCGGGGAAACGCTACACAAACAGAAAGCCGGCCGGTCTAATACCGGCGCGGCGGGGGCGGAGGGTGCGAGCCTGGCGGCGGCGGAAAGTACAAGGAGGGCGCGTGGCCCTGGGGCATGTAGCCCGGCAGAGGAAGACGCGCGAAGTTCGAGCCCGGGGGTGGGGGCAGTTGCGGGGGGCCGTTCATGGCGAACGGATCCGGCAGACCCAACCCCAGACCCAGCTGCTGGCGCGCGGGAAGAAGGCGTCGCGGCTGCTGGGTCGGGGTGGGCCGCGGGAGGATGAAAGGAGGAAGGCCCCCCGTGTGGGCGTGGGAGGGCTGGGGGAGGAGCGCACGGTGGTGGGTGCTCGGGTCGGTGCGCATCATGGGGAGATGTGGGGGCAGGGGCTCCAGGGCCGCATCTGCCAGGATGGAGAGAGCCCGTGGGTGCACGGGAACCTCAGCAGCACCATCGTAGCTCACGAATTTGCCGGCTGATTCTTGTTCGTACATGTAGTTTGCGGCGTGGATGATGCTGGTGAAGGCTCCCTTGGCACAAATGCGCAGGGCATCTTCATCGGTAATTTCTGTTGGCGCAATCTCCTCATTCAAGCGTCCCATGCGTACTCGTTGGACGAAGTCATCCCAGCCCTCCTTCGCTGCCACAAAATCAACTGCCCCTTCCGGGTCTCGAACTGTTTCCGCGGTGAATCCACGCTCCACCTGTCTAACCGCCGTCTCGCCATCTCGGAACATGAACTGCTTCACGGATTGCTCTGAATCCGATGTATCATACTGGAGACTGGTTAGCTGTGGTTGCGTTTTGGGATGTCATTCAAGTACTTACCTCAGTGTGCTCATCGTCTTCTGCCACTCTGCGCCCTTGGATCAATGCCATCATCTTTCCCATGAGCATGGTGAGTGTTTCCTCCTGAAGTTCCTCAATGAGATGCTGTTTCTGAATGTTAGTATCATTCAATGCCAAAGAACTTGGATCTAAACTTACCATTGTTGTATCTTTGAGGATGTGGAGTTCACCATCTCGCTTCCGAACCGCCAGTGCATGGTCGGCTTCGTACTGGGCGTGCAGTTTGTCGATTGCCTTCTGTTGGTACCTATCCAGATCCCGCTGGATTTGAGTGAATTCAGGACAATCTTTGTGTGCATTTTTATCGCGTGCAATCTTGTGCATCGACTGTTCGGCCATGAAACTCAACGCAATCTGCTGAGCCTGACCAACTTTTTTAAAGAGCGCGGCCATTTCCTCCTGGCGGCTCTTGGTGGGCAATGATTCCGGGGTAGGTGATGGAGTGCGGCCACGCCAATTCTCGGCGACGTCCCAAATCTCGTCTTCAATTTTCTTGCCGCCGCGTTTGGCATTGGCGGCCTTACCACGACCGCGGCCTCGGCCACCTCGAGTCTTCGTAACTGCTGCAGGTCGAACTGGGCCGACGAAACCACCGCGACCACCGCGACCACGGCCCCGTCCACGGCCCCGACCTCGGCCTCCACGGGCTCCACGGCCTCCACGGCCTCCTCGAACAGAGGGGATGTAAGCAGGGTTGTCAAATTCTTCAGAGGGGACAGGGATGTCCTCGGGAGATGTTTCATTCTGTGTGTCCATGTCTGTGCCATTTTGCAAATGGCTCTCAGGGGTTCCTTCATGTTCAGTCTCTTCAATTCGCAGCTTTTTGTTCAGAACATCCTCGGAATCATAATCCGGGGATTCATCTTGTGTTCCCAGTGACTTCCGCTTGCGCATGGTTCGAGGCGAAGACACGGCGCTGAATGGCGCTTCTTCAAATGCAGCAATGGTTGGGCTTTGACTGATAGGAGTCTCTCCAACCTTTGTTTCGGTTGGCTCGGAAATATCGTTTTTGGTGATTTCGATTCCATCGGCCATGCCCTCGGCAGGCTCGATTTGGGTGCCCCCAGGCGACACTGGGGCCGAAGCAATAATGCGAGGTTGGGGGGATTGGGAGGTCTTTTGGAAAGGAGTTTGAGACTTGAAGTCCTCATCGTAATGAGAATCGTCCATGTCGTCATCTAGCTGGCTGGCTTCGGTATCAACGACCTTGGTTGGGGAGACGTCTTCTTCGAAAACACCATTTTCGCCGGGCTTTAGTCTTGCTGATTGCCGCGTAGTCCGCGAAGACTCAGGAACAGTCCGGGGATGCCGGGGACGTCGAGTGCGAGGGGTCTCTGGTTGCGAGACGGCACTGGGTTCGTTTTCATGTTCATGTTCATGTTCATGATCATGATCCTCATGCGGGATGTCATCGAGATCTTCTTCATCAGCATCGACGTACTGGAGCAGTTTCTCTGCAGGAACTTTAAGTTTGATGATGCGCGAGCGAACTTCTGTGCCCGGCGATTCAAAGCTCGGAAGACGGCCAGGAAGACTGGCACGGCCACGGCCGCGACCTCGTCCTCGACCACGACCTCTCCCGCGGGTAGCAGCGGGAGCTAGAACTGGATCTATACATGGGGTCAGACATTGGACCGAAAGGAGTGGGATGAACCTACCTTGAGCTGCGCGGCCAGATCGCGTAGAAATACTAGGAGTACGAGTGGCAGGCTGTGCAGCCGCACGATTTTTTTTAACTCTTCCCACCATCGCTGTTGTCTTTGGAAAAAGCCAGTGTTAGTGGGAAAATCGATCCAGTCACAGCAAGGGGTGTGGAGAGCAACACGGGTAGGGGAAATCAGGGAAGATTGGGGGAAAATTGAATCAGTAGATCGGACGTAGGATGCAATGGAAGGGGGGATGGAATCGAGACTTGGAAGCCAACACCGTGTGCGGCTTCAAAGAAAAGAAAAATAAGGAAGACAGTAAGTCCAAACGGCTTTTAGAAAGGAAAAAAAAAAAAAAAAGGTACAAAGTCGCGAGTTTGCTAATGCAGAATGCGAATGCAAAAGGAAACGTCACTGGCAGTAGACAAAATGGCAAAGGCTTGGCAGCACAAGAGAGAAGTATGACCAGACCGGATAGAGACCATAGCACACAATCCCAGATGAAAAGAATCGAAAGGACCAAAGGCGCAAAGGCGCAAAAGCGCAAAGGCCAAGGGACAGGGATTTTTGAGGCTGCGCGCCAGGCCAAACAAGATACGAGACAGGGTAGAAGTGTGGGGGAATTGGAAGGGGGAAGGGAGAAGAAGGAAAAAAAAGCCAGAGCCAAAGAACCGACTTACCAAGCGATGGGGGATGGGAGAGCAGATGAAGGCGTAGACCGAAGTAGAGAATAGAAGAGATCTACTCCGTCCTGCAGGATGTGACCGGGTGGATGGGGAACACGAGAGGTAAAAAAAAGAAGAAAACGAAATCCAACGCCAGAAAGCAGGGTGTTGGATGATGTGTAGATGAAGAGCAGGACGTTCAGGACATTCAGGATGTTCAGGATGTTCAGGATGTCCAGGACTGTAGATGTAGGAGAAAAAGGAAAGTTGAAAAGAAGAAGGGAAAAGGGAAAGGGAAAAGGCCAAAACAGTCGGATTATGTAGAGCACCTGGCTCTCTTTCTCCTCTCCCCAACCCTATACCAGGCTTTGATTGTCGATTCAATAGCGATGCTGGATTGCCCACTTGTCAATTGTCGGATTGTTCACGCTGATTCTGCTCCATTGCCTCCATTGGTGCTCGGGGACTTTTCCGTGACTCGGCTGAGGCTCGGGACGCCAACAATAGAGGCCTTTCAGCCCTGAATCGGATTCACAGAGCGGACTCAATAGCTACAATCCTCCCTATCTCGGTGTACGGAGGACAATACGACTACGGAGGACAATCTATAGAGCCCTATACTGTAGATTCCCACTTGGTATCTCTGATCCCCAGCCACTTCCGGCACACAAATACCGGAGCTTCTGGCCCCGTGAATGGAGCGCGATTGATATTCAGAGTATTGTCAGATCGCTGAGACTCTCTGCATTGCTGCCTTCCATACAACTCTCTTGAAAGAACCGATTGTGCGCACGCTTCTCCTTTTTTTTTTTTCTCCCAATATATCTACAGAAAAATATACGACCCACTTAGTCGGGTTGGGGACGGATGCGGCCATGTCGCAGCGCAAGGAGCCAAGTTGCCCTGGAAATGGACTTTTCTGTTCGGCCATACTACCTTGGTGGAATCCACTGGTCTCAATCACTGGCTTTTGGCGAGCTGTGACTCCTTCGTACTGTCGTTGTACAAGTTGGCGGACGGAACTAGAATTAATCGGCCATTTATGCCTCAGTTCGTGGTGGCATACAGCGAGATGCCTCCAATGGCCTGGGAATCCCATGAGCTCCAGAGAATCGGAGAGACTCGACATAGCCCACACTACCATGTGCTCTCCTCTGATCGCCGGAGAGAGAAGCACAGGCCTACCCGCAGAATGCCGACTTAAGTATACCCAATGGCCAGTTTGGCCGGGGTTCCGACCACGAGAATCGCCTTCATAGATGCATCTAGGAACAATGATTATGTTGAGAACGTCGAAAGATCACATCGTGGAGGATCTAGGTACCAAAAAAAACACGAAAAATTAAAAATGGTAATTGATGTCACATTGCACTTCGATATATACTTCCAACCATTGAGTACATGCAGAGGCAACTGGAATTCGTGTCAAAACAAAAATACAACCCCAATTATACCACCCGGCCATTCCAGGGTATTTACATCAGGTATAAACATCCGTCATATACAAGCAAAACGCATACAAAAAGACAAAATAAAAAAAGGGGAACACAAGGAAAAACATCGCAAGTCATGTAATGTAGGTCAGGATGTACCCGAGGTAGATCAATCACTTTTCATAAGGGGATTCGTTCAAGTCATATTTCTTCTCCGGCAGCAATTGCGTAAAGCTGCCTCGAGCCTGGTTGCCTCGCCCCTGGCTCTCATTCACCTCCAAACCCCCGGGCAATGGGGAAGGCGTGCGCATGTTCTGGTCGCGGAGCGAGCGGGCAGATCTCATGCGGGTGAGCGTTCCCGCTTGGATGGTTTGTCCCGCGCTTGGTGAAGCCTTGACGATGGTACCAGGGGTGAAAGTTGGAGAAGGGCAGGGGCTTGTTGAGCGGAAAAGAGGGTGGATATTGTTCTCGCTGAAGGGATTGTATTCCCACGTTGCGCTATTGGAGGCTGACTGGGTTGGAGAGTCAAGATGAAGCGTTGAAGCGGAAGTAGTTGGGGAGGGCATTGGTGGTTGTACCAAGCTATCTAATGAGAGTGCGGTTGGTGAATTGCGGCGCATACTGGGCATGCTGCGAATGCTGTTGGCGCCCCGGAGGAGGGAACGAGTATCCCGGTCTGGGAGAGTATCGGTTCTATCCCTTGTCAGGGATGGAGTGGGTGAGTTGCGGGTTGATGAACTTGTATCAATCGAGGTGTTTTTCTCTTCTTTCGTGCTTGAAGGGCAAAGAGTGGCATCTGAGTAGCGGCTGGACCGTCGAGGGAATTTGCGGAGAGAGGATCTTTTTGGTTCGAATAGCTCTGATAAATCGCATACTCGAGGAGCAGATGGGAGAGGACTCGGGCTTTTAGAGATATTATTGAGCTCTTGGGGATAGGCTTGCGGCCATTTGGGATTGGACTTTTCCTCTGCTAGTGTCAAGGCGAGGAACCCGCAGTACACGCCTTGCGTGAATACTGACAGCGCCCAAAAAACAGAGCGGACGACGAAAACGGAGCCCTGAGGACTCATTGCCATTGCTCCCGCAGATGCTCCGGCGGCAAGGAGTAGGTAACCGCCGGTGAAGTAAATCCATTGTAGACGGCCAGTTTGGATGTTCTTATGGTGCAGCAGACCAAGGGCAATCAAGGCCACGCAGCTCACTGCACTCAAAACGATTGAAGCCACATCTGGCGATGCTTTTGAATAGGCATAGCAGACACCGTTGAGAACAGTGGCAATCAACGTTAAGAGCAATGAGGCTGCCGCCAATGAGTAGGATAAGGAGGACATGGCGAAGATAGAACAAAAGAAAGACTTGGCGCAAAGAATGGCCTGCAAGTATAGAAAAAGAGAGTAAGAGAGTGTCTGAGAATGTCAACTGTTGGCAGACTGCCAATCCAAGACGTTCACCAATGCACGCAATGAGTTTGAGAAATCTGCGGAATCACTGAGAAGGGACATGTCAGTATTTATGAGCTGGCACGCGTGGATGCAGAAGAGGGTTCGCGACACGGAACGGGGCGATGCACATCGCAGCGTGGCTCAAAGTATATCGATCGGGGAAGCAGTTCATCGCAACCTGTCAATTTTCCCAAAACAGATCGGTCTGATCCATCCACCCAGCATGATGGTTAAGAGTATGTAGATGGGACTGGACCAGGCAAGGATCGCATTCATTGGCTGCGGAAGAGGGATCCCGTCACTGGAGCTGCATAGTGGGACCGGATATTGACAAATGTCGAGCTCGCAGCAATTGGAGGCGAAGTTATGGTGCCTGACTCCGGGGTAGGGCACTGGAAGCCCAGACCGGACCTGCAGAGTACGAATCCGATAGTTCGGTCAAAGTCACTCACAATGACACTATCTATCTGACCCATCATTCGGTTGTGGATGCGAGCATTCGGTAAAGGTGGCAGATCCTCCCTCCCTATCCCAATAGCGCGGTTCCAATGTGATGTATCCATCTCCTTAGGGACAAAAAAAGCTCCGCGCTTCCCTGGATGCTTCGGCTGGACCGATCTGGGCTAGGCATAGCGTCAGTCCTGGCAAGTTTGAAGCAGATTCTATAGAATATATAGATCGATAGATACTCCTTGACGGGATATCGTGACCTGTCCTGCAGGAATATAGTGTCCAGGTTGGCGGATCATCTAGAAGATCTGTCAATGCAATTCGACAACCAATCTGGGAGAATGGAATTAATAAAATATGCCAGAATGAATGGATAGATTTGTGGTTTCTGCTGATTTCTCATATGTAATAATGTTCCTTTTTTTTTCTGTTGCTTTCTCTGAGTGGATACAGTGTGTGCGATGTGCTCCGTACTCCGTACAACGTACTCCGTACACGTCCGTGCTACTACTACTCCGTACGGAGTACTCCGTAGGGGGTGCAATAATGGCCCCTCGAACTCCAGGGCTGTTATATAGGCTTGGTCCAGGGCATCATTCGAGGAACTTATTCCCGAAAGATCTTGATGTCATTGGGACCAAGATGGAAACAGATCTGCATCCCCAACATATCAATTGACCGTCGGTGCCTTCGGCGTCAGATGTTGTCATTGAGGCTGCCAGTAGGCAACCGGCTTGGAATCAAATGAATTTTGTAGACAATCCAGATTGGTTCATGTACGCCGAATGAAGAAAGCCATATTCAGGCAGTATAATAACAGCCTGGTAAGATCCAGAGGCTAGAGCCCAAAGGTGTCAAAGGTTGGACAAGTGTTGTAGTTGGGGGGGGTCATTGTCTGAAGGCGGTCACCGCACTCTGGTATTCATCATCGTCACTCGGATCGGCTCCCCTCCTACTTTCTTTCCTTCGACTTTTCTTCGACTTCATCGCTGAGAGGATCCTTTGCATCAAATCTCGGTTCTCCCTCCCTCGCATCCCAATTCCTTATCTTTCGCCCCTATCCCTTTTCTCCCTGGCTGTAATCAAGAAAAGCGGCAAAATGAAGCTCACGTTCAAGGTACGAAAACTTGTCCTTGAGGTCCCCATAACCACAGATTGCTGACAATCATCGATCAATAGGACCTGAAGCAGGAGAAGTTTGTCATTGATGTCGAACCTTCTGAGACTGTACGTTTCTTCCCTTCGCCACAACTACCCAGCTTTATCGAGTGCGGGGCTCACCTGTATAGGTTCGCGAGGTCAAGGTCAAAATCGCCCAAGAGAAAGGCGAGTATGAAGCAGAGCGCATGAAGGTTATCTACTCCGGTATGTATTGCCCCCTTCGATGGAGAAATCCTTCGTCCATGGCGCCATGGCTTACATGCTTGTTTTTTTTCTCTCTACAGGAAAGATCCTTCAAGATGACAAGACCGTTGAATCCTACAACATCCAAGAGAAGGACTTCCTAGTGTGTTTGCCTTCAAAGGTATGTGATAGATCTTTTCTAGTGTCATTTTGACGACGAGTCCAAATTGACCATTCATTATCAGCAACCCAAGGCCCCCGCCCCATCCTCCCAAGTGCCTTCGACCCCGGCTGCCCGAGCTCCCGTGTCAACACCTGCTGCTCCTCCAGCTCCCCAGGCTGCGACTGCTCCTCCTCCCTCTGCAGTTCCTGCTACTCCCTCACCGGCTGGTGCGGCTCCATCTACTGGACCCGCCTTCGGAGATCCTTCCGCTCTCGCCATGGGCTCTGCCGCTGAAGGCGCAGTTGTCCAGATGGAGGCAATGGGTTTCGCACGCACTGATATCGACCGTGCCATGCGGGCCGCATTCTACAACCCCGACCGTGCTATCGAATACCTTTTGACTGTAAGCGTTTGTTGGAGCTTATACCTCGAATTTGAGCTGATCACCACAGGGAATTCCCGATAATATCCAGGAACAGCAGCAACAACAGAGACAAGCCTCAGAGCCAGCCCCTACTGGCGCTGCTCCTGCTGCCCCTACCGGGGGCGATGAGCACCTGAACCTTTTCGAAGCCGCTGCCCAGGCAGGTGGTGAAGGCGGTGGTCGTTCTCGTGGCGCTGGTGCTGGTGCTGGTGCCGGTGCTGCTGGTGGCGAGGCTCTTGGTAATCTTGAGTTCCTCCGCAGCAACCCCCATTTCCAGCAGCTTCGCCAGCTTGTGCAACAACAGCCCCACATGCTTGAGCCTATCCTGCAGCAGGTCGCCGCTGGGAATCCCCAAATTGCTTCGCTCATTGGACAGAACTCCGATCAGTTCCTGCAGCTCCTCGGCGAGGAACTCGAGGACGAGGAGGGTGCTCTTCCCCCTGGCGCGCAGGCAATCTCGGTTACGGAAGAAGAGCGCGATGCTATTGAGCGTGTATGTTGAAACTCTACCCGCATTTTCCATTTCTTAGGACTAACCTACCCCCAGCTGTGCCGTCTGGGCTTCCCCCGCGACTCGGTCATCCAGGCATACTTTGCCTGCGACAAGAACGAGGAGCTGGCCGCCAACTTCCTCTTTGATCAGCCTGATGAGGACGAGGACTAAAGAGCTAAATGTGCTCTCCTCTCCTTTTTCTCCCTCCCCACCCCCCTTTCTTTCCTCTAACGTTATGTTCTATGATGAATACCAAGCATGCTGCTGTTTGAATTGATTCCCATCTCTCCTCACCTCAGATCCCTTCCCATGAATACGAATCAGTGCTCAGCTTGGCAGGTCTGAGTTTCTGCTTGCTGAGTGTGGACTTGGCTTCTTTGCATCCCGCTATCTCCCTCTCCTCCAACACAACTGTCATGTATCTACCTTAATGGGCAAAATGGGACCTGTTCGCTGGATATAGCGTCCGAGTAAGCGCGTACGACTGTACGGAGTAGACAGCGCCAAGTCACGATCTTCGATTTGGTCATCTGGTAGGCTCCTCATTTGTGATCACGTCGATTTTATATGCAAGGCAGACCAGGCTCAGATGACCTGTAGATGGAATGTGTAACTACCAATCTGCATGACTGGGAATATTTGGCTTACTACTCCGTACCTTGAAACGACAAAGACTGCTCAAATCGCCACTCATACACGTTCAACGCAAACCATCTACTGCATACATAACATATGTATATCTCATGCCGGCTCGAGGGCTCAAGATGTGGCTGTATACCTCTCCTATCGCGCTTATCGGGTTACTGTTTACATAGAGGGCCGTATAGATGTCCTCAGCTGACCAGCTTAAAACCAAAAGGCAATAAGCTAGTGAACAAAATGGAAAATGGAATGATTCCAGATATAGGTACACGTAGCCTACAGAACAATCCCAAAAGTCTCAACTTGATCCGCGCCCACCAATGCAGAAGATATATGGACCCCGTAACCCAAACATACATCGAAAATGTCCAAGAAAAAAGAGAGATGGGCAGTCAGTGTATCCATTTGAGAAGTCATCTCCCAATGAGGGGTAAGAGACAAAATAGATAACTAGAACTAAAAGCCCATCGAGGCTAGTGATTCATGGTTACAAGGCCCCTCCACGGATATTACTTCGAGGACATCCAGGACCAAGAAGTAGAAGAGAAAAAAAGAGAGTTTCATTTGCACGGTCGTCGCACAGACCAAACTCCCAGTCCACGACGACCAACGACCCGTTTCAGGGTCGGTATGATCCCGTCGTCGCCAAAGTCCATGTCATCTAGGTTCAGATGCTGGCGGTAGGACCAGACTGGATGGAGTCGCAAGTTCTGGTCCTGGCTCTGGCTAGTAGTGACGGAGTATTGATCGAGGAAGTCGGCCGAGATAGGCGCGACTAGGAACACGGAAGACGGGTTCAAGCAGTCTGGTACAATCTGCTCCAGCTGCTGTACCATATCCACTCCCGGTATACCCATTAGATCCACCGTCTGGATATCTGTGGATTGGTTGTGTCCACCGAGAAGCCACAGCGGCGGAGAGTATGTCTTCCACCAGAACACGGTTGCTGAAGGTAAGTGGTGGGTTGTGCTGGCCGAGACGATATCGCGCATCGCTAGCTGCGTGGGGACCACGCCGCCTTGGTGATAGATGCCCATAAGGAAGCCCATGGCTGCGTTGAAGATAACCCATACACCGAGGAGGAAGCGAGAGCGACGCAGCGGAACGCAGCTGAGGAGGAGAGGCACAGCTGGGAGAAGGAAGCGTGGTTCTTGGTGAGGGAAGAGTGAGAGGAGCATTGTTGCGGAGAGGGCGGAGAGGGCGCGCACATTGCGCATCCATAATGGCACCAGCGACCAGTTGAAGAGGGAAACCAACATGACTATGTAGGCTGGGCCGAGCAGTTGGAACAGATTGGCGGTGAAGTGTTGATGATGCGGGTGGAGGCCGTGCTGGGCTAGATTGGAGGTATCGCTATTGTAGAGGAGATTGTTGAGAGGGGTTATGATGGGGTTGCGGAGTGTATCGCAGAGGGATGCTGTCGGTCGATAGAAGGTTGTGTCGGTGTAAACTGCGACAAACGAGAAGAAAAGGCCGAAGAATAAGAATGTCACAAGCGAGGCAGGTCTGGGGTGGACGATGGAATTAGTACATGTGTAGAAGCCGATATAGCGCAGGTCGGTTTGTATCCATTCACATACTTGCGCAAGAACTGAGGAAGCAATTGCAGACCGGGGAATAGCAGGAAGGCCGGGAAAGTGATGCGATTGAAAACACCCAGCACGGCGATGAAGGCGAGTACAGCATGGGAGAAGAAGTGGGAGTGTCGCTGTAAGTGAAGTCAGCACAAGCTGCAGAAGTCCAAGCTTTGTTCTCGCACCTTGTTCTCAACAATGCGCCGAATCAGCACCAACCCCCAAGCAACCAACAGGGTCTCGAGACTATTGGAGAATGTGTGCGTCTGATATGTCCAGGTGACATACGACGATGCCACCAACACCACCGTCGCGCGCCGGTGACGCGGGGAAGGTACTAGCTCATAGATTGCCCAGTCTTCCAACACGAAGCTTAACAAGAACATTCCACCGCGTAGCGCATAGTAGACCAAGTGGGGTGGGGCGGTCCCCTCTTCGATCTCGGTATAGAACCATTTCAAGAGGGTCATCGGCAGCTCGTAGGTCGCCCATAGTGGGAATATACTGCGAATGGGGTGTTCAACAGTGAATTCCCATGGTAGCTTCGAAGGAAATGAGAATATGCGACCTGTATTTAGGCAATGTGGTCAATATTATTTTTCCCTCGTATAGGGGAGTTGCGGGACTGCCGGATCGCGCTTTTTTTTGGGGGGCGCAATCACAACAAAAAATACGAACGTGTAGTTGTAGTCAAGTTGTGATCGCATGCCCTTAAAAAATCATTGGACCATTAAACACACCTGCAAAGAGCTCAGGGCCCTGGAAATTCTCATCGGGATGTAGATAGCTGGGGGACAGCGCAAAGTACACGCGAATCAACAGTAACAGTAAGTATGTTCGTCGCCACATGTTCGCGGGCACATAGGAACATTATTAGAAAGAATTAAAGAATTAAAGAACGAACCGGGGATTAGCCCGAAAAGAAAAAAGAGAAGCGAAAGGAGTGGAAGGGGTGATCTAGGTAAGCGACTAGAAAGGAAAAGTAAAGTCGAGGTAGACGCGTATTGGACGATGATATCACCCACTTTGGCCGACTTAAGCGGTGTATGCTAGATTGAGTCCGAGAAAAGGCCATATTATATGGGCTGATAGAAGGCCGTTTCCGAGTCTTCCACTCCGAACATCCTCTGAAAATAGTCTTTGATCGGTGTTTAGACCCGGATGGAGGACAGGCCTATTCGGTAGACTAGAAGATACCATCAGATACCGAGTTGATAGATCGACCGCCATAAGAAACAAAGAAGATTTTGCATCTACTCGAAACAACCTAATCGCAATTAGGCATGGCCCGATTCCGAGTTCAAGTGTTGATTTCCTCGTTGGGGCTTATAGTACGGAGTACTCCGTATGGACCTCCGGGCTCAAAGAGTCGTAGGCATAGGCAGCATCCTGGGTTCCCGCCAGCTAGTGTTGGAAACTAGTATCCTTTGAGGATCTATGAGAGCATAATGAGTCAAAGAGGGAGGGTTCCAAGGTTCTTTGTCCATATTTCTAGGCAACTGTAGGAACTAAGAGACGGGGGCGCCTGCTGGAGCCTCGTTGGCCTTAGAAAGCGCCTTAGGTAAGAACCTCTTTAAACCTCACTTCCCGCCATCTGCTCCGGACATCTGGGTTATTTCCAACCTTCTACGGTATCCTACCTGGTTTTCACAATTCACATCGCAACCTTGCAGACCGTTTATTTCACGCATCTCACACACCGGATTATTTCTTCTCCTTGTCAGTCACGTCCCCACTGGACCGCCCCGCACCATTTCAAATCGACAAAGCTAATGCTCCTTTGAACGACAGTCCCATCTACACTATCACCATCATGAGCGCAATCACTCTCACCAGCTCCGATGGAGTTGACATCTCGGTCGGTAAGTTGCCTTCCCACGCAGCATATCGCAAATGGCGCTGACAGTTCCCGAATAGAGCGCACCACCGCCGAGCGCTCTGTCTTGATCAAGAACATGCTCGAGGATCTTGGCGACTCTGGAGAGGCTATCCCCATTCCCAACGTGAGTATCAATCTGGTTATTACCCCCTTTCAGGATCAGAGTGCTGACACCAATCCATCCAGGTCAACGAGGCCGTCCTCAAGAAGGTCATTGAATGGTGCGAGCACCACAAGAATGATCCCCCTAGCGCCAACGATGATGATGACAACCGCCGCAAGACTACCGACATCGATGAATGGGACCAGAAGTTCATGCAGGTGGACCAGGAGATGCTCTTCGAGATTATCCTCGTACGTTCATTGTGCTTTCGTTTTGCTTTGGAGCGCATGTACTGACTGCTGTTTAGGCCGCCAACTACTTGGATATCAAGGCCCTCTTGGATGTCGGCTGTAAGACAGTCGCGAACATGATCAAGGGCAAGTCCCCAGAGGAAATCCGCAAGACTTTCAACATCCAGAACGACTTCACCCCCGAGGAAGAGGACCAGATCCGCCGCGAGAACGAGTGGGCTGAGGAGTAAGTTACAGCAACAGTCTTCTTGGATCGAACTCAGGCTGACATTTCCAACCTTTCTAGTCGTTAAATGGAAGCTTGCTACCGGCTGTCTTTAATCAAACAGAAAATGATATCTTCATGGCTTGTTACGTGTATTGTGGCCTTTGATAGGTATCTGAGAGGCGCGATCACTTTTTTGGGGGCGTTTTGTTATTTTGCTTTTGACCTTCAAGTTTTGAATTTGCCAAAGTATCGCTCCCCTCAGATATGGTTTACGATATTTGCTTCAAAATCCACTTCCCCGAAATCAGCAGTGTTAGATAGCGGGGTTATAGAAGCCAATCTTCCCTATCGAGTTTCATAGTATTATGACGCCTGCCAAGTCTTCCACATGGCCACAGATCCAAGACTGTACTCCGTACTACAAGGCATGATGCGGAGTGTACAGAAAGTAACACTGTCATCAGGAACAGACAACATGCAAGGGTGCCCATGCAGCGTCCCAAGACCTACAGCCATCAAGACACTTCGAAATGTAGGCAAAAGGACATTCAATTCGATTCAATCATATTTTGTATCAAAAAAGAAAATCCCCCGCCACGCCAGTCCTACAAGCCCGCCCTCAGCAAGAAGACGATCACCCCACACCAACAGTACCTCTGCAAACAAATAGAATCCGGGCCCGCCATCCATATCGATGCTTATGCGTGTTCGAAATGCAGCATTCACCCCACTCGGAAACGTGGAATAGAAGCCATTTGAAGATTAAGAGGGAAAAAAAAAGCAGGCACCACCCAAAGCAAGACCCGGATCAAGATTGAAAATTGAATTTTTTTTGTTTGCAACTGCACTCAAGAGTAGTTCCACATCCACTAGCGCTCTCAAGTTCATGGTGAAGGCATGTTGTTCGAAATTCGGTTGTGGGCGTCACGTCATGAAGAGGTTTTCGAAATAATCAAAACCCTTGAACCACCCCGCACAGACACACTTCGTTGCCATATGACATCGCGAGCTGAAACTGGGGCTTTTGAGAATGGCCGGACGGAGGGTTGCGAATACACTGAGGGTCCGCTTAGACCTTCAGGGTAGACTTACGCCAGTGGCGGCGCTTGGCGTTGTATCTGTATCAGATTGCATCAGTCTCATGTTCGATTCGCGTTGTCTGTGTTTCCTGTATTCTCCATGCTTGGGGTTCGTGCGGTCGGCGAGTGGATAGTTGTGTAATCCTCTTCTCTCGCTCGCCCGCTTTCACTTTGGTTCCCGCACATGACGATCCCGGATGCTTAAATGGACTTGGATCTCGAAAGGTGCGATTTACCTGATGGTGTTGCCGGTGCGCAGACGGATCCACTGGGGGATGGGGCGGTTCTGACGCTGAGCTTTGGCAAGCTTTTGCTTGGTGCGGAAGGTCTTGTGGCTCTGTGTACGAAATGACGGGTTAGAATTTTGTTTCTCGAATTTGCAGAATTCTGACAGGGCGGCGACGGCGACGATGGCGAGGGGATTTTTTCGAGTATGGCGTGGACAGGTTGTTAACGTACCGGCATCTTGAAGGGTTGATCGCGACGGCGAGCTTGTTGGATGGACGGATGAAGTTGTCGACCTTCGGGTGTGGATGATTTGTGTGCGGCAGGGCTTGGCTTCGCTTCGGTTGGGTCAGGTGATGTGGGTCTTATGCCTGAGGCCACAAGGCTACAAGGCATGAACATTGAAATGTCAGAAGTGGGGCCCAGTGCCCAGGCGTCACAGTTGCGCATTCATGGGCCACGGTACTTCCTACGGACTCTGGCCACGAGTTGTACGGTCTACACGACTCATTGCATCTGATACCTCAGTTGTCTTAAAAAATGGGATCAGACTCCCGGTGCTAGATCCTCAGTGGTGTCCAATGCACTCATGTTCCAGGGTTAGTCCTCGAAGCCAAAACCTCTACTGATCAGCGCCAGGAACGTTACATGCCGCGACGAGGCAATTGGATTGTTGAGGCACATGTCCACGTATCTACCACGTATCTACATTATATAGCCATATCAAACTATTACAAACCCTGAGGAGCGTCTGTTTTCTGCTAGAGGGCAAATCGTGAAACGCTTTGCCATCGAGTCTGCTACATACCAAATACATCAGTTGACTTTGGCCCAGAAGGAGAATATTCAAAACATTGGTGCATAAAATGATTCGGTTCATGGATATTCCGTAGGGGTGTAGGCTTCAAAGCCTGATGCCTAGAACCATGCCCTTCAAGGTAGGTCCAAGCGCTCAACAAGATCAGGTCAATTTGGTGATCAGATACATACTCAGTACTCCGTACCTACCAAGGGTTCCCATGCTGTGATCTACCTGTTCTCTTGACATGGTTGTTCGGCGGAAAGCTTAGGCACCGAGGCGTAAACCCTATCTCCGAGCCAGTTTCAAGAAGGCGGCTTACAACAAAGGCGTGCAGTCCGAATGTATACGTCAGTCCCCCAATTACCAGAGCAGGCATATCGTGACAGCCCAGGGCTTCAGGGCCATTCATATTTCGTTTAGGCACCCTTTTCTGTGCGACAGTAACGGATCAAAGTTCGGACCAAAGGGGCGAATGTAATCATCTGCGACATTCAATGAGTCAGTAATCCACTTTGTCGTATTCGTTTCCGTTTCCGGGTTTGACGTGTTTTGCGTCATGATGAACCTGGGAAGCTTTGGAGCCTGCACAAGGTACATTGTACGGAATATATACGGAGTTCGGGGTAAGACGGAGATAGTAATACGGCGCACAGCACACTCTGAATCAGCCCAGCCTCGTGGGAAAAAGGTAATATCCCGTGGTAAGGTTCCCCAGAAAGGGGGAGATAGCCCCTGGTGAACACCAGGAATATGGAATGTGGATCTGGTGGTCCGTATGAAGTACGTGTGCTCCGTACGGAGTATAGAGTACGGAGTACTCCATGCATATACCGGATTCGGAGCAATCGAGGCCCAGACAGTCCAATAGCGAGATGCTGGTCAGCCCAAGTAAATTGGTTTGCATAAAACATCGGAGTCCGGAGAGCCGACCCCACCGGACGAAAAGAATTAGGTGTACTCCGTACTCCGATCAAGTGAAACAAAATATTGACATCTGATTTACATCCCTTCTTCCCCTTGTTCATCATTACTCTTTCGTCTTCGTATTGGTTTCGGGTTTCGGATTTCTGGTTTCTGGGGCTGATCTCCCTTTGAATGTTGTTCGCTTCATTCCTATCTGTTTAACCTGGCTATCCCCACCTTATCCACAACCTAATCTCTTCATCTTCAGTCCTATGGAATAGGGGCTCAAAACGAGGACCCAGCATTGACTCAAGATGCAACAGCCCGAAGAGGGTGTGTCGGCGGTTGAGAAGGTGGTCGAGGACCCTCAACCCAGCAAGCTTGACGAGAAACTCGACGAGAAACTCGGCGAGAAGCCCGGGAAGCGGGATTCCGATTCCGCCTCCACATCAACTGTCAAAGGAAATGAAAGCAGTACTCCAGTCGCGACAGAGGAAGATGCCCTCTACGGTCATCTGCCACAACATGAGAGGGATATTCTCAAGCAACAGCTAGATGCGCCTGCTATCAATATCTCCTTCATTGGTCTTTATCGATATGCCTCCCACATGGATCTACTCATCCTTGTGGTCAGCGCATTATGCGCCATTGCCGCCGGTGCTGCACTGCCGCTCTTCACGATTCTCTTCGGCTCCTTGGCAACGGCCTTCCAAAATATCATACTTCGCACGATCCCATACGATGAGTTCTACGACCAGTTGACCAGCAACGTCCTGTACTTTATCTACCTTGGCATTGGAGAATTCGTTACGGTGTACATCAGCACCGTGGGCTTCATCTACACCGGAGAGCATGTCACCCAGAAAATTCGAGAACACTATCTCGAAGCCATTCTGCGCCAGAATATCGCCTATTTTGATAAGCTTGGTGCGGGCGAAGTAACTACCCGTATCACCGCCGACACGAACCTCATCCAAGATGGTATCTCCGAGAAAGTTGGCTTGACCCTAACTGCCATAGCCACGTTTGTGACTGCCTTCATAGTTGCCTACATAAAGTACGCACCGCTGGCTGGTATTTGTACTTCGACCATGGTTGCTCTGATGTTGATCATGGGCGGGGGATCCCAGTTCATCATGAAGTTCAGCAAGCTCTCCCTGGAAAGCGCTGGGGCCAGTGGCACGGTGGCGGAGGAAGTTATCAGCTCCGTTCGTAATGCGACTGCATTTGGTACTCAGGACAAGCTCGCGAGGCAGTATGAGGCGCACTTGCTTCAAGCAGAGAAATGGGGCGTGCGCCTGCAAATGTCTCTCGCAGTTATGGTCGGTTGCATGTTTGGACTCATGTTCATGAACTACGGCCTGGGCTTTTGGATGGGATCCCGATTCCTGGTGGATGGTAAGGTTAATGTTGGACAAGTCCTGACCATCTTGATGGCTATCCTCATTGGATCTTTCAGTTTGGGCAACGTCAGCCCCAACGTGCAGGCCTTCACCAACGCCGTGGCCGCTGCCACCAAGATCTTCACGACCATCGATCGTCAATCACCGCTCGACCCCACATCCGATGAAGGGATCATCCTTGACCATGTCGAAGGTCATATTGAGTTCCGCAAGGTGAAGCACATTTACCCCTCACGCCCCGAAGTTACAGTAATGGAAGATGTTTCACTTTCCATGCCTGCCGGTAAGACAACCGCGTTGGTTGGCCCTTCGGGCTCTGGCAAGAGTACTGTGGTCGGTCTGGTCGAGCGGTTCTATCTCCCTGTCGGTGGCCAGGTGTTCTTGGATGGACACGACATCCAGACTCTCAACTTGCGCTGGCTACGCCAGCAGGTTTCGTTGGTCAGCCAGGAACCCATCCTATTCGGCACAACCATATACGAGAATATCCGCCATGGGCTGATTGGAACACGCTTCGAACACGAGTCCGAGGAAAAGATCAAGGAGCTTATCGAAAACGCCGCCAAGATGGCCAACGCCCACGAATTCATCAATGTTCTCCCCGAGAGATATGAAACCAATGTCGGCCAGCGTGGTTTCTTATTATCTGGGGGCCAGAAGCAGCGCATTGCCATCGCCCGTGCTATTGTCAGTGATCCCAAGATCTTGCTTCTTGATGAGGCCACTTCCGCTCTGGACACCAAATCTGAAGGTGTGGTCCAGGCAGCACTTGACCGTGCTGCCGAAGGCCGCACTACTATTGTCATCGCCCACCGTCTATCAACCATCAAGTCTGCGCATAATATTGTTGTCTTCGTCAACGGAACTATTGTCGAGCAGGGTACGCACAGCGAACTGACTGGACATGACGGCCCTTACTTCAAGCTTGTCGAAGCCCAGCGCATCAATGAGGAGAAGGATGCAGATGCCCTGGAGGTAAATGAGGATAGCATCGAGCACATGGCCAAGTCTCATATCGCACGTGTCAAGTCTATTGCTAGTGGTTCAACCATGGACAAGGAGGCAGAAGCATTTCAGGATGATATGCGGCGTCAGGAATCTCGCAAGTCCGTGTCCAGTATTGTTCTTGCGAAGAAAATTGCCGAAGGTGGCAGCAAATACTCTCTTTGGACTCTAATCACGTTCATCGCGTCTTTTAACAAGGAAGAGCGACTGTTCATGGTCATCGGTCTTATCTTTTCTGTACTCGCAGGTTGTGGTCAGCCCACTCAAGCATTCCTGTATGCCAAAGCCATCAGCTCACTGTCCCTGCCCAAAGATCAGTTCGATAAGCTGAGATCAGATGCCAACTTTTGGTCTCTCATGTTCTTCATTATCGGTATCGTTCAGATTATCACTTTTTCGGTCCATGGCATCTCCTTCGCCTTTTGCTCTGAAAGATTGATTCGCAAGGCACGCAGTAGGGCTTTCCGGATCATGCTCCGCCAGGATATCAACTATTTCGACCGTGAGGAAAACAGCACCGGCGCTTTGACCTCTTTCCTCTCAACTGAGACTAAGCATTTGTCCGGTATCAGTGGACAAATTCTTGGAACAATTCTGATGACTTCGACGACTCTCATCGCTGCAATTGTGATCGCGCTTGCCTTCGGATGGAAACTTGCTCTCGTTTGTATCTCCGTCGTTCCTATCCTCTTAGGCTGCGGTTTCTATCGCTTCTATATGCTTGCTGCATTCCAATCACGTTCCAAGGCTGCCTATGAGCGATCTGCCAGCTACGCCTGCGAGGCCACATCCGCTATTCGGACCGTAGCCTCACTCACCCGTGAGACCGATGTTTGGTCAATATATCACGGCCAACTTGCTGTACAGGGCCGCGCTAGCTTGATCTCGGTGATCAAGTCGTCGTCCTTGTATGCAGCCTCGCAGGCATTGGTGTTCTTCTGTGTCGCCCTTGGCTTCTGGTACGGTGGAACCCTTCTTGGTCATCATGAATACGACATGTTCCGCTTCTTTGTGTGTTTCAGTGAAATTCTGTTCGGTGCTCAATCTGCTGGCACGGTGTTCTCCTTTTCCCCAGATATGGGCAAGGCCAAGAATGCCGCTTCCGAATTCCTCAAGCTGTTCGAGCGCCGGCCTACCATTGACACGTGGTCCGAAGATGGTGAGAACCTGGACCACTGTGACGGAACCATTGAGTTTAAGGATGTGCACTTCCGCTACCCGACCCGTCCCGAGCAGCCTGTGCTCCGCGGTCTGAACCTCACAGTCAAGCCTGGCCAGTACGTTGCCCTGGTGGGTCCTAGTGGATGCGGAAAGAGTACTACTATTGCCCTTCTCGAGCGTTTCTACGATGCCCTTTCCGGTGGCATCTACGTGGATGACAAGAACATCGCCGACCTGAATGTCAACTCCTACCGCACCCATCTGGCGCTGGTTAGCCAGGAGCCAACTCTATACCAGGGTACTATCAAGGAGAACATCTTACTCGGTAGTGCCAACGAGGAGCCTACTGAAGACGAGCTAGTCAAGGCCTGTCACGACGCGAACATCTACGACTTCATCATGTCTCTTCCCGATGGCTTCAACACCATTGTCGGTAGCAAGGGAGGCATGTTGTCTGGTGGCCAAAAGCAGCGTGTGGCCATCGCTCGTGCTCTTCTCCGCAACCCTAAGATCTTGCTCCTGGATGAAGCAACCTCCGCGCTTGACTCCGAATCCGAGAAGGTTGTCCAGGCTGCTCTGGATGCTGCCGCGCGCGGTCGCACTACTATCGCTGTCGCTCACCGCCTCAGTACTATCCAAAAAGCCGACATCATCTACGTCTTCGACCAAGGCAAGATTGTTGAGAGCGGTAACCACACCGAGTTGTTGCGCAATAAGGGCCGCTACTACGAGCTGGTCAACCTCCAGTCCCTCGGCAATACAAACTAATTCTTTTGCTTTTATCTCTTTCCTGTCTGTACAGATACCCATCCCCTTGTACCGCCTGTCTCCTCCTGATACTTTTACCCTGTCGACTTCTCTTCTATACCCCTCCCTCCTGTACCTCACTATCTGTTCTCGCCTATGTTCACCATCTCTCCCGGCTCTATGTACCCCGTGATGCTCCCTCTTCTTGTAATAGATTATTTGGCTTCGGCGACAAGTTATTCTCTCCACTGTTATCTCCTCTCATATTAAGAGAAATGAAAAAAGACGTTGCAGGAATTAGGAATAGATGAATACAATGAATTTCAGCTCAATGACACCCAGTCTGCTCCAGACTCCTCCATTTTATGCTATCTCCGGCCATCAATCAGGGTAATTTCTCAATCCTTTTCCCCAACCCTAAACTCCTTCTCGACCTCAACCTGCCTCACACCCCTCGCATCGGCAATAATCCCCATCAAGCCTTGCCCAATGTCTTTGATCTCATTGTAATCATGCAAGAGCTGGATATGGCGTTGCACTGTGGCGTTGGGGTCATGTCTGCAATTGGCGGGTTAGAGATGCAATCTTCGCGTTATATCTTCTATTCTTCTAGATAGGGAACTGGAACGAATTACTCAAGCTTGGCGGTGATGGAGGACAGCTCGGCTTCGAGCTCCACGCGCTTGGCCTCTAGGTTTGTAATTGAGGTCCGGAGAGTGGACTGTGGATGTTAGAGCTTGGATGGGGTAGATGGCCGAGGACGTACTAGTCTTTTGTCTTTGTGGGTCTGGACTTCTGTGGATGGATCCATGATATAGATGGTCAATTAGATGGTGTGTGCAGTTGACTTTGGGATATGCGACATGCAAGAGAAGGGAGAGAGGGATGTCGTACTCCGTAGTACAGGTGCAGATGTGCACATGCAGAGAACTGCGATTGAACTGGCAGGACTCCGTACATTGACTGGTCAACTGTACAGCCCTGGAGAGCCTTATACTCCCCACCAATCACCGTCCCCGCTGAATAATCGAGTCTCAGGCTCCCAGGCTCCCAGGCTCCCCGGTTCCAAGGTTCCAAAGTTTCAAGGTTCCTACATGTTGCGGTTCTTTTGATCCTTTTTCTTCAGAAGGGTTAATCCAAACGGAAGATAGTACGGAGTATTCCGTACAGTAAGTACATACTGAAGACCAACTTGACAGCCAAGACAATCCAGATCCTTCTCTCCTGACTCCACTGTTGTGTTCCAAGATCCCGCATAATCGGATGCTCCGGATTTGGTTGTTACCCGCATTTCTTTTCTCCCTTCCAACCTCCCCAACTCAACATCATGGCTCTTCTCCGTCAAGGGTCTTTATGGACGGTGTTCCTCCTGGTTGCCTCGGCTCTCGCCCATGGCGACCATGATGCTGTTCCCGAGGGCGAATCCATCTCCCAGGATCCTATCGTACGTGGTACAGCCTCGTTCGTCTTGCCAGATGTTAACATTGTTTTTTGACAGGACGCAACGTTATGGACTCATATAATCCTCATGGGTTTCGCTTTTGGTATAATTTTTCCAACGGGAATGGTTCTCGGAGTATGTACTGCTTGAAGTCTCTTACGGGTTTCGCTGCGCCTGCGTCATCCATGCTTCAATTGCGTTTCGGAATCACTAACAAGGAAACCTAGATCGTTCGCTCCCGCTGGCATGTCCCCGTCCAGGTCGTCGGTACTATCATCGCCGTGCTTGCCTATTTCCTCGGTCACGCCCACAAAGGTCGTCAATTCGACAAGAACCTACACGCTTCCTTCGCAAACTGGTTGATGCTCATGCTGATCGCGCAAATCGTGCTGGGCGCATATCTCAAGCTCCATCTGGTGAAGGCAGGCCAGGGTCGTATCCGATGGATCTTCGTGATGGCTCACGGCGTTATCGGCAAGATCATGCCCGTTGTCAGCTGGGCGCAGATGGTGTTTGGCGGCATTGCTTCGCTCGGCTTCTGTCGCGATGATCACCTCGGACAATGTCTGGCGCATTTCATCATGGGCTCCGCCTTCATCGGGTATGGTATTTGTCTGACTATTCTTTTGCTGGTGGGCCAGCACTGGTTGCGTCGTACTGGACGCAGTCAGGAGTTCTTCGATTCGCTCGTCATTGCCGCTTGGGGCTGTGTCAATACTTTCACTGAGCACCGCTGGGGTGGCCCATGGGTTCACAATGACCTGCAGCACACCACTATGGGCATTGTCTGGTGGTGTGCGGGTCTTCTGGGTATGTGGCTCAGCCGCAGCCGAAGCGGCCGTCCCAGGCGCAACCTTATTCCTGCTATTGTCATTTTGATGACTGGCTATGCTATGTCGTCGCACACGCAGCACTTGATGATCAGCACTATGGTCCACAGCGTTTTCGGATATACTCTGATGGCTGCTGGTCTGGCGCGCATCATCGAAATCTCATTCGTATTGAGGGATAAACCCGCTCTTTCCGAGCCGAACAGCTTCCAATTTATGACTCCCTATGTATGTTCCCCCTCTTGTGGATATGGCATCCATGCAAAATACTGACTGTTTTTCTCACAGTTGCTCTGTGCGTCTGGCTTCCTCTTTATGGGAGCCACCGAGGAACAGATGGTCATGCTGAACAATGCAGGCATTATGCACGTATCCTACGTGTTGATCCTTTACAGTGTCACCTTCATCCTTTTCCTCTGTAAGTCGCCTATCCCTTTAATATGCGGGTTTGATATCTCCGAACAACAACTAATTCCTGTCTTCAGTTGTCAACATTCTCCTCCACATCTATGCTGTTCACGCCTGGCCCAACTCCGAGTCCACTGATCAGGATGGCCCCACCTACTCTACTCTCAATACGAGTGCCAATGGCCGCCCGCGCTCGAACTCGGAGCAAATCCAAGATGCCGAGGCATTTGAGCTCCATGGGCTGATTTCCGACGATGAGGAAGGCCCCTCCATGGGACCGCGGAAAGACAGTGATGAAGAACTTGGAAAAGACGAGAGTCGTCACTGAGCCATTTCTATGATTTGCTTGTTTCGTTTGCGAGTTCCTCGTGCATTATGTGGCATCTTGTTGGACGGCGTCTGGATTGGGTTCGGTTCGGATTTGAAAGCCCTAATTGGCTGCGAGTTTGAGTAGCTAATAATACATCTGGACCAAAAATTGCACATATTCTTTTCCCAAATTCATGGAAGAATCAAATATCAAGTATCGAAATTGTTCCATTTGTGTTCTGCTATCGTACATAATGAGATCCAGACTCAAGGTCCAGCTCCATGGAAAACCAGTAAAAACCAAAGAGATTCGTAACAATCTTAAGAGAGTCTCGGGGTTCATCCTCCCCTTCGCATTTCTATCCACTTAGATCCCCTTCATTCTCATCATTGGCCCCGCCTCACAAACCCCCAGCAACAGGCACCGTGATCGGATTCCTAACCGGCGGCACAGCAGCCATCTCCGCCCCGCTAATATCAGGGAAGAAAGGATGAAGGGAATAGATAGGGCCCACGCTCTTCTCGCCATCAAACAGCAACATATTCTGCAGTGGCTGCTCCCTCGCCGAAAGAACATTGATAACATCCTGCGCCAGCGCACCGCCCAAAAACGCCGCAACGGGACTCAGCTCGCTGCCCAGGTTCTGCAAGAACGTCCGCAAAAACACTGAGTCCAATGTCAGCGGTTCCAGCTTCAACTCCTGGTGTCGGTCACGCGATAACTTCGTGAACAGTTCCAGGTCTTCGTGCGTGAAGGTTGGTCGGCGGCCGAGTAGTTTTTCGAATTCCCATAGTGCGCGCAGGCAGCTCAGTAGTGGAGTTACTTGCTTGCGTCGCCGGGGGAGACGTGTGTATTCTTCGGGTAATGGGGATGTGTTTGCTAGGATTAGCGGGGAGTAGACCTCGCGCTTGGTGACTAGCTCGATGACCTTGTTGGGTTCGATTTTGGTGGTTATGTCGATGACGCTGCGGGTTGGGGTTTCTTGGGCTGCGGTTGTCATGTTGGATTTACTGCGCTCGATCACGAAGTCGTGGCTGATTAGATCGGCGAAGGCATAGCCGTAGAAGCCATGTAGTCCGGCGGCGTAGAAGGGCCTATTGGCCAGTCGGCAGGCGGCGTTCACGGTTGTGTTGGTGAGGAAGTCAAGTTCTGTGGCGATTGTGATGTCGAAGTTTGCGAAGAATTCGGGTTGTTTGGTCTTGACGTCGGAAGTGTCGATATGGAGCTTGACTCGAGGGTTCATTTTGTGGATTTGTGGTCCTGCGACTTCAGCGCGCTGATGGGGGTAGGTCATTAGTGGATGGTTCTTTCGGTGGGATTAGGTGGTCTGTTTGATTCGAGACTCACATTCTTTCCGATCACATCCTGCTCGCTTTGTGCTTCGGCGACGAAGAACTGGGCACCTAAATCCTCCTCTGTGACAACTTGATGGTCGATGATGGTGAGCGAGCCAATGCCTGCCAAGACCAGATTCTTGGCTACCTCATTCGCAAGAGCTTTCACGGTAATGAGTAGAATGTTCGCCGATCGGATTCTAGCTGCTGTTAGGATGTGTGGTGGTTTGCAAGCTAGGCTGCTCACTTTTCTTGGGCCTGCACTCCCCACAGCCGAATCTGTCGGTCATACAGCGCGATTTCATCTGACAAGGTTAGTATGGCTCAAATTGATATTGATTAATGCGACATACCAGCACTGATGGACTGCGCATTGTCCTGTTGTTCCGCCATGGTCATACCAGGTGAGATAAGAGGCTCAGATTGCGAGCTTGGCTATTGAGAGCCCCGCACTTTTCTTTCGGGGAGTCGGATGTCAAGTACAAGATGAAATAAGTTCAACAAGTGGCTCACACTGCAGTATCGAAGTTGTCCGTAGATGGAGGTGTAAGTAGGTGTAGATCGCAAACGTCCGGATTTGAATGGCGTCAGGTGACCCGGAAGCTCCTGTGTGGGGCCGTGGAGACAAGAAGTATACAATTCTATCCCCCATCCAGCAACGGTATTCTATCAATTGGATCGATGTGTGGTGTGATAGGGAAGGTCTAGAGAATCTTATGAATAGACTCATACAAGATATCACTTATAGTGAGAATTCGAGAACCGGCTTGGAGTATTTTTTTGTTTTTATGGACCAAATGAATATACCGCTCTAGTAGGAACACATATAGATGGATGACTTCAAGGTATAGAAGGTAGAAGCCTGCCTTCATGGAAATGAGCAAATGGGATAGAATGATACCTGCCTATGTAAGTATTCATGGGCTTATAACTTCTATATCTCTTTGCACAATGATCTACCATGACCTGTATTGAGCAGCTCACCCGAGCTTTCTTCGGCTGTAATCTCTCCAGGTACATATGTAACTACCTACATGTACATAAGATACAAGTAAGTAGGTAGCACTGTAATTTCTGTCAGATCCACGCATATTATATGCTATACTTGAAACTTCCCTGCGAATGTCCATGAGCGGAATTAGGAAACCTCTCACAGCGGCACTCAAATAGTTAGATGCAGATATCTCTCACGGTAGTATGATCGGGTGGTTTCAAAGCTCAGTGGCACTTTGAGCTGTCCAAGATGAGACAGTTCGACCTTAAAAATGAAGTTAGAATCATAGTCCGCGAGATCAACCAAGTTCATACGAGAATTGTGAAATGCCATACGAGTGAAGTATAAACAACTCGCTCTCCACTCCGATGATCTAATCGACCATCACGTGTTATCAACCTTGGGCAACTTGCAAGGTTGCAACTCTCCCACTTGAGGGCTTTTACTTTTGTCTCACCAGGTTGATCTTCTCGGGTTGCTTTTCTTTCTGTCGGGTCGATGCATAGACGGTATTCCTTACCCCTATTCTTTACCCCGACATAGGCAACTTCACCCCACCAACGGTACCCATCAACGTGAATGATGGTATGTCTCTCATGGCTCCTATGCGTCTGATGTATGTCTTACACCTCCTTTTAGTCAGGGAACTACGATTACCCTCGTGCCTCCTCCTCTTCTTCTCGCCGTGTACCCCGTCCAACTGGGGCCTACGAACGCCCGAACCTCTTCCATCTCCAGTATCTCCGCAACTTAATATCGGAACGAACTCGCTCCGGTGCCTACACCCACAGCGCAACACGTGCTTTGGAATCATTAGACGAAGAGCTCGGTGAAAACTCTTTGCATCGGCCTGGAGATCATAACTTTGCCCACCCCAGGGCCGCTCTGGATCGTAGGCTTGAACAAGCCCGGGTCGCCCTCGATCGTAACTTTGAACAAGCCCGAGCCGCTGTGGATCGCTCAACCCAACACCTGGAGCCCGAGATAGCGAGCCCTGCAGACCGTATCCGGAGTATCTGGCTTGACCAAATTGGATGGGAACCACCTCGAAGTCCGATTCCTCCGGATTCCCATTCGTTTCGACATCATTTACCCTGGCAAACCTACAGATCCTCAAGCCCAGACGGATCTTCGTCCAGGCCACCGCCACTCATGCCGCTATCCGGTCAGTCGAGTCAGTCCGGCCGTGATGGCCAAGGTCGGATGAAGCGTCGAAAGTTGGACGCCGACGATAACCGTGAGGAATTTCAGGGGTTCAACTATGGACATAATGGACAGGTGGTGCCGGGAATGCTACAGATGGAAATCGCTAGCTGTGATGGAGGAAGCTACGATCCCGATAGCGGGTGTTCGCGCCCCGAGAATGTTCTGGATAACAATTCAAGTGTCTATTCCACCAAAGAAGATCGCTGCAACTTGGTCCTCTGTCATCGGGGGGAAGCCCCATTTTGTTTGAAGAAGATCGTTATCAGAGCCCCTCAATGCGGATTCGATGCTCCGTATGTACCAGGCGTGCCTGTCAAGTGAAACTCTGGCTAATTGGAGCAGAATCCAAGAAGGCATGGTCTTTGTTGCCATGACCTCCGATGAACTGCTTGCCCGCACTGCACAGTACCAAATACAATACCCCAGTGGCCGGTTCCGCCGTCGAGCCCGTCGCAGTGGAATGCAGCCATCCCAGGAATATCTGACTGGCTATCGACCACCGCTTCAAAACCTCGAACGCACAGTCCTTATGGGTCCAAATTCGGCTTCGGTTCCGCACACCTCAGAAGACCCACAAGCGCAGTTCCGTATCACTACCGAATATGATGAGAACAACGATGATTCTGGAGAAGAAGAAGAAGACTGGCGTTCTACATTGCTCGAAAGAACACAGGCCGAGCAGACGGACGATCCTTTTTCAGATACCGACGAAAATCCAACTGATGAAGAGGATGGGTCAAGCAGACGTCACCGACGGTTTGATTCGCAGCGAATAAGAGCCCTTGAAGCGCACCAGCTGAGTGCTCTCGGCCGTATCGCTGACCAGAGATTACATCGTGGCCCGAGCCTTGTGCATCCAAATGCTCCAGCCGAGCCAGCACAGCCAACTGCTGAAGTTCTCAAACCACATGCCCGTTTCTTTATCGAGCGAGAGAAGAGCATGGTCACCATTAAATTTGATCCGCCCCCGTATGTTAATTGTAATCAGCTGTCCATCTCTATATACTAACCTTCCTAGGTCGGGTCGGTTCATTCTCATTAAATTATGGAGCCCGCGACCTGACGGCAACATCGATATCGAAAGTATTATTGCGCATGGGTATGCCGGGCCGCGCTTCTTCCCAAGTATCGCTGCTCGCTAGTGGTAGACTGACGGGGTTCGCTATGTGCTTTTATTTTCGGATCCAAGGTATAGATCTTTTTTTGATCTTCTAGTGTTTTTGGTCTATGGTTCTTCTGGCCCAGAACTCGCATTCTTACTGGTTCTAGATACTAGTAAGACGACGTTATGAATGACAATGATATGACTTTCAAGGTTATCTCTCATGGTTGCATTCTTCTATTTCTGGATTTTCTCATCATACTTCTGCCATGCAAAGCGCGATCTATGTGGAACCAAGATTATCAAGCTGGTATAAATACTGCTTGATCTCTCACCCGAGGAATCACCATGGACCAACTGAACCAGAGCAGATGAGACACTACCGACAGACCTCCATCTAATAGTCCCAATGGGTTCCAGTTGCGTTAGAGGCGAATTGGCGACAGGGAAATCGAATATGGCATCAGGATATAAGGCTGACTCTTATGTCAACCATATTGACAATGCTCATTGTGGCATTGATCAACAGCACCTTCCCCTCGGTTTCCTCGTGACAAGATAGAGGATGATGATACCCGTCTCGAAATATATAGCGCTCATACATATATAGGTAAGCTCTGTGTCACACCTTCTGCTCAGTCTTGGGCATGCAAGGCTCTAGTTATTATGGTAGTTGTTCAATTGTCTTCTTCTATCCAGATCAAGGTATATAAATGTATAACTAGGTACAATTTTCGAGATTTAGTAACCTCAACCTATGCCCCTCATCGGCCTAGATTTCTATCGACCGTGATGATCGACGCCAAGATGGTGGGGTTGGAGTAGGTGCTGTAATGGCTAATGCGCATGTAGTTCCCTACCTTTGAGCGTGATGTATAAGGCCGTTCGTGTATGTACATTAGACATTTATTCCAAGGCGCCTATTCTTTCCACTGCTAAGCATTGCTAAAAAACTTCGAATGGATCCTAGTTAGATCCATATGAGTTTAAAGGTCTGCTTTGCATGTTCGATAGGATGAAGTCAAAGAGGCTCAACGGTTCGTCTTCGACTCATCTGGGATATCAGCATTATTAGGCGAGGTCTGCACATGAGCACCAGCGAGGGCACCTAGGCTGTGCCATAGTGGCCAAGATATGCTCCAACTGGATTTGATGACCAAGAGGAGCGGGCACATAAAGCTGAGCTGGGTCTTTATGACGCTCACATTTTGTGATTGGCACGGTTTAGCCCTGAAGTGGAGTCAAACGCAGCTGGAGACTGATATAGTTCAAGCCCTAAGTAAAAGCCACTTAGCCTATTCGAAGGAAAGTGCATGAACAGCCCCAATCCCAAACCGGCGCCATGCCTGATCCACGGACCTTGGGGTCGAAGCAGCAGCCAATCTGAAACATTAGCACTAATGCACAACTCTAGAAACGGGTATTTCGTAAACGGTCACTTACATTATAGGACTAGCATCCTTGAACCTGACAGGACGGATGGTTGCCCTCAGCCTCGTGCAGCGTAGACTCCGGTTGGCGAATCATTAGGAGGGGGATTACATTAATTGCCATGGCAGAGCGATTATACGTGTCTACGTGTGTGTTGTGTTGCGTGTTGAGTAATTCAAACGTTTATACCGTCGATCCGTGCGGCACTGTCAGCGGCACAATGCATCCACCCATCCATGCATCCATGCATTGCCGGTACCAATTTGACTGACTTGCGCTTATCGCCTCGCGGCCTCACGCATGGCTAAAGTACCCTGCACAATTTTGACCACTAGTGCGGGGTCCCTGGCCGGGATGACTTCCCAGCGAGAGCCACTGCGACATCGCGGAACATGTTTGCAGTCTGGCTGGTCCAGGACTGGCGGATCAACGGACTTTGAACCGACCTGTGGTACTTTTGGAATAAATGTTCCAGCCACGGGGGGCTCTTAGAGGGGCTAGATAGCCCCGCTGTAGTAGGTTGACAACATGCACGATGGAAGCCATTGGCGCAACGAGTACCCGGGCATTGTGTCGGACATGGCCGTGGATGCGATACGAAAACAGGGTCATGGCGGTGCCAGACACAACCTTTATACCCAATATCTTTATTCAAGGCTCCAGTCCCCTGGTGAGGCGGATAAGGAGCTTGTCAGCCGTTAGCCCGGGCCATGGGGCCATTAGTGGAGGAGCTAAATGGCTCAGCGCGGGGCTCATTGAGCATATACAATAGGTGGGCGATGGACATGTATGTGCGAAAGCATGTTAGCTGCAGGACTAGAGTCCGAATGAAAGTCTATCCTGAAACTAAAGGAAAGGCGAAAAAGAAAGAGAGTGGAGGTAAGGGAGCTCTTCCCTAAGTCAGGTGTTCCCTTCCCCGGAGCCCGCTTTATTAATCTTCTTTCTCTTTCTCTACTTCTCTGAGCTTCCCTCCACTTTTTTTTCTTCGCTTTTCCCTCGTTTCCTCTCTGAATTATAATTTTACTTTTGATATTCTCCCTAGCAGACACCCTTGCTTCGATACCATGCGTATCACCGTTAGCGTCATCCGTCCCGAACAGGCGGACTCGGACATCATCAACCTAGAAGTGGGCGGCGACATGTCAATCGAGCTCCTCAAAGCGATTGTCGAAAGCGAAACTGCCATCCCACCTGAATCTCAGCAGCTCGTCTACAATAACCAGCTCCTTCAGATTCCTTCTCAAACCCTGGACCAAGTCGGCATCACAGAGGGCGACATGCTCGGCGTGCACGTCACCCTCCGCACTCCCCAACGCCCAGCTGCTCGCCCCGCTGCCTCCAGCTCCCACGCCCCCAGACAAACTCCCCAATCTCGCCCCGGCATGCCAGACCCCGAAACTATTCGTCTACATATTCTAGGTGACCCTCGCGTGCGCGAGGCCGTCCGCAGGCAGAACCCGGAGCTATCTGAGGCTGCGGATAACGCTCAGCGGTTCCGCGAGGTTCTGCTTAGGCAGCAACAAAACGAGGCGCAGCAAGAGGCGCAGAAGGAGGCTCGCATTGCAATGCTCAATGCCGATCCATTTAACCCCGATAATCAAAAGGAGATTGAGGAGATCATTCGCCAGAATGCTGTGACGGAGAATCTCCACAATGCCATGGAGCATCATCCTGAGTGTACGTCCTACGTCATTTCACTCTCTGCACCTGCTAGGCTACTAGATACGATGTGTACACCGATGCTAACCAATCATTTCTCTCAGCTTTCGGTCGCGTGACAATGCTCTACATCCCCGTCGAAGTGAACGGCCATCGTCTAAATGCCTTTGTCGATTCCGGCGCCCAGGTGACCATCATGTCGCCCGAGTGTGCAACAGCGTGTAACATAATGCGTCTTGTCGACCGTCGCTACGGCGGCATTGCCAAGGGCGTCGGCACCGCCCCAATCCTGGGCCGGGTTCACTCCGCCCAGATCAAGATCGGTGAAATGTTCCTGCCCTGCTCCTTCACCGTCATGGAAGGCAAGCAGATTGACCTGCTCCTCGGTCTCGACATGCTCCGTCGTCACCAGGCCTGCATCGATCTCCAGCGCGGCGCCCTCGTCATCCAGGACCAAGCCGTTCCGTTCCTCGGTGAGGGCGATATCCCTAAACACTTAACCGAGGAGTTCGAGGCCGAGCCTACAGTGAAGGGCGCCGATGGTGCCGAAGTCGGGGCCCGCACTGGCGCGGTTACGCATAAAGCTGAGAATCCTGTGAATGCTAATGCTCATGCTCATGCCCCCAATGCCTCCGGTGCATCGGGATCACAGCCGAAGATCAACATCCGGCCTGCCCCGGCGTCGCGATGGCCGCAGGACTCCATTGCCAAGATCACAGAGCTGGGATTCTCGCGGGAGGAAGCACTCCGGGCTCTGGACATGGCGCATGGAGACATCGAAGGCGCAATCGGGTTTTTGATTTGATCTAGCACGGAAATCCGCTTGTTGCATTTACATTCATGGGCGTTTTGGTCGGGATGGGAACTTGTATTAGCGAGATTTGATCAACGCACGTAATGATGTGTACGATTATAACGCTGGCTGCAGTGTATTAGATTGTTCTCTTTTTTTTTCCCTGTCTTTTTCCCCCTCTACTGCGTATGTATGTATGTATTTGGGTGTGGCCCAGGTGATCCTGGGTACATATTTCGGTTTACTCCCGCTTGCTTTTCGGCATGAGTTTGTCGCGGAGACGGAAGACCATGTCTAGGGCCATCAGGCCGCCTACGGGATGTCAGTATTAGTTTCCGCGGGCAATGGGGCCATGCCCATTGCAGTGTGTACCTACCCAGCGCCACGTAGGGAGCATACAGCATGGTGATTTGCTGTTTTTGGGCGACGGAGCGATCGGACCAGCTCCATACGTCCACCAGACATGTCAGCGAGGTGAGGAAAGCTTGGATTCCGAAGACGAGCAAATGCACAGGGATGAGGGGATGGTCTGGACGAATTGGAAATTTATGTCAGCTACGTTTGATGTCCCCAAGGGATTTTTAATTCGGCCATTGGGGACGAAGGATATCAGATGTTTGCAGGCGGAGTGGGGGGACGAAGCCAGGGATATAATGAGATCAGGCACGAGCGGAGACCACTGACCTTTACGCAGGCCCCGGATGGCCCAGATGGAGGCGGGAACATGGTAGAGCAGCTCCATCCAGATGAAGACGGTGAACCATGTTGGCGCGGGGTCCTCGAAGAACTTGTCGTGGTAGGTTGCGATATAGAATTCGCGGAGTTGATGGGAGAGGTTGGTCTGCAGGAAGGCTGGTTGAAGGGGGACGGTGTCAATTACTACGTTGGGGTTAGTGTGGCGAGATCACATCTGAGACAAAGATAGAGCCCGCACAGAAGATGATTGGAATATGAGTGACGAAGAACAGGAGATAGGCTAGGTCGCGTTTGCGACTGCAGATGGGCATGATGCGATCTGAGATCGGGGACAGTTCTGGATCATATGCACAGGGGGGATTAAGGGGGAATCAAGGAGGGGATCAGGTGACGAAGGAATAATCTGGAAGACCCCGAACGGAACAGGAAACAGGAAACAGGAAAGAGAAAGAGAAAAGAGAACAGAGAAAAGAGAAAAGAGAAAAGAGGAAAAAGAAGTTAGAGTATGAGCCTAGCCCTATAGGCCTATAATTGCTTTTTTGGGCGACGGTCGACGCTTGGGTAACTAAGTACGGAGTACTCCGTACATGAATGTATATGAGGTACTCCGTATATGGTCTCGGGGAGGTCTAGCGTATCCCTGGATCCTTCGGTACCTGTGGCTACTCCCAGGTACCTGAGCCTCGGGATCCCATTTCAGCGTCCGGCTCAGCTCACGCAATTTTGGCCTCTCCATCTCCCCGAAGGCCATTTTTAGGTGGCCAACAAAGGACCTTGGGGGACAAATTTCAATTATGCTCACTTCGGGTCCATTGGGGATCAATTTCGATCAATTTGGATCAATTTGGATCAATTCCGATCAATTCTGATGCATATATTCTCCAGCTCCGTGGAACACGTCAAAGGACAAAAGAACGACTTAGAGGGACGGAAACCCCCCCTGTCATAGTTCGAGAATCGAGATGAGCACGAACCACACGGGATATGTGTAGACCGCATGATCTCTAGGACACTCCCTGAAATGGTTGAAATGGTTGGAATCGTGAAACTGTGGTTTTCGCTCCTTTTTCTCCTGGGAGCTTCCTGAATGGCCTCTAGCGCCCCATGTGGCCCATAATCTCCTGCATAGATCACGGCAGATAATGCAATTGCCATTCCGACTGCCTTATCTGTTCCCAGTCCACGACGCCGTACGGAGCCCTCGAAATCACGGATTCTAGCGGTGTAAACAAGCGGGGCGTGGAAGCTCTGGAAGGAAACACGAGTGGAGTGGCAACGGGGATATGCAGAACCCATTCTGGGATTCTCGGGGTTATCCCTTTGGGATCCGTGGGGGGGATCCTGTTGATTCGTGATTTGCCGGATTTCCTGAATTTCTGGAATTCGGGAATTCCTTTTATTGGATTTCTGGGGACTATTATCGCATATTTCACACCGCTGTTCGAATCTCACATCCGGTTTCCACTCGGAGATGAGAGGAAGAAACTAGTGTTTTAGCCTGTGTGATCTTATGCATGCCTTCTTATTCGAGATGTCTCTATATACCGGTATATAGGGAAAATATATATATAATATATAATATATATCTCTATCGAGATCTATATATATAGACCTCCATCCCACCTCGATTCTCTCTTCATCTTATCCATCTACTCCACTCTCTCTCTATATAATCCCCTCCCACACCTCGACACCATGCCCTCGACTGCCCCCGTGCATCGGCCCAAACAGTCCAAGATCAAAAACCAGGAGCCCATCAGCTATGACATCAACATCCCATATGTCAATGTAGACAAGAAGTCCAAAATCACCACCAAATACCCCCAATACCTCCCCTCCTGGGATCCCGTCTGGTTCGATCCCCTGCAACCCTTCGACTATGAAGACCCAGCCCTGCGGGTCCGCAACAAAACAAAGCCCAACCTGCTGCCTCCTACCGCCAAAGTCAACCATATCCAGCCCAATCTAGGCACAATCATTGAGAATGTCCAGCTCTCAGACCTCAATGCCGCCGGAAGAGATGAACTCGCCCTCCTCATCGCAGAGCGCAAGGTCGTCGCCTTCCCAGACCAAGATCTCATCGATGCCGGCCCAGACGCCCAGGAAGCCTTCATGCGTCACTTTGGAAAACCAAACTACCAGCCCGTCTCGGGCTCCATGACCGACCATCCGGCGTTCCACATCATCCACCGCGACGGCAACAGGGAGGAAATCGCCCGGTTCCTCGAACAGCGCACCACCACCACCCTCTGGCACCAGGACGTCAGCTACGAAATCCAGCCTCCGGGCTATGTCATGCTCGGCCTGCTGCAGGGCCCCGAGGTCGGCGGTGATACCGTCTTCGCTGCGACGGATCTGGCCTACAAGCGCCTTTCCCCCGCTGTCACGGCTTTCCTGGATGGATTGAAGGCCACGCATTCCTCGTCCAAGATGATTGCTCATGCCCGCATGACCGGGGGGTTGGTCAGGAAGGATCCCGTCGATACCGTCCACCCGCTTATCCGGGTCCACCCCGTGACCGGGGAAAAGTGTCTGTTCTTGAATGGGGAGTTCATCAATCGCATTCACGGTCTCAAGGATTCGGAGACGAAATGGGTCTTGGACTTCCTGATGAATCACCTCGTGACGGGGCATGATTTCCAGGTGCGCGTGCGCTGGCAGCCTCGGACGATTGTTATGTTTGATAATCGCTCGACCATTCGTGAGTTTCTCTGCCCTTTTTTTTTGTTTTCTTGGTCTTTCTTTAGAGATTGGTCGAAGGCATATGCTAACGATTTCTAGACTCGGCGATTGTGGACTACTTGGATGACGATTACGGTGCTAAGGCTCGTCATATCTTCCGTCTCATTGCACTAGGCGAGAAGCCTATTCCTGTGTACGAGGAGGAAGAAGAGGAATTCGAATAGACTGCATAATGTGATAGATGGGCCATGTCGGAGTTTCGGATTTGGGATTATATAGATTGCATTTAATTTGGGTCGTTTTAATATCATTTTGGGTTGAAGTGATTGGAAAATCTTCATGGCTGAACATTTAGGGCTATCCTCCCGTCTAGTCTGCCATGTACATGTCAGGCTGTTGAATTCGTTTTCATTACCATCCCACGCCTAGAGTTACAGAAAACATACCCCATAAAAAAAAAAACAAAACGAAAAAACAAAACGAACTGATCGCCGGAATATGTCAAGTAAATCAGGAGTCACCGCCACGCAGATCGGCAGCGCTACAGGACCGTCCCCACATCGTCTCCCCAGGAGAAAACGCCACATTACCGCAGGATGTCATCGATCCGTGACCGCAAGTCATGAGCGATCTCCAAGTGTTCTCCACCAACGACACCGCTCTGCTGCAGGATCAGCAGCATTTCAGAGACACGCTCGGCAACGATATCCGACCCGAAAACCATGCCACCCAGGCGCACGGTCTCCTGGAACCACCCACTCAGCAGATACAGCAGATCGTGGGCAATAAACCGCCGGTTCGAGCCTTGGAAGGGCGCCTCGTCAGTGTAGTACATGGTTTCCAGCACGGCGTACAGGGATTCGTGCGCCACGCCAAGATCGATGAAGAGATCCACCACCCAGGTCGATGGGCCGACGTTCCGCTGGAACTCGAGTGCGTATCGCTCGAGCATGGGGACGAGCTCGCGAATCGGGAATATGGTCTCCGACATCCGTAGACGACTGCCGAGGCTGCGGACTTTGTCGATCACCGCTTCGTAAGGTTGCGGTGAGCCGCGCTGGGTGGTGGCGTCATGCACACTCTCGATCAAATGTTGCCAAGTTGACTTGACATCGGCCGCGTTCCGGTGGTCGGCTTGATAGAAAATTTGGAGGCAAATGTCGTGGTAACTGGCAGAGTCGGCATATTTGTTGAACAACTAGTAAAAAAAAAAGCCTTGTTAATATGGGGTTCGAATTCGTGTCTGCAGGATTCAGAGGATTTGGAAACGCGAGCCACTTACTGTACTGATATCCATCACTGGTCCATCGACCTCGCGCAGGATCTCGGATTTCCGCTCGGGAATGATTCGTTCGTCATCCTTCAGTCGTTGCAAGAGGTCATCCTGGATATTGGCCACATCAATGAGGTTTGAAATGTCCTGCAGCAATCGCTGCCTTGACTGACGTCCAACGTCCGGTGTGAAGATCGAAGCATTGGCGCGGGCTTGACCAAGGTACTCAATGCGACGACTCAAGGGTAGCACGAAGGCGCTGTTGGCCAGGTGGAACTGAACCTGGGCAGTCTCGAAAAATCGTTGAGACTGGGCATAGAATCGCCAGAGCAGATCGGCGTGGCCTAGATCATCGTTTGACTTGCGCTGGAGATAAGTGACCACAAATGGCGACTGGGTCTGCAGCAACCGGTCGTTCCAGCCCTGCTCGAGGTACCAGTCGTACAAACTCGTAAGGAACACCTCATCGGTCGAATCGGAAATCACGCCATATGCCTCATTCTGGCGTTTCGCGATGGGGGTGAGTTGGCCATCAATGAGTCCAGGGTCGGATGCAGCAAGTGCGTCAACTGCAAGTACAATTTTAAAGATTAAATCGTAACATTGCTTGCGGAAATAGAAGTATTCCTTGCGGGGGTCCTGGGTAGTTGTGAGCGTGAGCTGGCGCTGGGATCCTGAGGGAATAAGGGGAATAAGCACCTGTTCGGGACGCTGGTCCATAATCCAGGAATAGGCAAGGTTCGACTTGTCGGAGCGAGCGGCAACGTTGAGAGCAAGCTGGATAGCACCTAAAGTGAGACCGTTAGCATCGGATAATAACAATACCGCCGGAAATGACACAGCATACCTGCAAAGAACTGGTTGATAATGAAATTGTCAACAGCTGAAACCAGATAATCCATAGGCAGGAACTCTGCCACTTTCTGGAAGAGATGCAGACATTCGTTGAGCAAGTTCCGGCCCAGTTCCGTATTGGCACCAGCCTCAGTCGCACGCTTCAGCATTTCCTGTGCCCTGAAGATAATCACATCCTCTGGACTGCAGAAGCTGCCACATCGTCGTCGGAGTGCATCGGCCACGGTCTCGACGTTCGAGCCCTTGGCAATGTTGCGGTTCACAATACCCTTCACAAGTTCCTTGGCGATGTCGTGTCCCTTATTGGAACTAAACAATTCCTCATAGGTGAGTCTTAGGAACTTTTCCTTGGATTCAGCTGGCAAAGTCGCTACGATCTCATCAACCCGCTCGTCGAAGAGAACCAATATGAATGAGATTCCTTCGATCGTGTGTGTAACCAGCTGGACAAGTGAATATAGTGCGCGGTGCTCGGCTTGGAGAGCCACTTCTTCTTGCTTGCTGTTCACCCGGGAAAGAGCATCAGGCCCGTTAAGCCCATCAATGAAGGTCTTGTTCGCTTTGAAGAACTCGTCCAGGGAAGAGAGATCATGCTGAATAGCCTGCAATTTACTGGAACTCACAGACGCAGAGACAGATTCTGCACCGTTAGGCCCTTTGCCCACCTTCGCGATTCTCTCCTTCCAGATTGATCGCAACAGACGGGAAATATACAGCGCGATGCCCGTGTGTCGAGGAGAGGGCTGCACTGCATCTAGAACAGATGTCGTGCCGTCCGCAATGGCGTTTTCATTCAGATGAGCTCGACCACCCTGAGTGATGAAGGCCTGGCGTGCTGCAGCCAGGATATCCGGATCGGTGATTCGAGTCAGTCTTTGATCAGGGGAAATTTCCATACCCTGGCCACAAGCCACCGCCAGAGCAGTCGCCAGCATCTCACTTCGTCCATATGTTCGCAGGAAATTCTGGACCTCACCAGACAACCCATCATGAGGATTGCCGCCGCTACGGAGCAACGAGGCAAAGATATCCACGAGACGGCGTCGACGAATGATATGGACTCCACCATTAGTCAAGATTGCGATTTCCGGAGCCGGGTGGTCGAACTGAACAGCCAACTCATTGCTAACTGATGAAGGAGCCGAAACCAGCCCAATATCCTCTGCTTTGCCACCCAGATCCAGAGTGATGGCCGACTCGGCAGCTTTGTTATTGACTGGGTTCTCTTGGTATTGAGCGATCCGACCAGAATCCGGGGTTGAGATGAAAAGAGTATCCATCTTTTGCTGTGCATCCTTGGTAGTAAAGCAGAAGAAATAGCCTGGAGAATAACGCTCGGCAAGACGAGTGGGTGAGAGAGTGTTGATCTGACCAGCAGAAGGCAAACCCCCGCCAAGGTGTGAGACAGATGAGATAGATGATGCCATCCCACTCACGCCGGGCGAGGTATCGACGGGTGGTGTCTTCACGTGCAGTGCCTGCATGCTTGTGGGAGAATTATCGATGGTTGACGCAGGATCCCAGCTATTCGAGCTAGTGGCGCTAAGATATATGCGATAGCCGGTCGCCGTCGTTGCAACAAGATGGTACCGCGACGCTTCTGTGGTTGGCACAGGACTGATTGATACAATTTTGACTTTGGGATTAAGGGCTTCGTTTGCGGTGATGATGTGTCCGATATTGGAGTAGATGTCCGGGGCGAGTTTAGTGATTTCGAGTTTCAAGCTGCCATCAGTTCCCATGTGGAAAACGCGAATTGTAGACATGGAGGAGAGTGTATAGAGCAAGTTTCGGCTGTCATCGATTGTCATTTGCACTACATGCTCGGTAGCGCTCTGAGCAAGATTTTTCAGACTCATCGATGGCTTGAATGCCGCTAAAAGCGATCTCGTGTGGTTGACTCTCCCGCAGCGGCCTTGGAACCAACGTTCATCCTGCTGGTATCTAACCTCATGCACATGAGTATCAGACGACCCTCCAAAGAAGATGCGTCCGGTGGATGCGGTTGTCGCGAAAACATTGATATCTAACCCTCGGACTGCAACAGACATCCCGGTGTGATACAACGACACTTGTTTGCCTCCATTGGGCGTGTTCTCATGGCCCATGCCCAACAAGATGATCTCCGCGGTCGTCGCAATGACCAACAAATGGGTGATTGCAGGCAAGAAGACTCCCGGACGTGGTTTGGTCAACTTTACAGCATTGATACTGTTAGGTTGTTCCTCGAATCCCACCAATTGCGGGTTGGGGTGTGTGAAATCCCAAATATACAACGCATTATCAATAGCCACCCACGCATGATTTAAGTCGGCGAATAGACCCATGCTGGTAGAAACTTGTGCGCGGTTGTATTGGTCAAAGATCTGATCGGGAATGTCGTACATTTTGACTTTCTGGAATGGTGCCCATGATGGAGACGCGGGAATATTGTACTCGGAAGAAGAGCCCTCTGTCCTTTTTATCAGTGTTATTCGAAAACCATGAGCAGTAGATTCTTACGAGATAAATAGTTGTCCAGGTCTGGATAACGCGCCTCGCTTTCCAAGCTGTGATTGATCGTTCGCGCCCCGCGTTCCTCAGTGCTCACTATCTGGTTTTTGGAGGCTGCTGGGGGAAGCTTTGGCATGGGGGTCTGCAGTGGCGACTTGGATGGAATAGGCCGTGCCGTAGCTGGCGCTGGAGTCCCAAAGTAAGCTCCAGGAAGGGGTTTCTGCGGCGTCGCCGGAGGGAGATTTGTTGGAAGAGTCGGATACGACATGGCGGCGGTTGAAGGGAGAAAGGGACAATCCCCCGCTAAAAATCACAGAGAAGCTGCAGTATAGGTCGGGCGAGAAAAGGAAGTCAGAATGTAGGTGGGGGAATGACGATGGGAGAAAGTCTTTGGAGCAGATTGGATTATTCAAGGTCTTTGCGAAAAGCGAGAGTCAACACTGGGAGCGCACAGACCAATTACGATCTTCCGCCTTTAAGATTGATTGTCTCTTCCATTCATCTTTAACCCTCAATTGAACTTGTCTTTGTTGACTAAATTGCTAATCACAATGTTTCAATCCATCCGCTTCTCTTCACGCTTACCAGCTCGTCTGGTGCGGTGGAATTCCACCGGTCCGGTTCTGCCACCCTTGATGGCTACTTTGCGGACTGATCTGAAGACCGCCATGAGAGCCAAAGATACTACAAGGTAGGAAATGCTTCTGATTTTAGCTTTCCTGGGTATAAAAGCTTATGATCAGACTGAATGTGCTGCGCGCCTTGATCTCCGAGACCAACAATGCCGCCAAAACCGCCTCGCCGATCCAAACAGACATCCAGCTTTTGTCGCTCATCCGTAAACGGTTAAATGCCTCCAAGGATGCTGCAAAGGAGTTTGAAGCCGCTGAGCGACCAGATTTGAAGGAGAAGGAGGATGCACAAGTTGTCGTGTTGGAGGAATACGCGGGTCAGGTTAAGACTCTCCCCATCGCCGAGATCAAGGAAGTAGTCGTCAACGAGATCGATGCGATGATCAATGCCGGCAGTAAACCCAACCAAGGCACTGTTCTCAAGGCTCTCTTTGCTCCGGGAGGCCCGCTGGATGGCAAGCCAGTTGACCGGAGAGAAGTGGCTACCGAGGTCAAGAATGCGCTCTCTTGAGCTTAGATTTACAGTTTGTATATTAGTGTCACAATAGCCTCCGTGGTAGGCATTCAATTATCATTATAATTCACAGAAGAATAAGACTACACCTCCAAGTCAACGCCAGTTCAATTCATTCAGGAGTAGAAGAAAACTACTCCTCCAATGGATGTCATGAGAACACCCAACCACCACCATCGATCTGGGTTGATCAGCTCTTCCCTAGTGATCAGTTGGAATCCAGTGTGTGCTGATAGGTCTCGCTTTCGCTTGTGTCCCGTAGGCATGGGATTCAATGTTGTGGTGGGAAGCATTTTCGGTGGACGGTAGGCGAGGAACATGGGATGGAGGACCGAGCCATCAGCTCTGGTCAGTTTGAGGCGTTCAACGCCATGATACTTGTCGGTTTCCACTGAGAATTCCTGGGTGGTGTTAGGGTGGGCAGATTGAAGAGTGGGGAATATATGTACCTTGAACTGCTCGGTATTGTTATATCTTGTGTAGTAGCCTGACTCCTTGCGACAGGGATCGGACACTAGCTGACGACCATCGACGGCGATTGGAGTTAGGATCACAGTTCCGTTACCGAAGACAGAATAAGATCCATGTTGCCACTGCATAATTCCTCGCGGGCATGATGGTTCGGCCGCTGTTTAACATCAATATGGTGCCAACCATCTATAGATCCGTGGAAAACTAACGATTCGAGATCGCGCGATAGTATGCTTGTTCATAATATCCATTGTTGTCGAATGAATATGAAATACCGGTCAAATTCGGTTCCAGCAGCCTGTCGTTAAGAGGGTCGTAGAATCCCTGCGTGCATTAGTCCCGTTTGGTAGTCAGTTGTATATATTGATTCCACATACCGGACCAGTGACAACCTCACGAGATTTGGTGGTCCATGTTCCAACCAAATCATTCACATTTGCCAAAGCGGCAGTCGCCAACAAACTCCAAATCAGCAACATCGTGGTTGACAAAAGAAGAACCGACAGAAGGGGAGTATTTGAAGGGCGCCCTTCGTTACGGGTGGAGACAATAACATAGCACAGACCCCTATCAAATCGACTGGAATGCACAGGACCAAACGACACAGAAGAGAACAGGACTATCAAATACTTATCTGGAGCTATAAGCATGAACAGGTTCTATAGTGTAGTGGTTATCACTGTGGTTTTTGAAGTTACCCGATTGGGTAGTTAACCTACCACAAACCCCGGTTCGAACCCGGGTAGGACCTTTCTTTTTGTCTTTTTGTCTTTTTGTTCTTTTGATGGTCATCCCGGAATGTCCTTTATAATCACCCCGCTGACGACTAAGGACTATTCTTCCAATACCCTTTGCAACTATCAGGGGAAATGTCCTTCCAAGCTGCAAAGCGCGACCTGCGCAAAAGGATGCGCTCGGTTCTACAGGGGCTGTCTGCAACTGCAATCAACCAACAATGTCTGCTTGACTTCTGCTCTTTCTATCATTGTCCGTACTAACCCCATCCCAGCCAGCGCTGCTACAGCGAAGTTCCTGTCGCTGGCTGAGTATCAAAACGCGAAGAACATCGCCGTATACCTGTCTATGCCGAGCGGTGAGCTTTCAACTACAGGGATCGTAAAGGATGCCCTACAGCGTGGGAAGAATGTCTACATCCCATATATCCACACTCAGAATAATACATCTGTTATGGATATGTTTGCGCTCGGGTCCATGTCTGAGTTCGAGTCCTTACAACCGGACAAATGGGGAATCCCATCTCTCCTAATTACGCAAATCGAGGGTCGCCAGAACGCGCTGGTACAGGGGCTGGATCTCATCGTGATGCCGGGTATGGCCTTTGACCACGGATTCCGACGACTCGGTCATGGTAAAGGATATTATGATCATTTCCTAACGCGATACTCAAATTTGACCCGCAAAATGCCATTCCTTGGTAAGTAATCCCAGAAACAATCCGTTTATCCCCGACTGAACTCCATGATAGTTGCCCTTTCTCTCCAAGACCAATTGCTCGCTGAGGATATCCCCGTGGTGGAGCATGACTGGTTGATAGATGCGGTCGTGGTTGGTGATGGGCGATACTTGGACCGCAGGGTGTAGCGCAACTCGAAATAGAAAAGGAAGAGCGAAAATTCAAACAGCCTGGATAAGAGATACATTGTCTCCCTTGAGGAGAACCTGGCCTGTTGCATCATTGATTAGTTCTGTGCTCGTAAACTGCGGTCCGTTTCATCATACCTAGCGGCCTGCGCTTCTCCTCCTCTGTCTTGGTTGCCAGGCGCACCTCCACCGCATCGTCAATGACCAAATTCATGAATTCATCGAAGCCCTGGCATAAATTAGCTTGAATGACGACTAAGTTGGGGTCACGTAAGAAACAAAACACATACACGGATCTTCCCCTCAATGCGGAAAGCAAGCTGCTCATATAGCCAGACTGAAACAGTGCTGCGCTTCTGTAGCAGACTGAAAATGTAGTGGATCGGAGCCAACAATGTCTTGCGGCCAGCCATGATGTGAGGTTTATGTCGAAGGTGATAGCTGTCACACGGGAGACGAATCGAAGAAAGCTCTGGCGGGCCTGGCGGGCCTGGCGGTCGTCCCGTGATTTGATTACGGTAATACGGTTATCTCGTCACGGCCACCATCCCACCTTCAACTCGCTCCCCCTCTTCAGCGCCTACCTCGTCAGATGCTGATAAGTTTCTGAACTATCGCTGTGCCTTGATTAACTCCTTAATTCAATATGGCCAGCAAGGAAGCCGGGCAGGCATTCGCCCCGGTCCTGGCGGCCGTCGCGACAATGCAAGGTAATGTGCCTAGGTCCGAGAAGACTCAAGCCCATGAATTCCTTGAGAAATTCCAGAAATCGGTATGAGACTTCGTTTTGGCATTGGGATGATTTCCGCTAATTTCTAACGGTTCTGTAGATTGAGGCCTGGACAACAACCCATGCTATATTACAGTCCCCCGATGTACCTGTTGAAGCCAAGTTGTTTGCGGCCACTACGCTGAAAGGAAAGGTAAGAGCATGTCCCGCTCAGGATTGGAGTGTTTTCTGACTGTGCGCAGATCATCTTTGATCTCGATCAACTTCCTTCGGATTCAGTATTGGCGCTGCGAGACTCGGTCCTCAACCTATTGGTGGCATTTGCGCCAGGCCCGCGTCCCATTCAAACCCAGCTATGTGTGTGTCTGGCTAGTTTAGCGATTCAAATGGTTGCATGGAAGGACGTTCTGGCGACTGTTGGCGCAGCTTTGGGAAGCAGTGCAGGAGACTGCGTGCTGGAGTTCCTGAAGATCTTGCCCGAGGAAGTCACGGAGGGTCGCAAGATCAATCTCAGCGTATGTTTCCCTACTCGCGTATACAAAGATCCAGTCAAACTAATCATTGCAAAAGGAAGATGAGTTGCTCTCAAGAACCAAGGAGCTCCTAGAAGACAATGCAGAACAGGTCATGCAGCTGATGATTCAGTACGCTCAATCGTCGCGTACGTATTCCGTAGACATATTTCTACTCCTGGGGCAATAAGGACTCGTATCTGACCTTGAACAGCTACTGCCGCAACGAATCCCCGTCTGCTCGACTGCATTACTTCTTGGCTACGTGAAATTCCCGCCTCCAAGGTAGTGGAATCCCCTCTCATGGACGTCATCCTCAAGGCCTTGGATAACGACGTATCTTTTGACGCCGGCGTGGATTGTATTTGCACACTCTATCGTGATACAAAGGACGTGGACGAGTCCCTTCCTGTCATTCAAGCCCTCTACCCACGATTGATGGCACTGCGCCCAAAAATTGCCGAAACTGCCGAGGCCGAAGACTTGGAGGCTTTCAAGGGAGTCACACGAATGTTCGCGGAGGCTGGTGAAGCCTGGGTCGTACTTATCGCACGTCTACCGAATGAATTCCGCGGTCTCGTTGAGGCGCTTCTCGAATGTTGCGCGCGGGATTGGGAGCGCGATGCCGTGTCTCTGACCTTCATATTCTGGTATGAACTCAAGCAATACATCGCCATGGAACGGTACATCGATGCTCGAGTCAACTTCCAGGTCATATTCTCCCAGTTGGTTGATATCATGGTGAAACACCTCGAGTTCCCCAGCCCGGAAGAAGGCGAGGTTGACTTGTTTGGTGGAGACCGCGAGCAGGAAGAAAAGTTCCGTCAGTTCCGCCATGCAATGGGTGATGTTCTTAAGGACTGCTGTGCTGTTGTGGGTGTGAACGATTGTCTTGCTAAGATTTACCAGTTGATCCAGCAGTGGGTTGCCAAGTATGCGTCGCAGGCAAGCAATGAACATGTTCCTCATTGGCAAGAACTAGAGGCTCCTCTGTTCGGTCTCCGCGCCATGGGTCGCATGGTCGATCCTCAAGAAAGTACTATTCTTGGACAATTGATTCCTTTGATCGTTCAGATTCCCGACCAGGAGAAAGTACGCTTCCAGGCGATCATGGCGCTGGCCCGTTACACAGAGTGGACATCTGTCCACCCCGAAACATTGGAGGCTCAGCTTAACTATGTGATTTCTGGGTTCCACCACTCTTCTCCAGAAGTTGTGCAGGCCTCTGCTCTTGCATTCAAGTTTTTGGGAACAGACTGTCAGAAGCTACTCGGTGGTCATATCGCGCAGCTTCACACATTCTTCGAGTCAGTGCTTGACAAGCTGAAACCTGCCAGCCAGGAGGAAATCACTGAGGGTGTTGCTGCAGTGGTCTCAGTGCAGCCCCATGAGAAGATCTATGAATCGTTCAAAATGTTCTGCGATCCGATCATGGCCCGAATCATGAATCTTGCCAATAACGCCCAGGACGAAGAAGGCCAGCGGGCCGTAGCTGATCATCTGCAGCTGATCACTATCTTTGTGCAGGTGGTGACACCCATTGTTGCACCTGGAGAAGAAAATCCTGCCGTCAAATACTGCGGCGAGGTTTTGCCTATCATGACCACGATTGTCATGAATTTCACGTCCTCTACACCCATTCTCGAGCGCGTGTGCCGATGCTGGCGGTATATGATCATCTCTTACCGCACTGGCATGATCCCTCTTCTGCCAACTCTGGCTGAAAGCATTGCGAATGGCTTCCAAGCCTCTCGTGAAGGTTGCTTCCTCTGGGCCACGGACGCGGTCGTGCGCGAGTTCTGTGATGGTGCCGATTACGTGGACCAGGCCACTAGCGATGCCGTCTTCCAGTTCTATGAACAGCAAGTTATTGCTTTCCTGCGCATCTTGAACGACCTACCCCCGCAGAATCTGCCCGATGTGATCGAAGACTTCTTCCGTCTTTCCTCGGACGCTGTTCGATACTACCCCAAAAAGTGTATCACCTCGCCTCTTGCCATTCCCATCTTCTCTGCTGCGCTCAGTGCTCTCACTCTTCAACAAGTCGACCCTCTTATCGCTACGCTTCATTATTACCGCGATCTGTTCAGCTTTGCATTTGAGAAGCCTATGGTCTCCGGGTTCACTAGCCCGGAAGGCCAGCCTTATATTACCCCTCCTGAGGTTCGCGAGGCTGTCAAAGCCTTGATCATTTCTCAGGGCCAGCCTTTGGCGCAGCGTGTCTTGACAGGCATGATGTTCACTTTCCCTGGTGACTGCTTCCCCGATGCATCGGGAGTAATGATGACGATGTTTGAGCTGCTTCCTCAGGAAACCGGAGCTTGGCTGCAGACTACACTGCAGATGCTGCCAAGTGGCTCGATAAAGCAAGGTGAGGCCGAGCGCCTCCTGAAGAATCTCTCCGACAAAGTACAGTCAGGAGAGACCCGCAAAATTCGTATTCTCCTCCAAGGTCAGTTCCTTTACCCTCCCCTTGCCTTGCTTCCTTGGCTAACTTCTTCAGATTTCACCAATTCGTATCGCCGCCGCAATGTAGCTCCACGCGATGGACTTGGCCGCCTTGAGGCTACCCGATTCCGATTCAGCGGATGAAATTCTCCCTGTAAAAATTTCTTTCAGTGCTTACCAGCACCACAAAAAAAAAAAGAAACCACGGGAATACATGCACATCCAGGTGTTAATCCTTTGCTATTGACGCGCCATGTGGTACGATACGATGGCATGAACTCGGTCTCGTGATGATTTATGATCTGCCGGCACCCCGGCCTGACCAGAGATGTCTGGCTTCAACATTGCTGCCGTTCAGGGGTTGTATGAGCTCGACCTGGATTCGGTAGACAGCATTCATACAGTCGCAGCTCATCTCTGCATTGAGATGCGTCTTTGGCGCACTCTCTGTGTATGGGCATTTGATTACGAGCAATGAATCTATTGAGCACATATCTTGTATCTGTAATTGTAGTATATTCCGTGTATTCCCAAGCTATAGGTGGAGTGTTCGATGTCTGTATATATAGTGTCAGTGCGAAGTGATATAACTGATATAACTGACTTGATCTATCTAGATCACTATGCAAGTGGACAGGACCTAATTCAACCCTGGTAGTATGATCTATGAGCCAAGTAAGGTGGCGACTCAAATTTCCACCGAGCAAGCCAGTTATTCACCATGTGTGTATATAGTTACGTGCACTCTAAGCACAATGGCATCGAGCGCTACTATGACTAGCGCACTGTTCTATAGTTTGATGTGACACACAAGGCGCATAGAGGCGACGAGGCAATGCAATTAAGACAACCGAAAAGCAGTACAGTCTTCGATGATCTACCCAGGCCCATCGTATTGCTCACGTCTCACATATCGGGGATATGCGACGCGAACAGATTCTCACCAATCGAGTCATCTCCGCCACAAACCCCACCGACACCTCCGCACTTCCCCCGGACGCTCTCTGAAACCCGTTGCGCTTCATTCTTTGCATATTATTCTGCTCCTTCTGAACCTCTTCGCTCGTTACCCAGTTCGGATCGACATCGAAATTCGGCATCCCGAGTCCCATTCCACGTCTCCGTGCCATGGCATGAAAAATGGAGATCGACAGTCAACCCTCGAAGAGACGGCGACGCAGTCGCAAAGTTCTCTCTGGTCGCAAGTTCGAATGCACCTTTGAAGGCTGTGGGAAGAGCTACTCTCGCGCCGAACACCTAAGTCGCCATGCGCTTAACCATGCCCCGAAGCAGATCTATCGCTGCGACTTTCCCAACTGCTACCGATCCTTCGTGCGACAGGACCTCTGCACTCGTCACCGTGAACGTCACACCACCAGCGGTTCCCAGCTCCAGAAACGAGACAATTTCACCGAAAATGACACGAAAGCTTCCCCTCTTTCCTCCCCTGCTATCACCGCACCGGAATACTTCGTCAGCTCGGAGGAGCCAAAACCCCCGGTGACAACATATCCGCTCACCACTGGCGTGGATAGCAATGCTATACCAGTGGCTCAATACTCGGACTTTCCGACAGTGCTGGATCAGCCCGATAATTTCATCGATCTCGACTCCATGTCCTACCCCATCTTTGGCGGGGAAACCTACAATCGATCACCATTCGCGATGGCAGACGATTTTGCAGCGTGGCTGTTTAGCGAACCGCTCGCGCCGCTGGGTTATGGAATGGTACCACTTGTCCATAATCAATTTTATATGAATGAGCCTGCGTATAGCAATGACAACTTTTGCTCGGTGATCCCACAACACCCGATGAGCGTGACCAGCATCCTGGACTCAGGAGCACCACCGGCGATTATTTCGGAAGAAAAGCGCCAAGAGTTGCTACAATTGATGTCGACTAGGTTCAACGAAGCAGCATACGCGCCGGGTGCCAAACGCAAACATGCGCTGATGGACGGAGATTTAAACGATGACCGGCACGTCTTAAGCTTGCGCATGATGCAGTCGTACATTGGATCCTATTGGTACCATTTCCATGCACAACTTCCGATCCTGCATCAACCGACATTTGGCGCTGATCGTACCCCGAATTTATTACTGCTAGCTATCATGGCGATTGGTGCAGCAAGATTGGATAAAAGCCATGGCCAGGCCGCCACCGAGGCAGCGGCGGAATTAGCCAGTTTCATCGCGTGGCATTTGCGCTGGGAGATTTTTATGGATGCGGATTTCCGGCCACCAGCTAGGCTCTGGGTCTTCCAATCTCTATTACTACTTGAAGTCTACGAGAAACTCTTCTCTACTCGTGCACTGCATGAGCGGGCACACATCCACCACGACACAACACTTACGCTCATGCGCCGAGGTAGTTCATTGATCGGCAATTCTTCTTTTGACACACCGGAAACTAAAGAAGAGGATGAGTCTTGGTCAACTTGGATCAAGGCAGAAGCGACCCGACGCGTTGCATTCGCCGCTTTTGTCTTGGATTCAACACATGCAACCATGTTCGGCCATTCAGCCAAGATGGTGGCCCACGAACTGCGGCTGCCATTGCCCTGTGATGAGGCGTTGTGGGCAGCAACAAGCGCAGCCGAGGTTGCTCGGGTGCAATCTAGTCTGCAGTCCCATGGCGTGCGGCCAATTATGTTTTTAGATGGCCTCAAGCGCACTCTTAATGGACAACCCGTCCGGACCAATGCGTTCGGACGAATTATTATCATGTCGGGCTTGCTGAGCGTCTGCTGGCATCTCAACCAACGAGACCTGCAGATCAGCTCGCTTGGTGTGGGTCAAACCCTCGGCGGACGAGATAAATGGAGGACGGCATTGCTCCGGGCATTCGATAACTGGCGGCGCGACTTCGACGAAGCCCTGGGACCGTCGACCACCTCCGAATCGCGCAACGTGCTGCACGGGCTGGCCCATATGGCATCTCACGTTGATATAGTCGATCTGCAGATCTTTGCAGGGGCTGGCCGATTAATGGGCCGGTCTATCACAGCTCGTGATTATCGCGCCGCACGAGAAAAGACCGAGCGGTGGGCGACCAAAGCGTCGGCACGGGATGCCACGTTCTATGCGCTCAAGTTTTTGTCTACGTGTTTCTTAGACCCGACCACACAGCCTGGGGAGTATGCTGCTCGCGATGACTATCTCTTGAATCGCCCGTGGGTGATGTACTTTGCAGCGCTAGTGGTATGGACATATGGGTTCGCTCTGGACGGCCCTTTGCGTCCTGCTCCTATTCTCTTGACAATGGCCGACCGAGAGCACGACATGCAGATATTTTTGCACCGTGTGGGAGCAATCCAAGAACCCAATGAGCTAGAGGCCATGAGCGGGCGCAATGGCTGTCTCGGTCTACTAATGATTCTCCGTGATTCCTTTGCGAAACCGCGATGGGAGCTCCTGGGAGAGGCGGCGCGGCTGCTGGACAGCTGTATCGCGAAGCTGCAGTCGTAGCATGTATGATGTGTTTATATACCAATGATTATGTTCTATTATTACAACTGGGGAAGGATAACCCCAAGTACATCAATTGTATAGTGTTGCACGCTACTAAGCCCCTGTAGCGTTGCCCTAACAACCACCGGCGATCCCACACCAAGTTCCCCCGACCTTCACCTCCCACGCATTTTTGTTTCCAATCACCAATCTCATCTCCAAATCATCCAACCAAAATGGTGAGTCGCGGCATTCCCTCCTGTTGATAGACTTCCTATTCCAGCGGTCCTACCGCACCCCCTTCCCGCCCCTGTGAACCGCGGACATGGCCCTGTCCACTTCTCAGCTTCCCCCTCATCTCCGTGTCAACAGGGTCTTGGTCAACATCCCTCTCTTTCATCATGGCTAATAAACACGACCAGGCCTCTACCAACTACAAGGAAGCGTTCTCGCTCTTCGATCGCCGTGGCACCGGCCGTGTCGCTGGTGACCTTCTCGGTGATCTGCTCCGCGCTTGCGGACAGAACCCCACGCTGGCTGAGATTGGGGACTTGGAGAAGTCTGTCGGTGGTGACTGTACGTTTTTTTTTTTTGATTGAGTCTCGCATTTGGTTTTGGTTGATGGACATGATCGCGTTGTTGGATCTGTTGAAGGAGGGGACTTCCTGGCTAACGTATCTTGTACTCGGTTTAGTCGACTTCGATGCCTTCCTGAAGGTCCTCAACCGCCCTGGTGGTTTCCGTGAACCCGGCGAGCCTGAGGAATATTGTCGCGGATTCCAAGTCTTCGATAAAGATATGACTGGGTTTATTGGCGTTGGACAGCTGCGCTACAGTATGTTTTGTCCCAGATTATTTGGCGGGCAGGGGTGTTTCTAACATGTGCTATTTCCAGTTCTCACAAACCTTGGCGAGAAGATGTCCGACGAAGAGGTCGATGAGCTGCTCAAGGCGGTTGACACTAGCTCCGGCGAGATTAACTACACGGGTATGTCTGTCGCAGGGCCTAGAGTGGGCTATTTACTCGATTGGGCATTTGCTAATTCCTCCCAGATCTTGTCCGAACTATCCTCGCCAACTGATACCCCGATATGATTTACGTTCGAAATGGATATGGCTATGCCTTGAGGAAATGAAATTTGGCGTGTTGGAACCTTCGTCTTCTATGTTTTTATTATCAAATACACTGTATTTTTCTGCTCCAGGGTATCTCATCTCTTCTGTAGAATGCAGATGCAGCTTTCCATCTCCGCATAGATTGTGCATCTAAATAGCCCAATCCCTCCACTCCTTTTCCCCAACACCCTCACCCCCCATCTTCTCCGTCTCCACAATAGCTCCAGGAAGAAGATAAACGGCTGGCGGCCGCTGCTCCGCTCCCTCCTCAGTCCCCGCACTCCCGTTCGCAGCAGATCCCCAATGGATCCGATCCAAATAATACCCTACAACAACCTTGCACCGCCCGCACCTCAGAAGAATCCTCTTCTCAATCCCGTCATCGCGCCGGATTATCGTCGCCCGCCGATCTGGAATTGTAGTTGCGAGGAGGAGTGTCGTGTGGCTGAAGGCGTGTCTTGCTTTGCGCGCTGGCGTTTCTGCTGCGCTGGCTGCTTCCTGTTCGAGCTCGGCTTCCAGATCGCGGTCTTCCGAGCTATTGCGCTCGAGGGGGAGGATCAGCGCTTTATCTTTGCCTTCGCCGCTGCGTCGTGGAAGTGTGCTGATGGTTCGTGTTGTTGCTAGTAGGAGGTGGTTGCAGAAGCGGCAGTGTTGCGTTTGGATTGGGAGGCGTTGGTCTATCATGTTGGGCTTGGTGGGTGGATTGGCGACTCTGTACTGTGGTGGAGTATACAATGCGGGTTCGAGGTAATATGAGCCGGGGAGCTGGTGGCGGTGCCCGCGAACAGATCGGTCTCTGGGTCGGAGATGGGAGCCGAAAGCTGGGTAGTTATGGTCAGTCTCTTGGGCGGGGTTGAGTTGAGACTATTTTCCTCCTGGAGATAGCGCGGTAGGTACTCACAGGGGATGGGGTTGGTGTTTTTGATTTGGGACTTGTCTGTCTGTATCGCAATGCTTAAGATGACGCCGTTTTGAAGAAAAAGAGAGCTGTTGACTTGCGGAGAATTGCAGAATGACAAGGCGGTGGGCTTATCAGTATATCAACTACGGAGGACATCGACCACGATGCTTTACAGCATCAGATGGGTTGATTAACATGTTATTTGGTGATCCATGAGAATGACTTCAATTGTATAGCTCTTGTAGGATATAATGACGGTATAATGTATGAAGCCGTCTATAAGCTCTCATAGGTTGTAAATGTTGGCTACCACTTTAAGCCAGTCCGAGGTCCTTATAGAATGCATCAGTCTGGGGCTCACGGCCCAAGAAGTCGGTTAGAGTCTTCATCTCATCTTGGCTACCACCCTTCTCCAGCACCTGGTATCGGTAGCGGCGACCAGAAGCCTTGTTCATGGGGTCATCCTTGAAGACCGTGTAGAACATGTCGGTGGAGTAGACTTGAGAGCTGTAGAGAAAATCCGTCAGTATTGACATAACACGGACACAAATTGGTAACTTATCGCTTACCTCAAGTATCCATAGTATCCAGCATCATAGCCTCCGATCAAATGCCCGAAGGTCGCCTCGCCGTGTCCCCACTCGCTACCAGCGCCCAGAGCTTCTGGTCCATCCATCTGGGTAATCTCCTGCCGGAGACGGTTGTATGTCGCAGAAAGAGGCAGGGCCTCGATATCAGCATGACTCTTGGGCTCGTGCACGGTCATGTCGAAGATACCAAAGTGCAGCTGGCGCAGATTGAACAGGGCATCGTTGACGTGCTTGGTGCGGATCAAATTCGCAATCACGTCGTCGGGGATGCGCTCTGATGGTGGACTGGCATCAGTCTTGCCATCTTGGGCTTCCTTCCAGCTGGCCAGATACTCCGGGGAGAGAGTTGAGTAGTGTCGGCTCAGAGAGCGCAGCTGTGAGGGTGTCCAGCACCAGTTCTCTAGCATCTGGCTGGGTGCCTCAACGAAGTCGCGCACTGTGTTGGTACCGTGGAAGCGAGAGTAGATAGTCCGAGAAACCAGGTCGTGGATTCCGTGACCTAGCTCGTGGAAGAGGGTCACGACCTCTTCGTGCTTCAGCAGACTAGGCTTCTTGGGCTGAGGCTTCGTGAAATTGCACACCAAGGCGGTGGCAGGGAATCGGCGGTTACCATCCTTATCAACGAAGCCCGGCTGCAGGTTGAAGTTGGCTGCATGACCATACTTGCCCTCGCGAGGGAACAGGTCCAAGTACAAGTATCCAACGAACCCACTGCCTTCGCCCTCATCGTTCCACACACTGAACACTTGGACATCTTCGTGCCAGACAATATCGTCGCTCTGGCCTGTTGGGGCAATGGCTGCCCGGTCCTCGCCAATGATCTCGACAAATTCCAGACCGAATAACTCCTCGAAGATCTTCAGCATACCCTGAATGGTTGTCTGCAAGGGGAACCACTCAGCAATGAGCTGATGATCCAGAGAATAGTCCTTCTCGAGCATGAGACGGTCATAGAACCGGTGATCCCACAGGTAATAGCGGCCATCGGCCTTGGGGTCGGTGGCGTTCTTCAGCTGCAGCAACTTATGGGCCTCCTTCCGACCCCCGGAGGTCAGTCTGTCCCGAAGATCACCGAGGAACTTGTCAACGGTCTCGGGAGTCTTGGCCATCTTGTCCTCAATACGGAAAGCAGCGTGGTTGGGATAGCCGAGTAGACGGGCCGCCTCATCACGAAGCACAATGGATTCACGGAATAGCGGCACGTTCTGGTTGCACTTGTTCTCGTTGGCAATCATGACCTCTCGCCGGGTCTCGGGGTTGGTGGCGTATTTCATAGTGGGGAAGAGGTCGGGGTACTTGAATGACAGCCAGAGTTTGCCGTCATTCTCACCCTCGCCCTTCTTCAGGCCATCCAGGACGTCCTTGGGTACACCATCGAGCTGTTCAGGAGTGAACCAGATGCCACCATTCTCTTCATTGAGGTTCTTCTGGAACTCAATGCTCAGCTGGCTCAGCCGCTTCTTGATCTCCTTGAAGCGGAGCCGCTGAGGTCCGGCGGGCAGGCCGAGTCCATTGCGGACGAAATCCTTGTGTTCCTTCTCCAACAGACGGCGCGACTCCGGGTCGAGAGTCTCGTTGCGACGTAGTACAGCATCGACGAGACCAAACACATCCTCACGCATGACCGCCTCAATGAAGAACTCATCCATCAGCTCTTCGGCCTTGGATGAGGCATCACGCAGCTTCGAATCGGTCGATACAGCTTGATAAAAGCCAAGGATGTGTGACTCCAGTGCCATCACATTGTTATCTTGGGCGAGAGGGCGGATAACGTTGGCAAAGGTCGCGTCATCGGGCTTGATCTCCGCCACCACCTTGTCCTGAATGGCTCGCGAGCTTTTGATCAAGCGCTCGGCATCAGCTACCAACGACTGCGGGGTCGCAGTAAAGGTAGGCGGGGCCTGAGGTGGCTTGCGGAGATGAGCGGGAGCCATACTGGAGGTCGTCAATAGTCGTACTGGTATGTTGGTACGTATGTTGGTACGTAAATGGCCCAGCACGGATGAGAGGCGGGGGGAACGGAGGAAGGGCGCCACGATGAGGATGGCAAGGAGGACGACGAGGAGGTGGAGACGAGGGGTCAACGCAATGATGGGCGAAATCGGAGGGCTGATGCGGTGTGAATGAGATGAATTTGTCAGGTGATGCGAAGCTGCCCAGGTGATTGCGGGGACAGATATCTACACTTCTTGGCACTTTTCGTGGGCTAACACTTGTCCCGACTCTATTTGAACATCATACTTGGATTTCTCAATTGATATTGAACTAATCCTACTGCTGTGCGTTTACAATAGGCCTCAATCCAATTGGATTTCTGACGTGTGCATGACGTCTCGGTATTACTCTGCCATATATCAGCTGTTGCTAGGTATATACATGTCCATGTTTGTAACTCGACTCCCAGGATACCCAAACAGAGAAGAATTGACGAGCAATAATATCCTTTGAGATAAACTATCTGCTGGGATTCATCAATGGCTGAGCCTTTCAATGAATAACGGTGACTTTAGCCTGTCGAAATACTACCGTCAAGATACTCGGCCCTGTTTACACGATTAGTTCCAGTCGTATTTGCCATGTCTTTCGCAAGCTGCTATCATGGAAGTATCGCCACCTCACCTGAGTAGTGTAGACTGTGCGCCTCACCGAGGACTGATGCTATATACCAAATGTATGTCCAGTGTAGATCATAGACGGTGTACATACTCCCAAGCGAGGGCATGTGATGGAGCCTAAGCACCCCGCACTTTGCCTTTTCTTCAAGTTGAAGGCTACACCTGCCCAATCTGAGAGTTACCACATCTACAACTACAGAACACAAGTCGCAGGTATATGAGAAATCATGAGAGTTCGTTTCTAATCCATGAGAGATTATTTATGAAGTGCGTCATAAGCCGCTTTTAATGAGACAGGGGGAAAAATGAGAAAAACGCCAACACCGACCCTCAAATGCAAGATAAGAAAAAGTCATCAGAAGTTCAAGCCGCATCCGCAGTGGGGATAGGCTCGGGCATCTTGGTGACTTGCTGACCGGCGCGGATGATCCGCTGGCCTGTCTCATCACGCACATACTCGGAGTTCTCCTTCTGAGCGCGCTTCCAAATCTCAACTTCACCACCGCCACGAATGACACCGACTCGCATGGTAGAAAGCAGGTTGTGAGCACCGTTGGAGTGGTAGTAGACACCGCCGTTGAACATGGCAGTGGCGTCCTTGCCAAGGCCGGACTTGATCATCGCCTTACCACCGGGGTGGTCCTTGATAAAGTCGGTAACATCGTGAACGACACCCGCGATGGAGATCAGGCCACGGCCGTTCTTGGTCTGCTCGACATAATCATCCCACTCCATGACGGGAAGCTGGTCCAGGGGAGTACCCCAGTCGAGCTTAGCGCGCTTCTGGTCGATCTTCTTCTGCAGCTGCTGGACACGGCCCTTCTCGATCTCGTTGGAGCGGAACTGCTTCAGGTCGAAGGCCAGGCCGAGCTGCTTCCAGGTCCAGATGGTCCACTTGGTGGGATCATACTGGTGCCACTCGATAGCATTGCGGTAATCCGAAGGGAACTCGTGGTGGAAGTTGTGGTAGCCCTCGCCGAGGGTGACCAGAGCGGTGATAACGTGATCACGGGGTGAGTTGCGATCATCGAAGGGCTGGTCACCGAGCCAGTGGGCCAGCGAGTTGACACAGAAAGTAGCCTGTTGCACGAAGAAGATGCGGAGGATACCGGCATACACGAAGCCGCCGTACCAGTCACCCCAGCCGAGACCAGAGACAAGCATAGGCACGATCAGTCCCATACCGAGAACGACCTTGAGGTAGTTGCGGTGCTGCCAGACGACAACGGGGTCTTCGTTCAAGTCGGTGATGTCGGTGCGGCCAATACGCTTGGGGTTCTGCTTCATAACCATCCATCCAAGGTGCGAGTACATCAGACCCTTACGCACGGAGTAGGGATCCTTCTCGGTATCGGTATAACGGTGGTGCGCGCGGTGGTCACGAGCCCACCAGCGGATAGAGCCTTCGACGGCACCGCCGCCAACCAGAGCAAGCCAGATACGCAGAGGAAGGGTGGCGGAATAGGAGCAGTGGGCCCAGAGGCGATGGTATCCTGGTAATTCGGGTCAGATCATGTTCGACTGGACTCTCGTGTGAAGGGTGACTACTTACCAGCTGTGATTCCCAGTCCAGTGAAGAAATAGTAAATGACTGCCCAGATGGCGGTCTTCAGCTGAAGAGGCACCCAGAAGGCCTGGATACAGCCCGAGAGAGGAACACCGAGAATGAGAACGACGTTCAGCCAGTTGACATGCTTGTACCAGTTCTGGCGAGTCATCTGAGTATCAGCGATGTGCACCTTCTTGGTGTCAGTCGCCCGCGGGCGCGAGACATCGGGCTTGGACGACATGGTGTGTGTGTGAAGAAGGATGGAAATTCTGTCCAGGAGGACCAAAGGATTTTTATACTTGGGGCCCACTTAGGACCAACGTTGGGGAGCCGGGGCACTGATCGCCAACGTAGATGGGGAAACCTGGGCAAAAGACGAATCAAATGAATGCGGAAATTGCACGTCACAAGATCCCGAGGCAAAAAAGAAGCAGAACGAAGGACAGAACGCCTTATAAGCTCGCTTTGATAGACTTTTGCGCTGCGTTTTCTCGGGAGTGGCGCGCCTCAGCGCTTTCTGGCGAATGTTGGGTCCGGCCAGCCCCAACGCTTTCGTGCCTCAGGCAGCCCAGGGCAGCCTCAGGCCAATCAGCGCCGGATGGCAAATTAGGTCAGCAGCCGACATACCCAGCCCTGTCCAAGTCCATGGAGGGCCTGGTAGCCCTCGGGTTTTCTAGGGATATTCTTCTCTCTTGTCCAATCATATCCCATAATATTACAATCCAATCATTGGTAGCTCTCACGGGTTGGGAGTGGCCAAACCCTTCTGCGTTCCTTACAGGATACCTAGGTACCTACATTGCTGACTCGATATGGGGATAGCCCTTGTCTGAGCCGAAAGAGCACCGAACTTCGGCGATCACCCATACCTCGTATAAATCATGAAATCATCGCATACAGATCGATTTCCATATCCAACAACGGCGGCTGCTGAGATAATTTTCCCGGCGTTCATCGAATTACAATCGATTCCATCTGTTTGTCCTGACGGGTCTGAGAGTGGCACCCACAAGTCGGATCAACTTGCCCTTGAGGCCCAGCAGATCATGATTCAATAATGAATCAGAGCCCAAGGGGGTGACAGATGAATGTATCCCATGGCAAAAAGCGAATCCAGGGCGAAGTCACGGAACTGTGGAAAACAGATGAATGAGAGGTTGTTTCATATTGGTTGTTTCATGTTGTACGGAGTCCATGGCAACCATCACATGGTTATTGGGATCTGCTCAGCCCACGACTTACCTAGGCAAGAAATCATGGCGCACAGAGTTGCCCCCAGCGAACCAGCACTACTCCGTAGTACGAAGAGGTCCAACGGTGTAAGTAGTCTGGGGAACAACATGGGTTTTCTGGAACACTGCGGGTTTCCCGAGGGATGCTCCAACGTATACCACGCCGCTCAGCCGCTATGATCTGGGAACCCGCCAATGACCAACACGGGCTTCCAATGGGATTGAGATCACTGCGAGTTATGAGTAATTGCAATATCTGACCTTACGTCTTTGATTACCAGAAAAGCCTCAAATGCACTATACATCCTTACGACATCCCATGGCTGATAGGGGCTATGGTGCAGCTGGGGAGATCGGAGTCTTCCACTATCCCTGGCAGTTTCTACGGCGCCCTCCGACTGCACGATCTCAGATAGACCCCAGAAAGATACCACGATAGCAAGATAGCAGATAACCTTTGATCGTTTCCGAGTTGTGGAGAGCCAACCCCCTCATCTGGCGGGATTCCCCTGCAGACAATCCGCAAACTACCGATCCACTGGGTGCAAGACCGATAGAGGGATCTCTCACCCAGGCTCCGTTGGCCATGTCCGGGGGAAACCTGTTTGGGCAGCATACGGAGTGCCCCGAGGAGGGGGAACAGGGAGACTCCGTATGTTGTAGATCTTAGGAAGTGCGAGGAAGGGCTAGGAAGTGCTGTGTTTGGAGGATTCGGTCTCTTTGCCACACCCGTGGACACTTATCCGGTCCCACTTGGGATCTCTTCGCGGTGATTGGTGGACTGGCAACTGAGATAGGTAAGTCGGCCTTCCAACTCCCAGTCCAGCGGCCAACAGGTTTTATGCAATGCTCTTGCTAATGGCTCTTACATCGATCCGATAACGCCTCCCGACGTTGTAGGTAGTTGCAGGAGGTGAAGAGGTGTATTTAGGTCGTTCATTGGGTATGTACTCCACGTTTTTTGAGTCATTCATCTCTGGGTACCTTCTCCACCCGGGGCCGAAATTCACCCCGAACTTTTAGGGTTATAGCCATTTTTTTTTGGGAAATTTTTTTTCTTCTCTTTGGAAAACTTCAAAAGTCTACCCAAGGTCTACCCTGACCTTTAATTTTGTCGATATTCTAGGTGCTTCCTAGGTATTCCATTCTTTTCTCACCATGGACGGTCCGGACCAGATTGGCCCTGATCAGACGCCCAAGCGGACGATCAGCGACCATTTCCGACGCGCGGTGCAGACTTTCACTACGCGGTATGAGTTCAAACGACGCGTCAAATCGACCCGGAACTGACAATCAACAGTGAGGGTTTGCTAGGAGACTACGATTATGGATACCTTTTCATTCCACGACTGCCATTTACCAAGCGAGCCCGCAAATCTGCACCTTTCTTCGGTCTCGAGGACCGCGTGCCCGTTGTTCTCGCATTGATTTTGGGATTGCAGCATGCACTGGCGATGTTGGCTGGTGGTGAGTAGCGTATACTCATACATGTTCCAACCGAAGACTAAGAGCATCAGTGATTTCACCACCTATCTTGCTCGGCGGCTCAGCCGGTGTCAACTTCGACGATGTACTATACCAATATTTGGTCTCAACTTCGTTGATCGTATCCGGCGTTCTGAGTGCGGCTCAGATGTTCCGGCTTCGTATCTGGGGCACCAAATACTACATTGGAACCGGACTGCTCTCGGTTGTTGGTAAGAATCCCTGATATTCACCTCTTTCTCAGATCCCCGCTTCCTACATTGGATGCTGATTGGTTCAATCAGGTACATCCTTTTCAACCATTACAGTCGCACAGGGTGCCTTCTCCCAGATGTATCAATCGGGCTACTGTCCCACCTCTGAGGACGGAACTAGGCTTCCCTGCCCCAGGGGCTACGGTGCTTTGCTTGGCACCTCATGCCTTTGTGCGCTGCTCGAAATCGGCATGTCCTTCATGAGTAGCAAGATCCTTGCTCGCGTCTTCCCGACTCTCGTCACCGGCCCCACTGTTCTTCTGATTGGTGCTTCACTCATCAAGTCCGCGATGCAAGATTGGGCTGGTGGCGCGGGATGCGGAGCTAATCCCGCCGCTCGCGCTTTGTGCCCAAGCCCCTCTGCTCCCCACCCTCTGCCCTGGGGAAGCCCTGAGTTCATTGGGTTGGGTTTCCTTGTCTTCGTCACGATCATCATCTGCGAGCGCTGGGGTCCCCCAATCCTCAAGAGTTGCTCTGTAATTGTTGGTCTGCTGGTTGGCTCAATCGTTGCCGCGGCATGCAACTACTTCGATGATTCTGGTATCGCCGTTGCACCGGTGGCTTCTTTCGCCTGGGTCCACACGTTCCCTCTGACGATCTATCCGCCTCTGATTTTGCCGTTGCTTGCGCTGTACATCGTTATCATGATGGAGTCCATTGGTGATATCACGGCAACATGCGACGTCTCCCGACTCGCGGTTGAGGGTCCTACCTTCGATTCTCGGATTCAAGGCGGTGTCCTGGGTAGCGGTCTCACCTGTCTCATGGCAGGCTTGATGACTATCAGCCCGATGTCCGTCTTCGCCCAGAACAACGGTGTCATTGCGCTTACCAAATGCGCTAATCGTACCGCTGGCTACTGTTGCTGCTTGTTCCTGATTATCATGGGAATCTTCTCCAAGTTTGCCGCTGCGCTGGTTTCAATCCCCAGCCCCGTCCTAGGAGGCATGACCGCTTTCCTCTTCAGTTCCGTGGCAGTTAGTGGTCTGCGTATCATCGTCTCTATCGATTTCACTCGCCGCAACCGGTTCATTCTCACAGCTAGTTTCGCCATTGGAATGGGCGTCACTCTCGTTCCCGACTGGTTCGGTTACTTCTTCTCCTACAAGGGTGACAACCATGCCCTCGAAGGTCTGCTCAATGCTGTTAACTTGATCATGGAGAACGGATTCGCTATCTGTGCGCTTCTTGGCATCTTCCTTAACCTCTTCATTCCCGACGAGCCCGAGGAAATTCCTGCTATCTTTGAGTCAAATGAGTCGGATGACGACCGCGTGCAGATTGGTGCCCATGATCAGTCGACTGCTAAGATGGATCAGCCGGCTGCTCCAAGTGTTTGATATATCGCGCATTATATATAGTTGTGGCATCTCGTCATATATGGAGTTCGGTGTGGGATTTTGGCATTTTTAGCGCTACCTTCAATATCTTTATTGCAATCATAATATCGAGATCCCCTCGGGTATTTTCCTGGAATTTCTCATGTGCATGATCGAATACTCTCTTGGACCTCACCTAGCGCACCATCATGTAGCAGAACATGGGAGTTGTTTTTTGCCGTAGTCATCCTCTTGCTTACATTTAGCTGGAGCATATTTGGTATCACCTAATTTGATGCATAAATCCAAACTCCCTGTGCATCAAGATCTCGCAGATGCATATAAACTTGTCATGATATGTAACGTATGCCAGGTTTGGCACAATGACTTCCAGTGTATGCAAGGCACAAGTACCCACTATAAACCCGAGTCAACACCATTGCTAACTCAAAGTGAGACCCGCGATACGACAACCGGACGAGGCTGTTCATTAGCACTAGCGGATATGCTATGCTGATTTCCAAGCTCTAAACAATCCCTCTCCAACTCCTCGACATCACAATGCACAAAGCCTTCCTCAACAAGATTACGCAGCACCTGGAGCAGCCATACGCGACAAGTGATTCCTGGCATTGAGTTGAGAGACTCGTCGTAGCTTTTCATGATCTCACCCACACGTTCATGTGCCGATTGAGGAATCGTCGCGATCTGGATGGTCACACATAAGAAGTTCTCGGCGAAGATCCCTGTCGTGGCCTCGTGTCCGGGAATCCAACCGCCACCGATGCCTCGTACGTGGTACTTTATCCCTCCTGGAATGGAGTTGGTGCCTTTGTGAAGGTAGAAGGCCCAGTGAAAATCGTTTGGAAGAGGAGGGTCGGAGCGGATATAGAGGCTGATGTGGAGAGTGCCTTGGGTGAGCCTGGCGAGGATCTCGGTTTGTTTCTTTTTGATTTCTGTGGATCTTTGTCTTGCATCCATTTGAGCGGCAGGTTCAGATATTTAGATCAGTGATGAAAGGAGGGTTGGGTTGAAGTCGTGCGATGTAAAGGAAGAGGATTGGGCTGAGAACTGGAGGTCCGACGGATCTACGACGTGCGCTGTGTTTATTCCCAACAACGGCTTCACCAATTTCGCAGTTTGATCTGTTCTTAAATCCCAGTGGAAGGTCGGCAATAATGGATATATGAACACAACTAAATCTACCTAGGTAGACATACAACTCGAAATATAAAGAACAGTCTACTTATCGAATACATATCTTTGTCTATACCCCCTCAACCTTCTCACCAGGAGCCAGCATCTTGATATACTGATGCAGCCCGGTCTCAAGCACCTCGACGGAGTCCCCAACTCTCATAACGAACTCCTCCTTCGCGGGAACAAGCTGCATTCCCAGACATGCATTGGTCCGATCCCCGTCATCAATCCGCCGATATGACTTCAGCGTCCGATCGGGCTCAGCCCTATGCCTATCCCCAGAAAGAGGATCAACATTAGGCAATCGACATCGAACAGTCCGACAAGAAGCGTAGATCTCCGTCCCACCGATCGAAAGCCGCTTCCAATAATCTTCTTCGAAGGCAGCTGGACCTTGAATGATGATGTTCGCGCGGAACCGTCGGATGCTGAGTTGGGGGATTGCATATGCGCAGCGCGCTGCTACATCCCGGTGGCTGGACATACTGAGTAGGTGGATAGGGTACGCGTCTGCGAAGGCTGTATTCGGCTGGAAGCCTAGCTCTTCTTTACGTGGCGCATTGCGGAAGATCTGCCGTGAGTGCAGAGCACTGGCGCGGAATAGTGTTAGAGTGTTTCTTGATGGGTCAGAGCCCAGATATGTGTGTAATGATGCCGGGAGAAGTTTGCCGTAGTCGTAGGCTAGAGGCTTGTCTTTCCAAATCTTGACTGGGACTAATGGAAAGTTGGAGTTCGCAGGTGGAAGTAGTGGGACTTGGAATGTGTGTCGGCTTTTGAGGATCTTGAGCGTCATGCCGACCTTCACATACAAACCCTGCCACCCTGCTGGTGGCGTCCGTGGATATGATACCACCATCACGCCCTGCGACTTAACTTCTGGCAGCTCTGCGTCATAGTCGGGGGCAGAAGGGTCAGGAACCCAGATCTCGGGATGAATTAAGGCCAAGCAATTGAAGCCTGCATTGCGCAAAGTGCGAATGTTCCATTCATCGTTGTTATATTCTGCAAACACGAACTGTCTATCAAATTCGAGTCCGGTGGGGACGACGTTGGAGGCTTGTAGCTCGACTGCTCCGCAGGATTTGAGCGGGTAGCTGAACAATGCCTTCACACGCCAAGATGGACGACCGTCATCATCTTGATTGTAAGGCAGACCATGGCTGTATTTTGAGTCGAACTCATCGTCCAAATTGCTTTGGCCTAGTGGAAGTCCTAGGCGGCGGCACCCTCTGGGGTTATTTGTTCTCCATGTCCGTAGAACAAACAACAGCACAGGTAGAAATGATAGGATGACAATCAAATCCACCGGGGAACTGACACCCTCGCGGGGATGGTCGACATTGAACATGAGGGGAGAGTATGCAGGACTCAGATCGAGATCGAAAGGAAAAAAAATCCCGATCTCGGATCGTTGCACCGTCATCATCCACACATGCCATCACGATGCTATGATTATGGCATTCTTAGGATGAAACTGAGTCCATGAGAATTGGAGCTTGAATTTATCTTCGTATCTATCCTAAACTGGCTCTGCTGCCAGCCAGCCTGATGCGCCCACCATGAGCATCAACATGGACCTTCTCGGTCTCGACGGTCTCGACGGCTTCGAAGGGTTCGATGGCGAAGATACGCGTAAGTAGTTTCTCATTTCCTTAAATTATCAATATAATTACAAAGATTGAACTATATCTAGTGCCCGTGGTCTCGATCTCAGCATCGCAGTCCCTCAACGCGTCGGCCGCCGCCCGGGACCCAATCGCGACGGGCCTGGCGCGTCTGGACGAGGCTTTGAATGGCTTCCCAGACCAGGTAGAACAAGGCGGGATTCTGCGTGGACAGGTTACAGAAATCCATGGCCCTTCAGGAGCCGGGAAGACTTCGCTGGCGTGAGTGCTCTCTTATTCACACCGCTAAAGTCGGACCTGACCCATTAACAGGTTGAACATCGCCTGCAATGCACTGCGCGACGGCAAAGTAGTCTGGATTGGTATGTCCCTGTCACTTCCCCGAGTCAGCTGCGCTGTCTTGCTCACACCGTCAGATACGGGGTACCCCTTGCCCAGTCCCCGGCTCGAGGAGATGTCAGTCAACCTCGATGACTTCATCTATCTTCGTGCGCATACGCTGGCTCATCTGATAGCCTTAATTACTCGACCTCCGAGGGGCTTTCCACATCCGGAAACATGTCTTCTGGTCGTCGACTCAGTGTCGAATTTATTTCCTGCTTACTTCCTCGGCACGACAGAGCTCAAGGATCAACTCGCCGAGGATAATATTACCGACAAAGCACACATGCAATGGCTGGTCAATCGCAAATATAATATTTCTAACGAGCTAGTCACGCAATTAGCTAGACTTGCTGCGAGGAATATTGCCGTGTTGGCTATCAATCAATCCTACGCAAAGCCCAATAGCGAATCTGACCCGCTTTTGCAGCCACTCTTGTTGGGCGGCGCGTGGGAAACCTGCGTTCAAACCCGCATTGCTGTCTATCGTGATCTACCTGAAGAGCGACTTGCATGGGTCGAGAAGCGAGTGGGCAAGCCGGTGCCCGAGGAAGTGGAAGACACATGCGTTGCGTTTTGCATCGAATCGGTATGTCTTGTCTGGTCTGTTGCATGGGAATTGTGCTTCTAACTTGCCTAGGATGGTCTTCATGAAACAGAGAGAAATGTTTATTTACCTGAGCCTCTGACTCCTCCACCAAAGTCTCCCCCTGAATTTGAGTACTATGATCCTCCAACGCCGACTCCCTCGCCTATATCCTCTTTATTATCTTCTGCACCGCCCTCTTCTGAATTAGGATCCCCCGATCTTCCATCTTCCAAGCCAGCATCACCGGAACTACCGCAGACACCAACCAAGAAGCGGAAGATGGACGAGATAGCTGACAGCCAGGATGAAGATTCAGAGGAAGAAGAAGAGGAAGAAGCAGAAGAAGCTCCATGGACAAACGAGGCAACACTGAACATGAATCAACAATGAAGTTGTATATGATTTAGAATAGTAACGAAGACATAATTATTTTTACACATCCATCATCATCTCACTCTCCCAGACTCCACAAACATCCTCCTCTGAACAAGCCGGCCTCCGTCCGGCGGGGCCAAGAAGTCCTTCGCCTCAGCCTGGTCTTCAGGCAGATCATCGATGCGATCCGGCGTTTCAGGCGGTCTCTGTATCGAGCACAGAGGTAATGTATCAGCAATAGCAATAGAAGCCGGATGTCTGGATCCTTGAATAAGATCAACTAGACGACCCAGCACAGCAAACTCAAGCTTGAGTTTGAGCGAGTACACAAACCCCTTTAGAGTGATTTGTATCGCATAAAAGTTTGCGTATTCAAGACCCAACAGGAGCAGATCCATCGCAATGATCGCGCAATTGATCCCGATCAGTTGGTACATGATAGTTCGGGCATCCGGGCGTGAGGTAACGTCCGCACCAAGGCGCAGCAGTTTGACAGTCTCAATCACATACAGCGTTGATAGTAGACTTTCTTGTATTGTGAACCCAGTCAGCTGGATCTTCTCCATGACGTTGTATCCATTCACCCACGCCACATCGCCTGTGCGTACAATATTCGCGCCGTAGGTCAGGATTGTTGTCGGCACATGTAGGATAAGTACGTTTGCGACAATAAGTTGCAGAACCCGGCGGAGCACGCCCTCGTCCCGGAGCACTAGGTGCAGTCGTGAATACAGCACCACCGATTGCCCGGTTACCATCGTCCACCAGCCGATGGTTAGGACTGTCACCGAGAGCACGGAGTTGGCTCGCGTGAAAAATTTCATCAGGAAGCCAATTGAGTACGGGACTACACCGAGGCATCCGGTGGCGAGTAATGACCAGAAGTAGAGCCCGCGCCAGCGGCGGAAAGTCGCTGGGACGAGCACAAGTAGCTCGACGACATTGTAGCATGATAATGCGATGAATGTGACAAGGATCATTTGGAGTACATCACCCTCTTTTGCGAGGGCGCCGGAGATTCCATCTAGTAAATCCTGAGGGACGTCGGACATGGTCGGGGGAGAGCGTCATTCGAGTTTAGGAGGACTTGAGTGAGTGACTGGACTCGAGGGGAGTCTGATTCATCCTGTTTGATATGTCCACATATTCTCATGGGCCAAGAGTGACAGTGAAAAAGACCAAGAAATGAAAGAAGAAAAGGCAGAAAAGAATGAACGGAGTGTGTGATCTGCGATCTGGACTGGTCGTACAGGGTATGGCTGGCGAAAAAGATCAATGCCTATCATGCGGCTTACCAAGTCTTTTGTGAATTCGTCTGTGCGTGTCTCCAAGTGAAAGAAAGAAAAATGAAAGAACCCCTTGTTCCCTACTCCATATAGGGGGTGATAGTCTGGGGTAATGGAAAGAACAGATCGAACGCCATTGTTCAATAGCGTCTGGCCGGCATCGGAGCCGTTGGGGGCCGTTGGGGGACGCCCATATTAATCTGACTGGTTTGTCTGCTCTCCAGCTGAAGGGAATTAATTTAAACCCAACAAGAACAGAGGATCCATTTTTTTGAGCTCCTTTCAAGCATCTTAGCTTTGTCAGTCGGGTTATTTGGACGGTGAAAGAACGCGGTTGGCCGTCTGTGGTTGGCCTTGTGATGCATAATTAGAACTATTGAATCCCCAGACAAAAAGAAAATGTTTCATTCAAGTCTACATGAATTATGCCCCGGTGTGTTTCTCGTTCATAGATTGGTCAGGTAGTCCTCAATCTGTTCCTTGGTCAACTTTCGGAACCGTGGTCCCTGAGCGCCCTCCACTCCCTCGAAGCCCAGCAGGTGGTCCGCTGGCGGGCCAACAATGCCTACGGGGTTTGTTAGTCGATGTCCACCGATTCCTAGGATAGGGGAAAGCCAAATCTCACCGATTTCTATTGTGTCACCATTCATCTCACCCTCGATTGTTTCCTTGAGTGTCAACAGTGCAATGTGGATGGCATCTTCCAGCTCCAGTCCTTCAGTGTACCGTTTCTCGAGGAACGTCTTGGCACTCGTTGCGTGTTTACCAATGGCCGTCGCCTTCCATGGGTAGTAGCTGCCACTAGGGTCGACCTGGTACAAACTGGGCCCACCCTTCTGAATACCACCAGTCTTGCTAGAGGTCTTCTCCTCGGGGTCGTCCTTTTTAGCCTCTTGCGACTCAGGCTCAACGCCCTCGTCCCAACCAGCGACCAACAGACTAACACCGTACGGCCGCACACCACCGGATTGCGTAGCTTCTTGCACTACTCGAGCAACGTCCTGAACCAATATACGGGTGGGTGGGTATTCATTGTAGATGCGCTTGTAGCCTGTGTGCGAGACTTTGCGTGCTTTGTCGACCAGCACGCGGTAGTCGGGGCCCATACCAGCGTAGACCATGCCGATATCTGGTGTGATCAATGAGATCTTGGACAGAGAGGGAGGATCGATCAGAGGCGAGGAGGACTTCTTCTCTGTTGCGAGGACAATGCCGTTTGTAGCTGTCGAGAAGTGGTCAGCTTGACCCTGTATGAGAGAGAGCTTGGAAGGGTCGTGTACCTTTGATTCCGAGGGCGGTAACACCCTGGTTGACTGCGTTCAAGGCATATTCTATATTGATCAGTATCGATGCGTAGGATCAGATGTGATGGTCCATACCAATTTGGACCAGCTTTCCGCTATAATCGAGCTGAGTTAGTACGGTATCAATTCACCGGGGACAAGTCCTCCTTACCTGGGGGAAAAAGTAGTCAGGGAGAATGAGTAACGGTCCGCCATGGTTCGCTGTCAACAAGAGGAAAGGAGGAGATGAAAAGATCAAACGAAGGGGAGCTGTATTGTAGGCAGAGATGGGTGACGTTTGACGCGGTAGAGCTCACTGAAGGCGGTGACCCAATTGGGCTTAGCCGTGGGGGGTTGGACACCTTGGGCTTTTCTGCTTTTTCTTTTCTTCCGTCTTCTCCTCTTTCTGTACAGAATTCGATCTCAGTAATTCTCCCTCGGCTTGTTTTTACCAAGGCTCGAGGAAAATTCGATGTGAGGATTCCATGGCAGACACACAGAATTACCCTCCACGGGTCTGTCGCATCTGCTTAGAGAGCGTGCTGCCCACTTTTCAACCCTCGGAATTTCTCCAGAAGCCTCGAGTGGTTTATGAATCATCCGATCCAGAATCTGGCCGTCTGTTAAGTCCTTGTCAATGCAAAGGCTCCTCGCGTTATGTCCACGAGGGCTGCCTGCAGTCATGGCGCCATGCGGACCCCAGCTATGGGAGAAGGAACTTTTGGCAATGTCCCACGTGCGGCTTCCAGTATCGGTTGGAACGTCTAACCTGGGCACGGTGGATCAGTAGTGCCACTGCTCAACTAATTCTCACAATCGGCATTCTGTTTTTAACCGTATTTCTACTTGGATTCATTGCTGACCCCATCATTGATTTTTACCTGGGCCCCGTGGATGTTTACACTGAATTGGTCGAGGAAGATGCGTCCTGGTTAGAACACTTCCTTAAAGGGCTAGCATCCTTGGGTCTGTTGTCATTCCTGAAGGCAATCTTCGCGCTCTCGCCTTTTCCTTGGAACCTACGGTCTGTGGCCTCAGGCCGCAATTCAGGCCGTAACCGGGCCGCGCAGTTGAACTGGTTAGTGATTATGGTTGGCATCGGTACCTTCCTATGGGTATGTGTGGTCACTTGTTGGATATCCGACCTAGCTAATCGCATCCAGGCTGTCTACAAAGGCGTCCGATCATGGAGTAGGCGCACTTTAGAGAAGGCTGGCGAACGTGTTATGGACGTTCCCCTGCCAGGTGATCAGAGTGATACAGATGTCCCACCAGGTGATGGGGACGCTGAATTGAAGAAAGACTAGTTCTAGCAAAGAACTCGCACTACTTAAGTTGCCGTCCTCCTCTGCCCCATGAGACGTCGATTAGTCAATGTGCGAAGAACATTACTGCCTTCAATACTCTTGTTTGGTTTGCCTGAGAGGCAGATGGATGAGCCGAGAGCGTTTTGTTCTCATTCATTCGCTGCTTCACCAATCAGGCGGCCTCTTGGGGAAGGCAGTCCACCACTCAATTATATGGAGCGTTCTGACTCTTTCGAGTCTGTCCAATTAGCGTCTTCGGATTGAGCAGCGGGAAATTACTGAACATGGCATTGGGACAAAAGGATGGAGGTGGTCATTGATACTATTCAATTCACACGTTTGCACTCAACATAACCTAATCGAAGCTTATAGCGACATAATACCAGCTACCTATTTCAAAAGCAATCACCCCTCTTTTCATTTCTCTCTTCTGTGCTCTCCCTCGTAATTCCAATTCATCGCATCTTCATCAACATGGAAGATCTCCCACCGGGATCGCGCCTCGCGGCTGTCCGCTCGCAGCTCGCTATTGATATTGACGCAGAGAAATCTACATGCATCGCCGCCTCAAGCCCAGAGACTGAAGCATTTCCACAATATGATGAGGCTGCATGCGACGATGTCGCTTCCTTCATCGCGGCCGAGAAACCCAAGGAGGAGGCATGGATCTACGCGTGCGGCAAATTCGCCCAACAACAGATTCGCCTGAACGACGTTGACCCGAACATAATTCCATTTGTTCCGAGTGACCCGTCTGACCCTAGTCAGGTTGCCCTCGAAAAGCTGCGAAATCTACTTGCCGACCCCCAGATGCGCGACATCACCCGTCGCCAGTTCATTACTCTTCTCAACACCACCCTCGAACTGAACTCGGTCATCTTTCATCAGAGTGCGGAATTCCTGGCTCCCAAGGAGGTTTCAGATGCAAAGACTATCTCTAAGAAAATCCTCACCGATCTGACCTGGATGGATACTTTGCTGAAAGAACAATTGCAAAGTACGAACCGGATCACCGCCGTTCTGGAGCGTATCTCGCTTCAGGATATATCGCCTTTTGACAAATTCCGCAAGATGGCCGCCTTGGTCGCTGAGTAAGTAGCCATATCTCGTTTACTGTTTACATCTACTGTTTCTGTCTCCTGTCTTCTATGTTCTGTTTTCTTTCTGCATGGTATTGAACTTGAATAACACGCAGTGACAGGACCATGAAAAAACCCCGTGCTCTGGAAAGACGCCTACTTTTTCTGTACATGGATGTGTTTGAGGAATGGGTGCACAGTCCTTTCCTCCGTCTGCGCTGCCGTCAAGTGCTCATCAACAAGACTATAGATCCACCACGCTCCGAGCTCGCATGCCATATCGTTGCAATCCGGGACATTATCAGCTCCTGCATTGAGGGCTACGCGTTGTTCACCTGGGCCACAAAAGAAATCAAAACGCAGTATTTTGCCCCCACGATGACTCACCTTTGTGAGTCGTCGGAGGTTTGGACGAAATGCTGGGAGGATTATCAGGAGGCTGAGAAGAAACAGCGCGAGCCAGCTGAGAGGGATCCGCACCGATCTGACACTCTCTAAGTGACGGGGGAGCTACTAGGCCATGGGGGCATGAACTATTCTTTTACTTCATGCTATGATTTCACGACTGCACGACCTGAACGTTTCGATACCCCGATGCAATGTTTCAAGCATCATGCCAATGAGATAATGAATGCATGAGAGCTCTTTTTTTCCTTCTTTTTTGTAACTCAGTGATTGTGACTTGTTTTGGCATTTTCACAAACTTCCTGATGCGGTCTTTCAAATACCAGGCCAGTCAGAGAACAAATGCTATGAAAGTAATTTCATTTTACGTATCTTCTGAAATACAGCCTCAAGCTGTACTATCCTTATAAGCCCCAAGCTTGAACAACTTCTTCGCATTCTCCCGTCCAATCTTCAACCGATCTGTATTCGACATCTCCGCCGAATCAAACCAGTCACACGCATCCCCAAATGTCTCGAATGGATAGTCAATCGAGAACAAAATTCGATCAGACCCAACCTCTGCCATACAAAAGTTAAGCGTCGTAGTCGAGAAATGACCCGACGTCGTAATCCACAGATTCTCTGCGAAATAGTCGCGAATCGTCCGCTTGCATGTTTCCTGTAATCCAAGCATCTTCTTCCGGTCCTCGAACCAGTGGTTAATACGCCACATGTCGAAGGGGATATGCTCGCCCAAATGACCCAGAATAACCTGCAGCTTGGGGTTTCGGTCGAATACCCCGTTCGTCACCATACCCAGCACATGGAGACTGACGCCGTGGGCAAAGGAGAGCGGTGGCCCGATCAACCATTTCCGGTCTGCCCATAGTTTTTCATAGATCGTGCCGGTTGGATTACGCGGGTGTAGATACAATGGCACATCGAGCTCTGTGCATGTCGCCCAGAATACGTCCCATTTCTCGTTATCGTAGAAGATCATGTCGTCGCCATCGGCACCGGCTCGCTGTGTGTCGTTGACGAGTGCCCCGAGGAACCCGTATTGTGTCACACAGCGCCGGAGCTCGGCGGCAGCTTCTTGTGGATCATGCATGGAGAGTGTGCTGAATAGGATTAGCATGATGCATTTATTGTAAATGTATTGCTTTCCATTCGACCTATGGGGACTGTACTCACGCAAAAGCAGCAAACCGATCCGGGTGCGCTTTCACCTTCTCCGCAATGTAATCGTTGATCTCCACAGCGAGAGCTTGCGCATCCTTTGCATCCCAGATATCTTGCACTCCAGGTGCGGTGTAACTGAGAATCTGGAGACCGACGCCGTAGCGCTCGGCGAAGTCGAGACGGATTGGACCGACATCATTGATCTCCGCTGTGTGCTTCTCTGTGTCTGTCGCGAACATGCCCGCCCACCATTTTGTTTTCTCATGGAATCTCGGAAGCGCAAAGGCTTCTTCAAGGGCGATTTTTCCAAGCATTTTGGGTGGTATAGAAAGAGGACGAGGTCAGGAGACACAATCACGATCGGATTTGGGGTACGATTGAGAGCTTTATAAGAATGCAGACGCGGAGACCCCGCACGTCGGAGCTGGAGCAACTTCCTGTCCTTTGCTGAGCATCTCGAGCGATGCGAGTCGGAAGGGCTGTCGGATGGCGAAGTACAGCACCCGACAGACGCGGCCCGCAGAATGTGGCGGATGATGTGCCAGTATGAATTCCAGATTGGGGGTTCTGTTCCTAACTCAATGGATTATGGAATCGACATCATTGAACAGATCATCCGGGACCTATATCAGGGTTCCTTTTGTGTGCGAACAGAATCAGGATTCACTCAGTGTCTGCAATCCGGTCTTGGTAGTCTTTCAAAACAAGTACTTTGGTTATCTGAGTCTTTCCAACAGCAACAGCCCAAGACAAAGCTCCGTCTCTTGTCATTCAATGGAATGGAAACGACGCACCAGCTCTTGTGGACAAAGGGGTTATATCGACCTCATGCGACCACGCATCTGTCCATAGAATGCCCTAAGAAGCCATTCCGTTAGACATGTGGCCTGTTCCAAGCATGATCGACGATGCTATCTTCTCCACGAGTATCTTTCGCTTTGCTTACCACAGCGTGGGATTGTGTCTGTCTACATCGTAACGCTGTCGATGCGATGGGGTGTGCTGTGCATACTGAGGTCCATGATTTGTTCATTCTCCACGCGTAGGCAGTTTCATTGTTAGTTATCACAAGTCCAACGAAGATGAAGGAGAACAGACTCCGAAGCTTGAAAATGCCAACTCGCCCAGCGATGAAAGTAGAGTGATCATGTTGTGGAGGCGAACCCCAACGTCACCTTCATTTTTTTACACTCGTCTACTTCATCCCTGTCTACTGAATACTGTCAAAATTTGATACTTGTCATTGTCATTGTCATAACTGTCATTGGCTCGCTAATCGGTGATTCTCGCTAATAGTAGAGGATAGAAAACGCTAAATGAAGTGTCAGCGACCTTCTGCAAGGAAATCATGCAGCAATTCTACTGGCACTTCTCAACCACGTGGATTGCACATTCCTCCATAGGACGACAGGTCGCCGGATCATTCCAATCGGGAAGAGGGGGGGGAATTCATCTTTGCTCCCTGACTATCAACGATCGTAATATCAAACCGCATGAGAGCGCAGGCGACCATGAGTTTCAGATTCAATGTCCCAAGTCGCTGGCCCTTGCACGCATGATTTCCTGCACCCCAACCAATGAATGGTGTCTCTTTTACGGCCACTCGAGATGGGTCCCAGCGAGTCGGGTTGGGATACGCAACCGGGTTAAGCGCAACATCTGCGAACGGATAAACAAGAAGAGAACCCGAGGGAATTGTGTACGGGCCAATTATGAGATCTGGGCCATTGTTCTTTCGTATAGCAGTGTATGGCTCCGAGGTGCGTAGAGTTTCACGTATGCAGAGATCGAGATTGGGGGTTTGAGATTCCCAGGCCTTGAGTGGGATCTTCGAGAGCGCTTGCGTGAGGGCTTTTCCAGAGACCGAGCGAGATACGGAGGCGTAAGTTGAAATAAGAGCCGTGATCTCCTCTTGGACGGCCAAGGACCACTGTTGGTTGCAGGAGAGTTGCATGATAATCCAAGTTGCTAGAGGAGCTGTTAGTCGCTGTCTTTCGTGGCTTCATGCTGCCAGTGAATGTTTAACATACCAATTGTTCCAGTCGGGCGAGTTCCAGCTAGAAGAACCGCTAGCATGGTCTTTGTACAGTGTCAGTTTCCGGAATTGTGGAATATCCAAAGGGAAAAAAAGCTTTGATAAAGAAACATACCCAGAAAATTGGAGCTGTGCCCTCTCCGTCATCCAACATTCGCTGTAGCATATCATCCCTCCTGGTCCCGTTTCTTTTCTTAACTCGAATGACCTTTTGAACAATCCTGTAAACTCGAAGAGAGCACAACAGTTTGTGGAACAAGACTGGGCCAGGTAGCCAAGGGAACCGAGTCGAGTGTGTATTAGCGACAGAGTCGACACCATCAATGAGTGGCTTGAGACGGGATACAAGCATGGGATCGCTGGCGATATCAGATGAAGCAACGCGCATGACCAATTGAAAGGTGACCTAAGATCACACTTCTGTCAGTATCTTGTCCACCAACGAAAAGGCTCATATGCCCACACACATCGTGAAGGGAAGAACAAGGGTCGAGAATATGGTCGTTGACCCATGAGTCCATTTTGCGCTGACAATCTGACAATAAGCGTGGGATCACTTCTTATGTTTTAGTTCATTGGATCTTCTAATGCATAGGACATCAATAAACCCACCGCGGTGAAGATAATCGGGCCGTTGAATCGAAGCGATTCGTTTGACTATGCCACTGACTTGGTGTGGGTCGAATGTAGTACCGCCCTAGGAAGGTGAATTCGTTAATGTTCAAGTCATAATCGATGGTCAGAAGTCTTACACTGATCGCGAAAGTGTCGAACATATGGAGAGCCTTATCTCTGAAGAAGATATGTCGACTCTCATCTCCAGACACCACAATGGCGTCGTGTCGGAACAAATTGGTTTGATAGATGGAAGAGGACGTGGCCTTGAACCCATCTTGGATGAAGTTGAATCTCTTCGCAAAAAATGACTGTGTGATCTTCCAGGAAGGCAGTTGCAGGTGTGGAGGGGAAAGTCCTCTGGGCGAAGATGGCATAGTCACGTAGACTGCCCGGTAAAGTAAGACAGAGAGTATCAAAACTACGGAGGCCAGAGCCCACAAGTCCCAAACAGCCATCATCGAGGAGTTATTGCATGAAGCAAGTATCCAACTGACGCCGTTAAGCAACATCGTGAACGAGGGTTGGTAGAAGGAAGTGAGAAGTTGACGGACGAAAGAACGTAAGAGGAGATGAGAACTGAAGAGCTCGAGGGACCTTATACTCCGAGGGGAAAGAACGAAAGCACCGTGGAGGATTCGACGACAAACACAGTCAACTCCTGACGACAGCAATTGAGTCGAAAGCCGACTTTTGATCTGCTCATCACTTTTATGCCTCCCACTGACTCTACGTCTCATCGCCCCCAACCCACCTGGGCACACTACGCCTAGCCTATTACACCGCAGCTGATCCGAAATGAGCTGCATTTCAGCAACCGCTGGTGGCTTTTGCCTGGGACCTTGTCAGCTTAGCAGCCACTCCGAGTTCCCAAAGTGGACGACTAAGGCAGACCCGTTAGATCCCAGTCCCACTAGCCGAGGTATTCTTGTCGTTACAGCCTGAGAGGGATCCTTGTAACCTGCTCACTAGCGCTAGAGCGAGTTCTGATGTCAACGCCCACGTTAAAGCCAGACATCTAATCTATGCAGCTGAACAATCGTTCTTCGGCTCTCCCGGGCCTGGGAAGGTTCAATATCTTACGCTGCCAAGAAAAGAAAGATCTCGGGATATTGCCTACAGTACGGGAGTCCCCCGTATCTGTCTAACTGAACGCCATCTAGGAGACATTAGTAGCAACCCGACATTGGGATTGTCTCCAGCCTCCATGATTTCCAGCTGAGATACAGGATAGTAGGATTGGACGTACCTCTATCTTCAGGTTGATGCTGTGATGCTCGGGATCATAGATGTATGTGCAAATACATATCCTGTACTTCATGCGTTGACATTGGAAATTTATATTTATGAATATCATGGGCTTTGCATGGAGTAGATTGCAATAGCTAAGAGTGGAACAGCGACAAACTCGATGTGGTTTATGTAGGTATTTACCCTACAACTTGTTTTATTACTAGTTCCTATACCTTCATGCATCTAGGGCCATAGGTAGAACTCTAAACATGAATTATAAGCTAGCGGCGAACTTGGCGAGTCGTTCTTCTGATCAGATTATCTCGAATTGCTCGGCTCGCCTGATTGGGATGTTGTTTGGCTATGGTTGCCACTTTGCCCAGCTCTTTTCGGGGCCGAGATGCCTTGGATGTAGATCTCAACTCTGTTTTGACAAAAACAACCAGGTCTGACATGATCTTCGACTGCTTTGAAATTCCTGTCTCACTAATCTTTTCATGGCCCCCGGGAATGTCAGGTTGCCCGCAGAACAGGTACATGTACTCCGTATACGTCTACGCGCTAGAGTGATCTCGATCACGGTGTTATCTGCTCATATCATCCAATATTAGACCCTGTGGCAAAAGGATGCATCGTTCCGTCGACTCAGGGCTGAATATGCCGATGTTTGATTTGTTGTGAGCTGGGTTTTTGGTGGCTTAAGACAATACCGACAATACCATTCTTGGAGGCAAGGAAACGAACAATCTCTTTCCGAAGATCCTGCGATTGGCGGTTGCTTTAGTTCGCGTATAAGCGCAAGTTGCCGGGTACGCCACAATATGCCGATGCGTCGGTCTGATAGGAGAGGGCAAGCATGTAGACCCTAGCCAAGCTCGTACTGGGCGAACCCTCCTAAAGGGGAGCAACATACGGAGTACGAAAGTAAGCTATAAGTAATCTACGTGCACATCAATCCTTCTCGATATAAGAAATTCCGGAATGATACAAGGAGACCAATTAGAGAATGGCGGGGAAAGTCTTCCGGATCTGCTGTGAACTGGTGAGATTTGGTCTCTGAGTTGTCGTCCCCCGGAGCCATGCAAATATGCACGCTAAGCAGGGCTTCTTAAAGTCCCCTCATTACAAAAAATAAATGAGACTCTAGAGTCGAGGCATTACAGACTGGACCAATCGTTTCCGGGGGAATGGCTACATCGGGATCAAAGCGCTTATTACCTCCAGAGTAAGCCAATACCTTGTCAGCTACCTACATAGGTACCTCTACGTAGCGTTTTCCCTCTGCCGCGTGGGGCTTTCCTATCTTGGCTGCCGCTTTTATGAGGACGCTCAGAGTCCGACTCAGTGAGTAGATTTCAGTAAATTTCAGTCCGCGTTCAAGCTCAGCAAGCGGCTCAATGTAGTCACGTGTCAGTTGATGGGGCCCAAGCTCTTAGTGAGCGCTTAGTGAGTGTGTTTGATTACTTAGAGATTTAGTAAAGGCATCTATTATGCACTTAGTTCACACTAAGTCCATCCTTGTTACAACCCAACTGCAAAGGGTTAGGATATATCTTACACCACATATTATGTGGGTGTATTTGGGTTGGTAACCTGACATGACGACCAGTTGGTCGTCATAGTGGCTCTTTTGGTAGATGCTCTGCTCTACCATTACTTCCTTAGGTAGTTTTGCGAGTGGTGTCAGGCCCACTTCCTTAACACTTTCTTAATATAACTAAAAGAAGGGAAAATTAGAGTGGTCAATTTAGATGAGTAAGGCACTTTATATAGAGAATTATATGAAAGTTAGGTCTAATCAGGTTTTTATTAGGTTATCCGGTGAACCTAACGTTGGGCCCGGTATGGGCCCGGGTCGGGGGATTTGGCACCGGACCCAACCTACCTAGTACTTGAGCCTATGGGTCCGAGTGTCAATATGGGCGGTGGTCAGTCCCTCTATCCCTTTTGCTTGACGAGTATTAATGCTCATACCTCACTGACCTTACTAGCTTATTTCTTTACCGACCCGCCAACAAAGCCCGTTACTCCACTCGGCCTTCGAGCACCCGAATTGATTCTTAACGGAGCCGTTAATAATAGCGCTGATATCTGGAGCTTCGGTTGCCTTATCTTTGAGCTCATCACCGGACAGCCACTCTTCTGTATACCATGTTCTGAAATGGAAGATGACGATCATCTTCTCTCCCTCACTGCCCAGCTCGGTGCCCTCCCTGACGAATTATTCAAGCACTGGACGACCTCGTCGCTCTACTTTACGCCGAGAGAAAGCTGTTTAATTGTCAGCTTGGAGGAGTCCCTCCCGGGGAGGAACCGCTTATAGTGGAGCAGACGTCTATGGAAGAGTGTTCCGACAGGGCAGGTCCGGATCTTGATGAGGAGGAAGCTAACAAAGTGAAAGCGCTTATTCGATGGATTTTGCAGTATGATCCCACGGAGAGGCCTTCACCTACGAAGATCTTATCAGATCCATGGTTCTACGAGATTGACGTTGAGAGCGACCCATCTAAGGTATCTATAGTCTAATATCTTGCGTGGCTAGGGTGTTTCGGATTCGGAGCAAAACTCTAAAACCATGGCTCTGCTGTATCCAATATCCTCTCGCATAATCGACCCCTTATTTGTGGTCTAGTCAATATCCACCTTGCATGATATGGAGCCTCTGCATAATTAGTGTCCTCCCTGCAGGTCATTGTAAGTAGGGCAAAATGAGGACACACAGCCTACCAATTGGCGCGATGATATCTTGCACTCCAAGAATATGGAAACGAGGTTAGATCCGGGGGAGGGAAGCGGAACGTTGCTTTGAACTTGAGAAATATAAAGAAAATATACTCTTTAACAATGGTCTTTTATGTACATACTCGAGCCACCAGTCTGAATTAGAGGGAATAGTAGGAGCTTTTGGCTTATCCAAGGACTATTTTAAGACCATCACTATCGAAACCTATGATAATTGTGACACTAGGGTTCAAAATTGTAGAGTTATCTCGCTCAAATCTTCATTCTAATTGTAATAGTAGAGTACCAAATTTGTCGAATAATTTAGGAGCAATGGCCTTGGGTGGTGGATACCTATTGGTAGCTGATCGTTGAGATAGGCAGGAAGAATGGGGATAGAGAAATGAAATGAAGATGCTCAGCGATTGGAGCTATAGGCAGCGAGTCTGTTCCAAGATTATACTTATATTTAATCGGAGAGCAATGGCGAGGTGTCAAGAACGTAGTTTATTGGTGTGATTGCACCGTAGTAAGCGCTCTCACTCGGGGTGCATATCTTGGGATGAGCAGGGTGAAGTGATGCTCAGTGAGCAAAAAGCGGCAAGGACTGAGCACTAAGAGTCTAAGACGGAAATGGAAAGCCAAGAAGTGGCAGAGGAAATCCGCTACATACATGTAGGTATGAAAGGGAGTTCCACATGTTCACTGAATCTATGTCTGAACCCATCTCTTCAAATTAACTCAGATTAAGTATCCATATCCATAATCAGATCCGTAATCAGATCCGTATCCACATCCGATCAAGCATTAAATCCAACGTCCTGGGCCGTAGCCAGTTCCTCCCTCTCATACAGAATTTCTGGGTCAACATCCCTCCGCAACAGATACCGCTGAACAAAATACCCAATCTGCCGCAACCCATACTGCGCATGGAATTTGGTCGGCACCGAGAAGACTTGATCCAATTCCTCTAGTGTCTTGCCCTTCGTCTCAGGCATAAACAAGAGCACTAGCCACCACCCCACCACACACCACCCTGCATACCAAGCAAATGCACCCTGTGCAGTGAATGCAGCCAGCAGAGATGGCCATGTGACGCCTAGAATAAAGTTGAAGAACCACGTCGTCGCCGTAGCCAGGGCCATTCCGTACGACCGGACGTAGAGGGGATACGCCTCGGCGGAGTACGTGAACGGTACCGGACCTTCGCCGGGTGAGTAGACTACGCCAAAGAGATAGGTCCCAAGTACAATGCAGGAAAGACGTGCACTGTGGCTGCTTTCGGGGATCCAGAAGCTGAATCCCGTGAAAAACATTGAGATCGACATGAGTGGGAACGTGAGTAGCAACAGATTGCGCCGGCCGAATGTGTCGATTGTGTAGATTGCCGGTATTGCAAAGAGCCAGTTGATTACGCCCCAGCCTAGCGAGGCTGCTAGGGCTTCTGATGGAGAAAATTTGGCCTGTGTTCTCTTGTTAGGATTTTGGTGGCCGAGAAGGGGATTGATAGGTTGAACTGACCTCCAGGAATATCTCGGAAGAGTAGTAGGCGATGACATTGACACCACAAAACTGTATAGACGTACGTTAGCTCTTTCTGCTCTCAGTGGAGTGTTATAGAGGGGTCTTTTTATCCCTTTCCCCCCTTCCTTTTGGTGGGAAATGAGTACACCCACCTGCTGCATGAACATGACAATCTCAGATGCCACCATTGCTCGCCGATTCCGCGGAACCTTGACCAATTCCAGCATTTTGTTCTGTCCAAGTTTCATACTATTCTCAGCCTCCAGCAGAGTATGCATATAGTATAGGTCCCGAGCAGCTTGGATCTTATGGTGTCGCAGCGTACAGACAGACCTATAAGCACGGTAATACTGCTTTTGGCTCAGATACCAACGCGGCGACTCGGGGCAAGCAAAGACAAAACAGCAAACAACTAGAGCTGGGAACATTGCTGAGGCCATCATACAACGCCAATTCAATCCGAGGATAGTACTCGAGTGGACGTTGTAGAAGATCAGGTCAGCCGCATACCCGAGCATAATCCCGAATGCTGTCCACATCTGCCACTGCATTACCAGTGCGCCACGAATGGCCGGTGGTGCTGTCTCGGCTGCGTACATCGGCACAGTCGCGGATTTGGGACCGATCCCAAAACCTAGCATGAATCGTGCAATGAACATTGCCCACCAGGTGGAGACAAAACCCTGCCATAGACAGGCGATCGCGGAGAAACAGCATGTTATAAATATCGTGCCGCGACGGCCAAACCAGTGGTTGAAGGGTACTGTTAGCCAACAGCCGATGAAGGCGCAGCAAAGATAGGGTGCGGAGTTGACCAGGCCAACGAGCCAAGTACTTCGGGACGATGCATCACCGATACCGAATTGATGCTTGTAGAAGATCTGGGCTCCGTTGACGACCGTTTCGTCTGTTGTTGTCAGCCTTTCTATCTTTCGAGGTTCGCGACTTCATCAACCCAGATCATCACTTACCCATTCCTTGGACTGCAGCAGACAGAGAACATAATACAATTACCGCATACATCTTCCATGGCTGGGACCAACGATGGGTGAACTCCCGACGCAGTTCTTTTTTCTCTTGATTCGTCAGACCGGCGACATTGTCATATCGTTCTGGGGACTGTGCCAGCACCGCACCCAGCTCGAAAGCACGGATATCGGACTCATCGCCCAACTCATGAAGTTCAGCAAAAGCACGGCCCTGATTCCGTAGCTCGCTATGACTGAAACCGGCCAGCGGATTGGAGAGTTTGGCATTGAGATTGCGCCGTGCTCGCTCGGCAGCTAACCCGAGGGGCCGCTGAGGCACGACTTTCTCGGACGGCGCAGCGTCAACTTTGTCCATCATTCCTCCGCTCAATTTAAAAAAGTCATGGGAGCAAAAAAACAACAACAACCGGAGTCGATGTTAGGTCTTTAAAGTTGGGGAGACTGGGTTCCCCCCAAGACAAAGAAACTCGAACACAAACACAACACATGACTTGGGCCCATTTGCTTCGGTATGTACTCATCTAGAGCCATCAAGATGGGTCTGTCAAAGAACTTGTCAAAGAACAGATTGGGGCTAGATGAGTATTCTTGGAAATGATTGGCAGGAAGAAGGCCTAGGGACTGGCAGACAAAGAATCGTCGTGATCCCCTGTCTACTCCATTTCTGACTGTGCCTCCACATCCAAGTTCCAAATGGCATTCAGACTGAGTCCATAGAGTCAAAGGGCGAATGGGCACATTGTAAACGTGGAGATGGAGGCACTGGGCACTGCTATACTTCTAAAGTTAGCCCAGGTGTTTATGGGCTCCGCTTCCACACATCCCTGGATGGATCATGGATCTAATCTTGGTCACAATATGGTGCAACCCTGCAGGGAAGACGCTTATGAGACTAATGCAGGATGAGATTAGCTGTTGTCGATTTTGGGGTCAATAAACTAGATACAGAATAGAACAATATCGACTATTGGTTTGCTCACTGGACAGACAAATCAAGATCCCTGATGCTTTTAGATTTCTATGCGGATTGGATTTCTGGTGATAAATTCATTACTGTGGCGTTTTATAAGCTATTCCTGTTTTTCCTTTCGATCTCTTGTAACGTGGGCTTCTGTATCACCTGTGGGAATTGTTTACTATGCGCCACCAAGCTAACACTAGCTGGAGAGATACGCCAAACAGCGAATAGCCGCTATCTCTTCTGTACACATTAACGTATGGTCTATTTTAAATTGTTGCTTTCATCGGCGTTTTGTTGATTGGGGTAAAGGTGTATAGAGCGGTTGTAGATACCCTCCATTTCTTTTGTCACGTTTATCTGCCATGAGCCTTGGACGGTATACATGAATGAGATTGCTCTATACCATGCCAAAACAACGTCTTCTCTGGGCTGAGCCGAATGATATCGAGAACACATAATTTTACGTACATTTAAAAGCAAAATACACAATAGGAGGAGGATATACATTGGTCATTGATATCATTTGATGCTAATTTGCTGGACAACAGTCTAGTTCTATAGAGATGAGGACTCAACAATCTGTAAAAAGGTCTTTGAACCATATTAGCAATGATCGCTGAAACTCAACAAGAGAAATAAAGTCCAGAAGGCTCTGTCAGATAGTATTGATACAATTTTAATCCACATGATAGTTAAGAACAGGTCTGTGTTGAAAAGTTGCTTCATCATAAGAGAAGGGGAGGGGGAAAAAACAATTAGCACTCACATAATCAATAGTAAAGCTGTCCCATCAATGAAAGCGTGTAGCCATTCAGTAATTGCAATGAACACCTAGGTATCAGATCGGGGACAGCTTTGAAGGTGGTCTGGGACTCTAGGTATCTCTTGGAGAGTGACCCGTACCCAGAAAGGTGTAGCCGAGCAAGACTTCATCCTGTTTGATCTGGCTTGCCTATCCCACCCTCCCACCCTTAGGTTCCAGGTTAATGAAAGAAGTTTGGCATTCGGACCAAGGCGTCAAAGATGAAAACAAGAGAAAGAATCCGCAGAAAAAATGAAGACTAAATAGTCCCGAGTGGAGAGCGCTTTGCACTGTTTGCATCAAACAAAAAAAAAGTGGCAGATGCAATTTACAATCCCCAAATTCTCTTCTGCAATTATTGAATTGTTGGACCTATTTATACAAGAGCTTGTGTTCTAATTTTTGCTTTCCCTTTCTCAAGAATGGCCGATGCAGAAAGCCCCCGACCGGAGGAGCAGCAGAGTGAGATCGTCCTAAAAACCACCCAAAAGAGTCTCGACTAATATCTATATCTACAGCTCCCACCAAATCTCCCTTCGTCAATGTTCGCACCGATGGCCGGGCCTTCAACTCCCCCAATTGGCGGATGAAGGTTGACAGTCCCGCGACACCATCGCACACAAATGCTAGCCCAAGCGCCAGTCCCAATCCAACCAATACCTCCCGCGCAGCCTTCAGCCGACCCGGAGCGCACGTGCCCCAGGCGATCAACGATGGCCGCCGCTTATACGTGGGCAACATGCCCTACACGGCCAAGACGGAGGATGTGGAGGCGCTGTTCATAGCGGCCAAGTTCCCGATGTATGCCTGCACCACTTGAACCTGAACTATGGCCAGCTGTGAATTGTCGCCAACTGAATCCAAATAGCGAGCGCATAGATATTGCCATTGACCCTTTTACCGGCCGAAACCCATCTTACTGCTTCGTCGATTTGCAGAACAAGGAGGATGCCGAGCGTGCCATGACTGAGCTCGATGGCCGCGATATGTTGGGTCGTCCCGTCAAGATTAAGCCGGGTGTCGCAAAGTCCCAGGAACGCATTCAGAACCCGCCTTCGCCGTTCCGCATTGATCGATGGCGCCAGCAAGAAAAACCTAGTTTCGCTAAGGTTAACAGTGACTCAAGCAGCCGCGTCTATGTCGGTGGCTTGCCGCGAGTGACTGACCATGCAATGGTGCAGAGCAACATTGAGGTTTTCTTCAAGAGTTTCAAAGTGTAAGTTTGGGTGGCTTGGGGCTCTGTCGCGTGATCAATGCTAACAGTGGTTGCAGTGAGAATGTCAGCAAGCTCTTCACCCCTCACCCGGCTAAGCGGTTCGATCCTGGCGAGCACTATTATCTATTCGTCGACGTGGGTACTCCCGAGGAGGCTCAGCGAGCCATGCAGACGCTGAATGGTCGGGAAGGGCCATGGGGTGGTCCCTTGCGTGTTCAATTTGCTCGTGGTCCCAAGGAACCCGAAGCAAATGTCTAATATGGGCAAGCTACATTTGAAAAATAAGGATTATTAATGATAGGACGTGTCGCATTGCATGAGCTATGATACCTGAAAAAGAACTACACAATTGCATATTTAATTCTCTTGCCATGTCCTTTTCCGTTTACGACTCTCTTCCAATGGCAGATGGGTGTTTAGGTGGGCTCTACGACTATGGATTGAGCTATTCAACTCCCCGGCATCTGCAGTAGTATGGGAGATTCTCCTTCTCCACCGGGGGAGATACCATCCCACGATCATACCTAGATCTGGCTCAGCCCAGCTACCAGCTACCAGGGAAATCACTCTGGTCTACCTCAGTCCTGTAGCGGTTTCAACTGCCCAATCAACCCGAGGTTCCATCTCCCATCGCCACCTGAGGGATTGATGCTTTGAGACTGTCCCCCGCCCTGATTAGAGTGGGTTTAATACATTGAAGCCGCCCAAATTGATTTTGTCAAGATATATACATACTGACTGAGAGCTATAAGCCCCATGTATCCCTTGTACGTACCTACATGTAGGTAGTAAGCCCGGGTATAAGCGCTCGTATAAAACCAGATGTAGTCATCAGTCCGAACTTCCAGGGTGGTTGCAGAGTGTACGGAATAGATATGAGTCTAACATGGACACTCTTACAGGCTTGATCTATACCGAAAGCCAGGAAACCCAAGCCAGCCAAAAAAAGCAAGACTAGTCCCAACCCCCTTTGTACAAGCGAAACACCGTAGGGAGTAGGGAGTACGTGCAAGTGGATTCTCCTATTGTCAAGGAGGATGACGTTTAGTGGGGAATCCAGACTCACCGCATTAAGCGCCTCCCTGAATCTTGACTCTCGTGATTTTATTTTGTCTTTTTGAGACTTTCGTCTTTGAAAAGAATTCTGGAATAAGATCCCTGCAGGTTATTCCGCCCGATCTTCTTAAGCCCAGACCCCCATGTTGGGTTGAGCTTCGCTTGTCGTTCCGGAATTACCCCCTAATCTTCCCGAGATTCCCGTATTGCTTCTTCATATAACATCGATCGTCCAAATGGCCTCAAAAAGCGTGGTCCGCAGCCAACAGCAGCATAAGGTGTTTGTTGCCAGTGTAAGTCGGATATCTTTTTGTTTCTGCCCTTTGATATTGTTCGCGGGGTACTCTACCGAGGCCCAACAGGACCTTGTATATGGGCTATGCCAAGTTGGGACATTATAGATGCACTTCAGCGCTGGAATCATCCTGTGACCGGTTGTGGAGTGAAGTATGGTTGTGTTTCAATCCTTTGGCCTATAATGCGATCAAAGTAGAACATGGTGCAAGTACTTTCACGGGCATCTCTACAAACCCGTGTGCCTTTTAATCTTGTCTTCTGATTTTTTTTTCCCTGGTTTTTTTTCTTTGATTTCTCACCTCCCTGCAACATATTCGCCCAAACCTCCATTGCCACAATGTCAGCTATTAACTTTGCGGCGCAGTCCGACGAGTCGAAGATATGCGTCGTCATGGTGGGCCTCCCGGCCCGAGGCAAGAGTCTCATCGCCGGCAAGGGTAAGTGAAACAGCCATTCGGGATGAAGCGTGTGAGACTGACTCATGGCAGCCATGCGCTACCTGGGGTGGGTCGGGATCCCTGCGCGTGTCTTCAATGTTGGCAGCTATCGCCGATTCAACACTCCCCAGCCTCAGGCAACCTTCTTCGATCCACACAATGAAGAAGGCGAGCGAATGCGCCGAGCTGCGGCTGAGGCCGCTATGTCTGACATGCTTCAGTGGTTCAATACTGGCAAAGGTGTTGTGGCAATCCTGGACGCGACTAACTCTACCAAGGAGCGTCGTCAATGGATCTATGAGAAATGCCACGAGGCTAATATTGAGGCTCTCTTCGTTGAGTCGATCTGTGACGATGAAGACCTGATCATGACCAATATCAAAGAGGTCAAGACGACATCTCCAGATTACAAGGGTCAAGACCCTGAAGTGGCTGCTCTTGATTTCCGCAATCGCATTCGCAACTATGAGAAGGTCTATGAGACCATCGATGATAACGAGAAGCATTACACCTATGTGAAACTCATCAACGTGGGATCCACGGTCATCATAAACCAGATCAAGGATTATCTTTCCAGTCGTCTCGTCTATTATATCCAGAATCTTCACATCAAGCCTCGTTCGATTTGGCTGTCTCGGGTAAGTGGATACCAAAGGCGCGGGAAAGGAAAAACGCATCTAACAAACATAGCACGGTGAATCTGAGTTCAACCTGACCGGTCGCATTGGAGGTGACTCCAATATCTCCGAGCGTGGTGAGGCTTATGCTCGCGCACTCCCTGAACTTATGCGCAAGTCTGGGATCCCAGATAACACCAAGATCGTAATCTGGACCTCAACATTGAGCCGTACCATACAGAGCGCTCGACACTTGAAGGCAGAGACTGGTTACGAAAAGCTGGAGTGGAAGGCCCTGGATGAGCTGGACTCGGGCGTCTGCGATGGCCTGACCTACGAGCAAATCGCCGAGAAATACCCAGAGGATTTTGCCGCCCGCGACGAAGACAAATACAACTACCGCTACCGCGGCGGCGAGTCCTACCGTGACGTCGTCATCCGTCTCGAACCTATCATCATGGAGTTGGAGCGCAGTGAGAATGTCATAATCGTGACTCACCAAGCTGTCCTTCGCTGCATCTACGCTTACTTCATGAATGTGCCCCAGGAACAGAGTCCCTGGATGGAGGTGCCTTTGCACACTCTGATCAAACTCACGCCTCGCGCATATGGCACTGAAGAACAGCGCTTCAAGGCTGACATCCCCGCTGTCTCTACCTGGCGTGGGAAGGGTACTTCGGCGAGGCACCAAGAATTCCCCACGGAGGCAGCAAAGGTAGAGACTAAACATTAGGGATGGGTTGATCTGCATCGGCGTGGCGTCACCTGGATGTGATCGGAAATTCGGAGTGCATGAGAGATTCAGATACCAAAAACATGGGTTTTATTTGCTTATACGCTACATACTTCAATCAATCTCCACTTCAAACCATGCTCCTTGCGTGGGAATCATGTAATATTTAATGCATCTTCGGAAAGTCTTGCTTCAGACAATAAGCACAGCATAGAGCCCTCCGGAAACAACCCGACAACGTCTACTTACTTATTATAACCCACCAAAGACGAACACTGACCGTGAGATAACGTTCTACACAAAGCATAGTCCTGCAAATGTCTCCGAGAGACAAGATAAACCAAGATCCCATTGCCTCCCCCGTACTGCTGCCCCGGGCCCCCGGGGCCCCGGCCGGATGATTTGCTGACTCATCCCTGACTCAGCTTCGGACGTCATGCGGAGAGCCCAAGCAACAGCGTTCCTCGATCCTCCAGCGGAAAGAATTGAAGACAACTCGCCCATGTTATCAGCATTTACTGCGCGGCCGCTCGTGGAGCTGAAGCCGCGTGACAAGTCGCGAATCGACTCAGTTCTAGCCTATGGCGATCGCCTCCTCGCCGGCCTGAACAATGGCAACCTCCGCATTTACCGCGTCACCGACGAGGGCAAGACGGAGCTTCTCCGCGAACTGGAGAAATTCTCCCGATACAAGATTGAGCAGCTCGCATTAATTAAGGAAGCTAATGTGTTGGTTTCTCTTGCTGGCGGCTATGTTTCGCTACATGATGCCCAGTCTTACGAACTGGTTGAACAGCTCGCTCAAACAAAGGGCGCTTCCGCCTTTGCCATTACGTCAAATGTCGTTAATGATCCCGATACAAATGTGCCAGCAATTTTGTCTCGTCTGGCTGTGGCCGTTAAGCGGAAGATCCTCATGTGGGCATGGCGTGATATGGAGCTGGAAAGGGATACTGCTGAGTTGAGCTTGGTCAGTGGGGTCAAGACTCTCACCTGGGTTGCTGCTACTCGGCTAGTAGTTGGGCTGAGCTCGAGCTTTGTCATGGTTAATATTGAGAGCGGACAGTTCGTGGACCTGGCTGGGCCAGGAAGCATCGAGGAATCGGGCCGCTTCACGAGTGTCGGCGCTGCGAGCATGAGCTATATTGGTATGGGGGGTATGGTCCCGCGGCCGCTTGCGACGAGACTCCGTGAAGGTCAGATTCTTTTGGCTAAGGATATCCACACGAATTTCATTGATGTCGATGGTCAGCCTCTCGGTCGGAAGCAGGTTCCTTGGAGTCATGCGCCGGTGGAGCTTGGGTACTCGTACCCGTTTCTGCTGGCTTTGCACGACTCATCCAAGGGTGTTCTGGAAGTACGGAACCCAGAGACCTTATCACTATTGCAATCTATTCCGCTACAGTCGGCCAGTATACTGCACATCCCGCAACCCAATATCAGTCTTGCTCATGCCGGGAAAGGATTCCTTGTAGCAAGTGATCGCACCATCTGGCGCATGGAAGCCCTGAGCTATGACACCCAAATCGATGCTTTGATTGAAGGGGGCTATCTGGATGAGGCCATCAGCTTGCTTGGGATGCTGGAGGATGCTCTTCTACGGGACAAGCCTGGCCGATTGCGTGCGACAAGATTGGAAAAGGCGCAGAGTTTGTTTGCTATGAACAGGTATCGGGATTCCTTGGATCTTTTTACTGAAGTCTCTGCACCTCCCGAGAGTGTCATTCGCCTTTATCCTCGGTTGATTGCGGGCGATCTCTCTACGGTCCCAGAACATGAAATTCTGAATGGAAAGGCGAATGGGTCTCAGAGTGATGGTTCGTCCGAGGATGTTGCAGCCGGGCAAGCATCCACACATGCGGCCTCTAGCAGGTCTTCTGTGCGAAAGCCTGACGAAGGAAGCGAGGCTAGTAGTATCCTTGGGGATGAGAAGGGTACAGTAACCTCATATTACTTTTTAAACTCATGCTAACTAATTACAGGACTTCGAATTGCCGTCCGCGAGCTACAGGGATACCTGGCAGATGTTCGCCGGCGCTTTCAACGCTTCCTTAACCCCGACGGGTCTCTCAAAGCTTCTGCACCAGTCGGCGCCACAGACGAGGCAAGCGATTCCGTTCTCAAGCTGCTGGATTTCCCATCTGCCGACGAGTTTGCCACACAAATTCGCGCCAAGGCACGGTTGGTTGACACCACATTGTTCCGTGCACACATGTTTGCCACTCCATCGCTAGCTGGGTCTCTTTTCCGCATTGCCAACTTCTGTGACCCAGAAGTGGTAATGGAGAGACTGGAAGAAACTGGTAGATACAACGATCTCATTGATTTTCTCTATGGCAAGAAATTGCATCGCCAAGCACTTGGATTGCTACAGCGCTTTGGACAGACAGACAATGGTCCTTTGAGTGGACCAACACGCACAGTCGCTTATCTTCAAAACCTACCTCCAGATCAAATAGATCTGGTGATCGAGTTCGGAGAATGGCCACTTCGTGCCAATCACGAATTGGGAATGGAGATTTTTGTGACCGACACAGAGAACGCCGAAACGCTACCCCGTCCGCGAGTCCTCTCATTCCTGGAGAAAATCGACATTGCGCTCGCTATTCAGTACCTTGAGCATGTCATTCATGAATGGAACGACATGACTCCTGACATACACCAGCAACTACTCATCTTATATCTAGATCAACTGACGTCCAACAACGAGCAAGGGGAATGGAAAAACAAGTTCTTGACAATGTTGAAAGAGAGCGAGCAGTACTCTCCAGCAAAGATGTTAGATCGGCTCGATCGAGAGGGTACGTTGCGCGTGCTTCATACACCTGAATGCCATACTGACACATAGAAGATCCCAACTTTTTCGAAGCTCGGGCTATTCTCTTTAGCAAAATGGGCCAGCACCGGCAGGCACTCGAGATCTACGTCTTCAAACTCGAGGACCACGGGAAAGCAGAAGAGTGAGTGATTTGTCATTGTATCGAAAGCAGCATTGGCTAACCCCCGAAAGATATTGTAACCAGATCCACCTCGCTGAAAAGGGCGAAGAAGAAGACACCATTTATCTCACCCTCCTTTCCCTCTATCTCTCCCCACCCCACGGCTACGAGGCGCAGAATGATCCCGCGATTGACTTGCTAGCCAAGCATGGCTCGCGGCTCCCAGCTGATGCCGCTTTGAAACTCATACCAGACAAACAAGCTGTGGAGAAACTGGAATTTTATTTCAAGGGCCGCATGCGTGCCGCAAACTCGGTTTTTAATGAAGCACGCATCGTGGCAAACCTCCGAAAAGCACGGGACATGCAAATCCAGGCCCAGCTCGCTCTTGGCGAGGGTGTTCGTGGTGGAGGCACGCGGGCTCGCTACATCACAGTCACCGAGGAGCGGATTTGTGGCGTCTGTCATAAGCGGTTGGGCGGGAGTGTGATCAATGTTTTCCCCGAGTAAGTTATTTCCGATTCATTTTCTTTGTTTTTGGGTTCACCGCTGACATGACCCCAGTAATACTGTAGTTCATCTAGGGTGTGCAAATCGAATACCGAGTATTCGAGCTGGGTAGGGAGTCTGCCCTCAAGCTGCATATGCATTCGCGGGATCGTTTTTGTTCTTAGGTGTCGTTTATGGCTTTGTTTTTCGTCTTTTTGTTTTCAGCTCGGGGTACCCCTTTTCTGTTGGCTTGTTTGCGTCGACGGAGGCTATCCCAGCGATTTTGATACCCATAGCATCCGCCAATTTCAAGATACATCATGATCATGCACTCATGCATCCTCCTCTATCACCTCCTCCCCATAGTTCTCCTCCTCCTTGGCCTCCTGAGCTGAAAGCTGGCCCTGCGCCTTCTTGTCTTCTTCCATACGCTGCGTAAGGAAGACGTTGATCTCGTCCTGCAGTTTGGGTACGAGCGCCTGCAATGCTGACAGGTGGGCTTGCTTAGCTGCTAAGGTGCCGGTCGTGGTTGAGATCACATGTTCAAAAGTTTCGGTGGCTTGAGGAGCGGTGTAGACTGCGCTCAGACTGACAGTGTTGGAGGCCATTTTGAAATTAATCGGAAGTTGTATGGCGGGGGACAGTGAAGGTGGCAGAGAAAGGAATGGCTACTGTGTTTGCGAATCCCGCCTTTCTTACCGCCTTTCTTACCGCCGGGACGTCCAGAGGGCTGCCCAGGTGATCTCATCTTGACTCGTTGTTCCTAGACCTCGACAGAGTAGGGCATGGTCATGTTTACATATGCAAGTATACATACCTAGATACGTCTTTACTCCTACGATCACACTGTAGCATTTTCCCGAGGCTCCTCGGTGAATGTGAGACAATGCCTAGGTCGCATGAGCCTCCATGGATATAATATGACAGCCGTGGAAATAAGAGGGGAAGAACCATCCTCCATGGCCGTTAAACACAAGTGCAAAGACCAACATAAGGAGAAGGGGATAACATTGCATAGAGACCGTACAGCCATTCAAGATCTCCGAGTCCAGACCAATATCGTAAAGCCTACCCCGGTCTCCGCAAGGTAGATCTGATATTCTGCCAGATAGCGTTGTCATCGTGAATCCACACCGGAGTGGCAGGGATCGGCGACCGGTGTGGCTTTTGTTTGTAACGTACGGAGTAGGCACCGATACTTCGCGCCTAAAGGACACTGCCTAAAGAGAAAGACAGAGGGCATGGACTATTTATTATGAATCCTACCCTCCGATCCCCCAACTCGCCTGGGCGTCAGCGAGTGCCCGCCTATCCCCCTCGTTACCCCCGACCTCCGTCTGATGACGAAGAGGAAGACGACTCCGATGAAGACGAATTGGTTCGCCCCGGATCTTCCGGTAGTGACGCCCCCTCCAATGTGACCACCGTCTCCGCTGCTCCTATTACTCCGATCAATACTCAACTACCTCCCGGGAGTTACTTCCCTCCACAACCACGCTCGGCCACTTCACCTCACCACCCTATGCCGAACCCCACAGGCCGAAGGCCCTCTGGCCGGGGCTCCTCTGTCGAGCTGTCCCGGCATCGATCTCGCCATCACTCGCAGGGTTTCTTTGAGCCTTCCCTGCCGACAGCCTCCTCCGACCAGGTTCCCACCGTATCGGCCTCCCGCATTGCCGCCCAGACAGCAATGCAGCAGACAAAAAGGCAACAGAGCGCCATTACCCCAAATGAGGATAGTTCACGGCCGCGACGCAGTGGAAGCGCCTCGCCTCCTCTTTTGCCTGCTCCATTACGTGTCAATCAACCTTCGCCCCAACCCCCTCAGCCTGCACCAGGGAATGTGGCCACAACAGCTGCGAATGTGGTCTTTCCACGAGCCGGTGCTCAGCCAGTAGAACAACAGCCCGAGAAACAGAAGAAGAAGAAACTCTTCTCGAAACCAAAACACATCGGAATCAGCAGGGACAAAGATCTCGCCAAGGACCGTGGTCTTCCCTCCCCAAGCAAGATCAGTGGGTTATCGCGTATGGTCAGCGGCTCAACTCCAACATTAGACTTATCTTCGAACAACTCGTCGATGTACAATTTGTCCAATGCTTCTGTGAGCACAGTGGTCCCCGCAGATCGACCAGGGGCCCCAGAGAAAGAAAAAGATAAGGATAAAGACAAAGACAAGCACAAGCACCATTTTTTGTCAAGGCAGAAGCTAAAACTCAAAGACCGTGTCGATGATCATTTCAATCTACCTCTATCATCGGCTTCGAGTAATTCTCGTCCAGCAGACCCCAATGCCCCGAAATCTCTCTACTCTTTTACGAGCCCTGCGTCTCCGGCTCCTGGTGCAACGTTCGGCAAGTCCGTCAGTGGATTAGATCTTCTACATGGCGGTCGAGCACTACGTGAGAAAAAGAAGGAGGAGAAAGCGCTCGCCGAGTCGGATCAGATGGAATGGCTAACCAATAATACTGGAGGACCAACGACAACCGGCGGCTTTCCAGGCCCGTCTTCGGTTGGTAGCTCGGGGACATTCCCTGAATCTATTCTTCGGGAGACATTGCAAGGGTTTGGGTTGAATAATATGACCCCAGAGGATGCGTGGGACTTCTTGAAGGCGAAGTTGCTGGTCATCTTCGATGGGGAAGACGTCCGCATTGCCATTGAGGATCTCAACAAATTGGTCCTCGTCCATTTGCAGCGTTGCGTGCTGAAGAGGTCCCCTACTTCTGTTATCACGGACTTACAAGAGCTCCTGCAGACTGGGTTTGCAACTCTGAATCTTAGCTCCCTCTTGGGTGTCCCAGATGAAAAGCTGGTCCCTCATCTGGTTCAAATATGGCTGCTGGTATTTGGAACCATTTTGCCCTTCATTCAAGCCGTCTTTCTTCCCTTAGACCTAGAGTTCAAGGGCTGTGGATCCTTGATGACTAGTCGAGAAGCGGGTGAATTTTGGGCTGTACTACCTGTCGCTGGAACACTGGATGTGCGAAATTTAGTCTTGATTGCCTTCCGTGACTGCATCATCCTGAACCGCTACGATACTCTCAAAGCAACTTTCTCACGGTTGAGCTTGGACTCCATCAATACCGGATTTCCAACACTCAGCGTTACGGCCAAGAGCACTGGCACTGGAGGTCGTCCTGGCACTGCAGCATCGCTCGACGCCGGCTTTGGTAGCTTTAACTCGCAATCCTCCACCTTTCTCAGCAATGTCGCCGACAGCTACTCCTCTGACGGCATAAGCGCCCTGGCTGGTCATCCACGCCCAAGAAGCAGTGATTCTCGCAGCCGCGCTGCCTCAAACACATCTTCCAATCCGGATCCCCTGTTCTTCCAGTCTGTCGCATCGCCTCCAGCCTCCAACCAAAGGCCCACTATCATCCACCGCGGAAACTCCATGGATTCCTCTCACGTCATCACAGAAACCGTTGGCCGCATGCTGCAATGCGTCAGCGTCCTGGCAAGCGTGCAAACTGATGACCCTGCCCAGGAACGGATCGAGATTCTCAGCAAAGCTCTCAAACACAATTGGCTCGGCCGCGGTCGCACAGGCCGTGATCGGCGCGGCTTCGTTGGCGCCAAGATCCGACCTGTGATGGTCGGCGGTCCTCCTGTTATCGACGATGCAGACTCTCTCACTACGGCCGGCATCAGTATCGGTGCTAGCACCAGTACTGGTGGTTCTCGGGGTCGTGGTGACTCGTCCTCGTCGGATTGGAGTTCCAATGTCCCAGGAACAGGGATGAGTTTTCGTAGTAGTGGTAGACGAGAACTGACTGTTCTTTAGCTTCGATCTTTTACTATTCCTTTACTTATGATTGTATGACACCGGTGAATGGGTCGGCGATATAGGGGCGTTTCTGTTTGCAAGGAATTGATATCCTGTCTCGGGTCTTGTCGAGCAATTCCATTTACATCGTTATCACATATACGGGGTACCTCCTCTGCAGGGATATATGTAAATCTTACAATTGTTTCATTTGTTTTTTTTTTTCTCTTTTTGCTTTTGGCCTGTTTGTTGTGCACTCCCCAACATGTAAACCTCACATATGGCATGCTGTCAGGGCCCGATCAACTGGCCTGATACAAAGCTTCGAACTGCGCACCAACAGGAAAGGATGCCGTCTCACCTCGCTATCCAATCCATCTCACTTCCAAGGGCAGTCCCCTACTTTCGCTGGGATCTCCCCTTTCCCTTCACATCCACCTTGCCCAGCTTTTTGAGGTCATCGTACCGGACCTCGCAAACCAGGGGGCCAATCTTCCAGCCAAACTCTGCCGACAACTCCACAGCAATCTCCCCAAAGGCCTCGGTGGTCAACTCCGAATATGCCTGCACAGCTTCCAGAAGGGCATCCTATTGTAATATTAGCAATCAATTCAAATACGACAGCCCTCGCATTCTCAGATATACCCGGGAAGGCATCTGAAAATGAGGTTCATCCAACGGGAAAGTAGATCCTTACATCAAAACCGGGCCACACGCCAATCCGTTTCTTCATCCGACCGTATCGCTTGCCAAGTGCCCGCCAGGTCATCTCTTCAGCATCCGCATCCCGGTGTTTGTTCCATCTCACCGCGATGTCAGCCCATGACATCGCCGTGGTCACTGCAACGTCCTTCATCTGCGACATCATCTTGTCCGCCGTGCTGGCGGCCTCCCATGAGACCGGTGTCGGGTTGCCCTTGCCCTTCCTGATGATGGGACTGGGCTTGACGCCGGAGCTTCGCAGGTGGCGTGGGGAAATAGCGACTGCAGACGGAGGGGTAGCTATCTCCGTCTTGGCTTTCTTTTTCGAGTCTCGGCGAGATGATGGTTCGGCGCTTGCGGCCTGGGTGCTGGATGAGGCGCTCTGGAGACGGCTCGAAGCTGGAGTTGCGGCTGGGGCAGCGGTGAATGGCTCTAGACTCGGGATATGTCTCTTGGCCAAGCTCTGGCTAGCTAGTTTCGAGGTTAGATATTGACTTGCTTGCTTCGTTGATTGCATAGTCTCATCCGGGGCCTGAGCCATATGTTAGATTATTATTCATGTGTTTGATGTGCTTCTCGGAGATATGCGTATTCAGCATTGACTTACGTTGCTGGGGGTTGAAATTTCCCGAGGAGTGTGAGAGACAGCTTGAAGGGGAGCAGAAGTGGCAGTCTGAGCAGCAACGGGCTGAAAGTTAATTGCTTGAATAAGAGGAGGTTGACTGCGTTCTCTTCGAGCTGGGGGATGCTGAGGCAGAGGAGCTGGAGGTGAACAAGGTCGAGGTGGACCGGCAGAGCCGATTGCCACGATGGGAAGTTCAGGAGGCCGGAATGCCTCCATTACTGCATTGGCGTCATCCATCGCAGCAAAAATGTCGTCGATCTCACTAGTTGAAACGGGAACCAATTCTTCTTCTTCGGTCAGCCTATGAGCACGATTTTCGGTATAGAAACTGGCCAGTTCACGCGGGATAAGTTGTTCAGACGCCAGGATACGCGCATACTCCTCATATGTGTACATACCCATTGGGTCGGTGGTCCAGTCATGATATTCTTCGGAATAAGTGACCCCGGGTGAGGAAGAACCTGAGACTCCGGCGGATTGAAATGACCAAACAGGGTCCGTTGAGGGTCTCAGAGGATTATGTGGTGAAGTTCCGGACGCACTAGGATGAAGGGGGCGCATATCAGTGAGTTTTTTGTCGGAATCAGGTGAAGAATCATCGGACGGGCTGGCAGTAGCTTGCGGCTGATTCGAGGTGATATGGGATAATTCCTCGACAGCAGCAACAGGGGATGAAGGATATTCGGTGCTGACAGAGATATTCGATGGAGGCTCAGCAGAGCTGACAGTAGAAGGGAGGGAGTGGGAATCTGGGGTCACCTCACGTCGCCTCTTGCTGGGAACAAGTTTGGTTTGAAGAGGCATGACTATGGGAGGTGAGCCTGCGGAGTGGACTCTAACATTCATACCCAGATCGGATGAAGGGGATTGGGTGATATCGGGGGTAGAACTCTGAGAAGACATGATTGCGATGATTTGAAACAAGGTACTGCGGCTAGATGGACGCACTGCCTTGAGCAGGTTGCGAAGCCCGTGGTGTACGAGGAGGATTTGATTGAGAACGAGAACTGCGCTGACTACAATCTCTTCGGTATCTTAGAACCACAACAAGGCTTCTCCGGTATCTCAATCGAACAATGAGGCTCTGGCGAGGTGACTGGGCGCGACCAAGAGTGCGTTCATGAGTCCCTCGAAGAAGAGGAATACCTCGATCAAGAGGAGATCCTTCGAAGTTCAAACGCATATGGGAGACGAATTAAAAAGCTGATCTGGCAGTGACTCGTTCCTGAGTGCTTTGAGAACGCAGAGTGACTTGATCTCGTGGAAGGCTTCGACCACGCGGAGGACTTCGACCACGAGAAGGGTATCGACGAATTGGAGTTCTTTGATTTCTTGGACGATTATTGGGAGATGAGGAGATTGATTCGGTACTGCGCTGTCTCCGATGGGAGCTTCGACCGCGAGAAATGGGTCGACGAAGACGATGGTTCTCAGGAAGAGGAGCTCCTGGGTATCTCAAAGGAGTTCTTGGAGATGAGGAAGATGAGTCGCTCGTATTCTCTTGTCGGTCACGGAGACTGATCTGCTCGAGACGACTGACTGAATCAAGAAGGGCTTCTTGGGCCAAATGGGTATTGAGAGATGAAGATGACTCGCTAGTGCCCTCTCTCCGATGGGTGCGTTCACCAAGGGGGCTGGCTTGATGAACAGCTACTGGATCAAGAGGGGCTTCTTGGGCTGTCGAATGTGTATTGGGGAATAACACAGATGAGAGCACAGAAAGGTTCAATCTCCAAGAGAGATGTTGAAGTTGACAGTCTCTTCGACGTGTCAAAAGACTGGGGTACTCTGGAAGAGGACCAGAGCTGGACGCCGAAGGCGAGTTCTCCAGATCCACAGGAGTATTGGGGGGCACAATCAAAGCAGGCTCACTGCTGTCAGTATCGCTGCTGTCAGTATCGCTGCTGTCAGTGTCGCTGCTGTCAGTGTCACTGCTGTCAGTGTCACTTCTGTCAGGGGTGAGACAGGAATATGGCCTAGAACTGAAAAATGTGTCGAGAGTGCGGGGAGTTGGAGGAAAGGACTCTGAAGGAGAAGCGGTCTCAAAAGAGTGAGAAAGAGAAGGCAGAGAGTTGGCAGATGAAGAAGGAACGGGGGTAAAAGGATCAGCAAACGAATCGCGTGAATGGTCGAGAGAATGGGACCCTGTTGATGGTTGCGCGATCGCGTGTCGCCGTCGCGGAACGGGGGTTGCTTGATCCAGCGTCCTGGTACCGACTGACGACGACTCATCGGCGACAGATGGCGACTCATCGGCGACAAACGGTGTGCGACTAAGCTCTCGCGATGCTTGCGACCTCAGCTCTGGCATGGAGCTCCTTCTGACCGTGCGTCGCCTTGCCATAGTCCCAAAGCTTCAATTTACTGTTGGAAAGTTGGGAGACCACGAGGATAAAAACATTTCAAGGTCTTCTACAATTTTAGCTACCAGAGAACTTGACGCCGAAACGGCGAGTGCTACTGACGATGTCGTCGCCGACATACTCAAAGTCCCGGGCGAGGTGGGCGACGAGTCCAGCCCTAACATGGGCCCGGGAGCATTTGATATCGCGATATTTCAAGGCCTCCATTTAACATACGACAGTGGAAATCCATATATGGGGCTCAGCACTTTCCCTGTCATAGAAGGAATAATTCACATCCCGTAGCACTTAACAAGATACATGTTTCGTGGAGCCAGGTCCCTGAGCAGTCCATGCCTAGATCGTCGATACCTAAGCACAGGCGATCACACATTGCATGCCATATCCCTCAACATCCGCTACTTGTGCTGTTCAGAGTACCTGGGTATCTCCACGGTATTACTACAGCAGGTCTCACTGTTACAGCGTCATGAATCTTGGCGCTTAATATGAAGTGCGGATTGGCGGATCAGGGGCTTCCAGGGCTAGGGAGAAGTAGAGTGTCTAACAGAATTCCCAGACATCTTAGGCATCTCAGACATCTCAGACATCTCAAACAAAGTCAAGCCAGATAGAGAATGATTTGAGACACATAAAGAGCTGGGATGTCTTCTTACCACCACGGTGTGCAACTGAGCCGCATGTATCAAAGATTCTCCAGGACCCCAGTACAGCTAGATTACACCTGTTCATACCTGTCTACACCTACCTAGGATACCTAGGCTACCTAGGCTACATTGCCAATGGCAGGAATCACCGTAACAGGGACAGCTCAGCCATGCATCGTGGGGGCGACTGATTGGCTTTGGTCTGGAGCTGCAGCCTGCAGCCTGCGTCGTCGTGATGGGCACTTCATAAAAAGCGTCTCACCCACATCGCCATTCTCTTTCTTCTTTGCATTTCTCTGTCTCGGGTTTGTCTTGCTTCTGTTCTGTTCTTGGGCTATTTAAATCGGTCTCTTGCTCTTTCCCCTATATCTTTAACTTTGCTTATCTCTCGCATCTCCTTGGGTATACTGGTATACTAGGTATACTAGGTATACTACACCAGCATCATGGCAGACACTACTGCTACCACCGAGGTGAAAGATGAGGTGGCTCCTCCAGAGAACCTGAATGGCTCTGCCCAGCCCAATACCCAAGAAGTCAAAGACGCCGTCACCCCCGCTCCGGAGGCGCCTTCGAAACTCTGCAAAAAGCACCAGGACAAGAAGAAAAAGAAGAGCAAAAAAAGGGCCGATGATACAGATAGCTCTTCTGATTCTTCCTCTTCTTCCAACTCCGACAGCGATGCCGACTCCGAGGAAGAATCCGATTCTACAGAGAGCGAGTCCGATACCGACAAACGCAAGCGACATCGTCTACGAAAAGCGCGTGCTAGACGTGCACTGAAGGACAGGAAACGTCGCAAGAAGAAGAAGCAACGGTCGCGCAAGGCCGTCGATGAGATATCGGATTCGGATTCGGACTCTTCCTCTGAGTCGGAGTCGGAGGCCTCTACCGACTCCGAGGATGAGATCGACGATAAAGCATTGAGGAAATTGGTCTCCAAGCTGAAACTGAGCAAGAAACGTGCGAAGAAGCTGCGCGAACTAGCGACTGACGATCTGGCGGCGAGCGATCCGTTGGGGGAAACTCGCCGCGAGAAGCGGTCTAAGAAGAAGAAGCCGGCATCGAAAGTGGCTTATAAGCGTGTAGATCAATGTGAGTTTGTGCTTTTTTTTGCTTGTTGCTTGTTGCTTGTTGCTTGTTGCCCCTTTCCTCTTTTCTATTCGGTGGAGCAATGGTCCCTTGACTGACTTCGTTTTATAGTATGGGACACCACCATCCACAAGTACAAACTCACCGAGACTGTGGATGACCCCGATGCCGACGAATGGGATCAATACATCTTCAATGTCCGGCGCAAGTTCAATTGGGAAAATAAGTATATTGAGACCGTTGTCGATATCAAGAGCAAATATCTGCGTGATGCCCTCGCCAAGATCATGGATGGCGTCAAAGGCGTCAGTCTCGTCCAGGAGCCGGCTGTCGTCGATCCCAATATGCTGTTCCTGTATCTGGAGGAGACTCGGCAGTCTATGAAGGATCTGAAGAAACAATCACGCAACGAGAAAAAGAAAAAGGCCAGGAAGTCTGCCGCTGCCAAAGCTGCCCACTTGAAGGTCCTGGTCAAATACCTCGACACCGACTATGCAGACATCAAAAAGACTCTATACCCATTGCTTGAAGCTAACACTATCACGTTTGATCTGCTGTGGGCCCTGTATAAGCCTAACACTATCGCCTACACTCCCACATATGGCAGCTCAGACGAGCCACGCGCCTTCAAGATCGAGTACGCCGTCAAGGAGTCCTCCTTCATGAAGGGCCAGTGGTACAGTGTCGACGGCCGCTACCTTGAGTACGATGGCAAGGACTATGGCTTTGGTTCTATGTCCGCCGAAGTCGAAGCCTTCAAGGGTGCCCGTAAAATCACCAGTCTGGCCTGCTACCCACTGAAATACCATCGTGATGCCGAGGCCTTGCGTGCCCGTCTTATCGAACGTGGCAAGCGCTTCGTCGCCTTGCGAGGTATGAACTACCGCTTCCACAAGGGTATGGCCTTCTACAAGAAGAAGCGCTCTTTCGTCATCAAGGTCAACATCAACGGCCGCGTCATGATCGACCCGGCTATTCACCGACGCATTAACCCTAACTATCCCATCTCCACTGTCCGTCCCAAGGACCCGGACCTGGTAGACATGGAAGATCTGGGGCTTAGCGATGGTGACGATGATGATAGCGATGGCTGCTGCTGTGGTGGATCGGACTCGGACTCTGAGCACGGTGGCTCCTCCGATACCCCGCGGACGATGTACAAGGTCATCGAGGATGCAGAGGGCTGTCCACGTGTAGTGGAGGTTGAGATTGACGAGAATGGCGTGGAGATTGAGAAGGAGAAGATCGACCGCATTGAAGGTGCCGCTGATACTAAGGAGCGTGAATTCACCGAGGAGGAATTGCTTGTTGCGTCTCCAGTTGTTCTAGGCTTCGCCTTTAGCGAGAAGCTTTGGCTCGAGTTCACCATCTCCGGTATCAGCGATATCGAATGGGATAAGGAAGCTTTTGGCTCGCTCGTCCTCCCATCGAACCAAAAGTCTATCGTTAAGGCCCTCGTTGAGTCGCATACCTTCCACGCCGCGGAGAATATCGACGATGTTATCCAGGGCAAGGGCAAGGGACTTGTTGCCGTGCTACATGGCCCACCGGGTACTGGTAAGACTCTGACGGCAGAAGGCATCGCCGAGCTACTCCGTCGTCCATTGTATATGGTCAGCGCTGGTGAACTCGGAACAGATTCCCGGACACTCGAGGCTGAGCTGAACAAGATCTTGGATATTGCGCACTCCTGGGGCGCAGTGCTGCTCCTTGATGAAGCTGATGTCTTCCTCGAGAAGCGCACTATCCATGATATCCACCGCAATGCCCTCGTTAGCATATTCCTCCGTCTGCTGGAATACTTCCAGGGTATCTTGTTCCTAACTACCAATCGTGTTGAGACCTTTGATGATGCCTTCCAGTCGCGCATCCACGTTGCCTTGCGCTACGGCGATCTCACATCCAAGGCAAAGAGGAGTATTTGGAAGATGTTCTTAGAGCGTGTGCGTGCCATTGAGGGTGTGCGGATTGCTTCGTTCTCTGAGGAGGATTATGATATGCTTTCCAGGCATACCCTGAATGGACGACAGGTACGTGCCTTGTGTCTATTCTTTTTTTCTCCCCCCGTTTCCTTTACATTTTCTACAAAATTGATAGCATCCCTAATCTCTACTACGCAGATCAAAAACTCCGTCCGCACCGCGCAAGCTCTGGCAGTCAATGAGAGCTCGCCTCTGTCCATGGAGCATATCAAGCGAGTGTTGGAGGTAGCCGAGACATTCGACCAGGACCTCCGTGGCGGAACTGGATACCTAGACGCCATGCGAAGCTATACTTGATATATCGGGACTTATGATCATTTCGGGAAATTTGGGTGCTTACTAGGGTATCGGTGTGGAACTGATATTTGACTTGCTAGGTTTTTTTTTTCCTTCGCTTTTTGTCCAGTTTTTCTTCGACTCATCTCAAGATGCAGGCTACTCAATTATGTCTCGATTCTCTTGCATTACGGATACGAGGCGAAGGGTTTTAGGCAGTGTCAATGCTTGATATGGGGTTGAAAATGATTACAGTTACAATTCAGGGTCGGAGGATTAGGATGGATCGATGTATGGATTAAAATGGATATCGATCTAGTAAAGAACATGGTCATACACTTTCATTATTACTTAAACAAAAGCCATGACGCGACATGGGTGGTTGTACATGAAACATTTTAAGGGTTGGCCTTGACGAAGTCAACACCCTTCTGGATGTTCTTCTTCAGGTCAGCGAGGCAGGCATCGAGGAGACCCTGCTCGTACTCGCTGATCTCGCCAACGGGGTTGATGGTCTCAACACCGTTGGGGCCGAGCTCGACGCGGGAAGCGAAGAAGTCGATACCCTGGTCCTTGTAGAGAGGGGAGTCGACGAAGGTGGGCTCAATGACACCCTTCTCGCCCTGGGCGGCGCGGAGCAGAGACTCGGCGAAGCGGGCACCGGCCATGGCCATGGAGAGGGTGGCGGAACCGGCACCGTCCTTGGCCTTGACGACCTCATCACCACCGAACTGGATGCGGTTGACGAGAGCATCGCGGGCCTCACCGGCGATGGAAGAGTGGTTGGACTGCGAGAGCAGGGGAACGATGGTCACACCGGAGTGACCACCAACGACGGGGACGGCCTCGCCGGAGGGGTTGGTGCCCTGGACCTGGGAGATGAAGCGGGAGGCACGGACGACGTCAAGGGTGGTGACACCGAACAGGCGCTTGGGGTCGTAAACACCGCGGGCCTTGTAGACCTCAGCGACAATGGGGACGGTGGAGTTGACCTTCATACTCAAATGATTAGTAAAATTTCCCAATTGCGAGAGTGCGATTCCTGCTTACGGGGTTGGCAATGACCAGGACGTGGGCCTTAGGGGCGGCCTCGGCGGCGGCCTTGGCGAGGTCGCGGACAATAGAGGCGTTGGTGTTGAAAAGGTCATCACGGGTCATACCGGGCTTGCGGGGAACACCAGCGGGGATAAGGATGATCTCGGAGTTCTCGAGGCAGTCACGGAGACCGGAAGCATCGGGGGTGTAACCAGTGACGGTGCTGTTGGTGTTGATGTGGCTGAGATCAGCAGCGACACCTAAACAGAGTCAGCAATGTGCTTTACTCGGCTTGGAGTCATTGGCATCATACCGGGTCCACCGCGGATATCGTAGAGGGCGAGCTCAGAGACACGGGGGTTGAGCTTCAGCAGCAGGGACAGAGGCTGGCCAATACCACCGGCAGCGCCGAGAACGGCGACCTTGGAGGCCTGGGGAAGTTAGCATTTGTGGAAGAGAGGCAAGTAGATCACGCACATTGATAGCGGAGGCCGAGAAGGCACGCTTCTGGAAGAGGTTGGCAGTACGACGAGCGGCAAACATGATTGTGATGGAGAGATGTGAGAAAGAAAGAAGAAGGAGAAGGGGAGATTCCGGTGAAAGAGATTGGGCCCGGTGGCTCCACAACAGTTTCCGAGCTCCCCGTGCTCCTCGGTCTAATGGGCTCTTTTTCGCGCTTTTCGCTTCCTTTTCTTCTGATTTTGTGATTGATTAGATTGTTTTTTGGGGTCAATGCTCTTTCTAGTCGAGTTTCCACATCTTTTGGGTTCTCAATGGCTGTTCTTCCCCAACCTGAGCCTATGATGTAGTGCTTGTCTGCATGTGGGATCGCGACATCTTGCCTAGCTCGGCAATCCTCTTCAGGTATGTGCCTAATTGGGATCCGAGAATACGTTCGCGGATTGCCTTTCACTACCAGCTTGACGAGGGTTGGCAACATCCAATTGCTAGAGGGGACCGGCCTCTATACAATGGCAGGGATGGCTGGTCACACAAAGTCTGGCCCGTTGCGAACTTCGCTTCTTACTCTGGATGTAGGGAACTCCAAGAATGATGAGGCATACCTACATACCTACCTAGGTAGGCAGAAGACAATATGCAGGGCTCTAGGCTCCCTAGGTAACCCCAGGCTGAGCTACCTGCTAGAGACCTAGGACGCATGCGGGTTTGGTTACATATTTTAAGTCACGGACCCATACCTAGGTAACGACAGGGAACAACAACCCAGGTAAGAGAGAGATATATATCTTGACATATGTACAGATCCTAGGTATTCTCGGCTAAAAATAGACACCGGCAAGAACGACATCAATTGCAAAGACCAAACGCCGGCGCTGATGAAATACAAGATACAAGACCAGACCCTCCCAGGATGGACAGACCGAGAAGCTTCGCACTCAAATAGGAACCAGGAACACAAAGGTAGGTTCCTATCGTAAAAAGTGTAGCACAGCCCAGCAGAATAAGAGGAAAACCACCACTCCGCCCCAGAAAATCCACTTATCTTGACGCGCACGCCGCTCCACCCTCCGGATGGTGTCGCCGCTCACACCAAGCGTGTTCGCGACGCTATATAGTCGCCGTTGCGTGCCCTTAAGTACTTCACGCTGCTGTCCTAAATCGGCGAGGACCGCTCTTCCGCGGTCCAGGAATTCGTCAAGTTGGTTGTGTGTATTGGAGAAGAAGGACTGCTCTCGTAGTGCATGGGTTTCGCGACTGTAGTCCGCGGGGCTAGCGCCGAAGCTGAGGCTAGAGGACGAGGGTGCGAAGGCAGAGGTCGTTTGTGGGAGTGAGGATTGTGCATAAGGGTTTTCTGGTGTTGCAGCATGGTGTGGGCGACGGCCGAGAAGTTCATTGCGGTTAGTTACCGATTGCTGGCGATGTGTTAGTATCGGAATGACACCACGAAGAAGTATGGGAAACCTACTGCATCCTCGCGTTCTTTGCGAAGTCGATCGAATTGCGTTCGGTAGTCTGTGAGCTCATTTCGAAAGTTCTTAATTCGGTCGAATGCCTTTTGTTGTTTCTCGGGAATCAATTCCTTCTTGGAAAGTGATGAGTAGTCGTCAACGGTCCGGGATAGTGATGCTAAGGAGGCTGCAAGTTGTCCTAGAGCGTTGGGGTCAATATATTGTGCTACAAAGAATCGGTGTGGGAAGCGCACCTTGCAACGCGGGTGAGGAGGTCGTTGGTGACTGTGCGAAGCTGTCCAAATCGCGGCGAATAGATGATGACTGCTTTAAAGCAGAGTTAAATAGTGAGTTCTACTCATGTCAGTTGGGCAAATCCAATAGGGACATCTGTAACATACCATGTTGTTAATGCGGCGAGTGCCCCGTATAGATTGGACTCGTGGTTTGGTTGATACCCGATGGAAATGGAAAGCGGGAGTACCGGAGCTGCTCAGAGGACAGTAGAAAAAATAGAAAATCAACAGCAAGATCCGAAGCTAGCAGCTTTCTGTGCACAGACACCAGGTGATTGTCAACTGATTCGACCGGAGGCCAGATGGTCTGGTTTGGGCCCCATTCTGACGTAGTTCACCGCCTTAAGGTACAATACATTCAGCTGCGGCATTGAGCTCTTGGGGTATTTTTAGGTCCTACGTACTCCATATAGCGTTACAGTCAAATACATCCTGGAACTCTCTGATCTCTGCAATTCATACAAACAAGGTGATCTACCACTACGTTTATAGATTCTATAGATGCGGGAGAAATTGTATCGTCGTCAGAGTACTGATACAGTCGATTCGTTCCACCACCACTCTCGCCAAATAAACAGAATGCGGAACCATAACAGAGCTGGGATGGTATATCAAGATAAGAAGCAATTAGGCAACACCAAGAAAAGAGAGAGAATGCCACACATCTATTTCGGAGGGAACTTGTTCTGCAAGAACCACCTGCGCGGTGTGGTTAGTATCACCAGTATAGACCAGAATTACCAGCCAGGAAATATATGCGCCACTTACTTGCTCACGAAGTAGTCCACTGCGCCAAAGACCCCAACAGCACCGGCAGACAGCCCAACCAACTCCCAAGAAAGGGTACCCCGCGCGTGTTGTTTGTAGGCACCGAAGCCCAGACCTGCGCCAACAACGGTTGCAATGGCGGCGTTGACAAGGAAGACAGGGTTACTTGTATTTCCACAGATACCGCTGCTCTTCACCTTGCGGGCCTTGGCCTTCTTCTTCTCATCGTCCTCACGCTTGCGCTTCTCCTTCTCCTGGGCTTCGCGTTCTATCCGCTCTGCCTGGGTTGTGGTCTGCACGTCTTGCTCGAGGAACCCAGACTCCACAGTCTGGATGTGGGGTCCATCAACATCGATCAAGGAGGCCGTGCTCTCGGACTGATCATGGTAAACTCCTCCCACGGGAGGAGCGCGACTGAAGTATATATTAGTTATATAATGAGATTATTTGTGGATCGACAACTCACGCCTATCATGTGTCAGTGGTGAATTTGATAATTAGGGTCATAAACACTTACATCCTCAGGCGACTGCTTGGCGCCCTTCGCAACTGCGTCGGCATAAGACATGGTGTTGCGCGTGAGGTTATTAGAAGGAGGTAGTTCTGGCGAATTCCAGTCAACACCCGAAATGCTCGGAAGAAGAAGACGAATCAAGGAGGCAGAGAGGACAATGACTTACCAAAAACGGGATGAGGGATAGAAGGAGGTCGAGGGGAAAGGGAAGCTTTTATACCCAGGAAGCTGGGGGGAGGTTGTGACATCACGTCATTGACCTGGTCCCACTGCCAGGGTTCCATGGGCCTGATTTCCACATCGACGTTGATCTCATAGCGGTCTCTAGCACTAACTAATACTACCAAATAAGTGAATAATCAGTTGAATCAATATGCATTCCTGGGGTTTTATTGCGGTCCCTGGCAAGAATGATCGTGGTCTACCAACTCAGCCACCTACGTGACCATGTGAGATTGCAATTTCCAACGCCAAAGCCAAAACACAAAAGATTGGGAAGAAGTCAATAAATTTGAGAGGATCGGAAGCTGCTAAAGAGATCAAAAACAAATGGGACCTATGTAAGGGTCTAATGGGGAAGGCAGGGTGTTTTAATACAGATTACAGATAAGTCGAAAGAAGGAGGCTTTGCTGTTCACAGCAGAAGCTCCAGAGGGTTCTCGACGACCTTCTTCAGCTCCTTGATCCACTCACCACCAACGGCACCGTCAACCACCTTGTGGTCGAAGCTACCAGTCACGATGATCTGGTCGTCCCACTCGGTAACGGTGCCCTCCTCGGTCTCGACGGGGACAGCGACCTTGCGGGTGGTGCCAACAGCCAGGATACCGGCCTGCGGGGGGTTGATGACAGCAGTGAAGCGCTCAACAGCGGGGTTCATGCCCATGTTGGAGATGGTGAAAGTGCCGCCCTGGTACTCCTCGGGCTTGAGCTTGTTCTCGCGGGCACGCTTGCCGAGATCCTTGATCTGCTTGGAGATGCTGGAGAGTCCGAGACCCTGGACGTTCTTGACAACGGGGGTAATCAAGCCAGAAGGAGTAGAGACAGCGACGCTGATATCAGCAGTGTGGTGCTGACGGATAACGGCCTGGCCGTTCTCCTCACGCCAGCTGGAGTTAACCTGGGGCACCTTGAGGAGGGCAACGGCACAGGCCTTGACCAGGAAGTCATTGACAGAAAGCTTGTACTGACCCTCGGCGGACGCGTTCAGGGCCTGGCGGAGCTTCAGCAGCTTGGTGACCGAGAGAGTGGTAGAGACGAAATAGTGTGGGTTCTCGGCGATGGACTGCTTGAGACGGTTGGCAATGGTCTTGCGCATGGAAGAGACGGCGATCTCCTCGAAGGGAGATTCGGCGGCGGCAGCGGTGGTGGCAGGCTTGGCCTTCTCAACATCCTCCTTTGTAATGACACCACCACGACCAGTCCCCTTCAGGCCCTTAATAGACACACCCTTCTCGAGAGCCAAAACCTTAGCAGCGGGGCTGATAGCAGGCTCACGATCAAGACTGGGTTGAAGCTTCTCGTCCGAGGTCTCGGGTTCCTGCGCGGCGGGTGCCTCCTCGGCGGGGGCCGGGGTCTCGGGCTCAGCGCTCTTGGGCTCCTCCTTCTTCTCCGCGGGGGCGGCCTTATCCCCACCGGCATCGGCCAGGGTGAAAGACTCGAAGGCAGAGACATCGGCACCCTCCTCAACAAGAACGGCAATAGGCTAGACATAGACATGTTAGATCGATTCCCGCGAAGAAAATCGGGAAGCCTCTTACCGAGCCAACAGCGATATCCTTCTCGCCGCTCTCCTTCAGAACCTTGGCCAGAACACCCTCGTCCTGGAACTCGAAGTCCATCTGTGCCTTGTCGGTTTCAATCTCGACCAAAACATCACCGGGTTGAAGACCATCTCCGGCCTTCTTCTGCCACACGCCAATGTTTCCAGCGGTCATTGTAGGAGAAAGCGCCGGCATGCTGATGATTGTGTGGGGAGGGAAGGCTGTGGATAGATATGTCAGAATTGATCCGTCAATGGGAAGAAAGGTCCATTGCTATGCATACATTTGGAGGCATAGAAGCGGGAAAGAGCAGAGAGTGCAGGCGCTTGGGTCCTGATAGAAGTATCATTAGAATCAACCATGAATCACAATTGAGATCAGGAGAGCATACTGCATGACCTCCTGAAGCTTGGAGGAGACCTGAGGCCGGCGCATAGCGGCCGCACCTCTAGACATGAACATGGCGCTCGGGGTGCGCATCCGGATAGCTGACGCAACCATGGTGCCCAATACTTGTTGCGATTATAAAAATGGGGGAATTAAAGGCTCTTAACGCTGATATGAAGAAAATAAGAGAGCCCAACACAGATCAGACGTGAGAAGGCACAAAGATGGATAAGGTTGGGATGGAAGGAGATGCCTCTAACTCACGAACTTTTCTGTTGAGCTACCTATGGCTCCCGGTGAGAGGAGGAGCGGCAGCGGCCTCTTCCGAGACAAGTCACGTGTTGTCTGGGGGAAGGTGGCCACTCTCTTTCACCGCTCTTGGCACGTATTTACATGTATACTCCGTACAAGGGTTGAATAGGCTATCTAGGTAGGCCGGATCAATATCTAAGAGTAAATTTACCTTGTGACCATCAACTGAAGTATTTTAAAATGCAAGACGAAAAATTTCGATCCGTAATGGTTCATACCGTAGAGTACAAAAATGTTCAATGTCGGCATTTACACATCACTTCCTAGGTACGGACGGCCCAGCCCTGGAGCGGCCCCGGGGAAACCATGTCCACTTCAGCGGGCTTCCAAGGTTGCCCAGGTGAATGTATGATGACTAACATTCTGCCAGACAAAGGAAGTCGGTGAGTTTGGAACCTTGGAAAGCCAATCCGCAGCTGAGGTAAGCCTGCATTAGTCCCGATTTGGAGAAGACACGCAGCCCCCGTCCTTACATGTCATCGCGATTGTTTTAAGCTTCCCCACGTTTGCTCGTTCGATGTTTCTGATCTAATAAGATCACTCCGCCCGGAGTCACCTTGACCATGGCGGACACCGAACCCGGCTCCGAGCCGACCCAACCCATCGAAATGCCCGAGAAGCCCTTGGAGACCCCCGATGTATCAGCTACGCTTGACTCCGATGAGCCCACGCTCGAGCAGACCGAACCGCAAGAACCAATTGAGGAGCGCGGTGACGAAATTGCTGACGTTCAGCAAGGTGAAGGAAAACCAGAGGTGCCGCCCAAGGACGATCCTGAACAGGTCGAACAAGAACTCCAAACAGAAGGTCCGCCCACGATTCAGGAACCACCCGCGGAGGACAACAATGTCATGGAGAGTAGGCTACGATCGGACTCGCGCTCAACAACTGCTACATTCACGACGCAGCGATCGGGTCCGGTCAGCTCAACAGTCTTCATTGTGACAGCCCTGGACAATATCGCTGCCTCGCGGGACGCCCGGAGAGATAAAAAGTTGGAGGATGCCACACAAGTAGCCCTGGCAAACATCAAGCAACTCGACAGGCAAGCAGTTGATCCGGAGCTGATTTTCCGCCCTCTGCATTTGGCAAGCAAGGCCCTTAGCATTCCCCTGCAGGTAACTGCGTTGGACTGCATTGGAAAGCTGATCACGTACTCCTATTTCGCATTTCCATCCGCCGCAACAGCGAACCAAACTACCCCCGAACAGCCTCCCCTAATCGAACGCGCGATTGATGCAATCTGTGACTGCTTCGAGAATGAAGCTACAGCGGTTGAAATCCAGCAGCAAATCATCAAGTCGCTGTTGGCGGCAGTACTAAACGACAAAATTGTGGTACATGGAGCTGGTCTCCTGAAAGCTGTCCGTCAAATTTACAACATTTTCATCTACTCCAAATCTAGCCAAAACCAACAGATCGCTCAGGGGTCGCTGACCCAAATGGTCAGCACAGTCTTCGATCGCGTACGGGTACGACTAGACCTCAAAGAGCTCCGCATGCGAGAACTGGAAAAGCCGTCCTCAACCCTTGATGCATCCGCCAGTGATGTGGGTCAAACTTCGGAGGCAGCTTCCGTGTCTGTGGCTGATCAGCCAGTAACCGAAGAACTCACCGCTGAGAAGCTCACACTGCAGAGTTTTGAATCTCCCAAGGAAGTGACCATTGTCAATGACAATGCACCAACTACTGTTACACGTGCTAAGCGGTCAGCAACCCGGTCGATGTCGGGCATTCCTGAAGAGAAGGATGATGATAGCTCGGCCGAGGACGATGTGGACGAGATCTACGTCAAAGATGCGTTCTTAGTTTTCCGAGCTCTTTGTAAACTGAGCCATAAAGTTCTGACTCATGAGCAGCAGCAAGATGTCAAGTCTCAGAACATGAGGTCGAAGTTACTTTCGCTGCACTTGATCCACTATCTCATCAACAACCACACCGCAACCTTCCTCTCTCCTCTGGCAGCATTGAAGAATAGCTCATCCAGCACGGATGGAATGAATCTACTTCTAGCCGTTCGGCCCCATCTGTGCCTGAGCTTGAGTCGGAATGGATCTAGCGCCGTGCCCCATGTCTTCAAAGTGTGCTGTGAGATTTTCTGGCTGATGCTCAAAGACATGAGGGTCATGATGAAAAAGGAGCTTGAGGTGTTCATGAAAGAGATTTACCTGGCTATCCTAGAGAAGCGCGGGGCTCCTGCATTCCAGAAGCAATATTTCATGGAGATCCTAGAGAGGCTCGGCGGCGATCCCCGGGCCCTGGTTGAAATCTATCTCAACTACGACTGCGACAGAACCGCGTTGGAGAACATTTTCCAAAAGTATGTGTTGCCGAAATTCCCGTGTTTTCGAGCATAGACTAATTTTCCTAGTGTCATTGAGCAGTTGTCCCGGTATGCAAGTGTGGCGGTTTCCACATCATCTTCTCAGCAGCACCAATACCAAGAGCAACACACTAAAATGTCGAGCATTGGTACGGAGTGGCATCACCGAGGTACTCTTCCTCCTTCGTTGACTAGTGCCCACATCATCCCTACTCCTCCGCCCTCCATGCCACACATTCCAGCAGAGTACGGATTGAAACAGCAAGCTCTAGAGTGCCTGGTGGAGATGCTGCGCTCACTGGATAACTGGGCGGCACAGCGCATTGATGAACAGCCCGAGGCAGCTATCCCGTCAAAATCGATGGACAACTCGCGTGAGTCCCTGGACACAAACGTGCTTGTTTCGCCACATCCCGAGTATTTTGAGGGTGGAACAGGCAGATCCACACCTATGCCTGAAGACGACCCAAGCCAAATTGAAAAGGTCAAGCAACGCAAAATTGCCCTCACAAATGCCGTTCAACAATTCAACTTCAAACCTAAGCGTGGCATCAAGGCCTTCCTCCAGGAAGGCTTTATTCAATCGGAGTCTCCTGAAGACATTGCTGGCTTCATGATTCGCACGGACCGCATCGACAAAGCTATGTTGGGCGAGTATCTCGGCGAGGGAGAGCCGGAAAATATTGCGATCATGCACGCATTTGTAGATTTGATGGACTTCACAAAGCGACGCTTCGTTGATGCGCTACGCTCGTTTTTGCAGCATTTCCGCCTGCCGGGTGAAGCCCAAAAGATTGACCGTTTTATGCTCAAGTTTGCCGAATGTTACACGACTCAGAACCCCAATGCCTTTGCCAATGCTGACACCGCGTACGTACTTGCGTATTCGGTGATTTTACTTAATACGGATCAGCACAGTTCAAAAATGAAGGGCCGCCGCATGACCAAGGAAGAGTTCATCAAGAACAACCGTGGCATCAATGACAATCAAGACTTGCCACCGGAGTACCTTGGGGCTATCTTTGAAGAGATTGGAAGCAATGAGATTGTGCTCTATACCGAGCAGGAACATGCTGCCAACCTGAACACCCAACCTTCAGCCTCAACTGGTCTTGCCACCAGAGCCGGGCAGGTTTTTGCCACCGTGGGACGGGACATACAGGGCGAGAAATACGCACAGGCTTCCGAGGAAATGGCCAACAAAACCGAACAGCTCTACCGTTCTCTCATTCGAGCTCAACGCAAGACAGCAGTCAAAGATGCGCTCTCGCACTTCATTCCCGCAACCTCGGAGCGTCATGTTGGATCAATGTTCAACGTCACATGGATGTCTTTCCTATCTGGTCTGTCCGCACCAATGCAGGATACATCCAATCTGGAAACCATTCGGCTTTGCATGGAGGGGCTCAAGCTGTCCATCCGCATCAGCTGTGCCTTCGATCTGGAGACCCCTCGTGTGGCTTTTGTGACTGCTTTGGCAAAGTTTACCAACCTAGGAAATGTGAGGGAAATGATGGCCAAGAATGTCGAGGCCTTGAAGGCCTTGCTCGACATCGCCTTCACCGAGGGTAACCACCTTCAAGGCTCGTGGCGGGATGTTTTGACATGTGTCAGTCAACTTGATCGACTACAACTGTTAAGCGATGGTGTTGATGAGGGATCACTCCCTGATGTTTCAAGGGCACCGTCATCAGCAGATACTTCCCGCAGATCTATGCAAAGTACACGCCGCGCTCGTCCGCGCTCTGTGAATGGGCTAAGTGCGTTCCGTCCAGAAATTGCCATGGAGAGCCGTTCGGCAAACATGATTCGTGGTGTAGACCGTATCTTCACTAACACTGCCAATCTGTCGCATGAGGCCATCATCGACTTCGTTCGGGCTTTGAGCGAGGTCAGCTGGCAAGAGATTCAATCTTCCGGTCACACTGACTCGCCCCGAACATACAGCCTGCAGAAACTGGTCGAGATTAGTTACTACAACATGACTCGCGTCAGGATTGAGTGGTCTAAGATTTGGGACGTTTTGGGTCAACACTTCAATCAAGTTGGCTGCCACTCCAACACTGCGGTTGTCTTCTTTGCATTGGACTCACTCCGTCAACTTTCAATGCGATTCATGGAGATTGAAGAATTACCAGGCTTCAAGTTCCAAAAAGACTTCCTCAAACCCTTTGAGCATGTGATGGCAAACAGCACGACTGCTGCTGTCAAGGATATGATTCTGCGATGTCTAATCCAGATGATCCAGGCCCGTGGCGACAATATCCGTTCGGGATGGAAGACCATGTTTGGTGTTTTCACGGTTGCAGCACGGGAGCCTTATGGTAAGGATTATTGATCAAAATTAGGACACCATTCGACTCTTGCTAATGCATCACACAGAGTCGATCGTAAACATGTCATTCGACCATGTCACCCAGGTTTACAATACCCGGTTTGGCGTAGTGATCACCCAAGGTGCATTTGCAGATCTCATCGTTTGTCTGACTGAATTCTCAAAGAACTCTAAGTTCCAAAAGAAATCGTTGCAGGCAATTGAAACTCTCAAGTCCACTGTCACTAAGATGTTGCGCACCCCGGAGTGCCCCCTATCACATCGCGGTGCCTCAGTGACCACCTTCCAGGACAATGGAACGAATCTTGCCAAGCAACTTACACGTCAATCACAGGAGGAGCAGTTTTGGTATCCGATTTTAATTGCGTTCCAAGATGTCCTCATGACGGGTGATGACCTCGAAGTCCGCTCACGAGCACTCACATACCTCTTTGATACGCTGATCCGACATGGTGGCGATTTCCCCAGGGACTTTTGGGATGTTCTCTGGAGGCAGTTGCTCTGTCCGATCTTCGTGGTCCTACAGTCTAAGTCGGAAATGTCCAAGGTGCCGAACCATGAGGATCTTTCGGTATGGCTATCCACCACGATGATCCAGGCCCTGCGAAACATGATCACTCTTTTTACGCACTATTTTGATGCTTTGGAGTACATGCTGAGCCGGTTTTTGGAACTGCTGACATTGTGTATCTGTCAAGAAAATGACACAATCGCACGCATCGGCAGTAATTGTCTGCAACAGTTGATTTTGCAGAACGTCACCAAATTCAAGCAGGAACACTGGTCCCAGATCGTCGGTGCATTCGTGGAGCTCTTCAGCAAGACGACGGCCTATGAACTTTTCACAGCTGCTGTGTCGATGCCTAGACCAGCCGAAACAGTGAATGCAGATCACGCACAGTCTTCGGATGCCGCTATAGCTACAGGGGACTTGCCTGGTGCTCTGCAGCCTAATGGATCCCAAAGCACAGCATCTCTCCATGAAAATGGGGATCCTCCCGTGCAAAGTGAAGCCCGCGCTGAATTAGAAGATTATCGGCCTCAATCGGATCAGCAACAACCTGCGGCTGTCACTGCAGCTCGACGTCGTTATTTCAATCGCATCATCACGAATTGCGTTCTACAGCTTCTTATGATTGAGACAGTTCACGAACTTTTCTCGAACGAAAATGTATATGCACAGATACCTAGCAATGAGCTCCTCCGGCTCATGGGATTGCTGAAGAAGAGTTATCAGTTCGCAAAGAAGTTCAACGAAGACAAAGACCTGCGAATGCAACTTTGGCGCCAGGGCTTCATGAAGCAACCTCCTAATCTATTGAAGCAGGAGAGCGGCAGTGCCTCCACCTATGTGCATATTCTGTTCCGGATGTACCACGACGAGCGAGAGGAGAGACAGAGCAGTCGCACAGAAACTGAGGCTGCACTCATTCCGTAAGTTGATTTTTAGCCTTTTCCTTTCTCTTTGTCATTACTAATTCCATTAGGCTTTGTGCGGACATTATTCGGAGTTTCGTCCGTCTCGAAGAGGATACCCAGCACCGCAACATCGTAGCTTGGCGTCCGGTGGTTGTCGATGTCATTGACGGGTACACCAACTTCCCGCAGGATGACTTCAATAAGCATATTCAGACATTTTACCCACTCGGGGTTGAGTTGCTCAGCCGTGATCTCAACCCGGAAATCCGCGTTGCTCTTCAATCTCTACTGCGCCGGATCGGCGAGGTCCGACTGGGTATTGCTCCGCCCAATCCCCTGGACGCTCCTATTAGCCCGCGCAGCTCCGTTTCCCAGAAGGCCTCGCGCCGCGATAGCCAGGTCTGACTTTTTGCGTGATTTTTGGATATCCTCGCCGCGGGCTTTAATTTCAGCGTTTTATAGCCCGACTCTTCGGGCCTTGTTTCGTTACACATGCATTCTGTTCTACTTTAGAGGTGCATAGCTGTTGTATTGATAAGATAAATATTTCTTCATTTGTTATCTATCGTCTTTTATTTCTGTACTTCTTGCAGGGTCGGGATCTTACCCGACTCGTAAAAGGACAACACGCCGTCCATATCCTTTTCCGTCATCTGTACAAGTTCGTCGAGGCTCCATGATTCACAGACTCCAGACATCCTAGGATTGTCAGCTCCCACTCATCAGGTAGCCCTGAATAGGGACCAGAATACATAGACTCACCACTTCATTCTTTTCGGGCCTTGCTCTGGGTTGGGCGCAACCTCCCGTAGCTTTTTCCGTAGCTTCCCCACATTCTCAATGGCTGCACCCATATTTGCTGGCAGAGTCTCGGCGATCTTCTTGCGCACGATACTGGCCAACTTCGGTCCGTTCCCATTCGTGCTAACCATGACTTGCAATGGCCCATCACGGTGAACACTCCCAAAGTAGAAATCACATTCGGGTGGGACATCGGCGATGTTTGCTGTGATGCGTCTCTCCTTGCACAGCTTCCAGACCCGAGTTGATGCTTCCGGGTCATCAATGGCGCAGAGTACCATGTCCACATTGTCGAGGTCGGATGGCTCAAAATTCCGGTCTATGTGTGTTACCTGCTTTTGGGCGACTCTAAAGGCCACTTCGTCGTTTAGTCCTGCAGCTGGACAGACGACAGTGACGCGGGCATCGGCGTTGAGAGTGTGCAGGATGCGCCCCGCGGCAACCTATCGGAGATATATAGATCAGCCTTAGCTTCCAATGACATATATATGTAGAGAATGGGGATCGTGTACCTCTCCACCTCCTACAACTAGCACATGCTTGTCTTTGATCTGCCAGGCGAGTATCAATGAGCCCCCGCCTTGCACTTCTGGGAATTTGGACATGGTGGGGGAGTTGCGATGATGCAATTCCCCCGTCTACCGGCCCGTCAAGAAAACCCCCAATACGGCGGGCGGCACAGACCTGTCCCGCAGGCTTCCCGAACCTTTTTTTCTCCCGAGTTTTTTTCTTCTTCTCTTTCTCTTCCTTTCACGTCACTCGTGTCTTTTTTTCTAAATCATGCGAGGCGTCCAGATATTCTCAGGGAATTCCCACCCTCGTCTCGCAGATACTATCTGCGAGCGGTTAGGCACTGTGCCTGCCAAAGCTAACTTGGGGAAATTTGCCAATGGCGAGACTAGTGTCAACATCGGTACCTCGGTGCGGAATCAGGATGTTTACATCATCCAGAGTGGGAGTGAGAAGATTAACGACAGTGTTATGGAGCTCCTGATTATGATTTCAGCGTGCAAGGGTGGCTCAGCGAAGTCGATCACAGGTATGTTACCGATGACTCCAGGCGGAAGAGCTTTCCCCGCTAACTCATTTCTTTAGCGGTCATGCCGTATGCTGCCCGTCCTGTTTGACACAAATCACGGTGAATGCTGACTCTCAATTGAGATATTTCCCATACTCGCGCCAATCTAAGAAGAAGAGTCATCGCGGTGCTATCACGGCCCGCATGCTCGCCAACCTCCTCACGATCGCCGGCGTGGACCATGTGATCACTATGGACCTGCACGTATGTTTCTATGCGCTGTTGAGTTTTGTACTATAGATATTGATGGGCTCCTAGGCATCCCAGATGCAAGGATTCTTCGGAAAGCCGGTCGACAACCTCTTTGCCGAACCGTTCATTGCTCGCTGGATCCGGATGAATGTTCCCGGCTGGAAAGATGCAGTGGTGGTTAGCAAGAACGCTGGCGGAACCAAGCGTGTCACCTCACTGGCCGACACCTTGAAGCTTAACTTTGGTATTGTGACGACAGATCGTCGGCGCCCGAAAGTCCAGGTGGCTACTATGTCTGACAGCACTGTCTTCTTCGATGCTGTGGATGAGGATTCACGCACAGCCAGGGAAGCACAGCCCTTTGAGCTTCATCTGCACAGTTCTAACAGAACACCTGCCACACCACCCATTCCGGAGGAGTCGGAGCCAGTCACTCCCCCCCAGCCCAGTATCTTCTGCGCCCAGAGACCCCACCTGCGGCTCGCCGCCTGTCAGAGCTGGAAGCAGCTTACGAGTACACTGACGTGCGTGTACGGGATGTGATCACCGGTCGTCTGGTACAGGGCCAATTGGTTGATGATGATTATCGTACCAACGAAGACTCGCAGTCTGGAGACACCACACCGGGAGCTGGAAGCAGTGGCCATGACAATACAGAGGCCATTACTGATGCTATGGCTAACTCTATGATCTCCAACCCCTCGTCGCAGCCTCCTGACCATGCACTTGGTGGCTCCTTTGATGCAGTTGAGTCTGACGATGATGAAGCCAGTGTCTGTGGCCAAACCGATGAAAGAACCATCACGCTGGTGGGTGAGGTGCGCGACCGATCCGTCTTCATTGTCGACGACATGATTGACAAAAGTGGATCGTGGATTGCGGCCGCCGAGACTGTTGTCAAGCGCGGTGGAGCCAGTAAAGTCTACTGCATTGCGACTCATGGATTGTTCGGGGAAAATTCCCTGGACCAGATGGAAGCCTGCCCTTCGATTGACCACATCGTCGTGACGAACACTTTCCCGATCTCACCGTCGATTTTGCGGCGATCAAAGAAGTTGATTGTCATTGACATATCAAGTCTATTGGCAGAGAGCATTCGGAGGCACCATTATGGCGAAAGGTTTGTCTTCACAGACCCTGGTGTCGCGTGACCATCCACTAACCCCAAGCAGCGTCTCGGCTCTCTTCCACCTTAACGACTGATGAGGCAGATGGCAGTAACGAGGAAAAATTACGAAGCAAAGAAAGGATGCACCTTGACACATTCAGCAGGGCGGCGTTTTTCTTTTTTTTGCATACTGATGTGCAGGTCTCTCTGCAACCGTTGATGACACGATACCTATTTCCTATCAAATGAACGACCCCTTCCCGGACCCTTCCCCCTATCCCACCGGCTCGTAGAGTGATGATATCACAACCACACCAGCGATGCAGTCCACTCTGGGTTCTGCAGGAGCATCTCGTTTTCCACAAGGTGTTCTTAACGGAGCGTTGGCAGATCAAATTTCGGATCTTGTTTTCTTACTTCATGCTGTGTTCTCTTCGGAGAGGGTAGTATGGAGGCGTCACCCCTTTCTCAGTTCCTTGGAACGATTGGCCTTGCGGTCGTGGAAGTGGTGCAAGAGGCGATCTCGAACATGTACTTTTGATAGCAAACAGTTTTCAATTTCAATTTCACTTCCATTTTCAATTTCAATTTCACTTTCCGCTTGACACTTCCTCTCCCTTGTTACTCTGTACTCCGATCATTGCCGCCAACTTCCCGGCTGACGGTATGGACAAGCGCAACACAAACGATTTCTTTTCCGACGAATGTTCCCGATCCGGTTCTGGTGTTGACTTTCCACACCGATGCAGTTGGCCGTGAATGATTGCTTCTGGAAGCCGGTTTGCGATTTGGACGCGGTCCGGTGATCGCCGAGCCCAGATTGATCCCGAGAGGTCTGTACCAGGTCCCTATACGCAATTGGAGCCTCGGTGTGCACGTTTCCATTGATCGACAGTTATCAGATAGACCAGAATTCCTTCTTGGTCCATGTTCCAGGTCCCTTGGCGTGGTCAATCGGTCCAGGGTCTAGTACGTAGAGTATGTATAACGTCCTCTTCTCGAACGGCGATGGCCCGATTTGCAACACTCGACGTGTGACGGATGGGTCTCAGAGGTGTCAAGCCTCGCAAGAGGATCGGAAAAGCGATCTCGCCGCGATCGAGATCTGAGACCCCTCTAGCTGAATACCCCTTTGGTCGCTGTCACGGGGACTCGATCGGAGAGACTCATTGTGTCACCGGGAGCATTATTCCAGAATCCCATGAGCTGTACGGAGGATGTCTAGTGGTGTGTATATGTACTCCGTACTCTGGGGGGGTGTCTCTCCTGAAACTAGAATTGCCCCATCCAGTCGCTGGAGGAGATGCTTGGGTTCTTTCCGAACGACCAAGTGGAGTCCCGGATGTGACAGTGATCTCAATCCCGACTCAACAATTCCATTTTGATGTTTGCGGCTATTCAATAAGCAACTGGGCGGGACTTCTGCCACGGGGGGTCATCCCGGTCGATCCAAAGGGGGTTGATGTCACTGTCTCAAAGTAGGAAGCATCGTCCGGGTTGACATCGAATGAGAGGACTGAGTGGGCCAGTTGATGTATCCAAAGTCACGGGTTTCAGGGGCCTGGCGAGTCCAGGAAACAAGGCTATTCAACACCTGTGCCTTAGTTTAGAAGCGTCCGGAGTCCGGAGGACAGAGTCATTCACCAGAGAGGTCTTTGTTCGATGTCGGATGCAGGCCAAAGTACCGATCTCCCCGGTCCAGAGAGGGTCTCCATGACTCGCTAAGGCCCTGGACATACTCCATACCCTCCAAAATAGTTTCTTATGTATCCGTTCCCCGTGTTCTGCTCTTTTGGCCCCGCGACCACCATGAGCATGGCTTCTGCCACTGTTCAACTTGTTCACGATCTCATCGAGCTCCTCCAATCATGTCTGTCCGATGGTGACGATCGCGATGGCCATGTGCTTTTGTCGATATCATCCCCCTTCGCCTCAACTTCCATGCCCTTTGGATCTATTAGAATCCGTACGGCGTACTTAGTACTCCGTAGAGTAGTCCGTACGGAGCACTCGTGTCTCTCATACCTGGGGTTTCTTTTTCTTTTTCTTTTTCTTTTTTTTTAAAAAAATTCAATTCCTGTTTTTATTTTTAATTCGATTCTGATAAATTCGATTTTCTAGTTTCCTCAGTCTTCTCTCGGTTACATGCATCGCGCGGTTTTCTGCATTTAGTTGAGATCGAGATGTGATGCTGGAGAGAAGTATATAATGGCCGTATCATCCTGACCAAGATGCCTCATACTCCCTCATTGCCTCTGGACCATCGCAATTGACTTTCTCTTGGATCTCTTAACTCTCTCTCTTTCCTTGACTCCAATCCCCGTGCTTGGATTCTTTCTCCGTGTGATCGACGCTTCCAGACCCCCGGGGTTTCCATATGTATGTCTAGCCTGTCAAACTCCAGACGATGGGACTAACTCCCCCAGTTACCATGGCCAACCAATGTTCCGGTCACGTCTTTGCCATCGTCCAGGCGACCAATGGCAACATTCTCACTTGGCGTTGTTCCGATTGCAACTCCGGACCCTTTGTGGCTATCTGGCGCTGTAAGATCTGTGGGCATTGTCGTTGCAATGCTTGCCATAACACCAAGGGCTAAGTAAGTTTTTTTTTTTCTTGTGACTCTCAGAGAAATAGAAAGAAAACTAACATTCCCACCGATTTGGATGCAGAACGCCCGTGCAAGGGTCGATCCAGCCCCTTGGAGTCGGGTTTTCCCATCTCGGTCTTGCATATTCGATGTGTTCCAAAAGTCCCTAAAAGTGGTTTGATGGCATTCGGAGGCGTTACACTTAGACCTGTTTTGTTTTTTTTTTGGTTTGAATTTTTGTGATCGCGTTCTAGAGTTCTGGGTTCTTGTTCTGGGGGATATGGCTTGTATTCTATTGTGGGCTTGGGATTTAGGGAAATGCAATCTTAGGGCTTTACACCTTGCTGCCCACTCATTCCAGTCATGTAGATGGAGGACTCCATACCGGTTGCCCTCAGCCTATGATCGAGGCTGCAGGAGAGTCTTCCATAGTCCGTACTGCGTACTCCGTACTTCATACATGGATATACACCTGAACCTCGTCATCCTTATCTCAACGTCATGAAGCCCATGTGAGTACGACCATGGGCCAATCGATCCGGTGGCAAGAATCGATCAGCCAGAGACCGAGACCGAACGGCCAAGAAAAATGATGGAGTCCAGACTAAGAAATGAACTCCTCACCTGGGAAAGACTGGGAAAGCCACACGCCCATTCTTTCTCCGAGGAATCTTTTTCCGCTAGTGGGAGCAAGTTAGGTGCCAGGTATCGAATGAGATGTATCTCTTTTCGGTTCGCATACAAACCCGGACTCCCCCACGCAAACTACCAACTAGACGGCACTAAACGGCACTAAGCGGCACTAAATGCGACTAAACGACGAAATAAAGGCCTGGATGGTTAAAGATTCCCAGGGGCCTGGGACAACTTTATTGCTTCTCCACCGTGGGGATTCGGTTGCGGCAAAAGTACGTGGACTGTGCTTCCTAGGGCTTGGACTTGGTACCTGATGTATGGTGTATGTTGTACTCCGTATGTTGTACCTAGGTACGGCGTAGGTCCAAGGGGCTTGGAGTCTTGACATGGAGGGGTGTATGACATACCTGCGATGTGGGTTATAGCTTCGACTGTCGCTTAGGCAAGTATTTGCGGTGTAACTCCGTACTCCGTGCGGAGTACGTTGAGATGTGCCACCTGGGAGATTGTATATTATTATTATTATTATTTTTAATGGAGAAAGAATTGCTCGATTGCTCCGTATGTGGTGTGCAATAAGCACATACGGTGCAATTGGAAACCACTAAGACAGATCGGAGTATATACGGAGTACAGGGGGACAAAAAATGAAGAATCATAACTGTTTAGGTATATGCAGATCCCTTCGAGACCTAGATCTAGGTGTAGATGCTCTGTCAAAGAATTAGCAACCGTCTCGGAAATCGAGCGACCACCGAAGTCCAAACTCACCTCGGTAATTTGATTCACAGCCAACCCAGGCTCCGCCATCTCAGCGTCGCGCAAGAAATCCAACGGCAACCAAACAAGGTGACCCTTGATGAGATCCAGCTTATCCCGTACTTCCTTGGCCGGCATATACGGGTCGAACAAATGACCCTCCTTGTGCGAGCCCCGTGGCCGGAAATTGTTATAGTCCTCGAAGGTTTTGATATGATCGTCGGGATCCGCCCGGAAGAGCATGCGATACGTCTCCGTATTGACGCTGGCCTGAGACGTCCATGTGTTCCAGACCCCGTCGCTGAGCGGATCCATCACGAACTCGTTCTCTGCACCCAGATCGATCTCGTTGAGACACTCATCGGGCGGTCGGGCGTTCGGGTGGCCCGTGGCGTCGTATTCCTGCGCCGGCAGGAGGCCCAGGTGCTCGCGCCACAATTGCCGCCGTAACGTCGCGGCCAATCGGGATGCTTGATAGGGCTGTCCGTTCATCTGGCTGTCGATGAGATCCTGGTCTTCCATCACAATCGCCAGTTCGCTGTCGTGCGAGCCGAGTTGGGACTACGAAAAGAGCGGTGGACGTCAGCCGATGATACAGACCAGAAAGTGAAAGGGAATGCATCAGATGTGAGGGAAATAAGGGGGTCGGTGCTACTTACCCGGTCGTTGATGTTTGCACTACCGCAAATGATGGTGCGATCATCGACGATGCACACTTTGCCGTGCACGTACAGCTCTTCCTGGACGATATTCCCTTTCTCAGCCTCAGCGTCGCCCTCCCAGATCTCGTTGGACATCGCGCCCCCGTTTAGCATGGTGCAGTGCGATACTGTATCCTTGCTGTGAGCCCCATCGTCGGCCTTTCTCTGCGCAACCTTTTCCTCGAACTTTTGGAGTTTGCGCAAGACTTCTTCTTTTTGACTTTGGTCGGCACCGTAATCCTTCTCGTTATCATCGCCATCTTTACCCACTGCCGGGTGCACACTTTCACTCATAATGGATTCGGCAATACCACGCTGGATGTCTTGGTATGTGACATCGGCCTGTTTCTCGAGCTCCTCAAGAGCCGGCGTTTTGTTAATTCGATCATAAGCGCGCAGCGCGAATACAAAGACATGTTCTAAAGGAGCCTGTTAGGTCTGCAATCAAAATTGAACCTGAAGCTGGGCAACACTTACCCCTGGGGTCAATGCCTTCTTTTTCAATTTGACCAAAGATCGAGTGCTCGCCGCGACAGATCGACTTGTACTGGTAGTCCATAATGGCCCGAGTACCCAACGCGGCGTTATCGCGCAAATCACCAGCGAATCCAGGAATCGCAGGAATGACAATGATGACACGGAATTTGCGGCCCTCTTTCCCTGCACGCACGCAGGCATCAACAATCGCCCGACCGATCATGTTGAAAATGGGACGCTGTTGGTCACCGGTCGCAGTGACTATGGCGGTTAGCAACGTAAGTGCTTCAAAACAGAGAGACACTTACTGAAAAACTGATTCTCAATGTACACAAAGTGCTGAGCATTGCGGATGGTTTCGCAGTACGCGTTTTGGATACTGTGCTCATTCAAGATACCGCTGCTCCAGTCATCACTGCTTCGCACGATCTGAGCACGCACAGTGCCCACATTGCCGCGAGCCTTGGTGGACAAAGGTGTCAGTGGGTGTTGGATGTAGTCGCCGCAGGGGTACTTAGGTCGCTGCACAGCGATGATATCCTCCTGCTCACCCGTGCGGCCCTCCATCAGCAGCCAGTCAACAGCGTGGCTGCGTTTGTACTTGTCGCGCTTGATGAAATTCCAACGCAAGACGAAGTGTTCGGCAATGTCAAACACACAGTCTCCCTGTAAACCCATGGCCACATCGTGCCAAGGCATGCGGCCGAAGTCGGCTTTGCTGATTTCGTTGCTCTGCCAGTCTGCTACACTCTGGAAATCCATGATTCGGTTGTTGTTGAAGTCTTGTCCGGGGAAGATATCATCCCGCAGACCTGCTGGGTGAACATCAGCCAGTGGGTGCTGGTTCGCATCCCACCGTCCGAAACAAAGGTCGATGCCTCCAATAAAGGCCACATTGTAATCAATCACGATGAATTTTTCATGGTGCGCCTGTTTGCGATTAGTTCTTTCCCGGCTCTATTTCACCCAAGGATGCTTCACATACCCAGTACAGGGTCATATCCGCGGCATTTTCAAAGATATTGTGGTCCGGGTGGCGCATAACTCGGATGTTGCCATAGCCAGGAGATCCCTCGGGGCAAAGGTTGCGCAAAGCATGTTTAGTGTGGGCGGAATTGCAAGTCAGGGCTTGGTTGACCTGCACGCGGATTAATATGCGTCTTCGATATTTCTCGTCGGAGAATCACCTCTTTGTACACGATCACATAGATCTTTACACCGGCTTCGGCGCGACGCTTCAAGACATGGTCCAATCGCCATTGCTGGTTCTGCACCGGGGGGCGGCGCAAGAAGAGTTCTGGAGAGAGCCACCAGTCGGCAATGTAGATGGTCTCGGTGGCTTTTTCCAGAGCTTCGGAGACCGCCCACATGTAATCCATGGCGTCCACATACCACTTCACTCGATTGCCATCGTGAATGGGCGCGAACGACTTGAAGCGGTGCGAGTCTGCGATCTCGGAGCGCTTGCGGTCTGTCGCTTGCTCATGTTCCTCATCATGGCGATGATTTGGATTGATGATATTAAAAAACTTGCCAACCTTGTTCTTTAAATGCGTGGCTTCGATATGGGTGTCTTTAAAGCGGTTAATAATTATTTTGATCAAGTGGGGGGGGGGGGGGTGATCTTTGTCTGCGGACCTTTCAATGATCCCTCCAAGTGGCCAATTCCCTGTTCGAACTTTTCCCTGAATTTCTGCATGATGGGCTTTTAGGGAAGAGATGGAGAACCTTGAAAGGGGGGATTTGGAAGAGGGGAAGATCTGGAGATGTTTCCAAATTTAGTGACATCACAGCCTTAGGAAACACATGATTTAGCTCTAATGCCAAGGAACATAATCAAACTAATTGGGCCCGTAGCCTATAACATAGGTACTTCGTACGGAGTACGGACATACAGTGTTGTCCGTCTTCTGTTCCTGCTTTTGCCGCGTGGAGCCTGTCCGTGGTTCCAATGGACTCGCTTGGATTTCTTGGCACCGATCAGACGGATTTTCTGGACGGAGGAGGGAGTGAGTAGGGAGGAGATGGGTTGTTCTCCATAGATCACCCTTGAAGGAACTGGGTCGATTTCCAATGGATCCTGGTCTGTGGGATCTATGTATAGATCGGGGCAGAGAGAAAATTCAAATGGGGGATTCCTAGATGGGTGGGGATCGGTTCAGATCTACGTAAGGTACATCAGGGAACTCATGACATGCAGACGCTGATGTAGATGCATATAGATGTATATCACGGGATCTGTTATAGGGCTACCTCACTACCTACCTCCACTCCATACTCCAGACATGGTAACTACATGGGAGGTACCGCCAGAAGAGCTTCGGTGACGTTGGAGCCAATGATGTAATGGGCCTCGGTTCCTTGGCTCACCGTCCTCCCCACTATTTACATGTTATGGAGGTGTTCACAAGGTATCTTGTACGTGTCATCGATATCGCTGGAAGTTGAGAGCAACCTTTGACCCATTCGTGGGATAAACTGCAGATGTCACTTTCTATTCCGATCGGCTTTTGGTTGTTCCTTGGTGGACACTGACAGTCATGGAAATGTCACATGACCCAACAAATCCCGATCTACAAGACCAAAATGACCATGGCAGCTAGAGACCGGAAGACAATGATAAACAATACACCTCCAACGGTGAAAGAATAGTGTAGTTTGAGCCTTACATAGTACGCCAGAGCACCGCTCATTATTGCTTGTTCCTCACATTGTCAAGACCCTTGTTTGTTTGGCAGGAATGCTGACCGCCACACGTGACTCCATGGGAAAAACAACGTTGTCAGAGGAACGGCCCTTTTCTGTTTATCCTCCTCGACTCACACAACGCGGCTAGCCTCTCACAGCCTAAGCGGGCTACGAATTGGGGTTTTTTTTTCTTTTGGGGGTTAATGATTTTGGATTGCATGTTTTTGTCGGGAGTGCCTGCCAGATTTTGGATTTGAATGATTCTGTAAACGTCGCGAAACGAGAAAGCACACAGAGCCATCGCCGTGGTTACCGGCTCCTCCATATACTAACCGAAACAGCTCACAACACAATGCCTCCAGATCTCGGTGAGTACAACGCAGGACCGCCAATCTGCTGCGGGTCATTCGGTTGCCATGCTGACGTGCCTTCCAGTCCGCGCTCACTCGCAGGGCAGTGTAGTGTCCCAGACCACACAAATTGCCCCTCAGAGCCGACCAGGGACTGCAGACCCTATACGAGCACGCTCGGAGGCTGTCTCGCGGGCTAGCCGCCGTCCTCGGTCCAGAGGCTCGACTGCAAGCATTCACTCAAGCACCACCCAACAAACGCAGGATCAGCACCTTGACGGATTCCCCCAGTTAATCACCTCGCAAGCCGGAACCGGTCAACACGTGTTCAATAATCCGGAGGACATGCTCATGCGATTCGGGCATCAGCTGTCACATCAGCCAAGCGCTGCACCATTAGATCAATCGATCCAAGACACCGTGATGTCTCGAGCGGACGACTTTCCAAATCACCCAATGCACAGCCACACGGTATCCCATCACTCAATACAGTCGGACATTCCAAATGGTCTTCCAGGTGTTTCCGTCCCTCAATATCAGCCGATATATGATAGTGGTGTGGAGAATCATCTGCCTGATCACATCGTCGAAGATCAAGAGCCATCGGGACAGGTTGGGAAAAAGAAACGGGGAGCTAGCTCGACTATCGCAAATGACAACGAGTTGCGAAAGCTGCTCCGCCAGTTTGAGGGTTGGACTCTCAAGCAAATGGCGGCCGAAGTTATGAAAAATGAGGGTGCTGGGGGCAAGGCCGAGAAAGTGAAGCAGGTCTTCGCGATGATCTGGTAAGGAGTATCAAGGAAATCGTCATCCATCTGCTTTTCTAACCGTTTGCACAGGCTGAGAGAAAATTGCCGCAAGAGTAGCGGCTCAGTGCGTCGCGATCGAGTTTACTGCTGTTATGCAGAGAATTGTGGCACGGAACGAGTTTCAGTATTGAACCCGGCGTCCTTCGGGAAGTTGGTTCGTATCATCTTCCCTAACGTGCAGACCCGGCGTCTTGGAGTCCGTGGCGAATCAAAATACCACTATGTCGATCTGTCGGTTATCGAGGAAAAGCAACTAAAGCTTGCGCCGCTCAATCCACAAGTTGTCCAGCATCCAAATGGTCCGGTTTCCATACCGTCCAGGCCGGCCAGTGCCATACGCTCTCGAAGGTAAAGTCAAATGACATGCATTTCGGTATTCTCCCACTAACGGAATTCCAGCACCAGCATACATCAACCGACTGCCGACACTGCGGTGTTCCCCTCTCCTACAACATCCTTTGCTCCTCGGTTCCCGAACAGTCAATCCCCTTCAGACTGTAATTGTCAAGGCACCACCGCATCCCACCCAGATGCAACGATCACCCGCGAGAATGTGGCCCAGCAGGCTGGGAAGATGATCCACCAGATGCTCCAGTTCCCAATGGATGAGCATCCTTTGGTTGATAACGAGACTCTTCAACTTCCTGACATCCGAGGCTATTTGCCAGTAAACACGGATTTGAAAGTTGCAGCAGCTCTCGCAGCTCTATATCGTTCCCACTGTATCTCGGTCATCGACAGTTTCCGGTACTGCAAGGAAAGAAATCTCATGAAGTATTTCTCTGCATTCCATGGAACATTGACTGTTCCTGTTCAAAAGTTGCTGACCCACCCCAATCTCGCTCCCTGGATCAAGGAATGTGATTGGATGATGTACCAGAAGATGATTGCATTTGTGGCACCTTTGACAACCCAGGTGGTCCCTAAGCCTGTTTTAGATGCTTTCAACTCCATTTCACAACGGCTTTGCGGGCACATCACCGAGACCTTCAAGACCCAACCCACCCACGTTTCCCTGGCACGCTTGATCCCTGCACATATCTTCTGTAATCTGCTCAAGCACATGCTTGATGTGAATCAAGCTGCCAATGCTGCTGCTGCCTGGCTTTGCCATCCCGATAACCGGAACCAGATGTGGACCGACTTCAAAACCATGGTCAACCCTAGGGATATGATGACCAAGGCAAACATTCCCACTTGTGCTGAACCAGCGACCGAGCAAATTCTTAAGCATGACATACGTGCTCTCTTGACTCCGTTGACGGATGCCGACCCCTCAGCTAGCTTATCCTTTTTCACTACACCTGATACCGCCGATTCTGCTGCCGCTCATCAGTTCCCGGTGGAGAATGCGCCGGGAGACGAGTACAACTTCCCTGACAAATGGGTCCAATTTATCCTCAATATTCCTGCTGCATTTGCCAACCATCGCACCCAATGCGTTATTGAGAAAGTTGATGCCTTGTGGGATAGCGTATTGCACAGACTCACCCTGGCTGGTGCCCCTAGCTTCAGTGCATGGTGGATGACAAAAGTCTTCTTCCATGAAATGATGGTTTGGCAAGCCGAGAAGGGCGGTTTCATGCGCAACACTCCCGGATCATTGCAAAATGCAACGTTTGGCTCGGAATCCCTCGGCAAATTCCAGATGAGAGCGGCATCTACTTCTGAGGCATCCCCATTCAATGTGTCAAATGATTCCCAAACCAAACCCAATCGTAGCCCTCCCGTGGTTCACAACGACCATCACGCTCAAACCACAAGCCAACACCCAGACTTCAAACATCCCTCAAGTGAGAAGCGGCTATCCCTTCAAGAGGCAGCCTTTCAAGCCCACAATAATGATGACAGCGCCATCGATCTTGAGGATGATACAATGTTGCTGGCGGTTGGTAAATATGAGAACATGATGGTCTCCGATCCTGCAGACGCCGAGGGTGATGTGGTGGTCATCTAATGATCAGATTTTGTTTTGTGTTCATGAGTTGGAGTTGGATATCCCTTGTTTCTGGAGGCTTTCCTATTGTTCATGGATGGCGTTCCCACGATTCTCCTTTGTTTTTCTCCCTTCTTTTGTTTGTATGAAGCGATGAGACATGAGCAACGAGGCTCTCATCGAGTCTTTCTTGCGACGACCCTGGCACGCCGGGAGCTTTTGCGATCAAACCTACAGCATTTAATCGGCGTGGCGGAATTCAGTATTGGCTTTCTTCTAGCTTCCCCTTTGCCTGTTTGTTACTTTTGGGTCTAAATGAATCCCTTTGTACATATCACTTGTGGATTTTCGTACCTTGATCATTGGCAATGCTTTACTTCTATTGTCCATGAATAATTGATGTCCGATCTTTTTCGCGATATGACCTTGACCTTGCACTTGAATGATTATATTCTCAATTACCCATCACTCCTAGATTGGTGTCTTCATAGCTTGGCTTTCCCCTGTAGCTGAACATAGGCATCCCAGTCGACTGTTCTCTTCGCCTGGAACTCCTTCACACCATGTGCCCCATCTGCATCCGGCCGCATCATTTCCCTAAACAGATCCTCGATCCCAGAATCTTGTCTTTCCGCACCTGCATGGGCCCAAGCAAGTCTCACCAGCTCCTTTGACATCCTCGAAGCATGAGGAGAGGCACTTTTGAGCCGAGTCAAAAGCTCATCAAGACTCACTTGCAAAGCCTCCTTGTCTTCACTGATACCAGCAACGACTCCAATCGATTTCAACTCAGCTGGCTTCACCGGTCGCGCGGACAGCATAGCTTCGCGAGTAAATGGAACCCCCCATTCACGAACCACGTATTTGGATATCGTCGCCGCGCACAGCCCCAGCTTCACCTCGCTGAGCGTCACGCTGGCATTTCGTGCGAAGAGGCGGATGTCGCACGAGAATGCCAGCCCAACTCCTCCTCCGAAGGCAGGCCCATTGACTGCTGCGATGGTCACTTTGGGGGATTGGTCGATGGTTTCGAAGAGACGCCTAAGACCCGTGAACTGGGTGTCGCTTTTGGACCCTCCCTCCCCCACAGCTGTGCTGTCTTTACGGAGATCCATTCCCGTGCAGAAGAACTTTCCATTGGCCGTTATGATAATGCGTGAGGTTGATGGGTCGGAATTGGCGTCTGAGATCACTCGAGTCAGATCTGCGAGCATAGTGGCTGTTAGAGCGTTCCCATTTTTCGGTCTGTTCAGGACGATTTTTAGATTGACGCCAGATCGGTAAGTCTGTAGCCCATCTGTCACCGAGACGAGGTCCCATTTGAGGCGAGGCATGGTTTTGGGATTGGGGACTCTCAATGGTTGACCCTTAGCAGCTTGCGCCTTGGTTGCTAAAGCTGTCCCGGCTCGACTTGAGTTTGCCTTTGACAGTTGGCCGGATATCCAGACTCCAGTCTCAACTAGTTTCGCAAGATCAATGCCCGTTTCAATCCCGGCGTTCTGGAACATGTAAACGAGATCTTCAGAAGCAACATTGCCCTTGGCACCTGGTGCAAATGGGCAGCCCCCAAGTCCCGCCACGCTGCTATCGAAGACTCGGATTCCACAGTTGAAGGCTTCCCAAACGTTTGCTACAGCTTGGCCATAGGTGTCATGGAAGTGGCCAGCTAGCCTATCGATTGGAATGCCGTTGTCGGCGAGGTACTGAATCAATTTGCGCACATCGGAAGGCGATCCAACACCCAATGTGTCCCCAAGGCTGATTTCATAACATCCGGCGTCCAGTAATGCTTTGACACAGTGGAGGACTGCTGGCAGCGGGGTAGGACCGTCATACGGATCTGCGAAAATGCAAGACACATAGCTGAGTATGTTAGAAAAAGTCATATAAAGCCAAAGAAGAGACATAAAACACACCCTCTCACTGCGAGTCTAGCAGCCAAAGCCTTAGTGGTTACCTCGGTAGCCCGTTCAATACCCTGTGCCACTGTACACTTGATATTTGCTTGACTAAATCCCTCGGAGGCGCTGATAAAGACAGCAATTTCTCGAACGTTGTGCTGTATGGCAATCTCGAGCCCCTTGAGATTGGGGACTAAGACAGGAAGCCGAAGCTGGGAATTTTCCAACTGTAGTTTGACGCTTGGGTTACGAAGAACTTGACGACAATCGGACAACTGGGGAACCGCTCGGGGCGAGACCACCGAAGTCAACTCAATGGTGCGGAGTCCAGTCTGCTCGAGACGGCGTATCAATTCCAATTTGGTCGCAGTCGGGATCGATAGCTGGATGTTCTGAAGCCCATCCCGTGGCCCTACTTCCACAATCCGAACCGCTGAATGCATTGTTGAGGGTTATTGATACTTGCACAGAGTTCACCTCTGTAGGATACTCGACCAGGCAGCTATTACTTGCAGCAATACCTGATGTGGACTGTGATCGGTGTACGGGGAGGTGTTCATTTATTCACAGTTTCGGGGCCGCGGTGACCTATAAACGAGGCATGCATAGACTCTCGCAGCAGGACAACTCCTAGAACATATTGGAAGAAACATGAGCGTCAGGCAAATATCCCCGTCATTGATCGCATTCGGACCGTGTTTCGCGTAGTCGAAAAAGGGCGGATTGGGCTGTCCGGGTCTCGGACCGAGGCATTAGCACCGAGGATATTGACACCGAGGATATTGCAACCGAGGACATGAATGTCGGGATGTTTAGAACAAAGAGATCTAGCCAGCTAGTACGGAGTAGAGTCATGAGTCATGCACATACGGATCCATTGATATTTGTTCCTGAAACAGTTTGTCAAGGACCTCAACCCTGAAAGGGACGGCATTCCAAGAGACACGGGAATATTCCTCCAGGTAGATATCTGTGTACTTATATATATATCTATACATATGCACAGGCTGCTGGAGACTAAAGTCTTGCCTTGACCATTCTCAACCGATTGCCAATATCTCGCAACATATGTTTCTGATGCTTGCCACTGCCGGTCTTGGGGAAGTCGTCACCTACTCCAGCATCTCCAAGCCAAAAGACATGCTGGGGGGCTTTGTGCCGACCGAGAATCTCGCTCACGAATTGCCTGACTTCGGGATCTGCAGGTCTCTCACCCTGTTCAGATAGTTTCAGAAAGCAGCCAACAACTTCGCCATATCTCTCATCCTTGATGCCGACCACGCTGGCCTCGAAGATAGATGCATGGCACATCAGTCGTTCCTCAATTTCTCGCGGGAAGATATTCTCACCACCTGGTTTGAGACAGTGAATAAGAGGGAGCCGGCATATAACAAAAAGGGTCGAGCTTACCTCGAATGATGAGATCTTTGATTCGGCCGGTGATATGTGCATATCCATCGGCATCAATGATGGCCTCATCTCCAGTGTGCATCCATAAAACGCCGTTCTCATCTCTTCTCATTACCTCCCTCGTCTTCTGCTCATTTTTCCAGTAACCCTTCTGCAGCAAAAATCCACTGGTGCATAGCTCCCCTCGTTGTCCTCGGGGGACAATGTTGCCATCGTTGTCGATGACCTTGGCTGCCGCATGGGGGAAAACTCGACCGACCGTGGTTGTTCCCTTCTCGTCACTGTCTTCCAGTGAAGTGATGAAGCTCACTGGGCTAGTCTCCGTCATTCCGTACGCGATCAACATCTTCTCCACTCCCATCGTCTCTCGGATTTGATTCATGAGACTTTGGGAAACTGGCGAGCCGGAGGCAAGTCCCGTTCGTAGCCGACGGGGCCTTTGTTTTGTCTTCAGCATGACTTCCAATTCAGCCATGTACATGGTTGGAACGCCGAGGATCACGGTGGCATCTTCATTCACCATGGCATCGACGACCTTTCCGACATGGAAATAATCGGATGGAAACACAATTGAGCTACCCCGGAAGAAGGACGAAAGAAAGCCCATCACAAGCCCAAAGCAATGGAACATGGGCGGTGGACAGCAGACGACATCCTCAGGAGTAAGTCGCATTGCTCCGCCGACAAATTGTGCGTTGTTAATCAAATTGCTTGGAAGTCTACCGTTAGCCATTTATCCAGGCAGCTTGACTGAGGGTCTCACATATGCGTAAGCATCGCGGCTTTGGGAGATCCGGTAGTCCCTTCAAACACAGGTCAGTGGTTCCGATCGCATTCAATTCTTGTTCAATTCCACCGACCAGAAGTAAATTGCAAGTTGACCACGTCGTCGGCGTTGACTAGTTCTTCCGCACGCTCGAGCCTGGCCTTGTCCAACACAGAAATGCCATTCAGCGCAAATTCCTCGTATGATTGGACATGAATTCCTCCATCTGGAAACTTTGCAGGTTCCAGAGAGACAACCCTACGTAGCTCAGGGAGTGCTAGGGGTGGGTGGGTACTTCCACGAAGGGTTTCGATATGGCCGAATAAGTCTCGAGAGCCGATACTGGTAGCATGAAAGACAAGTTTGCAGGCTGAGAAGTGGTAAGAGATTAAATATCAAAGCTACCGCTTGCAGCAGGTCCAAGAAGCAACGACTTACAGCTTCTGTAGACCGCATTCGCAAGCTCCGCGGGTGTGTATGTATTGTTCAACACAACGACGGGGCATCCAATCCGAGAACCCCCCAAGAAGACCTCGATATATTGATAGCAGTTGCCTGCCATAATTCCAACACAATCACCATGGCGCAAGCCCATTTCCAACATTGCTCGGGCGATGATTTTGCTTCGATCGGCCAGTTGGCGATACGAGAGCCGGACAGACTGCCATGGGAATATTACAGCAGGCCGATCCCCAAACCGAACTGCCTGATCATCAATCAAAGTGCCCATCTTTTGGAGGAACAATTCGGGCTCTTTGGAGCCATATACGAGTGATAGATTGGGATCCATTCGGGGCAGTTCACGAGCGTCAAAGGGGAAGCTTCTAAGATTCGCAATTGTAGGAAGTGTCAGAAATCCGGGGAATCAGGGCTTAATTAAGATACGATCGAGATCCAGTTCTCTCCAAGTAGTTGAAATGATCTATTCCGAGTCAATGACTGAACCCCTTGTCCTATGGCTATTTGGTCCGTACCGTCGCTCCCGGCGTTCGGACCGACGAGCATCCCCCGGAGACAATCCGAGAGACTAAAACAAATTCCGGATTCTTCTCCATCGAAAAGGATCTGTGTTTGGTACTTGATCTCAAAAGAAACCCCATCTTAAGCGTGCAACTATCCTAATCTGCACCATGGCGACTGAGTCGGTGTTCCCGGTGGGCAACACCCACATCGACCTTCGAGGCGAACATTTCCAAGCAAACAAAACCAGCTGGACACCAGTACTCCAAAGATTCGAAGAGGCTCTCAAGCAGGTATCTGCAGAGGGAAATGATGTTTCTCTACGCAGACATCAAGGCCGCGGACAATTGCTACGTACGTCGCTTCAGGCTCCGGGAAATCAGGATTAACTGGAAGATATAGCAAGGGATCGCGTGGCACTGTTGCTAGATCAAGATTCACCATTTTTGGAACTCGGAGCGTTCACTGGCTTTGGTAATGAGAATTCTACCCCATGTGGTAATTTGATTGCAGGCATTGGAAACGTTTGGTACGGACATCTGTTTTTTCTGCATCAGAACTTCTCGCTGAACGACGTACAGTGGACGGATGTGTCTCCTCATGTCGCATATTCCAACTCAAAGTGGAGGTGCTTGGAATGAAATGACAGGTACTGTGGAAGCTTCGGTATCCATGTGGGACTCGTGTTAATGATCTGCAGTGCTGAAAGTAAACCGCATGATGGAGGTCGCCTTTGAGAATGACCTTCCACTGATATCTCTGGTTCAATCGGTAAGACTCTTCCTGATGCAATCGAAGAAACAAGAAAGAAGATCTAAATAGACAAGGCTGGAGTTTTCTCCCCTCAACAATTCCGGGTTTTTCACAAGGGAGGCCAGTTATTCCGCGACCTTGCCCTTCGAACTCGACACGGAAAGCCTTCATGTGCCATTGTTTTCGGATCGTCGACAGCTGGAGGCGCATACCATCCAGCGTTATCGGACTACTCAATCTTTGTGGAAAACCAGGCCCAGGCTTTCCTCGGGGGACCTCCGCTGGTGAAGATGGCTACTGGCGAAGTTATTGGCGCAGAAGAACTTGGTGGCGCCAAAGTCCACGCCATTACAACCGGCCTGGCAGATCAAATTGCATCTGATGAGTACGAGAGTTCCGCTTCTCATGTTTCCATGGATACTGACGTGCTGCCTTTTCAGGTTTGATGCCATTCGTAAAGCACGAGAGTGGGTGGCTTCGCTTCAAGTGCGAACTACCTCGGTACCAGGAGTGATCGAACCTGTGGAACCAAGATTCCCTATCGAAGATCTACTTTCAATTGTGAACCCAGATATCCGAAAGCCATTTGATATGAATGAGGTTTTGTTGCGTATCGTGGATGATTCCCGTCTTTCGGTCTTCAAGCCAAAATACGGCCCAAATATCATCACGGCTTCGGCTCATATAATGGGTAAGATGAAGCCTTGCCAAAGACAGAAATGATGAATTAACGCGTCTCAATTAGGCTTTCCGGTGGGAATTGTTGCCAACCAGCTGTCTGTGATCAATCCCAACGAAGCGGCCAAGGCCACACAGTTCATACGCATGTGCAACCAGCAGTAAGTTCTGGCAAGGTCCGCCAAGAGACAACATACTGATGAGACTAGAAATACGCCCATCATATTTCTTCACAACGTCACTGGTTTCATGGTTGGCGCTAAAGCCGAACATGCTGGGATCATCAAGATGGGTGCTCAATTGGTCTCTGCTGTCAGTTGCTCGACTGTGCCTCACATATCTATTATCATGGGCGCATCCTATGGAGCCGGTAACTACGCTATGTGTGGCCGGGCTTACAGCCCCCGGTTTCTGTTCTCGTGGCCAACGGGCCGTTGCAGTGTGATGGGACCGGACCAGTTATCAGGTGTGATGGAAAATGTGCAAATAGCCAGCGCCAAGTCCAAGGGCTTGACATTATCACCGGAAACACTCAAAAAACAGGTAAATACCTTCCGAGACAGGGTCCAGAAGGATGCCGAGTGTTATTCGACTAGCGCGATGCTGATCGACGATGGAATCATCGACCCGAGAGACACGCGCGATGTCTTGGGCATGTGCTTGGAGGTGGTGTCGCACCAAGGAGTCAATGGGACACAGACACACAATCTGCTGGCACGGATCTGATTTAGATACAGGACTGGAAACAAGATCTGTCCCGTATTTGGTGTTTAGGTAGACATGAAGATATTAGTCTCTTTTGCGTATTGATATATTTTGATGGAATCTAGACCGGACTTCCTTCACTTAATCCCACATGTGTACATCATCAATATCAACTCTGGAATATTTGAAGCAAATGGACTCGACGTCGCAACCTGACAGTCCGAATCCGGGAATCTTGATGCCTGCATGTTGCTGCCTTGGTATTGGCGCCTGAATATTCTGGCTTCCAACAGATAGCTTTGACCCGTTTCCCTCTCTCCCCCTTCTCTCCAAAGCACATACACACATGCACACAGTTTACGGAGTAGAATTCCCCGTGTTCCACAATTGTGCATTCTATTCCACGTATAATCACCGGTCCGATGCTTCCCCACTGCTCCACGGCTCCACTGCCTCCCCGGATGCCCTCCGAACGCCCCCGGGGCCCGGACCGAACGCGTGGAGGAAGCCGGACCAAATTCGGGAACTCCAGTTGGGAACTATTCCAAGGTTTAATGAATTGGATATTTCTCTGGTTAGATTTGATTTCACAGTTTGAATACAGCTTTCGGCATACTGTGACCATAGTCCTGTCCCCACAATGGCTTTCATCCCCTCAGAAAGCAAGGCCATGGATGATGCATCAGTTCTTCGCAAGCCGCTATTCATTGCAGAGCCACCGCTGCACAAAGATGGGCGGCCGGTTATTCGGAAAGTTCTCATCGCAAATCGTGGAGAAATTGCTTGTCGGATTATCCAGACTTGTCGCAAATTGAACATCGACTCCGTGGCGGTGTATGTTGACGAGTATGTGAATGGTTCTATTGATTCGGATTGTGTAGTCGTAGCTAACCTGCTTATCCAGAGATGCCTCTTCCCGCCATGTTCACGATGCAGACGAGGCGATTAATATTGGCAGCATTGACCAAAGCACCCAGAACCCGTTTCTTGACATCGACTTGCTAGTTCAAACAGCGATCACAACAGGTGCCCAAGCCATCCACCCGGGCTATGGATACCTGAGCGAGAATGCAGATTTCGCCCAGCGCGTTCGTGACGCAGGACTTATCTTCGTTGGTCCAAGCCCCAGCGCTATGTCCACACTCGGCGATAAGCGTTCAGCAAAGGATTACTTGAGGGCTCATGCGCCTGATATTCCGTTGATCCCCGGCTTTTCCGGATCAACCCAGGATGCGGAGGCTTTGAGTAAGGTTGCCCAAGAGATTGGGTTTCCGGTCATGCTGAAGGCTTCCGCGGGTGGCGGCGGAAAAGGAATGCGCATTGTCCGTGAACCAAGTCAGCTTGAAGAAGAGCTGAAGCGAGCTCAGTCTGAGGCTCGTCGCTCTTTTGGCTCCGACGACTGCATCTTGGAGAAGTTCATTGAGAGCAGCAAGCATGTGGAAATCCAGATCATGGGTGACTCGCATGGCCATGTGATTTCCTTATTGGATCGGGATTGCTCAGTACAGCGGAGACATCAGAAAGTCATCGAGGAGACACCTTGCCCCTTCATTACAGAAGAAACACGGCAGCAAATGAGCGCAACAGCGATTCGCGTGGCAGAGCTCATTGGTTATGAGAATGCTGGAACAGTCGAGTTTGTTGTCGATATCAAGACGAATCGATTCTACTTCCTTGAAGTCAACGCGCGTTTACAGGTTGAGCACCCAATTACCGAAGAGGTGACCGGTGTTGACCTTGTCGCATTGCAGCTCTTTGTGGCGGCTGGTGGAAGTTTGGGAAATCTTCCTCAAGTGCAAAATATCACTCAATATGGACATGCCATCGAGTGTCGACTATGTGCTGAGAACCCCGAGAAGGACTTTTTCCCAGAGCATGGAAAAGTTCACCTCTGGCTACCAGGGAGTGGTCCTTTAGCCCCCAGCCGGGATATCCGTTATGAAACAGCCATCCAGACGGGATCATCTGTCTCGATCTATTTCGACTCAATGATCGCGAAGCTTGTGGTTTGGGCTCCAACAAGAGCACTAGCAATTGAGAAAATGAGCAAGGTTCTTGCACACACTGCTTGCGTCGGTGTCAAGACAAATCAGCTCTTCATGCAATCTTGTTTATCGAACTCGGCGTTCCGTGATCCATCATATACGACCTCGTTCATTCCATCTCATTTGCATGAGCTTCTCCAAGCCCCTTCAGTCAAGAGTTGCCCGGAGTTCAAGAAGATTGTTTCGATTCTGCCGAGCTTGATCATCCGAAGACTTCCGGATTATGCTACAGCCTTGCCAAGCTCCAAGCCTCTCCGTTCTGTCCGTAAACAATTCCGAAATCAAAGATTTGATCCAGTCAATATCCACTGCGATGTCGTTACTACGCCTCACTGGCCCAACACGATTGGCCAGGAACCGGGGCCTCGTTCAGAGCAACAGGTGATGTGCATTTGGAAACCAAAGAGTGCAGGAGAATTGAATACCGCCGAAGAAGTATATCTTTTCCCAGTTCCACAGGAAAAGGTTTCTCAAGGCGAAGAGTCTTCAGCTGCTGCCGAAATCTCTTCTCATTACAATGAAATCAGCCAGGCACTACGGACTGGAAAAGCGACATCTTCTCCAGCCTACGCAGTACGGATCAATTCATGGGTCCCCGCGGAAGGCAATCCTGCTGTACCAGACTCATGGCTTGCCTCGACTATCGAGGTCTCAGTAACCGGATCCAAGCTTGTGGCGCATGTAGTCATTCCTTCGATGCGGGCTCATACATTCGCGGGGCAGGTTGATCGTGCCCAGCGTATCTACTGCCATTTCCCTGCTATTGGCACCCATGTTGAGTTCCAGAGAGATACTCTGCTTTCTTTTGCAGAAAGCAAACGATCAACAGCCAAGGCAAACAAAGGAGCAGAACAAAGGACCGTCGCTGCACCGATGCCGTGCAAAGTGCTCTCAATTTCGAAGAAGAATGGAGACGAAGTCAAGTCTGGGGACTCGGTCATGGTTATCGAAAGTATGAAAATGGAAGTCAACATTTCTGTAACGGCTGCAGGGAAATTCCAAACACAATGGAAACAAGGTGATGCTGTGCAGGAGGGGAAGATTCTTTGTTCAGTTGTCTAGTCGATTCTTGCACGAGATAGCTACCGTGTAGATAGCAATGCTACATATATGTACCTAAATAAATAGATCCTGGAGGTGTTGAGACTGGTTTCCTCGCGTGTGCACTTGCCCGTATCTTCTATACCTGCAATGCGAAGGATAAATAAGAAGAAAACTGCAATCAAAAGAGCATGTGCTTGGGTGTCTCATCTAAAACGTAGTCTGATTCTGCTAGAGCTTACTCTGTCTCTGCATACTCTTCATCTCCTGATTGACCGCCAGCTCCGAGAGAATCTCCTCACTCCCCCCTCCCACCACCATCACCCTCACATCGCGACTGACCTGTTCGATTCTGGCCCCACGGCCATTCTTCGAGTATCCGAGTCCACCCATAACCTGCTGTGCCTCTCGGTTGACTTTCTCTAGCGTTTGGCCTGCCAGAACCTTCAAGTTGGCAAAGAGGCCTCCCATGGATGCATCAACACCCCGCCTTTTCGCTGTCTCGGAGATATAGACCAACTGCTCCATCCAGGCATACGTAGCATCAAGGCTCCGTGCCATGGCGCTAAACTTGGCGCGGATCACTTGGTTCTCAATGAGCTTTTTGCCGAACGTCTCGCGCTTGAGAGCGTGTTGATACGCGTCTTCGGCGCAAACTCGCGCCATTCGAAGTGAAGTACATGCGAGCCAGAGTCGCTCATGGTTAAAATCTGATCAATAGTCAGAGACTAGTACGCAAGGGACATGGAATGGGTGATTCTTACTGTTCATGATCACAGGGAACCCCTTGTTCTCGACACCAAGTAGATTGGCCACAGGCACCTCTACCTCGTCAAACTCGATATATGTTGAACCGCTTGCATGCACACCAGAGTTTTCAATCTTTTTGCAAGTCACCCCAGGAGCTTTCAGAGGAATAATCAAAGCCGAGATACCCTGAATTCCTGCACCCCCGGTTCTCACAGCTGCTGTGCAGTAATCTGCGAAAATCCCGTTGGTGATCCATTTCTTTGCTCCGTTGACAATATAAACGTCTCCCTTTCGCTCCGCCGTAGTGGTCAGTCCGGCCACATCAGATCCAGCTGTATTGTCGGATGAGTCTGGTTGCTTGGATCTGGGGATGATCTGGAGAAAACATACCGTCAGGTTCCGTCACACCGAGGCAGAATCTGATATTCCCCTTCAGCATATCGGGAAGAAATCTTTTCTTTTGTTCCTCGTTACCGAAATTGATCACTGGTGGTCCGCCAATCGAGTTGCCACATCCCAATGCCCAAATGATACCCAGGTAGCCACACCGGGCAAGTTCATCAATGACAATGATATCATGAAATCCGTCCCAGTCTCGTGGGTTGATGTCTCCGGGAAGTCGCTGGCCATTGAGATAGTCTGCAGCGAGCGGGAAAGAGCTGACAGCTGTGTATCCGAGTTCTGCGTGTCGCTTGTGAACCTATCGTTCCAGAAAGGCTTCAGCTGGAACCGTTACTCTTCGTTATTGCATAGACTTACCTCCGGTGGGACAACTCCTTTCTTCTCCCACTCATCGCAAAATGGGAGAATATAGGTATCAACATACTCGCGGACCTCTTTTTGGAGTTGACGATGCGAATCAGTGTAGTAGGGGCTCAGCCCGCGGTTGAGCCAGAGAGGATCCGCAAAGGGAATAGTCGAAACAGAAGACATGGTTAAGAGATAAAGTATATTTGACTGTAAAAGAGCCCAAAAGATACCTATTATGGCAACTATATAGGGAGTGGTCGCTACAACGTAAATGGTTGACCGGGGTTTAGGACCGGACCGCGCTCCACCACACGGACCGAACCCCTGGACCGGCGATTTCGGCGTTCGTCGTGCACCTTGCACATGGCTTTGCGAATTGTTTGGTCGCACTCTAAGCCGTGGGTAAAGCATGTATGTATAGACATGGTAGGCTAAGACGGCGATGTGCCGAAGTTCAGGCATTGCAGTGGCATATACATTATAGAGGAAAAGAAGCATATACGCAAATGTTGAGCCTAGGCTTCGGACTCTCTCTCTTTGATTGGAATTGCATACAGTGATACATAGTCCTGTATGGCATCAGATACATATAGCTTCTTGATCCGGCTAGATGCTATGAAAACCAATCTATTTCCTAGCGTGCAGCACCTCCTGAGATATCGACTTCCCCGATCATTTAAACGATCCAAACACTCCTTGTATCCATCTGGTCTGGTGACTGGCATTTCAGATACTCGCCTTTATTTTAGAGTCGACTGATGCAGTCGTTTTCCATTCAGCAAAATCGCTTTTCTGAGTAAACCCTCAGTGCTACCAAAGCAGGTCAGATCAATACATCCAACAGGATTGTTAGTGGCTTGATACATACCGTTCTTTCAATGTCATCATCAATCCTTGAACTATGAACCCTTTGATGATCTGCGGTGCCAGTCCCTTGTATAGTCGGAAGAATCCTTCGTTTCGCACAATGTACTGAAGGACCTCAGTAAAACCCGAAAATGGCCTGCCCTTTCGACAATCGGGCGGTTTGGATTGTAGCATAATTTTCGCAACAATCAGGGGATGGGTTGTAATTGTTGCCAGGACCTTTGAGAGAGCCCCAAGTACTAGAATCGTGAATTTGTTAGTAGGTGCAGGCGTATGGAAAATCGTAAGACACGCACAGAAAGCATCGCCAGATCCGAGCGCTTTTCCTCGCTTCAGGGCTAGGAGCACCCCTCTTAGCCACTGATAGACACCATAGGTGATCATCGGATTGATGACGAGGATCAAGTTGACCTTGAACCCTCTCCAAAGTCCAGTCCAGCCATCTTCACTCTGGATAATCTCTTTCATCGTATCCCACATCGACTTTTTCTCGTCGCTTGATGTGCAGGTTTGTTGCCGTGTGGAGATCACAGCAATGGGGTTAGTACATAGTTGTGCCATCGCGCCGCCGATGGCCCCTAGCCCCAGCTCCTTGCTGATACTGTTTGTGTCGGCGACTCCATATCTTCGGAAAGCAGACTGCTGTATACTCCGGGCTGCTGTCGACCAGTAGAAATAGGCAAAGTTCATTGACGCTGTGCTGAGAATAGAACTGCCCAGGCCGCTGTAGAGCCCGAGGATACCTTCCTCACGGAGTATATGGCGGATAGCATCGATGGCATTATCATAATAAGGTTGAGCTTCCGGAGAGTCCGAGAGCTTTTCGGGGTCGCCCGCCTCTTTCTGCTTCGGTGGTTGGACTTGAACCTGTAACCTGGTTTTGACACTGAGAATTATTTAGATTTATTCATAAAATAAAAGCCGAAAAAAAGGCCAAAAAAAGAAAAAAAAAAAGAGTGGAAGCATACACATCGAGAGGGTAGACAATAGTATTGGCCAAAATGGCCGCTGTCGTGCCAGAGGCAACGCCTTCCCAGGGCGACGCTTGATCTTGAGCCATGATGTGGATGTCTGTGATTAATTCCCCCGCATTTTTCAGCGCAATAAACGACTTTAATCCTAATGCCTTGGCCCAGGCGAAATGGACGAAAGGAGCCGTCGGGCCGAGCGGACCGAACTTGTGAAAGACATATGTCCGAGCTCAAGAGCGCATCATTTGCAGGTTAGATCAATCTATTCCCCGGGCTGCAATTCAAGAATTGCTCTACTTCCTCCAGCCTGGAGGGTGTGAGACCGAGAAGATTCGCACTGGGGGTGTCGAACCCCGGTCCCATCATCCCGGCCCCAACAGCCCAGCCGGGGGAAGGTAAGCTTGCGGTTGGCTTGGGTCTTTTGTCGGAATCGGCGCCCATGATGGCATAGTCAATCATTGACCACATAATCTCTTCCGAATTCGAATCTAATTCGTCCATCAAGTGGCTGGGGTCGAGGAGACTTGCGAGATCATGTGACATGGAGTGGAAATCGCGTAGTTGAGCAGCCTGAGTGGTGGGTTAGTATTGCCTATGGACGTGATGACTCGAAAAGTTCTAGTTGCACCTACTATATTACCTGCATGAACCCAGCGTTTCGCTAATTTCTCTAGAGCGTCTATGCTCTGTTGGAAATAATGTAAACTGTCCGAGTCTTGTGCTCTGCTCCGCTCGAAATGTGACGACAGCGAATGGATCCCTCCGGCTACAGCTATGCAGTAGGCATAGAATGAGGATTCTATAGGATAGCCGTACTCGGTAGCCTCCCGTAGGAGGTCCATGAGCTGTTTCGCATGGTCGCATCCTTCATGAAGGGCCCGGGAAGAGAAACTAGCTGGAGCCTTGGCCCCAAACGGCTTCAGCCATCGTCGCACAAGAAATGGATGATTCAGTAGGCAGTGACAGATATGAAAGAGAGTGTGTGCGAAAACCAGATGGCCAATCTCTTGCCGGTCGACTGTTCCATCGACCTGTATACCCCCACGGAGGACATCCCGAAGCCGCCAGTTTCCACTCTTGGAATATGACTCTAAGAGCAACAAGGAAGAGTTGATTGCAGAAAACTCCGATTTTTGATCCCACGGTGGGACCTCATCCATTTTCTTGTTCTGATGCACGTATCGCGTGCAACGCCCAAATATCGACGCCATTAAAACAACGAGCGCAAATGGGCTCGGGCTGTCAGCAACCTTTGAGTTCCAGTTGAGCAGCTGACCGATCGTGTTTGTTTTGCGCCATTCCCCATTCCGAAAAAAGTGTTCTTCGCAGGGTACTTGAACCTCGCAATCCTCGTCGAGGATGACGAGGGGTCGGGATCGGCCGCAGGAGATCAGTTTATCCACTAGATATACTGACCAAAAGGCTCTTCGATGCTCTTCTTGCTCTGAATAAGGGAGCCACTGATCGGGCTCGGACATCAAGTGTAGATCTTGAGATATTCGAGCTGCCAGTCCAATCTTGAGCCAACCCGAGCGGACACGACCGGCTGAGAGATTGAGGTCAGTGGCAGTTGCGAAGGAGAACGAGCAGTTTTCTTACCCGTGTAATCTACAATTGCAAGGAGATTGACGGTTTGGACAACATGGACATTCAAATTATCTTCCACGGTCAAGTGGTCTGCAAGAACTGACAGCCAAGATTCCCTGGCGTACTTTTGGGATGCTTCGTGTGTCTGACCCGCGTAAAACTCGTGATCTGAAAACCGGACTGCCGATGCAAGTATAGCTAGAATTAGACACTGTGGCAAAGAATCGCTTTCCAGTTTCTGGCGAAAAGAGGTCTCTTGGAAGTACGAGTACGGTTGATTGTGGACGCGTTCGAAGTACGTGTCGATGACGGAGTAGAGAACTGAAGAGGGAGGGAGAGATCTGTTTTCAACCAAGCCTGCTATCAGCGATAGAGTACCTTTCAAGCGCACGGGGAGAATTGAGCACATCCGTGATTGAAATTGGCTAAGAGACGTACGAATTTTCTTGAAATGTAATTGGCGATGGCAATGATTGGGCGAAAGTAGTTTCCTGTGACATGCGGGTTTGTGCAACTGGGTGGGATGATGCGTTTCTGAAGATCAACACTCACATTAGCTTGAAATCAAACCGGGGATTTTGGAATATACACTTAACGTACTTGTTTTGACATGGCGCATGCCCACTGAGCTCTGCTAGGCGGGTCTCGATCATGTTGATCCTTTGCAATAATTCCATCTATGTCCACCCGAGTCAGTATCTCGACAAAATCGAGGATAACTTGTGCAATGAGGTTGTAACAGACATTCAAACTATTTGCCATTGGGGACCCGGAGACAGTTGGATTGGCGGTAGTCGTCTCTGCAACAGTAACCGAGTAGGGCTCATAAATACAGGCCAAACGATTGCGACGACAATGCGAGCAGATGGGCCGGTCTCCAGTGCATTTTGTCTTCTTCCGTCTGGAGAAGGCTCAGAATCAAGATCCGAGTTCTGAGGCGAGAGAATCGAACTCACCTGCAATTAGCGCAAGCCTGTCGGATGCGCTTGATCCCCTGGGAATCCGTCGCCATGTCCATTGGGGATAATGCAGGAAGGCTGGAAGAAGAGAGAAAAGGGAAGAAGCCGAACAGCCGGTCTCTGTTAGTGCGGGGGAACAACATGTGGAGGTGGAGCCACGGAGGCCCACATGACGAGACACCGCTATTCGCTGCATAACTCCCTCGGGTCTGAGACTCTTAGGAGAAGAATCGTGAGGAATATGACTGAATTGTTAACATTGGGGGAGAGAAGGAGAAGGAGAAGGAGAAGAGTGAGAAAGAATTTCTTTTTTTTTTTGTGAAGCCACCAGATTGCCGGTGGGATTGTATAGAAGGGACAAAACGAGCTATCGGGACAATTTAGATACAGGCATATACATCGAACAAATTATTTACGGCTCTTACTCGATCTCGCCATTCTGCTGACCGAGATCAACAGACCAGCCCTGGAGGTGAAAGCCTTGAGATCCAGGGTATTCTCTCCGCCGGAAGCCTTGCCAGAACGAGAGCCCTGGACATTCCACTTCTCGACGCCCTCCACACCTTTCATCTCATCGCCGAATTCCGCGAGTAGATTGGCATTGAGAACATTATACTGGCTGTGGTCCTTGAGACCAGTGATCCTTGAGACCAGTGATCCTCCGTCATCCGATCCTGGTCCTGCATGTTCAGGTCATAGGTAGTACCATCCATTGAAAACGTGCAAGACGCAAGATGGTGATCTGACCCAAAACGAGTAATGACCGAGAACTAAACGATTCGGGCCTAAACAGGCTCGTACGATCATGGATCAGCTTCTGTAGTGATGGTAGGAAATTATGAGCTAGCTATGAATGATGAAGCAAGTATCATTTCTCCATTCTGCGAGTCCTCCCCGCCTGGGCCGGGTTAAAATTGATCCCGACAGATGGCTCGTGACACCATACTGAAGTCTAGACCTCCGCAAAGCCTATAAATGGGCTCGACCCCCGGGCCCAAAGCCCAACCCAGCCCACAGCCCATTAGTGGGGGCCCTATGGACCCCCATTAACGCCCATCTCGGCGCTGATAAATCGGCCTCTGTAATCGCTGTATTACGACCTTCTACCGGTCGTATAAAGTTCAAATTTGAAGTCTAGGTTTATAGTAGCTATATAAGCATATATTCTAATTTTAAATAAAATCTGACTGGTAAGGGTCGAGGTATCGCGGAAAAGGTAAATTTTAATATTCTGATATCCGAGATATATTGCGGGTTCAAGCAGGAATACTACCACTTTCTAGTAAAGCTACATAATCTTGAAAATTTCTAAATAAACGCGTTTTTTTACTTTTTTAGACGTGATATAGAGTGATAATTAGCACTTGATTCTAAATAATTCTAAATAATTAAATATTACCTTAAGGATAAGGCTTAGAAACGGGGGTAAAACCAAGGGTAATCTAAAAATGAGGGACTTCATGATGTTGACGGTCTTCTCAGACTATTTGCCATAATGGAACTGGTAGCGCTCCACAATTATAATGAGAAGCTTCCCCCGCTTTGTCATGATATCTGACTTGGTTGCGGTAACCATGTCAATAGTCAGATCCAGTAAGACCAAAGCCACGTGTATCGTGACAATGTGCGTGGCGCTCTTGTAGAATAAGGGAATAGCCTTCGGAACTTGGTCGAGCTGGTGGTAGAGCAGCGACAACGAGATGATGGACTCGAGGGCCATAGGGTGATCGATCGCCAAGATCTCGCGGCACATGTTGGTGACAGTTGTCTGCTATGCCAGCAGGATCAGGCTAAGCAAGTTGTTTCAAAAAGTTGTCTGCCGTAGGAAGAGGGTAACGCTGGCCGGGAAATTATGGACGAGCTCCTTGGCAGTGAGAGCATTGCCCCCTGTAGTGAATGTCGTGGTCTGGCTGTAGATTTCTCGTGCAGGATCGCCTTATGTAGCTTCTGTTCGGCCGAACGATGACCAAGGATTCATGCATACCTATCACTAGGACGCATGGGTTCTACTTGTACTCCGTTCCTGACTGGGACGATGTTGTAAAGGTCTTGTATACCATACTCTCCCAATCTGCCCAAAAGGATTGGCTCCCAGTGACAACGAACAGGTGCGCGGAGATTTAGTCGCTCCACTCTGCAGGAAAGGAGATCCGCTGCGACACAGACATGGAAAGGGAAACCTGTCATGCCTGTGGTCATGTACGGCATATGCATCTGGAGAACTATGCAATTCCAAATCTCCGTACTTTGGTCCTATGTATACATCGTTAGCATTAGACAGGGGACGTTAGGAAGGGAAGCTAACCCCACGCGGAAAGGCCCGGGGTCCATGGCTGGCTCTATACAGACCCCCCCCTCTCCCTCGATCCACCCCCTTTACACCACTTCCACCCCCCTTATCTCAATACGGTTAGCAGATTACCATAAGAGGAATCTCATCATTTGTATACAGATAAAGCTTAGCGCCAGGGCTATATTATTGACGCTAGTATTTCTTGGCGTATAAGTGTAGTATCATATGGTATAGTGCACACCAATCAGCTGTACTACGGTATTCTAGGTGGGTTTACCTCTACGTAGAGATTCTAATATATTTAATTGAAAAATGAGGGTTTTGATATATAAGATCGACAGATATTAGGGTAGCGAGATGGGAGCCAAATAGTCTATTACCGGTGTCTTTGAAAATCAGCATCTATCTTGAGGTCACATAACCACATAGGAAGATATTCAGCTGATTGGTGTGCACTATACCATATGATACTACACTCATACGCCAAGAAATACTAGCGTCAATAATATAGCCCTGGCGCTAAGCTTTATCTGTATACAAATGATGAGATTCCTCTTATGGTAATCTGCTAACCGTGTTGAGATAAGGGGGGGTGGAAGTGGTGTAAAGGGGGGTGGATTGAGGGAGAGGGGGGTCTGTATAGAGGCACCCGGGTCCATGCCTATATGCATGTACTAACCTAAATATAGGCACGAAGTACATACATAATGTACATGGAGGCTCCATACACAGCTGGAGGAAATGGCCAGTTGGAAGAATCGTGCAATAGTATAGCAAAAATACAGGACATCAACTTATAATCAAGTACAAGAAATGGCGTTGGATATAGGATATATATAGACAAGTACACGAAGGAAAGCGCTTCTACTCTGGGCGACCGGCCGCATTGGTCAGGAGCTCGCGCCGGAGACAGATGTCCTGATCTCAAGGCTGGCCCTCACCCAAACGATCAGCACGAGGCCTCACGATGGATCGGCCGAAGCTGTGACCGGCTTGTTCCCGACCAGTGTGCGCGCGATCCGACCACCAATACAGGGCGATCGCGCCATGGCGGCATATTTGTGAGCCCCAGAGTGCCCGTACCAAGTAGGCACCTGGTTGACAAGGCATGCAAGTATTAAGATAGATGGAATGTAAATAGAAAATTAGGCGCCCGTATCCTTGCATCGGGCTACCTAGGCTTTAATCATCTTTGGCCTTCGGGGAGAATCTCCATCGGTCCCAGTTATCCATTACCCACCAGTTGGAGACATAGGCTGCGTTGTATAGCCAATCGAGAGTTTCGTCACCATATTCCTTTTTAACCGCTTCTGCCAGATCGACGAGGCTGAAGCGCTCGATCGGGCTCAACTCATGTGGGTCTTTAGACACATCGGAGAAACGCCATTCGACATCATTGACGAGTGGAATCACTAGGCGGAATTCGGGCCGGGCTGCCGACCGGACGGAGAGCCATGACCCACCAGTGTTCATGACTGTGAAATGCCAGGCTTCGCGATTGTCCTGCTTCACAATCTGCGGTCGGATCAGGGATTGTCCTTCATACAGCGAGCGAATGTCGCGGGCGACCCGCGTACTATCCGTGCTGAGAGATGCCGACTCAATCAACAAGTCGATAATACTGGGGACAATCTGGCTACTGATGACCGGGCTGTCGATCTGGACCGGAGGAAGCTGAGGGTGTGCAAGCACAATAGGGACCTTGAAGCTGCCGACATGGGGATTGTCATAGGGAGTGATGCCACCATCGTTCGGGAGGGAAAGACCGTGGTCTCCAGCCATGACGAACAGGGTCTCATTGGCAACCCCCTTCTCCTCCAGAATATCGATGAGCTCCGAAAGCCAGTCATCTACATAACCCACCGAGTTCAGGTACCGATTCATGTCTTCGTTCGAACCTGACGTGGAGCCCATAATCTCTTCGAAAGCGTCACCTGGAATTCCCCATGGATGGTGAGTGGTGCTGGTGAGATGACTGAGGAAGAGACGCTGATGGTCACGTTCCGCATCATCGATGGCGTCACGAATGTACTCTCGAAGTTCAATTTCAGGATAGCCATAGTAATTTACCTCGGAGCTTGTCACAGGATAATGTTTGGCCTCGGGGTTGATGATGGTCTCCTTGGTTTGCTTGTCATGGAATCCCAAGTGCGGGGTCAACTTGTCTTGGTTATCGTACGTTTCAGTGACCGACATCATAAAGGTCGAATGCCATGGCCACTTGGTAAAGTCATCACTCTCGCTGCTGATATCCGGTTGCTGGCTAAGCATGTCAAAGACATGAGCTAGACATGGTTGGTAGATGTGATGCTCGAATTCGCGGTTGAAATCGGCCACAAGGGGTGTCACACCGCAAAAGCTGCCCGTCAGGCTCTTAAGAGTATAGGTGGAGGTGGTGATGGCATCCTTGGCGCTAATTCCACCGTAAGCTTTGCGGCCGTTGAAACGCGTTTCGTTATGCTCAAATCCATTAGGGAAGTTGGTCAAGAACTCCGCCGTGCGGGTGAGGTTTGCAAGGCGGGCTTCGACATCTGATGGGATAGTCTTGTCCTTCCAGGTTTCCGCGATGCGTTTGTACATAAAGCTATCCTTTTGCAGAGGGAAGATATCGGCACGCGCACTTTCGAGTTTCAAGAAAACGACATGCTTAATTTTGACATCACCACTAGCCAAGGCGTTATGGATCTCCTCCAAGACCGGCTTGTGCAGATTCGAGATATGCAATGGGTCTTCTTGCGGATTGTAGTGGAGGGCTAGAGGGTCCGACTGCGCCCAGTCCTCGAAGCCTTCAATTGGCTCCTCCGACATCCAATTCCAGCGGGTTGGCGGCCTCAATGCGGTGAGTCTATCCAAATGAGTATAAGAGCCTGGTGTACCAGTAGTATCGACGGGGGAGTGGCGCTCGGTGCCTTCGATAATTGTGCTCAACGGCAATGTAGTCGACATGTACATATAGACTGGGTCCCACGGTCGCATGAAGCGCAGGAAGAGGAAGAGACTGAACAGAGTGAGGATGAGTGCCCGTTGGGGTACCCCGTCGGTCACTCGCTTGGACTCGGGGAGTCGGTTGGGCAGCCGAGTATTCAAGAGATGATCTCCTTCCTCATGATCACTCATATAATCGGCCTCTTCCATGGCGATTTCCTCGTAGATTCGGGGATCGGGAAGGTCGGCCTGGGATTTGGATCGGGGCCAGAACCGCTGTACCAGGGGCTCCACGTGCGGTCGCACACGCGCGAACACCCATCGAACGGGCCAAGCCCACACGTGCAAGATACCGCCCGTGATGGCATGGATGGAATGGGCAGCGAATAATGAGACTGTCAAGAGAATCCCCTCGACCACCAAGAAACCCGTCAATCCGGTGAGGAGGGTATGAATCGCGGCGGCATCGCCATTGAAGGATTTGGCGTGGCGCCAGTGGATCTCGGCGCCGGTGAAGATATAGAAGGAGGTATTGGCGCTTGCCATGAACGAGACAATCAAACTGAGACATGGTTAGTATGGATGGTAGGCGGTGTGGTAGGCGATGTCAGGGAGGTAGGATTGTAGTGCTGTAGTGCTGTAGTGCTGTAGTGCTGTAGTGCTGTAGTGTTGTAGTGCTGAAGTGCTAAAGTGCTGAAGTGCTGTAGAGAGATAACGATATGGCACGTGGTCACCTACCTAGACGGGATCACCACAACGGCAAGCAGAGCGGCGCCGGGACGCCAGCTAACCTTCTGACAAAGGATGCGGAACAACAATAACACCATCACATCTTGGAAAAAGAAGGTCAGACCCCAAAGGAAGAATCGCGCGGCAGGTAAAGAGTATATATGAGCGTAAAGATGTAACACCTTAGCTATGAACAACGAGAGGAAGGCAAGGGTGAAAAAATAGCGACGGGAAAAGTCCCACACGGCATCCAGAGTCTCAGCAGGAGAGAGACGAACACGCCGGATGCCGTGGCTCAGATATGCATGGACGGCGTGAACAACTTTCATGATCATATATACTTCTTCACATCCCCTTGAGAGAGGAGGAAGAGAAGAGGAAGAGGGGACAAGCAAGTTGAGCCCCAAAACCCCCCAAAAGGCCAAGAGGGCATATCGTGGTAACAGTAAGGTGGAGACGGGGAATCGACCCTCAACCAGCCATCAGGTCTCATCGATGGTCAATGACCCCATCTGGTCCCTTTCTTCCCCTTAGCCTCCCTCGGTTTTTCTTTTTCTGGGCCCCCATTATGACCAATGTGGCTGGCGGCTTGGCCCCAGTTCTCTTTCCGGGCCCCCGCTGCGCCGGATACGGTGATTTGGTCGCTAAAAATATCGAATCCGGTTTTGACCCTGTTTCGGGTTCTTTCTCCCTTTTCTCCCCAGAGATGTACCAGTTTAGACCATGTTGACTGGTTTGTTCAGCTGGGCCTCGCTGTTGTTCGAGCCACTGTCCTCCCAGGTCCCTCTGATTGAACCTCAACCGCGACTCAAGGCTGAGAATCAAGTTGCTCTCCCTACCCAGGGACCGTGGCAGGATATCATCACCGGTCACTATGGCATACCTCCCAAATTGAAGATCCACGATCGAAAGAGCGTCGTCAAATGGAGCTGGGAGCGACAGGATGTCACCCAACCACTTCCCCCTCGGATTCGAAGCGGCCTGTATAGCAATGCGAACGATGCGACCGAGTTGAAATGGATGCGAGGCGGGAAAAGTGTGGGTGCAATCTACAGCAATCTCGTCGTCGTCATCAACCACACTCCCGATCACCCCTCCACTGATAAGCAAATCACCTTTGCCCTCAGCAGAGATAGCGATGACTTGCGGAATGCCCACACCCTCGAACCCTTACCTGGGGATCGCCTCGCAGTAGCGACGACCGGCCAGCGACCCTGGGATGGTATCTTGGTCTATAATATGAGCTCCGCTTTACCCCTTGTCGATGAACCCCCCGTACTACAGAGGATCGAAGGTCTGCGTGCGATTCACGCGATGATCTGGGACGAGAAGCTTCAGATGCTGTGGGCCACAGGGACCGACGCCGCCGCAGATGGCTCGGATTCCGTCCCTGCCTACGGCGTGATTCAGGGATACCCGTTCGATGCCGCGACGGGTAAACTCCGCGAGGATGCAGCCTATCGCTTCCGATTCCCTGAGTATTACGACATCGATGTCGAATGGGGCCAAGGGTATAGTTGGTGGGCTGGACCGCATGATCTCGTGCCCGTTCCCAATGAGCGAACTTTCCTCGTCTCAAATGATATCGGGCTCCATGCCTTTGATATCGAAACGATGCAATTTAGCGCTGCCTACGAGGAAGTTACCGAAAAATATATGCCTGGATTCGAAGTTACCACCAACGATCGCCATGGAATCAATCGCCAAGGACAATATGAGGAGTTACCGCAATCGGACCTAAAAGGCTTCAGTCTCGCTCCGGATGGAAGCTTTTTATACATCCAGTCTTTATGGCGACTTTACCGATCGAACCATACCAGCCTCGTCGTCGACGGTGTGCGTCACCAGATTATGAAAGGCGATGAAATCTATCGGTCGCGTTGGTTCGGGGACATTGATGGCTGGCCCAAACCAACAACATGACATAGTTTTTTTTTCCTCTGGAGATTCGAACTGAATCCAGATGTCCAACATACTCAGCATCTCAAGAGTAATATCTGTAATTAATATCTAACCTGCGGCACAGCATTGGCCGCTTGTTCTGTGCAGCAGTATTCGCTTATCTCACACTTGCCTGGCGCCGCTATTCCCTATACTGCCTAATTGCGCCAGGTTATAACCACTGGAGGTTGAAGTTCTTAGAATAGGTAGACTTTGTGCTACGATGTATAACTCAATGACGGCATCTATACTCCGTACACCTTGACCTTTATAACGAATCTCCGATTCAAGCATTCACAATGTCACATATGTAAGGCGCCAGAGAAGTCTTCCGCCATGACACCAACCGACGAGTTGGCGTGGCGCAGAAATTTCCACCAAATGCATAAGAGCAAGCCGACGGCTTTGTTGTCAACCCCCAATAGGCCATGGCAATACTGTACTTCGTATGGCCCCATGGTCTCTGTTGCCTAGCCTTGCAGCCTTGGAGCCTCGCCTCGCAGCCTCGGCTAGATGACCACAACATACGAGTACTCCGCACATAGACAGATGAATCAGACCTGTAGGAACTTCGTGTCATGATATATCATTTTTCTGAAGTTTTGCCTATCTTTTTGTGCGATTTCTTCGGTCAGTGAATGAAAGCGCCCGTATCACACTACATTATAAGGCTAGCGCGAACATATAGATACATTTGATCTGCATATTACTCCTTTGACATAGAACGTATTCCAATTGATTATTGGAATCCTTGTTTCTATGTGGTAACCTCATTGCTGGGACCAACCCCGGAACGTTGCATTGTCGTAATAAGTACGGAGTATGTCGGTTGCGGTTGGATAATCTTCCAGTGTTGCATTCTCAAAAGGGACACAGAGAGAGAAGGAAAAAGAGTAGACAAGAAGAACATGTGATTCCATATTTGCAGGACTTTCTGCAGCATAGAAGGAGAAGAGGAAAGGAGGGTCTGGTGATTCTTTTGAAGTTGGGATATTTTAGGTACCTACATGCAATGAGTACGGCGAGATGTGACATGAACTCTTGACACTTTGATATTATAGAGATAGTCGAACAAAATATGTTACGTATCATGGGACGAGATAACCGAGAGGAAGTTTGGGAAAATGATCTCCCTCCAATTCATTGCAGTCATGTTCATGCATCATGTGTGTAATAGGTACATGTATGTACATGTAACATGTGACTATATAACTACATACATGTATGCACACATAGTTATATACATGTACATACACATGTACATATACATGTAACATTAAGTGAGATATGTACATGTAGCCATATCTCTTTCCTAATTGGGAGTTGGTAACCTTCACCGTGAAGGTTCCCTTTACCTTCGATGTCGCTGCAGTCGCGATTCACTACTTCTTCTCTTCAATATTTCCTGCAAAATATTTCTCTACTCCTCTTCCAGTGCTTCCCCTCCTCAGGCCAAGTTAAATTACACATGAACAACCTCTAACCCTTTTGCAGATGGACACCAAACGATCCAGGGAAGGCCAGCCAATCAAGGTCAATGCTAAATATACCATGGATTCCCCAGAGACCCCCTTTCTGCCAGGGAGGGCGTGTATAAAACCTCTTCTTTAACTGCTCTCACGTATTAAGACATTTGCCATCGGATGGAGACAATTGTTGACAGCAAAATGGCTTCTGCGTCGTTCGTCAGTTGGGGGAAGAGGAGGGGGGGGGCTTGTCCCTATTGATTGGCAGATGGAAACGGCCTCCCGGGAGATCTGTCCATATCTTCACTAGTGAGAATTTCCTGTCATCCAGAGAAAGACGGTATCCCACGTAGTTTGACGTTACCTCTTGGCCACAACGCTCATCCCACATCTGCGTCCGAACGTTTGCACCAATTGGTACTGGACTGCGAGCCTGCTAGCTTTGGCAGAGGCCAGGAGACTTTTCATTGATCCGCAGTATCGCAAAACTAGAAAGCTTGATCCCCGGCCGTTTTTGGCCAGTTTCCATCCGTCACACTTTGGAAGCCTCCAAAATGTGGAGCAAATTCTCCTTGGATTTAACGCCACCAAATTGCTTACAATTGAGCCAATTAACTGCTGGATTATACAAACTGAATTTATGCTTATCTAGGATCTCTGCTGTAAGGTGTATTAATATGATTATTGTTGAATAGGTGTACTCGGGACCGTCTGGCCTGTTCCGAAAGCATGTTGACACACCTTGTCCCACGACTCAGATTGTCTCACTGGTTGTCTGTCTGCCTTCATCCTTCAAAGGTGGAAGGGGGATCATTCAGCATGAAGGGAGAGAGGTCAAGTTTGACTGGAGTTCCCACGGTGCATCTGAAATTCAATGGGTAGCCTTTCACAGCGACAGCGAGCACAATATCAAAACAGTAATAGGAAGTGAGTCCATAACCCTGACATACAATCTCTACATAACCAAACAGGTCGAACCATCAATATCATCCGGTATTATTGTTGACCCCAAAAGTCTATTGCTGTATGCCCACTTGAAAAATATTCTGAAGGAGCCTGGTTTCATGATATGCAGACAATGTGAAGGAAAGTCATTAATCAAACATCTAATAACGTATCTCAGGCCCTTGTCAGCTAGCAGCATGATATAAACGGACATGATCGGATAAATTAAATGCACTTCCGTTATTATATAACTAATGGTACAGAGAAAGAAAGAAGCAAAGGCCGGAAGAAAGGAGAACTTGGTGACTTTTTCACAGACAAAGGGCCATACGCAAATCAGCTGGGCATCTGATTCTTGTCAGGCCCCTAAGATGGCCCCCAGCATCTCCCCAGTCGCTTCTGTTATTGATTTCGCGGTTTTGGCAGTCAGGCCCGATAGCATTACCAATTCGAAGAAAGGACTGTCATTCGCCATGAAAATTTCCAGCATTTTCTCGCCTTTTTGATTTCCGGATCGAAACTTGGCCAACGTGTGTCCAGCAGCATCGTGCAACTCCATCTTCTTCCCAGTCAACATGTTGGCTTTCCATTTTAACCGGCCCAAAGTAGGTGAGTCCAGTGTGCAGTTGCCAGACATCTGGCTCAGATGCATAATCATTGATTGTCCGTAAAATGTCAGGGGTATTTTAGACGATAGGCTTGGAAGTCGAGCATCGCCGATAAGGTCCATGGGACCTCTGCCCCAGCCACGAACGATCACCACATTAGGGGCATTATCTTTATCGATCATGATGGAGTACATAGGCGGAGCTTCAGCAGGGTAGCCCAAAGGATGGACCAGAATCTTGCTCTTGTCCCACGGGGCGGGTCGCAGTGAGAATGAGACACAAGCTTGTGAAGGCGCGTGTCCGCCATGGGTGGAGTATGAAGGAGACATCGCTGTATGATTATTCATTCCAAGGGTCCGTGATGGAGTCCTATTATTGGAATTGGAAGACCAGGAGAAGTAGAAAGTGTGGGGTGAGTGTCGTTTGAGAACACGGAAGGACTCATGGTTTTATAGGGCCCAATGTGCTTATTGACATCCGGTGATAATCCCGGTCGGACGCAATACTAACGGAGTCTTCTCGGGAATACTCCGTATAGCATGCCAGACTATAATACGTCGAAGGATGAATCCAAGACTTTATTAGCAACAGCAGCTGAATCCATCTGGTGCCCCTAAGTTTCGTAGTACCCAGTAGGTATATTATGAGTTTCCCGATCGGGTATGGTTGTGCGCCACAATCCATTAGGCTAAGTATACCGTTGTATGCTCCGGATATGATTGGCAGATCAATTGATATGAGAATAAGCCCAGCTCCTGCCAAGAGACAGCTGTGTTTTCTGTACGAGCTACCGAGTCTGCTGTATGGAGTGCTCTAAAGGATGAAGCTGGTGGCTTGGCTGAAGGGACGGGCGGTGACAGAGATGACGTCATACTGCTACGGTCCACTGTCCCAGAGTCCGGCGCGCCATCCTTCCCCTTTGTCACAAAGGTAGGTAAAAGTCCAAACTGGTTCTTCATCTCTCTCTTGGATTAGACCAGGAAAAGGAGTCTTGATATGCCCGGAGTTCCATCCAGCCGCGGTTGCGATGCGTGTCGTAAGGTGAAAAAGAAGGTCTGGATCCCAAAAACTACATGGGCCTAGATACTATGTTTTCGTTATAAATCCACTCACAGAGACCAGTGTGATCAACGCCAACCAACATGTTCACGCTGCGCGCGTTTGAAAATATCCTGTGTCGGGGGAGGACAGCAGCGATATATGTTCAAGAACCAATCCATTCCGGCGATGCAAAAACAGAGTCAATCCGCCCGTCGGCAATCATCTCTCTCCTGAGAAAGGAGCATTATTGATAGGGCGACCGACACGGATATCTAATACCGACACAGAAACTTTGGGAGCAGCCTTCGTGGCAGCCTTTGAGGTGACCGATATCCGGTATGCCGTCGCCTACTATGGACCTTTCCTCCGCGAAATTCCACGGCGATTAGGCAATAGTACAGTACTGGATGCAGCCGTCCGAGCCTTGTCAACCGCTTATCCGTTCTTTCACAAGGGATCTTACCCACCGGTTGTACTCGGTCTCTATGGTCAATCGCTGCGGGCACTGAGAGAGTGCTTGAATAATCCAGTTGAAGCCCAAACGCCCAATACATTGTGTGCGCTATACTTAATAACAATCTGCCAGGTAACGACTCTCCATACTTAATCCAAGATGATTTAATCCCCGAAAGATATATGATCAGGCAACATCAGTTGATTAACACCGGCAACAAGAGCTGGCTAGGAAAATACGATGCGTCTGTCACTGGGCATAGTGAGGCTATCGCTCACCTGCTCAAAGCGTCGGCAGTACACCAGTGGAATAGCACTTTCGAAATGGAGATGGTTATCACACTATGTGTGCCCATAGTATGTATGATTTGTTTGAAGATAAAGACATGGCGCCACTGAGATTATGGACAAATGACGAATGAAACAGATTCTCGAAGGGATGGTCAACCCACAAATTCAAATGCCCTTGGAGTTCTGGGACCTGATCTCGTCGTTCCAATCTCGTCTTTCTGCGTCGCGAGCGAACAATCAACGAGGAACAACTACCAAGCTACGTCATCTTGCCATGTTTCCTGTGTTCATCCAAACCCCCGAGACTTATATTTTCGAAATTGCGAAGACATATACACAACTTAAGACAGATAGATGCGCAACAGATCAAACAGCGCCTCGCTCAATGTGCGGAACCTGCCCCGGTATCATTCTCCTCCTTAGCCGCGACGAGGCATTCTCGTCTTCAAGCAGCCTATGCCATCCTCTCTACTTTGGCTGTGATGTTGAATAGTCTTCTTAGAATCTTTGATCCTGGCAACGGTGCTTTGATGAGCGAGGCTGTCTTTTTCTGTGACGAGATTACGATGCAAGCCGAGCTGGCATCTAGCTACCGGCCCGTGGGATCAGCGTACGTTCCTTTATGCCTAGTTGTTGCTTGGGCTGCATCAGAAAATTTGGTTCAATCGGCGAGGATAGAGGCGATATTGGGGGAATATCAAACAGATTTCGCAGACATCCCTTGGATCAGCCGTGCCATTTGGTTGGCTTCTACCTTGGACAGCCACCGCATACGAGTCATATCTGGGAGGCAGTGTGAGCAATATCTTCAAGACACAGTATCACCGACCGCCACGAGATATGGCCTTGGTACTAGGAAAAAGGGGCATTCAGTGCGCCCTTAGTCTTGCTGCATTCTTTAAGGCCATATAAGAGAAGAGATTTTGCCTTGATTGGATATGACTTGGGTGGATTTTAAGCTGCACATAAGAAGCTAGAATATCACCGTATGGATAGTCCGTCGTCCCGCTGGGATTAATTTGATTTCATAACTAATACCTAACCTGGGCAGGCTCTTTTGGTGACGTATAAGGAGCTGAAACGTGAAGTTGCTAACAGGTCATTTTCGTCTCTGTTATGCATCTCAGTCTCAAGTGGACAACGTTGGAATGTTTCGGACAATTCCTACCTGAATGGATACTCTCTCCAAACGGCATATTGAATATCATTACAAGGGATGTCTCCAGCTACCCAACGCAGAGGAAAGGAGGAAGGGGACACCAGCGTGATTGGTGACGTGTAGATTATCACGATCTTAGCCGTTATTCTCAGCGGAGCCAATACTCTCGACTCGAATGCCCAATTTGGTCATCTTCTTAGTGTCAATGATACACCGTCCATCAAATAACCATTTCGGGGGTTCCATGTTTTTCACGATGCGCTCCCAGTTAATTCTCTTCTTGGGGAAATTATCGGTGAGAGTAGACAATGAAGTATCCCTATTGTTCTCTCTCTGGCAGTCTATACAATCAGCGGCGCAACTCGGCTCAATACGAAACCTTTCTTCAATGGATCCATCAGAGGCAGGCTCTCTCATGGTACCGGCTCCAGAGAGGGTTTCTTGCCGAGCATGGCTATTGGGAACAGCACTCAATGGTATAGAATCTGCGTTGAGATCGGAGGGACAAGGGAAACAGACCGGATCGGTATTTTGGAACTCATCAAACTCGGTGACTATGAGTATCGCATTGGATGACGCACATGCTTCATAGACATCCGAGTAGCATTTCACAGCGCCACCATCATCCCCGAGGGTAGGAGACCCATATCCAGATAGCTGGCGGATCTCACTTTCAATAATATAAGGATTGCAGCACGGATCGAAGATGGCGATTTCACCAGGATTTTCATCAAGCAATGTCTTGATTATCTCAAGTGCAGGTGTTTCGCGAGTGTCCGATGTGTTTTTCTTGAATGCATATCCTAGTAGGGTAATCTTTTTACAGACCAAAGTATTGTCCAGGGACCTGATGACACGGCTGGTGAATCGGTTGCGCTGGTATTCATTCATTATCACCACCTGGCGCCAGTATTTCCCAACTTCCTTGAGCCCCAAGGATTCCGCAAGATACACGAGGCTGAGGACATCCTTCTTGAAGCAGCTGCCACCGAACCCAATGCCTGCGCGGAGAAATTTCTCACCGATTCGGTGATCCATACCGATCGAAGTGGACACCTCATTGATCTGGGCCCCAGTGGCCTCGCAGATCGCAGAAATGCTGTTAATGCTACTCAGTCGCTGGGCCAACATAGAATTAGCGACGAGTTTTGCCAGTTCTGAGGACCAAATATTGGTAGTGATGATGCGGGCCCGGTCGACCCAACCAGCATACATGCTAGCTAGTATCTCTGCAGCGTTTTGTCCATCCGTGGTTGTTGCAGATCCTATGATGACTCGGTCCGGATTTAAAAGGTCTTGAATCGCAGTCCCGGCTGCGAGGAACTCGGGGTTGGACAGGATTTCAAACTGCGCTCCGGGTCGACGAACAGCAATCTGCACACAAAGGGTCAGCGTGGCCTCGTAATCAAATGGAGGGATGTAACATGCCATCTCCTGGACCATTTGGGCTGTTCTACACGGAACTGTGGACTTCTCCACGATGATCGAGCCACTTCTTGCATGTTGCACAACATCTGCAGCTACCGCCTGGTAAGCAGTCATGTCTGTTGCACTGCCTGCACCTGAGCCTCGAATTTTGGTGGGAGTATTGACGGCAATGATGACAATGTCTGATTCACGAATGAATCTGGACACATTGGTGGAGAAGAACAAGTTTGGTCTTCTATAAATACTCTTCTCTGCAGGTTCTTTGTGGGCTTGGGCCTCGAACGTTAGTGACGGTGGCTCATCACTTGTCGCCATCAGAAATCCATCGCGTGCAATCCGAACAATTTCAGCAAGGCCAGGCTCGTAGATGGGGAGATGTCTGGAGTTCCATTTTCGAATCCGGCGCTCATCTTTGTCAACAACGTTGACTTGAATATGCGGATTCTTTAGTGCGATGACAGCGGCAGTTGGACCACCTATTGAAGACGATGTAGGTTAATTTATTGCGAGCCAGGAGATGCAATATTCACGATATGCTTCCACATACCGACATACCCTGCGCCCACGCAGCAGATGCTTCGGATTGGGCCTGCAGCAGCTCGAGATTTTGGATCGATATCCTCCTCCACGGTGGTACTGATGCTGCTTGACTCCGTATTGAGCTGGTGTGCGCCGCCATTCAGGCTTTGCTCCGGTGTTGTTGGCACACTTGCAGGTCCCACTGAAGGGACGGACTCGGAGTCAGTTTCGGTACTCGTAGTCGGAGACATACTCTTGGAGTAAGGATGGTATTCAAGGACCAGAGTGTAGATGATCATGGCAAACAGGTCGAATCATAGATGGGCAGTGATTTATCTGAGGCCGACAAATGCTAACTTGGCGGCGCCTGAAGATCTTTTCAGGGATGGTTCGCTGTCGCTATTTTTGACTTCTTGAATCATTTAAAGGAAACACTCGGAGGTAAAAAAGAAGGAAAGAAGAGAAAAAAAGGAGGTGAATTTTGACCTCCAGAGGCAGTTTCATAACTACATCCTAGGAACAGGTACTGCTAGTATACTCCACACTTTGAGGATCAGCCATCAAATGACAATTCTTCTAGACGCCGAAGTCATCTGCATGCAGCACTACGGAGTACGGAGTAGAAACTCGTTACTTACCTAGTCTCTTGGTCATAAATGTTGAAATTCCAACTGTCATCGAACGTTACGCATGTCGCCATGCTGTTGAACCGCCCCTACCGGGCATCCTCCGCATACACACGTAATCCGTGTTGATCGTTATGGATTGTGTCACTCATTCTTGCGTACATGTACACATAGACACACGGGGTGCCGGCTGCCTTTCCCCAACCGTGACGCCATCTCCCATCTGAAGCCAGTCTCAAGGCTGAGCTGGAAAGATAGGCCTCCACATCCGACCTGCCAAGATCTTGCCATTTACCATGGATGGATTGCTTTCGGGAAATCAGACTCAAAGACGTATTAACCCGGTTATATGTGTCTTCTTGCTACCTAGCTATCCGGTGTATCGAGCAATTACCATATCGAACCTCAAAGCAAATACAAAATCCTACATCTACACCCTAGTGAACTGGGCACCTGCGACGAATGTCAGGTCGCCGATCGCACATGTGCCTTTCTAGGTGCCCAGGTAGCATATACAGTGTATGATTGTCTGTCTATCTGCCGTTTGGTTTCCGCATTGAAAAGAAATCACTTTGTATCGTATTTTGGAACATCCACAAACACCAGATAGAGATTGAGTGACGAACGTTCGTCTGCCTGAACACTTTGATAACCCCGATGATAGCAAAGTCCCTGTCTTACACATGCCCTTGGATAGAAGTTGAATTGAGTGGAGTGCAAACCAATAGAACCTTTTTCCAACATGGGAAGTAAAGCGAGGTGCTGTGCGGATCTTGAATGGGCAATTGTGGTGGATCCTTGGATGCAACTGCATTCACGTCCGGGTGGTGCTGGGGTTGTACCAATACGATGAAATGAGCAAGGATGCAGATGGCGATCTGACTCGAAAGCAATTACTGGGCACTAGAAAAACCAGGCCTAAGCAGGGTTGTACGAGAATGGATCGGTTTCTGTAATGATAGTCAAATTATGATCTAGCCTCTAGGTAGCTAAGAAGAAAGAAGCAAGAGTCATTCCCTAATTCTGCCCGTTTTCCCCGCCTGGGCCGGGCTAAAGTTGATCCTGACAGATGGGTCGCGACAACGAGATACTGAGAATGTGGTCCGTACACCTTCAATGTCCAACCCCCCTGTTTCTCGGACCTGCCGGTTGTTCAAGCACCTCCAATTGGGTGCGATCGCGTGACTTGTGTGGTTTTGATTCATTTTGAAGGGCTTGAGATCTCATATTCACGAAGGCTGTGATGGTCCTGGTGCCGGCGTCTTGGATATCACAGTAATCCTTTTCTCAGACTCAAGCTCTGCGCTGCTAAAAAGCACACAGCCAAGTGTCACAATGAAATCACCTGTTGCGTTGAAGAGATCCACCGTGAAATCTTGAAACACCGATATTCCAATGGCTAGAGTGCCGCCCTGCTTGAGGTTCCCACAAACCGATATCGTCAGGGCGCCAGCTGGCTTATTTGTTTGGAGGGAGAAGATATTCAAAAACCTTGCTATTAGACCATTTCAAAGAAGGAATATGACCGTGGCTACGGTAGCTAGGATCGAGGACTCTGATGCACGCTGAGAGATTGTATCTGCGAATGACAAAAGCTCTCCAGAGATTACCGCAATCATAAAGGATTGGATCAATGCCAATGGTTATCCGATCACATGCAATAAGGGTATAAATGCTGCTGGTGCATAAGTCGATGTTGATGGCCAGTGGCTAACTTGGCGAGAGCTACGTCAACCACTCCACGATGAGATTTTTGAGGAAGTGTGAGACTTGCCTGTCCATACCCAGGTCTCAGTGATGTGAATTTCAATTCTTAAATTCATTGGCTTCATGGCTAATAGTCTGCGATTATAGTCCCTCTCAGATTGCCCACTCAGTTTGTCGAAGCCCAGAGTCATGTAGTATGACTTCAATCCCCAGAGGCCCATTTATCAATTAAAAGTCACTATGTACAAATAACCTGGCACGAATACTGTGATTAACAACGCAAAATCAGAAATAGAATCTCGATCGAAATATAATGCCGAATAACCTTACCAAGACCCGGTATTCAGTAGATCAATCTGTGCCATCGATCTTTTGTGGCCTTCTCATGGATTTCCATTGCACAAGCCCAGCTCCAATGAAAGAAAGTATGGCTGCAGCCACGGACACGTAAAATGTCTGGGTAACCGCAATATTGTAAGCTTTGAGTACAGATGGGAGTATCTCTTTGGATACGCGCAGCGACAAATTCGTGGCCCCGGCTTTTGTCAACGCCTCGGGGTTGACCTTGGGTGCATTAGCGGCAATGCTGGCCACAAGTCGATTCTCGAACACTGTTTGGGCAATCGAGATAAACATTGCACCACTCAGGCTCTGTGCAAAGGTGATGATCGCGATCCCGACTGGTATATCTTGTAATGGAAGCACAGTCTGCAGTGCGTTGATGCATTGCTGAAAGCCGAGTCCTGCCCCGATCCCTAGAATCACTTGATATCCAATCCATTGTGGATACCCACTGTTCACATCGAGAGATGTGCACAGCCCAGAGCCAATTGTGAGAAATGCACTTCCGATGAACATCAATGGTGTGTAGTAACCAACGAGATTGACAAGAAGCCCACCAAGGGCAGAGCAAACAATCATAGACACGACCATGGGAAGATTATTGATCCCAGATTGAGCAGCGGAGGTCTCCTTGACTGCTTGAAACCAGATCGGAAGCTGAGATACTGGTCAGAACTGAAGCGGAACCAATGATTTGGTGAAACTCACGTAGTATCCAAAGACAAAAAAGGAGCCACCTAGGAATGTAGCGTGAATAACTGCCCCGAGAACGTTGCGATTCTTAAGCAGGCGAGGTGGTACGGTGGCCTCATCTTGCTTCCAAAGCTGTATGCCACACCACGCACAACTAAATATGCCAAAAAGAACAAACAGAGCAATGATTCGAGCGTTGTCCCAGTTGTATCGAGTGCCGCCCCATTGCAAACACAGCAAAAGAGAGACAATGGCAGGAATAAATACCAGGATCCCGAAAGGATCCATCCGTTTGATTTGTGCGAGGCGACTTAGTTTCGGTTTTGGCGTCGTTGGGTCTTTGAAAAATAGCACAATAACCAGCCCGGTAATGACACCGAAAGGGAGGTTGATCCAGAAGCACCATCTCCAACTGACATGATCAGTCAATAGTCCTCCCAGTCTTTGATTTCATTAGCCCAGAAAACAGATAATCATAACTAATGGTGCTTACAGGGGTCCTGTGATCGTCGCAATGCCACTTATGCTACCGATAATCCCGAAATACAGTGCACGTCTGTTAAGGGGGACGCTGTTCGCGAGTACTAGGAGAGCACCTGGCGACAACCCCCCGATCCAATTCCGGCAATTGCTCGTCCTAAGATGAGTCCTTTGGATGAGGGTGTCACTGCACAGATCAGGGACCCAATTTCAAACAATGCAAGAGCGATTATATATGTCCACTTGGTAGAATAATATGAGTATATCTTGCCAAATGGTAGTGTGACGGCACATGTCGTTAGAAGATAAGCACTGGCATACCACGACAGGTCGCCGAGTGAGTTGAACTGCTCTGTAATCTTAGGAACGGCCGTTGATAGAATGGTGTTATCCTGGTAAGTCGTCTGTATTAGCACATGAAACAACATGAAACGGTTGAAGCTTACCAGAGCGATACAAAACGATTGAAAGCAAAGTCCTATCAGAATCGGCGCCAGCTTTGAGCCTGGTGGATAACTTTGCTTGTCAACGTCACAGTCCTCTGTTCCAGTCTCTTTCAGTGGGATGTCATCTCGATCTCTGAATTCTTCATCCCGGGAGTATCTCATACTCGAATCATCTGCCATGAAACTGAAGGTCAATTTTCCGAGCTGTTCTTGTAACAGCGGAAGGTCTTCAAAACCTATCTCTTGGAATCATTCACACTGAGCGGTAGAATGGAGTGATCGTGGGAAGCACAAAGTACAAAAGTCCGGCCTATTGAATTCGGGGATGTACGGTACCTTTCTTTTCCCATGGGATATCACGATACATTACATCAGATGGCTGTGACCTGATAAAGTATGCAAGGGGCCTATACCTCCATTGGGTCTCGGGGGTTTTCACTTCAACAGAGTTACATTCTTTCCAGGTTAATCGGTATGTGGTCGGTTTCTCCCATCAGGATAGGTTTGTTACCCGGAGAGCTGATATGGATTTGACGAGCGAACGTGGATTGCATTGAGGAACTTCTTGATCGTCAGATCTTTAATAGAATAATGTTGTGTTGACTGCATGGTGTCAGATACTGTGCATTCCTCTAGAGGCCGATCACTCCCGAGCTGTGCAATCTTGGGACCCTGCATTCCAGCGAAATTGCAACCTCATTAAGTATTGATCCATTCTATGTACAATGTCCACTGTACGAAGTAGACTTGAATCAATCTATTCCATACGGAGGACGGAGTAATGCTAAAGTAGTCGAAAAGCCCTACCGAAAACTACATCATCGACAGATCAGCAGGCCACATGATATCAACGTAATATTGTGAGTTACTTTTGCAGAATCCCTCCATCCTGCTTGATGATGGTGTACTCCTCCTCGGTAAATTCGAGTTTCCAATTGTTGCCACTGAACAGCTGTCTTATCGTTTGTTCTTCCACTAACCTCTCATGGCCGGTCACAAACGTCACATTTATACCCATTGACTTCACTGCTAGAGACTGATGTACGACTTCTTCCAGGCTGTGTGACCAACCGCCTGGCGTGAAACGTTGTAAAGCACCGTCTTGAACTGGTATGAACACCAATCTACCCCCTGTTGACTATGATCATGAATCGCGTTTCATGAATTTGGACACTCAGTTCAATCGACTCCGACCACGTAAAGATATTAATCTTCAACAAATCTATATAGCGCGAGCTTGTTATTGGGGAGAATATCCCGTGGCTCTTTGTGGAGCACTAGTCCACCCTACCGAAGAGAAATAGCCCTGAAATCATCAAACGGACATACTCGCGCAATCTTGATCCAGATATAGATGGGTTCTCCGTAATTCGTACATCGTAAATCATCCGAGGAATGCAGATAGGTCCGTGCCCTGGTGGATACACAATAGGGCTACTAAATATCAATCCCCTTGTACCTTGGTCCAATGCGTGTAGATCACCGTGGGCAAGTAGTTCATCTATCATTTCCGTGCATGTTGGGAATGCAATATCGAGTATCTTGCAAGTTCAAGAACTGCCCCAGATCCCACTGGTTTGCTCTGATAAGACCTTCGGGACTTTTTTCAGCTGCGAAGTAGCAAAAGGCGAATGAATCACACCATTGATCAACAACGCAGTCAAGTATCTGAGCCAAGCCGGTTATGCGTACAAAGGTATGATGAAACAATCTTAAGCCGCTCCTATCGGTTGAAATTTTCTTCAATATGTTCGAGATGATCGATAATACTACCGTCACCCATATCCATTCCCCGTCTAGTATCAGGGTAGATGTATAGGACCAGTGTTGTGGTTGGGGGCTTCCTTAGACCATAGTTCACTAGGAATATACTACTACATACATTAATGGATATTTGGCGAGGCTACTATATCGTTAAGCATATATGAGACTTGAATAAACACATAGGTCAAATATATCAATATCCTTCGCATTCTTGATCTTTTAGGCTGACACCTCGAACTCTATCAAACTTGCTTGAATTCTGCATATGCAAAATCAGCGGGGATCAGGCATCGCTGGCGCTCTCCGAATGCATATAAACCCATCATGATTCCAGTAAAGTTAGCCCCGACTGGAGGTGCTACCGTAGCCGCACTATTTGAGACAGATCCAACCCATTGAATATCACATTCTGTGTCTTCACGGTAGCCAAATCGGTATTCAGCGCCACAGTTAATTATAAGAATAACATCAGCTTTGGTTCCCAGTCTATGTTCCACAGGATTCCCTTCAGAGGGCCGAAAAAGGATAAAACGGCCCTTGTTGTCCTTGCGGATACCGATAGTGCTGTATGTGAAATAATTTGTCCACATTACAGTGCCAGCTTCAGTTAGGTCTGTCGTAGGTTGAAAGGAGACCCTTGTTTCCCACCGGCAGATACGGTGGGTTTGTTTGCGAAGAAACATGGTTGGGCAGGCTGGCACTGACAAGTTATAGGGTCCACCATAAAGGCGAAGGTGATTAGGGCGCTCAGTGAGCGAGTAGTCGTTGACGAAGGGAGTATCTAGCGGCAAGTTAGATCAATTCAGATTACCTAGTCCAGGTTCGGTGCTCACTTTTTCGATACCATCCGAGCTGCATTTCGGTATCTGCGAACTCGTCTCTCCAGGCGATCTTAGGTTGAAACCGATAAAGACCAGGCCCTTCCGATTGGAGGCAGATTTTCTGTCCACGATTTATCACGGGCCAATTATCTTTCCATTTCAACGGCAGTAAAAACGTCTCGCGGCCTAATATAATTAGCAAAATAACGGAACAAAGTAAAGACCCTACCTAGCACTGAATCCTCCCACTTTTCGCCGCGTCGAGTTGGACGGACTCCAAGCATAACTGCCCACCAGTTACCTTTGCCGTCTTCGACGAAGTCCGCATGCCCAGTGTTTTGCACTTCGTCTTCGGCGCCATTGCGCCAAAGAGGATTATTTGGCCCTAGCTCCCACGGTCCTAAGGGACCAACATCACTGCGATTCACCCATTCGCTATGGCCACTTTCCGTCCCTCCTTCTGCAGTAAACAAATACCAATAACGGCCTCGCTTTATGATGCGTGAGCCCTCGGCGACACCAGAAGGGGATTCGCGAATCAACTTAGGCTCGGAAGTCGAATGTCCGGTGGTCAGATCCACAGTACATATATGAACTGCAAAGTCTTTCAGTTGAGCGCCTATAGTAGGCTTGATCTTTCTGTATGTGGATGACAGATAAACGGTTTCATCCTCGTCCCAAAAAAAGCTAGAACACTCAATCGTCATGTCTTTGGCCTGCAGAATTTAGGACCCAAACTCACATCTTGATCAAACCCAATTTGGTCAAAGAAAATCGGGGCAGACCATGTGGTTTGATCCCATATATTGGTAGTTTTCACATAAAATCCATGCGGCCAGACTCGATCGTCCTGTTGTGGCCGGTAACGCTGAAAGCTCGCTGCCATGATATAGAAAGTTCCAGCATGGTTGCGAATCGTGGCTGCCCAGACACCTCCTCCTGGTTCTGGGGTATGAATCTGCAGCTGACTGGGTCGCGTCAACGCATGGCCGATCAGATTCCATTGAATCAAATCACGGCTATGATATATGGGAATGCCAGGAAAGTATTCAAACGTGGAAGTGACTAAGAAAAAGTCTTCGTCGACACGTATAATGGATGGGTCGGGATTGAACCCCGGGATGATTGGATTGTTGTAACTCATTCCAGCTGGAAGATGTGGACTTCATAGATGGTCGTTGGGCTGATTTATAAGTGGAATGAATATATCCTGATTGGTGGATAAACAGCACCCGTAAGCTCAAATCAGTGGCTTAATTTCGCATTGTATTCTGCGCCGGACAATAGGAGGCAAATGATTTCATCGAGCAGGGTTGCTTTGCAGTTGATGTAGTCCGATGTATATAGACACTCTTCTTACAATGTGTCACTCATTTAGAATACAAGTCATCGGGGCAAGTTGAGTTCTGGTCAACCAGCCTCAGCTTACCCTGTCTCTCGTTATATAGCCCTGGAGTTGTCCCCTCGCCTCAATCCGGCAAAGCGGGCTTTTAATACGCCAAGGGGGCCTCTCCGCATCCCGGACGCAATGAATGGAGATGATGTTCGGTGGCCTTTTACGTTAACACTTTTCTGGTTAAGTATTCCCATATTTGCATACTCTCTCACTGCGCGCTGATCCAAAATGACTACTACTTATGAGGTTCAAGCATCGCGCGATGCGGATTTGATCGCCCTGGAGGCCTTGTCTCATGGCCAGTCGCCCACAGGTTTATCTTTAGAAGCGCCCGAAACTTCTCCATCGATAGAACGGTGGAACCAGCCTCGCATCAATATTTATAGGACCTTTGCCACGTTCTGGTCTTTCCTGGTAATGGGTGCGAATGATGCGGCCTATGGGGTAAGTCGATATCTCAACAGAGACACGGTAGGGGGTACAAATGGGGTTCTTGCTGATTGATTCCAGGCTTTGATTCCATATGTAAGGTGAAATCTCATCAATCGAAGGCATTCTCTCTCATCCAGCATCCAGCTAGAATCATATTATGACCTATCATACACGATTGTCTCTCTCGTGTTTTTGTCACCTTTAGTAGGTTATACAGCTGCTGCTTTCCTGAATCACCGTATCCACTATACGTTCGGTCAGCGTGGCGTGGCCATCATTGGCCCAACGTGCCATCTGATTGCCTATATCATCAACTGCATTCATCCGCCATATCCCGCACTAGTGGTCTCATTCATCTTCGCAGGTTTAGGAAATGGTCTAGAAGATGCTGCATGGAATGCATGGATTGGTAATATGGCCAATGCCAATGAGCTGTTGGGAGTGCTGCATGGGATCTATGGAGCCGGTGCAGTTATGAGTCCGTTAGTCGCCACATCAATGATCACCAAGGGTGGCTTATCTTGGTATTACTTTTATTATGTCATGGTAAGTGCCTGCAGGACCCAAACCTTCGTTCATGAAGTAATAGTTAGGTGGGGTGTGCCGTCATCGAGTTGGGACTTTCTAGTGCATGCTTCTGGAAATCCATCGCCGCTGATTTCCGCGCGTCCAACGCGCTATCAGCCCACGATGATAAGAAAGGTGGGTTGAGAGTTGCGCTGTTCGCGCGCCCGGCCGCCCGTGTGACATGGCTCTGCGCCTTATTTTTGCTAGGGTATGTCGGGGTCGAGGTCGCACTCGGAGGATGGATTGTTACTTTTATGATCCGAGTCCGGCATGGTAGCGCTTTTGCGAGCGGTATGACGGCCACTGGGTTCTGGTTGGGTATCACGGTGGGACGGGTGATTCTGGGGTTTGTGACCCCCCGCGTGGGCGAGAAAGTCGCCGTCTCGGTGAGCATTGTCATGGTTCGCGAGCGAGTGGAAACTAATTTCTCCCAGGGCTACATTGTTGCATCCATGGCGTTTGCTTTGGTCCTGTGGTTAGTTCCCCAGTTCTATGCCTCAGCCGTGGCAGTATCCCTGCAAGGCTTTTTCCTGGGTCCTCTTTTCCCCGGTGCAGTTGTGATGGTCACCAAGCTTCTTCCTCGGCACCTTCATGTCACCTCGATCGGGTTTGTCGCTGCCTTTGGTGGCAGTGGGGCTGCAATTCTCCCATTTGCGGTCGGCGTGCTGGCACAAGCCAAGGGAGTCAAAGTGTTGCAGCCATTCATCATTGCCTTGTCCGGTGCCATACTCGTCACGTGGCTGGGGTTGCCACGGGTGTCCAAGATCAGGAATGAGTAGACATGTGTGAAGAGAGGTGCACGAGCAGTCCACGAGCATATGTTGGTAACATGTGACAATGAGTCGAGGCCTGTTTCTTATCAGATCCGATTCTTTATCGGCTCTGTTGTCTCTCCCGAGTGTGCGTCCGCAGTACGAGTCCGCAGTACGTACTCCGTACCATGTGTTAGGGTGTACTCCGTACTCCGAACTTTGGATATTCGCATAAAGGGGCAGAATCCACCTGGCTTTCACGTGAAGGATTGACATTTGGTTTTCGTTCCTTTCCCTTTTCCTGCCGGAGATTCAACTGCGTGATCAGAGTTCCCGAGACATATCATTCAGGTCGTCTCGGTCCCCATGTGCCAGCATAGCTAAAGATGCCTAGAACCTGTAATACTGTGTAAGCTTTCAAGGCCAAGACAAATCCCCATTCAAACCGAGGTCATTTTTCCAGCCCACCATGCCCCTCGGGGGACTCCATATGTAGGTATAACGCCGATCACGGGATGGAATTGAGCTCATTTACCCGATCGTCGGGGGAAGTGTCCCTTGATCTCGGGATTTGTCACTCCGTCAACCCGAATAGCGTGTTGGTTGACTCCCCCCGCTTCCCCATATCAAACCCGTAGAATCCAATGTGCGGGGTGACTGATCTCCACGAATTGGACGAATTGGCTAAAATGACATATCGATGTACCCCGTAGTCCAAAGTGGCCAACCGAGCGTAAAAGGGCGAACGGAGGGATCGGGAGCGTCGGACTTGGAAACCTCGAGATCCATCGCACTTTCCTGATTGGCCGCCGGGTTAAGCCGAGGCTCTTTCCGTTTTGAGTGGTCCTCGGCCTGGAACCCCAGCGTTCCCCAAGTTTCACACTTCATAACCATTCACCTTCCCTTTCGATTTTCCTGCTTTCTCACGGTATATCGCTTCCGTTTTGCTTCACAATGCCAACCCCTCCTCCTGATTGGGTCAAGGCCCTGAAGCCTGCCGGTCCACAAGGATCCGAGCTCCTCCAGCAGGAGCGTGCTCAGTCGAATGTCAACGTTGAAAGACTGTCCGAGTTGCTCCACACCAAAGAAGCCTTGGAGAGGCAAAAGTCTCTTCTCGCCTTGTTGGAACCGGAAAAGGTATTCGATAAGTCTCAAAATCATACCTTGGGCCGCGTCGAACGCCTGCAACGATCCCTGGGCAAGGCCAAGCGCCTCCAACAGCTCGCAGAACAGCACAAATGGTCCATGGAAGAGCTCCATGCAGCCAATGAATTGATTGGGGAACCTACTCCTTACGGCTTGCACGCCAGCATGTTCTTGGTAAGTGGATTTGACCCCGGAGGGTGAAGGATGATCTCTAACCGCTTTAATTATTACGTAGGTGACACTTCGAGAACAAGGCACCCCCGAGCAGCATAAACTGTTCCTTGAACGCGCACAAAAATACGAGATCATTGGTTGCTATGCTCAAACGGAACTGGGCCACGGATCGAACGTGCGCGGATTGGAAACCACGGCGATCTGGAACTCGGACGATAAGACATTCACCATCAACTCTCCAACATTGACTTCCTCAAAGTGGTGGATCGGATCTCTTGGTCGCACAGCCAATCATGCCGTAGTCATGGCTCAGCTATATATTGATGGCAAGAACTATGGCCCTCACCCATTCGTCGTACAGGTCCGAGATCTTCAAACCCATCAGCCATTGGAGAATGTCTATGTCGGTGACATTGGCCCCAAGTTTGGCTACAAGTGAGTCTTTACACACTATTGGCTTTCTCTCATGACTAATAGGGGGTTTAGCACCATGGATAACGGCTTCCTACTGTTCAACAATGTCAAGATACCACATATTAATATGCTGGCCCGCTTCTCTCGAATCGACAAGGACACCAACCATTACGCTAAGCCTGCTATGCCGTCCCTTGTTTTCGGTACTTTGACATGGGTGCGGTCCAATATTGTCCTGCAGGCTGGTGGAGTGCTGGCGCGCGGTGTCACCATTGCGACCCGGTACTGTGCCGTTCGAAGACAGTTCCAGGATCGCGATGCCGATGCACACGCAGGTGAGAATCAAGTCCTGAATTATAAGATGGTACAGATCCGATTACTACCTCTGCTGGCATCTATGTACGCTCTTCACTTCACCGGTCGCGGTATGATGCGCCTGTATGAAGAGAATCAAAGCCGCATGAAGGCAGCCAACTCGCCCGGGCAGGACTCACGGGGCGCGGGACCCGAAGAACTCCGCGCCGGTGCTAACCTGCTGGCTGATTTGCACGCCACCTCCTGCGGCCTCAAGGCCCTGGCTAGTACCACTGCCGGCGAAGGATTGGAGATCTGCCGCCGTGCATGTGGTGGTCATGGATACAGTAGCTACAGCGGTATCGGCCCGTGGTATTCGGATTATCTGCCCACACTAACCTGGGAGGGTGATAACTATATGTTAACCCAACAGGTCGCACGTTACGTATGTCACCATTTACCCCCCATTCCCATCATTCAATACTAACAGCCCGACTACAGCTTCTCAAATCTGCCCGCGCTGTTCTTGCTGGCAAGCCAGCCGGTAACGACACTAGTCAGATCCTCCAAGCATACCTTGACCGACGGGACAAGGGAGCTTCATTCGATGTGCTTGAGGAAGACAAAGACATCGTGGCTGCCTTTGCCTGGCGCACCGCTCACCTGACATTCGAGGCTTTGAAGCACCGGGACGCTGAGCAGCGATCCTGGAACAGTCTTCTGGTTGACTTCTGGCGGTTATCCACAGCCCATTCTCAGTACCTCGTAGTGAAGAACTTCTACGAGGCTGTTTCATCTCCCCAACTCTCTGCAGCTTTGGATCCAGAGACGAAGACTCTCATGCACCACTTATTCCGACTTTTCTCGCTGCACACGCTGGAACGCGAAGCAGCTGAGTTCTTTTCCTCTGGCGCTGTGACCGTGCGCCAGATCACCCTGACCCGAACTACGGCGGTGATGAAGTTGCTTGATGAGATCCGTCCCCATGCTGTCCGATTGGTCGATGCTTGGGCCATTCCGGACTGGCAGCTGGACAGCAGTCTCGGTCGTTATGATGGCAAGGTCTATGAGGATCTGTTCCGTCGGGCGAGCGAGGAGAACCCCGTCAACGACTTGGTATTTGACCCGTACCCATGGAACTCCGCATTGCTCAAGAATGAGCCGCCCAAGAGTAAGCTGTAAACTCGTCTTCCACATACTTTTTGGGTCTTATGTATTTGTTACATTTATTCGATTCAGAACATACATTTCTAGCTAGATCATAGAGAACGGATTATATCTCTTTTTTCATCCAAAAATTCGCCCGAAGCAGATAAACTCCACCACTTAACAGTATGTAGCATATCATAGCATCAATGTCAGCTGGCTCCTTCGCTGGTTCAATTGAGGTTGGCTGGTAAGCGGATATTCTTGGTCCTCGTTACGCATTGATGATTGCCTCCGTATCTGGATCGGCGGTGCCATGATTCAATTTGCAAAAGAGACCGACTACGGGCACACTGCTTTTACTACGGGCACACTATTGACTAACCCGTTTTAGGATATTTCCCGCTGGCCATAATTTATTCATAGGCTATCGTATTTAATATGGTACTCCCTTAGTATTTTAGATAGTACCCGAATCTTATCTAGGTACCCTATCGCGAATGTAGAATCTTATACGCTATTAGGACCGGCGTACTAGCGGGTCCTGACAGGTAATATAGCACTAGAGTGAAGGAATAGCAGGGTGCTAGTATATTCATAAACTAATCGCTAAAGAGCTAAGTTCCCCTAGTAGTCTCTATAGGGATAACCTCTAGCGGGTCATAGGACTAGGTCACCTAACTTATTAATTAGTAGTAAAGAGTAACGGTTTTTAATAGTAATTATATTTAACTCTTTATAGTCTATATAAAGCCTAAACTTACTATCTTTCTTTAGTATAAAAAGGATAGATACGCTTAATTAACTCTTTAAATATTAGATCTAGCCTTTTTTAAGATTCTCTTTAATATACTAACGGAGGACTTTTAGCTCTTTAGTAGATAGTATATATATTAGCCTTTAAAAGAATATCTTACTTAGTATTAGCTTAATTATATAATTATATTCTATATAGATTAGAAAGACTATAGTACTTTTTCTATTTATTATAATAACTAGATCTTAGTATTCTAGTAAGAGTTTAGTTAAAGATTATACTAGATAAGAGATTCTATCTAAACTTTATATTACTCTTAGTATTACTATAAACTCTTTAGTAACTATATTAATATCTAAATATAGTTCTCTAAATATATCTTATAGATTTACTTTTTCTTTAAAGTTTTTTAATAAAAAGATTTTAATATCTAATAGAGCTATATTTCTATATATTTATTTATTAGTTACTTAATTAATATCTAGATTTATTAGTCTAAGCTAATCTATTTCTAAGATTATATTATAGATTTTTATATCTATAGTTTTATAGATTATTTTAATAATTTTATAGATTCTATTCTAATCTATTAGGCTAAGCTATAGTTCTTAGTTTTTATATAAAGAGATTTTATACTTATCTATAATTTCTACTAAGTAAATATTTATTATATATATCTCTTTTAGATTCTTTTTTACTTATTTTTAGTTTATAAAGCTCTAAGTTATACTATTATCTATTAGTATCTTAACTATTTTTATTAAGACTCTAATCTTAATATTTAATATTAGTATATTATAAATAAATATTTAGTATACTCTTTTATATTCTTTAAAGAGAATTATCTCTAATACTATAAAAGTCTATAGTATAAGATTATTTATTTTTTTAAATTTTCTATAGCTATAATATTTACTATAGATTTCTTATAGTAGTTCTTTATATAGTAGTCTAATTTATTATAGAAGTTATAAAATTTACTATTTTTATTTTAGTTTTATTTAGATCTTATAATAGCTTTTCTACTATTTATAATAATTATAGCTTACTATATAAAAAAGGTATTATTTCCTTTAAAAGATCTTCTATTAGATCTTTATAAATCTATAGTATTTTTTAGTATTATCTTCTTAGTCTTTTTAAAATATAATATCTTATTTAATATTACTTTCTTAATTTAGTTATAGAAAGCTATCTAATTATTTTATTAATCTATAATAGAGACTATAAATCTTTTTATTTTATCTTATATCTTTTTAATTATATTTATTTCTAAATAATTAATTCTTATCTATTTAGTTAATATATCTTTAGGCGGTTTTAGAGTCTAGTAAACTTTAAAATATATTAGTATATATCTTAATACTTAACTTATATTATCTATTATTAGTTATATTTAGCTTTTTATTATATCTTAATAAGATTAATAATCTAAATAAGTACCTATATTTTAAAGACTAATTAAATAAATATTATATTTAGATTATTCTTATAATATTCTATTTATATTATATTAATTTTTAATACTAAAAACTTAGTTACTTAGTCTACTTTATATATATTATTAATAAACTAATTAGAATATTTATTCTAAAAGACTTTTTAGTTTAATTTAAAAAAATTATATTTACCTAAACTCTTAGTTTTATATATTATTATATTATAAAATATATATAGTTTTCTTACTTCTTTCTAATAGGATAGAAAGCCTTTAGTATTTTTTTATAATATAATTAAATTTATATAAATAATATTAAGTAATTAGTAAATAGTTTAGCTAATAATACTATCTAATAAATACTAATAGATCCTAAATCTTTATATTTTTATCTATAGGATTACTATATTTTCTTTTTTATCTTATAGCTTTATATAAATCCTATTTTTCTTCTTTACTATAGCTAGACATCTTTTAAAGATCTCTAACTCTTAAAGTTCTACCTCTTTATCTATCTTAGTTAAAGTTATAGGATCCTATAGGTTCCCTCTTTAAGGATTATCGTCGACTCCCTATATCTCTACCTCTTCTAATAGAGGTTATAGGGGTCCTAGAACGTTATTTATCTCCGCGATTAGGGCTAAGACTCCCTTTAAATAGTCACTTATACGTCGAGTTATTAATATTATATATTCTAACAGTCTAGTTTAATTAAGATTTAGCGATTAGAATATTAAAATTAGCGTACTAGCGGGTTTTAGTAGGTAATATAGAACTAAAGTAAAGAAATAGTAGGGTACTAGTATATTTATAAACTAATCGCTAAAGAGCTAAGTTCCCCTAATAGTCTCTATAGGGCTAGTCCCTAACGTCGCGAAGTATTTATTAGTCTTTAGTCCTCGGAGTAAGTACTTATACTACTTTAAGATATAAAGACTAGATAGAACTTAACGTTTCTTATACTTCGTTAAGCTAAAAGACTCTATATTTTTCTTAGTATATTCTATATAGATTATAACTACGAGGAGATAGTACTTAATAACGATAAATAGCGCTAGATCGATTATCTTCTTTCTCTTATAAAGCTATTCTACGAATATACTCTTACGCTTTTAAAGACTCGAGATATAACTATATATCTAGTATTCTAGATTTATAATATATTATCTAAATACCTTAAGAAGTCTATTAAGTAGCTTTAACGAAAGCGTATCTTATAGAAATAATAGATACTTTCCTCTCTTAAGACTAGTCGATTAAAGCTTAATAAATACTATTTATAGATAGATTATAATCGTAATAATCTTTATACGATTAGTACTATATTAGCGCTAGACAATAGGTTCTAATTCTTTCTTATTAATAATTAGACTAAAGAATAGTATAATAAATATTAAGCTTTATTTTAAGATACTCTCTTACCTTACTAAGAACGTTATACTATTAGTTAGGGTCTATTAGTCTCCTTATCTAGATTAAGACTAAGTATAGCTCTTTATAATCTACTTCGCCTAAAGAAATCTAAAGTAAAGTTAGTTAGTAATAAGATAATCTAATATCTTAATAGTAGTAAGTTTTACTTTTCTTCTAGCCTTATATTAATTACTAACTTTATTAGATATTATTAATTCTAAGCTACTACCTTTTTAGCGAGATAATTATAGTTATTTTCCTATTATTACTTTACTTATATAGGACGTTCTTATAATTCTAGTAACTAGTATAGGTATAGAACGATTATTTAATATTACTCGCGATATTTACTATTATCGTTATAGTCGTATAAAGGATAAGACTATTAAAGAGTTAATACTATTTCTTTATACCTCTAGATTTAACCTTAAACTATATAAGGTAAAAGAGCTTAAACGATTCTTCTCTTTAAATAAGATCGAAGTATTAAGAGAGGAAAAGGGCGAGAAGCTTAATAATATTAAATTTAAATAGATTAGTAATATAGAAGAATAGCCTAAGAGCTTAAGAGGTTTAATTAATAATAGTAGCGATAATAATAATACTAGTAGTAATAATAGTAGCGATAATAATAATACTAGTAGTAATAATACTAGCGATCCTCTATTACTAAGTTATAGCACTTAGCTTTATATATTAGGGAGGAAAAGGAAGTATAAGGAGGATAATATATATTAGACTTATTAATTTACGTTAGATTTAAATTATAATATATTAATATATACTTAAATTAATTAATAATTTATTAAATATAAAGTGAACAATATAATCGAAATACTCAAAATTACTAGGAATTTCTATATTATTTATATAGTCACGAGAAAATAGCGTATTTACACTATTTAGTCGTAAGGGGGGGCTCGACGAGCCCCCCCCCTTCGAGCTATAGGCCTAAAGCAAAAGCCCGAAACCCGCTACAAGTTTTAGGAACGGGCTCGAAACCCGACCCTTTGAAGGGTCGAGTCGGGTCGAGTCGGGTCGAGTTTCGGGTTTTTCGAGTTTTACGGAAGTCTAGTCCTAGGTTATAGGACTAGGCGGGATCTAGCCTATAAGGCACTCTCTAGCAGAGGGTCGTAACATTTTCCCCCTCCTTAAAGAGCTACGACCTCGTAGCTAAGGGTCGGGGTCGAGAATCTCTTATAGTGTTACAACCCTCTACTAGAGAGTGCCTTATAGGCTAGATCCCGCCTAGTCCTATGACCTAGGACCTGTGACCTAATAGGGGTAGTATAACCCCCCGCTAGAGAGTGCATTAGGAAGACTAAGTCCTACTAAGTTAGGTAACCTAGTCCTATAACCCGCTAGAGGTTATCCTAGATATAAAATATAAGATACCGGACCTTATTTAAAGTATAAGATATACTATAGTTTTCGCTTTAGGTATTCGCTTTCGTAAGTCTTAATTAACGATTAGACTATTTAGTCTTAGTTATATTATTCTAAGGGACTACTTTTAAGGGGTTAAGAAGTTAGTTTAGACTTAATTAGATAATATATATAAGATAGGGTATTCGGATAATATAAATATTACTTAATAGAGCCTATTATAAAGAGTTAATAAGGGTCTTATTATTCGATATATTATCTATAGTTAATCTAAATATATAATCCTAGATATTATAATTAGCGAGTATCTCTAAAAGTATATTACTTAGATTAATACTAGAGTAAGTATCTTTAAGAGGCTTAAACCTAAGAAGTACCTTCCGGTAGTACTAGTTAATATTAATAAAATAGCTAATAATAGCTATAAATACTTATCTAAATAGTAACGTTTAATAATCTAACGCGATAGATATTTTTATATCTATTAGAAGTAATTTAAGTATAGATTATTAGCGTTCTTTTATATAAGAAGATAGTCGACGTCGAACTATATCGGTAGAGGGAATAGATAGGAGATTTAAGGCTAAGTATACTTATAATATTATCTATTAAAATATTAGATATTCGATAAAGTAAAAGGGAAACTAGTTAATTATAATAAATTATAATAGATTATCCTTCTAAGCTACCTTAGAGAATAGCTCTTAAATAGGATTATCCTAATTAAATTATATTAGTAATATAGATTATATAAAAGAGAAATCTATACTATTAACTAAATAAATTTATTAAGTTATTCTTATTATTAACTTCTACTTATAGTCTATTTATAAATAGATATTATAAGATATCTAGTTATAGTAGTTATACTATAATACGTATCTTTCCCGTTAGTATCCTTTTTTATAGTATAAGGATATTTAAAGATTATAGAGTAATATTTATATATAATCTTTAGACTACTATTACTACTATAGACTATTTAGGTAAAATACTCCTAGATATATAAAAGATAATTTAAGTACTATTTTACCTTTTAATCTATAGTTAGTTTATAATTACTACTCTACTTACTCTTAGTATTTTATTCTATTATATAAAAAATATAACTTTTTCTAATTAGGTCTAATACGTTTAAATCTTTTAAGCTAAAGGGGTAAGAGGATATTATCTAGTTAATAAAGAGCTAATATAGATATATTAAACTTCTATTAGCTTATTAATAGTATAGCTAGGTAATTTAAGGGTATAAAGTATAATAAGATATTATAGTCCCCTCCGAATTAGGATAATATAAACTTAGACTACTAACTTTAGAATATTATTTAGTTAATAAAAACTATAATAGTAAGGGCTTTTAAGAATTTATTAAGGATAATTAATATGTTATAAAAAGTAAGAAGTATTATCTAACTAGTTAAATTAATAATCGATAGATTAAAATAAAAGATAATAATAGTAATAGATAATTAGTTAAATTATCTATAATAAGTAGAGTTAGCTCGAAAAAAGCCTATAAAACTCGAAAAAATATCTATAGAGCTCGAAAAAAAGCCTATAAAGCTCGAAGAAAGCCCGAAGAGCTCGAAGAGCTCGAAGAAATAACCCGTAAAACTCGAAAAAAGCCTATAAAGCTCGAGAAAAAGCCTAAATCTCCTACCTAAAGACCGTTAATAACCTATTCCTAGCTCGTTCCTAGCTCGTTTAACTTTAATTTTCCTTAAAATATTTTAACTAATTAGCTATAAGATAATATTAAATCTAGATATCTTATCTAGAACTATTAAAACTAGTAATTAAAATAGATACTAGAAATTAAAGAAGGATTAACTTTATTTCTATATAAAATTCAAATAGTTTTAATACGTTAGAATTAGTATTAACCTCTTATTAATACTTGATTATAAAGATATATAAAGTTCCTAGTATAGAATATATATCTTAGTTAGTATTAACTTATAAATATCGAATGTTCCTAATAAATTAATCTTAATAGTTATAAAGCTTAGAGATTATACTTATATATTAAAGAAAAACACCTTTTCACTAGAATTTCTAATCATTTCCTATTCCTTATTATAATAATATAGTAGAAGTCTACGTATAAACCAAAATATAAGTAAAAGACAGTCATTTATTTAGGTGATTCAGTAACTTTATGAACGCTAAGACCATGTTTTGTGCAATTTCGAGCTTAGGGGGGGGGGGGGCCCCGGGGCCGCCCCCCCTTCGAGCCGGGGTCCGGGTCGAGCCCAGAGCTTGGGCCCAAAGTTGGGCTTTGCGGAAGTCTACCTAGGACCCGTAACCTAGTAGGGGTAGTATAACCCCCCGCTAGAGAGTGTATTAGGAAGACTAAGTCCTACCGGGTTAGGTGACCTAGTCCCGTGACCCGCTAGAGGTTATCCCTATAGAGACTGCTAGGGGAACTTAGCTCTTTAGCGATTAGTTTATGAATATACTAGCACCCTGCTATTCCTTTACTCTAGTTCTATATTACCTGCTAGGACCTGCTAGTACGCCGGTCCTAACACGAGGCTTAGATAAAGGGTAAGAGCCTTACTTAGGCCGACTTTTATCTTTACTACTAGATCTAGCGAGACCTAGCGTATACTAATATAATTAATTACCTCCGGGTAATAGAACTCTATATAGTAAACCCTTATATTATACGAGGACGCAGTCGCCTACTATAGTTATCTTAATAGTTATCTTAATAGTTATCTTAATAGTTATCTTAAAAGTTATCTTAATAGTTATCTTAGTAGATATCTTAGTAGATAATCTTATTATCGCGAGTATCTTAACGCTTTAAGAGCTTAACCCGTCGTAAGCTATCACGATTTAAGATTATATAAAGGGATAAGGAGGTAGCTATTCGTCGGTCGGGTTAATAAAGGATAGCTAGTAGGAGATAATATAATAATTAGACTATATAGGGGGAGATAATAGAGTCTAATAATTAGATCGTAGTTAGTAGTGTTATAACTAGGCGGGGAAGGGGACGTAGATATAGACGTAGAAGAGGGATCCTTAATAATATTAATATCTGGTTTATATATTAGAAATATAAGTAAAATCAGTCGAAATGACTCCTTAAAGATAGAAGTTTTGCTCTATAGGATAGTAGGAAACTAGCGTTAACAGCTATACTATCTCAACTATAGTGAGAAAGCTCGATTGGCACTATCTTTGAGAAACAGCCTCTATTTTGGGATTACGTGACCGATCAAACCCTATATCACCAAACCCCTTTCTCGGTAGAAAAAAAACTCGAAAAAAAACTCGAAAAAAAACTCGATAAAATCAGCATCTGCGAATAGCCTCATTTTTACACTAAACCCCTTTTCGGTAGAAAAAAACTCGATCAAATCAGCATCTGCGAATAGCCTCATTTTTATACCAAACCCCTTATCGGTAGAAAAAAACTCCATTTTTGCACTGGAACTTGATCAAATCAGCATCTAGGAATAGCCTCATTTTTGTATAGTAACCGGCCCCTAAAATTTTATACCAAAATTACGGACCCTCGCAAGCGAGGGTCCGCCACCCAAACCGTACATCCCACCCAAACCGTACATTCTTTCCATATCCTACCCTCTCACTTTGATCATAAACTATACCACCAAAAATGCCTAAAAACAATAAGGAGATAGAGGATCAGCTTCTTAAAGCTCTCGAGTCTCTCTCTAAGCAGTCTAAACCCAATATCGCGAAAACTGCGCGAGAATTCGCGGTTCCTATAAACCGACTACGACACCGCTGGAAAGGAGGAAAGTCGCTTTTTTAACGATAACCCAATGGTCGGAAGCTTAATCCTATATAGGAGCAAGCTTTACGGGACTATATCGACTACTTTAATACGGTCGGAGCCTCGATAAACCGCCGTTAAATTACTATAGTAGCTAATTCAATTCTCGAAGAAGACTATTATAATAAAACTATAGCACCTCTAATAATTAGTGACTACTAGCTATAACGCTTCCTTAAACGTAATCCTAAGTACTATATACGACGACGGCGAGCTCTTAATATTAAGCGAGCTACTACACTTAATAAAACTATAGTTAAGAGATAGTTTAATAATTATTAGCGCGTTATATCTAAATATAGTATATACTAATAAGATATCTATAATTTCGACGAAACTAGCTTTTAAATTAGTATCGGACGTAATTAATTTATTATTACTAAGTATCTAAAAAAGAAGCTATTTAATAGATCTATTACTAATCGTAAATCTATTACTATTTTAGAGGTAGTTTCTACTAATAGTTTTACCTATCTACTACTTATAATTCTAAATACTCGGTAGGCTTTACTACGCTAGTTTAATACTATTAAAGATAATAAGTATATTTCTATAACTAATACCGGATATATTAATAATACTCTAGTATATTAGTAGATCTAACTCTTCTATAAATAGATAATTAGTTAAATAATTAGAAGGAAAAGACTCGTTTTATATAACCGTTTTAGGTCGTATTTAATATACTAATTTATTAAATTTTATAAGAAGAATAATATTATTTTATTCTTCTTACTCTCGTATACTAGTTATATACTATAGCCTCTTAATATCGGGGTATTTAGTATATATAAATATTAGTATAGTAAGGCTATAGAAGCTACTATAATAACTAGATACCGTAAATTCTTAAAGGACGAGTTTTTATACTTAATTAGAGAAATTAGACGAAAAACCTTCTAGCCGAATATAATTAAGCTTAGGTTTAAATTAACTAGCCTTTAGCCTATTAATTCTAAGCTTATTACGGATAAGTTAGAGTCTTATAATCTATATAATAATAATCTCCCTTAGTCGAGAATACCCTTAACTACCTCCTAAAACTCCGAGTTTAGCACTCTAAAAACTGCTAGCAAAGTAAGAAGGATAAGCGACTAGCTTAACTAGTTAGATCCGGGGAGTTAGAGGTTTAAAAGGGCACTAGAAAAGCTTTAAAAGTGTGCTAAAGTGCAAGCTACACTAGCTCACGAACTACGGCGGGAATTCGACTTAATAAGTGCTATTATAGGTGCTCGCCACGCCCGATATAATACTTCTCGGCGCTATACCTAGATAACTGGCATCATCAACTTATCCTAAGTTAAAGAGATGAAGCGAAAAGAGTTCAAATTGACTAAGAAAGCTGATTAAGATAAAACGAGGCGGAAGTGGAAGAAGGTGTTGATCGAAATCAGGAAGCATGGGCGAGCACAAAAACGCAAGGGAAATTGATATAATCTTGTATACTAATAGTCAAATGGTGAATTGATTTATCTATGATTTTTAAACTATTAATTTCCTATATTATTGTATAGAAAATGGTAGTTAAGGTAAAATGTAGGAAGAATGTACGGTTTGGGTGGGATGTACGGTTTGGGTGGGATGTACGGTTTGGGTGGGATGTACGGTTTGGGTGGCGGACCCTCGCTTGCGAGGGTCCGTAATTTTGGTATAAAATTTTAGGGGCCGGTTAGTGTAGATAGCGTGCGAGATTCTACATTACCGATAGGGTGCCCAGATAAGATTCGGGTACTGTCCGAAATACTAAGGGAGTACCATATTAAATACGACAGGCTGTGAACAAATTATGGCCAGTAGGAAGTAAATCGTAAAAGGCTTAGCGCCCTGGGTGCCCGTAGTAATTTTGGGTGCCCATAGTAGTTCTCAAAACTTAATACCATAGATCCGTTGGATATAGTGTACTTATGTGAGGTAGCAGCATTCTTTGTGTTTTGACGCCCTCCGGACTTAGCTTGACAGTGTGTTCGAAAATTGTCCTTTAAAAAAAGTTAGCTTGTACCTGCACATCTAGAACAGAATGAAAAAGCAAGTGTTGTTGTCGAAGGTGCGGCCCCACGGTGGGGGAAAGGCGGGCGGGACTGTCAGTCGCAAAATGCCCGAGAATCACATGATCGTCCGCCCAATCCTTATATGGCAGGTTTATTTGAGGAAAATATTTACTACAACGGTGGATCACATGGTTTTTCTGGGGTATGAAGTCTTGCGAACCTCTGCGTTGATCTTAAATCCACTCCCTGGCTGTTTGCCGACGGCAAACTGCATTTATCGGAATAACGTCTCTCCGCGTAATCGATACAGGAATTTCTTAAGAGCCCTTTCTACCTCCTGTCATTTATTCAAGCGACAAAACACCTTCGAGAACCAGTACTTACTCTCCCCTGACATCATGTCAGCAATCAAAAAGCTAAGTGAATCGACATACACTTTTCTTGCTCTTATCGATCACACACTAGATGATATTGAAAGTCTTTGTCATCTAGATAACGGTCATGATCGACGCGTCCCATGTTACGGACTTGGACCGTTGGAAAATGTGCCTCTGGAAATCCTTCAAATGATTCTTTTGCGGCTTGATATTCGATCAATGACTGAGTTCCGACGCGTCAACAGGCGAGCAAGGCTGGCTGTAGATCATATCCCACAATACAAGCAAATTGTCCTGCATGCCCCAGCCTCAATCCGAGGATGTCTCAGCCTGAGAAGTGGATTTTCTTTTTCATGCCAAGATCTTTATGATAAACTGCGTACAGCCGAGTGTGACAGCTGTGGTGACTTTGGTGGTTACCTGTACCTGGTCACCTGTCGTCGCGTTTGTTTTCTCTGCTTCACCGAGAAGGCCGATTACCTACCACTCCTTCGAAGTGACGTGATTCGGAAATTTGGACTTCGCTCAGAACACTTAGCAAAGATTCCTTCCTTCAAGAGTGTTCCTGGTCGTTATTCATCTCGAGGAATCAAATGTCACCGTCGACTTACTTTATTTGATCATTCTGCTGCGCGTGAGGCAGGAATTTTTGTGCACGGGGATAGCAACTCAATGAAACAATACGCATCAGAGAGTCTTGCCAAGAGAATTGAAATCCATCAATCTCGAAATGCGAGATCCACCCATGGAGTGAAACCACCTCGACTGCCCAGGTCTGAAGAATCTTTTGACGGATTTTCGTCTAACCCCATACGATTTATGGGAATCATTCGAGCGCCGGTTCTTGACACTCGCACGGCAATTCCACAATGGGGGTTTCATTGTACTGCTTGCAAACCCCATCATTACGGCCGTCCGCTACACTGGCGCCGAAAATTTACCAAGGACAGCTACCGAAATCATATAAGAGAGTGTGGAGAGATCATTGACGGCAAGCACAAACATGAGTAAACTGATGAATTAAATCAATTGATTTCAGAGTCAACTTGGAGATCTTCCGTCATATGCCACGGAGCTGGTTATTGCCATCGCAAGAGCTGCAGAGCATGACGTTCGCTTTGGACCTTGCTTGTTTTGTATAAACATTCGATGACTCCTTCCGTCCGTTGACAATATCTCAAAATCTCTCCTATCTGCGCATTTCGTCCTTTCCAGGCTTCACCATATGCCGCGCGCACATATGAACAGAAGGGTCCAATTTTTCCTCTTTCATAGGAGAACACTTGACGTTCGTGCCAAAGCGTTCATCGCATTGTTTGAACTCTTCCATCTTTTTACACCCACATGTATACATTCGGTAGAATTGGGTACACATCTATATGAGATCAGACTCAACTGACGGGAAATGAGAAAAGGAAGGTCAGTAGTATATATACCTTGCGAAGATCTGGGCGGTGATTCCAGGTTTTTTATCTGAATCTTCCTTGACCCTAGAGCAGTTTAGAGCAGGTCTTTTGGCAAATCGTAGATTTCTTATGACTTACCTTGGTCTAAATTTATCTTAAAGGTTGGTATGAACAAATAGGGCAATGGAATGAGTTTGGTCATTTCGAAGATGGGCTGGGGGTTTATATATGCCTTGCTTCCCGGTATCTCTTCATGGTCATGGTATGTTTACTCTGCTTCGAAAGCAAAGTCAATGGGAAAGATGTGGCACCCTGGGTATTTGGCTAAAGATAGATTGTTGCATCAGGGCCAATCGAATACTTCCACCCCATAAGCGCTTGTCTGGTGACTGGCGATACGCTTCTTTAGCGCTGTTGGCACTTTGGCTTTCTTCGATTTGATACAATTCCAAATCTAGGAGGATCTTGCGCCTGTTTTATTTTATTTTATTTTTTGCATGAAGTTTTGTAATCGATGAATGATAGGGGAACCATGTGGGACTCGTGCGTAGAAATCTTCGTGTTGAAACCAAATTATCCTCTTAAGGTTTTAGCGTGGGCTATTCAGCTAGGATGCGTTGTCAGCGAGGTAAGGTTCAGCCAGGGAGCCCGAAAGGCCAATGCTATACACCTTTCCCCACCGCTTTCCCTGGCGCCAGGGATCGCAAGGCGGTGTTCTCCTGGCTTCTCCAGCTCATGATTCAGGATCCTGAAATATAAATAGCTGTCCATAGATCTCGAAAGAGGTTCTAATATCATTATTCCGTCACATTCTAAATTCGCTTTCTCTGTCCAAGGCTTGCCCGACACTATGGCGTGCATTCAAACGGAAGTCGAATTGCTTCAAGCAGAAGTCGATGAAAATGATCAGAGTTTCTTTCGTCTCCTGCTCAATGATCGAAATATAAAATATGTCACTATAAACCCCGGCCTTTACAATGCGGACGATATGTGCTTCGGCCCCTCGCTAGTTTCACTTCTACCCACTCTACCCGATGGAGATTGGAATGATGGACTGGTGACCGAAAATGAAGCGACCGGCCAACCCCATTTTGCCCATGCCATTCGGACCGCTTTCCCTGGCGTTGAGAATACCTGGAATGGAACTTTTGTGGATTACATGGAGATCCTGGTAGGAGAAAAGTTGCGAACGGGCATTTATGAAGTCAAATGCCCCTTGTTCGATGACGTGGTTGTGGCTAAATTCGCTCGCTTCGAATGGGAGATCCCATATCTAGAGAGTGAGACCACGGCTTATCAATGGATTGAGG